AAACTTTTCGAAGCTCGAACTAATTTCTTTTAGTTTGTACATCATTCGGCTATTGATTATTAGATGGCAACATCAATCATATTAAACCGACGCATTACAGTAAAGCTTCGCTAATCCGAATCAATTAAAACCAGCTCAATTCAGATTATGGAAGCATGCGGATTATTGAAGTCATATTTAAATATTATCAAAAAAAGTCTTATAAATACTTATTTATAGATTTATTGTACTAGATAATATATGCAATACATGTTTTATACAGTTTATTTTAAAAAATCATGTTTTACTTTTAATTGCTATTAAATTAGCCGATAGTTTGTCCCAAGCATTGGCAAGCATGAACACAGCATCCTTAATAGAAATATTCTTCAGTGCTTTGGAAATATCGTCTTCCTCTATAGATTGAACATGTTCTAAGAGACTTTTCCGGTAATACACTTTCGTTAAACGAATTGCATTTTGATCCATAGGTTGGATAAGTGGAGTACAATTGAGTTGGTATAACGTAAACAAGTAACTATAAAAGTAAACGTGTTCCAACTTGTTTAAACGGCCACACAAAAAGACCGTTAATTCCGATTAGCGAATCTTCTAGTAATTCGGATTGCAAGGGACATAATGCAAATTTCACGTTTTCTAATTTTGTTCGGATTACAAGGGAATTCGGATTTGGGGGTGTTCGAATTAGCGCAGCTTTACTGTACTTTGTTACTTAGTTACTTTATTATCATTCGATGTCTTTGAGGTTGAGTTGAGATGCTTTGGAGTTAGGTTAGATTAGGTTATTTTTAGCCGAAAAGAAATAAAAATTAAAAGAATTATTTTAAATTTAAAAATATCACCGCCATCTATCACCAACTTTCGGAATCATCGTAGATAGTAAACTAAAAATGCTCTCAACAGATGGAGTTAACGACGAAAACTGAAAAAGATTTAAAACTGTTAAAACACACAATAATTACAGAAAATGATTAATTTTCCTTTTAGAAAAAAAATCCGAAATAATATCTCGTTAGTTTGTAATAAAAAATGACTTTCCGTTCTCAAAACGGAGAAGGTCAGAACTATTCATTAATCATGTATGCTACTTTTTATTCTGCAGAATAGTTTTCAAGGAAAATTGGTTTTAAGTGGAAAACTGCGTCTTAATTTGTACTTTTATTATCATTATTTTGTATCTTTTTGAATTTTATTATATTTATTGCTACAATTATCGGTATTTTTTATGTAAACTCTTGATCTGATTGATCAAAAAGTGTTTAGTAGTTTCAATATGCAGAGTCACGAGTAGAAAAAAAAAATAAACAAAAAAAAAGTTGAGTTGAAAAAAAAAACATTACAAAAGAGGTGCGGAACAAAAAAGATAAAAAAAACATTCCGTCCCTGCTATAGTAAAGTATAAATCATCGTGCCATGGGAGCTGCGGGTTTGGCTGTGTTTCGGGGGCGTTTCGCGGGGGCCTTTCCGGGAGGTTTTCCCCGATGACGCCCCTCTTTTTCGAAGCCACTCCCGGAGACACGACCACAAACAGCCAGCATAATTTAATAACAAGGCCATATTTGGAAATCATTTCAAATACCACCAAGAGATGGCACAATTAAAATCTCTATCAAATCAATTTTTTGAGCAATTGCGGTAATGACGAAACAAAAAGATTAAGTTATTATTTAAGAATTAAAGATAATTGGAAATATTTCAAAAAGTATTAAAGTAGATTACGATCAAATCGGTTTACCCACCTTGTAAGTGGCGCCATCTTTTATGAAAAAAATTAGCTATCTTATTTTTGTTTTAACAATATCTTGATCAAACTAATACGGATCTGTCAAAAAAGATGATGTATGGCAATAAAATCCATTTAGACGCCACCAAATCGATGTCCTTTCAGATTTTTTTATCGATCATTTTATCGGACGCTCTTAATCGAGATTGTTGTTTATTAATTCAGCGGTAATTGTTGATAAACAATTTTTCTTGGTACCGATTTAATTTGGAATTACGATAATGTCTGTTTATAAATAAATAATAAAAAGTTTTGTTTAAACAATTAAATTTTGTTTTCTATGACTTAATACATACAGTTATCCAAACACAAAAGTATGATTGTTAAGAAAATGATAATAATACTGATAGAAATAAAGAAATATTAATGAATTAGAAGAAACCATAAAAATAACGAATAATAGAAAGGCAGTGGGAAGAGACAACACCGAAGTTGTAAACAAGAACAAGACCTTCCGCAATAGGATATTACTGACGAACTCCGATGAAGACCTTAGATCTAGTCTATGTAGACGATATAATGATGAACTAACATCTCGATTGATAAAGACATGCAAAACAAACCTAGATAACACATTGAAGTACTCAATTACAAGCGAACTCGACTAATCTTAAGCTGAAGCATCTGTGACATTTTCTAACTAAGCCGAGGTCGCTTGCAGACGAGGCTCCACAATTACTCATATCAACTCAAATCTTAATAACATAATACTACGCTTCGGCCGTAACCTCGGCTCAACTTAGAGTGAACAACTAAGACTTTACCGGATTTAGACGAGGTCGCTTGCGGGCGACGCGCAGCATTGTGTTGTCATATAAACCCAAATGTAGACAACACATTATAACATTTGAGTATCTATGACATCTTCTAAGCTGAGGTCGTTTAGGGCCGAGGTTTCTTAATTATTACCATATCAACCCAAATCTCAACAATACATTGTAACGCCTTGATCACTAACGATCTCGGCGAAACTTAAGTTGAGTTGACATCTTTTAACTAAGCTGAGGTCGCTTGCGGATGCTTTAAGGTGGAGCATGTCTGACACCTACTGAGTAAGCGGAGGTCGCTTACAGCCAAAACTCCGCGATTACTATCCTGTTATCCCAAACTTGAACAACATAATGCAGCGCCTCGACCGCAAACGACTTCGGCTTAATCAGAAGATGTAATACATTCCTCGCTCTAAGTTTGATTGAGGTTGCTTGCATCCGAGCCGCTGCGATGTGTTGGCCAGTTATGGGTTGCTTCGGTTATAATTATACATCTTCGGTCACAAGCGACATCGGCTTAATCAAGAAAAGTAACACATTCTTATTCTTCGCCCTAAGTTTAACAACGACCGGGGATTAATATCAAATCAACCCAAATCTGATCAATACATTGCAACGCTTTACTTGGCTAAACTTAGGATGGGAAATCTATGATTTTACCTGATAAAACGAAGGTCGTGTGCGGCTAATACACGGCTAATGCGGCTTGTATGGATACTGATGTGTCTGGTAGATACGGAAGTAAAATTAAAGAGGCATGGAGTTTCGGACACCCTATTGAATCTATTTCCTTTGGACGTCGATTGCCATATTTGTTTTGGTTATATTAGGCCTTCCGCCTGTGATTCTTTGTATATGTCCTATTAATATCTTTATTGGTGTCCACTCTATATCCATTCAAATTTGATTGACATATGTATATAGCGCTACAGTCATAAGTGATCTTAGTTAATGTTATGACGCTTGCGGCTAAGACATGAAATAGCAAATCATATCACACCCATTCAATTTTTGTAATCACATACAGCAACTGTTAAAGTTAGAGCCTCGATTAAACTCATTACTGGAATTGTATTGGTATGGCTTGACTATCACATATATGTGATGATATACTATTATGTATTTAGTAGTATTCAGAGGTACAAGCTCCTCCGAAATGTATGCACTTGTTTATACCTGCTACTGTCCTGCCACATACATATAACTAACCCACTTTTTGTATATTAACTTCTAGCCCTCATGCTCTCATTCCTTATCTTGCTGCTTCTGTGCGATTATTATTTGGTCGTCGGCGAAACATCTTTTTCACTGTTTTAGTGCTTGTTCTGATGAAAATTTCTTATGGCAGCCTGGCAAATAGACTACTTTCAACTGTGCACTTCACTATATCAGAACTGTGTGGGGATCAATTTATGTCACCTTCACTGGAGATCAATTTTTTAGGGAAAATTTCACGAATTCGTGTTATAGATGTGTAGACCATGTTACTCGGTTATAGCCAGGAAAGTTCTGCAATTCAGGAAACAAGAAGTCGTCAACCAGCCCTCACGGTAGGTTTAGATGAACTTTCTTTTGAGACATCTGTATTTCGGATCAAATGGATTCCCAGGCAACAACTCTTAGGAAAGGAATAAAGCTTTATATAAATATTGTAATCGTGTAAAAATTTGACCCCGAGATTTTAATGGTTTTTTGACACAACGCAGCTTTCTAGAAGTTTATAAGACATATTTGTCTGATATGATTTCTACATGTTAGTGTCACACATATAGGAGTTAACTAAATTTAATGTTTCCGTCTTGTATTCGTTCGTTTTTGATTATAAAGACGCAACTTCGATTTTGAATGGATTTATATTCGTCGGAAAGTTTTCATTAGTCCGTAATCAAAACTCAATCGAACAAGTCTCTCAATAGGAAGCGATAACCATCGGGTTTGGAGTAGTAATTTTAAAAGCCGTCCAATAATTCATAAAGTCTTCTTTCCACGTCAATTATCTTTGACTGATTTTTCTTCCTCAATATTTTCAAATCGAATTAAAGGTTTTCTTAACCTTTCTTTCTCATGCAATTACGTTAACAAATACGAGTGAAACGATGGTTCACTCGAAGTCAAAGTTTAAAGTAAATTTTTTTGGTTGTATTAAAAAAAATAAACATCTTAATAATCGGATACTTAGAAAATAGTACTATTTCTATCGTATACCTTCCTTCTCTTGAAAATTCTTAAAGGGAATGTACCAGAAGCTCTCGACCACGATATCCACCTTTAGTGCCTTTATAGTTAGGGTTGGATCGGGGCAAGGGACGGGCGGTGGCGTCGACGCCGATGACGAACGAAAGCTTCCGAACCCGGAGGCCCCCGACGACGACGCCGCGCCGCCACTGCTCTACGACCGCCCGATGTCAGAATTTTCTCGATTACGTAGCGCCAGTTGAACGACGGCAACCGCGCAACAAACGAACGCTAAACTCGAAGAGAAATAACTAAAATCCGACGCGATAAAACGTTTTTTACTTCATCCTGAATAAACGAAAATTGAGTTCGATTCTGTTGTTGTTTCAGTTTGGGTGTTGTTTGATGTGGTGATTTTATTTGTTATTTAATGAATATTGCCAAGAATTTTAATTAATCAATTAATTGTATTATTAATGATGAATAAATAATAATTTTGAGATAAATATACGTTTTAGTGTTGACTTTCTGCGTAGTGTGCAAACCGGAAGCGGATATGTGAGAGAGCTTTCGATCGCGTCGCCGAAAAGTAAAAAGAACAAAATAAAAAAAAAACATGTTCTGTGTTAGTTGTGTGGGTTGTGGTGCGTGTGTGCGACCTGATTGTTTTGGATTATCATCGTCATTTCGAACACCACCACCATTTACGCTGGATTTCTAGAAAAAAAATTACTAAAAAATGAGATTTACCACCACATTTAAACGGTAAATGAATAAATTTTAAATTTGTGATTCATTCAATTGTAATAATATCACAAAAAAAATCTCCAAACAATTCTAGATATCGTGTAGGAACATCTGGGAGTGAACGAATCATAAACATACAATGACAATAATAATAATAACTACTCGCTATAAGCGGTTATGCTATTTTGAAAACAATCGTCCCGGAAAAACGATTCGAAATATTTTAAAAAGAATCCAAATTATTTATGTTCGAAATGTTTGTTTTTATTTGCGTTTTAAAGGAATCACGGTCGTGCTAAAATCGATTAGTAACCCCCATTCAAATCGAAACAAACCCCGCAAAAAGCTTCGGATAATGATTGAACTGGCGATAACCTAAACCAAAAATAAAAGCGGAAAAAAATGGGAAAAGAGAGCTGGTTAACTGTAGTAACAGGAAAAATACTAGGAAAAAAAATTGTTAGCAGTAAAAAACGGTCGGTTTGAATTTTTAACGCTCTCTGCAAATTAACTGAACGCCGACGAATAATAATGATAAAAAAGAATTTGTTTGATAAAAAAAGGGATTCATGATTTATTCAAATCTTTTCGATTGTACTCAAACAATCAATTTAGATGAGGATTTTTATTAAATTTATAATTTTAGGATTTTCATTTTTACGTAGTTAGATAAAATTCATAAATTATATAACTTTTTGATTCATTTGGTAACAATGCGATGGTATTAAATCATCTTTTTAAATATTTTTTATTAATTACACAACAGGAATGCTAATTAAGCCTTAATCTGGCATTAATCGAATGTTAACGCTGTATTAAAGTAAGAATAAGTCAAAAAGAGTTTGTCCTTGCGATTAGGTTTACTTAGATAGTTAAAGTTAACACGGTGCGAATGGGCGGGTAACTTAAGATCATGCTTTTATAAGATATTTGTCGGCTTAATCCACAATCACTTCCTCTAATTTTGGAACTGTAAATAATTTCAATATCGAAAACGTCAAATTAATGATTTTTTGATTAAGTTTTGAAAGTTGGTAACAATGCGATGGGATTAAATAATTTTTTTGATAATTTTTTATGTAAAAAGTTCTTGTTTGGTATTTTTAATGACACAAAAAGAACACTTATTAGCTCTTAATATGGCATTAATCGAATGTTAACGCTGGGTTAAGGTAAAGATAAGTCGAAAATCGGATTTACAAGAGATTAATCGAATTGTATCTAAGCTAACGTTAATCATTATCGTTATATTCAATTAAAAGATTTCGAAAGTTGGTAAGAATGCGATGGGATTAAATCATCTTTTTGATTATTTTTACATAAAAATTACATCACTTTTTTTTTAATTATACAAATAACATGCAAATTAGCCCTTAACTAGGTATTAATCGATTGTTAACGTTGGGTTAACGTAGAAATAAGTAAAAAATGAATTTTACAAAACTAATTGAACAATGTCACTTAAATTAATTGCTGTAAACTCTTATATGAAGCAACGAGAGTATTGGATTGCAATGTTATTAATCTCGATTAGTGTCACATTAATTTTTAGCGAACGTTAATCATCAAACGTTCTAAGCGTGGTATTAACCCTAGGATACTTAACCAATAAAATAACTATAGTAACTATAATCTTGCCGGGCCTGAGAGGCCCGGTTTGTGCATGCTAGGGTTAAACAAAACGTTCCACTTAGTTTGCCGTTATTAAGGTTAGCTTAGATATTTAAAGTTAACGGGGCGCTAATCGCCGGTTAACTTTGGATAATGCATTTATAAAACACATTTCTTATTAATGTAACTAATGGAGCTTCGATAAAAAACTTATTTTTGATTTTTCACGATGTTAACTCCAAGTTAACGTTCGATTAGTGAAAATCGGCTTCGTTTAGGTTGCATTTTGGAACTTTAAGTGGTATTCTGCATATTTCTGGAATATTTTGTTATTCTAAATTCGCAGGCTTGATTGCGCCTCCTTAACGCTTATTCTGTATTCATTTTTGATTCGATTCACATTAATTTTTAGCGAACGTGAATCATCAAACGTTGTAGGCGTGGTATTAAACTAAACGTTACGCTTAGTTTGCCGTTATTAAGGTTAGCTTAGATATTTAAAGATAACTGGGCGCTAATCACCGGTTAACTTTGCATAATGCATTTATAAAACACATTTTTTATTGATGTAATCGAGCCTCAATAAAAGTTTATTTTTGATTTTTCACGATGTTAACCCAAAGTTAACGTTCGATTAGTGAAATTCGGGTTTGTTCTGGCTTCGTTTAGGTTACATTTTGTTGCTATAGAATATTCTAAACTTGCTGGCTCGATTGCGCTTCCTTTAACTTCCTTCAGAGTAAGTGCTCCCCGCTTACTCTGAATTCATATTTGATTCGATTCTAAATTTTTTGAACATTACATCTCAATATAATTGTGATTAAGACAAATTACGCCTCAGTATTCGATTAAAATCTTATTTTTGATTTAATATTATCAATTTCTGATAGAAATTAAAAACAAAATTTTTTTTCTAAGATAACCGTCCTCAACAACAACCAGTTTTTTTCCTTTGGGGCGCGTCTTGCCATCCACGTGTTCTGGGTGTCCACAAGCGGTAGCAGCCGTGGTCGAACTCGGTCTTTTCTCTTCTCGCACCGCGTCGTCGAACCTCTCGCTTCACCTTTAATCTTTTTTTTTATTCCTTCGTATTTTTATTCCTCTTCGTTGTATCCTTCTCTTTCTTTCTCTTTAACACGTGTGTCGCTATGTCTCTTCGTGTCTTTGGTCGAGCGGAAAAGCTTCTTCGACCGGCTCAACTTTGAAGCCTTACACGTAATTGAAGTCAATTTTAAAACTTATATAATAAAAATTTTATAAATTTAGTATTAAAAAAAGAATCTAACACGACGACGAAATATCGTCTTGTTTTCGCATTTTGCTACGCCGTTATTTACCGCGTCGTATTTTTAGCTGAGATTTCAAACGTTTCGGTTTCATTTTTCTAACACTTTTCGAGAAGATAACGCTTGAATGCATAAAATAAGTTTTTTAAAAAGAAATTATTGGTTAATTTGAAATAAAATTTAATATTATTTCATCGAAAAGCGAGTGTCGCGTCGATAAAGACCTTAAGGAATGACCCGTTACGCGATAAAATGCAATTAAGATAACTTCCGAATGGCTATTTCTTCTGTTTTTCGTTAATCTTCCATGAAGTTAAATCGGGAACAACCTGAATACTACAATTAGAAACCGAAAATGTTGTCAACATTGTTGTAAAAGACGTTAATCTAATAATAAAACTTGTACATCGTTATTAATAGATGCAATAAAAATTTTAATATTAACTTTTTATACTTTTTAAGTGGATTAATGGATTAAAAGTAATGACTCAATCCTTTCTCTTTACACTCAGATACATAGATGCCAAGGTTAACGTTTTCAAACTAACCACAATTTAATTTCTCATTTAGATTCATCCAGATTTTTTGCATTTTCAAAGATAACAAAAAAATTGTAGAAAAACAGAATCGTGGGATGTGAAGAAAATTGAATTTCCATATTTTACCCAATTAGTTTTGATTTGAAAATCGGGCGAGGAAATCCTAAAACCAAATTATCCCTTAATTTTATAAGAAGCAATCAGGATTAATTTCATCGTAAAATGTAAATCACATTTTTGTGAAATCGACGCAAAAAAATGTTTATTTTTTTTCTTAATAAAACTCAAGATGATGACTCATACTAAAGAATACCATCAAGAATTCACGCACAGGGAATATTTCCCCCTTAGTTATTTCATTCCGTGTTTAGTCACAGGGCTTTTATCCTCTTCAAAATGAAGGGGAATCGCCGAACAACGAAAAGGAAAAGAATCGTTGAGAATTATCTTTAAATTTAAAAACTTACCTTACGATTCATTAAAAAGCGTTGTTTTGTTGGAGATGTTCATCCAAATTTCCATTCATTCTAAAATAATTCCGTTTTAAATTGTATAAACATCGTTATAAATGTGTACTTACCTTAAAATAATAAAAAGTTAATAAAATTCGCTTCAAATCAACCGGGGTATATCCGAAGATGATTTTATTCATTTCTTGAAACGTTTTTAATTGATTCGACACTTAAATTCAAATCTTCGAGGTTTAACTTCGTGTGGCGTGGCATCAAGTTTTAGAGGTTTATGAACCGCAACAATTACTCGAAATTTGTTGACAACTAATTTGACGTTTTGAAACGTCAAAACGATTGTTGCCAAATTGCACTGATTGGTTGGATGGACAAGATGGTTGGATTACCTGGAAACGATTTGGAAATGTCATTTGAAACAATTATAATACTAATTTTTTAATTTGCAATTAAATTTTGTATTAATTTTTAGTTGTTGTTACTACTATACTTAAATTCAATTTGTTGTTTCGTTGAATTGTTTACAAACAAGGTTTTTGACACAAATGTTAAGTGTGAAGTTGGCTCTTCAGTATTACCAACGATAATAATTAAAAATATACCGGGAATTTCATATAACTCGCAATTCATATATTGCAGTAACCATAGTTACGAAACTACTATGCACTTACACTGTCCCACATAAAATGCAACATAGGTTAATAGTACAGGCATTGGGTAGTTTTGCAAAGGAAAAGTTTTGCTTGGAAAAAGATGATGTCTTTATGATAACCGAGTCTAAACCCGAATGTTTCTGGTTCTAATGTTAGTGCAATAAAAATATGCAACGTAGTGATATCTTATACTAACTAGCGCTACCTAACACTGTCACTAGAACTAACATTAGACCTAGAACTAGAAACATTTAGGTTTAGCCTAGGTCTAGTGTTAGTTCCAGTGTTAGTCTAGTTTTATTTCTTATTCAGCGCTAGATTGTTGTATATTTTTATTGAGCTATAACGGACACTGCGGACACTTATACTGACTTGTTGCATTTTATGTGGGACAAAGTAAGTAGGTACGCCCTGGTTTCTATGGAAATATATTTTTGTATATTGCATCTTAAGTAAAATTCACTGTAAATTAAAACAACAAAATGTTTCGTTGATGTTTCATTTCTGTGTTGTAACCATGTAGCAGATGCGGCAAAGTTCACGAAATGACACATAGAAGTCTGTTTTATTTGTTCTGCTATTATTCATTGGTTATTTGAATATGACACTATCCCACAAGTTTGGTTTATTCAAGGTTTCGAGTAAATTGCATCATCATGATGTTACTGAATGTTAAAAAAGCCTTTCACTAACTCAACAGCACCGAACTAATCTATTGTAATGCTTTGAATTGTGTTCGTCTTGACAGCGTTGCACACGACATATTTTAAGCCATTGATTCTCCTCTCCTCTTTACTTATATTCGAACAGTGGTATTTCAAAAATCGTCAATACCCATTTTCTATATCACCCCAAGAAACATTTTTGACACTTGATATATCAAGAACAAGTGACAACTACTGATTTTGACATTTACGGCATCATATTCCAGTCTTGTTAGAATCTTGAACACTTGCTATACTGAGGACTGAAGTTTTTGACATTGCTTAGTCACTTGATATAACAAGAACAAGAGTTTTTGACATCCTATGACACTTGATATGTCAACAACTACTGTTTTCAACATTTAAATCACTCGTCTTGTTAGAGAACTAAAGTTTTTGACATAGCTGCCAGCTCCATTTAGTTATATATGTTTCTTTTATAAGTTTTTGGCCATTTGGCTATTATGGTATACTTCCAACTATAGTTGACGGTATTTCTCAAGTCGTTCAAATTAGTGTTAGGGCCAAAAAGAAGTTATGATAACGAAGACATGGGTGATCACTACATAGCGGCTTACGTATTCAAATAAATACAGACTTCGTCAGTCCAAGATTCACATCGTAGTCATTTGTGATGAATGCAGGATTTGCTGATGGATCTTCGGCGCACCAAATCAGAGTTTTGTTTGGTGTTTTAAACAAAAACTTTGACATCAAAGACGTACTCGTTCAAACTCCTGATTGATTGAATGAACAAGATGGATGACGATTTATTATTCAATTTCTCAAATGTCATTTTTCGACATAACCTCATTTATTATTTCAATTTTTTTTTCATATAAGTATTGTTTCACACTAAAATATTATCTAATACTAAAAACATACGGGTTCGTTATATTTATGGGATGATATGAAATTGATTTTATAAGTTTATGTGGGTTTGTTAAGGTCTAAACGTAAATAAAATTTAAAAAGTTGTCGGTTTTAAAATGAGAAGTTTTTCGCTAGATTTATTTTTAATTTTTCCGGCAAGCATCACGTAAAGTGGCCCGTCGTAGTTTCTAAATAGTCTCCGACACTGGCCTTGGAGGCGTTGTTTAGACTGCCACACACTCTCAACCAATACCGAGAACTTACAACGATTTAAACACCACAGAAAAACCTCATTTTCTAAGAAGAACTGTGTATAAACACATTTAAATAAAAAAATTATTTGTTGCAATCTTGTTTTAATTACATTTATTTTTTTATGGGTTTCTAACCATCTGCCTCCAACTTTAACCAACCCTCATAAGGGATAAAGTGGCAGGTAGTTTATTTTTGGAGAGAAGAAAAAAGAAAAAAAGGTCAATAACTGATCTATTGTTACCTTCGGGCAACTATTCTTATTTCTTCCAAGAATCTTATTTAACAAGACAAGAATTGATTTCTTTTTATAAACACAAAAAATGTAATAAAGTGAAGAATTTTGTATTAATAATAATAATCACATTCACAAATTTCATCATCGAAATTGCGATGAAGAATAATACATTTCAAGAATTTTCCAAAAACCCGCCCAAACGACTGTTTTAAAAAACACCACGGTGTTAATTGTTAATAAAAAGGCTAGAATCTTTGCGTACAAAGCGAAATTAACATTAACACTAACTGATGTGGTTAGATTTTCTTCGGTTTCGAAAAAATGTTCATTAAATTCCCCGATATCACCTTGAGCTTGAATGTCACCTATATCTTGAGTTTCTCTCGATTCGAAATTAATTCGATCCAAAATATCGCTTCCAATAACTTCGACTGAATTACTTCTATAAAAATTATTAATATCAATATTATTCGAATTCGAAGTTAACTGCATTGCGCTGTTTGGCGATAAAAAGGTAACCATTTTTTTCGAACTGTTATCATTTTGGAGTGGATTCGATCGCTTTTTCCTTAAAATAAACTTCGAACTAACAGACATCCGATCCAAACGATCGTATTCTTCGAAAATATCCGATTTCATATCGTCCGATGTTATTTTAGCATTTTTTTTAATTAAATCTAATCCCTTGTTTTCCACATCCAAACTTTCAATTGATGATAACGAACCTTGATTTGGTTCCATTGACACTATACCTGCGGTATCTTCGTGGAATGGGTTTTCTTCTTCGTACGTTTTTAAAAGAATGTTTTCGATTATTTCCGAACATGCTTTCGAAACAATTTCCCGTGATAAATAAACCAATTGGGTACCAAGACACCTTTCTTTCTGATTATTAGGCATTTTTTAAATTAATTGTGTGTAATACGCTAAAAATTTTGAATGAGTTTGACGTATTTTTTTTTAATTTGTCAATGAAATTTATAACAATAATAAAGGTTATAACTAAGGTTAATAAATCATAGAAATTTAAAAATCAAACATTTAGCAGAAGTCGCTTACGTATCCATAATGTATAAATTGTGACGCCTCGGCTTAGATACATTATATTGTACATCATTATTTGTGTTGTTGATATGAACCAATTTTCTGTTGATATGATATAGACCAACCAAAGTTGACTTCTCTGCCATATATTTAAGTAGTCTTCAATAGCTTTGTTCATTGGGTCTTCCCTACTCTGCACGACATGGCACTAGTATGACGTCAGTGCAATTTAGTGTAAATAAGTGCAAAGTTATGTCAACTGAGTGTAGGTTAGAAAAGTGTATAGCGTGATCGCAACGAACAGTTTTTTATCAAGAAAGTGTATAATAGTATTTGAAATGGACGAACAGGAGATTATCAGCAAAATAGTCGCGGAAAATGATGAAATCATCGCAGTAATAATAATCTTATAGCGTTGCCAAGCACGTGAGGGCAACCATAAGAAATTATTGCACTGAGGTAAAAATAAAATTATTTGGACATGGTGATATTCATAAATAATTGATTTTAATTTGATTTTTCCCCGTTGTAGTTACACTGAGCACCTGTTGAACTTAACCGAAAACAGGTTCAACAAAATCTGCACTAACTTGCACCGGTTGCATTGTACTGCGCATGGCCCAACGAACAGTATGACTACAACTGCACTAAACTACACTATCCCCAACGAACACACAACATCTGCACTAAACTGCTTAGTGCAAGTAGTGCAGTCCCTATGAACAAAGCTAATGTGTGTCTTCTAATTGTGTATTAACAGTTACAATGCCTCAACCTCAAATAGCCTGAATTTAATCAGGTGATATAGTACATTGTTATTAATGGCGCTGTATGTATTAGCCAATTGCAGGTTGATATGGTGTTATCATCTTTCATTAGTTGAAGTATTACAATGTGTGTTGTTCCATTGCATCAATTATGGCGCCTCGGCGTAACCAAGCAAAGTTAGTTTTCTTGTCATATATTTAGCCGAGGTCGTTTGCGGGCTAGGCACTTCAATGTGTGTCGTCCAATTGTGTTTTAACAGTTACAGCGCCTCAGCCTCAAACAGCCTAGGTTTTAACCGATGATATTGTACACTGTTATTCAGATCGCTGTAATGTATTAGCCAATTTCGGATTGATATGGTTTTTATTGTCATCTCACATTAATCGAGGCATTACTCGGCCGCAGGCGACTTCCACTTAAACAAAATAATGTCATACATCTTTATTCGTGTCGTTACTCTGTATTAGCCAACATGGTATTAATTGTAGCGCCTCGGCCGCAAGTCCACCTCGGCTCAATTAGGTGATATTAAGTCAATGATATCAAGTGTTGATATGGTACTAATTGTAGCAGCTCATTCTTTAAATCATAGTTTTGATTACGATGTTGTTCCGATTAGAACAACATTTGAGTGTTATCGTAAGAGTGGCAATAAATTATTTAAACACCAATACAATGTATTGTACAACATCCACTCATCAATTGAAAGTGAAGTGTGTGTGTGGGGTGGGTTGCACGTCCATATTACTTGGAACTTATTAACACTGACTTTCTATTTTCTTCATCATCATGATATTATTCATGAAGTAATAGATAGGAAACTAACCAACTTGTGTCATTAAAAACATAACAACGAGTATTTCTTATACAAGAAATTGATTTGATAGCGTCTTCGATCAGGTCTCGCAATCTCACTTTGCGTTATTCCTTTAAAGTGTCTCGTAATATATCGTGAGGTGCTGATTGTAATTGTCTTCAAGACGATTCAAGCCGATTCCCCTTGGTCAAAGCTTGTTCATTGATGTTGAATGAATATTCCTAAAAAAGAATAGTTATTTTGCATTGAAACATTACTTACTCTTTGTCTAACATAGTTTTGTTCGTTTCTTTATGGGAGTAACCATAGCAAAAAGAATCCAGCTACCTTAACATCCGGCATAAAGACAAATTATGATTTCGATTTCATCACTTCAAAGTAAAATTAAATTATTATTTATCGATGCTAAATCACTTTCACTTAAACAATCAACATCTTTTAAATATAATATTACTAATTTTACAACAATTTTAATTTTAAAAATGTAATTTTATTATAATTTTAATGGTCGTTCACTTATTAAAAGAGAAAATTCCGTAACAAAAAACAACTACAAACGTGTCTTCTGCTTTGGAGAGAGAGAAAAAGATAAAAAAGGAACGGCGGGTTCGAAATCGCGTGGGTGAGTGTAGCCCGTATAATCAGAAAGAACAAGTGAGACAATCTCCGTTTTTCCATCTCGTTTTAAACCCATACAACTTACTCGCTATCTTTATCTATCATTTCTTTCCATCTTTCACGATGTTCCGTCTTTCTCTTTTCCCCTTTGGTTTCCTGTTTTCTTTCTTTCTCCTTTTTTATGTCCTTGTTTTAATTTTTTTTCGTCGTCCTTTTCACAGAGATCCCCCGCCACGAGTCTGGCACGTTTATGCATCGTTTCAAAGTTTACTCCAGGATCCACGAGGTCTATAAAGTCATGCATTTAACCTAGTCGGCATATTTTTGTTTAGAAATAAAGAGATGAATTTAAATAAAATTATTGACGTTGTAATTTTTTGTTTCAGAGGGCGTTGAAGAAATAATTTAAAGAAAATGTTAGGAAGCCCTGCGGGGGCGGGTGGTCAGCAAAGGGGTAATCTTTGGCCCATTGCGCCCGCCTCCGTGTCCCCGGCTAATTTCACAACAGATGGTGAGTAGAAAGAAATTTTATAAATAGAAAAAGATTGAAAAAAAAATGTTTTGGAGGGGATTTCTCCTTAAGTCAGGTGTTCAAGAAGTTGCGTAACACCAAACCGGTGTGTGCCCCTTTTTCGGATAATTATTATTATTATCGAAACGAAATTGGAACTCAACTTTACGAGATAATGATATGCAAACGATTCTTTATCCTTTTCAAACTACTTTTATCTTTTAATTTTCAGGTTTTGGAAAATACGGGATTTATTCCTTATTTCCTGGGACGACTAATTTCGGGAACACCCTGTATTCACACAACACCATCGGCCGGTTTTCTTCCGGCACAATACAATCAACACCAACTACTTTTCACGCTACCCATAAAGGTAAATCTTACCCCAACATACTTTTTTTTTACTATTTTAAGCTTTATAACATCTAAAAAATATTACACAAATAAAAATAAAGTGCTGTTGGAATTTGAAGGCCGGTGGCTGTGTAGAAGGAGTTTCGAGCAGCACACCGCAACTAATGAAACAATTAAACGGTAATTTATTAATTGCTATTGTGTCGTAAAGACGGCTACGACGCCGATGACTACGAAGAAGAAGCAATCGGGCTTAGCGTGGTTTCTTCAATTTGGTAGTCACAAATAAAATTTTCGAACTCACCTAAAACTTCTTCGATAATACTTGATCCCAGTGAATTACAAAGGATTTTTTCGCAACATTCTCAGTGATTCAAGTAGAATTTCTCCAAAAAACTTTAAACTTTAGGGATGCCGAAACAGGTGGTGAAACGACGCTTTAACATGGCGGATGAGTGAAGTTAGTAATAGTTAAAAGAAAATAAAAATTCTTTATTTAAATTACATTTTATTTTGTTTGGGTAAAAAAAAACGAGTTTAAATAAAATTAAATCGAATTTTTTTAATAATTTATTCAAAAAATCATTTCATTAAAAATTAACAAGAAGATAGTTGCATAAATTTTTTTTAGAAATAAAGAAAGATTATTTATTGTTTCGTTTTAAATTTATTAATTTCAAATTTTTACGCAAATTTGATTAATAATTGATTGTTAAATTATAATTAATTTATAAAAGACTTTGATAGGAATGAAGTTAGTTAACACAACTAACTTAACCCATAATGAGTAATGACAAATCCATCAAAACAAACCATACAAACATAACCTAAAAATTGTTCAAACTTTTTTAATGCTTAAAGTGTTAATTATGAAGCGATTAAGGAGTTAAACCACACAAAAATGATAAACTCCGGTAAAACTCTTTATTTTATAACTTTTTTCTTCACGTTTAATTCGTTTTCTAAAAGTTTTTTAGATTAAAAAGAGTGATGATGATTCCCGTTAAATGATCAGGTTTTATTTTATTTACGCAGTTTTCTAAAGAAAATTTCTGGGTCAGGTCGCGTCACAGAACCTATTAAAAATCGTGCGATCAATTACCATCATCTGATTTGCATAGAGTAATTGCTTAGATTTTTTTTAACGGAATCGTGCAGAAACATGTTGAACGTGAGTGGGCTTGTTTTGTACACGGCCTTTTCCTCCCGGGAAATTTTAAATAATAATAGACTACGACTGTGTGGAAGTAATTATCTATGTGCTATTAACTTTTTCTTTTAATAATTTAGATGAGAAGTGGAGAAATTTATGAGTGTTTTTATATTCGAAAAAAAAATTACAGGATAACACTATTTCGAACTAACATTAGGTTGATTTTGATTTTTTTCTTCGTCATCTTCGACAGTTGTCGTTTTCGCGGTTTTTTCAATCCGCTTGGTTTCGTCGTAAAATTTTTTCCGTTGATCCTGAAATTCTTTGTGTTTATTTTCATCTTCTGCATCTACCACTAAACATAAAAAATTTAAATCAAATAAAACATTTTTATACAAGAACTACCATCGAAAATTTATTATATAACATTTTTACATTCCACATTTATTTGTTTTATTTTTTACTTGATCCAGGTTTTTCATCGTCATCATCATCATCATCAGCAGCTAATTTAGCTCTTTTAAATTCGTCGTAATGTTGCTTTCGTTTTGACTCGAAATCCTTTCGTTTTTGAATTTCCTCTTCGGCTTTATCGTCTTGTTCGCGTTTCATTAATGCTTTGGCTTTACCACCTTCCATTAATTTTTTAGCTACTTCCGTTGGATCCATAAATTCACCATCATTTTTGTTATATGGAGTTTTTGGTTCATTTATTTTCATATGACCATAATCTTTCCCTGATTTTGTAATTTATCTTTGTTTTGGTAGTTCTTGTTGAACATCAATTACATAGAGCGAGTTTGTATTTTACGATATCGTATGTTGAGCCGAGGCCGCTTGCCGCCGAGGCAGTAGGTGTTCTGTATCGGCTAATTTTATAAGCTGAGATCGCTTTAACATAAATGTGGCGCCTGGTCCGCAAGCGACCTCGGGTTAAGCAGGCGATATGGGCCATTGTTCGTTAAAGTTTTGCCGGGGTCGCTTGCGGCCGAGGCAGTAGGTGTTAAAAAGGATTGGGTTGGGTTGGGTGTTAATCAGTTTTTAATTGAGTTGACATGATGTAGCCCCTCGCCCGCAAGCGACCTCGGCTTAAGTAGGCGATATCGCCCATCGTTCGTAAAAGTTTTGCCGAGGTCGCTTGCGACCGAGGCAGTAGATGTTCTGTATCGGCTACTTTAAAACCCGAGACCGCTTTAACATAAATGTGGCGCCTCGCCCGTAAGCGACCGCGGCATACGCAGGCGATATCGCCTATTGTTCGTTAAAGTTTTGCCGAGGTCGCTTACTGCCGAGGCAGTAGATGTTAAACAGGAGTGGGTAGGATTAGGTGTTAACCGTTTCTTAATAGAGATGGCATAAATGTGGCGCCACGCCTGCAAGCGACTTCGGCTTAAGTAGACGGTATCACCCATTGTTCGTTAAAGTTTTTCCGAAGTCGCTTGCGGCCGAGGCAGTAGGTATTAAACAGAATTAGGTTGATATGGTCGCTTGCGGCCACCTTTGCTTAATTAGACGAAGTCTCACGACGAGTGCGCTTGCGATGGAGGCGGTATATTTCGCACACATTAACCCAAAATTGGTTAACGCATTGCCTCGGCCTAAATATTGTAGCACTACAGCTTAAATATGCTATATCTTACAATATTTACCATAAAGACAGCCGAGGCTGCTTGCGGCCGATGTGTTGCACTGATTATTGACTAGTTTTAAATATTAACCTCGTCTTAAGCAGATGACAGCGCATATTGTCTGTTATAACTAGAATTTGGTTGATATGGTTGGTCAAAAGTCCTTTATGTGTTGACTAATTTTATAGTGCTGTTGTGTTAATAGAAGCGCCTCGGCCGCTGGCGACCTTGACTTAAGGAGATGTTATAAGTTTAGCTCAAGTCGCATGCAGCCGAGGCAGAATGTGTTAATCAAAACGACAGGACAACAAAATTGAATTAACTCGCCCAATATTATTGACGGTTTAAAATAATTTAATATTACGTTTTTAATACCTGGCGGATGATACGTTTCCTTTATATTCGATTCGTCAAATTTCGCGTGCTTCGCTAACGCACGTTTAGAAGTAGATTTCGCTCCTTGAGTGTTGCTTTTAGAATCTTTTAAAATTTTCTTCTCTTCACTTGGTTTTTGCATCGTCTCATTAATTTTTGGTCCATTATTTAATAATTTTATTTGATTGTTTTAAATAATACGACGATTTGAGATTTAGGTTAAAACCGAAAATGAATGCAAAATCTTTTTTAAATACAACTTCGCCTCCGAGAATGTTAAAAGCAAAATACATTGATTTGTTTTGAGTTATTGGATCACTAAAATTTTTTTGTCAAATTTGACATTTCGCTTTTCAAAATTGTGTTTTTAGGGTGTTATTTTAATGAAATAAAATAATTTAAATTTGAAATAAACTTAGGAATTTGGTTGATGTTTAAGCAGGTATTTTTTTTGGGTGTGTCTACCTGGATTTATTTTAAGATTTTAAGGGTTGTATTTTTTTTTAGATTCAATATTCTCTGGATACACTTTGGGAGCGCCGACACCACCTCCCGGGTCCCCATACTCCCCTGTTCCCGTTGCCCAACTCGAATTGTTAACGAAAGGATTCAACTCCAACATAATCATCCAACAGCAACCTGATTTTAACCACCACCATCACCATTCGATTTCGCCGAAAAAATCAGCGGCAACTCTAACCGTCTCCGAAAAACGGCTTCAGCCGGCGGTAATCGAAGAAAAATGTTGCTCGCTGAAGCAGCAAAAACCGTGCGTGTGCAACGGTTCTTCTTCATCCCCGAAGACGATGATGTCGGGGAAATTCACCGAAAATCCCAGCGGATGTAGCAGGACGAATCCGGTCGATTGGGTTGCGGTTCAAATTAAAAAGGAACCGGGGACGCCGTGTCAAGTCCCGGAAGTCTCGACGAGCGTCTCTCCAATTGTTAAAATGGAGATTACCTCGCCTAATTGTCAATCGATTAAGACTACGGGGGAGATGCAAAGCGCTAGTTTATCTTCGATTGTTACAACAAATGGTGATTAAGATTTATTATTATTTAATTATGTATTTATTTATTTAAAGATGTTTATTTTAGATGTTTATTTATTTTAAGGTAACATTCCAGTTGGAATAGCCGTGGCAAGACAAAGGATACAACAAGAAGTTGTATCTTCACCATCATTACCACCGCAAGGTCTTCTCACTACAATCAATACCTCAACGCAGCAAATAAAAGAAATGGCTCGATTAACCGAAATCGGTAATTTTTTTTGATTCTGGTTTTTTGAAAGAATCAGAACAACCATCGTTATGTACTTATGCAGAACCATAAATGTGTATATATTTTTGTAGATACAAACGTCGCATCATCAGGTATGGCTGCGAGTGTTCCTAGCGGAGGCGTAACAGGAGGCGGCACGCTCCTGCAGTGTACGGATGATCGTGGCGCGGGTTTGGCTGCTTGGCCAGTAGGCGGGCCCCATGGTTCTACGTTGGCCACGCCAACACTGTGGCAGTACCCCGGTAAGACTCTCTGAAAAGCCCTGCCTATGTAGAAGGCCAACTTTCTTTCCTGGCAGCAATAGGCCATCGGTTTTCCTGCCGGACGCGCGGTAGTGATAGTTTTTTTAAGTTTTTCTTCTCTTCTACACCTTCTTCTTATTCCCTAGTACTCTATAACCACTACATAAGTACTAAATAAGTCTTTTATTTTTGCGCGAGTTTATTTAGTGACAAGTGTTGAAAAAAAAATCGTCGGAGTTTTTTTTATTGTTCTCCGATGTTGTTTTTTGTTGTTGTTGTTGTTGTTGTGGTTAAATGAATTTTTTTATTAACAATTCAAGTTCAAAGTTGGATCATCATGGCTTATTTATGCGCCGTCGTCACAGTGTGTGGTAGGTTCTCTTTTTATTCTTGTTAATTTTTTGTGTTTGGGCCGCAGGGCCGTAATCGAAAACTATCTAAGAATAGCAAGAAACCTTAGCCAACCCGGTGTGTTCCTTATCGCGTTCGAATTCTTATCTTATCATTACAAAACGGAAAAAATAAGCAAACACTGAATTATTCTTGTTAGGAAAAAATTTTTCAATCAAATTTACTTTCTAATATTTGAAAGACTCGATTCGCTAACCCCCATAAAGAATCGATTAACGTCCGAAAGTGACAGTGTTCCTAACCCGCAGCAATTTGGGTTGACATAGGACCAGTTTTATTTTGGAAATCGTTCACTGGACCAAATCTTACTTCTTCTTCTTCTTCTTATCTCGCGCGAAGAAGGCGCTCTCTATAAATAGGAGAAGCTTTTATACAGTCCGTTCTATAAATACCGACGGGTCGGGAAAATAAACAGAGCGCCGAACGAGGATGACGTATCAATCAGCGACGTACCGTAATCTTTATTATTACTTTTTTAAACTCAAATTAAAATCCTTATTTTTTTTTAAATAATTACCCGAAAATTTCGTTTCGTTAACATTTTTTTTGTGTGTGTGAGACGCGGCGGTTAAGAGGAAAAAGTGTGTCAGGGATACCAACCATAAGAAAATAACGGGGTACCACCGAGCGATGTTAAACGCGGTTACGTCACGGAAACAGCTGAGCCAACCTGACGAAAACAAAAAAAAGTAAATAAAAATGAGGCGAAAAAACTAAAAATAATGATACGAAAAAAAATAGAGCTCGAATCCGAAAAAAAGCTCGTTTTTTTGCGGAGATAACATCGCGTTTGCATGTAAAACGCCTCGACGCGTGTAATTAATTCTTACGTTGTGGTCTTTTTTTAAATAATAATAAAGGTACTCCGTGTGTTTCTGTTTCTAAAGAAACAAAGAGAAATTTTAATGTGTTGACCAAAATGGTTCAGATTTATTTTAGCCTGATTAGATTGTGTCAACAAAGAGGAAATTGATTTTCCTAACCCATTTTATAAACAATTAAGTATAATTTTTCAATATAAAGGTACAATTTAGTAGAACTCGACGCAGTGCAAGAACTCCAAAAACCAATTAAAAATCCGAATTACAATATTAATTGTCGTTTTAAGTTGCCGAGGCAGTATCTCAAAAACTTATAACCTATTACTTAATGGAGTGTAATTGAGTTCAAATACACATTAAAGTTGTTGTTGATACTGTTATTTCCTAGCCGAAGCAGTTCTGCTGCGGAAGCAGTGGCTCAAATACACGAAAAATGAACAGGAAGCCTTATTTTTCAATAAGAACGTATTGTTTAGAATTCGAGGCAGCTGCGTTTCCTTCTTAATTTAAAGTATATGAATCTAGAAAGACGTATAACTGAAATTTAATATAAATTGTTGAGTTAAGTGCCGAGGCAGTAGCACAAAATCTTTAAAATGAGATAAGCGTGGATCACACTAGGCTGCTTGCCAGCCGCTGCTGATCAGCGGCGGGCAATAGTACCAGCAAGCAGCGGCGGGCAACCCGGTCACACTACCTGTTACTACTCGTCGTTTCGTTTAGCCGCTTTCAGCAACCATGTCGTCTGTAGGTCCACGTAAACAATTAATTAAGCAGTTGTTAAGTGTGGGTTAACAGAACAGACATCGAACATAAACAAAGGACTACGTGCCACGTGCTGGTCAGACTGCACTGCTCGCTGATGGCAGCGGGTGCGAGTGAGTCACGTGACCTGCTAGGACAGAATAACCAGAAATGACACTGACGTCGATTCGTTTGATGTTGGCGGCATCCCGTTTTATGACCTCGATTTAAAATCCGCCATCTTATCGCGAGCAACCGTAGACGCGATGAACACACAATGAATGAGAGACACAACTTGTAGTACAACAATTGTAGCGCCTTGGCCGCAAGCACCCTCGACTTAATCAGGCCAAATCATAGATTTGCTAAGCTTAGCCAAGATCGTCTGTGGTCTGCTATGTTCTCCTATTAAGTCTCAGGATGGTACTAATTGAAAGGCCTCGTCGTTATTTTGTGCTGCTAGTCGCTGCTGCCTGGCTACTAAAATAGAGCATTTCCAATATCACTAGCTGCTGATAAATACTCGTCGGCTGACGGCGAATTTTATGCTCACACCAAGCTGATTAATGGCTGACAATAGCAGCTTCCACAACTCGGCTGGTAAGCAGCCTAGTGTGACCCGCGCTTTAGTAACATGTTTTTTTTCTATGAACATACTTGGAGCCCGAGGCAGTTAAACAGTTGAGATACTGGGGTATCCTTCAATTTAAATACACACTAAAACTGTTGTTGATACTAAAATAATAAATGTGTTGTTTTTTAGTCGAGGCACTGCTCCAAGGGAGTGGCCGAAATACTCGATAAATAAGCAGTAAATCTAATTTTTCAATAAGAACATAATATTTAGAAACCGAAACAGTTGAGTTTCCCATTTAATCTACAGTATGTAAGTCTAAAAGACGTTTTAAGTAAAATTTAATATTAATTGTGGTTTTAAGCTGCCGAGACAAAGTAGCTCAAAAAATTAGATAACAGTTTATTTTTTACCTCGAACATATCACTTGGAACACGAGGCAGATGAGCTGCTGAATTAATAGAGTGTGTCTGTATTGAGATAAACATTAAAACTACTATTTATGTTGTTAACTGTGTTATTTCCTAGCCGAAGTATCTTTGCTATTCAGCCTCATCTTTCACTCCCCTATATCTCAGTGATATTAACCGTTTGAGTCCCAAGCAGCGCTATGGTGCTCTTTAGATTTTGTGTCGAAAAATTCCAGTACATATCGAGTGCTGTGGACAACTGGCGGTGCTGTCATCGACTTATCGTGCTGCTTGTGATTAAGACGATGTGTTAAAGATTTACTATACTCAATATATCTTGCAGATAATCAGTTTGTTCGTATAACAGTTGCTAATTGATTGGAAACTCGTTTTATAGTCGCTCATATCAAATAATGTACTCGCATGTCAACAGCTTGCATTATTTGACATGTGCAAATGCAATTTAGAGATTGAAACCAGTCAAAACCCGTTTGACACTCAATTTGGCTATAAATTTTATTTTTTATTATTTCTAAGAGGAAGATTTAGTGTTTAATGTGTGTTATAATTGTATTATAATAAAAGTTTCTACATAATTTGATGTTTTTATATGTTAATTATTTTATTTCAGCTCCTTTACCGATGGAGCCAATCGTACCTATGTCGGTACCGATTCCCCCGGTTGGATTTCAATTAGTTAGGGATCCAACAACCGGCGGGCTTCTTCTATTACCAACGTCAGGTACTTGAGATAACTCTTTTTGTTTCATTTTAATAATAAAACATTAATTTTTGATTTGTAAGTTATAAACGGTAAACATATTTGACACCCCTTAATCAAAGGGGACGTGGGGGGTTGTGTGCTTGTACGCAGAGAGAGGGTGAGGGTTAGATTTTCCCCCACGTTATTCGACCTTCTCGTGACCATACGCGCCCTTGAAACGTTTCAGTATAAAATCATCATTTGAAACGAGTTAAACTAAAAATATAATTTCGAAATATTTTCTTTTTTTTCGTTTTAGAACCGCTTCAACAAGCCGTGGTGTGGCCAAGTTACACTCAGCCCTCATCCCATTTGCTTCTACCTCAATTACCACCTCCACCCTTACAATTATTAAGTTCAGCGAGTACTTCAGAGTTAAATAACTTCATGCAAACGAGTACAACTCTTCATCAACACACACAAACGCACAGCACGAGATTGGTTGCTGTTACAACTGATAGTAAAAGAAAAATACCATTGCCGTTACCGGCAACGACGTTGATAAAGATCGAAACTGATGCGACGGTTGATCACACGAAGACTCTTCAAGCTGTTAGCACTGTTGCAACAAACACAGCAACGGTTTTTACGGATCAAACGGCGGTTCAGCCGCTGCTAGCGGCTCATTTAATATATCAGCATCCAACGACTAATTTAATTTTAAGTCAAACACCGACTACGACTACAACTGTGCAACCAACACTAGAAACAACTTCTTGTCGGAGCCAAGCAACTTCTCCGGTTACTTGTTTAACACCGCCGCCGGAAAATACTCAACATCAATTGACGCATCATCAAAATCAACAGCAAGAGCATGAAGAGGAAACGACGCAAGTTCAAGATGCGAGTAATCAAACTGACACGGTTGAAGATGAAATTGATGAATGCGTGAAGAAAGTTAATGAAAATAATGGAGTAATGGAGGATAAATGTGATGATACAACAAGGAAGAAAGAAATTGTTGCTCCGATTTCTTTGTTGAATCAAATAAAAGAGAACAAAATGAATTTGATAAATGAGAGTGTTGATTTGAAACCATCTGATTTGAGAATAAAAGGTTTAATAAAAGAAGGGGAAGATGCAAAGTTGGTTGGTGAAGAGGAAAATGTAAAAAATTTGCCTTTAGATTTACAGGTTAAAGTAAATGTTGAATGTAACGAGGATGTTTCATCCGAGCAAACGAAACCTTTAGATTTTCGAATGAATTTTAAGAGTAATATCGAAGAAAACGAATCGAGTCAAAAATTAAGCGATGAAATTAGTGAGAAACCCGATACGACGGGTTTAGATTTGTTATCGAGTCTTGTTGATATCGAAAATCGAAGAAATATAGAAAATAATAATAATATAAAAGAAGTAGAAAAGAAAGTTGATGATAAATTTGGAGGATTAAACCTTTTATGCGCATTAGCCGAACAAAGAATACTGGAAGAAGTGAGCGAACAAAAACGGCGTCAAAGAGCGATCGAAAAATCGGAGAGGAAGAAAGAAAAAAGGAAAAGCCGCGGTAATCGAGACCCAGATGAACCGAAACACAAAAAATCTAAATATTACATAAACGAGAAAGGGGAAAAAATCAAAAAAATCAAAGACAAAATCGATAAGGAGAAAGATGATGTTAAAAATTGTAATTATTGTAATTTAAAAGATTTCCGAAGTTATAAATCGGAGGAAAAAGCGAAAAAATTCGTCGCTAGTAAAACGCAAACTTTATTTGAGAAAGGCGATTTTCCATGCATGAACGCGAACGAGCTTAATATGCGAAAAAAATTGGCCGATTTACAGCGAAAATATCGCGAGAAACAACAAGAATTGGTTAAGTTGAAATCGAAGAAGCACTCGAATCATCATAAAGAGTGTTCGAAGAAACATCATAAGTCGAGAAAGAAATGTAGCGATGACAAAATTAAAATTAACGATGAAAATAAGATTGGTGATGATAAAATCAGGGATAGATTATCCCCACCACCTCCTATTTTAGATAAAATCGATCACCATAACGAACAGCGAATAATAAATAATGATTTATTAAAACCGCCGACGCTTTGTGCCATAACAGACGAAAAAAATTATGAGAATATCCAAGATATTAATGAAAACAACAATAAGCGTTGTTTTACACCAGATTTAAGTGATTCTAGTCCGGAAAAGGCTTCGTCAAAAAAAAGGAAAGTTGGGAGGCCCAAAAAATTATTACCATCATCGAACTTATCGACAACGACGGAAACGTTGGTTGCTAAAAAGGCTAAAAAGTGTTATGCGATTGGATACCTTTTAGCGGCCAAGCAAAGATTACTTGAAAACAGTACGTTTTCCGACACCCCGCCGAGATTTATCGAAGAATCCAATGAAAACAAGAAGGAGAAGAAACAAAAAAAAGTGGAAAAATGCAAAATAAGGCCAAAATTAAAAGCTGAACCTACGATTAAGAGTTATCGAGAAGATGACGACGATGATGATGAAATTGAGGGGGATGATGATGAGGATGATGAGATTGGGGATGATGATGATAAAGATAAAGAGAATGATTATTTCGAAAAAGTTAAGGAGGAAAAGTTAAGTCAAGAAAGATGTGCTCAAAAGTTTAAAGATGAGAAATTTAAGGAGGAAAAGTTTAAACAAGATAAAGTTAAGCAAGGAATATTAAAAGAAGAAAGATTTAAGGAAGAAAAAGTTAAAGAAAAATTTAAGGGGGATAAGTTTAAGGAAAATAAATTTAGTGAAGATATAGTTAGAGATGACAAATTGAGTCAAGAAAAATTAAAACGAGATAAATTGAGTCAAGAAAAATTGAATCAAGAAAAACTGAATCACGAAAACATTGGTGAAAATCCTCAAGAAAGTGTAAAAAATGAAAAGAAAGAAATCGACGATCGTTGTCTATTAAAACCGGACGATTTGGATAAAAAGAGAGTTTTAACGGCGATGGGGGGATTATTCTATGCGGGAGAATTAAAAGCAATCGAACCGCCCGACGTTTACTCCATAACTTTGGACGGGGAGCGAGGAAATCGGCCCCACATCATGCCCAGAGAGGACATTTTAAGAGACGCGGTGAGTTCTTTGTAAATTTTTCGTAATCTTCACGAAAAATTCTCAAAAACAAGTCCAAACACGACGTAGTTATCTCAAAAAACAACTCGGATACAACTAAATTAAAGTTGACGTTGACAACCGGAAGTGAAGTTTTAAAAATAATACTTGTTTTAAAGGAAGTTTTATGGGGCTTTCAAATTTATCAAGATAAATTGTTTTAAAATTAATCGAAAAAGTTCAACTTCCGGTTGTCAATATCAACTTTAATTGTACGATTTCTTTATCTTTATTAAAAATTCAAACACGGTGGGGTTATCTTAAAAAGTAAGCGAGATATTAATACTGTAAATTCGTTGCCAACTTCATGTTTCTAAATATTTATTCATAATTAATTGTAACTTTGTTTTTTTGAGATAGATTAATCATGTTTAGACGTATTTTAAAAGCTTTTCCCCACAAAATTTCCTTTAAAACAAGTACAAACACGTCATATTTATGTTTAAAATTAATGTCACTTCCGGTTGTCGACGTCAATTTTGATTTGGTTGTATTTTTGTCATTTTTTGAGATAAAGTAATCATGTTTGGATTTATTTTAAAAGTTTTTTAATGAAAATTAAAAAAGTTATAAAATTAAAGTTGACGTTTATAACCGGAAATTGAACGTTTTCGGTTAATTGTAAAGAATTTTTTAAATTTCTCATTAATGTCTTGATAAATGTGAAATCCCCACAAAATTTCCTTTAAAACAAGAACAAACACGTCATATTTATGTTTAAAATTAATGTCACTTCCGGTTGTCAACGTCAATTTTAATTTTGTTGTATCTTTGTCATTTTTTGAGATAAATTAATCAAGTTTGGATTTGTTTTAAAGGATTTTTAATGAAGATTAAGAAAATTAGATATTTCAATCGACATTGACAACCGGAAGCACCTTTTAATTATGATGTTTTTTAAATATTTTTTTCAACTTTAGATTTTAGAAGTTCATCCAAGAAACGAAGAAGAATTAACGGTCGGAACAAGAGTAGTGGCTTATTGGAGTCAAAAATATCGTTGTCTCTACCCCGGAAGTGTGGCAGAACCCGATTCGCCAACCTCAAAATTTATTTCCGTCGATTTTGACGATGGCGATAACGGAAAAATTCCATTGAAAGATATCCGATTACTCCCTCCGGATTATCCCTTCATGGAATACGACCCAAATCCTTTATCGAGCTTAAGTAAGCGTAAAAGAAGAACATCAACAACGGAAGATTCGAGCAGAAAGAATTCGACCAACTCCACCAACACCGAATCAACGATTCAGGATCATTACGAAATACAGGAGAGTCACCAAACGGATTCGTCGACGTTTAATAATGTTAATAATGGTAAGGATAAAAAGAAAATGAAGAAGAAGAAGAGGGAAAAGTTAAGGAGGGAGTTGGAAAACCAAGAGATTAAAAAGAAGAAACGAAAGCATCGGTGTACTGAGGAAAATTGTCAACATAAAAATAGAAAGCACAAGAAACATAAGAAACACAAGAAGCATCATCATAAAGAAGAGAAAAGCGATGATAAAAATATTGAAATAATCAAAATTAATAGTGACCAAATCGATTTCGATTCGAAGAAAAGTCTCGAAAAAATTGATCCGAAAGAGATTAATCAAGAAAAAGATGTTAATGACGAAGACGATTTTAATGAAGAATTTGAAGACGAAGAAGATGATGTGATTGGAAATCCCGAAGATGAAGTTACCATGGAAGATATCGAGGATACTTTGGATGAAAGGCAGCGGGGATTTCGAAATAGACAAGCATCGTGTGAAAGTCGAAGTAAAATGTCCGCCTTTTTACCCGATAGTAATTTGTGGAGTTGGTTGGGCGAAGGAAGAACGTATAAGTTCCGTGGGAAAAAGAAGATTCATTATAAATCCATTCAACGAGGGAAAGAAGTCATTACGGTAAACAATTAAAAGGAAAAAAATAAAAATAAATTAATTTCGTCGATTTTAGCTTGGAGATGCAGCAGTTTTCTTATCGACCGGAAGTCCAGATCGACCCTATATTGGAATCATCGAGAAACTTTGGGAGATTTGTGGTAACATGAAGAGCCGTGTTCGATGGTATTATCACCCTGAAGAGGCAACCGGATATGATATAAAGTTCCAAATTCCCGTAAGAATAAATTTATTTTAATTATAACATTTTAATTATTTAATTTAATTCATTTTAGGGCGCTTTATTAGAATCGAATCACCAAGATGAGAACGATGTCCAAACGATTTGTAGGAAATGTGATGTTTTGCAATTAGATCAGTTCCAAAAACGTCTTAATCACGATAATGAGCTTTATGCGAAAGTTTATGAGAACCAAGATTTGTATTATTTAGCCGGTTACTACGATCCGAGTCTTGTTCAGTTAACCGTTGCTGAAAATACTCCCATCGTTAAATGTTTGGCATTGAAAGATGCCCAAAAGTAATGATTAAATCAGCAATAATGACTTAAAAGAGTATCGAAATAGATATTAGAGGTGGTGATTAAAAATATTCGTACTATAAGGTGATTGAATAAGGTGCTAATAATACTATTTGTAAAAAAAAATTTAAAAAGGGGCAACAAAGATTGTTTTTATTTCCTTGTTGATTTGCGAGCAATATTATTAAGATTACAGTATTTTTTTTTTTTAATCTGAGGAATATCTTTAAGGAAAAAGACCTCGAGGCTCTCTCGTTATTTATAAATTTTGTTGTAAATACCAACTTAGATTTATAATAAATTTTTGTGGTTAATTTGTTAAAAAACTGCTTCATTGTTGGTAGTTTTAAGAAAAAGGTGACCAACCCAAATTGAAACAGTACCATTTTCTTCGATTTTATTATGTTTCGTTGGTTGGTCCCTTTTAGGTCCACTAAGTGTATATTATACAAAAAAAAAACAACTATAAACCACCTAAATAATCATAAAAATTATAACCTAAAAAATATATTTTGATAGAATATTTCGATGAATTCAATGTAAAAACGTTTTACGGTTAATAGAGCGGTCATTTTTCGGTCTAATCGTAACGAAATCAATGTAATTTTATAAGGGTATCCATTTTTGAAGAAAAATACAATCGTATAAGGTCAATCAAGAAAAAATTATTTGGAGCAAAACTAACCTAAAAAAAAAAAGAAATTTGTCCCAAAACACAAATTTTGCAACGTTTGGACTGAAATGGGTGCCTCAAAGACTTAAAACAACATTTTTAATCAAATTAAATTAGTAGACTAAAAATGACTTACTATTAAAAGCCGAAAACTGACATAAAAATAATTATTAATTACGATTAAAACAATTCCTTTGTAAATACAAAGATTAAAGGGAGGGGAATTTAATTTTATTAATGACACAATAAACGTGCAATTTAATTTGTACTTAGTACTTAAAAAGAAAATAATTTCTCGCTTTACTTTTACAAATTAGTATTTCTTTTCTATTGTATACTTAATACGCTTAATAAGAGAAGTAGAACGTAACTTAGTACGTAGGTGCTACAATTTTTTAAATCGCTGTGAATATAAATCTAGAAATAAATATAAATTTAGAGTACTATATACATTGTAGGATAGAGAACTTAAAAACTCTTTAAATACAGAACGTAGTACAAACGGATCTGAGAAATTTAATTTTACTAAAAATAAACCGGAATCACTTTTATTGACGAAAAAATGAAAATTAATACAGATACCTATACCTCAAAAAAAATTATAATAAATATTTATTGTGTAAAGAGTAACGAATATTTTTGCAAAATCGGTGAAAAAGACCATGTTTCCGAGTATAACGTGACAATAGTTATAGGGAGTAGGATTTTAAATGGATCATAAAATGATTGATTAAGAAAGATTGCAAAAAACAGGGTTCTTTTTTAATCGTATCCACATTTTTGGCTACATGTACACGTATTAGTTAATTATTACTTAAAGAAACTCTAACGATTTATTGTAAATAATTTTTTTAATAATATTAAGGCATGTAAATAGCATTTTATGATTATAATCTTATATTGAAAAGAATTATTGTTTATTTTGGTGCACTTACGCATTAACAAACAAAAACATAACCTCAAAATCAAACCAACAAAAATAAACCAAATTATTTCTTTATTATTTCAAATTAGTCAATACTGAAGTGATTAGTGTTGAACACTAAAACGTTTTAAATAATTTACTTGTTTAAATAATTTTTGATTTAACCATAAACCAGTTGCTAAGCATTTTAAAACAATTGTTTACTTAGATACAAACAGTAGCCATTTAAGTGACGCTATAAAAGTGTTGGTGAATTTATGGGGAAAAATGAAGTTTTATAGTGTTAAATCGGACCAAAAAAGTAAGTTTATTTAATTAATACTAAAATAACATGCACCTATAAAGTTGCAGCTATTTATTTATATATTTAATATCAAAAAAAATTTATGTATATTAATTTATATTCAAAGTTGGTGGTTCTGATTTTATATTTAATTTTGTTTAGGTTGGTACTAAAAAAATTGAACATCATTGTTGTTAAAAGAATTTAATTATAACAGTTTATTTATAAATTAATACTTATTTATTGATTAATCAAATTAATAAATAAGCAGGGATAAAGCGGAAAATCAACAGGTTATGAATCTCTTTGTAGAGGATGAAAAGAAAAGTGGTACATACACAAAATAAGAAAAGTGAGGTTACGTAATTATTTTATTTTAACGTTATTAGTTATTACATCAAATAATGCCCATGCAAAAATCTGCGTACAGAGTAAAGTGACTAGTGTAAACAATACCTAGTTTATAAGTCATGTATGCATTCCAGTTTTAATAACAAAACAGTTAATTTCAATTGCATTAGTAGAGAATTGGAAGCTAAAAGTTAGAATGGAGATGAAAGGAAAAGAAATTGAAGTAAGAGAAAGAAAGATTATTGTAAAGCTATGGAAAGAGGGAAAGACTCTTCAAAAAATAGAACAAACTGTAGACAGATTCCTCCATTCAGAGCATCTATTCTAACATACTGAGAGGAGCGAAGCAATGTGCAACAGGCACGGAAAGAACCTAGGTTGACAGCAACAAAAATAGCAGAAAATGTACAATCAGCAAAGATATGGTGAGAAGAATATTATCAAAGGCCAACTACCACAGTCATGTTGCATGAAAAAAACCTTTGCTAAAGAACGCCTAAATAAACCTATAGAGTTCTGGGGGAAGATTCTTTTCACAGATGAGAGTAAATTTTGCATCTTCAGCATTAAAGGCAAACAACTTGTGTGGAGAATATGCTACCGCCTTTGATCCTTAAAACTTAAAAGCTACCATAAAACATGGAGGTGGTGGAATGATGGTTTGGGGTGTATGTGCGCCAAAGGAGTAGGAAAATTTGCGTTTATAACATCCACAATGAACCATAAACTACACCGAGTGGTCCTTTTAGCTGTGCGTCTCTTAAGATGGCTAAATCTGAATGTTTCTAGTTCTAGGTCCAATGTTAGTTCTAGTGACAGTGGTAGATAGCCCTAGTTAGCATAAGATATCACTATGTTGCATATTTTTATTGCACTAAAACTAGAACTAACACTAAAACTAGAAACATTCTTCAAACAGTCTTCAGACGAACGGCTAAATCCGATACTTTCTAGTTCTAGGTCTAGTGTTAGTTCTAGTTTTGCACGCTAGTTAGTTGCTAGTTTAGTTTTAGGTTAGTACAATCCATGCCGAAACGTTTAAGGGAGGTCATTAAACATAAGGGTTATCCGACGTCTTTCTAATATATTTTACATACAGAATAAATATAAGTTGATTAAAGCATTCTAAGTTCGTTGTACGCAGACTTCTGCTGCTGAGTGTATGTAATGATATGAAAATGCAAATAATGTCGGATCCAATTGTTATTATTACCTATTTACATTCTTTTTTAAAATATAAACACGTTCCGAGCCATTTAAAATTTCTTGTATCTCCGAGAATGCTTTACCTTTCGTTTCGGGCAGTAAAAAGTATACGAAAATGGCGCCTAAAAGGCAAATAGTCGCGAAAAACCAAAACATGCTATAAACCCCCCACACATTACTCAGCGGTTTAAAAAGATTTGAAACCATAAAAGCCAAAAAACCACCGTAAATCGTCGAAATGGATACCGCAGCGCCTTTTATATTGGTCGGAAAAAATTCTCCAACGAAAAGATACGGTAAAGTTGAAATTCCCAAAGGATTCATAACCAAATACAAAGAAATTCCCGTTGTTGGTATCCAATTAATAGGTGTTGTGTCGATTTTCAAATAATCTTGAATGAAAAAATACGCTCCTTCGCCGATTAATGCGAACGCTGATCCTAAAGCTGATAATATAAATAGAGGTCTTCGCCCGATTTTATCAACTAATAATCCAGCTATGATAACTAGAATTAATTAAGATTAATCTTTTTTTCGATATGGGATAAAAATGTTTTATGAAATACTTGCTGGTAATTGGATCGATCCGAAAATCACGCTTGAAATTTCCGGGGATGTTTTGCTATGTGCTAACTCAATTATCCTTTGCATATAAGCTTCAACAGCGGTACAACCACTTAATTGTTGAATGGTTTTGATTCCTAAAATTTCAAATTTAATTTTAAAAAAATTAAAATTTATTTTAATTACCTCCGATTAAAACACTACTTCTTCGATATTGCCGATTAAACAAGCACTCCCCAATAGTGGTTTTATTCATCATATCTTTTTCGACGGTGTTTTTGATGGCGTTTACTCGATTTTCAAGGATTTCCTCATCGATGCCATCTTTGTATAAATGCTCGATTTGTTTCCTCATTTCCGGATACATCCCTTTCCGGGCAAAATAATACGGAGATTCCGGCATGAAAAAAGCGCCGAAAAAGAATAGGATTGGAACGAGGGAACAAGACAAACCAAGGGATTTATATGAAATATAAGGCCCCGCGGCTAAAACGTACAAAGATCCCAAGATTTTTATTAAAGCCAAAAGAGTCGTTAATTGCCCCCTTATATCTTCATCCGCAATTTCAGCGCAATAAATTGTTCCGCACTAAATTAATTAATTTGATTTAATCAATTTAAATAAAATGATGTAATCTTACAAGAATACTGATTCCTGTTGCTGCCCCAGCGAAAATTCTCGCTAAGTACAAAATTTCGATTCTTTTTCCAAAAGCGATTAATAACCAGGCGAGTATTATTAAAGTTGCTGTATAAACCATGGTTTTTTTTCTACCCAAAGATTCCGTGGCGTAACCCCCGATTACACATGATAAAGTTGCTGATAATAAAAAGATTGAGACGACCCAAGCGCCTTCTTCCTATAAAAAAAGGATTTTTAAAAAGATGATGTTAAACAATTTTTTTTACATTTTACATCGGAAATTGGTCTTCCTAAAGGGGAATGATTTGATTGTAATTTCGATAAAGCCGGGGAAGCCCAAGAAGAAAACATTCCGCAAGCACCAACCGGTAAAGAAGCTAAAGAAATCGTTTTGAATCGTTTTTCTTTTTGGTTATGTATGAACATTTTTACCACACATTGCAAATAAATACTGCTTATATCTTACATTGGTACATTTCGAGAACATCTTAATATATCACACATTGTATATAACAATTTTCTCGATTCATTTTAAAAATTATTTTTTTTTTACCGTCAAAATGACAGATTCAAAGTGACAAATAATTATATATTATAAATTTGATGTAAATAATTAACTAAATTAACTTCAATAATTGCGTTTAATGCGGAGATTTTAAAATTTTCAATGTAGGTTAAAGTAACAAAAGAGACAGCTGAAAATTCGACAGAATATCGTGCCATCTATTGCTAGACTTAAACATTAGAGTAGTGAGAAGTTGACTACGAAAAGAATTAGAAAAATTCAATGACAGAAGAGAGTTAGAAAGAGTAATGAGACTAACACTAGAACTAGAAACACTTCGTTTAGACGGCTGGTAGGTGGTAGGTAGCGTTAGTTAACATAAAATATCACTATGTTGCATATTTTTATTGAACTAAAACTAGAACTAACACTAGACCTAGAACTAGAATCATTCGGGTTTAATCGCAATTAGTTTTAGTTGACATTTTAATGACACTTTACTTCAAACGTCAATGTGACATAAATTTATTTCAAAACAATTTCCTGTTAATGTTACCAACCTAAAACAATTTGACACTATATACACATTATTAGGCTTGTTTGATATTTTTTATAAGAATTTAGTTTAAAATATTCAAACTAAAAGTTATTAAATATATTAAATTGTTGATATCAACAAAATGAATTAAGAAAATTACAAATTTATTAATTAAAATAGTTTAACTGAGATTCTCGTCTTTGTTATTATTTTTGGTTCCATTCTTTTTGTTGGAAATAATCGCTTGGATTTCTTGGAAATTTTTTCCTTTCGTTTCCGGTAAGAAAATAAATATGAATAAACACCCAGCTACGCAAATCCCGCAAAAAATATAAAAAACCGTGTAAATTCCGATCGCGTTACTGAGAGGTTTAAAAAATTTCGAAACTAAAAACGATGTTACTCCGCCGTAAAAGGTGGCGAGACCAACGGCAGGTGCTTTAATATTTGTTGGGAAGAGTTCTCCGAGTAATACGTATGGTAAGGTCATTATCCCAATGGGGTTAGATATCCAAAACAGTGCTAAACCGGCAGTTGGGATCCAACCAATTCCTGAAGTACTCTTTTCTAAGTAATCTTTAATTAAAAAATAAGTTCCTTCCCCAAATAAAGCGATTCCACAACCGATTGTTGATGTTATAAATAAAGGCTTCCTCCCTAATTTATCAACTAAAATCCCAGAAAGATACACAGCGGGAAGTTGGATACACCCAATGATAATTGATGCAATTTCAGGCTCAATTCCACTGTTTGAAGATTCGATAATCGGTTGGATATAAGCCTCTAGAGCTGTGTTTCCATTAAATTGTTGCAAAGATTTAATTCCAAATAAAAGAAATATCGTAAATCTATACTCCTTTTTCGTTAATAACTCTTTTAGACTCCCCTTATTTTTCATATCCTCTTCAATCGTGCGCTCTATGTATTCCAAACGATCCTCCAAAAACTTTTCCGTTACATTTTTCTTCGATAACCTTAATAAACTTCTTTTAGCTTCCTCTTTATTCCCACTTTTTATATAATAAAACGGAGATTCCGGCATAAAAAAGAACGTGCAGAACGAAATTAAAGGAACGCACGCACAAATGATAAGTAGGGCTAAATAAGAAATGTAAGGACCGGCTACTAAAACTATTATCGTTCCCATCGCTTTTAATAACATGAAATAAGTTCCCGTTTTTCCACGGATATCTTCTTCGGATATTTCAGCGATATAAATAACTAAGGCTGGGATACAACAACCCATCGCAACTCCAGCAACGGCTCGTCCAATAATTAACATTGCAACGGAATTTGCAAACATTAATAATAACCAGTTTAAAAAGGCGATGAATGTGGTGATTAAAAGGGTTTTTTTACGCCCTAAATGATCTACACTCCACCCGGTTAAAATTGCAGCGGGGATCGATGATAAAAAAAGTGTCCCCACCATCCAAGAACCATCCTCCTACAACAAAATAATAATTAATTTAATTTTTTTTATGTTTTAATTCTTACATCTGATATTGGGTACCCAATTGGAGAATTTTCCGATTGTAATTTAGGTAAAGTCGGAGATGGCCAAGCCACCATCATCCCAATCGAAGTTCCTCCTAAAGCAGCTACACAAAAAATTAATTATATGAATTATTTTAATATATAAACAAATTTACCTGAAACTGAAGCCGCATATTGCATATATCTCGTATTTTCAAAATTAATTTTCATTTTGATTCGATTTTTTATCTCACATGCATTGTTGAAATGAAGCGTTACAATTAAAATGTTTCGATTTATATAGTCGTTGTAAATCTTCGATTTTTGATAAGTAAATAAAAGAAAGAGGTATAATTCACTCAATCGGGGATTGTATAAGTCCCACTTCAAGATAAAAAAAATAGTGCAATAAGAAAGTGTTTTTTTGCAAGATAACGATTTTAATAAATAATCAAGTTATTTCTAGTATACATTTTATCTTTATTTAAAAAAAATTAGGTACGTAAATTAATCGAGTATGTTTTTAAGTGATAAACATTACATTTAAATTTTTGAAATTCTTGATTAAATTGATAATTCAATAAAATTTCTCATAAATCTCGGGAAAAAAACTGATTGATTAACGATTTGACAATAAAATTGATAAAACAGATCCTATATGCGAAAAAAAAGATTTTTTAATTAAGATTTTTTTTTATTTACTTTAGTACTCACCTTATTTTTTATTTATCTGGCCTTCATCGTCTACACCTACACGTTATAGATGACCTTATTTAATGTAAACATTCTTTATTATGTAGTTTATTTACTATTTTGGTTTTTATTGACAATTTTAGTTTTTTATCCATAGTTTTAGTGCAATAAAGATATGCAACGTAGTGATATCTTATGCTAACTAGCGCTATCTAGCACTGTCACTAGAACTAACATTAGACCTAGAACTTGAAACATTCGGGTTTAGCCAAACGTCTCTAAAGACGGCTAACCCCGAATGATCCATGAGGTCCAGTGTTAGTTCTAGTATTACACTATCACTAGAACTAACACAAGACTTAGAACTAGAATCATTCGGGTTTAGCCGTCTTGAGAGACGTGGGGCTAAACCCGAATGTTTCTAGTTCTAGGTTCAGTGTTAGTTCTAGTGATGTTGCTAGGCGTTAGTTAGTTCTAGATATCATTAGGTTGCTCAACAAAAATTGAACTAACACTACAACTAATACTATTCCTACAACTATAAAGTTTTTTCTGATTCACTTCTCAATACTTATTAAATTCCCTTTTTTTTAGGAAAAAGCCATGGAAACGAGATGTAATAACATTTTTGTTTAAAAGTCAAAAATTTCTTGACATTATCTTTCTTTTGACGCATGTTCTTTTCGCGCCAAATTCATCAGTTCATCGCGATGGCAAACGACGAGAAAGATTTTACGTAAAAGAAAATTAAGCGAAATGTACTCATCAGTTCGAGCGTCCCACGCCAATTTCAAAAGTAGAAGAAGAAAATATCCCATTTCGTTTCGACCAGAACGTCCCAACGGAAGATTTAAATTTAGAAATTTTTGTGCATGTTTTCGCAAGAAAAATGAATTGGAAAAGAAATTTAATAGTAAAGCAAATTTAAATTCGGAGAAGTTTGACAAAGAAAAATTAGAAGACGATATTGCGCCGATTTTAAAAGAGATAACCTCAAAATTTTTCGAGAAAGAATTTAATAAGTATTTCGATAAGAATAAAGAAAATCCTGAGGAGTGTTTGAGTACAACGACGTTTTTAAGCACGAGTTTTTTTCAACTTTCGAGGCCGATTAAATTGGATGCTTACCCGATTAGTTTAAATTATCAAAAAAAAAGTTTTAATCGAGATAAAGGAACGCAATATTTAAGCGCCACGAGTTTACAAAGTGGAGTTGAGGATAAATTATTTACTGATATGAAAGATGAAACAACACAAACTGATGGGAATAAATTTAATTTCTCGGATAAAATCACCCAATATTCCGATAACTTTCGATGCAACAAAGAAACGAACACTTCGAATATATCCCAAAAATCAACAACGATTTTATTCGCAAATCAAAGTAAAATGTTTGAAAGTACCGATGATACTTTAAAGGAAGACGAAGTTGATGAAACAAGGAAGAAAAGATCGGTTAGAATAAATCTGGGTACAGAAAAAAGAAGCTGTTGTACGAGTACTAGCGATACTTGTATTTACGAGGAGATTCAAAGTAAATTTTTCGAGTGGTTAGAGTTTGTTAGGAAGAATAAAAATCAGGGGGATACTCAATCGAAAATTCCTTCGATCTTAATTAAACCCAAAAATGATGATACTTTAAAAACGAAACCTTCAATTTACAAATTAAAAGTGAAAGCAACCAAAAAAGTGGATGAAACAGAAGAGCGAAAAGAAGCTTTATCTAAAGTTGCCGAATTTTTAACATCGGATAACCCGATTTTAACCGAAGATATCCAAAAATCCTTAAATAAATTATCGGGAAATCGAGAATTATCCGATAAACAACGATATCCCACTTTTATAGGGACCGATATAAAAGTTAACAACGAAACAAATTCCGTTCTAGACGATGTTAAGAAAAAAAGAGTTCCCAAAATAATTATTGGGAAAAAAAAATTAAAAAATCAAACTAACGAGGAGGTTGAGGAAGATTCCATCAAAAAGGTTGACTTTGAAATTGATGCGATTACTTCGAAGATGGAGAAATATTTGGAGGTGCTTTTGCATGATGATCAAAGCTCTTTGGGGTCAGATTCGGTTGTTGAATCACCCGAAGAGCTGCAAAGAATGGAATTGTGCCCGCTGGAGAATCAAAGTGTTTGTAAAAGCACCCCGGTGACTCTATTACATCCTTTATTGCATAATATTCATATGAAAACTTTAAATAAAAAAGATTCGAATTTAGGGAAAGATTCAAAAAAAATTATAAATAAAGTTAAATCGGAAGAAAAAAAGGAATTTAAATTCGGAAATTTATTCAAAAAAAAAGTTGAAATAACAGAACCTAAACCAACAACAAATCAAACTTTTAATATATTAAACGTGTCTACTAAAGACCGTGGAACTTGTTACCCCAAAAATGAGTTGGCCGATATCTCAACGATGGCGGGGAATTCTTTATTTATCTCCGTTGATAAATCGACGAATACGATTAATGAGAAAAATCAATCGATGGGTGTTCAAACGATAAATAACGTAAGAAATAAGAAGTTATTAGCAGTCTCAAAAAGGAATACGTTTCATATTGGAGTCCAAACGAATTTGGACGACTTAGATCAAGATGATCGTGATTTCGATGATAACGAAAGGATTTTGTATGCGAGAGAACGAAAAGTGAGTACGTATCAAAAAAGAATTAACTTAAAGGATTACGTTGTGTAGTTCTTACCACGAAACACGCGAATGACTCATCGCTTAAAACTATCTTATTTATAATACATTGTATCCGTAAAATTATATCCTCACTCCCCCGAGGTCTTCGTATTGATGTATCAAATTTAGCGCCTCGCTCTCAAACGTCCTCGGCGGTTTGAAAGATATTTGTTTGAGAAGACATTTACTTCTTATGAGAGACTTGTATCTGAACAAAGGTAAAAAAAAAACGATTTTGCTTCAAATCGTTTGCTGGCGAGGCGCTGGATTTAATGTATCAACGCGAAATAGTCAGCTTTGAGAGTCTCTTGCGCCTCTTCCTCGATGAGTTATCCACGTATCTCGTGGTAAGAAGGCGTGTGATTAAAAAGAAAAATTTTAAAGGTTATTTTATTTTGTTTTAGATGAATTACACCAAAGAAAAGTAAAAAAATATTTTTTTAAAGCTAAAAAAGTTGTCACGGAGTTATTAAACAAAGGAAAATATTCAAACAGTTGGAGTAACACCGAAGAAATTGACGAAGAAGATTCCAACTCAATCGATAACTTAAATATCCCTTTAAAAGTGCAGTTTTCTAACGTCGTAATCGAGGGTGATGCTAAAGACTCAACGACAAAAATAATAAACCTCCCCAAAGAAAATTCAGACATTGATGATGATAATGATGATGATTTTAGTGATGATGAAGTTTTTAAGAAACAAACGGTTTTATCGCTTTACACGTGGAGTTTCAGCAACAAAGATGAAGATCGTTTTTTAAAAAATGAAAAAAAATCTTTTGAGTCAACCTATTTAGGGGGTGGGGATAATAATTTCTTTTTGTCGCCCCCAAAAAATTATTTCAATCGATTAATAACTTACCCCGTTATTACCGAGAACGTAAACAAACATCAAAGTGTGTTGAACGTTTCACCTGGAAAAGAAAAAGTTAAAATAATCAGCTCGAAAATTAAAAAGAAGAAAATTGCTAAAAAGAAAAAAAATAATGAATCAAAAAGAATTAAAAAACCGGTTTCAAAAAAAGCCCAACGAAACAGTCCAAAAGAGTTGTTTCAACCCAAATTGATCCAAGAAAAAGTTAACAATGACATCTCTATTTACAAAGTTGATAACTACATTCAATTTAGAAGTTCGTCATCAATTGTTGATCAAGAATTCTTGGAATTAAAACGTTCCGAACAAAAACTTAAAGATGAAGTTAAAACCCCGGTTAAAATTGAGGTTACAAAAAGTATAAAAGATGAGTTAATTAATGATCGCACCTTAAAAGGGGAATTGATCAGCACTTTCCACCCAATTGGACCCGACGATATTAAATTAATCGAAAAAGAATCCGACAAAAGCATTAACGATGAAAGCCTTATATTAACTTTAAAAAAGAATTTATTAACTTCACCTCAAAACAAAAGCGAAATTAAAGAAGACGAGTTATCGTTAGTAAATAGTGACATCTTTGGTGATCTGCCTTCCGATATAGTTGATGAGATTCTCGATGAACTCGGCGCGTTATCCGGAGATTACCCTTTAATACATCACGTTGAAGAACCTACACAAGACTTTAATAATGGTAATGATGGTGAATTGGAGGGGAAACGATCATGGGGACAATTAGCCGATCGTTACAAAAAAATGTTTTTGAGAAAGAAAAAAGCAAAATCAAAAAGCAAATTGAATTTGGTTAATTGTTGTAAACGTCCTAAAAAGAAGAAAGAAATTAAAATCAAAGAAGCACCCAAAAAGAAAATTTTCCTTGATAAAAAACAAGCTAAATCAAAAAGGAAATGGTATCATTTTTGGAAACCCCCCGAAATACGTCAAGACGTTGAGGACTCTTTAGATCTTATCGAAGAGGAGAAACCGTATCCTTTTGAGAAAAACAATTTTGAACCAGTTTTAATTTCTGGGGATTTAGTTGGAAAAACAAAGTAAGTAACAAAGTAACCTAAATTAATGACGTTAGATTAATTCTAATTTATTATTTTTTTTAGAGTTATAACTAAACCTTTACCAAGAATAACGCGGGCTTTCCCAAAAATCAAAGAAATCGGAAAATCCCCCGAAGATCTTTTATTAACATCAAGCGTTCTCCTAAAATTAACCCCTCAACGAGAACAAATCGAAAAATTTAACCTACAATTAGCTTATGGAGGGACCCCATCAACCCGACACACCCTTTCTTTACCCAAAAATACGAACCAACACATCTACAATCTCCAACAAATCCTTCCGGGTCGTAATTCGTTGGTTTTGGTTCATCAAGGTTCCCCATCGTTGAAGAGCAGCACAATTACAATTTCGGAAAGACTTCAAATCACAAGCGACTCCGATTCAACCGATGATTATTTATTTCGAGCACCCCCAAGACTCCCGAAAAGTAATCTCGATGAATTGGAAATAATTCGCCCCAAAACGGTTTATTTAGTAAGCGGGTTAAGGCAACATATAAGCGATGAGATGTTAATGACGCTTTTAAGAACGTATTTATGGAGAATGATACGAAAACCTATGATTACTGATATTGAGCCATGTTTGGAAGGTGTTAAAGTCGAGGAGGACGACACAGGAGCGAGTTTGAGTGCTTTCGATGAGGAGGAGGAGGTAATTAAGATGTTTTTATTAAATTTGAGAATTAATTTATTTGATTTTAGGTTCAAGAAGATGTTGGTGAAGTTGAGGAGACAAAAGAGGATGATGCAAATCAGTTAAATTTTCTTAGAGAAGTACTCCGTGGGAAAGATGAGTTAATTAAGCGAGATGTAGAGAAGGTTGATGATGGGATTCGATACGATATTTTGGTGTCTGATGATGAAATTAAAAAGGAAGCTGAGGATATTGTGGAGGGGGTTGTTGAGGAGATTATTGAGGCGGTTGTTGCGGGTGTTGATGAGAGGGTAGTTGAGGAGATTATTGAGGCGGCTGTTGCGGATGTTGATGAGAGGGAAGTTGAGGAGATTATTGAGGCGGATGTTGATGAGGGGGTTGAGGATGTGGAGGAAGTTTTGGTGCAAAAAAAAGAGGAGGAAATTAAAGTTGTCGATTTTCCTGTAAAACCAAAACTTAAAAATGCGTTTGAGCATGCTTCATCAGGAGTTGGGAAACCGATTTTGGAAATAACCGATGAATTTAGAGCTTTTTTGAAGAGCATGGGAGTGTTTGAGCCCCCGGAAGTTAAGGGGAAAAAGAAGAGACCTAAAATAATAATAAAAAAGAGTGTTCAAACCTCGAAAGAGTTTCATATTGAGAAATTAAAGCCATCGTTGGATGATGGGTTAATATTAAGGAGTACATCGCTTCCGGAAATCAAACCGTTATCGGGGGGAGTTAAAAAAATTAAATCTTCGTTTTGTAATATCAAAAAACCTTCAAAAATTGCGTTTAAAACTAGCCATAAACCTATGGAAATTAAGGAAACAAAGAAAATTTATTATCGGATGAAGCCAAAGCCGAAAATAATTAAACGGGCCCCTTTACAACCGATTTTCCATGAAGAATGCAAAATAAGTTGCTCAAATAAGGAGTGTTTGGAGAAAGAGGTGGTGAAATACGAAGAAAAAAATGTGATTGAGAAGAAATTGAAGTCAAAATTACCAGTACGGAAACGAAAATTTCAAGAAAATAAATCGATTAAGGTTGAGAAAAATAAAGCGGGGAGTTCAAAGATTCCAAGAATTAATTTTAAGAATAAATCAATAAATGAAAAGATTTTGAGGCATCTAGAAAGTAGGAAATGTCCAAAAAGTTGTCGTTCATTGAACGTTGAGGAGAATTCGGATGAAAAGAAATCGAAAATAAGATTTATTAAAAGTAAAATTAGGAAATCGGCTAAAATCGAGGTGGAAAAGTTCAATAAATTGTTAAGTGATTTAAAAAATTTGCAAAAAAATGATTCCGAAAATGAAATAAATAAGAAGAAATTATACAAAAATAAATTTAGGGATGATAAAAAGGGATTAAAAAACGTTGTGACTTTAAATAAATCACAAACTCAAACGGAACGATTTCAACTAAAAAAATGTCCGGAAACGTGTAAAGTTCAAAGCGAAATTAAGAAATCAAGTAAGTTTGTTTCAAAAATTAATCGAAATCAAAGTGAGAATGAGCCCAAAAGAGATGTTATGAAAATAATTGAAGGTGAAGGAGGAGTTAAAGAGGACTCAACAGCTTCTGATGATGTTAAAGACTCAAAATGTTTAAAAATTTATGATAAAATGAAATCGAAACTTGTTAAAACAATTTTAGAAGCATCAAAATCACAGAAATTTAGTTCAAGTAGTGTTATAACCTTAAATAAATCATCGACTCAAACCGACGAAGAGAACGAAATCGAATCTAATTTCACACAAAATGAGACAACCACTTCCAAATCAAATCAAAATAAATCAGAAATTAATAATGAAAAGAAATCGTTAAGATTTCAAGATGATTTTGATAAAAACGATGAAGATTTTCCGAAAAGTGGGGAATCACAAAAAAATGAAGTATCAACAGAGTCTCCAAAAAGTACAGAATCATCAAGACTTTTAATTAAAATTAAAAGAAATAATTTTGATTCATCATCAACGAATATCGAACGTATTGAAACTCCAAGAACTTCGGAAAAACCTTCAGCCTCAACATCAACATCAACATCAACAGAACCTGAATTATCATCAAAACGCTTTCTAAATAAATTTAATTTAATTAAAAATCGTACGAAAAATAATGCATTCGGTTATCAATGCGGAGTATGGGGAAATCCGTTTTATAACACCCCCAAAACGAATCAAATTAACAACGAAATCAAAGTAACGTCTTACTCATCAACGATTTCGGATGATGGAAATTTGGCTCAAATAATCAAAAAAGAAGTTAAATTAATAAATTTTGATCCACCGACGTCTTTTACGTCGTCTTCGTCGTTTTTATCGTCGCCATCGCAGAATAGCCGCGTGAATCGGCGGTTGCTCGCTCAAGAAATTGCGAACGATATTAAAAAGAAATCGGAGTTGTTTAAAAGGAATAAAACGTCGTCGTCTTTTTCGGAGAACATTTCGAAAATTAATTATTTCAATCCGAAAGATACCGATTACAACGTGAATTATTTTATGAGGAGTTTTAACTCTGTTGATAAGTTAGACTTTTTCGATACGTCGTTTTCCGTCAATGAGGGATCTATCAAATATCCGTCAAACTTGATCGCTAAGGAAGATTTGGTCGGCGAAGAAACGAAACCAAATGGAATAAAATGTCGATTGGAGTTCATCTATAGGAAGATGCCCATTGCGGTAGACTCGGAATTGGGGTTGTTTTCTAATAGTCGGGAATTTAGCGAGGGTGTGTCCGAAATGAAGAAACGAAAGGTAATTATTCATTTTTATTCTAATTTAATGATATCTCGAGATTAAATATCTCAAAAACGGGATATTTTTGATTTCAAATTAAGTGTCAAATTAAATGTTTTATTTAAACATATTAAATTTCTTTGTTACAAAAGGAAATTTTCCTATTTAATTTTGTTATATATCTTCTTATTTACTTTTCTCTTCATATTTCATATTGCCATATTAATATTTGTTAGTATTTAACATTTTATTCTACCAAAGAAACATTTTTGTTCTATAAAACGCCACTATCAGCGACATCTAGCGGTTCTTTTTAACAAAATTGGTTGTCAACAGAAAATATAACCTAAAATATTAATTAAGAATCAATTTAGTGTTATTAATAGTTATTTTATGAGAAATTAATTTATTATAATTTATAATTATTCATTTATATTTTAATTTAATGATATCTCGAGATTAAAATCTCAAAAATGGGATATTTTTAATTTCAAATGATGTGTCAAATTGACATTTATGAAGCGTCACTTTTTTAACACGTTTTGTTTAAACAAATATGTATATTTCTTTGTTATAAAAGGAAATTTTCCTATTTAATTTTGTTATATATCTCCTGGTTTACTTTTCTCTTCATATTTATTACCATATTTATATTTGTTATTATTTAACACTTTTTACTCTAAAACAGACACATTTTTGTTCTATAAAACGCCACTTTATTAGCGACACCTAACGGTTATTTTTAACATAAAATTTGTTGTTAATAGTTAATTTATTATTATTAATAGTTATTTTAGAAGAAATTAATTTATAATGATTAATAATTATTCATTTTTATTTTAATTTAATGATATCTCGAGATGAAATATCTCAAAAACGGGATATTTTTAATTTCAAATCAAGTGTCAAATTGACGTTTATAAAACGTCACTTAATAATTTTATTTAAACAAATATAAGCAGATAATTAATCAATTAAGAATCAATTTAGTATTATTTTAAAAGAAATTAATTTATATTTTTTAAATTTTAGAAATCAAAAGATGTTCTTCCTCCAAAATCTTTCTTCGCCGAACCAATCGAATGTTTCACGGCCACGGCTGCAGTCGATAACATTCAAACCGGTGATGGTAGCGACAAAGAAAACAACAACTTTCACGATTTATACCTAATTAAAAGCGATACCATCGTGCGGAGAGATGACCCAAACGGTGCCGTCTCAGCCTCGAAATCATCAGAAGATTTTTTCTGCCCACCCCAAGCGAAAAAGGCGAAAACGTTTAAAGCAAACTTAAACAACGTTTTTAAAGAGTGCAACGACATCTTTCAAAAAGTTAAACGTTTCCATCAACCAATGATTGATCCTTTAATGAAATCGAACGTGCTTTGTCTCTCGAAAAAGAGAGAATTAAACTTTCCAATGATCGAGGATTTGAAGAAGAAGAAGAAAAAGTCGAGTAGAAGTAGTTTAAATGGATCGGATGATTCTAAGAGGAGTAAACGTAAAACTTCAAAAGATCATACTACGAAAGATCACAGCTTAAGAGATGCTTCGAAAGAAAATTCACAGGATGATTTAAATGTTACGAAAGATGATGATAAGACCGAATCGAAAGATTCAATCACTACAGTGACTTATAGATCAAATCCGACGTTATCTGTGGAAACCGATACCACAAGAACGATTGAAAGTTCGGGGCCATCGAGTTTAAATTGTGACGGCCAATGTCAAACAGAGGGGTTATGTTATTGTAAGATGTCAAAAGGAAATAATAACCAAATTAAACATAGTAGACCAGTTAAGGTTATGGATAAGGAGCAACGAGACTTTGGGAATAATTACCAAGCGTTGATTAAGCCGTATACATGTTGTATCCATGCGAAGGAAGAAGGAAGAAATTATTGCAAAAAAGTAAATAATTAAATAAAACTTGAGTTATAAATTAATTTTTTTATCTTTTAAGGTTACATTTGATCAAATGAGAAGGAATGAGGAGCATTCAGTTTGTACCGATAGCTCCATAACTTCAATAGAGGCTGTAAAAAAATTAATTGGGAAGAGAAAACGTAGACATAAAGACAAATCGATGACTAAAATCCTTAATTGTGGGAAAGGTACCGTTGAAGCGGTGGTAAGCGAGGGTTATAAAGAGGAGCCAAATTCAAAAATGAGTGGATATGTTGATAAAAAACGTAGAAAATCGATTAATTTGCGGAGGAGTAGGAAAAGTGCTGAAAGGGGAAGTGAAACAAGCTCGAAAGATACAAGCTCAACTAAAATTCCTTTTTTTCGGAGGTTGTTTAAGTCGAAACGGGAGCGATCTAAATCAAAAGATAAATCGAAAGTTAAATCAAAGCATAAAAGGAATAAAGAGAAGGAGAAACAAGATGTTTTGGATAAATTACCTCCAGGAATAAGGAGATTACAAGCTAGTTATAACGAAAAATATATGGCTCTTAAAAGGAGGATGCGTAAAGACGATCACGACCTTGAATTTGGGTTGTGTAATTGTCCAAAGGAGGATGACAGTGTTGTTATTGTTGAGAGTGGTAAAAAAAATAAAAAAAAATGTTGTGCTAAAAAAGGCTCTCCTCAAAACCCCCAAATAAACCAACCAGAAAAAAATGAGTTTCCCATAACAACAAAATGTGCATGTAATATTTTAGAACAACAAAGTAAAGGTAAGGAAACCCCCGGAATTAAGCGAAGACCTCGTTTAATCAAAAAGAGATCGAAATCGAACGAGGTTACCCCAAAATCTTCTCAAAGAAGTATTTTAAAGAAGATAAGTAAGAAAAAAAAGAACTCAACTCAATATGAGGAGCCTCCTCAAGACAAAAAACTAACCTTTGAAGAAGATTTAAAAGAAGAAAATGACGTTTCTAGAGAAGAATCGAACGCAGTTGTGCCAACCCAAAATGTCAAAACAAAAAGGAACAGATCAAAAAATTCGGTGGTAAGTGACGATAATTCGAGGGCGAAACGAAAAAACAGTTCTTCATCGAAGTTTAAACCTCCTAAAAAGAGCAAAAAACAACGAAAATTAGAGGAACAATTATATAACGAACTCGACCCGAAAGTAATTGACCCAAAAGGTTGCATTTGCGATGACGTTGAAACATTTTCATCGATTGTGGTTAGAACCCCGGATCCTTCCGAACCCGGTTGTTGCTCGAAGGGTAAAAAAAAATCTGAAGAACCCCCTAAAAAAAAGGCTTCAAAATCTAAATCGAAATCAAAATCGAAACATTCAAGCGAAGGTAAGTTGTCAACTAAGAATACGTCGAAATCGCGGGTTAAAACCAAAAAAGTCGAAAAATGTGAAAAAGCCAAGAAAGGAAGTAATAGCCAAAAGTCGGATTCATCTAAATGCTTTTGCGATTACGAAGAGGAAGATATGAAAAGGCTTCTTTTAACACCACATCCGAGTATGATTAAAAACTCGTCAGCTAAATCAACTCCAAAATCATCTCTACGATCATCGAAAAGAAATTCATTTCTTAAGCCGCATAAAGCACGCTCAAAAGGAAGTAGTCGAATATCAAGCGAAGAATTTGTACAAGCTCACGAATACGACGTACGGAGGTTAGAATTACCCCCAACTCTCCTAAATATTTATCGGAAACCCAACAAAAAAATTCCGCGAAAAGATGAAATCTTCGAAACTTTAATTTCAATGTTGTTCAAGGAAAAAAGAAATAAACGGGGCGAAAACACTCGGAAACGAATGGTTAAAAAATATTTATCCCAAGTTTCAAGCACCGAGTTAGAAGATATCGTTTTAGAATTAGTTCGAAGTCTTCCAAATGGGTTACAAGATATTTTAGGGAATAATCAAAGCGATGAAATTACTTTTGGGGTTAAAAACAAACAGTCTCAAGATAATCAAATCAAATTAAACGTTTCGAAAACTTATTTAAAACGATTTAAAAATCAAGTTCAATTAGAACGAAATGTTTTTTGCTCGAAATATTTAAAGCAAGTTGCGATAAGTTGTAGTGAGGATTGTTCGTGTATCGCCGAGCCGTGTTCTTCGGGAGTATCCGATGTTAACGATGATATGGTTAATTATAAAAAAACCGATTATACCATCGATGTTGATAAAGTTGAGGTTTTTTGTAGGAATTACGATAGTTGGTGTTCGCTTAGCTCGAGTGATAAAGGTAAAAAGAATCAAAATCGATTAATTAAAGAGCAATTTAACGACAAACTTAGCACCAGCGATGATTCGAAGGAAATCGTTGAATTAATCCGGTTATTGTCAACCTTATCTCCGAAAGATTTATGTGGGTATTTTTCTAAACAGTGCATGAAATAAGTGTATTATTTTATTTAAATGTTTTTGTTTGAAGGATATTTATCGTCTTTATTTTATTTTGTGCAATACTTTATTTATTAAAAAAATTTTATGACAAAAAAGTGAGGTTAAGTTGAAGTGTCAAAAAAGTTAGGTTAAAAAAATTTTTTTAAATGTTTTTTTGTAAAGAATATTTAATTATAAATTTATATTAATTAAGAATACCCCTCAATTAATTAAATTAGTTTTACAGTTATTAGAAATTAAACAAAGTAAAAACAAAATAAAGAAGTTGGTTAAAAAAAAGTAAGTTGGTAACATTGAGAATTTGATTGTAGTAACCAAAGCAAGTCAAGTTTTTGTAGGTTATGTTTATTTAAGTGTATATTTTTGGGTTATAACTTGTAACATTAAGATAAATCTAGATAAGTGATAAATAGTGGTCCATGTTAAATGAAGACATCATGGAGGAATCTTTTTAATATGAGGTAAGTGAATTTCGAAATCTTTTAAATTGATATGTCAAAAAAGTGAGGTTAAAAAATTTTTATTACCTTTTTTTATAAAAAATATATTTAATAATAAATTTATCTTAATTAACTTAAATTAATTTGAATTATTATTAACGATACATTCGTATTCTATGATCGGAGTAAAAAATAAAACAAACTAGAAACATTGAGGTTAAGTCGTGTTAACCTCAAAATTTCTAGTTTCAGTTTTATTTCATTTAACGAATTATTAAAAATCATTTACTTACTTATTAATTTAAACTCCTTAATTAATTAATTAACAACCTCATCATAATATTATGAATTATTAATGATATTACACCCGGCACTATGATGATTCATAACTTCTAACTTTAATAACCCCACTTCTTCCTTATGCTGGTTCAAAATCAAAGCTAACTCATTGTTTTCATTTTTTAAGATCTTCACGCGATCCTCTAGCTTTGATATTCTCTCTAGTTTTCTTGATCGGCATTTCGAAGCGGCTAACCGATTTCTTTGACGTTTCCGTTCTAATTTCATCCGTTCTTGGTATTCCATGTCAACGGGGGACATTGGTGGGGTCGTACTTATAGACGGTACAATTTGGGGTTCCTCTTTAATCGCGGGGACAAATTGTAGGTTAGGTTGTTCGAGATCGGTGAAAATTGTGCTCGAGGAATTTTCCGAAGCTAAAATTAAATCATCTAATTAAAAATAGAAAAATAAAGTCTTAAATTAAAAATTTACCTGGATTACTATTTGAGTTATTATTATGTAAATTATTTAAAGCAGTCACAAATCCCGTTGCAAACGATTCTTGTTCCTCAGTTACAGGTTTAGAGAATAAAAGAGGCCCAGCTCCAGATGGAGTTGGAGTTGCTGAATTCATCCCGTTTCCAGCTAAAATCATTTTTTCAAGCTCTGGGGTGTTTACTTTCAACATATTTAAATCTGGGGAAAGTAGCAGGGGTATCCCACTGTTCTTTTTGGCTTGATTCAGATCTAATTTTAAGCTTTGCTTCACATTGTTGATGTTTTTGTCGTTGAATAACCCGCTCATTTTGGATCCGCTTAATTATTTACAAATAATTCCCAACCCAACCACTTCCAAAGATCGAAAAATAGATTAACGGGTAAAATCACCAATGCCAAAAGGAAATAATAGCAACACCAATTAGTTATTTCCATAAAATAACCTAAAACGAAACAAAGAGAATTAATGGGAGGGGTTTGGGGTAAAAATAGATGCATTATTTACTCACTGCGAGTTATATTGGTCGAAGTCGCTAAAAATGTTGTATTTATACCGATTTAAGTTTATTTATTGAATAGTTTCTTTAAAAGAATGCGATAATCGCTTTATACGCAGTTAATAGGTTATGACTCATCGTTTTGACAATTTCTAAGTGGGTGGGGCAAATGACGTCATTTAATTTAATAAATATTGTAATTTATTTTGATTTTATTCGAAACTTTTTCTCAAAATAAAATAAATACTTAATAAATAAACGATTTATTTATAGAAAGAAATATTTTTAACATAACCTTCAAATTTGACTTATTTAATTTTTATAACGACATCTATGAATGAAATTTCAAATTATATTGTTTTATTTATTTATAATAATAAAGTAATAACAATTAGTTTATTTGATTAATTTAATCGAATAAAATCAATTAAAAAACAAATTGATTCTAAATAAATTAATTAAAACGATTAAAATTTCGATTTCGCTTTAATTAAAGCGACATCTATTGATTTAGAATTCACTAAGAAAGTGAGGTTATGATTTTTGTGTGAAAAATATTAAATTAGAGGGGTAATGGACAATATTCCAGATCAATTGGGCGCTTTACTTCTTAACGAAGAAGGTGCGGTGTTATCATCATCGGGGCAACTTGAGAACGATGAGAAATCGGCCAATATTATAATGGGTATTCTAAGTTTAACCTCAACGTTAGATCCCAAAGCGTTTCCAGCCGATCAAGGTTTCAAGAAACTTTCGATATTTTACGAAGATCATTGTTATGCAATTTGCCTCTCAAATCGGCGAGTTCACGTTGTGAAAAGGCGTTTAAGTTGTGTTGATGGAGACCAAGCGGTTATAACCTAACTTTTAAGTGAATTGTAATAAGATGGATATGATTTTGTATTTTACGGTTACTAAGTATATGCAAGTGTTTATTTTATTGGGAGGAATTTTCTTTTCTTTGTATCAATTATATTATTCGCTCGATATGTAAATTTAAAAAAAATAACCTAAAAATTTAATGTTTCGAGATAATTTTTAGGTTATGTTTTTTTATTGTGGTATAAGTGATAAATTAGGGGTTAAATAAGGAATAAAACTAATTTAATTTATAAATAAAACTTCCTTTATTATTTAATATATACCTAAATCGCCTGCAATACAATTAATTAAAACCGATTGAAAAGATTTTTAATTTAACCGCAGATACCTACCTGTTAAAGGAAACCTGAAATTAACACAAATTAGTCACAGGGGTGCGGGCTGGGTGGGTAGGGTTAAAAGGAGCCCTCGATAAAATCCATAAAATTAACAAGAGTACCGGAAGAAATGATTTAATCGGAAGCTCCGATTATCATCCCTCGATATAAGAGAGACAAACGGGGCCTTTAAGCCGATCGAAACCACCCGGATCATGCCGCAGCTGAACCGCAAACTGCACCAAAAACCGCTCTCTCTCTACCAACCGGCCTTACTCTCTGCGACCCGCAAACAGCACCGCAACAACGGCAGCTACACACGTCACAGCTACTCGAGACTGCTTGCTCTCGCTCAGCGCACCGCAACGCCAACCCAGGCACTGCGCCTGTTCACACAAAAATCGTTAGTTGATGATCGATCGTTTTAAAACTATTTGAGTTTTTTTTAACAACTATTTTATTATAAACAAGAGATAATTACCACCAAATGAAATTAAAAGTTACAAATAATCAAATTAGAAATGGTATTTATCTCAAATAATTCTTAAACTACACTTAAACCCTTAACGCAATTAAATTTTCACAAATTAACCTCACTTTCTGTTGTAAATTTGACAACTTAACCTCACTTTACTTCATAATACGTTAAAGGTTTAAAATTAATACATGATGACGAAAAAAAAACAAACTAAAAGTTATTGAGACACCATTTATGGTTCTTTTACATTTAATCGGTTTTTTAATTGAAACAAAATTACACACTTCAATAAAAGAGAAAGAAAAAAAGTTTTGTAACTAGCTTACACGTAAACGCTTTGACACAGCTTAAAATGCTCAAGAGCCAAACAAATCGCTCAATACTTAAATATTATTATTAATTTTTTCTCTTTCTTTAATTTTTTTTTCTTTTTTTTTGTTTTTAATTAGATTAACGGTAATGGATCGTTAAGTCGATTTTTTGTAAAATGTGGGTCTGTGCAGTCTATGATCATATAACTACAGAATGTAAATACCTTAGCGATTTTATTGATTGATAAACCGTGGGTAGACCCTCGAAAAAATGGACTGCACTTATTTTAGCTATAAAAAGAAATTAAATTAATTTATTTTTAATGAAATCACTTTAAAAAAATTTATTTTAACCTACGATTTTGATCTAGATCGTGACTTGCTGTCAGATCTCTTCTCAGATTTAGACCTTGACCTGGATCGACCCCTCGAGCTTTTACTATCAGATCGGGAACGACTCCGACTCGGCGATCTTCTGCGATATGAACGAGATCGGCTACGTCTCCTTGAACGCGAACGAGATCTACGCAAATATATCTTATTAATTAATAAATTAAGTCAATTAAATGATTTTACCTCCTTCGATTAGATCGGCTATACCTTCGATGTGGCGAAGTGGGTCTCCCGTATCGAGCCATTTGAACCCTCAACTCCCTTCCATCCAACATACGCCCATCCATAGCGTCCAATGCATCTTCAGCATCGCGTTTATCATAAAATCTAACACAAAAATCATTAACAAAAAAAAAAAAGTGAGGTTATGTTTTTAATTTTTTTACCTGACAAAAGCAAACCCGCGACTTTCCCTCGTAAATCGATCCCTGGGTATATAGATATCCCCAACTTCCCCACAGCGTTCAAAAACACGTCTTAAATCCTCCGGGGTCGTTCTATAAGTTAAATTATCCACTTTTAGCGATACCATGCCGTCAATCCGCGGCGGGGGTCTTCCGTAACTCATTTTTCGGGCGCGCACTCCGAATTCTAAGTGAACAGGTTACAATTGGTTTACTTTCGGTTAAAAACGCGTATTTAACGAGGTTTTGATTAAAAACTTAGCGTTCTCGTGGACAAAAAAGCGTGACCAAATAACGCCACGGCCTTCTAAAATGGCGGCACTTTCGTTTTGGATGCCAACGATGACGCTATCTATGAATTTTTTATTGAATTAAAAAGAGATGGAAATAACGGTGTTTAGTACTAATAAAAAGAGATGGATTAAATGAATTAGGTTATGTTTTTGAATAATTTGAAATTAAATTAATTAATTTATTGATTAGGAAGAAATTATGATTTCATTAACAGTACGTTAACTACAATAATATTAGTTAATTAAATTTAAAATAAATTTCTTAAAAAATTAATATGCTAATAGATGGCGCCCCATAGTAACGATGACATTTATTTAAATCAATTTGTTTTCAAATTGATCATTATTAAATTAGTTCATTATTATTAAAATAAAAATTGAATGTATTTAAAAAGCAATAACGTTTTAAATTAATCTAGCAATTTTTTAAACATTTAATGAGAAATTAATTAATTTTATTTTGTTTGTTAATAGATGGCGCCACATAGTAACAATAACATTTATATAAACCAAATTTTTTCACAAATTGATAATTACCAAATTAATTAATTATATATAAAAATAATATGGATTTTATTAGAACTAAGTTATCCCAATAATATAAAAAAAAAATTCGTTAAATTATTTTTTTTAATTTGGTACCCCTCAAATGTCAAATGATTTTGACAGGTTGCGTCAAATGAGGCATTCTTTATTTGCCGCATAAAATTGTGTTATTTCAATGGCTACCTCAGAAGAAATCAAACCAGGTATAAAAACTCCACTTAATTTTATTATCTAATATATTTCCACCAAAATGTTTACTCATATTTATGTATTTCAGCTATGGAAACAGTGGAGGAGGCAATTTCCGATGGAGAAGGTAAACTTTCACCTCTACATCATTAAATCTTAATGAATCATTTTATTTTTTCAGAGAAAACCGATGATTTAACCGTCAATGATATTATAGTAATCGACCCGGACACCACTGAGCTAGATTTAAATCATGGCCGAATTGGAAAATTACAAAATTTGGAGCCGTTACGATGCATAGAACGTCTTTATTTGCGATGGAATTTAATTAAAAAAATCGAAAATATCGATATGTTGGTTACTTTAACCGAATTGGAGCTGTACGATAACCAAATAACGAAAATCGAGAATTTGGAAACCTTAATTAATTTAGAGTAAATTTAATTCAACACGTTTATCAATTATTAATTATTTTATCTTTTTAGGATATTAGATTTATCTTTTAACCGAATCAAACAGATTGAGGGATTGAGTACGTTAAAAAAATTATCTAAATTGTTTTTATCATCAAATAAAATCTCAAAAATTGAGAATTTGGGGGAATTAAATAATTTGCAACTTCTGGAATTAGGAGATAATAAAATACGAGTTATAGAGAATTTGGATTCGTTAACAGCAGTTGAGCAATTATATCTTGGGAAAAATAAAATTGTTAAAATTGAAAATTTAGATAAATTGGTGAATTTAACATGTTTAAGCCTGCAAAGTAATCGAATTACCATGTTGGAGAATTTAGAAAAGTTAACTAAATTGGATCAGTTGTATGTCTCAGAAAATGGAATTACAGTTATTGAGAAATTAGATGATAACAAGGAGTTGAATACATTGGATTTAGCTAAAAATAAAATTAAGGTTATTGATAATATTTTTCATCTTGATCTTATGGAGGAACTTTGGGTAAATTAATTATTTAATTAATTTAGGTTTTTACTATTTTTATTTTAAATTTTAGTTGAATGATAATGATATTTCTGATTGGGTTTCGATACAAAAGTTGGGGACGCTCCCTAAATTGGGCACCATTTATTTGGAAAGAAATCCAGTGGCCTCTGATCCAGCATATCGAAGGAAACTTAAAATGATGATACCTTCTTTACAACAAATCGATGCTACACTTTGTCATGTTTAATTTTAAGAACTATGTCAATTTAACTCTGAATTTTTTTAAATATTTTATAAGCAAATAATTAGATAAAATAATTGTGCTAATAATAAAGTTAATGTAATTTGGTAACATTGAAATTTGATTTTTTAATCCGTCAACAAAAAAATAAGGTTAAAAATTTTTTTATAACAAATATATTTAATAACAAATTTACTTTAATTAATTTAGTATCGGTTGTAAGAAATAAAACTAAAATTAGAAACTTTGCGGTTAAGCCATGCGTCAAGATGCACGGCTTAACCCCACAAGCTTCTAGTTTGTTTTATTTCTATTCACGATTAATTAAAAATGATTATTTAATTACTTTTTAATTTAAATTTGTCTTGAATTAATAAGGTTTAATTAATCTGTCAAATAAAATTAGGTTAAAAAAGATAAAATAATTGTGCTATAATAATAAAGTTAATGTAAGTTGGTAACATTGAAATTGAATATTGAATTTTTTAATGTCAACAAAAAAGTGAGGTTAAAAAATTTTTTTTGTAACAATTACATTTAATAACAAATTTACTTTAATGAATCTTTATTTAATTAAATTAATTTAGTATCGATTGTAAGAAATAAAACTAGAAACTTTGTTTTCTAGTTTTACTTACTTTTTAATTTAAATTCGACTTGAATTAATAAAGGTTAATCTGTCAAAAGAAAAGGTTAAAAACATTTTTTGTAGAAAGGTAATGAAATAAATAACATTTTTTAGTTACATTCTGTGTATTTTTTAAACATAATACTTTTAAACAGTTTATACTGAAAAGCTTCCATACAACCATAGTTTTAATTAATAATTTTTCAGATTTTGTAAACAAGAAAAAAAGGAAAAAAATAGAGCGCGGTCGAAAAGCCCCGAATACATAGCATATTACATAATAAAGTACGCTACAATACAATTTCACTGCTAAAAATAAAGACAAAAAGTGAAACGTTTCTTCTGGGCGCCCGGCCGCCGCCCATCATCGGAAATAAAAAATGATTAAACCAGTACATGTTATATTTGTTACCTAAAATGTCTGAGAGAACAGTAAAAATATCTACAGAATAGCAGGATGAAGATACAGGTTTATCTGCCATATTTTCCTTTTTATTCGCTTAGGCTTCAAGTTCAAGGGCGAGACCGATCTTGTGGCCACCACCGTTAAAGTTCTTCCCATCAATCAAAGCCGATAGAGTCAATGTGATACCTAAAACATAAACCAAATAAATAAATCAAATTTAAATTGAAACAAAAATTTACCATCTCTTAAACGTTGTTGATAGCCCAAACCAATTTGACTGGTGTTGTCTACTTTAGCGCGAATAGCGGCATCTCTATCCAAATCGTACTTCGCACCAATTCCAAACTTGGTGTCATTACTTCCAGAAGACCACGCTAACTGAATACCAGTCTCAAGCCGGGGGGACACCCTCTGGTAAATGGAACCACCAAATTCCCGACCGTCATCGCTTAAATCGCTATTATCAATGTATGGTTTTAATATCATGGGAAAGGATTGGGGGGGTTAATACCAAAAAGGATATCTAAATTTTAAACTATTCCATTTAAAATAATAAAATCACTCAAAATAAACGTCAAAAATCATTAAATTTGATTTAAAATTCATTAATTTCATAGATTACTTCATTAAAAAATTATCATGTTTAGGTTAGAAAATTTGACAATTAAAATTGACATATATTCTTTTAAATATGTTAATAGATAACGCGACATATAACAATGACATTTATACATTTTTTCATAAATTGATGATTTCCAATTTAATTAATTATAATATAGATTTGATGAATTTAAATAATAATATCGTTTTAATTATGTTGGTTAAAAATTAAATAAATTAAAAAATGTTAAATTTAATAAAAATTAATATAATTTTTGAATGCGCTAATAGATGGCGCCACATAATAACAATGACATTTATTTATATCAAATTTTAATTTGTGAATTATGAATTTATCTCAATTAAATTAATTTAGCTTCATAATTGCTGTTAAAAATAAAACTAAAACTAGAATCTTTGAAGTTTGAAAGTCTTTTCAAGGCTTTTCTAGTTTTAGTTTTATTTTAATTAATGAATTGATAAATAAAAAGTGAGTAATTTAAAAATAATATTAATTATTATTCGTAAAAAAATAAATGAATTTGAATGTAAGTTTTAATTATTCGTAAAAAATTAATATCATTTTAAATGTAACACTAGATGGCGTTATATAACAACAATGACATATTAACCAATTTAATCAATTTTATATTTAAATTGGTAAATAAACAAAAAATTACGTGAATTTTAAGGTAAAATAATAAATTATTTCATTGATTTCATAATTTTTTGATTAAAATAAAAAAAATTCTTCTTTTTGACGTTTTGAAACATAACCTCAAAATTCTTTTTAATAACTAATATTCATAAAATCAACTTACACATTGGTGTGAAGGATGAAATCGCCAGTTGAGAACCCAAGGGCGAAGTTATTTTTCGTTAACTTCTTATTTTCAGCATCAAAAGCCGCTTGATAACCAGCCAGCCAACCTTGATAACCGATAACAGCTGAACCTTGGATAATAGGACCCTTAGCTTGGTCAAGATCAACATTTGCATTTATAGCAGTGTAATCGTTATTATAGGCGGTCGAAAGAGTACCAGATTTGTTTCTAAAACCGAAAATTACAATGTAAGATTTAAAATTAACTCTGAAGGTTTAATTTACAACAAAAAAATTGTTTTTGAATGATAAGATAAGGTTTTTTAGTTCTAATTAATTAATCCGCCTTATTACACAATTTTTTTTTGGGTTAACAATAAAATATTTACCCTGTTTGAGGGGCAAAGGTGCAATTGGCGGTGAGTTTAAGCCCTTTGACGAGCTTATCCTGAACTGAAATTTCAGTGCCGAGCGTGTTATCCGTATTCCATTTTTCAGAAAATGTCATTCCATGTTCTTTCAGATTGTACTTGGTCTCGAGCGAACCGAAAACCTTTCCAGTTTCTTGATTGGAGCTACCGCCGGTGTTAAATTCCACCCCTGAACCGGTTTTTGTTTTACAATCCAACTTAATCAATCCAAAATGATAGCCTTTATTAAAAATATCGCCGGCATTTTTCCCAAGATCGCCATAAGCTGGTGGAGCCATTATCTAAATAAATAATTTTATGATATTTTTATGATAGAAAGTAGCTAAGTGTAAAGGTTAATAATTGTTACGTCATTACATTAACTGGAATATACTTGTATTTTAGTTAATTAAGGCACAAAATCTAAAGAATCCCTCCCATAGATTATTCAAAACTATTAATAGTCTCAAACCGTAGATAGAACATTATTTTTAAGCTAAAACAAGATGTAAAAAGGCGAGTCGCAGTCACGTGACGTAGACCGTTTCAATTTTAACTTAATCTTGGCAACATTTCTCCATTGCGCACCTATTAAAACGTGGAAAATGGCGGAATTTCACCGTTATCTTCACAAATCGGGCTTAATTCCTATTTCGCCGGCCAATATTCTATCTAATTAAAATTAAAACCGATTCATGAGAAATAGGGGAAATACCACCCGTTTTTATCGATCCACGCGTTTATTTCAACACTTTACCCAGAAAATATCGATTTAACCCTTCTTACATAACCCAAAGCGACACCGGCAAAATCAAAAAAGCTTATTTATTGAATATAAGTGGTAAAGGAACTTGAATCAAAAAATGCGTTTTATGCTAATTAGGCCGGCGAAAAGAGTTAAAATCTCTAATTAATGTTAAAATACTTACTGTGTATGAATTAAAATTGGGGAGTTTTTAATGATTTAATAAGACGGTTCTATAAATGAACTCACGTACAATTTTTTTTTAATTAATATTCGAATAAAATTGCTGATATCGCGAACAACGTCACTTGGTAAGGGACCTTATGACCTGAACCCTCCCGTGCGGTGTTGCCAAATTGATCCTAAAACCTATCCCCTCTAACTCAATCCCCACCCAAAACATTAACATCTAACTTCATTCTAATGATTGAAATCATTTCCTGTGATGATTCTTGAAATAATTAATTAAAATAACATCGAATTTTGTAATAGTTTACAAAAAAAAACTTTAAAACTCTTCAAAAATGCAACGTCAAAAATGTTCATCGTGAGTGTTTGGTTGTATAAATTTAAGGCGGAATCTTTACCAAATTGTGCGCTCCTGTTTCTGGGTCAATACAACAATCCTCGCATTTCATGAAGTGAAAGAGTCCTTTCTCATCTTTACCCTTATCATCTTTGCCTAAAAATAAAAACTATTAATATTTAATTTAACAGTTTTTATATGAACCTTTTCCGCGTCCGCATCTCCTGTTGTACTCGATCATGCGCACTTCGGTTTTCGGTTCCGAATTCAAAATTTGCGTGGCTGCAAACCGGGGCGTCGTCCCTGGGATTTCTTGATGCAAATCCGGTTCTTCGCCGAAGACGGTTTCTTCTTGTGGTGCTTCGGCGTCCGCTTCCGTCTCATTGCGGCGCCGTCGACCGCCGGTTTCATCCAGCATATTCCATAAGATCGTAGCTAAGCCCATTTATTATTTATCCCATACAATAATAACAACTATAACGTATTAATCCTCTCCTATTCTTTGTTTCGGTGGATATTCAACTGCAACAATAATTTAATGGAGCCATATTTTTCAGGTCGGTTTACAATTCTTACTGTCAACGACTGTCAAAATTTTTCATTTTGACACATTTGATTTTCTTTTATTTATTTATAAATCAAATTTTCCAAAAAAAAATATTTTTAACTAAAATTTGTGGCATTTAACTTTAATTGTTATAACTCAAATTAAAATAAAAGTAATTTAAATAAAATTTATTTATAAAATATGTAAATACCAACCTAAATTTAGTGTCAGTGTCAAGAAATTTCTTTTTCATTTTAAATTATAACAAAATAAATTAATTAATGTATTTAAAATTAAAATTAATAATTTAATTTATTTATTTGTAAAAATTAATACAAAATAAAAAAGAAATTAATTTTATATTTCAATCCATTTATGTTGGTAATAATTTTTTAACCATTGAGCTAAAAAGTGACGCGCTACATAACCTCAAACGTCAAATGATTGTAAAACTTTAATATATACTAATTCAAATAGTTTTCTCGCTTACTCGCTTTTTATACATGGTGTGTATATAAAAAAGTGTTAATTACCGCAAAATCAATCAAAAGGATGGAGAACGCTTCGCTACAAGAAACAAATCTAACATCCTTAAGTTCCTCCGAATTAGAACAATTCGCAGAACTCTCTCAAAACCTTAACATTTCCTCTGATATAGATAATCAAGGTGAGACTTTATATAACGGTTAGATACGACTTATATATTTAAAAGATGTCTGTATAGCTTCCGAGGAGGAAATGTCTATGGTGCATATTGAAGAAGCCGAAGAAGAAGAACTCGTTCAAACTGATTTGGGCGCGCAAGAAATTGAGATTGAAATGGAGCCCGATAACGCGGAGGAAATCCTTCCCGATGTTAAACCCAAATCGGTTCCTCCTTTACGGCCTTTAAGCATCGCTCCAAAACCTACTAAAATGCCCTACGCTATTAAACCTGTGGCGGGACAACAACTTTTATTAGTACAAGGTGAGATTTATTTTGATGAAATAAATGCGTTTGAATGAAAATGGATTTAAAATATTTCAATATAACATAACCTAAAAATTTATAATTGGTGTTAATTTTAATAAATTTACTTAAATATAATATAAATATGATATAAAATATATAATAAACTTGTATTTGCTGATTATTTTGGGTTAAAAGTTAATATTTATTGGGATTTTATTTGAAATTTTTTTTTGACATTTTGAGGTTATGTCAAAAAAATTTTAAATTTTAATTTGAAATATTAAATTAAACTTAATTAATGTGTATTATTTTTTTAGGAAATGGACAACAATTTAAAATTTTATCCCCTCAAACGATAAATTTATCAAATGTTCAACTAGGAAAGCCACTTGCTATAAAGCCGACTATAAAATCGGTGACTCAAGGGAGTACAACCCCCAAACAAGTAGTGATGAAAAAGTTACAACCCGTATCAAAACCGGGGCAATTAAAAACTTACGGTGATTATAAAAATTAAATCGTTTAACTAAAAAATGTGTTACGATTCTTTTTTTAGATAATAAACAAATCGTGGTGGTTCAAAAAAGTGATGTGCAACCTAAAGTTGTGACACAAGTCTCTACGTCGATTTCAACACCGACTAAAACGATTACGTTGGCTCAAGCTCAACAAATGGGGTTGTTGCCGAACACCAAGTTGGTGCCGCAAACGGCTGGAGCTACGACTAAACATGCCATTTTGTTGAATAAGCCGCAACAAAAAGGGTTGAGATTGGTATAAAAATTAAAATTAAATTAAAGATAAATAAATAAAACGGATCATACATTTTGTTGGTTTTCGTTTAGGTCCGTACTCCAGCGAAGATACTTCCTGCACCTTCAGCTCAAGTAAACACAGTGGTAAAACAGCCTCAACGTATTTTACTGAAATCGACGAGCAGTCCGACGCTGATCGCTCCAAATCAGTTGATTCAAGTCGGCGGAAACCAGCCCATATCCGCAGGACAAATCCACCAAATTAATATTCCAGGAAAGGGGGTACGTATGGTTGGTTATTCTTTCTTGGGTGATCCTTTTTGGATTTTTGCTGAATATCTGTGATCGCGATGGTCCCGATTTAACGAAAATTTTGATGGGTTTTTCCTAAATGTTTTATTATACTGTCATTATTTGACAGTTGTTTGTTTAGGTTTTTGTTTTGATTCCGAAAAAAATCGAGATATCTATAATTTTTTTTTAGATTAATCTTATTAATTTATTTCTATGTCCTCATTTAATAAAATGAACATTTCTATATTTATTTATGCACATGTAAACGGGTTTTATTATGTCCATGAAGAAAAAAAGGTTTTTGTATATAAAAGAAAATAATTTTTTTTTAAATTCAAATTTTACATTAACTAATTGATTTTAAATCGTTATTAATTATTAAAAAATATATACGATATAGAAAAAGATGGTATTATTAAATATTAAATTATTTTATTTCGTTATTAATATTAATTTAAAAATTATGAGCGCCATCTGTGAACGAACTCTTTAACAAAATAAGTATTTTTAAATTTATTTTTTTGTATTATTTTAATTAATCAAGTCAAATTAAGCGTAATTAAAAGATTTAATCGTTTTTAGAATAAAAGTTCAATTAATTATGAAGCTTATTGTGATAAAATCTAACCTCCTTTTTAATAAACTAATTTTATTTTATTATTTATTTTTAGGTCCAATACATTAAATTTGTAACAACCCAATCCGATTCCGGGACTAACACAACAACAAGTACAACAACGAAAACCTCCCAAACAGTTACGGTCGGAAACAAAGTTGTTGCTTTAGCTAATAACTCGGAGAGTGGAAACATTGTTTTATCGGAGGTTAAAGTAAGTCTTATTTCAATAATTTTTAATAAATTTAAGTTAATTAATGTTTTAGTCAACATCGAAAGCGAATGTAATCACCCCAAAAGGCACCAAGCCGTTATCCGGGGTTCAATCTCAAAGTATCATAAACAACTCGGCCGGTCAGCTTTTAATGGTCCCGGCGAGTTATTTACAAAGAACCTCAACCCCTAAAGTACCAGTTCCAATTCGATCTTCAGTAACAAAAACGATTAGTTCAGATGCGGTGGTCCCCCAAAACGAAACGATCAACTTAGAAACGAATGGAATGCGCCCAAGGAAACCTTGCAACTGCACAAAATCACAATGTTTAAAACTTTACTGCGATTGCTTCGCAAACGGCGAATTCTGCTTTATGTGTAACTGCATGAATTGTTACAATAATTTAGATAATGAAGAACATAGACAAAGGGCGATTAAAAATTGTTTGGATCGAAACCCCAACGCTTTTCGTCCAAAAATTGGGAAATCTAAAGATTTGGGTGAATTGCCGATACGAAAACACACCAAAGGGTGTAATTGCAAACGATCGGGGTGCTTAAAAAATTATTGCGAGTGTTACGAAGCGAAAATTGCGTGTTCGAGTAATTGTAAATGTATTGGATGCCGGAATATTGAGGATACCATGGATAAAAAGACTGTTAGACCTCATAATGTTGAGGTGGTGTTTGGAAGATCTCAAAATCAACATAATAATGTTGCGATGCCACCAGAAAATATCTTGCAAATTCGACCAAAAAAAGTTCCAAATAATAAGTAAATAATAAATTAAATTATACTAAAATGTGTTTATTAATTTTTGTTTTAGACACGCATTAAACCATATTGGTGTTATAGAAGCAACGGCTAGTTGTTTATTTGCTGTAGCTGGTTCGTTAGAAGCCAATGGGGAATCGGAAGAAGATATAAAAGGCCGTGTGATTGAAGAGTTCGGTAAATGCTTAATGGATATCGTTAACACCTCAAGAAATAAAAATGTAAATTCATATTGACCGTTACGTTTAAGTCCAATTTTAATTTTTAATCGGTTTATTTTATTAGGATTAACTTCAAAATCAATTTGTATTTCATTCAGTTAGTTTTCATTTAGAATCATATTTTTAGGCTTTATTGTATTATACTATATTAGATAGTTTATGTAAGAATAAAGTTTTTTTTGGGACTAAAAATTGATTGATTTTGATGTTTGAATTTGACGTTTAGTCAAAAAAAAATACAAATCTTATTTTCATTAAAGTAAAAATTTAAAATCTTTGAAGATGATTAAAGAGTGTTTGAGAAATGCAGAGGAAGTTGGAATAATTAAATATTACGGTGAGTTAATTTAATATAATTTATTATAGGTAAAGTCGCCATCTATGAATTAAATTTATTACAAAGCTAATTTAATATTTTTAAAATTAATATTAGTTAATTCCCCATTTAAAATACGCATTTATATATAGTTTTACGTAATATTAGAAATAATAAATAATTAAATATTAAATTATAATTTATTATTTCATCAAATAAAGGATGTTACAGCGCTATCTATGAACAAGGCATTTAACTTAACTTAGGTTATATTTTTAAAATTAATTTTAGTTAATTTCTTTATTATTTCGAATTATTCAACTCAAATTAAACGTAATTAAAAGATTTAATCATTTTACGAATAATACAATTAATAATTAAAGTTAATGTTAATTTATAACCTCACTTTTTTTTATCTAGGTTTTCCAATGCTAACGCCCCATTTGAAATGGGCATTTCGATATGTTTTAACATACGTATAAACGGGTTTATCCTGATATTGGTGACGAGGTTTTCCTACAATATTAAATAGAAAATTAGGAAAAATTTATTTTTAGATTCTAACCTTACCATAACTAATTGATGATACAAAACAAATAATTAACAATAAAGGAAGTGTTATGGTTAAATAACTTATTTTAACCATTTTCCCGCTATCTATGAATGTAATCTAAAGATCATTTCCGGTGTTTCGCCTCCTTTTAACGTGTTAAGATGTAGCAAAAAATCCTGGTCATGCTTTCACTAAAAACTTTCTATTTAAACCGATTTCATTCGGTTATTTCAATAAAGAAACACCAAGAGTTGGATTAATTCGGATTAAAATGAATTTTCTCATTTTACATCGATGCCAAAAGCTATAAATTTCCCGTGAAATTCGAAAATATCCTAAATTTAAACGCGCCGGATTTTTTAAAAATCAAATCTCGAATTTTGATTGGTCGGCGACCCCCTAATTGCCTTCGAAGCCGGTGTTATCTTGTACTCTCTCTCTTTCCGAGTTGTGTGTATGTGGTCACCGTACAATTTCCATTTTAGGCAAACCCAACACCCTATTTTAATCTCGGCTAAAACGATTTATCGCGACATCATCATTATTATCATTCATGCATTTTAGCGGTGTCTCGCAGTCTTATTTCGAATAGAAAGGAATTACATAACCAAATCATGTCGAGTTATAGTTTGAGTAAGTGTGAATCATTTTTTTTTGGGTTCTAATTGTTAAAAACGAAGGGCGTTACCGTGATTATTAATTTTTCCTTGTAGAAAATGTGTATGCCACTCTTCCAAGGACCCAAAGGGGGCAACCTTTGGTGTTGGGAGGAGACCCAAAAGGAAAAAACTTCCTTTACACCAACGGAAATTCCGTTATCATCCGAAATATCGAGGTAAGATAAGCTAAATTGATAAATTTTAATTACTCTTATTATTATCTTTAGAACCCGGCGATTTCCGAGATATACACCGAACATTCTCTCCCTGTAAATGTTGCGAAATACTCCCCGAGTGGTTTTTACATCGCCTCGGGGGATCAATCGGGGAAAGTTCGAATTTGGGACACTGTAAATAAAGAGCACATTTTAAAAAATGAATTCCACCCGATCGGGGGGCCGATTAAAGATATCGCATGGTCCCCAGATAACCAACGGATGGTTGTTGTTGGGGAAGGGCGAGAACGTTTCGGTCACGTTTTTATGTCCGAAACTGGAACTTCGGTTGGGGAAATTTCCGGACAATCAAAACCGATTAATTCGTGCGATTTCCGCCCAACACGACCCTTTCGAATCGTCACCGGCTCTGAGGATAACACAATCGGGGTCTTTGAAGGACCCCCCTTTAAATTTAAAATGACCAAACAAGATCATTCTCGTTTTGTGCAAGCCGTGCGTTATTCGCCAAGTGGAAATTTGTTTGCATCGGCTGGATTCGATGGGAAAGTTTTTATTTACGATGGAACATCATCGGATTTAGTGGGGGAAGTGGGGAGCCCCGCTCATAACGGTGGTGTTTACGGGGTGAGCTGGAGCCCCGATGGGAAGCAACTTTTAACATCGAGCGGGGATAAAACCGCCAGACTTTGGGACGTTGAAACGAGACAAATGGTGTCCGAGTTCGTTTTGGGGGCAACGGTGGAGGATCAACAAGTTTCGTGTCTTTGGCAGGGTCAATATTTACTTTCCGTTTCTTTGAGCGGATTTATTAACTATTTAGACGTTAATGATTCATCAAAACCTTTAAGGATTGTGAAGGGTCATAACAAACCGATCACCGTTTTATCATTGACCGAAGATAGAACAAACATTTTTACCGGCTCCCATGACGGATTTGTCACAAATTGGAACGCCTCAACTGGCGAAAATAATCGTGTTAACGGCTTGGGACACGGAAATCAAATAAACGGGATGAAACCGAACGGAAATTTAATGTATACTTGCGGAATTGACGATTCCGTTAAACAAATTGACATTGAGAATAATACCTACACCAAAACAGACATTAAATTGGGGTCGCAACCGCGGGGTATGGATATTTTGAAGGAAAAAAATATCATTATTGCAGCTAGCGTTAATGAGATATCCGTGATACAAGATGATAAGAAAGTGGGGGAGTTGAAAGTTAATTATGAACCGTCGAGTGCAAGCGTTTCTAAAGTTGGTGATATCGCCGTTGGGGGGAGCATGGATAATAAAGTTCATATTTATGAGTTAAACGGAACATCACTTAACCAAAAAATTGAGTTGGATCATTTAGGCGCTGTAACTGATGTTTCTTTTTCCCCAGATGATAAATATTTGGTGGCTTGTGATGCTCATAGGAAGGTTATTTTGTATAGTGTCCCGGAATATAAGGTAAAAATTATTTTATTAAAACATAACCTCGCTTTTTAGCTGTCAAATTTAAATATAAAACTTAACCTCACTTTTTTAGCTGTCAAATTTCAATTTAAAACATAACCTAACTTTTTTTTAAATTTTTTTAAAATTAGTTTATTTAAATTTATTTAGCTTGCCACAAATCAAGAATGGGGATTTCATAACGCGAGGGTGAATACGATTGCTTGGTCGCCAAATTCTTTATTAGTAGCTAGCGGAAGTTTAGATACGAACATAATAATTTGGTCTGTTGTCAAGCCGAATAAGCACGTGATAATAAAAAGTGAGTAAATTTATGGTAGAATTGTTGCGTAGTAAAATGGTTAATTTTAATTTCAGATGCCCATGCGCAAAGTCAAATAACGCGATTGTCTTGGTTGGACGATTCGACCTTGGTTTCTGTTGGACAGGATTGCAATACGAAGATGTGGATAATAGAACCTTTTTAATTATTATTTAGTTATTTTTAATTAAGTATTTCCCATCTTATTTAAAAGTTTTATTTTGCATTTAAAAAGTATTTATAATCCCAGTATAATTTGAGCTTTGATGAGCTGTGTTCCTACGATTTAAAGCTTTTTTTTATTTATTTTCATGTATTTTTATATTATACAATTAATTCGATGAAATTGTGGGAGTGTTTTGATTATTATTTTTTTCCAGGGATTTTCAGTAATAAATTTATTACAAAAAAGATTTATTAACAAGTTTTTTTCTTCTTTCTTGTTGTGTATTCTTCCGGGTGTCTATACGAAACGTGTTTTCTCAGAGCATCCCTGCTCTTTGAGACGTGGGGACATGAAACGCACGAATAATAAGTGTCTTTGTGGGTCTCCATGTGGACCCTTAAATTGTATTGGTTGCTGAGGTATTTTCCGCAAATAAAACATTTACAAACTTCGGGTAAATCTTTCAAAATTTTCTTCGTTAACTCTTTCGGAGGATCTAAAACGATGATTAAATAAGAATGACTTATTGAATTAATTTTTACCTTGATTTTGATTCTCGTTTTCTTCCCCGTTTTCTTTATCACATTTAACATCAGCTTTATCACAGTCATTTTCCATAACATCGGATATCTTTACATTACATAAACCTTGTATTTTTAAGATTTTTGCTAAAGAAATTATTCTTGATACTTGATCTTTCTTCACCAAACATTGTCCTTTATAAATGTAAGATAAGATAGCGTCAACATCTTCGGGGTTGGCATCGTGAAGAACAACAATCGGTGAATCACCACTTCCCAGACCCTTTTTTAAAGGAGATTAATTTAAAATTAATTAAATTAAAGTGTTTTACCTGAAATAATCCCAAGAAATACGTGCTACAAGCTGCGAGGACGATTTTGTGTGCGCGAAAAGTTTTATTTTTCGCGGAAATTGAGCAGTCTGTTAAAAGATCGGAGTCTAACAGGTGCGCGAAACTTCGACAAATGGTCGTTTCTTGATAGTGCCACCTGAGCATGTACTGTTCGTCCATTTCGGGGAGCACTAACTTTGGAAAATTGGTGTGGACTGCCCCGGGAAATCGCGGTCCGGTGTGGCCCGTCCATAATTATCCAGCTGGCTATTTATAAAGAACCGGCTGGAGAAAAAAATCGGTGCCAAGATTTTCAAACTGTCGTCTCATCAAGATTTTTAGCAACAACACTCTCTATTCACATCCTAAAACGATCAAAAATGTTTAAATTTAAGAAATAAATCTTGGGATTTATCCAAAACTTTTACACCCAACTCCACCATTATTTTTATAGAAATTATTGAATTAGCACCTAATTTTAAATTAAAAATATAATTTTAATTCATTTAATTATTACAACTTAATCTTAATTAAATAAGTTATAAATTAAAAACATTTAAAATTCCTGCTTTATAGGTTATGTATCAAATGATCGAAGCAAATTGGGTTGCATACTTTATTATAAAACGACAATTTAAAATAAATGTTTATTTATAATAAATGTTTATTTATAATAAATGTTTATTTATAATAAATGTTTATTTATAATAAATGTTTATTTATAATAAATGTTTATTTATAATAAATGTTAATATATACACAGAAAAAAACGTGATTATAACAAAAATATATCAAAAAGATTATACAACTTAACAAATACGCGTATATATGTATACTTTCTGTACAATTAAAATATCTTCATAGTCGCATCAACATCAGTCATTAAGATTCTTTACTTTAAAAAGTCTCACTAATTCATTATTAATTATACCCATAAACATCTCCTCCCTTTCTAAAATCAGAGTTTGCAAAAATTTTGCCTTTATTCCTAAACATTGCGCAAACTATGCTTCCTCGTTCCTTATAAATTTCGAGTTTATGCCCCAAATTATTTAATCCGTCCAATATGGGCTAGAAAAAAATTAAGTTAATTTCACTTTATATACAAATTAATCTTAAATAAATAAATTTATTTAACTAATTTTTTTAGGTTATGTTTCATGCACATTGGGTTGCATAATGTATTATTTAAATTAAACATTTATTTTATTTAAATAAACTAAAAATACTTTTTAATTACCTGTAAATGGCCATATTCGTACGAGATTTTCATGGGGAAAAGTTGATGGTGAAATCTTGGGGCATCAACAGCTTCCTTAATGTTTTGTCCGAACCACAACAACCTCATAATCACTTCGGCCACAGCCGTCGTTATTTTAGTCCCCCCAGAAGCGCCTATAACTAAGATAACATCGCCGTTTTTATCCGTGATAATCGTCGGGCTCATCGAAGATAACGGCCGTTTTCCCGGGGCAACTACGTTAGTGGGGGACCAAGGAACCCCAAAGTAATTATTGAAATGTGGGTAAGAAAAATCGTCCATAACGCTATTTAACACTATCCCAGTTTGTTTCGATGTTACCCCAGCTCCGAAATATAAATTAATTGTGCTCGTAACTGAAACCGCATCACCATTTTCGGCTAAAATAGACATGTGAGCTGTTCCGTGATCATCTTTATTCACCATAACAGCCCCGTAATCTTTGGGGTCTTGACTAGTTCCTTGATCGCTTATCATTGAACGGATTTCATCCGCGTAACTTTTTGAGGTTAAATTTTTAATAACCTAAATAAAATAATTTAAATAACTTGATTCAATCTGAGTTTAATTAGGTAACCTGAGTTAATTCGTTAAATTTAGGATCTCCAAGTTCGGTTCTTCTCGCATAAGCATATTTAAAAGCTTCCACAACTCTGTGATAGGTTAAAACCGTGGAGTTGGTGTCTTCGATGCTTTCTTTAGTCATGTTATAACCCGCCAATATATTTAAAATAAAACATAATAGGGGCCCTCCACCTGGGAGACCGATTGTGTGGAGTTTTTCCCCGTTGGGAAATTCCGTAGTGATTGGATCCATCCATTCGGCTCTAAAAATTAATTTTTAATTTTGTTATTTACAAATTAATTAATTAATTAACGTGTAATTTCTTAAATCATCATGTGTTACTAAACCCCCCATTTCTTGGATATCATCAACGAATGATTTCGATAAATTTCCAGTATATAATTCGTCACCTCCATTCTTAGCGATTATTTTTAGGGTTTCACAAAGTTTTTCAGGAATCACTCTCGAACCAATTGGCTTATTTTCTCCTTTTGGGTCTTTAAACCAAGTTCTAAAATTAATTGGACGCATTATTTAGTCGGTTGATTCGAAAATAAAGAAATACTTGAGATGGGGATCTTTTTTAATGTTCTTTTCATCCCATTGCACTGAATCGTGTTGGGCCAAACTTATATTATAGCCATGCTCGCAAAGATCTATGGAGGGTTGAATTAACTCTTTCCATGGGAGTTTTCCAAAACGTTTGTAAGCCGCCCAATATCCTTTTAATTCACCCGGAACTCCGATTGCGAGGGGACCTAAAATGATTGATTTATTTATGTTCGTTTTGATAACGTTGGATACCTTTTTTAGTTGTTGAATCGTTGGTGTATAATTCTTCTTTAGTTGTTAGTGGTGCGAATTCCCTAGCGTTTAATGTGTAAGCTCGTTTTTCTTCTCGGATGTAAATGGTCATTAAGAAACCTCCCCCGAGGCCCATACTTTGCATGTTAACTATTCCATTACAAAATAAAGTGGCGATCGCTGCGTCTACAGCTGATCCATTTTTCTCTAAGATGTCCCTAAAAAATTATTGGAATTTAAAATAATAATTAGATTTTTAGGTTAAAATGTTGGGTTATGCAAATAAGTATGCAAGATGGTGTGGTGGGTTGCATAACCCAATATATATATTTTTTAATTATTAATTTTAATTAAAATTAAGCAATATTAATTAATTATTTTAAATTAAAAACATTAAGATTTATTATTAAAATATTTTTAAATTTTATTTTAAAGTAAAACCTTGATGAATCCGCCTCTACACGAGTTTCATAATAAATACGCAATCAAGCCAAGGTCCCTCTAAATCCTTTGTTAGTAAACAACCTCAACCCACTCGTCCAAAATAAATTAAAAAACGCAACACAATGAGCAATAATCTTTTTTTTAAAAGCGTTTAATTTACAAAGAGAAAAGAAATAAAACGAAAATGGTACTTAATAAGTCATTTTATTCGATTTTTTTTAAGTCTTGCCATAGAACGCAGGTTGTTTTTATTATATTTACAGTACATAACCATAATTATATTTAATTAATAAGTAATTATTAAAAACGCAACAAAATTTCTCCCCAAAATCGCAACGAAACCACCACAAACCGTATTTTTCTTTCTTCCAAACCCAAAAATCACAGAAAGAAACCTCTATTCATAATCCACAACCAAAATCGTCAAAAACAAAGCGCAAAAATCGATCGTCTTTAAAAAAAAATAATCACATCCGTTCTTTTTCTTTAATTTTTCGCTTTCACTTCGACCACCTTCCTATTCTTCTCAGTGTTCATTAATTTCGTGACGATTTTCCTTGTGTGTCCACTCGGATCGAAATGGTTCGTGTGCTGGCTCACTTCTTTCTTCGACCGTTGCTTTCCTGGGTAAACGTGTTTATCGTCGAAATTGTAGTGTTCGTACTCGTCAAAATGGCTTTCGGACATGTTGGTTATTATTTTTCTTTGTGTTAGATGTTATAAAGCACCGGTTTTGAGGTAGATTTATTCGATTTTCGTCGCACTGAAATTCCTCGATGAAACTCCTAACGTATTTTGACGTTAAACTGACGTTTAAGCGATTCGCGATTGTTTATATACCCGACCCGGATCTTGTTGATTTGATATTAAGCGCATGCGTTGTCATGGTGGTAGATACTTCTACATTTTTTTAAATATTTTTTTATTTAATTAATTAATTTATTTTTATAATTTTTATTGAATTAATTAATCATTAAAAATAAAAAGTATAAACAAATTTTAATTTTATTTTGCACGATTAGATGGTTGGTACTAATTTTGACATTTGACAGTTTTAAATTATAGCTGTCAATTTGAGTCTATTATTTTTAAGATTATTTACATTTTTGAAGCTTACTAAGGCGTTTGAAGATAAAAATTGGTTTAAAAGTGACTTGTTTTGGTGACAATTAAGATTAAAATCTGATTCTAACCCGTTTTTTTAGGAACTTTCGATAACAAGCTAGAAAACATCATCTACAATAACACAATGAGTAATTAATTAATTTCCAATACAATTTAATGCAAGTACGCTTCAATGAGTGAAAGTCAAGGTTAGTAATGATTTTACGCAGTTAATTAATACCGCGGCTATTACGTTATTTATTTATATTGATAAAAAATCTTTTTCAATGTAAATAAAATGATCGAAAACTTTTCTGTTTTGACGCCTTAAAATTGCGTAATACCAACAAAAACATTGCTTAAACCACGTAAGCGCCCGTTTTAACGCTTTTCTAAGTAAATAACACTGCATCAGCAGGTACAGAGTATGTTCAAAGATAAGATAAGGACTTGTTTATAAAGTAAAAAGATAACGTTGCATTTTAGAAGTAATTTTTGAAATTGCATGCAATTTTTGTGTTGCAACTTGAAAAAAATAGTTTAGGAAAATTACTTACTTTCCGATTCTGGCACACGCTGCAGCATCAGCACAAACTGCGGCCTTTTCGAAGACGTGGAGTCGCGATGGCGAAGGTGGTAAAGGCTTTAAAACCGCAGGCGGGTTAAATACTTTTGTGGTGTTTTTCGAAAAGGCCCCCATAACGTGTGCCAATCCCAAACAGAGGCATAGCAGTACGATCAGCGCAATCAAAACGGCATAACGCGTTTTAATACGGGGCCTATAACAAATTAAAAAAGAAAATTGTTTTATTTAACTTCAAATCATATTTTTTTTTACACTTTTAGCACCAACCTAATTTTATCGAAAAATATTCCTAAAAATAAAAATTATTTTTAAATTATAAACATTTAATTTAAGTTGGTAACAAATTTAAAAATCAATATAACCTCAAAAAGTTTATTGAACTAAAATTTAAATTAATAAGAACAACAATAACGCAACTCACAGGAAGTTGAATTGCATAAGAGAGAGGATGTTGCGGTTCAAGAAACGAGATAATAATCATGTTAATTTTCTTTGTAAAAAAAATCTTTATCTATTTTGCTCGTTTAATCGAATTTTTTTTAACGAGATTTATAAACAATCAAATTCGCTTCAAAACTAGATATAGAGTGAAGTGATGACCTAAAGTGGCCGAGAAACTGGTTCTCGCAAAGTGAAGGTCTCATCTAAAGATGGAACGGAAAACGTCTCTGTTACCATGGCATGAATTCTTTGTTACTCTCATCATTTTTAATCGTTTTAAACAAAAATCCAAGCTTTTATTGAAATGTATTGATAAAATAAACGTGGAAAATTATTCGCGTTCAAGTAGCTCGATTAAAAACACAAATAAAGGAGATAAATTCGTGTTGTGTGTTAATGTTATCTTGTTATGTAGGTAGTTATAAATAAAATCGTAAAATGTCGCCCGAGCGACATTAAATTTTGTTGCGAAAGAGTGCATAAAATAAAAATAATAAAGTTTAGAAAATAAATGTGAAGCCAGGCAACCCAATATACACTATCTTTTTTTTTTAATTAAAAACAGATGTTAATTAAATTTTTTTAATTAATTTAATTCAATTATGAATAATTAGTGTAAATAAATGAAATTAAATCAAATTTATTGTAAAAATAATAAAAAATAATTTATAAATAAAAAATTGATTTAATAAAATTTGAGTTATGCAACCTAATATACACCCCGAAAAATCAAACTGCATACATTTAATAAAATTAAATTATTAATTTCTATTATTATTACACCATTTTAATCTAATCTAAATCTAATTGATATTTTAATTAAATAAACTTACTTAGAAATTAATCTTTTACCAGCTTGGAATTTTTGATAGCAATTTTTTCGAGTCGCAAACATCTCCACGGATTTAACCCTGTTAAATTGCATATTGTGTAATTTTTTCTTCCTCCGATTTACGAGCGATTGCACCACCGCGTAATGAGCACTTCCGGCGACGCGAAAATCGACCATACTCGTCAATCGCTTTCATAGCACGAAAAGGAATGAATTTTTTCTACATTTTTTAGGTTAAATTTGATTGTATTTAAGAGGGTTGGCGACGTGGAAATGCTTTAACACTCAGAAACGCGGGGGTTTGATCGATATTTTGCAACGGACTTGCGCAACACATTGAAAGAAAATAAAGGTGCATCGAAATCGCATAAGATTTTTTTTTCTTATTGATTTAATGATAATAATAAAAGTAATTAAAATTTATTAATTTATGTACTCACCAATGAAAGGAAAACAATTTTAATTAATTCACGGCGAATTTTAAGGGGATTTTTATCTTTGTAGGAAATTTTTGACATTTAAATAGTTGATTTCTGTCACTTACTTTTTGACAACTTTTGCTCCTTCGGTTTCCGAAATTTCCAACGAAACATTCACCATTTTCGTCTTTTATCCTAAAGAAAAGAAAAGATTTTTACAAAACGCTTTACATTAACGCAATGAAAATTCGTTCTTTTAAAAACCCTTTATTTATACTTTTCCGACTTGTAATTTTAATTAAGGACCATCTGTTGCTACATTCACCCTTTAATCTTGTAATTACCTCATTAAAGTCGGATGTTTAAAGAGGAATTATTAAATTGTGTCAACAAAGACATTAATTTATAATTAAAAAAACATTAATTAAAACAATTTGTAATTTGTATTAAATTTGATCGGAAAATTATACCGGAAGTGGCTAACCATATTGATAACCCAACGAATCGACGTCGTTTCACTAAGAACTCATTTGACGTTTAAAGAAATGTCAATATAAGATCGCAAGAATTAAACAGTTTGGATTGATTTATTTTAATGTGATTCGCTTGATTTTTTTTTTGGTAAGTTTAAGCACATTTAATTTAAACATAGTTATCAGTTTAATAACAATACATTTTTTAAGACATTTTCTTTTAGTTTTGAAATTCACGTCAAAGTGGCGTCATCGACATAACCTAAAATGACAAGTACATAACCTCAAATTTTTTTTGCATTTTGGTAAGTGTTTATTTGTTTAATTATTTTTATTCTGAAAAAATCCAGATGTTTTTTCGAAATATCACTGATAACCTTGGTTGTTTTCTTAATTTTTTTATTAAAAATAAGTTTAAAACACAAAAAAGGTCAAGATAATCGCAAATGAGTGTAAATAAAAGGTGATTGGGAATCATCCGAGTATTTTTTTCGTAGTTCATTCACGTTTCGAGACGATAAAAGTGGTTTCGAAAACACTTTCGATAAGCCCAATTTAATTTTGCGAATATCGAAAGGAATCGTTTCAAAATAGAACAAATTTGTAGCAAAAAATACGTTGATTTCGCGATTGATTCGCGTGAAAAGTCAAATAATAAAATTGGGTTAATTTAAAACGAAAAAATAATTTTATTTTAAGATAAAATTATTCTTGAATGATAATTTATAAAAAAATGATACAAAAAAAGAGTTGCTTACCTTCACCGCAACCAGTTTGGAGGTTAAATTATGTCATAGACGTTGAATAAAACTTATTTGTGCTGATGTTTTATTACTGGGTTGGTTTCCTTAAAGAAGTCCAACCTGTTCGATTTGCCAGCTAATACTGTGTTGTTCTTTGCGTGCAATTCACGAGACCACGCGTCCTTCGGCGTCAAAAGATGAATCGTGTTAATCTGGGAACCGTTTTTTTTTAAAACGCGAGTTTCAAGACTTTCAAGAATTCATACGGAAATGATAAATAATATTTAACATATTTGTAATATCTATAATACGTCTTAATAATTATAAAAATTCAAAAAATCTTATATTAAAATAAATTACATTTTTTAATTAAATAATTTATCGGATTAATCATAAATTTATTTTTAAACTTAATTTGAATTTCCCGCTTAATCAGTCGACTTTGATTTGAATCGGTTACCTTAGCAACCAGCACATTTTTTGTTTTTTTTTTGTTGATTATTGTTAGCGTGGGTGTCCATCTTGTTGTCTTTTAAATTTTGCAAAAAAATCATTACACTTGTAAGTACAAAACGTTTAGTGAGATTATGTTGGGTAATTTTGCGCAATATCAAGTATATTGAGGAAAATTAATTGTGTTTAATGGGTCAATGACCCATAGGTAACTAATGTTGGGTGAGGTTATGTATCTTGCATAATACGAAGTACGTTGGGTAAGATTAGTTATGTTGCAGACGTCATTATTGTAAATATTGAAGATTATGGAATTCCAGTAAGATTTAAACTATATCAAGCAAACCACTTCTCAACAAAGAGAATCCTTCTGATAACAACTTTAGATTGTGGTTTTGATTCAGTGCTATGTGCAAATTACATTTTTAAAACAATGTTTCTGGGTGGAAAGACTTGGAATTAATACTTAGTTAATTTTATTATGAATAAAAAGTGAATCACAATCGAATCGTAACAAACATCAGTTTTGAGAATAAAGTAAATACTCAACAAGATAAAAGAGTATTTAAATCCTTCACTTTTTGTGATAAGACGTTTTCTTTCAATATTTTACATGTTCGTTTTTGGAGGATAATTTAATTATTGCAATGTTATTCTCTGATTAATCATATTTAACATCCAAATAAGCCTTTGAAATTATCTAAAAATTAAGTTTCTCAATAAATGAAATTAACTGATATAGATAGCCATCGTGCACGACATAATCAAGGGTATTATATTTTATCAGACGATTAATAAAAATCTGTTACGTTTATAAACAACAAGATAACATAACCTCAAATATTTTGATGGTTCAGTTCAAATTGCAAAGATTATATCATATTTCATCTTTTCTTTCTTTTAGTACATTTTATTATTCCTTTTATTAACATTTATTATTTATATTCCTCTTTCCGCCAATTCTTTATAAAGGAGGTTCAATTAATAAAAAATATTAATCATCGGAACTACCTAAAATTAACTTAAATTAAGTTTCTCAATAAATGATATTAATTGATATACTCATCAGGCCATAATCGAGATATTATTTAGCAGACTTAGATTATTAATAAACAATCTTTATTGTGTTTATAAACACTTAATAACTTAACCTCAAATATTTTGACGTTTCTGATTAGTTAAAGGATTCGTAAAATATACAAATAAATATTGCATTTTTTTATTAATTGCAGAAAATAAAATATACATTCTTTTATTCTGTTTGATTCCATCGAACGTATAGATTATTATTAATTATAATTTAATACTGCTTGGGATATGTAACAAATATACATAGCTTATTTGTCTGTTTTTAAATTTCCTCTTGATTGTTGGTTGTACCCTGTAGACATCGAAAAACGAGTGCTCTAATTCTATTTTAATTAATTTATTATTTATTGTTCGTCGATCTACCGTTGGACATCCATAATTGATTTATATCTAAACGAAGAACGGACATTGTATCACATAGAGACATCACATTGAAAAAATAAATTGAAATTCTTCATAAAATAACTTCCTGGGTTTTTTGAAAATTGTTTTTTCTTATCCCGTTTTCCGAAATCTCTTTTAAAGGTTCTGATTCGCTTTGAAGGAGTGGTTTCATCGTTTTTTCTTCCTCCTCTTCTCCTTGTTGGTAAAAATAAGATTTCCATTTTTTCTCTAATAGAGATGTCGTGGAATGTGTTTTATGGATATCTTTTGGGGGTGAGTTTTTGTCGCTTTCCTCTGAAAATGCGCGGGTTATTAAAATTTTGGGAGAATTGATTTCTTTTTGGGGTTGATCTTCAACCAAAAAAAATTTTTGGAGGATATTTGATGGTTTTGTTGAAGAATTTTCGTTAACCATTGATAGTTGTTGCGATAGCTTTTCGGAAAATTCGTCGCTAATTTTTGGTACTTCCAAAGTGTTACAACTTTTCGCTTGAATTATTTTCCTCGGATTAGTTGGGGAAAGGTTTAAACTCCCCGAGGAATCTTTTTTCCACGTTGATTCCGATGCAATCCTTTTAATTTTTGATCGTTGGGGGCTTTTTTGAACTTCTAAAAGCGCCTCGGATAACCTTCTTTGTAACGTTGGTTTTGATAAGAATCCGAGGGGCGTTAACGATTGTCTTCGAGACCCACACGTTGATGGAGTTCGGGCTTGAATTTCCTGATTCATCTCGTTTTTTGATAACTTTTTTCTCCAATAATTTTGAAACGATTTCCGAATCGTTTTGTTTTTGACCCCGTATAAAAAGCCGTTAATTGAAGGTGAGCACGTTAATAAAGTGAAAATAATGGAAAAAAAATGGGGGTGGATGCTTTTATGAAAATTATTTGATGGTGACAACAATGTTATGGATGATTGCCACATGATCACGATGTAATAAGGGAAATATAAAATCGTAAATGAGCCTAAAAGCTGCAAAACTGAGTACCAAGCGCTTCTCCCCCGGAATTTTGGCCCACCCGCCGAAGGAGCTGTCACGGTTGGGACAAAAAAGGGATTTCTTTGATGCGTTATGGTAACTTGGGCTGATAATGTAACCTCGTAAATAGCCGAGGCGATTCTATGCCGATGATAACGAGCTATCATCAAAATCTAAACCAAAAAAGAATGTCTGTAAAAAAAATAATAGTTTAAATTCTTATTTTCCCCCTTTACCTTCATATTACAACAAATAATTAACGTAGCCGGCAATAAAAGAGTTATCGCGGTGTAAACGGCCGAATACCAAAGAGTTCCATTCCCCGAAAAATCCGGGGCGCAAGCTCCTAAACCCTCGATGTATCTATACGGGGCTATTGTAAAAAGGGGAGGCACGCAAAGTGCTAAAGACACCGTCCAACCCACTCCTAAACCAAGAAGAATCTAAAACAGAAATTATTTAATCCGAAATAATTGTTAATTAAATTATTAACTTTTTTTGAGTTAACTAAATGTCCGTAATGAAGTGGAGAAGCGATCGCGTAGTATCTATCACAGTTTAATCCACAAACGGTCCATAAAAGTAACGGATGAAGGAGCGTAAATAGAAAACCGTGGAATGCGCATGGTGGCCCGATTGAAAACCAATTTTCCTTGGTTAATCCGGGCCCGGAAAACGACAGGAAGAGGACCCCCAAAAGAGTGTCGACCACGCCTAAATGGAGTAGAAGTAAATTGTTCGCCGATGACACCTAATTAAAAAGAAAAAAATTAAATTGATTTCAAATTTTGCTTATAATATAATAAGATATAATTATAGTAATATATTTTTGGGTTGGTACCAATGAATTCATTTCTTGTCAAATTGTCAAAATGACGTTTATGTGAAATGTATACATAAAAGTGTCGTGTTTTGAACAAAAAGTTATATTATTATATTAATGTTAAAAGTGATTAAATAAATATTGAAAAATATGATTTTAATTAAAAGTATGGTAAATTTTAAAAAGAACTCACGCTAGATCTAGATTCCAGAACTAGAAACATTCGGGTTTACCCGTCTTAAGAGACGCACGGCTAAATCCAAATGTTTCTAGTTCTGGTGTTAGTTCTGATGATAGTGTTAGTTTTAATTGTTATTCAGCGCTACAACAATCAAAATATAAATACAATTTTAAATTTAATATCTTGTAACTAACGCCATCTTTTGTCCCATGATCCTTACTATTGGAATTAAAATATTGACGTATAACCTAAAAGATTTGAAGAGATTCTGACTTAAAAGACTCACGTCTAAATCCAAATGTTTCTATATCTAGGTTTGGTGTTAGTTTTAATTGTTATTCACTGCTAGAACAATTAAAATTTAAATATAAGTTTAAATTAATAACGTGTAACTAACGCCATCTTTTATCCGGTGATCGTTACTATTAACAATAAAAATTTGACGTTTAACCTAAAAGAGTTGTTCTTTCGTCTTAGAGACGTACAGTTAAACGCGAATTTTCCTAGTTCTAGATTAGTTTTAGTTTTAATTATTATTCAGCGCTAGATTATTGTATATTTTTATTGAACTAAAACCAAGTTATGATGTAAATGATTAAGTTAGATGTATTTAACACAAAAAAGTAAGTAATAAAGTTTACAAAATAATTTTAAATTTAATAACTTCTAATTAACGTGATCGTTTCTATTGATAATTACGATCTCACAGTTAGCCGAGTGTAGCGTGTAAGCGCACGTACTTTAAAATTAAATGTATAAATTTGACGTTTAACCTAAAAAATTTGAGAAATGTCGGATATTACCAACTTAATTCTTTTTTATTTTTAAATTCACGATGTGTAACTAAGCAACTAAATTCGTGGATAATCACAAAGATCAACCTGCACAAATTTTAAACTAATAATAAATTCATAGAGCGCGTGAATAATGACCAAGTTAGATATTTACAACTCATTAACCGAGGAATTCGGGTAAACTTAGTGATTAAACGTTTATGAGTGGAGTAGTGGAGGTAGGTTTTCGAATGGAACTCAATATTTATTCGACCAGGTAAGTGTAATCATTAAATTTTAATTGTTATTCGGCGTTAAATCATTGAATACCTTTATTGAACTAACAGTAGACCTAGAACTAGAATCATTCGGGTTTAGCCGTCTTTAGAGACGTTCGGCTAAAGAATTAAATTTTTAATATTACCAACTTAATTCTTTTTTATTTTTAAAATACACGCTACGCAACTAAGAAACCGTATTTGTGAATAATCATTAATCACAAACAATTTGACAATTAAAAATTAACCTAAAAAAATTTGATAACCAAAATGAATTACAAACCTGTCTTGTAAGTAACACCACGACCAAAATATAAATGTTTAAGGTTAGGCCGATGATGGATACCAAAATGAGGCCCGCCGCGAAAGCAGTGGATGTCATCGCTTTTCTTCGTTACCCCATCAAGCGTTGTAACGATCATTTTTATTTCTCTCTGTGAACAAATAAAATTTAAACAAATTTTTTTGAAAAAAAATCTTTTTCTTTTTTTTACGCATTAATCGATACAAATTCAAAGTCGACGATAAAAAAAAATAATTCCGATAACGTTAATTAAAACAATTACTACGTGACGTTTTTTTATACTTAAAATTATTTTTATTTTTATAGATAACCCAAATTATTGTTACTAAGAGGTTTTATTATTCATTTAGATACAAAAATATCACAATTAATTTTTAACCATATCTAAGTAAACATCTCCATTTTTAAAGATGTTTTTAGATGTCTCATTTTCTTTCTCCATCATTCCATAAATAAAATTATCAATATCCTCCATTTTATTATAAACTTCTTGGAGAGAAGCAATAAAAGAAGGAGATAATAAATTTTTATGTTGGGTTATTTTCGATTTGTAAACGTTCGATTTTAATGTTATATTTTCTTCGTAATAATTCCATTTGTCTTCTTGGTTATTATTAATTTTTTCTTTTAAGATGGTTAATTCGTTATTTTTATTGTTTAGTTCTTTGTTTCTTTCGTTAATAGTGTGCTTCATTTTCTTCACTAAATTTTCCAACGATTTATTTTTAAACGAATTTTCCTCAATTTTCTCCTTTAAAGCATTGTTTTCATCAAACAAGATATCAACTTTACTATTTAGGTACAAATTTTCATCACTAATTTTTATAATTTCCTCCAAAGAAGCTTTTTCTTGTTGATAATCTTCCTCGATATCCTCCAAATTCATTTTTAAAACATTATTTTCTTCTTTTAACTCAACAATTATTTCTTTCAAAACAATATTTTCCTTAAAAATTTCATTTTGTTTTTTAATTCTTTCGTTTTTGACCAAAATCTTTCGCTTACTCGTTTCTAATTTATCATTTAAAAGCGAACATTTCTCCTGGATTTTTTCACATAACTTCTCAACGCTTTTATTTTTACTTTTTAAAATTGCTAATTGATCGCTTAACGTTTCGTTTTTACTCCTTAAATCGTGAATTTGTTGCGATATTACTTCTAAATACAACATAATGTTTTGATAAGTGTTTACTTTGTCTTCTTTGATATCATTTTGTGGTAAAAATGAGTCAATATCGATGGAGGTGTTACAAAAATCGATTAATTCTCGCGTTTTTAATCGGATGTTATCGAGGAAATCCTCCGCCATGCGATGTTTCGGAAATTTTCTTTGATTTTTTATGATATTGTTTCCCTTTCGGACCATTTTAATTTTTTTTTCTTGTTAGGTGGAGTGATAGAAAATGAAGCACAGTGTGTGGATGACGTTTATTAACTGACGGTAAGTTATCAATATTAACTTGATAAGATTTGTATTCGCTTGATAATCAAATTGATAATAACAAAATTGAATTTTTTAGATCAAATTATTATTGTGATAGTTATGCAACCAATTTAACACCATCATTTTTTATTAAGTTAAAATTGTTTTGCCAAAGCGATAAGAATTGTTTACGTATTTCTTGATCGTGCCAAAGAAGATGATAAATTTAATTTAGACAAAACAGTTCTCATTTGAAGTTTGTTACATAAACACTTAACAATAAAAAATTTGTGGAGAAATGTCGAATGTTAAAAAAAGTAATTTAGTAATTTTTGTGGTTTTAGGGGTGTTTTCATTAACATCTTGTCAAGGTATTTCATATTTAATTTAATGTTGATAATTTTTGTATATTGTTTAAACGTCAAATATTAAGCAGTTGTATTTTGAGTTGCATAACTTTCTATTACTATTTTATTTCATTCATATCCAAGGTCCGTTGAGTAAACATACTGTATAAAGTTATCCAACTCTCTATGAACACTGTTGTTATGAACGTATCCCCTCCGCAAAGGCCTTGTTGTGACGTCATTGGAAGAATTGTCATTTCCGTTTTCATTTATGAAATATAAATTACACCTATACCTAAACCAACACAAACTCTTTATTTCTTGAGTTTAATAACACTTGTTTAATTTTGAAATAATTATTACCATAAATATTATTATTATATTTATATTAAAAATTTATATTGTGATATTATATTGTTATATTTTTCCTCATATGACGTCATGTTTCCCACCTCACCCCGTCAACGTTAATTTGTTCGAGTTGGATAACCTTGTAACCAATACTCAATGGACCTTGATTCATATTATTTAATTTGACATAAAGATAACCTCAAACATTAAGAAATGACAGATAAAGTAAGTAATCAAATTTTCAATATAGCCAATATAGTAAATTTTCAGTAGTTATGCTGCTGAAGTAGAAGTGAGTAGAAGCTTAAATTCTTACGAAATACATAGATAATCTCTGCATTTGTATGTTATCTTTATTTGCCGAGGCATCTTTATTCCTTTTATGTATTTTGGACCTATTATTTAAAAAATCTGATCATTTCTTAAATTAGATTTCAACACAATTTAAGCATCTCGCAGATGAAATGTTACTAAAATTCCTACCTAAGATAATACAATTTTACGTTATTAAACGTATTTAAACCTTGTATATTTTTTGACGTTTATCGTTGAGGTTATGTTAGATTATGCAATTTCAAATAAATCAAAAAAATCTTTCTCCCGATGATGACGGTGATTATTTCAAATTCTCCTCACTTATTATTCAGACTTATCAGTACTTTATTGTCAAACGTTAATTTATATTTTACTGTCATAATCATGATTTATTTTTGAAAATCTTTTAATAAATTGTCATTAAATTATCCTCTTTGTGAAGCGAATGTACGCGTTAATTAGTTGTTCCGGCAAAGTGTTATTTCGATATTAATCTATATCCGGATTATAATTTAATATAAAGCTTTTATGTATACACCTTCGGATTAATCAACGACTTATTCAAAATATGTGCACCCAATTATGAATTAGTATATATTCAAACATTATCGAACGGTAAATTTAATGTAAATTCAATTTTCATTGCTAAAACGGTATGTTTAAAATTAATAATTTTTAAATAAATATAAATGAGATTTAATCCGACAGATGGAACCTTTTTGTAATAACAACTTTTAGTAGAAAGTAAACTTTAAGGAGGCCACGACTTCGAAACGGTAAACGTAGTCGACGCCAACTAAGCAGAATGTAAAATTCTTTTTAATTATTAAAGAAAATATTTTAAATAAACAAATAAATTAAATAAAGGAAATAACTCGTTTAATGTCAGTAAGTGAATAATTTTTTTTTATTTATTTTCATGTTTTGATCAAAGAATGACATGTGTAAATAAAATACGCGTGGTATGAGATTACAGCTGGATACGCAAGCGCTTTGGCGCGAATTTTTAAATTTAACAGCTGCAATTAGTATATCTCTAAAAGATAACTCGAGTATTTCTTATCGTTTTACATTTTACAACTTTAAAAATACGGCTGTTGTTAACAAAATCGTTTTATTTTCAGAGATGTCGGATAATTTAAGGAAACTCTTGGATAATATCACACCGAATTTCGAAGAAAATTTAAAAAGGGTAAAAAACTTTTTAATTAATTTTCTATTTTATATCTTCTTTAATTTTTAGGCTTTTATTAATGAGGGCGTACGTACTCAAATGAAAATTGGTTACCTTCCACATCAATTAGACGATGTTTTCGTTACTATTGATAATACAATAATGTAAGTTTTGTATCATTTGGAATTTAGCCAGGTTATGTCGCTAATAATGGAGTTTGCCAACGATTTTTAAATTTATCTTCACCAACTTTCCGTTTTGCGCATCCAAAAGTATTCGTTTTGCTTTATTATTTACTTTATTTCTTTCCCTTTTTCTCGGCACCCATTTGTTCACTGCGTTTTAAGCAATCTTTCAAAATAAATCTTTTTCAACTTAAGATACTCTCCCCAAGGGAAATCAACTCTGATTAATTCAAAAAAAAATCGTAATAATTTTTTATCCTTATTTATTTAGTTTTTTTTTGTAGAGAATTAAGAAATTTAAAGTTAGTAAAAACGCCGGATTTTCGAATAAACTTAATGGACGTTGATTTGTCGATGTTAACGATTAATTTGGGGTTAAGTTTGGGGCAATTAAAAATTGAAGGGGAGTACGAAGTTACTAATAAGACTTTACAGAAAATTTTACCGATTTCCCATGTCGGGAAAATAGCGTAAGTTAACCTTAAATAAGTAAAGAAATTAAATGACAAAAATTTTTTTTAACAGAGTAGTTTTAGAAAATACAAATTGTGATGGAAAAGCAGGGCTTCATATTAAAGAGGATTCTTTCGTTGTGGAAAATTATGATTTAAAATATCATTTAAGCGAAATTATTTTGAGAGTAAGTATTTTTTTAAATTTATTTTTGATATTCTTTAAGGTTAACTTGCAAACTGTCATTGTCAAAACAGTCAAGTTTGAATTTAAACATTTTTCTACCTCTCCTTTTATGAGTTGTGTTTCATCGTCTTGTTCCACATTGTTTCCTGCTTTTCATGGTGAGCTGCCAGCATTGCTACCGTTTTCTAATGTAGACACATTAGAAATGTCGTTTCTTTTGGCAATATTAAATTGACGTTTAACCTTGGTGAAAATGACAGATCAAGAATTAAATGTTCAATATTGCCAACTTAATTTTGTTATTATGTCAGATTAATGTATTTTTGTTAAACTAAAACTAGAACCTTTCTAGAGTTAGCACTAGACCTAGAATTAGAAAAATGCTGGTTTAGCCGTGCGTCTTTGTAATAGGGGTTCAAAACAAAACTAACCTACCCTAACATTCCTTCACGTTATAATTAGGGTTCAAAAGAAAACTACCTCTGTCTTAACATTCCTTCACGCTTTAATTGGATTTTTCTTCACGCTATAATTGGGGTAAAATAGAAAACCAACATTCCTTCACGCTGTAATTGAAGTTCAAACAAAACTGACCTATCGTAACATTACCCAATATTTTTGTCAGGTTGATTGACATTTGTAAACAAAACTAACCTAACTCAAACCATACTCAACTTTTCTTTCTGGAAGTCATTGCTCATTCTTTTAAATCTTACTACATTAAAACGCATTCTTTGATATTTTGTTGAAATAGATATTTATTTTATTTTAATTATTTTTGTATAAACATTAAAAATTTAAATGTCATTATGACACAAATTAATTTCAAAACCTAAAAACACAAAATTCCCCTGTTAACCATGCCAACCGTTTCCAACTTCACATCAATTTGACAGACACAGGAAAAAAATTATAATTGACAGTTACTTATTAAAAAAAAAAATAATTTGTATTAATTTTAGGTATCTTATTTTAAAGAAGACGGTTTAGAGGTCGACAACGAAATGATTGAATCAGATTTAGGTGAAAAATAAATAAAACCAAAAGCAAAAAAAATTAAATTAATTTTATTTCCAGAAAAAACTTTAGTTAATATGTTCTGGGTACAATTAACAGACATTTTAACGAACATCTTACACCGACAACTCGGAGCTGTTATAGTAGAATTCTCCGTTAACGAATTGTTATTAGACGACCCCGACGAGATGAAGTAAAAACGATTTAATTTTATTTTAAATTAGATTTCTATAAGAAATTATTTTTAGGGCTTACTCAAGACAGTTGTATTTAAGGGCGAATCGCCTTTTAGACTCGATTTTATGCACGGCCAAAACGTTTTTGGTCGAAAAAGATTATTTAACAATCGACGTGCCAAGTCTAAGCGTTGTATTTAAAAGTAGACCCCCGGGGACTCAACAGGGATCCTTAGAAACCGTGCAAGGAGAAATTTCTGATTTATCTACGTTAACTAGGTTAACTCAAGCGAATTTGTATGAAGATAAAAACTGTTTGGTTGTTTATGGGCAAGTTAGATTAAGAGATTTTAAAGTATAACGAAATTTTTTTATTTATTTTTTTTTGGGTTAATTAATTTTTTTTTAGTTTATTTACCCGTATTATAAAGCGATGTATTCGGATTCGGTTTCTGAGGGGAGTTTGAAATCGAGTATCTATAGGAGTAAAGTATTTTTGAAAATAACCATACAAAAAGACCAAAATAAATGTAACCCACAAATTGATCTGGTTCAAGTTCGAACTGTGAAGTAAGTTAAATATAAGTAATCATTAAATAATTAAATAATTGATGTTGTGGGAGAGAGAAAATGTCAAGGACGAATAATTTTTTCCGTTTCGTTTGTGTTAATCGCTTTTATACGATCGGATATTTTTAATTTGCGCCCGAGAATCGATAAATATGGGTTGCATTAAGATAACTCAATTAGTTGCATCCCAGTAAATTCGATCGATTTTACAAAATTGAAGCGAGTTGCTTCTTGAACCAAATACACCCTCCAAGTAGTCGGATTTAATATAAAAGCGACTTTAAAATTAATTCTTTTAATAAACAGTATTGACTCACCGATCCATTGAAATGACTCAAATTGTTTCAGTGACATCGATATCGATATCTCAGGTTTGGGATCTTTGAGTTGGCTCCGCGACAGGTTGAGGTCGTGGATTATTGGCAACCTTCGAAACAAAGCTCTTCCACACCTTGAAGAAAAAATTAAAGAAGCTATTAATCATGCTATTTCTATTACAGATTGTAAATCATTAATTATTTAAGTGCAAAGGCTGAATTACAAAATTATGTTGGCAATATTGAAAATTTAATTCTTGATCTGTCATTTTCACCAATTTTTTAGGTTAAACGTCAAATTTATATTGCCAAAAGAAACGATCGTCGGACAAAAGATGGCGCTACTTAGAAGTTATTAAATTTAAAATATATTAAAATTTTAATTGTTCTTGCGCTCAATAACAATTAAAGCTGGAATTAACACTAGACTAAGAACTAGAATCATTCGGGTTTAGCCGAACGTCTCTAAAGACGGCTAAACCCGAATGATTCTTGTTCTTAATCTAGTGTTATACTTTGTTTTTAAACCAGGAGGAGTATTTTAAATTTGTCACCAGATTGACCTTGCACGTGATTGGTTGAATGCGAGGAAGGTTCACACACAGGCAATTTTGAATTTGAAGGTTAGGTTATTGACAATTCGACAGTTTCGTGTCATTATTGTAAATTTTGTGTTCTTAAACCCTTCTTTATTATATTTTGAAATAAATACACTCATAACTTCAATGTTAATTTGTATGTTTAGTGTTGACGATAACAAACGAAAATAAATACAATAATAAGTAAATAAATAAATAATAATAATTATTAATTTAAATTTACCGCCAAAATATCTAGTGATATTTTCTGGTGATTTTTCCTAGTGTAAATCTGACTTTCGCGTTTACTCCTCCTGGTTTAAAAACAGAGTATAGTTCTAGTTTTATTTCATCAAAAATATACCAATCTAACGTAATAACAAAATTAAGTTGGTAATATTGAAAATGTTGTTCTAAATCTGTCATTTCACAAATTTTGTAGGTTAAACGTCAAATTTATATTGCCAAGAGACACGATCGTCAACAAGAGATGGCGCAACTTATTACATTTAAAATTTATTTCTTTTTTTTTGTTACATCTAGTTTTAGGTTATTAATTGTTTAATTGTTTGTTTGAAAACGTTGAAAATATCTGTATCGATCTGGTTTTATTTCAGTATTTTTCCCCCTCCGAAATTGACAGAAATGATTTATGGTAACTCATTTGGGTTGGCGCGGTTGAGTAATCAGCGTAAATAATGGATGGAGTAAAAAACACGCTTACATCATTGATTGAAACATTTATTAACTCAAAATCTTCTCAAAAAAGAACCCTTTTCGTATGTTATAGATATCCCAAGATTTCGTGCTATCCCTCGTATTCCTTCCTAAATATAAAACGCTCGATACCACCACACACCGAGTTTGAATAAATCACATCAAGATTTATTTTGGTTCAACACGTTATAGGGAAGGTATCTTACATGTAATTATTTATAATTATTTTCATTAGTCAATCGAAACATTAATTTGACGTTAAGTGTCAAAAATTTGCTCCTAAATCAAATTTAATCAATTAATTAAAAGAAAATAGAAGTTGAAATACAAGTTTAAATTAATTTAAAGCATTATTGATATTAAACAAAAAAAATTAATTAAACAAAAAATTTTAATTTATTAAAGAATCTAATTTGACTTCAGACTTTAGTCTGACTTTAGTAGTGAAATGTCAAATTAGTGTTTAAAGCGTCGTTAGTTTAATGAAAATTTTCTTGATTAAAATTAAAATTAGAAATGATTCAAATAATATTCATAAAAATTGATTCATTTTATATTAAAAGCACAACGAAACAAAGGAGTTTAAGAAGAATTAATTTAAGGTAAGTAAACCGAACCTAACTTTTAGTTGTCAAATATTTTATGATTCATCCTGTGTTAAAAGTTATTTATTTACGAGAATGTTATAGCGGGCAGTGTTTCTAATTAAAATCCTCCCATAGTTGGGCTTGATTTAAACGTACAAAGCTCTCCCTGGCTTTTACGGCTTTAATCTCTCCCCCAACCCTACTTTTGGTATGCGGCGAGCTCAAATTTCCGGTATGTAAACCATAATTATCTCCAAATAACACAAAAATAGACGAAAAAAATCGGTTTTCGTCCGAAAATAAAATAAAAATTTTGGGTACATGCCACGATTTTAAATGGTAATAAATCAAAGAAAAATATTTATTTTTAACTTGTAAATTCGATTTTATTGAAGTATTTTAAAAATTTGCTGTAAATGCGAAAAAAGGATCAGTAACGGACGTTTCTCTTGATTCAATAAGAAACCGTTGCATATAAGCCCCTTTTAAAGAGTAAATGGAAATGAAAAAGGAGAAGGAGATGACTCAAACGCGGTACTCGTTCAAATCCAATTTTAAAAAGACCCGTCTTGTTACGTTCACGGTAAAAAGGGAATTCTTTAGTTAAAAAGAATGCGAAATTCGATATTTATAATTTTGTAAAAAATGACACATTAATTTATTTTTTTTAATTTACAGTTGGCAGCAAAAAATTATGACGCTTAGAAACGTCATTTCAAAACATTTATAAACAATCAAGTTAATTGTTATTATACGTCTTGTAAATCGGTTAAATTATTTTGAAATGGATTTAATAATGAAAACGAAATATTTACAATAAGTGAAATCAATAAAAATTTGATAATTGACCTAATTTTTACTTTTCGATTGGGTTCAACTTGAAGTTGGTGACAAAAAGATTTTAACATTTGAAAACGTCAAAGCGGAGTTGGAAGGATTTGCATCAAATCAACAATTAAAAAGTAAGATGTGGAATAAAAGCTTAAAATCAATATACGTTAAAGATTAGGTAATTAAGTAATTGGATTTTTATTAAAAATAAAAAGGTGAGCTAATTTAATTTTTATTTTTATCGTTATCGATTTGTTTCGATATGAAGTTGGTAACAATCACCTTTAGAAAGTTATTTAGTAGTATTTCTTATTATCTAATTATACTTCTTATTAATCAATTTAAATTAAATTTGGTGTTTTGATACAAAGTTAAGTTATAATTTAGAAGAATAAAATAAAATAAATTTTTGGGATTTAATTTTTTACTGAATTTAAGTTGGCCATTTTGATCTTTGACAAATCAACACGTCAGTAAGATTGTCATCCAACGATTTTTTTCAATTTCTACGAAATTTAATCAAAAGACATTTATTTTTTCTATTGCGGTAAATACCCCAACATTTCCTTAATTATCTGTAGTGTTGCAGCACTTTCCGGTGAGTTAACCTTCTTGAAATCATCCCTTTGAAGTCGTACTCCGCTTTACACTTCGCTAAACGTTACGTACAATTGGGTGTTTCAAATTAGTTATTATTTTATGTTATCAGAGTTTAGGTCGTAATGCGCAACATTAAAATATATCCCCAAGATTTTATTTTGTCACGTCTCGCTTCGGCGATGAAATATTAAAGGAATGTTATGGTTTAGATACCGTACATAAAAAGAATAAGTGCTTTTTGTACCCAACAGCGTCGTACAGAAACATTTTAGACGCTATTTTCGACGGTATGCATCGGATGGGACCTCTCCCGAAATAGTTTCCGATTCAAAGTTTGGCGTATTGCGAAAGTTTTGGGTCGGAGCCGATGCAGTTACTCATCAACGGTTTTCAAACATGTCTTATTAACTGTAATTAAAGCGTAACAACAAAAATTTCTTTCGTAAATCCATTTCGAATCCAATTTTTTTCGAGAAACTTTTTAATTTAAACTTTGTAACAACAGAATTATTTTTTCTTTTTTTGGGTTGAGGCGAATTTATTCGAAAGAAAACAGTTAGAAACTATGAATTTATTATTTCGCTAAAAATACAGCGACCGAAATTGGTCAGCGTGTTCTGAAACGTTATTAGATCGATGTGAAAACGGGGAATCAATACGAACCCGGTCGTCGCGTTTCCGGAAATACCGGAAATGTGTGCACAACGTTGATTTTGAATCGTCTTTATTTAAATTCAATAAAGTAGTTTATAAAAAAACGATTTCTTTGAGGAATATTAAAGAAACATCAAAGCTTTGGAACATCTTTGATGCTGATTATACAAAAACGTGGATAAAAGCCGAAATAAAACGGGGGTTGCGTTCAAAATTGAATTTTCTAGGAGTTAATTACCTATTTAGATGACTAACTCTAAAAGTTAAGGAGATTACCGTGTTGCAACGACTTAATTAGAATCCCTGTTCTTGCAATTAAGACAGTTTCTATGAAATTTAATCAAGAAATTTATTGTTATCATTTTTTTTGTTGAAGTTGGTAACAAAAACAATTTGACGTTTAGAAACGTCATGTCAAAAAATTCTTTATAAACATTCGTTGTGATTTTTTTGTGATTAAATCGAATTGTGTTATAAATCGGTTAGTTTTGGTGTTGTTACAAAAAATTGTGTTGTAATTAATACTCGAGATCTTTGGGTAAGTCCATAATTATTGTTGTTAATGTTATCCCGCATTAACCTTAAACTGACAGTTTCGATTTGAAGTTGGTTACAACAAATTTTTTTTATAAATAATAATCGCTTTTTATACCTATCTTTAATTATACTTCTTATAGATTAATTAATTTTGGTATTTGTATAAAAAATCTAAATTATATTAAAAAAAAATTAATAAAATAAATTTTACGGATTTAATTTTTTACTAATTTTAAGTTGTCAATATTGATTTTTGACTAATCAAAACGTCGGTATGATTGTCATTTAACAATTAAGAGAGTTTTTACGATACTTAATCAAAAAAATTGTTTATATTTATAAACTATCAAGAAATTGATCTCAAATTCTTAGTGTAAAATGGCCCTGATCGTATGAAGCTGGGGGCGCTTTATTCTCTTCGCGTAGACGGTTTCAAATAAACTTGGGCATGCAATATATGAGGAAACTCGTACGAACATGATAGCTACACGACCAAGACCGACCGTAAACGTGTTTGATTAAGAGAGTCACATCGCCAAAGTGTATCAGAACTAAACATCATTAAGCAGCGTTAAACATTACTAAAGAAATCGATTTTAACAAATTGTGTTGCTTGAAGCAAAATGAAATTTTGTGTTAGTTACACCACCTGTTCGAATATGCGCTTATTTATTTCAATTAAATACTCGGAAGTTGCGTTTCAATGTAAACATAGATAACGAATGTTTTAATCAACACAAACAACTATGAAAACCTTTCAGAATGAATGCGACTGTTTCATTAAAAAGGGATCGATAGCTGTTTCATTTTTCTATTTTAAATACCGCAAATACATTTTTATCTACAGGGTGTTCATTTTAATTGATTATAATGTTTTTTTTCTAAAAAATGCTTAAATTTTTTAATATAACTTTTATCGTTAGTTTTAAGTTGAAATAATTAAAATTAGACGCAAATGATTTAAAAAAAACTTAAATAAGCTTACCTTTAAGTCATGTTTAAGACATTAAATTGATCCGATGTTTGAAACGTGCCATTTCCAGCGTGGTGGTGCGTTTCCACTTTGGAACAAGTTGGGACAAGTCCTTTGGCAAGGAAATGCCGACGCCGACTGATCGGGCGACGACGTCGACGTCGCGACGCTTCACCACGCGCCATCTACTCACAATTCACGTCGGTACAACAACTACAAGTACATATATAAGTTTTTGATGTATACATAAAAGTAAGTAAGTTTAAATCACCTCTTAAAAGTATTTATAGAAACTTAAACTAAAAAAAATCAATTCCCTATTTAATTAATTAATTAAATTTGAGATTTTAATTAGATTAAAATTATAAATTAATTTTAATAAACGTCAAATTGACTTAAGTTGTCATTTTTGACGTCCTAAATTTAAGCGGTATAAACGAGCTAACTTCACTCGGTTATGTATATTTATTTTACTCAAATTAATAATGATTCACCTCTCTTAATTAGATATTTTAAATCATTAAATAAAATCAAAAATTAATTTTATAAAATTGTTCGTTATTAATATTAATTAATCCAAATTAATTTATGATCCGTTAGATGTCTGTGAAATAGTTTCTTAGGAAACGCCACCGGTTGCTAACCGAATTGTTGCGTTATACAATCAAAACAATTAAAAAGTGAGTTCAATAACGCATAATTTTTTAAATTAGAATTAAAATATTGTTTAACGTTTCAGATCTTTGAAATGTGCGTCTACGTACGTTATAGGGCAATGAAATAAAGGTGGGGTTAAGTACTGAAATGTCAAAGCTCAGTTGGAAGGATTTCGAGTAAATCTACAAGAATTTAAAGGTAAGATGTAGAATAGGTTTAAATCACATAGATTAAAGATTAGGTGTGATTAATAACATCGAAAATTCGATTTTAATTAGAAAATCTAAAATATGCATTAAACTAACTTTTCTGTCATTATAGTTTTAAAAAAACGGTGGTGCCATCTAACAACGAATAGCCAAACTATATTTAAATTAACAATAAGTTTAAACGTCAAGATTACATTCGAAAATTGCTTATGTTAACATATCCTTCGCTAATAAATCTTCATAAGTGGTTCTTATTTTTTTTTTGAATACTTAGTTTTGTTTTTTTTGTTTCGTTAATTGTTACTTGCATTTTAGGAATGTAATACTCAAAATGCAATAAATTTTTTCGTTTTACATTATTTATTTTGTTTATGTTATTGGTACAACACCTTTTCTTTCTTATTATATTTTTTTTAATTTGCAATAGTGTTTTATTTAGTTCAGATAATTTGCACTAGATGGAGTTACTTAATATTTATTTTAAACTTGTCACTTTGACAATTAAGATTCAAATTTAATAAACCGAGTTTAATGGATAAACCAGAACCTTCAGCCTCCGATACCGAAGGTTTTAAGAAAACCAAACGAGCGAGATCTATCGGGCAAGATAGAGGGAACCTCGATTTAAGCCAAATCGGGTTCATCGCGACAAAATCAGCTTGTACGTAAACAAAAAATTAAAACATAACTTTAAATTCTTTTTTCGCAGATGAATTCTTCAGCACCTCATCGTTACATTCAAAGAGATTTCGATTTTTGAATTGTTTCAAACCTAAAGTTAGCACGTTTACAAAGGATGATTTGCAAGATTCTGTTTTACGGTTACACAAATATTGCTTAACGCACCTTTTGGATTCTTACCGAGTTCATTTGAATCGATTAAAAGGTTAATAGATTAGACCGAGAACTTGAAACATTCGGGTTTAGCTGCACGTCTCTTAAGATGGCTAAACCCAAATGATTCTAGGTCTAGTGTTATTTCTAGTTTTATACTAGCACCATCACAAGACCTAGAACTAGAATTATTTGGGTTTAGCGGCACGTCTCTTAAGACGGCTAATGTTAGTTGTAGTTTTTTATTTTATCTAGCGCTTAATAACAATTAAAACTAGAACTAACACTACACCTAGAATTAGAAAACTCCAGGTTTAGCTGTCCGTCTTTGACGTTAGTTCTAGTTTTATTTCAACAAAAATATATCAATCTAACGTAATAACAAAATTAAGTTGGTATTATCGTTAATTTAATTTAAAATCTGTCATTTCACAATTTTTTTAGGTTAAACGTCAAATTTATATTGTCAAATGAAACGATCGTCGGACAAAAGATGGCGCTAGTTAGAAGTTATTAAATTTAAAATATATTATTTAAGTTTTAATTGTTCTAGCACTCAATAACATTTAAAACTACAACTAACTATGTTACCGAGTTAATTTGAAAAGATTAATTTATTATTTAATTAAATTAAATAGGGGTATATCTTCTTAATGAAGTGGTCCGGAAAGTAAATTTAGGAGATTTAAAGGTTTCTCAAGTTGTACGAATTATTTGGTGTGGTATCAGCATCGTTCACCACTTTCATATTCGATTAAAAGTTGGATCTGGGCTTTCGGAATGGACTCGAAGGTGAATTAATAAATTTTATTTTATTTTTATTAAAAATTAATGTTTTAGGAGGCAAGCTCACAACGCAAATACTTGTTTTGAACATCTCATGACGCTTTTATTGCCGGATATGTACTCGGTGGTTATTCACTCGATGGTGACTTTTTTTGAGGAAGCTCGACTTTGGGGTACGGAACTTTTATGTACGCAACTTTTGGAGGTTGTAATTAGCCACAGCCACGAACAATCTAAGGCGATGAACGTTTTATTAGATATCGTCGAACAATCGAACCCGATTGTTGCAAAAAAAATTTTGAGGGTGATTTATTTTTTGTTGGAAAAGGATTATTGGTCGGTGATGGATCTCGGGTTGGTTTCCAGATTTTTGGATATGTATAAAGAAAGTATTATCCCCGACGAACAAAATCAAGATTACACTTTTATAAGTAAAGGGTTAGAGTTGTGCTTAAGAGCGTTATTTTGCAAGATTAAAAAGGATTTTTTATATCACGCCATAGATGTGATGTTAAGTTGGTGTTTAACGTACAACTTCCCAAACGAGATTCTTTTGGATTTTGGGAACGTTATCGAGTTCGCATCGGTTACTTACAAAGCTAACCTTTTAAGCGATTATTTCTCTGCGAACACAGTCAACCACATTTTCGTTCTAATTCAATCCGATAATGTGTTAAAAAGTCTCTTGGGAACGAGAATTTTTCAACATTTAATTAACAGGCACGGAAATAAAACGATATTTGACGTGCCGAAGATATTCTTTCAAAATGGGCATTTTAATATTAACACTGGAATTTATGACACGCAAGATAAAGAGTTTTTGAAGAAATACCGCGAGCTTATTCACAATTCTTTATTAATATCCGTTCAAAATCATGGTTTAAGAAGCCGAATAAACATAGAAAGTCTTTATTGCGTCGTTGCTTTATTAGTCGTTGAAATTCCTTGTGGTTATACAGCTGCGGCAATGGCTTGTTTAATGATGGCCATTCAAGAATTAACGATATCTGCGTCAGGAGTTGAATTGGAATGCACGAATAGAATCCATGCTATCGTAATGTCAGTTATGTCTTTAATATGTTGGATTCACAACGCCGAGGTAAATCACTACGTTTATATTTTTGATTTAATATAATGTTTTGTAGATTTTTTACGATTATTTAAACACAATTTTGCATAGAAGAGCTGAATTAGCCCCCCATTTAAACCCCCCACTTCAAGTTTTATATCAATACGCTCGGAATCATGTTTTATGGAATAAGCCGGACTTGTTTTTTGAAGATTGGGAGGTAAGATACGGCCTTTGGAAGTGTTTTAGAAGCATGAGGGGTGCCGATAGTAATATGGGGATAGTTGTGGAGAAAGATGGGAAGTTAAGACTCGAAGTAACCTTTGCGGGTACCTTAAGAAAAGGGCCCGGTTCTTTTTAAGTCTTTTTTAAGTTTTTAAGTTGAATTAAAATTTATTCCTCCCTGAAGGAAATTCTTTCCTAGTTATTTTTTATCTAGTTAAGTATTCAACTTGATCATTTTCGAACGTTTACTATTCAAAACCGGGTTCCGATAAATTTAAATTTCATTTTCCAGGATTGAAATTCCTTTTAAAATCTATTTAAGAGGCCAAGTTTATGGTAATCGGAAAGTGATCATGAATCTTTTTGATGGCCATTATTATTAATTTATTTATAATCAATAATTTTCTATATTGAAATAAATCCAATTTCAAGGTTATGTATTGCGACGGTGTCACCATCTAATATCGATATAACTAAACAATATCGATTTTTTTGTCCAATATTTGCTGAAATCGTTCAAAAATGAGAAAAGGAAATGAGAAGAAATATTTTTACAGTAAGTTTTACGAATTTTTAATATAGTATATTGTTATAAAAATTTCGAATTAATTGAAGTCTAGGGAATTTTCAATAAAAATTCATTATGAAGTTGGTAGCTCTGATTTAACATAACCTATAAAAGTTAAATGAAAAATTAAATTTAGTTATGTACATTAATTAATGAATTAAGTGCTAATTGATGTAAAAAATAGTTATTTGTGTGTTCCCCGATGTTAAAAAAGTTTTGTGTCACGTTCCAACTAATTAAACATTTATTTTATTTTAACATTTAGAAGTATTCTTTTATATTTCAATTCATTGACATTGACAACAAAAGAATTTTAGATGAATAAAACTAAAACTGACCAAAAAGGTTGAATAATAAACACAATAAAGCACTTAATAATTGTTAAAATTATAAGAAATAAACTTCAAAATGCATAGCGTTTTTGTGAAAATAATATGAAAGGAAGGACTACCAACTTCGTTTTTTTTCTTTAATTTAATTTTCCTAAATGCAATAAAATTAAAAATTTTTATAAGAAATGTTAGAAAAGCTGTACTAATTATTAAGTTTTCTTTAAAACAATAAATTGATTGAAACATTAATGAACACAAAAAGCTCCAAGTTAATAATTGCAAAGCTAAAATGTTACAAAGATTATATAAAAAAGAATTTTAAATCAATAATCTAAAAGTGACCAAAAAGGAATTAATCGTTGTGTTTAAATCTAAAGTGTTTAACGCAAACTCTAACACTGCCTATAGCAAATTTCATTAAAGGTACGGCCGAAGAACACTTTACAAGACATAGTAACATATTTGGTAGAAAATCATGCTATCGCTTTTATGTTTTTGTTCAAACATGTATATGTAGTTATTTAATGACAAATAAATTGCTTGCAATGCCCACGTCGAAAAATGTAAAACCAATATTCTTTTGGGTAAAATGACTTACTTTTCGAGCGACATCTTGTATTCAGTAGCTAAACTAATGCAAGATTATATCGGTAAATTAGCAACCTTTGTGATAAAGGTTTGAAACTCGACTAAATAACTAAGTTATGCTACTAAATAAAAGATGTAGTTGGTAAATTTTTAAAATTATTGAATGCGGAGCTTAAAACCACTACTGTAAAGGTGTGCGTCTCGGATAAATTTATATAATTTCGCAATTATACTATAGATGGCGCTCTAAAAATGAATTAATTTTATTTTTCAAAAAACAATCTATTTTAGTTTATTTTTCTTTTAATTTTCAAAAATGTAGCCCCCAGGCAGATCCGATCCCACGCCAGTGGCCATCTAAGCAAGTAGGTCTTACCATCTTTGCCAACCGCCTTCCTTAATATTATGTCTTATATTGTGAATGCAATAAAACTGTATTCTAAATTAATCCAATTGAATTTTAAACTTTAATAAAACTTACATATTAGGCACAACATATTGGGAGAATGGGTAGAGCAGCTTAGATCTTATTGTATGACGAAGCACGGTGATATAATCGTTCTCTAAACGAGTATTTTTAACTTGCTAGGCGGTATTTTTGTCGTTAAAGTACAGCTATATTCTTGTTTTTTATAAGTTACATCAAACTTAGAGAGAGGTGTTGACTCATTGCTCTCTGCGATTGTTCGAGTGAATATAGAGTCAATACAGAAAATCGTTCCAAAACATGGGTAGGGATTGCAATACATGAATGGTAACGTAGTTTATAAGTCATACCCATGAAAAATACTTTTCATAATTTAATTAACTAATTAATAAAGTTCTTTAAGTTGTGTACTTTTCTAAAGATGAATAATTAATTATTTTTAACAGATAACTACTATCAACTTAGTAACATAACTTAAATTTATAAATTATTTGAAATAAACTAACAATGAAAGAACAATTTATTATTGTTATTAAATTGTAATACAATTTTGTTAAAAAGAACAATTTTTATAACAATGATTAGTTCAAAAATAAATTGATTTATTTAATTGATTGGGATGAAGTTAAAATAGTGGGAATTAAGTCATTAATAGTTTATAATAATTTTAAGATTTTTAGACTTTTTATATAAAAATATGAATAAATACAATAAAAAATAAAATTTGTTGATAATTTTTTTAACAAGATTAAATAAGCGACTTTAACTTAACGGTTTCCAACCAGTTTACCGAATACAGTTATTTCCTATTGATTTTTGGGGGCCTTGACCTAGCGAATGAAGGTCAGCGCGAGCGCGAAGGTGGAAGCCTCTCGCGACGTCGGCTTTCAGTCTCTCTTCAAACACGTTTCAGTTACGAAGAGTTTGACCATGACCAAAACCACTTTTTCTGTTTAAACAATTTTTTTTAACAAATTAAAAGTAAAAACCAAAGAAATGTTTCAAATCAATTTAAAAACTTTTTTAATTTTCCTCTTTTGTTCTTCGTCGAGTTTAATTCCGGAAGTATTCGGGTATCCACAAAGCTTTACGAATGACAGCGTTGAAGAGCGAATTTACCAACACAACTTAGATAATGAAAATTATCAGGTTGAATTTAAATATCATAATTATGAAGCTATGACAAAGTTTTTAAGGATGACCAGTGCTAAATTTCCTTCGTTAACCGCATTATATTCTATTGGAAAATCTGTTCAAGGTAATAACTAACTTTATAACGTAATTTATTTATTAATTTCAGTATTTTTATTTAATATAGATAGAGAATTATGGGTTATGGTTGTTTCTTCATCACCTTATGAGCACATGATTGGAAAACCGGACGTTAAATATGTCTCAAATATGCATGGAAACGAAGCTGTTAGCAGAGAATTAATGCTACATTTAATACATGTATGTGCACCTCAAAAAATGGGGTCATTTTCTCTTTAATCATTTAAAACTTTCTCTTCGTTTTTTAGTATTTAGTAATTAACTACAACACAGATGAATATATTCGTTGGTTATTGGATAACACAAGGATTCACATCATGCCATCCATGAACCCTGATGGATTTGAAGTCTCGAAAGAAGGTCAATGCGAAGGTGGACAAGGGAGGTTGTTAAATTTGATTAAAACAATTAATTTTTTAATTAATGCATTAATTAATTTAGATATAACGCAAGAGGCTTCGATTTGAATCGAAACTTCCCCGATTATTTCAAACAAAATGACCGAAGAACTCAACCTGAAACTGTAGCTGTTAAAGAATGGTTATCAAAGATCCAATTTGTACTCTCAGGCAATTTACACGGCGGTGCTTTAGTTGCGAGTTATCCTTTTGATAATACCCCAAATTCTCGTAAGTATTTAACAATTTAAAAATTTTATTTCAAATATAGTTCGTAATTGCAATAATAGATGGAGCTTGTTTTTAATAATCAAATTTGTATGTTGATATTTCTTAAAACTTGAAATTAACACATAAAGTAACCTCTTAAAAGTAATTTAATCTGTTTTGCTTAAAAAGGAATTTGTAGATCTTCTGCATTATGTTCGCGTAAGTTACTTACTTAACCTTGTTTCATTTCCACAAAAAATAAATTTTTTTTTAATAAAACTTAATATTTTCAGTGTACTTAACTTACGCTTCTTATCCATCTTTAACCCCGGATGATGATATATTCACGCATCTTGCTTTAACATATTCGGAAAATCATGGGAAAATGAGTAAGGGGGTCTCATGCAAATCAACGACTCAAGGGTTTAAAAAAGTGTGACATAAAAAGTGAGGTTATGCAAGCTTAAATTTAATTTAATTTTAGGGGATAACAAACGGAGCCGCTTGGTACCCTTTAACAGGTGGAATGCAAGATTATAATTACATTTGGTATGGATGTATGGAAGTAACCTTAGAAATATCGTGTTGCAAATATCCTTATGCTAAAGAATTACCGAAGTATTGGGAAGATAACCGAGTCGTAATTAATTAATTAAATCAATTATAATTAATTTTTATAAAAAAGAAATTTATTTTTAGTCCCTAATTAAATTCTTAGCTGAAGTACACCGTGGGATTCAAGGATTCGTGACAGATATGAACGGAAATGCGATTGAGAAGGCTTCATTGAAGATAAAAGGGAGAGATGTTGGGTTTCGCACCACAAAATACGGGGAGTTTTGGAGAATTCTTTTACCTGGTGTTTACGTATTAGAGGTTTATGCTGATGGTTATGTCCCGAAGGATGTTGAATTTATGGTCGTTGCGGATCACCCAACCCAAATTAATGTTACTTTGCATCAAGCTAAAGTAAGCTTTTCGAAATTAATAACAAATTAACTTATTAATTGAGGTGATGGAAATTTTTAGTACGGAACAACATATCGCCGTCCCGTTACTTCACCTTCCCTTAGCATGATTTCTCCTATTGTTACCGCTCAACCCCAAAAATCTTTTAAAATTGCTAAATAACTAATTAATTAATTCATTAATAAAAATAGTAATCAGGTATTATATAATTAATTATTTGAATTATTTATTAATTAATTTATTTATAGAGAAGTGATGTGTTTTATCGGCCAACACAACCAACTTTATTTCACCGGCAACCTCAACACCATCAAGAACAATCACCGGGGTTTTTATCCTCGATATCCAACGGTTTTAGCAACCTCTTTGGAAATATATTAGGATAGTTGTATTTATTTTTGTAATTTTAATCTCGGTATTTATTAGAATAATAAACTTTTCCTGTTAAATTATTTTATTCCAACTTAATTAGAAACAGTAATATCCCGGGCACATTGAAAGGCAGAAATTAACGATGTTAATTGGATGTTTTCATTCGTTCCGGACGAGAGTCTCAATTGAATCGTAGCCATCTTATCCAAGAGATCAATTAAAATCTTGTAAGGGAACTCAACTAAAATTAATTTATTTTTAACTATTAATAAAAAGTAATTTTAACTTACTTCGATGAATATAATTATGAACCTCCTCTAAAATATCGTTTAAAGCTAACCCTTTCACTGTTTTTAACTCTTTAATATCTAAGTGACGTTTAAGGTTAGATTTTCTTTTGACATTTAAGGTTAGGTTTTTTTTATATTGAACGTTAGGTTTTTTTTGACAGTTACAAAAAAATTTTTTAAAGGATACTTAAATAAGCAACTTTAAAATCGTCATTTAACAACCATTTCACGATGTTTTCAATATCGCTTTTTAAAGGATGCCCAACGCATGTATAAACGTTGTCTTCTGTGACATCTTTATAGGCTAACCAAGTGCTTTGGAGTACGTTCAGAACTTTCCTCATATCACCATTAGCTAGAGTTAATAAAGCTTTTTTGCCATCTTCTGATACTTTAACTCTGCAATTTTATTTGATAGATTAATAATTTATTTAATTTATTCTTACTTTTCTTCATCGATGACATAATTCAATCTAGGCAAAATTTGTTCGGGTGACAAAGGCCCAAATCGGAACCTCGTACATCTACTTTGAATGGCCGGGGTTATTTTACTCAAATAATTACAAATGATGCAAAATCGGATGTTTTCCGTGTATTTCTCAATTACTAAAATCAAAATTAATCATTAATTTTTGTTAATTAATTAATTAAGTCATTTTTTGGTTGACAAAAAAGAATTAAATGGAAGAATCTTTTTATTAATCATTATTGTATCGAACAAATTGAGGTATTCCGATTAACATTTTTCTCATTGATTCTCTTGGGAACCTCCTCTTTAACCAGGCGAGCTTTTACAACTTCAATCTGATTCTCTTTATCGATTCTCGTCAAATGAATCCCCAAATATCTCGCAACCACATCCAAAAAGAATAACGAAACGTTTTCCCCACTCTTCGCAGATATTAAATAACTCAAAACGTTTAACTCTTTCATTAATTTAGATACGATTTGATTTGAAACACTTCTTTGGTGCTCTAAATCACCTTAAAAAACGATTTTTACACACATTTTTTTATTTCGATTAATTTTTTACTTTTATTTCCAATTATTGCAACGATCGGAGGACATTTAATGTATTTTTGTATCTCTCGGATCCAAGAATTAATTTCTTCGAACGAATTTTTGTTGGTTATGTCGTAAACTAAGAATATTACCTAAAATTTTATTAATTATTAAAGGATTTAAATGAAATTGGGCGTTTTACGTTAGCTTTAAATAAGTATTTATCAAGCATCGTTCCACATAACTCATCTCCGCCAACATCAGTTATTCTTAAAAGAGCTTTTTTGTCGGATGGTAAACTCATTCGTTTCAAATAAAAATCTGCTCCTATTGTTGATACGTAACTCTTCACAAATTCATTGTAACAAAATCTTCTTATTATAGAAGTCTAAAATTATTAATTTTAGATTGGCAACAATTTCAAATTTAAGTTGGTATTAATTTTTTTTTATAAACTGTCAAATTAGCTCCGTATTAAAATTGATGCAAAATTATTGATTATATTTATAACAAAATTAAATGTATTAATTAAAAAAAAACAGAATATAAACAAAAACGTCAATTTGACATGTTTATACTTTGATTTAAAACTTTTTTCTTATTCCGAAGAATCATCATGAGTTCAGGTAAAATCATCGTAACGTTTCAAAAATACCTTAAATTCACCCTGCAGTAAGTAGAAACAATCCTTATTTCCCTCCTAATCAATTTTTATTTTTAGAAAATCGAAAAATATCATACAAATATCCTCCCCGATTATAAAACGGAATTATCATCAGTAATCAACGTCAAAAAACTATTTTTAATTCATTCTTAACATTTATTATAATTTTAGTGGGAGTTCCTTTTGGGCATCGGTTGAAATGGGCCCCCCAGACCCCGTTTATGGATTAACCGAAGCTTACCGAGCTTGTAAAAACCCGAAAAAAGTTAATTTGAGCATCGGAACGTATCAAGACGACAACGGAAAACCCTACGTATTACCTTGCGTTCGAAAAGCTGAGAAACTCCTAGATTCGATGCGTCTAAACAAAGATTATTGCGTCCCGGAAGGGGAAGAGCAGTATCGGGAGAAAGCGCAACAAATAATTTTAGGGAGAGATTCCCCTCATATCAAGAATAAATTAACGGCTGCCACACAAACGGTTTCACGAACGGGGGCTTGTCGATTAGCGTTCGATTTTATCGGATTATTTTATACCGGGACTAAAAAGCTTTTTGTCCCAAAACCAACGTGGGGGAATCATCTGCAAGTTGCGAGACATGCAGGGTTGTCTTTTGATTATTACCGATATTATGATTATAAAACGTTTGGGTTAGATTATAAAGGGTTAATGGAGGATGTTTCGGTAAATTTTTAACAATGACGTAATGAGATGTAATAGATAAACAAATTTTTTTAGAGAATTCCCGACCAAGGAATTATTTTATTTCACGGTTGTGCCCATAACCCAACGGGAGTTGACCCATCGAGGAGTCAATGGGAGGAAATGTCTGATTTAGTTCGAAAGAAACGATTATTGGTGCTATTTGATTTAGCTTATCAGGGATTTGCTTCCGGGCACTTTGAAGTTGATTCATTTGCTGTAACCAATTTCTTTATTAAGCATTATTTGAGTTAATTTCAATTAATTTAGGTGAGGCGATTTGTGGAGGATGGAAATAATTGTATGATTGTGCAAAGTTTTTGTAAGAATATGGGGTTGTACGGTGATCGCCCAGGGGGGTTAATAATCATTACAAAGAAGAAGGAAATAGCTGAGAAGGTGCAATCGCAACTAAGAAACCTTACGATTCCTATGTATTTAACACCCCCGATTCACGGGGCGCGGATAGCCCAAAAAATTTTGAGTGATAGCGGATTAAGAGATGAATGGTGGGTTTAATTAAATTAAATAATTAATTATTTAATGATTAATTAATTAGGAAGCGAGAATTTAAGTTAATAGCGGATCGGATAATTTCAATCCGAAGAATACTACGGAGCAAATTGATTAAGGAGGGTTCGATTCGAAATTGGGACCACATCGTTCATCAAAACGGGATGTTTTGTTTCACAGGGTTAACTAAATCACAGGTATTAAGATATTATAGCTTCATATTCACTTAGTAATTTAACAAATTGATTTTTAAGGTGAAAAAATTACAAACCGAGCATAGCATTTATATGAGTGAGTCTGGAAGGATATCCGTTGGACAATTAAACACGAAAAACGTCGATTATGTGGCCCATGCAATCCATTTAATCACCCGATATATCAAATGATTGTATATTTATTACAAAATTTCAATAAAGATTTATTTACTTACTTTTCCAGTGTATTTCCCACCGAGAATCACTATTTTTAACTGTTTCTCGATAACCTCCTCGTCCCCATCGGATTCAATCACATCCATTCCACCTACATTCACAAAAATCTGCATGAACAAGGAAACACAATTCCCATCACAATACGCGTGATTCTTTCTTAAAAAATTTCAATTCATATTCACCCCAACACTTCTTATTGTATCAAACGAGTATATAAAGGAAATTTTCGCCGTCGTATTCCAGAACGCAAATCGACCCTTCAAGTGGCAAAATGGTCAAATTAATCATCTTTACTCTTATTTTATGCATCATACAGGATCAATTAAGTCACGGGTGCTTAATTACTAATTGTCCAAGGGGTGGAAAAAGAAATGGAAGGATTAATTCCCTGGATACAAACATTAAACAAGTAAGAAATTATAATTAATTAATTAAACCATTTCTTTCAATGTATTTTTAGTGCATTTCATGTGGACCAGCAAGAAGCGGGCAATGTTTTGGTCCGGGGATTTGTTGCGGACCTTTTGGGTGTTTAATCGGAACCCCTGATACATTAAAATGTTTAAAAGAAGGGCAATTCCATGAAAATGAACCTTGCATCGCGGGGAATAGTTCTTGCAGAAGAAATTCGGGGAGATGCGCCTCTGAGGGGATTTGTTGCACTCAAGGTAATTTTTAACCAGATAAAAATTTCATAAAGTTAGGTTATGTTTATAGAAATTAATACCAACATAATTATATTTTTTTAGAATCATGCCACATGGATAAATCGTGCATTTTTGAAGAAAAACGTGAATTAACCATCCCTTTGGAGTTATACAACTTGTTTGGGTATCAAAACGTCCCGGAATACTCCAACGAATGACTTAATTGATATTTAAAAAAATTAATCAAATAAATATCCCTAAATAAATAAATTTAATTAATTAAAACATTTTAATCCAACCTACCTTTTTCGATTAACACAAAACGCACTTTACCTCACAACACCTCGGATATAAATATATTAAATCCTGATTAAAACAATTTCTATAGTAACCCGTACAATACAAACATTAAACATAACCAACAATAATAAAATTAATTATTTAAAAATAAAAACTTACTTCGTCTCAGTGCGTTTTGCGCATCTAAAGTCATCGCATCGGCTTCATCGAGAATAATTAATTTAAAACCGGATTTAAAAATGGTTCTGGTACTTGCAAACGTTAAGATTTGACCTCGAACTATACCGATACCGCGATCATCTGATGCGTTTAATTCTAAAACCTAATCGTTTAACTGATTAATATAATCTAACTAAAAAGAATATTTTTACCATTGAAGTAAATTGCGATGGTTTATAAAGCTGTTTGGCGCACGCTAAAATGGTGCTAGTTTTTCCGGTGCCGGGAGGGCCATAAAATAATAAATGCGGTACTTGGTCCTCTTTAATAAACTTTGAGACTAAAATTTTTAATTATTTTTGCGGCTTTAAGAAAAAGGATTCACTTACTTGTTTTTATGATGTCTTCGTGGGATACGAGGTCATCCAAAGTACTCGGGCGATACTTTTCCACCCTAAAACCAAATTATTAACTCAAATAAATAAATAAATTAGATTAATTAATTTACCAAGGCAAATTCACTTTATTTCCGGTTTTATTCATTATCAAACTAAACTAAACACAAACTAAGTAAATTGAGGTTATGTTAAGCTTCGCAATTAAATTAGCATCAGTCCGATTTACAAAGGGAAACGTCAAAAAAAATCAACTAAAAATGGATGATTTAATAATAAATATCACGATGTTGAGTTAATTATAAAAGAAATGATTTGAGTTAATATTTAAATCAATTAAATGAATTAAATTATAAAAATTGCATTAATAAAACTTGACTTTTAACAGGACTAACTTCACTTTTATTTTGACAATTCTTCAGTGTAAATATGGCCGAGTCATAATATGGCAGACAGATGATATAAAATGAGCTGTCAGTTTTAGGATATCGTTAAAATCCTAGATTAATTAGCGTTTAATTATGAATTCGCTTCGATACGCATAGATATAATTGATTCGTTGTTAAAAAATTAACTAAAGTAAATTAAAATGGTCGGTGTCTCCTATATACAAACCGAATATCCTTTACACTGGTTGGTGTGGAACAACAATTCGAGCAGTTTAGAAGAGGAACTTGGTAAAAGAATCGTAAGAACACTCTAAAAACATTCCATATAAAGTGTAATGTATTAGTCATTGATTTAAATAAAATTTTTTTGTAGCATGATAAGGAAAAAAAAGATAATAGGGGAAGATCCCCTTTGATGTTGGCTGTCACCTTGGGTCATATGGAGTCCGTACGTTCCTTATTGAATTTTGAAGCCAATGTAAATTGTGAGAATGCTGATGGGTGGTCTGGTATGACTCAATCATTTATTTTTAAACTAATTTATATTAAAAAAAAAAATCAGTTTTACAAGAAGCCGTGGCTACGGGTGACCCGGAACTCCTCCAATTAATATTAGAACGTCGAGACTTCCAACGTTATTCCAATCGGATGGCTGGCATTCCAGAATTACTTCAAAAATTAAAACAAGCTCCCGATTTTTACGTTGAGATGAAATGGGAATTTACGAGTTGGGGTAATTATTAATAACCTAAAAATAAATAAAATAATATATCGTTTGATTAGTTCCTTTAGTTTCTCGAATGTGTCCCAGTGATACATACAAAGTTTATAAACGAGGGTCTAATGTGAGGATAGACACGACCCTTTTGGGTTTCGATCATACTAATTGGCAAAGAGGGAATCGTAGTTATGTTTTTCAAGGGCATAGTAAGTTAATTAGTGTTAACAAGTTAATTAATTATTGAATAGATCTTTGCATGCCTCAATTTATTATTGGAGATCGAAGTTACATTTTTAGGTTATCAAAAAGAAAGGGTAAAGTAAATTTTTTAATTGTAACTAACTTCATTACCTTATCCAACTACAGATTAAAACATGATACCAACTTTAAAAATTTTTTTTTTTAATAATTTCTAAAATTAATAAAAATTAATTAGATGATGGTGCTACAATGTTGGAGATTGATCACGATGCAAGATCGGTTTATTCGGAGCAAATGCGGGCCCCCCCGGATTCGTTGGTTTTGTCGCCGTCGGAAGAGGCGATTTCGCAACGATTAACGACTCCAATTGTAACAACTTATATCGATACGGATAAAATAAGTTTTGAAAGGAATAAAGCGGGAGTTTGGGGGTGGAGATCGGATAAATCGGAGGTGGTTAATAGTCACGAATGTAAAGTATTTAGTGCTACGAATGTTGAGTTGGTTACGAAAACTCGTACTGAACATTTAACTGAAACTGATAAGGAGCTGGCTCGATCTAAACATATACGGACTCCTTTACAAAATTTTTTGCAACCGATTGCAGACGTTCCTGAAACATCAAGTGCTCCACAAACTGTAAATAAATAATTAATTAATTAATTTATGTTTATTGATATATTATTTTAGGAGGAAATAGTGAATTCAACAAATCCAACAAATATAACTCCCGAGGAATATTTCGATTCCGAAATTGATTTAGCTGGGAGGGATATCGGAAGGCCGAAAGAACTGAGCAAAAAAGTTCAAAAATTTAAAGCGACTTTATGGCTGTGCGAGAATTATCCGCTATCATTACCCGAACAAATTCTTCCGATTGTTGATCTTATGGCCATTTCTAGTTCGCATTTCGCGAAATTAAGGAATTTTATACAAATGCAACTTCCCGCAGGTTTTCCCGTTAAAATAGGTTAGAAATTAGTGCCAACCTCAAAAAAAAAAACATCACTAAATTCAATTTCTTTTAGAAATTCCAATTTTCCACGTTTTAAACGCTCGTATCACGTTCGGAAACATTTTCGGTATGGATGTGGATGTACCAAACGTTTCTCACATCCAAGAAGAGGATCGCTTAACTTGTGTTTTAGACGATGTTGTGTTTCAAGCTCCACCATCATACTCAAAACTTAGTAATTTATTAATTTTTTTTAATTAATTTTATTAATTACTGTTTTTTTAGCGGGAGTTGAAAGTCGGCGGCAATTTAGTACTGAAGAAGAAGACGATTTATTGCAATTTGCGATTCAACAAAGTCTCATTGAAGCTGGGACCGAAAAAGAAGAGGTTAGAATTTTTTTTTAAGTTTAATTTAATGATTTTGTTGGTTTTAGGTGGATATTTGGGAGGCGTTGAAAGCGCAAAGGCCTTCAAGGCCAACAACGCCTAATTTGGCCGAAGAAGAACGACAGCTTCAAAGGTGATTTAAATAATTATGTTTAATTTGGATAAAAAAAAATTTTTTTTGATGTTATAGACGTAATTAGCTTTGTTATGTAATTTTCGCCAGATTTTGCTTTTTATTTGTAGAGCAATCCAAGCTAGTTTAGCTATGTGCAATCATACCGCTGTAAGCACAGATTCAGATAATACGAGTCCTGAAGTTGACTCGGAATTGGATATGGTCCTAAGGTTATCGGAACAAGAACAAAAGCAATTGGAAGAACAACAAATGGAGGAGCAAAAATTGTTGGAGCAAGTGCTGCAGTTATCATTGACTGAAAAATAAAATTAAATTACCTTTTTTAAACACATTAAAACATTTCACTCAAGTCATAACTAGTAAATATCATGTTTCAAAATTGGTAACAAAGTTTGATATGTCAAATAGCTATTAATGGCGCCTGGGAGAGAAAGGAATACGTAGATGTAGAGTGTGGGGGGATTTATTTGGTAAGAATAATGTGGTGTAATTAAAAAATAACGTTCCCCATTTACCTATTATTATTAAAAAAATATGATTAAAATTTTCTTTTAAGGCGTGAATGTTGTTTATATACAGGGTATGATAACGGAGTTAAACCAACTTATTTTTCTTGTTAAATTTATTTAAACAAATCCGCATTATTAATTTATAAAGTTTTATTATGTATTTAATGTGAGTTTATATGTGTAACCAACACAATTAAAAAAAAATAACTAAAAAATCGTTTTAACAAATATTTACACCTCAACAAAAATACATCCATAAATAAAAAAATTATATTCGAATTAATTTCTAAAAAGCTATCACATTTTCACTTAAAAAGAATTCCTCATAACGTATCATCAATATCACCATAAATATCAACATCGTTAATATCAACCCCAATTTTCTTTTTAATCTCCCCGATCGAAATTAATTTCTCGTTAACATTCAAATCCGGCCTTAACGAGCATTTTTGACAACTCGGGCTATAATATGGTTTCTTTTTTAACGATTTAATCACCCCATGAGTCACCTTCCGGAAGAAATCTCGATGTGTAAAGTATTCTTGGTCAATACCCGAGTATTCCATCCCCCACTTATTCGTTCTTAATCGTTTCCTTTGTCTCGTTTCAATCTCAACGACGGTTTTTAACGGTAAAATAGCTTCGTCTTCAACGGATAATTCAATATCAAGGTTTCGTTCATCTTTTCCGGGTAAACACCAAAAATATTCGGGTTTTATTAATCGGGTTAACCCAGGAATTGAATTAAATTGTTTTTTTAACGTCGCCCTACTGCTGATTACTTTTAAACAGGTCATTTCAAGGGAATCAGGGAATGAGAATGCTGAGATTAAACGGATGGATGATTGAGCGGCTGTTGAGCACACCATCGGGTATAAATCTTTGTTTTTGAGACCGCGAAAGGCGATTCCTAAAGGTTTTCGATTCATGTAATATTCTAATGTGCCGGAATACATGTCTAAATGGATCCCGATTATTGTGCCGATTCCGAATGGGGGGCCGTATTCCCGGGTTAATTTGTTATGTTGTAATGAACCACGGTAGGAGTAACCCCAAGATTGATCTTCACACCCTAACATGCTGCAGAATTTGTATTGGCGCTCTTCTAATGATACGTCGGGAGTTCCAACACCAATCATCTAAAAAATAAAATTAATTTATTTTGAATCAAATAAATTTCCGAGACATAAATAACATTCCATTTTTAAATGTTTTTTTTTGATAACCTTTGATTTTAACAACTCAGACATTGTTTATCCATGACTTTAGCACATGCGGAGATATTTCCTCTTAAAAGAATATCTATTTACATTTTATTTACACTTAGCACATAGTAAATTTTGCTTAGAATAAATTTATTATCTCCTTGCATGCTCGAAAACAAACCGATTCTTGTTTATGTTGATGTTAGAATCCTTGTTTTTTTATTTCGCGTTAACAAGTAATATTTACTCAATCTAATGAAACAAAAATATTTATTTACTTCCTTAATTAGTTGCATTGACACAATTACGATATTATTTTCAAAATAGATATAGATCAATATAATTACCACATCAGTTCCGTAAAGTTTCGTTAATATTTTAATTTCCCAATAATGATGCATATTCTTCTCCAAGATTTTATTCCCGCGAACAGCCGCCGTACCCGGGCTATAAACGGGATGGAACACAACCTCTCGATTGCCATTCGATAAAACGTGCGTCCCCGTCCGCTGAGGTTCCCAATTCCAATTGTAAGTTTGATTTGTTTCGCCGCAAGTGCATGGTAATTTTCCGTTTCGCAAATCGTCCGGGTAAAAAGCGCAAAAAGACTCCCAATCTGGCCAGAATGTGTTGCCGTGTTCGAAAGCGTTTCCCACAATCAACAAATCCATAATTGTGTTAATCTTAATGCAGATTTCTTTGTGCGCACGAATTATTAAAGGCTTCTTTTATGACCGCCTCGTACGGAATACGATTTAGAAATGATTTGTTGAATTTCTTTTACAGCGACGATAATAAACAGTAAGATAATATTTGACATTGTGGTTATATAAGTGAAGTTTGCCGTTTCATGTTTTTATCAATGATACCAACCTAAAAATTGAATTTTTCTTTTTTAATCTAAAATGTTTTTAATTAATTAAAATGCATCCTATTTAATTATTAAATAAATTAATTTATAAACTTACGCGATTTTTACACTATTCTTAACTTCCCCCATTTAACAAAATTTATCTTATTGTTGAACTACTTATTGATATAGAAAAGTTCTTTTTAAATAAGATTATACCAACAGAAATTACTATTAATTAAATACAATAATTTAATGATTAATTAATAATTAAATTATAATATAATTTATATCGTTTCGTTTATGAGGTTATGTTAAAAATGTCGAACTTTAGATGTCAAACATAACCTCAATAAAAACCTTTTTTCATAAACAATTTAGGAGAAGAATTACTAATTTTAATAATAATTTTTTGTTAATACGACAGAAAGAAACAAAGTTTCGTTTAATATTTTCGTTATTATAATACTTTGTAAACTTAGAATATGTTATGTGATGTCAAGGTTTATAGAACATAAGGTTACCTCATTCCCAAGGTTTATAGAACATAAGGTTACCTCATTCCCTATGCCTCTGTAGTATCGATTATTACCCCGCAAATTGACGTCACTGGTTCGATACAGTCAGAATAAAAGATAGCCTATACATGTGCCTATACGTGACAACACGATGCGAGGTTTAAATATTTTATATAGACTGTACCACAGTATAGGTGGTGTTGTGTTGTTCATAGAACCAGCTACGTCACTGACCCACCTTGCCTCTCAGAGGAGGAGAATCGGTATTGGGTAACCTTATGTTCTATAGACCTTGNTACTCAAGAGACATGCGTGAACACGTGGTGAGTACGCTTTTATCTTATTGGACGGTGAATTAAAAATTAATAGCAGCTGATGACCTTGATGTTTATAAAACACCAAATAAATGTTTGACATAAACATAACCTAAAATCTAATACAATAATGGCTTCTTGTTTTATTTATAACATTTGAAATCGACAAAATTGTCATGGTTACATAAAATTTGGTTTGTTATTTGGGTTGCCTAAACAAAAGTAAAGAATATAATGTTTAATGAACAACCTACATAAAGTTGATATTTAAAGCAATATTCAACGTCAATTTCACACAAAAGTACATATATTCTAATTTATTTGATGCATCTACGATAATTTATAATTAAAGTCAACTATCTACAATAATTGCATTTCAAAGCTGCATAAAATACGCGCGAAACACTTCAAACTCTTAAAAATTTACGATTCGCGCAAGCGCCTTCGCGATATGGGGGCACGACAAAGACAAAACATATATCATTCCGTCTGCTTTTGATGGAAACGCTCGCCACTCATTGCTTAGATAGGGAGTCAGCGATATAGGAGATAGTATATATATGATATTTTCATACTATATTATTACGATTTATTTTTTAGGCTGTAATATAGTGGCATCTAGCGGTTTACATTGATACCACAACTTAAGTAATTTCAAAAGTCAAAATTTTGAAGAAAATTATAAATTAGACTTATTTTTCTGTTATATTGTGTGAATAGTGAATTAAAATAAATTAATCCATTGTATAGTTTTAATATTAAACAAAAGAAAACTTATTTTTTTCAACAATAACAATTCGACCAAACAACATAATCTTTTCATTTGAAGACTTCAGCAATTTTCTAATCAGTGTTGAATCAAATCGAAATGAAAGACTTCAGTTTAACGAATGAAATCGTCGAGTACACCCCACGATTAAAGCCAGAGCTCGCACGTGCCCCCAACGACTAAACAAGGAGGGTTGAAATTATTGATTTGCGCAACGCGGTGAAACGCGGTGTGCAGTCGAACAAAAACACACACGGTACACCCTACATTACTCGAAAGGTGTTTAAAAACGAACCATATCTTATCGGAAAGTATATATTTAGAAAAAAAACCGTTAAAAAACGTTATTTTAATCATGTCTGGTAAGATTTTATTTATTTATTTTCACTTTAATTTGAATTCTTTTATATTTTTTAGATAAAAGAGATAGAGATTACATCGGTTTTGCAACATTACCAGACCAAGTTCATCGGAAATCAGTTAAACGAGGATTTGATTTCACATTGATGGTCGTTGGAGAATCCGGATTGGGAAAATCAACGTTAATTAACAGTTTATTTCTTGGGGATTTATATAAAAACAGAAAAATCTCCGAAGTTAACGAACGAATTCATAAAACTACAACAATCGAGAAGAAAACGATGGAAATCGAGGAACGAGGAGTTAAACTACGGTTAATTAAAAACAAATTTAATTCAAAATTTAATTTAAATTAAATATTTAGGTTAACCGTGATTGATACACCTGGTTTCGGGGACGCTGTTAATTGCGAGGATAGCTGGAAAGTGTGCACAAGTTACATCGACGAACAATTTCGGCAATACTTCACCGATGAGAGCGGATTAAATCGTAGAAACATCCAAGATAACCGAGTACATTGTTGTCTTTATTTCGTCCCGCCGTGGGGGCACAGTTTAAGACAGATGGATCTAGAATTAATGAAACGACTCCATAGGAAAGTGAATCTCGTCGTTGTAATCGCAAAAGCCGACACTTTAACAAGCTCCGAAGTTGCTAAATTAAAATCGAACATTTTAAACGACATCAAAGATAACGATATTCAAGTAAATTTCTAAGTTTTATTGGTTTTTTAGTTTTAAATTAATTTTTAATTAGATGTACGAATTTCCCGAGTGTGGGAGTGATGAAGATGAAGATTTTAAAGAACAAGATCGGGAGTTAAAAGCGAGCATACCTTTCGCTGTCGTTGGAAGTAACGTTATTTTGGAAGTTGCTGGAAGAAAAGTTCGAGGGAGACAATATCCGTGGGGTGTCGTCGATGGTAAATAAAATTAATAAATTATTTAGAACGTTTTGTGAGGTTATGATAATTTATTTTAGTTGAAAACCCAAAACATAGCGATTTTATTAAATTGAGAACGATGTTGATCTCGACGCATATGCAAGATCTTAAGGATGTAACGGAAGATGTTCATTACGAAAATTTTAGGGCACAATGTATATCGCAGATTTCTCAACATGCTCTTAGAGAAAGGGGGAAATTAAAGAGAGATTCAGTTCCGTATGATTCAGATATATCGGAAACTGATCGGCTGTTGATCGAAAAGGATAACGAGGTGATTCTTTTAATTATTTTAATTTAATTAATTCAATCTAATTAATTGTCTAGATAAGGAGGATGCAAGATATGCTGAGGCAGATGCAAGAGAAGCTCAAAGATTCCGCACAAGATAAGAAACATGACAGTATTATCGATGTTTAAATTAGTAATAATAATAATAATGAAACGTTTGTATCGTTTTATTTAGATGACGTAGATCTGTGTTACCGAAGAACAAAATCATGTTCATGTAGTTTTTAAAATTCTCTTTCATATATTTATATTAAATTTTTATTGAATTTATTATTATTTATTATGTTACATAAAAAATAATCAACTAAATAAAGTAGAAAAAAATGTATGAGGATGTTTTTGTTAATATAATAATAAATACCTTGTTTAATCCACCTAACCTCAAAAAGTGATGATAAATTTTTTTAAAACGTTCTTCAATCGCCTTCAACTAAAATAACGTGTTATATTATATTAAAAAACGATAGATTTCCATTTTTTTAAGTCCTGTTATTTTTTAACGAAATACGTATTAAAAATAGTTATTTAGAATGTTTTGTGAGGTTATGATATTAATAAGAAATAACTGTTAACAGATGGCGCTGTGACTTAATTGATTTTCTATTAATGTTTATAATTTATGTTAATAAAGAAATAATCACCTAAATAAAGTACCAAAAATAATAAAATAAATGTCTTTATTAAATATTTTAATTTGAATAATAAATACTTACTTTGAATAAGAGTACTTTACATAACTTCAAAACATTAAATGTCAAAAGATGGCGCCGCGATTTCTATAAATGAGGTTAAAAAATGACACATTAATAATAAGTAAGAAAATGTATTAACTTATATTAAGAGTTTCTTTCTACAATGAAAAATCTATCCGGGAAAAAAAACCTTTCCTATATGTAAATTATCTAATCAAAAAGATCATAACTTTTTCTTTGGAGACACCAAATTCGTCGCTTTACTACTATTTATACCTAACGCTGAAGACAATAAATTAACCACACTTTTCACATCCGTATTCTCAGTATCACCATCGCCGGTGATTTCTTTCTCCAATTTTAATTTTTCTTGGGTGAGCTGCCACATGCCCTCCTCAATCGTTCCTTTCGAAATCAACCGATACACCGTAACAGGCTTTTTCTGCCCCATTCGGTGGCACCGATCCTCGGCTTGCTTATCATTATAAGGATTAAAATCGATATCGTGAATGATAACGGTATCGGCTGAAGTTAAATTAATTCCTAACCCCCCAGCCCTCGTTGATAATAAAAATACAAAAATTTCTTGGTCGGAAGTGTATTCATCGATGAGTTGTTGCCTAAAATATTTAATTTATTTAATTAATAATAATCTAGGGGATATTGTTTTATCAACAAATACCTAGTTTGAACTGGAGTACTTCCATCTAACCTCAAAAATCGGTGATTTCTTATTTTTAAATATTCCTCCATCACGTCCAGCATGATAACATATTGGCTAAAAATGAGTACACGATTACCGTTGTCTTTGAGTTCTTTTAATTTTTTATCAAGGAATAAAAATTTTCCTGAGGTTAAAATTAAATTGTCCGGGAGACCATATTTTCTAATACACTAAAAAAAGGATTTTAATTTAAAACTAATTAGTTCAAAAGAATTAATTTACGGGATATTCTTTGGTTAACGTATGAATTTCAAAATCGGACATGCACCCTAAATCTTCGATAACATGCTTCTCAATATTCTCCTTATAATCAGGATCAAGAGCGAGTTTTTTCGCAATACTAGGAAGATCTTTATTCTGGTAATGATATCTAAGTAATAAAGGGTGATTACTTAATTTTCTGAGTTCTGTCATAATCGTAATACCATTATATTTGCCTTGATCCTAAAAAAAAAAAACAATTAATAATCTTATTGACTTAATTAACATTTAATTTAACTGAATCTCCCGCTTCTTTATAAATTTTAACTAATTGTTGATATTGCTCCTCTTGCGTCGGAGCCATCGCAACTTGCAACATATAATCGGTCTTTTTTGGCAAATCTTTCAAAACATCCCGTTTTAATCGCCGCAAAACGAATGGCTTCATTATTCTTTTAGCTTGTTCGACTTGCTCCTTTTCAAATTGAGGCACATTCTCATCATCCCCCTCATTTCCTTTCTAAAAATAATTTTTTTTTTATTTGCCTTTAAAACAAAATGGCCACCTAAAATACTTGGATGTATTCTTGGTTGCCTATACATAATTTATTATGATTTTACCGCAGTTTTTTGGAATAAACTTTTTAAATCCTCGGTTTTTTCCGAAAAAATATTCGGCATCACAAATATTAATAACGACATTAATTCCAATAAATTATTTTGAAGCGGGGTTCCCGTCAATAGAATCCTTTTAGCTGCTTTTACCCGAATCAAACTCTCATAACGGCGAGTGTTCATGTTTTTTAACATGTGGGCTTCATCAAAGATAACGTAATGAATTGGGGTTACTCGAAACATCTTTCTTTCTTCCGGATTACTCCCCACAATTGTGTAACTAAAAAAAATTTTGTTAAAAATTTAATTAAATAAAATGAATTTATTTACGTTGTTAACATCACATCGTATTCTTTATATTTCCCCTCAGCGATCATTATACGGATGTTTCTTCTCTCCTCTATGCTCCCGTAATATAAAAGAACGTTTAGGGCAGGGCACCACTTCTCAAATTCGTTTTGCCAATTTTCTAAAGTTGAGGATGGGACAACAACTAAATGCATATTCTGCGCGATTTTTCGCTCCTTTAAATACGCTAAAAACGAAATAACTTGAACCGTTTTCCCCAATCCCATCTCATCAGCTAAGATCCCGTTAACACCTTGAGCGTGCAAAATCGACAACCAACTAAGCCCAACTAATTGATAACTTGTTAATTGTAAACTAAAAATTAATTTTTAAATTAAATTAAAACTAATTAATTAATTAATTAACCTAAGTGACATAATTGCCGGTTGTTTTTTAACCCCTACATCATTTTTAACAGCTTTCTCTAACTGTTGTGATAAAGCCGTGCATTTATTCATTAATTGTTTCATGTTAGCACGGGTTACGAGCACCCTCTCGGCCGCGTTTAATAAATCGGTGCTTAAATTTTTGTTCTGTTGAAGTTTTTGAACCTAAAAATAATTTTAAAATAATTAAATTAAATCAAATCAAATTTTTTTATTCACCAAATCGACCCAATCTTTAAACGGTCTACAAGCGATAATTGCATCTACTTTTTTTCTCGAACATGAAGCCATTAATTGTAGTTCATTGGCCGTGGCCGTTTGCATAAATCCTAAAACTCGCTTTTTCTCCCCAGTGACCTCTTTGGTTATTTCAACGTCAGAATCTTCATCGCTATCATATACACGATGGTATTTATACGAAGTTGATCTACCGCTATCATCGCTATCACCGTCGGTGTTGACTTTTCTTCGTTTCCCTTTATGCGACGATTTAGAGTGGTGCCCATTTTTTTGATCTTTCCTTTTAGCGCCATAACTATGTTCCGAGGTAACCCCATTTTTCCATGTGTTATAATCAACGTAACGTTTACACTGGTGTTTCTCTGTTAATTTTCTAATCGCGATCGGAAGGATGAAATTAACGCTTGATAATATATCATAAACTTCCTACAAAAAATTAATTAATACACATTTTTTTTTGATTTGTAATTTACATAGGCTTGAACATTCTCGAACATGCTGATCAAATATTTAATCTTGCTTTCTTTTTCTATGACGGTTTCGTCTCCTGATTTGGAGTTAATCGGGGAAAGTTTTTCTTCCTTTTTATTTTTGTGTCTGTTAGCATTCGGGGCCCCGTCGCAGTCCGAATCGGAATCGGTAAATGCAATAATCCTTTTCCTTGTGGTACTCTTTGATGAAACTTGATCACCTTTAACGATTTTTTTATAGGTTAGAAATAAAAAAAAGAGCCCGATTTCACGGCTCACCTGGATTTAAACTGCTCGACATGATTGGTTTTTTGTTTATCCGAAATTCCCGTAAATTATTTAATAACGATCCGGGATTCGTTGACATAATATTTTTTTGGGAGCCTGTTGAACCGTATCAGTTCATATCACAGTTTACGGAACGTTTATTTTTCACAGCACCTTTTTAATAAAAATTAATTAAAAAAAAACGATTTTAATACTGAACACGATCCTGATACGAAGACGAAGGATTGTAAAAGAAAAAAAGCTGTCACTGCACCGGATCGTTTTTATCACTCTCTTATTCATTAATTCCCCATATAACCATCTTTTTTCACGGTGGGAAAATCAGGTTACTTCTTTACCACCCTTCAAATCAATTGATGTGATGTATAGGGCGCATAAAATAAACCGATCAAATTTAGTAATTTAGTAAAGTAATCATTAATTTAGATCTATTATTAAAGAAATCAAATCAAAATTTGATTTCATTACAAAATTAAATCATTAAAAATTAATCAGTTCATTTAAACTAACCTATATTTTTAACTTCAAAATTTTCCGGCAGATGCCGGTAATTCCTCCTTTCCTGCAGCACGATTATTAACGTCAAATTTAGTATTTTTTCGTCTCAGAATGGCAAGTTTAGCAAAAAACCTCCGATTATTAGCTAATCAAGTCGCAATCTTGCGTTCTTACTCAACGAGACCCGCAACTTTCGCCGCACAAAAGTGGTACAGACAAAATCAACTTCTTCAGCAACACACACTTTCGGCTCATATTCCGGTAATTTACCAAATAATTACTGCTTTATTCATAAAGATTCACTTAAAGTCGTTTTTAATTCAACAACTACATCCCAATTAACTTTTTAAAATTTTATTTAAAAAATTTGCAAAAATTACATAACTTCATAACCTCACTTTTTTTGACATGGCGTCTTAATACTCTAATTTTAATGAAATGAAATTAATTATTTGTTATGATTATGTAGATTCAAATTAGAAATTATTCCCCAGCAACAAAATTAACGAGAAAAGAAATTGAAGAGCGTGTATTAAGAGTTTGTTGTTCTTACGATAAAGTCACAGCGGAAAAGGTAACTTTTTGACTCATTCTTTTGCTTCCAGACGCAACCTGGTCCACTAAAACGATGTTATAGTGCGAAACCGCCACTCACCTTAAAACTAATCGCAGATCGTGTGCTTTTGGTCCTCAAACTATATGACAAAATCAATCCCGATCAGGTAATAAATTAAATTGCATCGTTTCAAGTGGTCAGAAAGTCTCGGAAGATCGATTTAAGTAAAAATTAAGTTAAAATTGATTTGTTTTAGTTGGCGTTGGAGTCGCATTTCATCAACGATTTAGGTTTGGATTCACTCGATCATGTAGAGGTTATTATGGCGATGGAAGACGAGTTTGGGTTTGAAATCCCCGATGTTGATGCCGAGAAACTTCTTAAACCAGCGGATATTGTTCGATATGTCGCTGATAAAGAAGATATTTACGAATAAAATAAAAGATAAGAAGATGATTTAGATATCATAAATGTGTTTTCCTTTCTTATTGTACTATATTGTACCTAGTTTAAATAAAATAAAAACATTTGTTTGGAAATTTTATTATTATTATAATGTATTAGTAAATGTATTAGGAGGTAATAGCTCCATCTATTAATTTTAAGCCAAATTAATGTAATCTCTTGTTAGATGGCGCTATATTTTTGCCAATCAAAAATTGACGTGAAACGTCAAACAGTGTTAGTTGTCATTTTTGCGATAAACATATTATTAAAAGTAAAAAATGGGCAATGTTGATACGAAATTGAATTTTCGAAAAGCTGTGGTGCAACTTACCTCAAAATCCGATGTAAGTTTAATATTATATCGATAAATAATTATTTAAAAATTTTTCTTTGTTTTGTTATAATTTAACGCTTTGGAATCGATTTTTGTAGCCGATTGACGCAACTGATGATGCGTTTTGGGAACAATTTTGGTCGGAAAACGTTAATAATGTGCAAGATATTTTCACGTTAGTTCCAGCGCCGGAAATTCGGGCACTACGTGAAGAGGCCCCATCGAATTTAGCAACTCTATGTTACAAAGCCGTTGAAAAATTGGTTAAAGCCGTTGATAACAGCTGTCGAACTCACCATGAACAACAAACAATATTAAATTGCGTTCGATTATTAACGAGAATTTTACCCTATATCTTTGAAGATCCTGAATGGAAAGGATTCTTTTGGTCTTCGTTGCCATGTCAGAACGAGGATGACGATGAATCGTTACCGTTAGCGCAAAGCTTATTAAATGCGATCTCTGATTTACTTTTTTGCCCAGATTTTACGGTTGTTACAAGTAGAAAGTTAGGGCCTGATAAAGCGGAAGATTTATCTTCGATAGATAGTTGCGAATACATTTGGGAAGCAGGAGTGGGGTTTGCTCAATCTCCAACGAGGAATCCCCATCTCGATTCGAATAGAACGGAGCTTCTTAAATTATTAATGACTTGTTTTAGTGAGACTATGTATCAACCTCCCATTGATATAGCTCATAGCCCCAATAAATGGATTGCGTAAGTTATCATTATAAAATACTTTTAAAGTAATTAAATAATTATCTCGATTATTATCTATTTCTTTTTTAAAATTTAAAATAATTCTAATTAATACATTTTTTAGCTGTCAATATCAAAATGAAATAACCTAAAAAAAAATGTTCTGTCAATGTCAAAATAGAATAACTTAAAAAATTTTTTTTAATTATAATTTTTTTATTTTAGTTATTTTACTTCGCCAGAAAACCGACATGCTCTCCCAATGTTTACCTCGTTATTAAATACGGTTTGCGCTTATGACCCGGTTGGACTAGGAGTACCTTATAACCACTTAATCTTCTCGGATTCTTTGGAACCGTTGGTAGAGGCTTGCCTACAAATCTTAATCGTTACTTTGGATCATGATACGAGTAGCGGGGGTAGCGTTGAGAATGAAACGGAGGTTGCAACTCCGGATAATTTATTTATTAATTATTTATCGAGGATTCATCGCGATGAAGATTTCAATTTTATTTTGCAAGGGATTACAAGGTTGTTGAATAACCCTTTGGTACAAACTTATTTACCCAATTCAACTAAAAAGGTGCATTTCCACCAAGAGTTGTTGGTGTTTTTTTGGAAAATGTGTGATTATAATAAGGTTAGGTTTAAAATTTTTTTTGACGTTTGAGTTCATGTTGATTTTATTTTAGAAATTTTTGTATTTTGTGCTTAAAAGCAGCGATGTTCTTGAAATTCTTGTCCCGATTTTGTATCATTTGAATGATTCGAGGGCCGATCAATGTAAGCGTTTGATTATTTTCGATTTTTTATGATTTTAATTTGATTTTTGTTTTTTAGCGAGAGTAGGGTTGATGCATATTGGAGTTTTTATTTTGCTCCTTTTATCAGGGGAAAGAAACTTTGGTGTGCGTCTCAATAAACCTTACACTGCAACGATTCCCATGGATATTCCTGTTTTTACGGGAACCCACGCTGATTTATTAATAATCGTGTTCCATAAAATTATTACAACAGGCCATCAAAGATTACAACCACTTTTTGATTGCCTCTTAACGATTTTAGTTAATGGTACATCAATAATAACTTTATTGCATTTATAACTTAATTTAGAAATATTTTAGTCTCCCCATATTTAAAAACTCTTTCAATGGTGGCGAGTACAAAGCTTTTACACCTATTAGAAGCATTCAGCACACCATGGTTCTTATTTTCATCGCATTCAAACCACCACTTGGTCTTTTTTCTTTTAGAAATCTTCAACAACATCATCCAGTACCAATTTGATGGTAAAAATTAATTATTTCAATTCATATTCTATAAATCTCGGTTTTAGGCAACTCCAATTTGGTATACACAATCATTCGGAAACGCCAAGTGTTCCACAGCTTAGCTAATTTGCCCTGCGATTACGGATCGATAACTAAATCATTAAATCGGCGTTCAAAACGAAATATAGTAAGCCCCGCGGTAACTGAGGAAGAACCTAGTTTAGAAACTGCAATGGAAGGGTCTCATCCCGCTCTCCCTGCTGAGCCGGGTACCTTAAAAGCCACGCTACCGGATACACCCGGAATTGGGCAAATGACTGAAAGCGAATCTGCTCATCCAAGTTATCAACAATTAGAACAATTATCCACGTTAAGTAATGGAGTAACCGGGTTAAACATAAACGCGAAAGTTGTTAATGGAGATGAAAAAATCTCCCCGAAGATGGAGATTAAAATGAATAAAGGAGAATCTCAAGTTGTCGTTAATAAAATTACCACTTCAGTTAATACAGTAGTAAAAATCAAAACTTTTTCTATTTAAATTTAAATAAATAATTTTTAGAAAAATTCATTGCGGGTTTCTTCGAGTACGGAGAACACCAACGGGCAATGGGTCCCAACAGCCGATTGGGTCCACTCTTGGAAAAGCAAATTACCTTTACAAACGATAATGAGGTTATTACAAGTCTTAGTGCCGCAAGTTGAAAAGATTTGTATCGATAAGTACGCTTTAACCACCCAATATTCTTAATTTGCCTCAATTTATTTATTTTTTAGGGGTTTAACCGATGAAAGTGAAATTTTAAAGTTCCTCCAACACGGCACGTTAGTTGGGTTACTCCCCGTACCACACCCAATTCTTATTCGGAAGTACCAAGCCAACGCTGGCACAACGACTTGGTTCCGAACTTACATGTGGGGGGTGATTTATTTGAGAAATATGGATCCCCCAATTTGGTACGATACGGACGTGAAATTATTCGAAATCCAGAGAGTTTAATCAAATCCTTCGTTAATTTAATTTGTTTCGTTTTAATTTATTACTTACGCTACCAATCATAATTTAATTTTTCACCTCGACGTCTAATATCGTTTTGTTGTGATCTATATCAAAAGTAAAGATGGAAATGTGTTATAAATGTTTTTAAATGTGTTAGTGCAAATTAAATTTAATAATGGATGCCTAAAGAGAAATAAATGTTTCGGTTACATTCCGCACTTATTATTTAAGATTTGATTGAATTAATGTTAAAATAATATAAATTAATGTATTTCAACTGTAATTCCGTGTTAAATTTAAATAAATTAATATTTAAATCTATAATTTATTCATTTACAAGATTTATAGGTTATGTCATCATAAACAAAGACTTTTAGGTTATGTAAAGACCTTTTTTGCACTTAAATTCAAAAGTAAACTTAATATCAAAGTGATTAGTGTAAAAAAAGCTTATTTATAAATTAATATATTAATGTTTAAATCTAAAATGTTATTTATTAACTCGAATATAGGCTCCATCGAAATGTATAGGTTATGTTAACATAAATTATTATTTGATAAAAATGTGTGGGATATTTTGTGCTCTTGGTTTAAAACAGAGCGAAGAATTACTTAATAATTTGGTATATTTTAAATTAATTACACAAAGTATTAATAAAATTTTTATTTTTTAGCAAAAATCGTGCGAATTTTTTATTAACCGTCGTGGCCCGGATCATCAAAACACTCATAAATTCTCCAAGTTAAGCAAAAATGCAAAACAAGAAATCAATTTTATTTTTACCGCAAGCGTTTTGTGGTTGCAAGGAGAAAATTTAACGAAACAACCGATAATAACAGAAAAATCCGTTTTTCTTTTTAACGGAGACGTTTTCGATGGAATATCGGAGCTTGATCGAAAAAGATTTGGTGATACCCAATTACTTTTTGATCGATTAGAACAAAATACCGAAATTTCGTTGGAATTAAGCAAAATAAGCGGACCTTACGCATTTATTTATTTCGATAAAATTAATTCAAGGTTATATTTTGGTTGTGATGTTTTTGGGAGGCGCAGTTTATTAATCGGGAAGAAAAATGATGTTTTAGTTTTAAGTAGTGTGGTCAATAAAGGTGTTTTTATTCACGAAGTTCCACCAATTGGAACTTTTTGTATTGATTTAGAAGAAGACGAAGTAATTTTATATCCGTGGGGTTTTAGAAATGGAGATTTTGAGGCAAAATTAAACGATATCGAAACAATCTTAAAGAAAAAAATAAAAATAATTCAAAATATTACTTTAACAAATAAGAAATTAGAATATACTGAGCCAAATCATGACGATTTAAAAGTTTATGAGGACATTAAAACTAATCAAAATTTAATTTCGCCTTTTGAAATTCTCTTACATGATTTAAATTTTTTAAAAAACGTTTCTACTTTATTGGGGAAACTCGAAAATTCGATTAAAACAAGGATTTTAACCCAACCGAAATTTTGTGGGAGATGTGTTAACACAAAAACTGTTTGTGATCATTCAACGATTGGAGTTTTATTTTCCGGTGGTGTTGATTGTACGATTTTAGCGGTTCTAATCGATAAGTTTTACGACAAAGTGCGTCCTATTGATCTTATTAATGTTGCTTTTGAACGCGGTGAAAACAATTATAAAACTCCTGATCGAGAAACGAGCCTACAAAGTTACGAGGAACTCAAAAAAATTTGTCCCAAAAGAATTTGGAACTTCATTGAAGCAAATATCAGCAAAAAAGAACTTGATGAAGTTCGAAATAACCATATAAAGCATCTTATTTATCCGCTAAATCGAATTCTTGATGATAGTTTGGGGTGCGCTTTATGGTTTGCGGGAAGAGGAATTGGAGTAAAATTTGTTACTTCAGCTAGGGTAAAAAATTTTACGTAAATGTCAATTTGACGTTTTAATCATTTTGTTGCCAACTTAATTTTTTTAAATTTATTATTTTTTTAGGTTTTAATCGTTGGGATGGGTGCTGATGAATTATTTGGTGGCTATTGTAAACAAAGGGGAAAAATGAAAATTTCTGGGTGGAGAGGTTTGCATGAAAGTTTAGAAGAGGACTGGGAGAACATCTCAAGGAAAAACCTTGCGAGGGATGATAGAGTCGTCTCAGATCACGGGAGACAATTAAGAACTCCCTATTTAGATGAGAATGTAGTTGAATTTGCAAGAAATTTGCCTTGTTGGGAAAAGTGAGGCTCATTTTTGAATTAATTAGTGTTACATAACCTAATGTTTTTTTAAATTAATAGGACTTATCCGAGTGATGATTTTCCGAGGGGTTTGGGCGAAAAGATTTTATTGAGGAGTTTAGCATATCACCTCGGATTAAAAAGCGCTTGTTTATTGAAGAAGAGAGCCTTGCAATTTGGGTCAAGAATAGCTAACAGTAAAGAAAATGCTTTCAATGTGTCACCAAGGTTATGATTAAAATTAAATGATTATTATAATAAAGCTTTAAGTTTTTTTCTACAATTTACATCATTCGATAATACCTATATAATATTCAGTGTTAAATTTAAATCTAGTGTTTATTAAATCGAATATAGGCAACCACATTAACATCGAAACTTATAGGTTATGTTAATAAAATTAATTTTATTATAATGAAGCTTATTTTATTTGTTTCTACAATCTACATCATTCGATAATATTCGAGGTATACATTTTAGATTTCTTTTTTATTAAGCGAGCATTTGAAATGTCGAGTAGAAAACTTATTATAAAAGTTATTTTTCTTCTTAAAATAAAAATAATATGCAGGCAGCTAATACACTTAATATAGCCGTAGATCCAATCGTAACGGCACTGTTACATTTATCAGATGAGCATTCGTAACAATTTAAATCACGGACTCCATCTTTGGTTGACATAAACCCAATGGTTTTTGCAACTATATCGCAGGCGTTAAATCCAACATTTACTCCACATCTTCTTGCTACGTATTCATTATCGTTCGCATCTACAGATAAAATCATGTAAATAAACTATGTAAATAAAACGTAATAAAATAGACAAACCGCGAGCAGTTAATTTAATACAATTCTTCGGAAAGAACGACCCAATAAGAGAACTCCCGGCATCACAATCAGTCACTGTTTGTGCAAAAGAGAAAATCCCAACGTTGCAGCCGATATCTTTGGATGAGTCACAATCGTAACATTTAATCGCAAATGCTACAATTAAAAAAAAATTAAGGTTATGTTTTTATTATTAAATGTCAAAAATTGACATCAGAGATAACTTGATTTGTTTAATTACCTGCTCCAATTACCCCCAAAATTAAAGCCAAACGCGTTAATTTTATCATTTTTAATTGATTTTTTGATACAATTTGCTTAAAAATGGGCCGAATTAAACAACGTTCCGTCGATATCTAAGAACGCGCACAAAATGGTGTTCAATGGTGTTTAGCACAGAATACAAAGGTGGTGCTTAATGGTGAAATTCTTCCCCTCCCTATCTTATAGTGGGGGAAAGTGATCAAAATAATCTTTAACTCAATATTCTCAACATGAATCATTTATTTAATGAAAACATAGTTTTATTTAGAAAATTTAAAACGAAATTATTAATTTTTGTGTTAAAAAACTAATTTTGAGGTTAGGATTAAATGTAATTTTTAAACATAACCTCAAAATTATAAATAAATAATTTTCTTAATTTAAATCTTATTAAAATGAATTAAATCACCAATAAAGTTCTTTATTTAGTACTAAGATTCATATAAAAATATTTTTTTTAATTTAAAATTAATAAAATGGACGGATTAAAATCACCTTACGATTACGGAGTTATTTTTTTAACAAATTCATCTTAATTTGTAACGAAATAACACGATTAATACACCAATTAATAAGGTGGGGGTTGATTGTAACGTCTCGGACGAATTACACCCATCATATTCGCAATTAAAACACCCAACAATGTTTTCTTGCCGGATCCTGGCCAGTTCTTCAAAGTAACTGCATGTTTCCCAAAAATCATCGACATATTTCCCACAACCTTTAGTGTATTTCGTATTTCCCGCTCCATCTAACAACGTAATAAGAATTAATAAAGATTAATGAGAAAACGACTAAATAATTTTAACCTTTTACGACGAATTTGTAACATGCTACATGTTCTCGAATAGTTGGTAAGCAAGTTATGTTATTGTGACAATCCATGTAATTTGAGTAATCGCATTGAAAGCAACTTAAAGATTCCACTGAAAAGGAAATAAACATCTGAATAAGTTAATTTAATTTTGTTTAATTACCTTGTTGTAAATATAAAAGTGGAATTAATGCAGTTATGAAGTAAATTTTCATTTTTGTTATGATTATTTAATATGTCTTGATTAAGTTAAAATACGTTTAACGTGTGTTATTGTTTGGGTTGGGTTTTCTTTATTTTTTAATTAAGGTCAAAGAAATTCAAGTTAGGCAACCAATTAAACATCGGTGTTAAACGAATAAGATTTTCTTTGGGAAAATAAATTTCCCCGGATTTCGGCGCCGAAAAGTCTGCATCTTTATTGATCCAATTCTAACCCACCACATTCTTTAGATTTCTAGCTTTCCTTATCTTTATTATAAAGCAAATACATAAAAATTAATTTAACCCAAAAATGAGTAATATTTAAACGATTTAATGCATTTTTAATGACTTTACGCCCAATTGCAAAAATGCGATAAATAAATTCTTTTAAAATCTATTAATTTAATAAAAATAGATACTAGGGTGTGTTTAAAATTCTTTAGCGATAAGAAATGTTATAAAAGAAGCTTCAAACCGGGGATTTTAATAGTTGCTCATTAACATTGCTTTAAAAAAAATGTTTAAGCTTTTAGCGTTGTTTTCAACCCTTTTATTCCATAATTTAGGTAATACTTAAATTTTTAATTATTTTAATTTAATTAATTTAATTTTAGTGACCGCCACAGATTGCAGAAGTTGCTACAACATCAACGAAGGTTCCTGTTTCAATCCAAACATTAATTTAAGTAAATCATTAGAATTTGCCACATGCTCCGTTCACAGCAGAAATTTAGAGCTGGAAATGAGGCGGGTCTATGGCTCCAATTTCGAGCACAAAACTCATGCTGTTTTCGACGTTCGTTGCGTTCACTACGAAAAATTCTGTAAATCAATTAAATCTAATTCAATTTCCAACGATTCTTTTACATTAACGTTTCAGATCATTTAACGAATCAAACGGAAATCTATCGTGGGTGCCTTCAAAAGAAATACGCCAAGAATTTTTGCGAGAACCAAAGGCAAAATCAAGTTTATTATTTTTACAATTTAACGAAATGTAACGTTTGCAGCAGCGATTTATGTAATTCAAATTCAAGTTTTCAATTACATTTTAATCGGGTTTTTTACACAATCACAATGTTATTAATCGTTTATTTTAAATAATTATTTAAAATGACTGTCATTTTGACAGGTAAACGTCATTTTGACAGGTAAACGTCATTTTGACGTTTAAGAGTTTCTTAAATAAAATAAAACGAATTTTTGATTATTTTTTGAATTTTATTTAATTTTTTATAACCACAATTAATGTTTATAGCTAAATTTATCTAAGTACATAGAATTATTTGTTTTTTTATAAATGTACAGGTCCAAAAAAAGTAATAAATTCACAAAAAAAATTAATCACCTGTATTATTTATATATTAACAATTTACAAAAAATATCTTAGAGCGATTGTTGATACGCCCAAAACTGTAAAGGTGACGTAATTGGTGTTAAAACTAGGTGTTGCGGTGTTGCACAAATCTTCTGTGCAACCTTCGCAGAAAACGCTTTCGGCTTTCGAAGGATCCGGAACGTTGCAATAGCCTTTATCTTTATCGTCTCTGATAATGTAACATCCTCGAGTTGTGTTCATTGCCCCAGACATTTTATCTATAATAGAGAAATAAAAATGAATTTTTTTAAAATAACTTTTAATACAAAAACAAACCTTTTTCGACTTTTTTATAGCAAGTGTACTTTAAGGTATTGCTGGAATCGCATTTTATTTTAGTGGCCTTCGTGATATCATCACACTTATTAACACATTGGTAACATTCCAGAGAATAAGCTGAAAAAAAAAGTAATTTTCAAATTATGCTACCATATTTTAAAAAAACTAATTAAATTTTATTTTATAAAAAAAATATTTAAAATTGTTCATGGATAATAACGAAATTAAGTTGATAAAAATGATTGTTGTAATAATTTTTTATTATTAATTAAAATTAATCAAATTAATAAAAAAAGAATATGCAACCAAATTTACAGTAGTACAACATAACCCCAACAAGTTTGACGTTTTAAATTTTTTTTATTAAAATTTTATTTTATTTCATTAACTAATTAAAAATGATTAAAACCAAAAATTAAAAGGACCTATTTTGTAGGTTCGTAAGTATTATTACGTTTTAATTTTAATATTTTTATTTAAATGAGAACATAACCTCAAATTTATTTGAATTTGTTTGGATAATTTTTTTGTGGGAAATTATAAAGAAACGTTATTTATGTATGATATTTGTGTGTAAATGATATAATCGTTCTTCGAATCGTGTCCATATCAAATTTGACCTTAATTCACCAAACGCATTATGAAGACGAAAACAACTTTCTTATTGATTCGTAATTTCTGGTTGTATCAAACATCGAATTAGAAATTGGTTAATGACGAAATTAACTAGATAAAAATAAGTGTTACGAAAATTTCTTATTATTGATGAGATAATTTTTAAACAAAATTATGCAACAAAATATACACCTGGCACAACATAACCATAGAAAAATTTATATATATTATCAATTATCATATATTATAGAATAAAGAACATAACCAAAAAGATAAGAAAATCAAATTTGACGTTTTTAACGAAAAATTAATTAAGAATTTTTATTAATTAATTAAAAAAGAAATTAAATTGTATAATTAAGATTGCTAATTTTATTTCGTAAGTGTTTTAATTTTTTATTTTAACCCATTAGTGCATGAAGTTAAAAATTTTTTTTGTTTATTTATTATCTATTATACCAAAAATTAATTTTTTTTGAAAAAAATTTTTTTTAAAAAACGTTCGTAAAAGGGACACTATAGACGAATGGATTAAAATTATCATTTTAATAAGAACATAACCTCAAATTTATTTGAATTCTTTTTTTGTAGAAAAACTAGTTTTCTTGCACTTATGTCGATATCGAAGATGGAATTTGACCTAAATTCACCAAAGGCAACAAAAAAGAGACGGGAAAACGTTTTTATTGATTCGTAATTTCCGGTTTCATCAAAAAATCGACTTAATATCGACATTAACTTGATAAATGTAACGGTTACTCCAAAGATTTTTTATTGCAAGTGAGATCATCGTTTAAAATACAACCGAGCCAATTATAGATTTAAAAAAAAACATCTTCCTTTCACAAACGTACCCACACGCGCCCGATTACCGCTATTAACACACTTGGCGGCGGCGTTAACTCCAAAAATAAGAAATAAATCAATTTTTCTTACCGGTTACACAAACCGCTGCTAAAATAACTAGAATGGAAAACTTTGCCATTTTTATTAACTTCTTGGTTTGAGGATGGATTAAAGGACGTTTGTGAACTCTACGAGACGCTCTGAGGAACTGTGAGGAACTGAGTGAACTGAGTTGTTGACTGTTTGCCACAAACAGAAAAAACTGCGTAGGAGGGGAAAAGGGGCCAGAAACTGGCGAATAACACGAAAAATACAAGTTTTAGAGTGAATTGAACGTTTTGGGTATTGATTTAATAAAATCTCAACGAAAATTTTTATGAAATTAAAAATAAAGTCGTTTAGATCATTATTAATTTAAATTTTGATCTATTTTTAATTATTTAATTAAATTTATTTCAATTAATAGATTGTAAACGTCAATTAAACGTCATTTTTGACATTTCATTTGACTTAAAATTGAATTAAATTAAAAATTAGGTTAGGATTATTAATATGTTGAAATAATTGTTTAAATCAATGAATTATTTATTAAATACACCGCGAAATATGACGCAAGTAAGCGTTTTCTTCAAAGAATATAAATAGTTGCTAATTAAGTTAAAGTTAATAATTTTATAATTCTCTTTAAATTTATTTTTATAACGTAATTTTTTTTGTGTAAATAGAATGTTTAAACGTTGCTTTTTCCTCGAGGTCACTCTAAAATGATACAATCGGGTATTCACGGTTAAACAATTTGTTGTTTTGATGCCGTGACATCGCGTTTTGCATCATAAAATTCTTAGTTATTATTAATTTTAATCACGGCTTTAATTCATAATCACAACATCCCTAACTTTATTTAAATTAAGATTGTATAAACAAATTGAATAATAAAAAATTAAATTGTAAATAATTTAAATTCATAATAGATGGCGCTAAAACGTCAAATTCAAAAATTAAATTACGTCAATGCCAAAAAAAATTAACCTAACTTTTTAATTTAACTAATAGATATTTAAATATTTATTGAATCACTAATGAACCATTTTATTCTTATCGTTTTTACATTTTTTAACTATGAATAGAAAAAAAATGTTCGTTAAAAATTCTTTGCGTGCTTCGGATTGCCCAATGAAGAACTCAGCGAATAAAAATTCTAAGTATATAAACGTGTTGCAAGGTTGTTTCTAGAACCAGTACGGTTCCAGCGGTTCCAGCAGGTTCCAGCAACGTTAAAAAAAGCTTGTTGATTACTTCACCAAAAAGAGTTTTAAAATGGCCAAGTTCGTTGTTGTATTTCTCGCAGTGTGTTTAACTATTTCTAGCGGTAAGTAGATTGACCTTAAATGGAATTAATTTTTTATACCCACCTGTGAAATCATGCGGTGACGTAATGGAATAAATAACAGCTTAAACGTTTCAAGGTGGGAACGAAGAATCAGATCTATTAATATAACAAAAATAATTATATTCATGATTTGAAATAAATCATAAATAATACTCACGAAATTATTCTTTTTTAGTTTATTCATTGCAATGCTATGATTGTAGTGGGAATAAAGATGAAGTTTGTGATAAAATCGTAACTTGTGGGAACAGTGCGGATTCTGCAAATAACCAACCGGCTTGTATTAAACGAATCCATAAAGTTAATGGGGTTACCAACGTAAAAAGAGGTTGTGCTTTTGTAACAGCCCCAAAATTCGATACAGCTTCCGAATGCCAAGCCGATGATGTCTTTTGTGCCCCCTGCAAAGAAAATAAATGCAATTCAGCGTCATCTTTGGGCAAATTCTCCCTTTTCGGGGTTTTAACCGTTTTTGTTTCTTACATTTTACTAAATTAAGTATTAATTTGATCATTTTTACTTACCAAAATAACCAAATAAGTTAAAAATTTGTTTCACCCATAAAATTGAGATTTTGTATTTGTAATTAAATTTATCACCGATAGATGGCTCTTTTTTGTTAATAACTAAATAAAAAATTTATTATGTACTTTAAGCTAAACATACAAAATAAATGCATTTGTTTTTAAATAATTTTATTTTGGTTTTAAAATAATCCCCTTATCCGACTCTAAATATCTAAAAACGGGGGCAACCATCTCTCGGGAATCCTAACCAAAAAAAAAATTATTATTTTTTTAAAATTAAATTGAGCAAGAAATACCATTTTGATTAATTTATCAATTTCCTCCCATAAAAAGGCGTTCAAATTCGTTTTATTATTCAACGGGCTTAAATCGACAAGTTCAACCTTACTTGGGTATGTTATAATTACATCGAATACATCTAAAAGTATTTTTAATTAATAATTAATATTTAAATTAAGAAATTCAATCATTACAATTTTTTCTGATAAATTTTCCTTTTAAGTTTCCCTGAAAAAACTCTGAAATTAACCTAATTATATTAGGTCCCTCTTCGGCGAAGTGCCCATAATAAGTCGGCCAATCCCTCGGGGTAATTCCCCTCAAAATATCCCCCACAACAATACACCTAAACTCACTAGCAGGGTGTATATTTAAAAATTCTCTCAAAGCGAAACAATAACCTTCATCATATTTTCCATAAAAATCGTTCATAACAACATCGGAAGCTTTGAAATAATTAATGAGATCTTCTATACAATTAACTTGTAGTAAATTACTTAAACTCATAAATTTCGCATCCTAAAATGTTTTTGATTCAATCATTAATTTTAATTTTATATAATTTTGTCATCGTACCAATGGAGCTCTCCAATTATTTTTCGCAAAAACCTTATTATCAAACCTTTTTAAGGCATCCTTTAAATTATTTATATACTCGGAGTTACAAACTGTTTTAATATCACCATCGAAATCATCCGAACGTAAATAATTTAATAATTCAGGGGGAATCTCAATAAGAATCGTGTTTAAGGTTATGTTTTTGAACGTTTTGTACCATGTTGTAATCGAAAAATCCTTTAAATCTTGAGATTCCTATAAATTCATTTAAAAAATCATTTCAAATTTAATATTAATTTATGTAATAACTCACCAACATTTTATTCGAAATGAAAATCTTTATAAATTATCAATAGTTGAGGTTATGTTGTTTTTGAGTAGTGTGGAGTTTGAATTAGAGATGGCGCAATGAAAATAAATTATTTAGTAATAAATCTTATTTAATAATATAAATTAAAATATGACGAATTAATTGAATGTGTTAAATAAGTTATTTTAAGTTACTGAAAGTAAATTAAATCAAAACTCATTACATTGTATTTACACAAATTAGTATTTGAGGTTATGTCGTTATTCAGTAAACTTTGACGTTTAAACCAGAGATGGCGCAAGAAATTATTTAAAATAATTTTTAAATAAATAATAATTATTAATTAACAAATAAGAAATTATGATTAAATCATTTAATACGATTATTTTAATGTTTTTAATTATTTCTTTTTAATATTTAAATAAAAGTTTGATATAGATAAATGTAGGAGGTAAAATATACGAGGAAAAATCATCGGATTTCAAACGTGTTCGTTTTCAAGATAAAGTAGTCCCACGGAGATTTCATTTCGGACCAAGTGACATCGATTTCGTGACTTTCCACCGAGACCGAACGTTATCAAGTAACTGCGAACAGCTTGGGAATACTAAAACGGTTCACGTCAATCAATTGGTAACAGTTAACAAGCAGTACTAAGCTTGTTAATGAGTTAATTTCATGTAGATATTTTAATTATTATTAATAATAATAAACGTTTAATTAATTGTATTTTTTGTGTCAATTAAAGGTTAGAAATATCAAATTTGACAGATAAACGTCAAAAATTTTGATTTATTTTTTGTTATAAATTAATATTATAATTGAAATTTTACCTTTGATTTCGAGAGGGTTACTATTTTTCTCGTATAGTTGCTTTAAAGGAGGGCGTTGGGAAGTGGACGGGGATGATTTCCCGGACTACACTATGACCCGAGTCGGGGTGAGATCAGTGCTCTCCTGGCGGCCGACGGCGTTACTACGCCGCCCTTATCTCCTTTTTGCACACGACACGTCAATTAAAGAAATAACTGGAATAATACAAAAACTTGGTTGTTATTGCCATTTTTTTGTTGTAATTTCAATTAAATGTGGTAAGTTCAATAAAAATTGTTGATTTTTGTTTGGGGTTAATAATAATATTGTTTTTTTTTTCTATTTTATAATAAAAAAGATTTCGTACAAAAATTTTTTGGTTTTGTATCATTAATTATATAGTGGTTATAAAAAGTTTTTGTACAAATTTTTTTTTTGTCAAAAACCATTTTGAAATTAAATTACAAAAAAAGTCTCTATAAAGTTAGTTTCCAATAACTTTCCGGGTTGGAAAGTTTAAAATGGGTAATGCAGTTAACGAGCAAATTGAAGTAAGGCATTGAAAGCCGTCGTTTCCGATAAAATTTTTTTTTCGTCTCATTTCAGTCTTCGTATTCTTTTTATCATTTTTCGAATCGTTTTTGAATCCTTCTCCGTTTTTTTTAACTTTTTTTACATTCCTTTTTTTCAATTTCCTTTTTCTGGTTCCTTTTAGGTTAGTTTCGGAACTCGATGAATAATTCATGATTCTAATGGTAGACGAGAGGGATGGAAATCTATGTCATCAGGATTCCATCTCGGTTCGTGTTTTAACCCGATAATTTAACCAGGGATGAGAAATAAAGATAACATTTAAAACTTAGATTGATGTTTTTCAAGTTCTCCTTTCTTTCATTCCAGATTTCGGAAAAAAAAATGATTTAAACCTCAATTTCGTTTTTAATTTTAAAATCAAATATGCCAGTCGGGGGAAGAGTTGCAGGGAAAGTAACCGGAATCCTTTCCAGTAACTACAATGGTAAGTTTTCTTTATTCCAAACGTTGGACTAAAAACCGGCTAAATCGTAGGAAGATCTTATCAAGGGATCAACGAAGAGATCATTTGGGTTAGCATAGGCATGGGGATAACTATAGCTATTTTAATAACGATAGCTTTATGCTATATAATGCGCGAAAAATGTCTCCAACGACGAGAATATTACATAACAGCATGAATACGTCCTGTTTAAACAAAACTATATGTCAAAACGGGTGTATAGATAAATTTGTTGTTCGAAAACGCTAAAAACCCTACATATTCATTTCAATTCTATTTATAAACGTATTGATTTCGCATAAATAATAGAGTACGCGTGAAAATATCTCGACTCGGATTCCCATTGTCCTTTTTTAGCTCTATTTCTTTGTTCTCGTTATGTTTTATAACGTGTTTTATGGATTTATTACATAATTTTTAGTGCTTTTCCACTTAATTCATCCCTCTATTTTCGATTTCATTTAATACATTTAATTAAAATTTAGTAAACGTCTAATCTGACAGATAAACGTCACCTTGACGTTAGAAAATAAATTTGACAGATAAACGTCAAAATGAATAAGCGTTTTTGAACACAAAAATGATCCTAAAAGTAATAAATAAGCTCATTTCCGTTTTGTGGACCAACAAAAAAAAATAAAACGAGTATTATTAAACGATGTAACTATACCGTCAATTGAATGTGTCCGTATTTATTAATAAGTTAAATAGAAATTGTGCCAAATTTTGTCTTCTTTTCGTTTTAGTGACTTTTAATTTTGATTATCACAAACTGAAAAAAAAACTGGAATTGAAAATCATTTGTTAAAAAAGATGTATTAAAAAGTTAAAGAAAATTTAATAAAAATGAGAAGTTTCGTAGAAAAATATATATATGTATATACATGTTGTAATAACGTCTCCTTTTATTTTAACAACAAACAGAATCTGCACTCTAAAGATAACTTCTCCGATAATTTTGAAACAACAGCGGAGTCTCGACAATAAACGCGGAAACTAACCAAAAATCACGTAATTACAGTAATTTACTCTTTATTTTAAGTTTTAATTAAATTAATTTAATAAATAATTTCCGTTTAATTTATCCAGATCAATAAATCCAAATAAGAGAAATTGAATTCATCATTTCCCATTTCTCTCTCCCCCAGTCCTTTCCCTATTCATCTCTCTCATGACATCTTTAATACTAAAATCCTCCACGTCATATTAAATCGAAAAATGGGCTTATCTTTTTGTGTACCTGTCACAAGTTGAAACGCGCTCAAGAAAACTTCCGGTGACAAGTAAAACGAGTGTTTCAAAAGCGTTCGTTTACGCACTGTTTAGTTTTGTTGAGATTATGTTGTGTTTGCTTTATTTCGAGGTTTCAAGAGAATTTCAATTTTGTTCGAACGGAAAAGAAAATTGAATAAAACAACTTGAACGTATTCGCTGCAATGTTGGCAACAATTCTAGTAAATTTTCCCGACAATGCATTACATCAACCTTGGTTCTTCCCCATACCAGTAGCTAAATCCCAACCCCTTTTGTGTATCTAGCCCGAATGAATTTCGAGCCAGGAATTTTCGTGTAAAGGAAATTATGTTGTATATTACGGATTTTTGGCTCGTATAAATCGAAAGTTGTCAAGAAAAACGTCAATTTTAGGTGTATCATTTTTTTTTTAAATTAGATTTAAATAAAATATAAAAAGTGTTTAAAAAGATTTATAGTGTTAAAATGAATTGAATTGGAACGAATTTAAGTAAGTATTTCGTAAAGTGTAAAAATTTATTTTAATAATTAAAATAATTCAATTCCAATTTCTTAGCGCCATCTGCAAATAAATATCGACACTAATTAACTTTACAGTCTCAAACTCAAAAACATCATTCTAAGGTTATTAATTATTTCAAATAAAATGAATTAATTTCTATTAATTTGCTTTGTTTGCCTTTTTTATTTCAATAAAAAATAAATTAATTTATATTAATAAAAACAATCGAATTCAAAGATATTTGGAGCCATCTATAAATGAATTTCTACACTATACGCTTGTTAGTGTTGTCTTTACCGTCAAAATAAAAACATTCGCTTTTGAGGTTATGTTCACGTGTTAAAAGCCATGTAACCGCAATTTCATTATAATTTATGCGTGAAATTAAAGAAAAATCAATGGGGGAGGTTGGAAAAACACCACATGGATTACCAGGGAGCCAAATTTCCTCCGAGTCGGTGAAAGAAGTTCGTGATAAATGGAAATTAGTTCCGGCTTTCTTAAAAATTCGCGGGTTAGTAAAACAACACATCGAAGCATTTAATTACTTTATAAACGTAGATATAAAGAAAATCGTTGAGGCAAATAATAAAGTGACATGCGATGCTGATCCCTTGTTCTATATCAAATACACGAATGTGTATGTTGGGGCCCCCGATGTTGATGAAGGTTTTAATATTAGCAAGCCGACGACTCCGCATGAATGCCGGTTAAGAGATATGACTTATTCCGCCCCGATTACCGTTGATATCGAGTACACAAGGGGAACTCAAAAAGTTTCTCGAACCGGTTTATTAATCGGAAAGATGCCGATTATGTTGAGATCTTCAAATTGTGTCTTAAGTAATAAATCCGAGTACGAACTGGCGAAAATGAAAGAGTGTCCACTAGACCCCGGTGGGTATTTCATCGTAAAAGGCCAAGAAAAAGTAATTTTAATCCAAGAACAATTATCGAAGAATCGTATGATTGTGGAAGAATCAAAATTCGGGATTCAATGCCAAGTAACAAGCTCAACCCACGAGAAAAAATCGAGAACTTTCGTTTTTGCCAAAGGAAATAAATATTTTTTGGGTCACAACGTTTTCGCCGATTCAATCCCGATTTCCATCATATTTAAAGCGATGGGAATCACTTCAGATTTAGAAATATGCCAGATGGTTGGCATCTCGGAAAGTGATATCCAAACTAAATTCGTAACCACATTAGAGGAGTGTCATATCTTAAATTTGAGGACTCAAGAGGCCGCTTTGAAATATTTAGGAACAAAATTAGTTGCAAAAAGATTTCCTACATCGGCGAGTCGGGTTAAAACACCATGGGATGAAGCTCGAGATTTACTTGCAACTACGGTTATAGCTCACATCCCCGTTGAGAATTTTAATTTTAGATCGAAAGCGATTTATTTAGCTGTGATGTTAAAACGAGTCATCGAAGCTCAAAAAGATAAAAACTTTTTGGATGATCGAGATTATTATGGGAATAAACGCATGGAGTTGGCCGGTTCTTTGTTATCGTTGATGTTTGAGGATGTTTTTAAACGATTTAATTGGGAGTTAAAAGCGATCGCTGAAAAAACGATTCCTAAAATACGAGCAACTCAATTCGACGTCATTAAATATATGCGTTCCGATTTAATTACGAGTTGCTTAGTTTTTGCGATATCAACCGGAAATTGGACGATTAAACGGTTCCGAATGGAACGGCAAGGTGTGACGCAAGTTTTATCCAGGTTAAGTTACATCTCAGCTTTGGGGATGATGACTCGCGTGAATTCGCAGTTTGAAAAGACGCGAAAAGTGTCGGGGCCGAGATCTTTACAAGGCTCGCAATGGGGGATGTTGTGTCCGAGTGATACCCCGGAAGGCGAAGCGTGCGGATTAGTTAAAAATTTAGCTTTAATGACTCATATAACCACGGAAGTCGATGATATCCCGTTAATTAGGTTCGCGCAAAACACCGGTGTGATTGATATTAACACCGTGAGTGGGGATTATTTGCATTCCGATGAGGTTTATTTGGTTTTTTTGAACGGGGGGATCATCGGGGTGATTAAAAATTATCGCAGGTTAATTACGTGGTTTCGAATTATGAGGAGGAGTGGGTATTTATCAATTTACGCGTCGATTTACCCGAATCATTTGCATAAATGTGTTTATATAAGTGGGGATGGAGGGAGGTTATGTCGACCTTATATTATTATCGAAAACGGGGCCCCTTTGGTTAAAGAGACGCATATTAAAGAATTAGAAAGTGGATTAAAGAACTTTGAGGATTTCCTACAAGATGGTTTGATTGAATTTTTAGATGTAAACGAAGAAAGTGACACTTTTATAGCATGTTACGAGAAAGATATAACCTCAATCCACACTCACTTAGAAATTGCACCTTTTACTATTTTAGGAGTTTGTGCCGGATTAATTCCGTACCCCCATCACAATCAATCGCCGAGGAATACGTATCAATGCGCTATGGGGAAACAAGCGATGGGGACCATTGGGTATAACCAAAAAGACCGGATTGATACACTTTTATACAACCTAGTTTACCCCCAAGCCCCATGCGTTAAAACGAAACCAATTGAGTTAATTAATTTCGATAAACTCCCAGCAGGGCAAAATGCAACTGTAGCAGTGATGAGTTATTCAGGTTATGATATAGAAGACGCTTTAATTTTAAATAAAGCTTCGATTGATCGAGGTTTCGGACGTTGCTTGGTTTATCGGAACAGTAAATGTGTTTTAAAACGCTACGCTAACCAAACTTTCGATCGGATACAAGGCCCCATGTTAGATCCAACATCAAATAAACCTTTATGGCGACATGAAATTCTCGATAACGATGGAATAGTGTGCCCCGGAGAAAAAGTTGAAAACAAACAAATCTTAATTAATAAATCGGTACCAGTTGTTTCATCAGTCCCCGGTTCAACCGGATCCAACAACACAAATATTGAGTACCGAGAAGTTCCCGTAGGATATAAAAACCCTATTCCGAGTTATATCGAAAAAGTTATGGTCTCAACCAACGAAGAAGACTCCGGATTAATAAAAATCCTCCTTCGGCAAACTCGCCGGCCCGAAATTGGGGATAAATTCAGTTCGAGACATGGGCAAAAAGGAGTTGTTGGGTTAATTGTTGAGCAAGAAGATATGCCGTTTAATGAATACGGGATATGTCCTGATATTATCATGAATCCTCACGGATTTCCATCCCGAATGACCGTAGGAAAATTAATTGAGCTTTTAGCGGGAAAAGCGGGACTTTTAGAGGGGAAATTTCATTATGGAACGGCATTCGAAGGGGATAAAGTGGTCGATTTAAGCGAGGAATTGACTAAAAATGGGTTTCAATATCAAGGTAAAGATATTTTTTATTCCGGCATAACCGGAGAGCCTTTAGAAGCTTACATTTACTCCGGACCGGTTTATTACCAAAAATTAAAACATATGGTTCAAGATAAGATGCATGCTAGAGCAAGGGGTCCTAGAGCCGTTTTAACAAGACAACCAACAGAAGGTGCGGTAAATAAATCATTTAAATTGATATTAAAGTTTGATTCATTTTTAGGGCGCAGTCGAGATGGTGGGTTACGTTTGGGTGAGATGGAACGTGATTGTTTAATAGCCTATGGGGCGAGTATGATGTTAGTGGAGCGCTTAATGGTTTCGAGCGATCAATGTAGCGTGGACGTTTGTAATAAGTGCGGTTTGTTAGGTTATTGTAGCTGGTGTAATAATTGTAAGAGTTCTATCGGGGTTTCATCGATCACGATGCCCTATGCTTGTAAATTATTATTAACTGAGTTGCAAGCAATGAATGTTACTGCTCGATTAACTTTAAATAATTATTGTGAATAAATTTATTTTTATGACGTCTGTCATATTTGACAATTAAACGTCAAATTAATATTTATAATAAATTTTTTTTTAATTAAAATGAATTAATCTTTTATGATTCAAAATAAATTTGTTTAATTTGAACCAATTAACAATAATCCAATATTATTTATTAATATTATCAATTTAATATTGTGTAAAAAAAAAAGTGACTCCAACATCTCCTTTGTATATTTATCGACTTCTAACCGAGTTAAATTTAGATCCTTACAGAAATAAATTTAGAGCTCAACAGTTTTCTTGGCCAAATAAACTCTAATCATGTTCAACGTTAAATACACGGTGAATTGTATCTTTTTGGTGATAATTTTCGGGAAATTAGTGAATTCGAAAGAGAGAGAAAACCAAAAAGAACAAAGAAAGCTGTATGTATTTTTTTATTTTTAATTATTTTCGTAAATTTTTTTTCGTAGCGTTGGGAACTGGGCCAATACATTAGGGGACCAATTATACCATTTAGGATTAATTATAACTAAACAAAAGGAAATAAAGCAGTTATATGTGCTAAATAACGCTCAGGTTAGCGCCAAAAATGCGACCCTTTTGCTTTCAAACATCACGGATAACGTGCATAGAATGTTTCAACGGAAAATGGATGCTATTCAGTGTGTTCGTATGAAAGCTGAAGAGGCCGTGGAGGGTTTTGATAAAAATATCACCATGGATGAGTATAATTATACAAGCTCGAAATATTCCGGGATAAACGAGTCTTACGAAAATGAAATGTATTTGCCGATGAAGTTAAACAGCGATACGCATTTTTATAACATTGAGGTTGATACAGATAAAAGCTCGATTCATGTGCCGATGAATATTTTCGATAGACGTAAATATTTAATTTTTGTATTAATTTCCTTTTTTATCGACGTCGGTAAAGCAGAATTCTAATTTAATCAAACATCATTTTTGATAAAAAAGTTTTTTTAATATTTTAATTTAATTTCCGTTTTAGATAAAGAACCAAAAATAGCCGTACAATGGTCGGAAGAGCTCGATTCAGTATTTAAAAACAATTATCAATCGGATCCCTCACTTTCTTGGCAATACTTTTGCAGTTCCTCCGGAGTAATGCGGCATTACCCCGCGAAAAAGTGGATTTACGACGAAAACACCGATATTTTCGATTGTAGAATTAGAACTTGGTATATCGAAGCAACAACATGCACTAAAGACGTTGTAATTTTGCTCGATAATTCGGGGTCGATGGAAGGAATGAATTCTCATATAGCCTCTTTAACGGTTTACAGCATTTTAGATACTTTATCGAATAACGATTACATCAACATAATGAGTTATTCGCAAGGTTTTAACTACACCGTACCATGTTTTGAAGGGTTAATGATGAAGGCGACGAGCGAGAATATCGAAAAATTTAAGGAAGCGGTTCGATTATTAAATCCGAATGGAAAAACCAACGTTGAAAGCGCCTTAATTGAAAGTCTAAATATATTAAAAAAAGTAATGAATTAAATATGTTATATCAGATAAATTAATTATGAAGTTTTAGTATCGTGGTAAAAGGAATTGTAGCGAAACGGATCCTTGCAACCAAGCCATTATGATTATCACCGATGGTGTTACAAAAAACTACACGAATTTATTGCTGAAATATAACAGCTTTGAGAATGGGACTCGACCCCCTGTAAGAATTTTTACGTACTTAATAGGAACGGAAGCAACGGCTGAAAGAGAAATTAGGGAAATGGCTTGTAGAAATCGAGGTTAATATCAAAACGTAATTAAAACATAAATTTTTGCCCTTTTTTTTAAGGTTATTACAGCCACATCGATACATTAGAACAAGTAACAAAATCAGTTTACGAATACGTAAAGGTGATTGCACGTCCCTTAGTGTTACAAGGAACAGAGCACCCAATTTCTTGGACCCACGCCTACGCAGACCCTGCAAGCGTTGAAAACGGCCATATCCGCTTATTAACTTCAGCTGCGATTCCCACGTTCGATGGGGAACAACTTTTAGGAGTCGCTGGAACCGATGTTCCAATTGATGAACTCAAAAAATTAACTTATCCTTACAATATCGGCGTTAACGCACACGTTTTTATCATCAGTAATAACGGATACATCATCGTACACCCAGCATGGAGACCAATCGTAAATAAATAAATTTAAAAAGGATAACCTCACTTTAAAAAAATAATCTTTTTAGTTTTGGGAAAAAAAATTAAAAACAAATTACAACAGCGTCGATTTAACCGAAGTTTTATTGTTAGATGATGGGCAAGGTCCCCGAGTGATTGGGGATCAAATCTTGGAGTTACGAGAGGCTCTGTTAACCGAACGAGATGAAACGGAAATGCTTAATGTCTCGCTAAAATACCATTACAATGATATGCAACGCGTTGCTCGAGAACAATTCGATTTTTATTGGAAAGATTTAGCTGATACTCCATTTACCGTCTCATTGGCAATCTCGAAACAATACGGATACTTCTCAATTCAAGTTCCCAATGAAATAAAAAGAACCCGACACACCGGGGAACCATTTAAAAATTTTTTTGCCGGCACAAATTGGAAGGTGCATCCTCGTTGGGTTTATTGTAAATATCATTATTTAGAAGGACACGAATTTAATAGCCCTGAAGATGAGTTGTTACACTTTTTGGATCGGATGCCGAATCGGACATTTAAATGGACCCAACAATACGTCGATTTAGGGGAAACTGACGAATCGGAACGCTGTAATAAACAAACCTTAGGGCACGATGATTATTTTTGCGATGAGGAATTAATTAAAATGCTTATTTTCGATGCTCGGTGCACGAAAGTCGCGTTCGGGGAACCGTGGCATTTTATGAACGACCGAGAGATATCCCTTTTTGAACGATTCAATGCTACTTTACGGTTTGTTGCTACGATGAGTGGATTAACGCGTTGGGAATACATTTTTGGGGAAGGAAACGAAACTAAAAAGTAAATACATTTTTAACCTCACTTTTATGACATTATCAAGTACTACTACTACTAGGTTAAGTTACTTACTAGTACTAGTAACTAGTACTAGTACTACCTATTGGTATGAGTTAAATTTAAATTAATTCTAATTTAAATTTTTTTTATAAAAGGGAATTTGGTGATTACCACGCGAAAGCTCAAGATGAAACTTGGTATAAAATGGCCGTTTTACAACATCAATATGACCCGGAGTCATTCGTTTACTCAGTTCCGGTCGATCCGATGGAAGAAGCTTTATCAGATATGTCGGTAACGGCAAGTTATGCGATTTTCGTTAAAGACGCCGGGATGGAGGCCCCTGCATCTGTAGTTGGGTTTCAATTCGCGTTAGAAGCGTTAACCGCGAGATTCTTTGAGATTACAAGTGCAAAAGTAGGTTATAAAAATGACGTTTAAAATTTGACATAACAAAATTTAATTTAATTTTTTTGTAGATAGAATGTAAAGAATGCAAAATTTGCGAAGATTCCCCCGATGGATTAGATTGTTTCATAATTGATCACTCCGGTTATATAATAGCCTCGTCGAATTTATCGAATACGGGGGTGTTTTTTGGAAAAATTTATGGTGCGGTGATGGAAAGGATGTTGGAGGAAGGAATTTACGAGCAAATCACTTTGTATGATTACCAAGGGGTGTGCACCCAAAATGGAACTCAAGGCCGCCCGGTTGCTGTGAGCGAAAGAAAAGAGAATCGGATAGAATCGGAAGATCTAAGTTATTTTCCCTGCGACCAAAGCAAAACTTTATATATTTTAAATCAAAGGAAATTTATTTACGCCGATTCTAACGATGATTTAACAACGAGCTGTTTTAATGATTTTTATGTGAAAAGAATTAAACTTTCGAACCTTTTATTGATCGCCGTGAATAGAACGGCGAAGGATTGCGATGTTGAGGAGGTTTATACAAATATCGCTAAGGAAATTGATTATGAAAATAATACTTTGCACATTTGCCAAAAGAAGAATTTAAATGAGTTGGTGCGAAGACCTTTGGATGATTGTTTTTATTACAACGAGAAGGAGGAGAATATTACGGTTTGTGCCAAAGGGAGTATAATTTTATCATCGTTACTTTTATGTGTTATAGTGCAATTATTATTATTTCTTAAATAAATTTAATGTTTATAAATTTTTTGATTTGAATTTTCCTCAAACCATGGTTGCAGAAGAACCGTGTTAAATGTGTTGCGTAATCCCTAACTAGAAAGATTAAGTTTGATCGATAAAAATAATTACCACGATGGGATTACATAGTAAAACAGGGTTATTACCGGCTAATAAAACAATTTCAATCATTTATAAAGTTGTAAGCAATAAAAATTTTTTGTTTGATGTTTTAATAATAAGGTTTTTGCAGAAACCGAGTGTTAATTTAAAGGCTGTTTCAATTCCGGCCCCTTACACATTAAAACCTTTCGCTGGTTTATATAACCCATACCAAGGAGGATGTTCTTTGCTTTGTAACCACCCAGCTGATAATCAAACTAAGGAGTTATTAAAAAAGGCGAAAGATGCCTGGGCAACCGAAGGAAAGCCGTTGTTGATGGTCGAAGAAGTGGCTGCAATAAAAAAAAGTTTAGAGCAGTTAAAATCGGGTCAAGATGAGAAAATTAACGTGTTTAACGTTGATGATTTGGAAGAAGTTCCTGAGGAATTGTTTCGGAGATACACGGAAACAGATTCGAGGCCGCTAACACCAGCTCCAACCATCATTAGCAGTTACACAAAAACTTCAGCGGCCACACGACGTTGTGTCACCCCAGATCCCACCTTTACAAAGGAAATAAAAGAAAAAACTCAATTAATTCTAGACCTACGGAGGAGTCATAGCCAAGAAACTTTATCGTATTTCGGAGGATGCTCAAATTTAACAACAACCGAGCAATCATCGATTAGAATCCAACAAATTCCTTTGATACAATCACCTAAATCTTCATTATTAACTATGAGAGACGATTGCAGAACCATAAAACAAATTATAAAACCAAAGGAGCGAATAAATAAGATAAAACCTGATAAACCGAAGATAATTGTTGAAAATATTATGCCTCAATCAAGTTTAAAAGATGCTAATGTTGAAGTTGTTCCACCTAAAATTGTTTTAGATGAGGATAAAACCGGTGATGAGGAAAAAGTTGAGGAAGATTTAACCGTAATGAAAAGACGTGGGAAAAAAAGGAATAAGAAGGGAAGAGATGCTTCAAGGGGGCCACTTACAGTTCAAACTTCAATTGATCCAGAAACACAAGTAAAATTTAAATTAATTAAAAAAAAATAATTAAGTGTAGTATAGGCAACTAATTTAACACAAATATTAAATTAAAAAAATTAATTAAAATTTTCTTTTTAGATCGCAACAATTGGAATTAACTCTCACAATCCAAGCGCAAGACCGTCTTTAGTTTCTAATGCAGAAATCGATGAATTGATGGCACCTAAAAAGACTGAATTAAGAAAGACTTCGTTGGACATTAATTCGTATTTAGATGTTAACGTTTTAAAGCAGTTAAGAAGAGAATTAAACGAGGAAGTAATCGAAAATGAATTTAATGATAAAGTAAATTAAAAGATAATTAATTCATTATTATAAATAATTATTTTATTTTTTTGTTTAAGAGAAAAGAAGCTTTAAAAGAAGCATTAAAAACTTTAAGAAAAAATAAAACAGTATGCGCAGAATTAAAATCGTTACAAAAGCAATTAAAATTTCCAAAACTTGACGATGATTTTTGGTTATCTTTACCGAGAAAGTTCACTCGATCCAGCGCAAGATTTGAGTTACCCCCCGATAGCAGAACGTTATCCAAAATGACTTCCGTTGAATACGTAAGAAACCACGTCGTAATAACAAGTTCGAAAAAATTTCTGTACAACCACATTTTAAACCGAAATAAAACCGAATTCGATCTCGAAGACGGCCAACCGAGAGAACTACAAGGCAAAAATATGAGAAAAGCGTTAAATGAGATGATGGGAACGAGCCTAAACGACGAACAATTTGAGAGATTTCGCGATTTAATCGAGTGGAGCGACGAAGATGTTTTCGATTTTAAAACTTTTTGTGGAATTTGTGCCTTGTGCGAACGATTATTGGGGCCTGAGTTTTGTTTTTTAGGTAAAAACGAAGATCCTTGTGAAGAACTCGAAATCGTTGATTTTGGATCCTTGGAGAAGCGGTTAAAGAATCAATATGTTAATGAAAAATTATTAAAGATTTTGTATGGAATAAAGAATTCGTAATTTTTAATTAGTGGCGCCATCTCTTATTTAGTAGTTTAACTAAATACTATAATAATAATAATTATTTTTTTATACATGTACTTTAACGAATATTAAATTTTCTATTTATTTTGTTTAAAATAATTTAATATAAACAATAAAATAATATTTATATCAAAAAAATATAACCTTAACAACTAACTTAGCAACGAGTTTGTTTACTGTCATTTCAAAAAAATCTTTCAGATTATTAACTCAATACTTAATAAAATGACTCTACAAGAAGAAAATACATCAACTCAAGCTATCTTGCATAAATTTTGTTCAAGTCTTCAAAGCGAAGATCGCAAAATTCGTAAAAAAGCGTTCGAAGATATCAACGTTTTCGTTTCTAACCTCAAACCTGAAAACCCCGAGGAATTTCACAAGATTTTTAACGAAATCAATATTCACATGTTAAATGGTTTGAGAGATAAATCGGAGCCGGTGAGGGAGGAATCAATAAAATTTTTGACTGCTTTTATAATAACAATTTTACCAAAAAACGATTATTACCTATCATACATATTTCCTGTTTTAACGGAGCGTTTAGCGACTTGTGAGATAATTGAAGAGTCAGAAGAGGTTCGATTACAATTAATAACGTTTTTGGAACAAATCATCGATAAATATGAAGAAAAGAATCAACTAAAGCCGTTTCTAAACGATATCGTTGCTGTTTTACGTGAAACTGTAAAAGATAAATATCCTTCAATTAAAGAAAAAAGTTGCCATTGTATCGTAAAATTAACCAGGGCGCTTCCGAGAGATTTTCATTATCAAGCCGAGTCGTTAATTAAGCCTGTGTTATCAAACTTTTCACACCAACGGTTTAAAATACGATGTGAAGCAATTAAAACTATCGGTGAAATTATTTTGTTTAGTACCTATAAGGGATTTGATGAAATTACCGGGCCTATGGCGGAGAGATTATTCGATCAAATTCCAATTGTGAGGCGAACTGTGGCACAAGTGGCCGCCAAATGGCTTTTGGAGTATCGAGATCGATACTCTTTTTTTCATAAATTATTACCGTTAATTTTAACCGGGTAAAAACAAAATTAAAACATTTAATTTATTAAAATTAATACTTTTTAGGTTAAATGATGAGGTTCCTGAAACTCGCGAGGAAGCAGCCCAACTTTGGGCCGTAGTCGGGATGCAATACCAAAACGAGAATGAAAATGATTTAAAAGAAGAAATGGATTTTTTAATTGAACCCCCTAAATATTATTTACAAAATGGTAATTAATTTTTTGTTTGTTTCGGGGTTAAAAGATAATTTTTTTAGTTGAACGCCCCAATTTGGGCTGCCGCACCATCGTTAAACGTAACATTAGTAAAATGGCTAAAGCGATGAGTAACGAATTAGCTAGTTGGCAATTAGACGTTAGGATTCGCGTCGGGCAACTTTTAGTTTCCGTTGTGTTACACGCTGAGGAAGGAATCACACATAATATGCAAGATTTATTACCTGCTATGTATATGGCGGTTCGTAACGATGACGTCAAAGTCACCGAAAATGTAATTAAAGCAAGTGAAATAATCGGGATATTCGTCCCGGTTAATACTTGGAAAAAAATTATTTTACCTGCAATTGAGGATGGGGTCCACAACGGCCATTTAGCTATTTTAGCCGGATTAATTCGAGGAAGTCCAATTCAAAACATTGAAGGTTACATCGACGAGATTTCCCAATTACTTGCTGATAAAACAATTTGTCAAAGTAGAAAGGTTTGTTTTTTCACTTCAAATTACGCCACAAATATTTTAGGTTATGTTTGAAATTAAAAGTTTGACCCTTGTTTATAGATATACACATGTATATCTATAAACAAGGGTTTGACAGTTTAAAAAATAAAAAAATTTCTTCTTTATCGGCGAAAAATTGTTTATATTTTAAATTTTTTTTTTTTAGAAAAAACAACAAAGGGAAATGATAAATTGCGCAAACGCTTTGATGGAAAAATACGTCCCAAATGAATCATTTCATTTCGGTCAAAATATTTTTAACATCCTTGTGACAACCATCGCATTACGAGATGTCGAAAACGTCGATATCGATATACATTTGTTGGAGAAGTTGCAAAAAACTTTAGGATTTGCAACTAAATATGAATTATGGAGTAAATTTTGTGGGAATTTATTAGATGAGATCAAAAAAGATCCTAAAGTGTGGACTGTTGTGACTGCGGAAAGATGTATTTTTGAAATTATTTTGTTAGAATCAGGTGATTAATGAATCAAAGTGATTCTAATAATTAATTTATTAATTTTATTTTTAGAGGAAGCATTCGGGGAAAATTTAAAATTAATCGGAGACATTTTAATCGATGCTTTACACCTCGATTCGGATGTTGAGTCGCGCTTAAAAACATTTGTTGCTTTAACTAAAGCGATGGATTCAAAAAACATTATTTTTAAACATTCCAAAGACGATCTTAATTCGTTTTTAGAGGTTTTAGTTATCGGTATTTTTTTAATGTTGATTATTTAAATAACCATTTAATTAATTTTGATGTTTTAGAGGTTCTCGTACCTTCGTTAGTTTGGCACGCTGGTCGTACATCAGAAGCTATGCGTACAATGGCGGCTTCTTGCCTATTTAGCGCCCTAAATCCAAACGATGATGTTGAAATATTCTGCGATCAAGAAGTTTTTCGCCCACTCTTCGATAAACTTACCCCTCTATTGATTTCGTTATCACAAGATTCGAATTTCCGAAGTCGACAATTAGCGATTCAAGATTTAGCCCTTTTAAAAGAAACGGCACAACGAAGAAATTGTTGGAAAATCGACGATTTTGTTAAAATTTACCCGGAAGTTATTAAAAGGCTTGATGACCCCACTGATAAAGTTAGATTAAGTTGCGTTCAATGTCTCGGGGTTATTTTTGAGGATGTCCCGGATGAGTTTCTTCGTGTAACTTATCGGAGTCATCATAATTATATTATCGATACGTTAATGGTGCATTTTGATGATGAGGACGGTGATTTTCAAGATTTAATTGGGGTTCTTTTAAAATCGTTGGCTGTTGTTTGTGGGAAAGCGCTTAAAGGGAAGTTGGAGAAGCAAATGGGGTTGTTTCGTAATCGGAAAGGTTGCGAAGAGATTTTGGAGAGTCTTCGGGGGATGGATTTAAACGAAAACGACGATGATTAATAATTAATTATTTAAAATAAAGTTTTATGATAATTTTTATTTAATATTCGACGCGACCTTCCGAACCAATAAAAGATTTATCCTTTCTCCGGAGCTTGTGTCATATAAACAAGTTTCTCTCTTGAATTGTGATCACTTTTCGCATGTACTCGACGTCGTCGTGTCCTTTTTATGCACTTAATAAAAGATTGTGTACTATTAAATGAATTAAAACGGAAATGAGTTGTGTTGATATTAAATTTGAAAATATTGTTTACCCCAAATTAAATCGGGGAACAGGTGAGATTAATTTTAACGATTCTAATTAATAAAAGTGAAAGTTAAAGAGGAAGTTAAGCCTGAAACTTTCCAAATGATTTTATTTTTAAATCTTTCAAATTACAACATTTATATCTCAAAATGTAATAAAAATGTTAATATATTCATGGAATATTTCGAAGATTAAATATCTAAATTCAACGGGAATATTAAACAAATTTGTTTGCCTCTTTGAATGTTAAAAAGGATATCGTAATAACTTTGTTTAAGCAGTACACAACTTCTTGAATTGAACAAAGGTCAAGGTCATATGTAGTTTTACGCTTTTTACAAAGATTAATTCTTAATATAAATTGCACATTATTTTTAAACGCTCCACGATTTATAATGAAAAAATCACATTTATAATTAAATCTAAATAAATTAAAAAATAACCTTCAAACGTCAAACTGACGTTTAGTAATTTTTTAACATTTTGAGGTTATATCAATATTATTTCTTTTTTATCTAAACACCCATAAACAACTTAATCAAAGTAAAAATTGCATGAACTCGTTTTCATCGACCTTTGACTAGGAAAAAAAATGAGTAGTTAATTGATTTAATAATAACAATTTTTGTGTTTTCTTTAACCTTAGCAAATCAAGAAATTTTAAAAAATTTGTCTGGCTGTTTTTATTCGGGTCAATTAACCGGCATTTTAGGAGGTAGCGGTGCTGGTAAAACGACCTTAATCAACCTTTTATCGGGTCATATGTAAATATTGACATCAAAAAAATTAATTTTAATAAACACTTAATTTTAGAACAACAAACATCCAAGGTAAAGTTTCGATTAATGATGCAATTTGTAGTGGAGCTGATTTAAAAAATTCCTCGATTTACTTAATGGATGATGATTTATTACAAACTTCGCTAACTGTAAAAGAATCCTTATTACTCGTTGCCGAATTAAAGCTAGATAAACGATTATCAGCCTCAAATAAAATCAAAACTTGCTTAAGTATAGTTGAAAAATTAAATTTAACATCCTCTTTAAATACGATGACTGAAAATTTATCTGGTGGTGAGAAACGAAGGCTCTCAATTGCTTTGGAATTAATTAGTGACCCCCCTATTATTTTTATGGATGAACCAACTAGGTGAAAAATAAACCAAAAGATGGCGCTAATTGTAACTATTTTTTTAATTATTTGTTTAATTATTTTTATTTTAGTGGTCTTGATGAAGTATCAGCAAAAAACACAATCGATTTATTAAGATCATTATCCCGCGATGGAAAAACAATAATTTGCACAATACACCAGCCGTCAAATATAATTTTCAACATGCTCGAACATGTTTATTTCATAAACGATGGTCGTTGTATTTACGATGGCACAGTAAACGGATTAGTTCCCTTTCTAGATAACATTTTATTTCCGTGCCCAAAGAATTACAACCCGGCCGATTACAGTAAAGTAAATCAAAATTTCCAAAAAAAAATGCGAAAATGAATTTCCTTTAAAAGTTTTAGAAATGAGCCAAAACAACGAGGAGATCTCTTTAAGATGCAATTCGATGTTAACACCGTATCAATTCGATAGAGAGAAACGTGGTAATAAAGAAATCGTTTCGTATGGAAATTTAAAAAGTGAACGGAGACGAATTGGGTTTTTAAAGCAAACGGGGGTTTTATTGAAACGGCATTTTATTCAAACAAAGCGTCGTAAATTAGCGATGGGTATAAACGTGGCCCATCATATTTTGTGCGGTCTAATGACCGGCTTTTTATACGTTGGAACTGGAAACGACGCGGCTAAAACAGCGAATATTTATAAGCTTAGTTTGGGGGCCGTTGCTTATATCAGCTTTGCTTATGCAATCATTCCTATTCTTGTTTGTAAGTAAATTTAAAACATTTTTTTTTAATCGAAATTTAGATCCTTTTCAGATTAAAATTATTAAAAGGGAAATTTCGAATGATTGGTATGGATTAAAGGCGTATTTCCTTACACAAAGTTTAGCCCCACTTCCTTATATGGTAATTTAAATAAATAATTTAATAATTTGACATGAAAAAAAATTTTTAGGATTTGTGATTATTGATTAAGTTAGTTTTCATTTTTAGATACCTTTATGCTTTTTATTTACAATATCATGTTTTGGTATTGTGGATTCATCTTTATCATTAGAGAGATACTCCCGTTTATCTGTGATATTGATTGGCGTCGCTATCGTATCCCATTTTTACGGACACACCATCGGAGCGATTTTTAATGCAAAAGTTGGTTTAATTTGGAGAAAATTATTATATTTAAATGATTTTTTGTAGAATGCTTGTGTAATTGGCTCAATGGTTGCAACGATCGCGATGAATATCGGATCTTTTCATCATTACCGGATTTCTTTTACTACATGGGTGATTCGACAAACCACTTTTACTCGATATGGAGTAACTGGATGTTTATTAACTTTTTATCAAAATAGAAAATTGAATTGTAGTGAGATAGTTTGTAGGCATAGCGTTGAAAAGTTGATTTACGACGATTTTGGGGTTGGGATCCCATCGTATTTGGTACAACTCTCCGGGTTGGTTGTTAATGTAATTTGTTATGCAATTTGTTTTTATGTTATACTTAGAATTAAGTTTTATTCGAATTTAGTTGAGGTTTGGAGGAATTTTAAGGCAAAATTATCAAAATAATTCGATTTTTTAATATTTTGGTTTATACAAAAACTTATTTTTATTAATTAATAATATTATACAATGAAACTCAAATAAAATTAAATATTTCACACTTAAATAACAATTTTTATTTTAAAACTTAATATTTTCTTAAAATAATTAAATGAATCCGTTTGAAACCAACTTCAGATTAATAAGCAGTTAAGGTATGTGGCGCCACCTGGAGACGTAGTTTTGGGCAGAGCCCCCAACTCGATTGGTGGTCGACGACGCGTCACGGGCAATCGGCAAAACACGATCGTTCCAAGTTCCAAAGAGTGTCGCCGACACCGACGACTTCGCGGGCCCCCCACGGCAGTGATGTCCGCGTTGTGAGAGTAGGACTCCGCGTTTCTTTTCCTTCGGTGTTTTTGTGTTTTAACGCTGTTGTTTCCGGTGTGTATTTTATAAGTTCTTTCTCCGCTTATTCTCGTCGAGGACGGCGAATCCATCGTTTACGTTCCACATTTTAGAATCTACCTGTCCATTCTGCTACATATGCCCAAGCACCCTCAGTAAGTATCGAAATGTATTAAAATCGAAAAAGTCACCGGCAATGCACATCGATTTTTTGTGACAACGATTTTGACGTTTCTAACCTCTCTTTTTAATTGTCATTTTTATTTTATTTTAATTATCTTTTTTATCCATATTTATAATTTACTATTAAGTTTACTTTTAATTTACGTTTTAATCAATTTTTATGCGATTCTACCTATTTATGGATTTTTTTTATCGATTTAATCCCGATTATATTTTTTTAGGTTATGTTTAACTTTTAAGATTAACTTTAATTTTAATCATCGTTTTAAATCATATTTTTATGTAAATATTTTTATTTGCGTTTATTATTTTTATTTAACTTTACGATTAGATTAATTTTATAAAATTATATCATAAATGTCAAAATTTTATAGGTTATTTTAACGTTTAATTTTTAAGTTTGATTTTGAAGTGAATTAAAGCTTTTATTTTATTATCGTAAATAAAACCTACATCAGCATGGTCTTGTTACTTTATCGAACTGTGTAAATTTAAAATTGAGATTTTAAACTTGGATGTTTTCCAAGTTTGGTATTCGAAACACTCCGAATAGTTTTTTGTGCGCTATTTAGGGCACCTCTCTTATTATTTTGACCACCTATTTTATTTATTTTATATTCCTTTATTGTAAATCAAGAAAAGGAAGATTTTTCTTTCTACTTTTTTCTTGCCAAAGCTAAAACCACAAGAGGCTCTCTTACTATTTCCATCCGACGAGAAACATTGCGGCATTCATCAGGATTTGCACTAATTAAAAACTGCCGCCGTTCGTTCTCATTTACTCGCCCCCCAATTTTTAATAAACGTACTTTTCAACCCCCTTTTTAACTTAACCTCTCATTGCCACTCCACAATTTTATCTTTTCAATCTTTTTTTAATTCTATTCCATCCTAACGTGTTTTTGGGCATCATAACATTATTTACTACACTATAAAAATAGTTTTTAACGAGTTTTGTTAACATATCGTGTATGACTAGACGGGGAGGGTTTGTTGACATACTATCGATTATCCTGGTGGTGCTGATGTTAGAACAGCGCGGTTCCCCGCTCTCTCCTCGTTTCCTAACCCCTTAAAACACGTGCATGAGTCCGAATGATGCCCCAGTTACTTTCACCCGAGTCAACTACGTCTTCAGCTAAATTACGATGCAGTAAATACGACATTTTGCGACCTAAAAATAAATTAAATTAGAAATCAAACTTAAAACTGCATTAATTAATTTGTTATTTCTTAATTTGTTGTTATTTTATTAATATTTTTATAAATTAAGTTGGCAACACTTGTATTAGTAACGTCAAATTGACATAAACCTCCAAATTAATTTAAAATTTTTCTGTGATGTTAATTATGTTGCAAATTAGTTTTAAAGGATAGTTTTTAAGTGAGTTATGGAGCCAGCAATTGAGCTGGAGTTATAATTCAGTTATAGGTGCTTCGAGAGCGAAGATCGATCACTTTTGTCCCCCCTTAAGAGTTTAATAAAGTTAATTCCGTGTGGCGCCCATCGAAATTTTCTTCGAAACGTTAACTTTTCACCTTTTTAAAACTTCCCCCACCGAGAGCTTAAATTAATAAAGCTTTTCTCTTAACATTCTTATTAAATCTTTTCTTATTGTTTCAGATGTCCTTATAAGGCTTTTATATCGACGTAAAGGAAAAATTGAAATTTCACCTTCATACAGGTAATTTTTTTGTATAATGTTATGAATCATCGCCTAAAAAATTTTAAAAAAATAATCATTCGAGTGACTCATTTTTAAGGTTAATTTGACTTAAATCGGATGACGTTTACAAAAATTGAGGTTATGTTTACTATTATTTTTAATATTTCAACAAAAAAATTTTTTTTTTAATAAATTTTTTGTAGCAAAAAGTCGAAACAAAAATCAAATACAAAGAACTTTTCAAAACATTCACAAAAAGACCCACTTCGTTCCCGCAAACATCATTACCCGGTCATAAGAGGGATTATTTTCCACACCAACCGTATTCCTATTTGCCTCTTGTACACGAACTGCAATAGGAGTTTGGAAAAGGGGGACAAAATCCCCCCTACACCATATTTATCGACCGGAAGTGAAACGAACTTTCCAAACAATTTCTTAAATCAAAAAAAAAAAAACCTAAAATATTGGTTAAATTTAACCATTATCTCCCAACCAGTCATAAAGGATTACGAGAAACGTGCATTTTTACTTGTATTTGTTGTTCTTTTCGGGGGGTCCCAATTGGTTTTTCTTCGTTGTCTCCTCGTTCCTTTGGCAATAACCGGCACCCCCCAAAAAGGTCGGTTCAGTAACCGAAGGAAAACGCGCTTGCGCAAGCTTGTTCGTTCGCGTTCCGGTCGATACACGCGATTTCCGCCTGAACAGCATAGAGAAGGAACCAGATTGCTCCCTTGCAAAACTGGGGAAACGTTCCTGGGGGTCGATCTTGATTTTCTAAACCTAAATTGAGGATATTTGATAAGGATTAAATCGAAATTGAGTTGATGTTGGGGTTTGAACTCTTAATTTAACTCCGAATTTACTCAAATAAAAATAATTAATAAATGAATTTCTTTTATAATTCATTGTTAATGCGAAGTTAGCAAAATATCATCATGACAACTCATGTCAAATAAATTATAAAATAAAAAATAATAATATATATATAATAATATGTATTATAATTAATATATTAATATTTATATTGTACCATAAATAACATTGAAATTAGTTGATATTATTTTTGTTTCACTATTAATATTAATTATTCGTCCAAATTTAATAATGTTATTCCAGTTTTAAGCGAAATTTACATTAAAATCGTCCTAAAAAATGTCAAATGTAAAACATAACTTCAAAATAATAAAAAATCTATTAATTTTTGGAGCTATTATTTCAAGGTATGTATTTAATTATTAATTAATTCAAATTAATTATTTGGATGATTTATTAATAAATAATTAAATCTGAATCGATTTATTCATATTTGCAAAAGTTGTAAACTAAACAGTTATAATTGGGAAGTTGATTACAATGACATTTTTAGATTGGTAATAAAAAAATAAATGACAAAAAGTTTTATTTGTAATTTTAAATCGAATTTTATTTATTTCATTTTATAGTAAGATTGTAAACCAGATTCACGAGTTTAATAAATCTCGTCTTATGTTAAGATTGTTAATAATTATTAATAATAATTAATTTTATACTTTCGAAAGGCCAAATTGGTTGCTTAGTTACCATCTATTACTACACATGTTTTAAAATGAGTTGTCACAATTAATTTATTTTTATTTAATTAATTAATCTTTTACTTTGTTTCAGAAATTGCCAACGTCTTTCCCGTCCTTATTCCAAGCTCACATAATGGACCAATCTTGGTGAGGATCTGTAATTTCAAATTTTTATCAACCTAACCTCACATTATCTATAAAAGATTAAACGTAAACATAAAATTTTTAAGATAAAAGGTTTAAATGTTCGTTTGGGGTTCGTTTACCCTTCGCAAAGCCGTCGAGATTCTCCATATCTGAATCCTCGTGCATATTTAAACGGTTCACGATCGCTCCGAGTCAGTCAGGATGCGTTCTCTGGGGCATTTTCAACCCCCTTTGAACCCATCACAATGTAGGCGATATGCGCGTAAATTTTTAATTTTTTTTTTTTTGTATTTAGACAACGGTGTTAATTATTTGGGACTAAGAGGTTAAAATGTCCCGGCATTCCCAGTTTTACACCGTCGAGGTGGGAGATACAAAGTTTACTATTTTGAAACGTTATCAAAATTTAAAACCGATTGGTTCTGGAGCTCAGGGAATAGTGTGGTAAGAAATCTTTAATATAATAAGTTAAAAAAGAATTCTTTGAAGCACGCCTCATTAGTTTGTAGTTAGAGAATGAGTTTTGAGTGAAAACTGAGTGATTTTAAGTTATTTATTTTATTCTCATTTTCTTCGATTATTATTATTATTATTTTAATTTTTATTTTTGTAGTTAATCACGGTGTAGAATTGCACGGATTCTTGTTGTTTTGTCGATTTTCTTACTCTCTCGGTTGTGTTTAAAAGGGGGTAGTTAGAAAATAAGAGGGATTAAGAGAGAGTGTAACTGAAAAATAATAAAGTAAAACGGGGCGATTTCGAAAAGTTGAAGAGGGCGTCATCGTCACGATGCCCCTTCGAGACGGATTCATAAAAAACGTTTTCGGCGACACCGAATTTTGGGTCCCCGAACGTTACTCGAACCTCGAACCGAAAGGGGGTGGAGCCCAAGGTCTCGTCTGGTGAGTTATAACACACCATCAACACTTCATTTATTAGAGTTTCCAAGAAACTTAATTTTTAAATTCTACCTGTAGATTTTGTTGCATGGCATGTTTATTTTTGTGTTTCTTTTTTTCTTAAAGCATCTTAATAATTAAAAATTGTTTAAATATTGTTTTTATTTTCTAGCGCTGCCGTTGATACAGTCACGCAACAGAACGTGGCGATTAAAAAACTTAGTAGACCCTTCCAAAATGTGACGCATGCTAAAAGAGCGTACAGAGAGTTTAAACTCATGAAATTGGTTAATCATAAAAATGTACATTAAAACAATCTTAATCTGATATGTTTTTATTAATTATTTAATTTATTTTAAAGATTATTGGTCTTTTGAACGCGTTCACCCCTCAAAGATCTTTAGAAGAATTCCAAGACGTTTATCTAGTTATGGAGCTAATGGACGCGAATTTATGTCAAGTTATCCAAATGGATTTGGATCATGAACGGATGAGCTATCTTTTATATCAAATGTTATGCGGAATTAAACATTTACATTCAGCAGGAATCATACACAGGGTATTAAATTTTTTTTAATTTATCGCCATCTATTGATTTTCATTAAAACTTTTAATCTGTCAAATTTGACGTTTTTCTTTTAGGATTTAAAACCGAGTAATATAGTGGTTAAATCTGATTGTACATTAAAAATTTTGGATTTTGGTTTGGCAAGAACAGCAGGTACAACGTTTATGATGACCCCGTACGTTGTGACGCGATATTATCGGGCTCCGGAAGTGATACTCGGTATGGGGTATAAAGATAACGTCGATATTTGGTCCGTCGGTTGTATAATGGGTGAGATGATTCGCGGCGGGGTTCTATTTCCGGGCACGGATCATATCGACCAATGGAATAAAATTATTGAACAATTGGGGACGCCGTCGCATCAATTTATGGTGCGTTTACAGCCGACAGTTCGAAATTACGTTGAAAATCGTCCGAGGTATCCGGGGTATCCGTTCGATAAACTCTTTCCGGACATGCTTTTCCCCTCGGATAGTAGCGAACACAACCGATTGAAGGCGTGTCAAGCGCGCGATTTATTATCGAAGATGTTAGTTATCGATCCGGAACGAAGAATATCTGTTGACGATGCTCTTCTTCATCCCTACATCAACGTTTGGTACGATGAAGGAGAAGTGAACGCTGTAAGTAATTAATTGATGATGCAATTAAAAGGGGATGGCTGTTAATTTGATTTTGCGGATGCGATTATTGAATGCCCGGTGGAAATCGGTTTGCGGTGACCGGTGATTATTGTGCGATTTGCGGGGAAATTGGAGCTTATCCCAAACAAGTTTAATTAATACCTAAATTCGATTTAATTTTTTTAGCCGGCGCCTGCCCCGTACGATCATAGCGTAGATGAGAGAGAGCACACGGTCGAACAATGGAAAGAGCTTATTTATCGTGAAGTAATGGAGTACGAGAACCTCCATGGAGGTGCTAATTCGAGGGCATCTTCAAGTACGCAACCCAGTCCAGCCACCAACTCAACCGAGCCCAACGGAACCGACACATTACGGTAGAGCAGGTTAATCGATAATTCTGTTTACTAATTTAAAACGTTTTTATTGATTTTAATTAAACCGTTTTGTTTTAGGATTTGAGGTTTGAGGCATAGGTTACATTTTCAACTTTCCTAACCGTTACAATGGAACCCAAAAATTGATTTTTATCTGTTTATACTAAAAAAGAAATAATTAACAGGTAAAAATCAAACAGTTAAATACAAAGGAAAAGTAAACAGATGCACTCGATACAGCTAAAATTTAAAAATTAAAATCAAACTGATTATAATGAAAGAAAATCAGAGTGCAATAAGGAAAAATTAAAATATTTAATCACTTAAATTTTTAAAAGAAATTATTTAAAGTAATATTTACATTTTTTTTAAAGTACTGCTGCTTAAATAAATTTGCAATTAGATTTAAATTAGATCTGGATGAATTTATAAAAATTGCTACTCCGAAACTCGTTACGGGTATTTATCCAAATCTGAAAGACACCAACATTTAGTAGGAACTTATCTTGTATTGAAAAATATGCTTATTTCTCTTAATATCATTTAAAAAGATTTTATTTTAATGCAAAAATGTGATGTTTCTAAATTCGTTCTTGAAACTGCAGTGGTAAATGGTGAAAAAAAAAATGAAAAAAAGAGTTGGAGACGTCACAATAAAACATAACCTATAATTTATTTTTTCAACATTGCGATAAATTGCTTATTTTCTTTGTTTGAGATGAAAAAGGATATTTTGAGGTCTTTTAATAACGTAAGTATTTTTTTTACCGTTAAAATTGGGTTATTAGTAAGGTTTGTTCCTAAAACGGAAAAACAAAAAAGTTGAATAATAAAGTGAAGGTAAACCTTCCCTTTATTTTTTTTATCAAGTAATTTTATAAAAACTCCAACCAATCGTTTTAATTTTAAATAAGGTTATTTATTAAGTATTAATGAGGTTTGATCCTAAAACATGTAAAAATGAAAAAGTTAGGTTAGGTTTACCTCTTAACTAAAATTTTTTTAACAAATTTTTTTTTTTGTACCAATTATTACCTTTAATGTAATTTTTCCAAATATAACGATTTTTCTGTGGTGTTGTATTTATTTAACGCATTTATTAATTATTAAAATTTAAGTGACGCTTTGACGTTTTTTACAGTCATTTGACTTGCTCAAATTAGCATCCGAATATTCCAAATTAATTTTTTAATTATATTTTAAAATTGATTTGAATTATATTTTACCTAAAATATCCTTTTTCTTTTTAATTTCTTATAAAGTCTTTCTTTTTCAAATAATATAAAGATTTGAATTAAATTAGTGTCTAAACCAAACGTCAAATTTGACGTTTGTTGCAAAATCCAAGTGCAAATTTATTTAAATGAAATAAATTTTGATACATTCAACATAATGATGGCAAAGGTTATTTACAGAGCAGTACTTCATTTCAAGCAATACGTTGAGTGCAATTTTTAAATAAACTATTCTAGAAAATGCTATAATATTACTCATACACAGGACAATCCCCTTATTTTCGGAGTAAAAGCAAATAGAAAATCAAATTCAACTCGAATTGGATGAGCGTCATAGTCGTAAAGGCAAAAAGCAGCTGGAAGATTGTTTTTTAAATTCGAATGTGTATAAATCTATATTTATTAAAAGGTGCAGATGAATAAATGATTTACCCTTTTAATAATATAAATTACACTCCGATTTTTAATCTTATAGTATTAATAGAGGTTAACCGTAATTTGTAGAATAGAAGAAGGATTTAACTAAAAAAATAAAGAGCTCTTTAAGTATAATCGTGCAAAAAAAAGTAGTAGTGATAGACATTATAAATTAAAAGGAAAAGTGAAAAAAATTTCTAACAAACCCCAAAAACTGAACGGTTACGAGTTTTTTTCACCACCGCGTCCGATCCGATCCAAATACACAAAAAAAAGTTTAAAAATATAATTCCTGTAAAAAGTAATACTTAGTGAATTTTATAATAGTTAATAGATTTATGCATGAATTGATTGACGATGACGAAAAATAGCACCACATCTAATTTATTGTTTAAACAGAAAATTCGCGTTCGATAAAATTAATTTGACAACTTAAATTTGTAACGATTTTATTGAAGTGAATTTTAGGAATCATTTCATTAAAAAAAAATAAAATTAAAATATTTAATAAAAACTTTCCCATTCTATATTTATGACGATAATTTCGCTACGAAATGAGTTCGATTTGAACCCTAACGTGTTATTTTTAAAGAAAAAGTCGGAATCATTTAAATTTAGATTGTTTAAAAAAAATTATGATAACCACTGTAATTATAACACCAATTTCAAAAAGAAAGAATTCTTTAAAAATAACAGTATCATAAATGTGTATTTTTTAAGCAAAAACCTCATCTTAAGGAAAAAAATCTTAATCAAGTTGAAGTCATTGTAAATAATTTCGGTTTTTCATTTTTCGTCGAGGAAAAACGGGCATTCCTCTTATTTAATTAATTATTAATTATTTCCACATCTCCTTTTTAGACTTAGGGTACAATTATCGCGTAAAATATCTTGTTAAGGAAATTAACGAAAATATCGATTCAATCTCGATAAATTCGATGATTTCTACGCCAACAAATATACATAATGAAGGAAATAAACAACACATTTAGTAATTTGTAGTATACAATGCTTGTAATGTTCTTGCTTTGTAAATAAACAAAACAAATAGAAACATTTTTAGTTTTATTAAATAAATAATTATTTTGTGTTGAGTGTAAAGTTGGTTGTCTATATCTGAGCAACGATGTTAACCTCAAATTGTAGGATTTGCTTGAAATTAAACGAGAATTTTCGCTCAATTTTCGACGAAAACATTGAATTAAAAATGTGCAAATGCTTCTCAATAAAGGTAAAAATAGTAATAATAAATTTAAATTATAAATATTTTTTTTTAGATAAAGAAAGATGATTTAAGTCCTAATCGGATATGTGAGAGCTGTTACATTAAATTAAACGATTTCTACGAATTCCAACAGCTTTATTACGAATCACAGAAAGAATTTGAGTCGAAATTAAACGGAGTTATCGTTAATAACGACAATAATAAAGTGTTTGTTGAAAGTGAGGTTACATTTAATGCAACATATGATTTAAATCAAAATTCTCAAACCGTTTTAAGACATTCAAGTGATTTTTACAACAAAATCGAAAAAATTAGTGGTAATAAAGAAATTGCTTTAAAGAAAAAATTTCCCTGTCAACATTGCAAAAAAGTTTTCACTCGTAGAAACAATTTAAACGTCCATCTAACTTTGCACGCAAAAACGAAACCTTTCACTTGCGAAATTTGCTTTAAAACGTTCGCGAACGAGCGACATTTAAAGACACATAAGATCACGCATACAAATAAGTATCGATGCGAGATGTGTCAAAAATCTTTTACGGTTCCAAGTAAGTACCAAAGGCATCTTAGGATACATTTCAAAGAGAAAGTTTTTATTTGCCCCGTTGAGAATTGTGGGAAATCCTTCACTGATAAAAGTAATTTAAAAGGACATGAATTTACGCATTTAAATGTTAAGTTATTTGGTTGTACCGTGTGTAATAAAAGTTATCGAACCCGTACTCAATTAAACGATCACATGAAATCGCATGATAACCCAAAGTTTTCTTGTAAAGGTTGCGGTAAAAAATATAAGTGGAAATCGAATTTGTTGGTGCATCTCCGTAAAAAGGTACAAAAAGGTTGTTGTAATGAAAAGAAAATAAATTAATTATTAATTTTTTTATTAATAAACATTATACAATTATTTTCATTTACATTTATCCCAATTTTTTTTATAATACTTTCGTTTTTTTGACTGTTTCTTCTTGTAATTAACTGTTTTCTTTGGTAAGATTAAAATAAAATGAAAAGAAAATTTAAATGCAATAAAAAAAATTGAAATTCTAAATGGCGAGATCAAAAATGAGTCAAAATAACCGCAAAATAACTCGCGACCAAATAAATTTAAATCTACAATAATAATTACCCTAACGAATAAATAAATCAACAACAATATTTTTTAGTTTCCTTTCCAAGCGAAAGTTTTTATAATTAACAACAAAAAAGAACTACAAAGAGAATCACTTCTGGTGCTTCTTTAACGTTATTATTTTTTTTTTTTAATTTTACACTTATTTCATAAAAAAAAATTAAAATTAACCGAAATTCTTTTACCGTTCATCATCGACTCTCAACTTTTCGATACAACTCGAAACAACCTCAACTTCCGGCAACCTAAAATTACCAAAATCAACTTTTCCCCCATCCCCAACAATACTCTCAAGGGATTTAGCCTTTTTTAATTGAGAGATCTCATCAACGTTATCAACGGTACTCTCGATAATCGCCTTAACAAGACTTGTACCCGGCGAATCGTTGCTGTCGTTATTCTCCGATCGTGTTCTATGCCGTTCTTCGCGTTGTTTCGTCGGGAGATTATAAGGGGCGTAACGGTTTGTCGGCGTTACATGCCGCACTTTTAATCCTATTGAAACATTGCTGACATATTTTGTATTAATCAACATTTTTAGGTTATTTTCTTTTAAGTATTCTCGACGAGGGGGTGCAGCACGTGATGATAAAGTATCCAATTCAGTCAAAGCGGCGTCTAATTCATTTACATTCGAAGGATTTGAAAACTAAAATGTAAAAAATAATTTTGAGGTTATGTTTTGACGTTTAAAAAAAAATGAGGTTATGTTTATTAAAATTAAGTAGGACAAAATCTTTTTTATTAATGATATAGATTAATACGAATTAAATTAATATTTAAAATAAAATTTTGTGTTATTATTGGATTTTAGAAAAAATGTATCATAAATAAACAAATAAGTGATACATAACCTAGATTAACAGCTGTAATAACTTTAAGCTCACCTTCACGTCCTTTTTACCATTGTACATCCTTACCGACACTTTTAGGATTAAAACTGCATATAAACGATAAAAAATTATTGTTTATTGAGTTTAAACGGATTTTGAGCGATTTAGAATGCAATGAAACGTTTTGTGTTATGAGACGCTCAATCAAAACAATGAGTGAGACAGATGTATAGAGTAAAGTGGTGTTGGAGTAGGATGGGGAATACCTTTTCATTACTCGTTGTGTTTGATTTTGAAATGATTTTAACATAACCTTCTCCATTTAATATTTTTTTCAATAAATAAACTTTTCTAAGATTAACACGATATTTTACGATAACGATTAGATCTAATTGTTTTAATTTGATAGAGATAATAAAAAATTAAAAAATTAATTATAATTTTGCCATCTATTATCGAATATAGAAACTATTTAAAAATAAATGTTTTTTTTTAGTAAATTTTAACTATTTAAATATTAAAATAAGTTATTTTGCTTTATTTTATCTAAAATTTAAATTAGCGTATAATAAACTTAAACGTAAGTAAATTAGAAAATAAAAAAATAATTGCGCCATCTATATTGGTTAATCAGAAATTAACTTAAATAACATAACCTAACTTAAAATGACATTTAGCTGTCAACAATGTCAATTAAATTAGTAAATTCTCAAATAGTTATGAGGTATTATTAAATTCTTTTTGTTTAAAATAAAATAATAAGGCACCGGCGGTCGAAGAATTTTTTCAAAAATGTAACGTCACTAATAAGTAGGTTAGTGAGATCAATTCGTTTTAATAAGTTATGTAACGAAACGTTTAGGTTATATATGTGTCAGATGTGTTATTTTGAAATTTCCGTAGGATATGCGGAGTGTCTAGTTACACACCGGGCTCGGTAATAATGGATACTAACAATGTGATACTAAGTTATCATGAGAGCTTGCTTCGAAAATCCGATGTGGAGTTATTAAAAGGCCCCTGTTGGTTAAACGACACTGTCATATCATTTTATTTTGAGTACCTCGAGATAAACAAGTTTAAAAGCGATCCCATGTTATTGTTCGTCCCGCCACAAGTAACCCAGTGCATAAAAGTGAGTCCTTCAAACGAAATCGGCATCTTCCTTGACCCGCTCAATTCGCATAACAAAGATTTTATTTTCTTCGCACTCAACGACAACGAACAAACTGAATGTTCCGGAGGAAGTCATTGGAGTTTATTGGTATTCTCATATCCAGAGAGAGCTGTTTATCATTACGACTCATCGCGTGGGAGCAATCAACACCAAGCTTACGAATTCGCTAACAAATTATTTAAATTTTACGGCATGATTCGACATGGAAATTATAATGAACCTGATTGTCTTCAACAAACCAACGGATATGATTGTGGCGTTCATGTTTTATGTAACACAGAGAATATCGCTAATTATGCTTTAATTAAAAGACGAATTGAAGGTTGTCCTACGCTCGATAGACACAATGTTAGTAGCAAACGTAATGAAATTTTGGATTTAATCCATATACTAAGAAGAAATAGTATGAACAACAAATAATTAATTAATTAATTTTTGTGATGATGTGGTTTAAAAAAATGGGGTATTTTTTTTTATTTAATAAGCTTTTTTAATTAATAAATGATTGCATTAAAAAAGTAATTTATTTTTAAAACGTAACCTAACATTAATGACACCTGTCAAAAATAAATATTAAAATTGTGCCTATTTTAATCTGATAAATAATAATTAACCTTGGTTATTATTGTTATTATGTGGTGCTTATCGTAATAATCATCTTTATATTCATCCTGTTTGTGCCATCAAGTAAATAACGATTATTTGTGCCTTAATCGGAAATGAGTAATTTTTATTATAAACCATCTCCTAATAACATTTCGAATCATTTTTGCTTGGTAACTTCAACATGATGGATAAAGCTTTATTCTCGTTGGTTATTCTTGTAATAATCTTCCAAATTTGTCTCTCTAAAAGCATTTCGGAGGAAAATCATCATTTAAGGGTAAATTTTTCGTATAAAAAAAATGTACACTAACCGATTTTGTTCTTACTTGCTTCGTTATAATCTCCTTTGTGTTTTTATGTTTTAATATTTTAATTTAGGTTAAAAGACAAAGTGATATCGGCCAACAAATTATCGACGTGATTATAAACCTGGCTTTAGAAGCTTTCCAATTATTTTCGCAAATTGGTGAATTTTTTTATGGATTAATGGGACGATAACTTAATTTCCTTTATTAATTATCCTTTTATTTAGTAATAAAATAGTTTTAATTCCTACTAATAAAGTGTTTTAATGTTTAGCTCCATTTCTTAGTTTGGATTTTAAATCAAAATGTAGGAAACTGTACAGTAAATTACTAACTTCACATGGTTTTAGTTTGTGTTATATTTAACGTTATTTTTAGCGTTATTAATTGTTAATAATTTAATTATTAAGTTATAATGATATAATTAGATCGAAAGGGATGCGCAAGATTTCCGTGGAGCATCTCCCCCAATTCAGCCACCAAATGGTGTTGATGGAGTCATTGGAATCGCTTGGGAGGTTATCCAAAAAATTCCGGGTGTTGGGCGCAAATAAAATAATCTTATTTATTAAGTAATTAGTTAATAATATTATTATTGTATAATTATTATTATGAATGTCACAATAAAACTTTGTTTCAACTCAAAACATTCGGTGGTAACTTCACGTCATTAAAATGTCAAAATTAAAGTGATTTGAAATGTTAAAAACTTAAACTTTTTTTGGTATTATGGCAAAATTCTTGTATAAATAGCATGGCAGATTCGGGCAGTGCCCCCGAATATGTTAAATTTATAATTGCCTCAACATCTGGGTAAGAATAAAATAAAAAAGTTGATGTAGTGGTTCGAAATTGATTTTGATTTTAGCATGGGGGCCACAGGAATATGTTATCCCTTGGATGTAGTAAAATTTCGGATGCAAGTGAGCGGAGAAATGGGAAAAAAAGCCGACCATACAAATACCTTACAATTTTTGAAGTCAATCTTCAAAAATGAGGGGTTTTTGGGGTTTTATGGCGGACTCTCTGCAAGTTTACTCCGACAAGCTACTTATACAGGAACTCGTTTGGGGGTTTATCAATCTTTATTTGATTATTTTTCTTCAAAGTGAGCGAATAAATTCCTTAAAGCAATGTGTATGAAAAAATTTTTTTTAGAGAGGGGCGTCCACCGACGGTTTTTCAGAAATTAATATGCGGTTTCGTTGGTGGATTAGCTGGTGGATTCGTGGGGGTCCCCAGCGATGTTGCAATGACCCGAATGGCCGTTGATGGTCGGTTACCGAAAGAACAACGCAGAAATTACACCTGGGTAGGCAACGCTCTTATTAGAATCTACAAAGAGGAAGGTTTTAAAGCGTTATTTCGGGGAACCATTCCCACGATAACCCGAGCTATCATTGTGAATATCGCTCAATTTGTGACGTATTCGCAAACAAAAATTTTCCTCGTCTCTTACGGTAAGAAAATCAACATTAACACGTGATTAAAATGAAACTGCGAGGCTTAAATTAAGAATTGTTGAGAAATCATTTTTGTACACGAATTTATTTTGTACAGGCATTACTGGAGATACCACACCTTGTCACATCATTTCGAGTTTGATGGCTACGCTTGTTTGTACTATAGCTATGTTACCTCCGGATATTGCTAAAACAAGGTTATAAATAACTCGAAATTCTTTAAAAATCCAATAGAAATAAGCAAATCTAGGATTGAAGTTATATTTCAAAAAATGATAACTGTCATAAAAAGTATAACCAACCTAAATTTAATTTAATAATATAATCTCAAATTATTTCTATTTGATTTTTTATTTTTAATTAAAATCTGTGAATTTATCTCGTTTAACATCAAATAGAATTCAAAATATGCGCGTAATCGACGGCAAACCTGAATATCGAGGAATTTTGGACGTTTGGGTGAAATTGGTTCAAAAAGAAGGGGTATTATCCCCTTGGAAGGGTTTTACCCCCATGTTAATACGTGGTATACCTATGGGTGTCGTTTTGATGCTGATGTACGAGACCCAATTTCGTTTATATAGGTGGTTTGTCATTGAAGAATAAAAAAATCAAAAAAGTAATGAACTGTATCAAAGTTTTTACAATATATTTCATTTTTGCTCCCCCATTTTTAATTTTATTAAATTAAATTCGTGTACTAAAATGATTTTGATTCCAAATTTATCGAAGTAAACCCCAGTTTCATTTTAATACACGAATTAGGTAAAACCTAACCTCACTTTATCCTCAATTTAGATATCAAAGCTGATTCGACGATCAGTCACATTTTATCGAGTGTAGTTTCGACTTGTGTTTGTACGATGTGGGCTATGCCCCCGGATGTTGCGAAAACGAGGTATTTACCAATACTAAATGATTTTGGGGTGATTATTAATTCTTTTTAGGCTACAAAACATGAAAATAATCGATGGAAAACCCGAGTACGCCAATGCTATCGACGTTTGGGTGAAAATGGCTCATATGGAAGGATTTAGCTCCCTTTGGAAGGGTTTTACTCCCATGCTAATACGTAGCCTACCAAAAAGCATGTTATTGTTTTTAATTTACGAAAATCAATATCGGTTATATCGAAACTATTTTCGAAAACCATGATTTAAATTTTTAAATTAAAAACAGTGATCTGTATTATCAACAGAACTTTAAGCGTTTAATAATAGATGGCGTTTTTATAAATCTAACATTCAATATCTAACAATTTAGTTTAGTCTGATTTTTCTAATTTTTCCTCGACTTTTCTAAAAGCCATTTTAGAGACGAGATCAGATTCCTCCTCGACTTGCTCTACAGCGACTACTTCCGGTATATAAAATTGTAACATGTTTTGTACACCGTTTTTTAAGGTAACGATGGAACTTGGACAACTAGAACAAGATCCTTGCATTTTTAGCTTAACCACACCATCTTCGTAACCCATAAATATGATATCACCACCATCCTCTTGCACGGTAGGTCTTATTCGAGTATCTAATAATTCTTTAATCATAATGACAATTTCATCGTCTTCTTCGTTAATTTCTAAAATAAATTTAATTCATTTTTTTTAGTTATTAATTATTTTGTGGTTTACGTGTATCGGTATTTGGAATTCCTTCTTTTAAAATGGGTAAACCGCTTGCGAAAAAATCCATTATCGTTGCGAAAATCTCGGGTTTTAATAATTTCCATTCAACATCATCATCTAATTTAGTCACAGTGATAAAATCGGGGCCAAGAAATATCCCTTTGACCCCTTCGATCCTAAAAAGCATTTTTCCTAATGGGGAACAAGATGACGATTGAACATTGGGGAAATCCATCGTTTGTCCAGGTTCGAGTACTTTAACTCCAGGTAAAAATTTTAAACTATTCGGGTTGGGTGTCTCTTGAGTTTGCACAAACATTAATCGGGGATTACTTGGAAAGAACGTTCTTTTTTGAACATTTTGGTTAATGATGGCACTAAATTACACAAAAATTAATGTCATGTTACAATTTTGTGATTAATTTACCTTTTTGGTTGAGAATTTATCGTTTTTGTTAGGGTAGAACAAAATTTTAATGAATTGCGCCACATAATTTAATGTTTAGAAAAAAAAAGTGAGGTTAATGTCAAATTATTTTTTGTTTTTAGGTTGGTATTGATTTATTTTTAAATAAATATTTAATAATAAAAATAATTTAATAAAGTATCTGTTTTATCTTATTGCAGGTAAGTTATTATCGTTGAAATCGTGTTTAACACGACTTGGGGGATCTTCGAAAAAGTTCCAAAGGGAATAAGCGCTTCCAGCGCTACCAACAACTACAACAAAAATTAGGTATTTAAAATTAAATTGTTATTAATTAATTTAATGTTCTCACATAAAACTTTATTATCTCCGCTCCAAAAAAGCACGGGGATTCGACCAACGTTCCATTCTATGTGCTCAGTTGATTTATGAAACGAACTCAACACTTTTATATAACAAATTTGATTCGTTGTGTTGTAATAACTCATCTGTTAATGGAGAAAAATTATTAAAAATTAATTAACGTTTATTTTCGACGTTTTAAAATTATAATTAATGATTTTAATTATTAAAGTCCCTAGGGACTTTATTAATTATTAACCTTTAGCGCCATCTTTTGAAAAAAAATCAAACTCGAAACGTCAAAAATAACATAACCTAATTTTTAGCTTACAACTAATTCTCCAGATAATTTATTAAATGTTAAATAATCGATGCATTTTGAGTTAGTTTCATCCAATTTATGTTCGATGGTATCTTTTGGGTTACAAATATTCCATAATTTCAACGTTCCGTTTTGACGATCCGATTGGGTTGCGATTAAACATTCTCTCCAAGGATGCCAAGCGAGACACTAATTAAAATAATTAAACAATAAGAATTCTTTTAATTTAGTAAAGATGTTTAACCTTTATGGGTAAAGGCAACTTTGCACGTAATAATACATTAAAATAATCCATGGAGAACACGGTAAAATACTTATCCATCGAGGATGTAGCCAAATAATTCTCTTTGCAGGATAGTTTTATGGAAAGGATTCGTTTTTTTTCTTTAACGTTGGGAATGTAAACTTGCGTTACTTTTAATGATAAATTTGTGATGTGGTATTCGAAAATTTTTCCATCAGAACATCCGGCGTATAAAACATTCTTTTTGGACCATTCAAAGCTGGTTATTACATTTGTGGGGGTAACTTCTTTTATATCAATTATTTCCGCATCCATATATTTATTATTAGTGATACTTAAGAAGAATCCCCCTTTTTTTTTAGCTATCGCTAACAAATTCCCGGTTAAATTGAATTTGACTCTCCGAGTTAGCCTACAATCAATATCAACGGAACAACTTTCCACTGAATAACATTCCGTGGTTTGCGGAATCCAATAAACTAAGGTACGCCTCTTATAAATCCCAGCCATAACATTGTATTGGTTCCAATCGCACAATTCTAATTTCACATCATCGATTACATTCCGAATTAAAATCGGCTCCTTCATAAACGGTCTCTTTCGCGATTTAACCGGCCAATTTTCTATGGTGGTTTGAAAATATGTTTGTTTCGGAATCTTTAAGCCTAAAGTTAGGGCTAAACTAAAATAGAATTTTATTAAAAGTAAGTTTTAAAAAAAGTTCAATTCTTGCTTTTTCCGATAATTATTTTTTTTATGGATTACCAACCCATGATTGAAATATTCTTTGCCCTTTAAATCTTCATTTGTGGCGATTAAATCTTCTTTTGTATCCTTGTTATTGATGTGAAACATCATCATGGATAATTCTTCTCTTGACCGGATGAACCGATCACCAAAATTTTCATTCTAACCAAAAAAAATTTTTGTTAATAAATAAAGAATTATTCTTACATTTTTTGATACCATTTTTATTCTAAATCTTCTTAACATCTGCTTAAAATTGTACAAACAAGAAAAAACTCGTTTCAAAAAAAAATATTTTTAAATACAATTAAAAGCGCCATCTTTGAATCGACAGCGAAATCACCGACCACTTGTGGCGTTTCGAATTGACTGAAATCAGCTGATTCTTTTCTCCTCTATCTTATGACGCATTTTTTATTATTATTGTTATTATTTAACTTAAGATACAACGTAAAGTCCTCGTTTATTATTATTTTCTTTAATTATCATCCTTCCGCATTCTTTCATTTGAAAGGAGAAGTCGTAATCGCAACGCGCTTTCAAAACGATATCAAAAAGCGTCCAATGACTCATAATAACAGCACGTATTAGGTTCTTTGTTGTAAATTCGCTTTTATCCCATTTCAAAAGTTGATTTTAAGTTAGTTTTTTTAATTAAGTTTGATTTAATATTGATTTAGAATTGAATTGAATGGAGGAAATTGAGCGAGATCTCAGCGGGGTTATCAACGATGAAGATGAATATGATGGGAACAGCGATTATGATAGTGAAGATGAATTAACGAGGATTATACCACCACAAGGTAATTTTTCATTTCACTAAATTAAAGTTAAATTAATCTTGTTTTAGTTGAGGATACGAAACAATGTTTAAAAGCTCGGCACCTCCTCGGAATCTTAGGATTCTTTGGGTTCGCAAACGTATATGCAATGAGGGTTAATCTATCTGTTGCAATTGTTGCGATGGTTAATCACACTGCTTTTCCAAATCCACAAGATAATGACACATCCAATGATTATTGCCCAATTCCTATGATGAGAAACGATTCAACTCCAACTGTGAGGACGCCTTTAATATTTATTTTTAATTATTAATGAGTGTTGTTTATGTTTGTTTTTATGCATAGAGAGATGGGGAATTCGCTTGGGATGAAGCTACCCAAGGAATTGTGTTGGGGTCGTTTTTTTATGGTTATGTTATAACCCAAATTCCAGGAGGAAGACTTGCCGAATTATTCGGAGGGAAATTAGTTTTTGGAATTGGTGTTTTAATGACTGCTTTGTTTACTTTGTTGACTCCGATTGCTGCTAGGATTAATTTTCCTTTGTTTATTATCGTTCGGGTTCTCGAGGGAATGGGGGAGGTGCTTAACAATAATTTAAACGTAATTTTATAATCTAATTAATATTTTTTAGGGGGTTACATTTCCATCGATGCATGCTATGTTAGCTCGTTGGATCCCGCCATTAGAACGAAGCCGATTTGCAGCGTACGTTTACGCAGGAGCGAATTTCGGCACAATTATTTCTTTGCCGGTTTCTGGTTGGTTATGTTCGGTTGATTTTATGGGGGGTTGGCCTTTAGTGTTTTACGTTTTTGGTGCATTGGGGTTTGTTTGGTGCGTTTTGTGGTTGTTGTTAGTGTATAATTCGCCAATGACCCATCCTCGAATCGATCGGCAAGAAAAAGAATTTATTTTAGCTAGTATTGGACCTCAGGTAATTTCATAATAAAATTAAAATTGAATTGATTATACAACCAAATATACGAAGTCGATAAAGTAGGGATCAAAATTGACATGGACGTTTTAAAAAAAATTTTTATATTATTAATTTTATTCCAATTTAATGAATAATTAGCTCAAATTATAGCTTAATTCTCATTTATAAATAATTTGCATAATTGTCGTAATTAATTATAATTTTAGGATGAAGAAAAAAGTTCAATTCCATGGATGAAAATGTTGAAATGTTTGCCTTTATGGGCTATTTTAGTCACACAATGTGGTCAATCTTGGGCGTTTTACACCCAATTAACGGAAATGCCCACATATATGAGTGAAATTTTACATTTTGATATACAATCGGTAAAAAGATAACCTAAAATTTAATTAAACATTAATAATTAACAATTTATCGTTACCTTTTTGAATAGACTGCGAATTTATCAGCAATTCCTTATTTGACGAGTTGGATCTTTGGCATATTTGCGAGTATATTCGCCGATTGGCTCTTAACGAAAGGATATCTCTCACTTTCCGTATCATATCGAGTATTTAACTCGATAGGTATAATTAAATAACTTAACCTTAATTAAATCGTTTAATAACAACTTAATTTTAGCTTCAATCATTCCTTCGCTTGGTTTATTGGGTGTTGCTTGGTTGGGATGTGATCGAGTTAGCATCCAGGTAGTTTTAGCAATTTCGGGTGCTTTCACGGGAGCTGTTTACGCCGGGAATCAAATGAATCACATCGCTTTAAGTCCTAAATACGCGGGGACAATGTATGGAATTACAAATGCCGCTGCAAATCTTTGCGGGTTCTTAGCTCCGTATGTTATCGGAACTATCATTCAAGGAAGGGTAATTTTTAATACTTTTAATTCCAAATATAATTGCTAGATTTTAGGAAACTTTGGGGCAATGGAACTTGGTTTTCTACTTAGCTGCTGGGATTTGTATGGGCACAAACCTATTTTACGTCGCTTTTGCAAGCGCCAAAGAGCAATCATGGTCAAGATCACGCCGGTTGAGCAACGTTAACTGACAAGCGCTTTATTTGGCGATATTTGTTGATGCCTAATTAGATTAATTTATTTTTTTATCTAATTTTAACTCGGTTAAATCAAATTTTAAACATATCATCAGTATTATCGAAATTTGTTTGATTATGCAACCAAACATATAAAGTCGGTAAAGTAGCGATTTGGCGTTTTATAAAAAATATGTTTAAATTTTTATTTTTATTGATTTTATCCAGGTTTAATATGTGATAAGCTCAAAATATAGTTAATTCTCAGTTATTATAAGAAATCGATGATTTTTTTATTAAAATAAAATTTTTGGGGGGTTAAAAATGTACAATTAAAAATTGTATTTATAAATAAAATGTTCTCAATAAAACGATTTATTCTTAATAACGCATTTTTTATCAATTTGATTAGATAAATTCCAAAAAAAAAACAATATTAATCGAATCCGAAAGAAGCTGTTGCTAGTTGAGTTACATAAACCCCAAAAATAAACAAATTTAACCTTCCAGAGTTCTTTAGAAGGTGAGCAACGCCCAAAAAAATGTTGTGCTTAACTTTAATCGCAATAATTGCATCAATCCTAATCATTTACTACATAAACTCATTAAATTATTGGAAAAAACGAAACGTAGCCTTCATAAAAACTTTTCCAATCCTGGGCGGAATGAAAGATGTGATTTTAAAGAAAAAAAACTTAAGTGAGGTCATTTTAGAATATTACAAAAAATGCCCTGAGAAGAGATATTACGGAAGCTTCTTATTCACAAAGCCTTGTTTAACTATAAAAGACATCGATTTAATCAAAAAAATAACTGTAAAAGATTTCGATTATTTTGTGGACCACATTCGCTCCATCAACACCGACGCTGAACCCCTTTTCGCGAAGAATTTAGCTGCATTAAGGGGCCAAAAATGGAGAGAAATGAGAAACACGTTAAGCCCGTTATTCACGGGTAGTAAAATTAGAATTATGTTCAATTTAATTTCCGATTCGGCGAAACAACTCAACGAATACTTTTCCGATCAATTCGAAAACGATGAAATTGTCGAGTTTGAAGCGAAAGAAGTCATGTCGAGGATCGCAACGGATATAATCGCGACTACTTCTTTTGGGATTGAATGTAATTCGTTAAAAGAAGACACCGAGTTTTATAAAATGGGTAAATTATTGGTTCAAAGTAATTTGACAGCTTATTTTAAAGCGATGATGCAGTCTATATCACCTAAATTATCGAGAAAACTCGGAATTAGTCAAGTACCTAAAGAAATAAGTAATTTCTTTAGTGGGGTTATTAAGGAGACCTTGAAAGAACGCGAAGAAAAAGGAATTATCCGCCAGGATATGATTCATATTATGATGGAAGCAAAAGGAAAGAAACGCCCGGAAGAGAATTTAAACATCCCCGAAACCGGATTTGCTGTTGTTAAAGACGATGATCACCAAAAGAATGATTCCAATGAGAACGAATCAACCCCAATAACCGTCGAAGATATTATAGCACAGGGTTTTGTGTTCTTTTTGGCCGGATTCGAAATCGTTTCAACAATGATGGCCTTTTTATGTCACGAATTAGCCCTTAACCAAGATATCCAAAAGAAATTACAGCAAGAAATCGATGTAGCTTTTAATAAAACAAATGAGAAATTAAATTACGAAGAGATGGTTCATATGAAATATCTTGATATGGTTATTTCTGGTAATATCAAAATAAATTTGTTTCTTTTAACATTTTTTTAAAGAAATTTTAAGGAAATGGCCTCTTGGAATTATGTTGAGCCGCGAATGCGTTCGCGATTATAAATTAATAGGGAGCGAAATTCACGGGGAAAATGACATTGTTATTGAAAAAGGAGTATCGATTATGATTCCAGTTTATGGAATTCATCGCGACCCTAATTTTTATCCAAATCCCGATCATTTCGACCCCGAACGATTTAATGATACAAATAAACACAATATTAATCCTTATGCATATTTACCATTTGGAATTGGACCAAGAAGTTGCATTGGTACGTGAAGTAAAATTGAAATTTGTTTAATATAATTATTTTTTTGTAGGATCTAGATTAGCTTTATTAGAAGTTAAGGTGCTTATTGTTTATTTATTGAGGAGATTTGAGTTAGTTGTGATTGAGAGAACTGAAAAACCGTTGAGGATTAGTCCCAAAAAGCCCGGGTTGAGTCCAGATAGTTTTTGGTTGGGGTTAAAACAAAGGATACATTTTTAATGAATTAATTGAACAATACATGTATTATTATACGTAATTGTTGTAAAATGGGTTATTTTTAAATAAAATTAAATTTGCAACTAATTGCGCCATCTCTTAACGATTAAAAGAATTAAGCCATGTAAACATGGCCGCTTAAAGTGTCAAAAGCAGCGTTTTAATTGTAAATATATAAAAGAAGATGTTAATAATAATTAATCGTAAGCAAATAATACGTTTTGAATCTCTCTAAGTAATGTAATAAGTAATAAGATTCGTCGGATCAGTTTTTATGGGGAGATTTGACAAAACACTTAAAACATAACCTCAAAAAATAAATTTGTCCTTCAATTTAAAAAAAAGTCAGCATTAAAAATACAAATTTGGCTTGTTACGTGAACCACGTGTGCATTTCCATTTCGTGACGATAAGCAGCTACTTACTTATTTAAAGTAAAACCTCGACGTAAGTCGTTCGCCTAAAAAAATAAATGTTGCACAATTTCCTTAAAAGAGAAAGTATTTTGCGCGTAGAGTGAGAAGCAACAAGGACGACTTTGTGGAGGGAGCCCCTTTTTTTGTAATTAACTCTTTCTTATCCGGCTTCGAAACTGTGAGGATTCTCGTTGGCCCGAATCACTCGATTTAATCGTGCACGTTTTAGTAGCGAGATAAAAAATCAAAACGCGACGTTATTTATGTATTATCGGTTTAAACGTTGCAGGGTGAACATCGAAAGTTGAAATTGAAATAGAAATTGTGGTGCGAAAGCGAAAAGACGATTACGATGGCTTTGAAAACGGAAAATAAAAATTTGGAATTTGTTGTTAAGAATCTTTTGGCTGGAGGTAAGTGGAAAGTTTTTCATTTCTATTTTTAATTTCGCAACTTTTCCGGCTGATTTTGTCATAGAGAAAGTCTGTCCGTAAACATCAACGATTTAAGTGTTAATTTTATCAATTAATTGTTTCCCTTTTTATAATTGTTGAAGTGTTTATAACGCTTTTTATTAATAACAAATACTTTCTAATCTAAACTATTTTTGTTTAAACATATAAAAAAATTAATTAATAAAAAATGTCAATGTCAAAATTTTTTTTGGTAACCATGGAAACTCATTGTTTTGATTGAATTTCTAATCAAATAATTCATTAATTAAAAAGTGTTATTGCTTTAATATTAATTTAAATAAGTCATTTTAATAATTTATTTGAATAATTAATAATTTTAAATAAATAACAATTTCATTTATTAAATCGAAATACCATTGACGTGCTTTTAACACAAAAGAATTTTTGACATATCATTTAAAAATAGAATTTTTGAACTTTGCCTCATATTTTTCCATTCTTTTTCATAGACGCTGTTTAAATCACATCATATTATGCAAAGTGGACCCGTTTAAATCTTTTTTACGCAAGGACCTTATCTTACACGACCTATGTTAATGGAGGTCGTTAAAACGTTTAACCTAAAAGCATAATTTTTTTAAAATTCTTTTTATTGAATTATTATCTTTTATTAAAACCACTTTTAATTATAATTTAACACCTTATTTATTTATTAATCATTGATTTATTTCATTTCTTTTTGAGGTGTTGCTGGTATGGTATCAAAAACAACCGTAGCACCTTTAGATCGAGTCAAGATTCTTTTACAAGCGCACAATAAGTACCACGCCAGACACGGTGTGGTACAAGGTTTAAAACGGATTATAACCTCTGAGGGGCCTTTGGCTTTGTACAAAGGAAATGGGGCTCAAATGGTGCGGATTTTCCCCTACGCCGCGGCTCAATTTACTTCGTTTGAGATTTATAAGCGATATCTCGATGGGATCTTTGGGAAAACGTCGCATGTCGATAAATTTATAGCTGGTGCATGTGCTGGATTAACCTCTGTTAGTTTAACGTATCCTTTAGATACGATCCGAGCACGCTTAGCATTTCAAGTAAGTTTTTAATAATCATTTAATCTATTATTCAGCAAATTTTATGTAAATTCATTCAAATGAGATTAGAAAAGAACGGACTTTGAACTTTGATTTTTGCTTAACCTAAAAATAATGACACATATGTACATATATCACTTTTTCTTTTTTTTTAGATTAGCGGAGAGCACATTTACACAGGTATTGCACATGCAGCAACGACAATTTTTAAAGAAGAAGGGGGAACCCGCGCTTTATACCGTGGATTTATCCCTACATTAATGGGAATGGTCCCGTATGCCGGGTTATCGTTTTATAGTTTTGAATATTTAAAGTTTGGTTGCATGAAATATTTACCCAACCTAACCTGTAATAAATACTCAAAAAATACGGGAGGATTAGTTTTAGCTGTCCCCGCGAAATTAATTTGCGGAGGATTAGCCGGGGCGATCGCTCAAAGTGTTAGTTATCCGTTGGACGTGACTCGGAGGCGGATGCAACTCGCTTTAATGAACCCCGACACGAGTCATTTCGCGAAAGGAATGGTTTCGACGTTGGTGCATATTTATAAGGAGCATGGTGTGGTAAATGGGTTGTATCGGGGGATGTCGATTAATTATATGAGGGCGATTCCGATGGTTGCTGTGTCTTTTAGTACGTACGAAACGTGCAAGCAGTTGTTGGGGTTAGATACCGGGTTAACGGTGAAGTAAAAATGATTTAGAGTAAGATTTTTGGTACTTAAAGACAATAAAAAGGGAATTAAATTAAGAAAATGGTTGGGTTGGAAAATTACACATTAAAGCAGTATTAGAAAGAAATAAAATTAATTTGGCTCTCTTAATATAAATTATGTACAATATTAATGTAAGTACCTGTTTATTTTTGTATAAAGAGATTGTATAGTTATTTTTTTTTGTTTTAAATAAAAAATAAACTGCTTGATATTTATCGTAATTATAATTTATGATATCGAGCAGTATTAAAAAACATTTTATTTTTATTAATCTGTTTATTATTTGATTACGTTATAATAAATGTTATTCTTTATCGTTACTTAAATTCTATCAAATCATAACCTTCTTCTTTAATCCCAACCAAAATCCATCTGGGCCTAAAAATGGATTCTTCGGACACAATTTTAAAGGTATTTCGGTCTTTTTAACCGCAATTATTTCAAATTTCCTCAATAAATGAATAATTAGCACTTTTATTTCTAATAAAGCTAATCTTGAACCTGAAATTATAGGTTACGTTTTAAATGTCATTCTTTTTAGGTTATGCTTGGTTTTTTGATTACTGATACAATTTCTTGGGCCAATTCCGAAAGATAAATAAGTGTAAGGATTGATTTTATCTTTATTGTTATCGTTCAGGATCGAATTTTTCGGGGTTTGGGTAAAAATTGGAGTCTCGGTGGAGCTAGGGATACCACCTTTGAAATCTGGAGATCTCCTCACCCGCTCCATCCCTAGGTGGAGCCCATAAATTGGGGTTAAAATTCCTAACCCTTTCTCAATGATCATCTCATTCTCCCCGTTTATTTTACTCGCAGGGATGTAGTAACTACGGACGCATTCGCGATTAATATGACCTGCGAGGGCCGCTTCCTCAAAATTTCTACGAAACCCACCCTAACTGACTCATAACAATAATTAATTTTGTTTACCTGAAACAACCATATCGAGGTATTTCATTCTTACCACATCCTCATAATCCAGTTTTACCCCATCTATTTCATAAATTGAATTGATTTCTTTTTCTAGTTTACTTGGGATATCTGGATTAGCAGCTAATTCGTAACAAAGAAATGACATTAACATTGAGACGACTTCAAATCCGGCTATGAAAAATAAAAATCCTTGAGCTGCGATATCGTCAACACTAAATAAATCAGAATTTGGAGATTTACGAGCCTCAACCATGATCTGGATCATATCAGGTCTGTTAATTTTTTTTCCTTCCCGTTCTTTTAAAGTTTCTTTTACAATGTTTCTAAAAAACCCAGTTATTTTTTTCGGAATCAATGTAATGCAGAGTTTTGAAGCTAATTTAGAGAAAAGTTTGTAAAAGATTAATTTTGAAATGAACCAATAACACCCTTATGGCAACAATCGAGCTGTTTATTGCTTTCTTGCACCAAATTCCAAACGCTGTGGTTGCAGTGATATTGGTTGCTATTTTCGACATGATTTCTTTCATTTCAACCTACCAAATATACCAAAAAGTATTCGTTTAATTGTTTGGCACAATGCAGCATGGAATTTTTTTAATAGAAAGGTTGCGTCATTTGGGTTGCCTACCTTAACCCAACATAAACTCAACAAAAATTTTTTTATTTTATTTAATTTAATATCAAATTAAAATTAAGATTCAACATTTTTTGAGATACCACTTTGATTATTTTGACAATCCCAATTTTGTCTCTTCCCAGATCCAAAAATAACATAAAAAATATTAACGACTACATAGATTCCTCCAGCAATAAAAAAAACCGTGTTCCATTGCGATTCATCACTCTAAAAATATCACAAATTAATTATTTTTACTTTAATATTAATCGAAGATAATCTTACTTCGTCTTTCACAATTAACTCAACGACTAAAGGGGCTACGATCGCAAAGATGTTTCCGAATCCGTTTGTAAAGCCCATGGTGGTTCCTGCGTAAGTTGGGGCGATATCCATGTGGTTAACTTGGAATCCACAAAAAATCGCTGAATTTAATCCAACGGCTGCAATTAAAAGGGTTACAGCGACTGCGGGGGATGGATTTTTTAATATGCCCAGGATAAAAAGTGATATAGCAGGTCCAATCATCCCAACTGTAGTTATTATTTTCCTTACAACCCCAACAGAAAATATTTTCTTGTTTATACTAAAATCGGTGATGTAACCAAACGGAAAACTCAAAACCCACAACGCAAAATATGGAGCTGCTGATAACAACCCATTCTTTTCGATATCAAATTGTAAAACTCCTTTCATATAAGTTGGAATTTCTGTCATTAAGGTCCAATAACTCCACATTTGCCCCGAATTTGCAACCAAAATTGCAATTATTGGAAGTGAGGTTACAATTTTTTTCCATGGTGTTATCGCTTTCGTTTGGTTTTGTTGCCCCGAACCTTTTAGGATATATAATTTTTCTTCGTCTGTGATCGTTTTGTACTCTTCGGGATTATTCCCCGCTCTCCAAATCCACATTAACACCCATATTAATCCAAAACAACCATATAAATAGAATGCTCCGGGCCAACCTATTGTACTCGCAGATATCCAACCAGTTAAAGGCATCGAAATTACCGTTCCTAAAGGACCACCTAAAATAATAAAATTAGATTAAATTAAATTTTTGAGATTTTATAGGTTATGTATTGTTTGTTTATAATTTCAAATGTTTATGTGTTTACGCCATCTATTATCGAAAAGAGGAACTATTCACTTAATTTTTGAATTATTTTTTATTAAAAAATTTGCATTAATTATTTAATTAATTATTAAAAGTATTATTTTAATATGCCTTTTTATTAATGTTTTTGTTATTAATATTTAACGGAAAATTTTATTCATTTATCCTGCCATCTATTATTTTTATATTGTACTATTGAATAATGACATTGACATTTACAAATTTATTAAATTGTAATTTAAATGTAAATTATTAAATTTTATGGGTATTAAAATGTATTAATTGAAGAAAAAAGTGATTTACCTGCATAAACAAACGTTCCCATTCTGGATCTTTCCCTCAAAGGAATCCATTTACTTAACATGTTATGAACGCAAGGAAAAAAGAATCCTTGAGTAAATCCTTGGGAAATTCTGCAAACCATAACACCCCAAGTACTAAAATTAGCGAATGTTGGAATTAGAAAGGTAAAAATTGATGAGATGGTCATCGCGATCGTTAAAATCCATTTCGCCCCGAATTTTTCAGCTAATTGTCCAGCTCCGATTTGGGGAACGACGTAGCCCCAAAAAAACGATGAAAGGAGAGTGCTTTTGGTGTCCATCGTCCAGTTATAAGTCTTTAAAGAAAGTATGATGATTCTAATTACGAAATTTGGGGACGACACTTACTGGAAAATTGGGATTTATCGTTGGATCGGTCATTGCGACGATTCCAATCGATAAATTGATCCTCATCCCATATCCAATCACCAACAAAAAGAATAAAAGCAATAATTGTTTGTGTCGAACTCCAAACCATGATTTTAACACGAACTTTTGAGAGGATTTCGTTAAAACTTCCGTATTAACAACCATAACTTGGGTGATAATTGAACTGAACTTATTGAAATAATAGAGTTTTCGAAAGTTTCCTAGAACTAAGATAACACTCAAATTTCGTTCTCGTTTAGGAATACTTTTTGGTCAAGTGCTTGTACATATTATCAAAACATACCAAATAACTGTGTAATCTAGAAAAGTTTGTGTGCACGTTTCGTTAAGTGTTTGATCTTTAAGGAATTTGGAAGTATCAATACATTAAATTGATTGTTAAAGCTTTATTATCATAGATATCAATTAAGTGAACAAACAAACCACTAATATTAATGGAAACACTTAATTAACATTACATTTTCGTTTTAAAGCACTCAATTATGATTAAATTCAAAAAAATACTTATCCTTTTAAGACGTTATTATTCGTTGGGAGTGAAATTAGCTTGTTATGGTTACCATGGTAACGCAATATAAATGAAATATTTTTGATTAATTTCAAATGTCAAATTTTATTTTAATTAAATCGATTTAATTAAGTAATGAATACGTTATTAAAAAAAGGAAATAGTAAATGCAAGAAAAAAATTGTTTTAATGGTCATCTGTTGAACTGGAATCGAATGACTCATCGACCGAAGTAAACATAAAAAAGATAACAACCTCGGGTATGTATGTACGAGGCGGAGAAACAGGAAAGCGAAAGCACTCTCGCTCTCATAACATGTCTGTGCTGCTAGAAAACGTGACCAACTGTTTGTGGCACGCATTCTCTTCCCTACAACAGGATAAAAGCGGGCTCGTTAATAAATCAAAATTGAAGGTAAATCCATTTTAAGAACCCCATCTTTTAATCAAACCGAGAACTAATCAATTTAAGGGTGGTTTCTTAATTAAATCGAAACAGGTGGTTTTCTTAACATTACTCATCTTTAATTTCATCCTATTCGTTAACAACAAAATTGAGTTAACAAGGAAATGGAACGAGGAAGGTTTTAAAACGATAAAAAAATGTTTATGTTGATTAATGAATAATTAAATGAATCACGTTTACCTTGTAATATAGGTCACTTGTTTTAGCAATTTAAAATTTTAATTTTTAACGATTCTTTTAGGTCTTAACGGCGAATATTGGAACCCTTTTGGATCTATACGGAGTCGAACGAGGATTGGAACATTACAAAAACACAGCGACGTTAGATTTTGATCAATTAAAACATTATTTACAACATGAAGTATTTTCCTCCCTTCCGGATAAACTCCCTTTACCGGAACTTCGAAATTATGAATCAAAAATCGCCGAAATCTGCTGGCTAATTTGCCACAAAAACCACACTTGCTCAAATGAATCGTTTCAAGGTTGCCTATTCATGATTTTTAGAATTTTTTGTTTACTCGCTGAAATTAATCGAGAACAGAATACGAAAAATTGTTACCAAGTTCTTTTACATCCAACGGAAGCTTGTTATTTGGCTCAAAGTTTGGCACATTCTCTGGGGAGTGTTTTCGATGAGGAAGATTTTAATAATTTAAGCGTTTCAATGGGGGGGTTTCGATTAAATCCTTTTATTGCCGTTTTAGAGTCACGGTGTTTAAACGAAATTAAAGATCGAGCTGCAATTGAAGAAGCTGTAACTGATATTTACCACACCTTCGTTGAAGATGTCATTAAAAAAGGGTTTTTGTATAAAAAAGGTTACATTTTCCCAACGATGAAAGAATATTGGTTTGTGTTGAGACCATCGGAATTAACTTACTATAAAACTAGATCCGAGCGAGATAAATCAGGCTCGTTAACCATCGAATCAACCTGCAAAATTGAGCCTAAAAATGGTTATAAAATCACTCTTCAATGTTCCGAGAGGAATTTCGAATTAGAAGCGAGTAATCACATGACACGGCTCCAATGGATTTCGGCACTTCAATTAGCAATCGAGCACTCATCAAGCGGGCAATCTTACCAAAGGGTACAAGCCACTAAAAGGAAACAAATTCGGCAAGGGAGACTCCAAGAAATGTTACGGGCCAAAGCTTTACTTCAATTAGAAAGAAACGCCAGACAAGTCGCTGAGGGGCAAGCTAAAGAACTCGAAGCAGTCGTTAAGGAAGAAACGAAAAAATTAAACGAACTAGAACAAATAAAAGATAAATTAGAAAAACTTTTGGAAGAAGAAACTCAAGCTAAAAGAGACGAAGAAATCGTCCGGGCGTTACAAGCGCGAGTTTTAGCGGAAGAATGGGATAAAAGGGAAGAATTGGAACGACTACAAGAAGAACAGCGGGTTTTATTAGATGAAGAAAGGGGGAAACGAATCGAATTCGAAGAAAAACAAAAAGATAAAGAGCTACAACTTAAAGGTAAATAAAAAGTGAGGGTGGAATTAAAATTTGTTGACGTTTATAGTGTTATTTGCATCCGCGAGATGGCGATTAAAATAAAATTTAAATAAAGTTTCTAGATACTAGGGACTTTATTTTTTTATCATTGAAATCTCAAGATGTAAATTTAACCTAAAAATTTTTTTAAAATTTGTTAGCTGCGGAAGAACTTTTACATCAATTAGAAACCGAAAGAAAGATGTTGGATGAGCAATTAAAAATGGCCCACAATAAAATTCAAGTTTCCGAGGAGACGAAAGAAATTTTAGAGTCGAAATTGATGCAATTTATTCCGCTGAGGGATGGTGACCGGATACGGAGGGCCCATTCTTTTATGCCGAGCACGAAAGATCGTCCGATTTCGTTTGAAGTTCGCGCGGCGACGCTTCGGAGGCCGTCGAAACAATAACAAGTAATTAATTAAATCTGATAATTCTTTTTATCTAAATTTTTTTAATTAAATCTCTAGATTATGTATGAATTAAATATGAATTAACTTGAATTAATTTAAAGACTTAAACTAAATTATAAATAAAATTATAAATTTTAATATATTACTGTAAAATTTATTAAAAAAAATTGTATATAATAAAATAATTTTTTAATCAGCAGCTTCACCCACTGCTTCAATTGCTGATTCCGATTTTCCCGCTACAACAACATCACAATTAATTTATATTAATCCATATTTAATTTGTATTTATACCTTTTTTCTTTCCCTTCTTTCCACCTTTTTTCTTTTTCCCTTCGGTATCTTCTTGGGGTTCTTCCGGAGCGGGTGGAGGTGGCTCATCATCGTCATCATCACCAAACATATCAACTTCCGGTTCAGGTTCAGGCTCCGGGGGAGGTGCTTCAACTTTCGCCTTCTTTTTAGATTTTTCTTTTAAAATATTAAATGAAACACCCGTATATAACCAAAAACACATTAAAAAACTTACTCGCAAGTTTTCTTGCTTTTTTCCTTTCTTTATATGCTTTCCAACATCTTTGAATTATTCTCGCGGATCTGTTAATAATAAATGCGTAATATTTTTTATTAAAAACATCTTCGTCATATTCTTTTTTCTCGGCCATTAATTCTAAGTATTCCTCTTCTTGTTCATCAAGTTTTGCTTGGAGTGCGTCCATTTCGGCTTTTTCAACGTCATATCTTAAAAAATAATTTTAAAATTTTATTAATTTCATTATTTTTAACGCACTCTCCTTGAAGCTTTTCTAAATCAGCTTGCCGATCACCGATTTCTTTGTCGTATTTCTCCAACCAATTCCCCAGTTGCGATTCAACCTTTAATCTTTTTGCTCGTAACAGCTTTTCGGCTGCTAAATGTTGATCTAAAGTTTTGTTATAACTCAACGTAGATTCTTTCGCCTCCTCGGCTAAATTCATCTCTCGTTCTTCGCTTAATTTTGAGTGCTTTATCATTTCTTTTTCAGAAGTAGATCTTAAATTTTTTAAAATTATAAACTAATTAAATATTACTTTTTTACTTACACCCTTTTTTTAATATCTTCCGCTAATTTTATTTTTGTATCTTCGATTTTTTCCGTATACATCCGAATTAAATTTTCTTTAACATCTAATTGAGTGCTTAATTCATCCGTTTGTTTGTTTAATCGCTCTTGGAGGCCCGCAATTAAGCTTTTCGCCTCTATATTATCTTTGTAGGCGTTCTTTAATATTTTCTCTTTTTCTTTTTCATCTAATGCTGATTTTGAAAGCTTATCTTTCGCTGCTATTTTTAGTTGAACCATCCCTTGCAGTAAAGTCATTGATAATTGATCTAATTCAATATTCCACGTTTCCAAGAAACTTACTAAATTGGGGTTTGCAAAAATTATATCAATACTTTTCATTAAGTGGACATCATATTTCTCTTTCATCAACATAGATCGTTCTTGTAATTTTGTTGATACTGTATCGGTTGTTGAAACCATGGAACGATTTTCGCTCTCCATTGGAAGGGAATCTAAATATAATTCGCATGCTCCTACTATGTAGTTGACTTGTTCCTGCTGGAGATATTTAGAGAGGATTTCTCCATTATTGTGGGTTAAAAGCCCCAAGAGGGCAGCTATTTTAATTTTTGTGATGGTTTCATCTATAACACTTAAAACCCTCTCTGTTTGTATTTCAATCTCCAAATCATCATGCGTTTTAGTTTTAATTATATAAGATTCATTAAAAACAGTTTCTTCAGAATCGCTTTTTTCTCCAACAACCATTTTTGACAGTTTATTTTATTGACATAGTGTTACCATGGCAACCAATAAAAATTGCATTATAATTTATCTAAACTTAATTTTATTTATTAAGATATATTAATAAAAAAATTCTTTTTAAATTTGTTATTTATTTCTATATCTAATAATTATTTATTTTATATTAAGTTTACATCTTATATTTAAGTTACTAGATGTCGGTAAATGTCGATAAAGTAGAATTGTTATTTTCTGTTTGTTTCCATAGAAACCATTCAACAACAATATCGATTTTTAGGTTAACTTATAAACTCAATTTATTTAAATAAAAAGGATTAAGTTAATATTAAAAATGGGTAAAAAATCGAAAAGTTTTGCAAATAAACTTGCAAAAATGTCGGATGATCAGCGTGCGAAATACATGCAATTGAAAGCCGATCAAGAGGAGGAAAATCGCCGCAGAAAAGAGCAACTTTTAAACACGTTTATGAAAAATAAAATTCGCAAAGAGGACGTTTTTTCCCGTTTAAACAAAGCAAAAATTAACTTGGAGTGGCACCAATTTTTAAGGCAAAAGAAATGCACCGAGATGAAAGAGAATTGCGAACATTTAAGACGATGGCTTGAAAGAACGTTGAATATAAAAAATAAAGTCATCGATAATTTAGTTAAAGAACTCGATGAGGCTGAGTTTCAATACTCAAACAATTTACAGTCGCATTTATTGCGTATCGATGAGATGCTTAAGTTTTTCAAGACTTATTCGCATCAATTAAAGGAACAATTCGATTGCGATTTAAGTATATCTTTAGACGAGTGGGTTTTTGAAGGGGAAATAATTAAAAATCGCTCTGAGGGTGATATCGAACATCTTAAAACGATCTTTTTCGGACAAGAACATCAAGGGGAGAACGTTTTGCAAGAACAACATGATTATTACTTAAAAAAATTGGATGAATTTGCAAAAGAGGTATGTATTATTGAGTTACTAAAATAAATCGTAAACTAAAGAGTCCGTTAAAGGCCAATCGGAACAATTATCGCGTGCTTTTTCCGCCAAACATTTAAAAAAGTTATAGGAAAAGTCGCATACATCTAATTCTTCAGCTAAAAAATTAATTAAATTAAAAAAATGGGGGCGATTAAATTTAAAAAGTTACCTTGGGTTACTTGAAAACACTCATCAATTGAATCTTGAAGGAAATCTTTTAATTCGTCGTTTTTCGCCTCAACTTTTAAATTTTGTGACACCTTTTCATGATCGGGAAATCCATCTTGATCGATCTGAATTAAAATTAATTTAGAAACGTCAATGTAAAAGAAATGTCAAAATAATTTTTGAAAAATACTTGCAATATTTAATTTTTTAAAAATACAATGATAAGTACATCTTCCGGGGTGATTAAAAATTTCTTCCGTTGTTGTCTCTTTATCGTTTTCAGTTTGATTTCTTTCGTTTCCTCCTAAAAAGTCGTCGTAGAAATAAGAATCGTCGTATTCATTATTGTAATCGTTATTTTCAGTTTTATTTTGTTTCGTATCCAGATTTTCTTTGAATATGCACGTTTTTAATAAAACTCTTAACTCGGTTGTGTTGAGTCCGGAAGCATTTCCGCATTCTAATCCCTACGGAAAAAAAATAAAAATTGTTTATATTAATATAAATGAATAATTTACGTTTGTTGATGTTAAAATTATCGAAAATAAACCAATAATTATAGCAAACCCCATTTTAACTGTGGATTTTGAACGGAACTGTTTTAAAATCTGATTTTTTACCTTTTAATTGGGAAAGGATAAAAAGCAGGATGTTGTAACATTGTTATAAACAAATAAAAGCCTTGATTCGATGACAATTCATTGTAATCTTGTAATTTAACGCTTTTCAATCATTAAACACAAAAGAAATTACGAATTTTGTTTGCTATTTGTAGATTAGAAATATGATTTTTGATGACGTTGATAGATGGCGATTTTTTGGTAACTTTTGGTTAATTATTTTAATTAGATTGTTTAAATTTTAATTAATACTAAATTAGGGATGAATCACTAAAATAATGAAAACAATTAATTAAAAATAATATTGATAATTATAGATTCATCTTTTAAGTAATAGATGGCGCTTAAAATGTTGATAAAGTAGAGTTAAATTTGAAATGTTATTGTAATTTAGCAGTAATTATTATTTTTTTAGAATAAACAAGAATTACAACAATTAAAGAAATGTAAAGAGGCACTGTCTGGTGAAATTTGGTCAAAAATTTTATTAACAATTAATATTTACGTAGATAAAACGGATAAAAGGCGTGCTCAATTAGCTGAGATGCAAAGAATTGATAATGAATTTTCTGAGGAAATTAATAAAAATGTGGAAAAAATTAAGTTGGAAGAAATACAAATCGAAAGATATCGGGGCGAATTAAAAACGTTAGTTTCACAAAGAACTGAGAGTATAAATTTTTTAAAAAACACGATTAATGACTTAAATAAGTTAACCTTAAATTTAAAAATGAGGTTAAAAAAGGATTTGGATCGTGATGAAAAGAAATTGAGGGTTTTGAGTGAGTCCGCAAAAGAATCGATGGATGAGTTAAGGAAATGGGAACGAAAAGGGGAGTTTTTGTTGGGTTTGGCTCAAAATTGCCGAAAATACGAAACGCAAAAAGAGAAAGTTTTAAGATTTTCTAAGAATGAAGTGAATAAAGAGGAATTTTTTGTTGTTGAAGAGGAAAATAATTTAAACGGTTTTATGAAAATTAATATTCAAGAACAAAAAGATGAAGAAAAAGATTCCGAGGAAATCGAAGAAGAAGAAGAAGAAGAAAAGGTTGAAAATGAAATTTTTAAAACCGCAACTTATAAAATCTTAATTAAACAAAAATTTAAATTAAAACCGATCAAATCGGAGATTAATTTAAGCGAAAAAGTACAAAAAGAACTCGAAACATTCGAATTAAAACAAAAATGTTTAAAAAAACCGATTGATTTAATCCAACAAGCACCAAAATCGTCAAAACCTACGTCAACCGGCATTATCGATGAATCTTTAGACTATTTAATGAAATTGAACGGAATTTGGAACCTTTTTAATAAAGTCAAAATAGATTGTGGGGATTTAAAAGCAGAAAAGTTGATTTTATTGGAAGAAAATCAACGTTTAAAATGTTTGTTAAAACGAATTTTAGAAGAAGCAGTTTTGGAATCGAGAAACGTTGAGAAAAATAAAGTTAGAAGGTATTTTTCGGCGCCCATTAGGTACGCTTAAATCCACAAAGACTTTTTTTGTATTAACTACTCAACTCAACAAGAAGAAGTCTTTAAATATTTAAGAAATACTCGAAAGTGTGTTTAAATAGAATTTATTTGCTTTTAACTTCTAAAAGTAGATTTTTAATTTTGACGTTTGAGATTGTGTTCATTATAATTTGAAGTATTTATTTGTAGTTACAGGTAATGTTAATAGATGGCGGTAATGTCGATTGATTATTGAAATGTCATTTTTATTTTTCTATCACTGTGTTTTTACTTATTAAAGTAACATATTTTTGTGCAAGCTTTTTGAAATAAAGTGATAGATAGAAATTATTCGACGATTTATGTTGGTTTTACGCGGTGAACTTTTTTTGTATTCTCTAAACAATTTAAAAAAATTGTTTTTTTTAAAGGATGATATTTCAAAACGAAACTAGCCTAGCTCAACATTAAGTACATGATGTTTACCTGGATGATTGACATTTTTGCAGGAACGAATGGCATTTCAAAGGAAAACCAATCTTAATTTTTATAATGACCTTTATATATAATTATTGTTAATGTCAATAGATGGCGGTAGTTTCGATTGATTATTGAATGGTACCTTTATTACCGTGTCAATTTGTAGTTCTTAAAATAAGTGGGTTTTTGTCAATTCTTTTTAAATAGTATGGAAAATGGAAATTGCTTCTTGATTTATTTGAGACGGTGAGTTATTTTTTATCTCTTAAAAGTTTTTTCTAAAAATAGATTAGAAATTTTTTGAAAAATAGATTAGACGTGTGAGGTTATGTTTCTTTTTGAGGTTATTTTATGTACTGAGGATTGCTGAGGATTTTGAACGGAAATAAATAAGAAAATGGATTGATTTTTTATTGCTCTACAAATACACGATTAAAATTAAAATAAATAATCCTTTTTCGAGAAATTTTTCGTTACACATCGAGCTACACTAAGATTTTTTTTTATTTTAAATAACTATTGCTTTCGTTTCCCGGAAAAGAAAATAAATACAAATAAAATATATTATGGCACTTTAATTTGTTGATTTTTAAATAATTAATATCACTTATAACATTTTTTCTAACTTTAAATTGAGTACTTTTAAATTTTAAGTACATCGAGAACACATCACAAAAAAATAAATCTTTTTAATAAATAAATATATTCGGCTAAATTAAAAAAATATTTCAACAAATCGATTTTAAATTAATAAAGACCTAATTAATAAACTAAATTTCTTCGAATAGTAGCTTTTCTTTCAGAGTTCTTCCTCCTACATTTCCTTTCGTTGCGTTTTCTTCGCCGTACGTTTGAATTTTTCACCTTAATACTCTTCATCGAATCATTTTTCTTCAATTTTAAATTGTTAAATTTTTTTTTATCGCATTTATTCTTCGGTTCTAAGGTGAAACATTCCCTTTGGACAAAATTAAAGAAAATGTTCCCAACTAAATTCGCGTCGATCGTCCCAACACGTTTTAAACAAGCCCGAAATCTGAAATAAAAATAAAAAATATTCTTAAAGACTTCTTGGAAAGGCGAAAAACCCTCGAGACAACGACTGCCCTCTTATAAAAGAGACTATATAGAGGTAGTTCTGGCATAGATATGTTTATTAGGGTCGTATATTCTTATGGATGGACGTTAAAAGGGCGACAATCACCTCGTGCTTTTGTCGTCTTCCGTTATTTATAACTCAAATTTATTTCTTACTTCTTGGAACAACATCAACAAAAAATAAAGGTTATTCTAAACGATTCTAATGAATATTACCGTGTTGATTTTTGAAGTCGTAATGAAATATGCCTTTAAACTGTGTAGGAGGTGAAGACTAGTTCTTGATGTTGAGGTATTTTGAAACGGAACGGTTAAAAGGAAGTTAAATAATTCATTACGGGGCTCGGTTATTATTTGTTTTTCAGTTTGGAGACGTGTCGATGCCGTTTTTGGTCACTTCCCACGTTTAAAAATCGTCATAAGTATGTTTTATAAACCTTTTAACACTTGTTGATTTAAGATGATGAATTTTTTATCTTTGAGGTTATATTTTATTTTTTATAGATGGCGTTGTGCTTATCGATAAAGTAGTGTCGCTATTGAAATGTCATTTTTGTTTTGCTGTCAATTTGTGTTTGTGGTCGTCAAAATAGTGTTTTTTCCAAGATTTTCCAAATAAGATGGAAAATGGGAATCACTCAATAAGTTAAAGCGATGTATTTTATTCGGCAAATGTTTAAAACGATTTATAATTAATGCTTTTCTAATCGATTTATTATTTTTTAAACGTCAAAAATTTTGCGATAATTTTGAAGTTATGTTGTTTTTCTCCCACATTAATTAAATCGAGTAAAATGTTCTTAAGAAACCAAAGAAAAATAATGATTTTCTTTACTAAGTAACAACAAAAAAGATAGTTTAAAAGTTTTAATTAATTCAAATTTATTTCTACGAGTATAGTTTTATCAACGTTAATAGATGGCGTTGTGTTTATCGATAAAGTAATGTCGATATTGAAATGTCATTTTTGTTTCTCTGTCAATTTGTGTTTTCGTTCGTCAAAATAGTGTTTTTAACCTTTTTGAAATATGATTGAAATTGGGAATCACTTCAGCACTCGTTTTGGTGAGTATTTAAAACAATTTTTAAGTAATATGTTATATTTAATAATTATATTTATTTTTTTAAACGTCAAAAGTTTGTTGATAATTTTGAGGTTAAGTTGATTCAATTTGGTCTTGTCATAAATAGATCCCCATTTTTGGAGGTTTTACTATGTGTGTGTGTGTAGGGATGGTAATAAACAAGTCTCCGCATTGGACCGGAAGTGTGTGATAAAGGCACACAATGCGCATTATCGACGATTAGTTTTTACCACCCTCTCTCTTTTCTCCCCATTCTATTATTTGTGAAGTTTTAATGTATGTGCGTGCAATTTGTAAAAGCCACCCGGGGGGTTAACAAAAAGGAAAAGAATAAAGAAAAATCATGCGTGAGTAAATGTATCGATAACAGCGTTTCCTTTAAAAAAGAAAACATCAATTTTATCTTTATAAAAGGAGAAAAAACCTGTTTACGACTCAGTTTTTATCTCGAAAACCCCTATTTGAGTTTAAATTGCAATTAATGGAGTCCAAGATAAATACTTGGAACTAACTTTTTCCTTTTTCTTCCCAGTTTCGTTTCCAATTGACTGATTTACCAGCACGATCAGTGTCAATTAGTGAGTTTTAATCTTTACCGTCTTTGTGGCTTTGTCTCGTTTACGATTTTCGACCACAAATTGGTCAAATCGAACGATTCTCGAATTCTCTCGTTAAAAGTTGGCCGGGGGAAATGGCTAAACTACAATTCAAACACGTTTTTGAGTTAAAAATAAAAATAAAATGAACAAGATTTTATAACCCCGCCTCTTAAAACTTTATTGACTCAAACTAATTGAATGAAGTAGATTTTTTTTGTGAATTGGGGACTGTAAAGATAAATATAAAATAATCACCTGGAAGAGATTTTATCTTAAAAAAAATAAATAGGAAGGAGGAGGTGAAGTTAAAAGGAGTCTATGAAATAAAATACTTTACGGAGAACACAAAGAATCCCTTTTTTAGATTTGACATGAAGGGAGAAGAAATAATAAAGGTTTTAATAATACATACTCAAAGAAAGGAATACGTTTTGAGTGGATAGATAAAAGAACAATCAAGTTTGGATCGCGTCACGATGATACAACGAATTAATTTATTTGAAAATAGTAATTATTAAAATCAACTGTCAATGTGACGCTTATAGGTTGTCATAAATAATTTTAGTTGTAAAGTTAGCAACTTGTATTGTCGCGAAGTTGAAATAAAAGCGAAAGAAACCGAAACGAAAAGAACCAAGAGTCATTATGTTTTATATCGCGCAAAAAAAAGTATCTTCACACACCGACGCCTCCATTCAGCTACTTGTCAATTGTCTTTTCCGATTTCGCCCCCTCGATTTACATTATTTACCTTTACGGAATTTTTACCTGTCACTCCAACTTTTTATTTTAACATTTTGATGAAAAAAATTTACCGTTCGTCGCAGCTACAATGCATCAACGTGTTGATCATGTTGTTTCGGACGCCGTATTTCATTTGAAATCCGCCGATCCAATACGGACAGGCGAGATCGTGTTTCCTACAACACCTATCCGTTTGGGAGAACATCCCGACGTCGGTGTATTTCTTTGCGGAGTAACCTTTTCCGCACCATTGGGTACCCGGTACCCGAAGAAAATCGCTTATATCTCTTCTCGTCCTTAAACAATTTCAAATTCGAAATCACAAATTTTAAAAAAAAATTTTATTCTATTTTTTCTTGTTTGATTGTTTGCGGCGCTTTGAAAATCTGATTTCCCATTTCGAGGGGCTATTAAAGAACGTTAAAGTTACGTTTTAAGAAATCGTCGCTCGGATGAGCTTTTAATGCGGAAGAAATTTACGAGCTTTGCGATAAAAGTTTAAAATAGTGGAAATTTAAGTTTGGGTTGTAAAAACGTTTTCGGTCTAATTTAATTAAGATCGAGATTTGAGATGTTAGTTTTACGGAATTTTTATCTTATTCTTTAATAGAATATTATTTATTAGAGTTTGTCTCGAGAAATTTTATTTTTGAATTTGTGGACTTGACCTACTTCTGTATTTACTTCCAAGCAAATTACTTCCTAATTTTTCAAACGGTTTCTTTCAAAAGGATTTTATATCAAAAATACTTCTAATATAAATACTTTGATTAAAAATATTAAACGTCACTGTCAATGTAGGTTAAGAACAAGGTAGATAAACCTAAAGAAACCTAGATCTACCTTAGGTTAAGAATTTCAAAATCTCTAAATGTCATATGAACTAATTTAAATTTAAAAGTCACTGAACGTCATTGTCAAAGGATCTAATGTCATTCTATTTTTAATTTAATTTTAAATGCAGAAAAATATTCAGCTTTGTACTACCCATATGGTAATCAAAAATCTTTGTTCTCAATAAATCATTTCTTGTAAATAATTTCTTTTTATGATACGGATATAAAATTGGTTAAAAAAAACCAAAAAAGATAATAAACAATAATGCAGCACTTTTAGTGACTTTTTGTTCCACCACAATTAAGTTGGTATTAAATGTCATTAAAAAATTTAACAACCTCAAATTCATCAACATTACGTCAAATTAATAATAAAAACTTTATTTCATAGAAAATTTTACGATACTTATCTTTTCTACGAACTAATTCCGTAAGTTTTGATAAAAAATAATAAATTAAATAGAAATTTTTTTTTTTGCTGTTTAAAAACCTCAATCTTCACGGTAATTTTTTGGCGAAGAATGCGGTTTCGGTGACCTCTTCTCCGAATTAGACCGCGCCACCTGCGCTCAAACGGTTGCCTAGCTCAAAAATTGATCAAAAAAATTCTATTTTTAAATATAAACGTGTTAAGTTTAAAATTTTTAATAAATCATTAAACGAAAAAATAATCTCGGCGTGGAGAAGATTTAAAATATAAATATTTGGATGTAAATTCACGTAGATAGTGTGTGTGGGGTGAAAGAGATGGTCGTGTTTATTATATTTAAGTGAAACCACGTCTCTTTACCGGTCTCTTGTTAGTTTACGCTTGATTTCAAGTGTCAAGTTCAGTTTTGATTTTCTAATCAAAATAAATCCATTGTTTTTCGACTTTTTAAATTTAGATTTTTTTTAAAAAGTTTTTTTTGTTTACCTGTCGTCGCATTTACAATGAGAAATCGTAAACGGTCGAAAATTATAATAGGAGTAACGAAAAGAAAATCCGGGGATATCCTTTTTGCAGAAATCGTGAGTTCTACAGCATTTATCCGTTTTCCAAAATAGATTTAAATCCGTATAGGATTCCGCTCGGTTTCTATCACCGCACCAATTCGATCCCGGTAAAAGTACTTGAAAACTTCTTCGATTTCGAATTGACCTATAATAATTAATAAAGAACCAAAAAAAGAAAATCTAAATAAACTTTTTGAAGCGATTAAAGCGAAAACTATCAACGTGGAAGAGAAAAACAGATTTTCAAAGCGATAAACAATAAGCACAATTTAAAACTACACGTGTATTTCAATAATAAATACTTGCTCAATTTAGAAATTTTCTAAATAATTTACCTCCCGAAAAGATTTTCTTGTTCCATCTCCTCCAAGCGGCGTTTTTCTAACTTTTTTAATTCGCTTTTAATTTCCCTCAATTTTTGGTGACACAATTTCTTCATCCGCCTAAAATTAAACCAACTCTTCACATTAGGAGGTAGATTTCGATCTCGTAAATTATCCACAATAACTTTTGAGGTAGAACTTGAATTATAAAAATTGGCCGGATTAAACGAGTTGAGGAACTTTTCAACTTGGTCTTTCTCCTGGATGTAATTGCATTCTTTTAAGGATTCTTCGTCGTAGATTAATTGAAGAAATCGTTTTCCGTTACTTATTTGTCGGAGAGATAACCCAGATTCATTTCTAAAATTAAAATAAATTTATTAATGACAGCTGACAAGAAAATCAAAAAATCATCAAAGATGGAAGATTTGAAAGGATGCCAACATAAAAATTAGAATAAAAAAATTTTATTTTTTGATATTAAGGTTATGTTAAAGATTTAATGTGAAAGTGTAATTAACAGGTTGCGATATTAACGAGTGAGGCTTTGTGATTTATCTTCGAGAAGGAGTCGTAAAACCGCCTAAGGAATACCGGGCTTGTTTTTTTAAGTTAAGTTGACTTTTAAATTGTAAATTTCGCCCCCCGATACGCGCCATAAGAAGCCCTGATTGCGAAATAAAACCTTTACGATCGTAAATCATCTTCATCTCGCGCCGGTTTCTCTTCGCGCGCGCCTTCAATTCCTTTCTGTTTTCTTTTATTGTTATTATTGTTGAGTACGCGATTGTGTGTGTGGTGGTAATCTAATAGAATCGTTCGTAAACTTAAACGACGTCTACTCGTTACCGGTTTAAACCCCGTAACGATACAGCTTTATTATTTAAAAACCACTTTATTATTTAAGCTGGATTATCTTTACAAAAAATAAAACCTTAAAATCGAGAATTTGATGTCATTGAAAACGTCAAAGTGACGTTTATAACAAATTATAACCTAAAAATTTTGATTAAATTTTAAATAAATGTTAGTGTTGAAAATGGATTTGATTAAAATGCCTCACACGTCGATTTTAATATTGGGAGTAAAAAAAAGTGAGGTTATAATCGGTGGGTTTGTGATGATCATAAATATTCATAAACGTTAAATCGAAAAGAAGAAGCTTTCGGGTTCGTTATTAACTCGTTAACGGGTTGAAATATGTGTGAGAGTCGTGAAGGTGTAACATTCCAAGTTTTTTTTTATATATATATATTTTAATTTTATTTTTATTTTTATTCGGTGCAACATCAAAGGCGGAGTTTCTCTGATTAAAACCAATCGAAGGTGAGTTTTTAATTGACCCTAGCACAGCGTGGTTAAGGTTAGAAACAAAGAGAAAAGGAAAAAGATTCGGGTTTGAATTCGATACGTTTGGGGGCCGGTTAATTAAACAATTCTCTTTTTTTTGTTTCTTTTTTAAAGTCCATTTCTTAGAACCGTTGTGGTTTATCTGATCTAAAGAAAAAAAAGGAAAAACAGGTTGATGGATTGTCACTTTTCGGTTTCGATGTTCAAAGGAATTTATCAAAAAATACGAGAGAGTTTAGGAATTTTTGAGATAACTTTAGTTTTAGGGATGAATTTATTATTTTTGATTAACTTTAAATTTTAAACTTTAAATTTCCTCGAATGTGTTTATTTAGAATTCTTACTCCAAGAAATTTTAGATTTAGTTTTGAGATTTTAGTTTTGCGAAACGTTCAAAGATTAAATTTAAGCGGAAATCGATATAAATACAGTGAAATTCCCCTAATTGGAATTTCTATATTTCGAACTATTCTCTAATTGTAAGTCGAATAATTTTCGTAAGTTCAAAACGTTTGAACCAGGTTTAAAATGTGTTTTTATTTCTCTCTATGTCGAATTTCACTAACTCGAGTTTTCTTGTAATTCAAACTGAACCATTATGGAATTACTTCACCTTTAACTTTTATGTGTCAAATTAAAACTAGCGTTACAACTAACGCTAGACCTAAAACTAGAAACATTCGGGTTTAGCCGTCTTAAAAAAATTAAAACATTACTTTAAAACGATTTTTAGAAATGACTACTTCAATTGAGTTATGGAAGATTTTAAGTGATACCAACCTAAATTCGTTTTTATTTTAATCTTATTCATTATTTATTCTCTCTTCTAATTAGATTCTCGGCTATTATTACATTTTTTTTATACAAAAGTCCTTGGAAAGAAATAACCTTGGCCGACGTCGTCGAAGTCAAGTATCACAAATATCTTTCAGTTTTAACAACTAACCGCACTTTTCTCTTTCATTACGTTGTTTTTAATAAAATCTTTCTTATTTCTCACAATTTTGAAAAATATCTCTCTAGATTAAATTTAAGTTACTCCCGGGTTTTTAACACTTAAATATTTTGATTGGTTGTTAAATTTTTAATAGATAATAATTTAGTTTTATTATAAAGTAAGGTTAAAATCTTTGAGTGCTAATAATAACGATTATATCATCGTTTTAAACGAGATTCAAAGACCCAATTTGCTCGATTTAGAATAATAAACTGGGAAATTTCAAAAAACGGTGTTTAAAAATAACTTGTTTTTAGAAACTTGACCGAAATGATTTTATTTTAACGAAAATTATAACAAATAAAATTCAATTCCGACTACAAATCGAATGAGATTGGACTAAAAAACCTGTTATTTTTATCGGGTTGTATTTGTAAATCTCTTGGTAACATATTCCGATGTTGAAAGTTGAAACGAAGTTCGAAACGAGTGAGTAATCTATTTACGCGATTTGTTACCGAGAACTAAGCTAGTTGGTGAACTTTATCGACCAGAAAGTGAAAAAAAGTCTTGTAGACCCCAGAAGAACAAGAATAAGTGTTACGTGGCACCGGCAGAGTGTTTTTGAGGAACAATAGAGCCTCTTTAAGGTCGAGTACCATCAACAGCGGGGGAGATTTTTCAAGTTTTGGATTTATCGACATTGAAAAGTGAAATTCAACCTTTTAAATAAAACTAGACGATAAATACATTTTCGCATTCGTTCGAGATGGGATGTTGGGGCGTCAAGCTTCGCAGATCACAGGAAGGTGACTCATTTTCATCGAGATGATTCGATTTATTAAGAGACACTTTTTTTGGGGAAGTGAGGGGTTAACAAGTAATACCAACTTAATTTTTATAACAACAAGTTCGAGTGAAATTTAGAAAGTTGATATAAAGTAAAATTGAAAATTTTAAATGAATATAATGTGATTGTTGATGGACAGATTAACTTTCTAATTGTTGCACTAAAAAATTGTTTATGCAAGGTATTGAAATGGTAATTAAGTGAAATTTAGCGAATAAATAAATTAAACCTTTCAAATATTTCAATAAAAATATACAACAATCTAGCGCGGAATAACAAATAAAACTAGACTAACACTAGCTTTAGAACTAACACTAGACCTAGAACTAGAATCATTTGGGTTTAGCCACACGTCTTTAAAGACGGCTAAAACGACTGATTCTAGTTCTAGGTATAGACTGCGTTAGTTCTAGTTTTACACTTGCACTGTTACTATGTAGAATTAACACCATACCTAGAACTAGAATCATTTGGGTTTAGCCATCTTTGAAGACGCACGGCTAAACCCGACTATTTCTAGTTGTAGGTCTAGTGTTAGTTCTAGTTTTAATTGTTATTCAGCGCTAAGTTGTAGTATATTCAAAACTAGCGCCTCGTCCGCAAGCGATTTCGGCGATTTGTGACGAAATTGTTCCTTTTATATCTTTGTAAAGATACAAAGTTATCTATAAGAAAACATTTAAGGATGAGGCAGTAGAACTTTCTAGAACTGACTATTTCGTGTTAATTAATCAAAATTGAGTTTTTAAAGACATTTTTGGATACCAACTTGATCAAGTGGAACAAACGTGATTGGCAGATCGCGGCTATTAAAGTCGGAGAAAACAAATAATAATAAAGAAGTTGAAGAGGTTTTAACTCCTTTCACGTCCTCGTGTGCTTAACGCCGTTAGTTAGGTGCTAAAGGAAGAATTATTATTCATGTAAACTGGGCTGTTTGCCGGCGTCTACTTCGACTTGTTCATCTAAAAATAACCCTCTCGTTACCGAACCGAAGATACAACAAAAAAAAGTTCTTACTCGAAATTTATTAACCTGTCACTTGCCAATAAACCATCTTTTACATAAAACAGACTTAAATTATAAATTTTTAATTTTATTTTTACACTAAAAGAATTTGACGTTCAATTTGACGTTTTTAAGTTGACGTTTCAAATTAAATTTTGACATTTCAAATTATGTTGACGTTTAAATTGACAGTTTGAGGTTAATTGAAATTCGACGTGTAAATTTTCACTCTTTCGGTGTAAACTATCCTTTAGAAATGTAAAACGTCCGAAGAAAACGAGGTAATTTCTCGCGGGCATATACCGAGTACGTTGACGCGACAAACCCATACAGGTGTATACAAGAAGTCCGTACATATATCTTTAGCGTTTGAGGAGGCAATTAGTGCTTCGCCAATTTACAGGTTGACGTGAATTAATTTTAAGTAGCAAAAACGTTTTCTTTTACAAAATCTTCGTTGACGTAACGCATTCCTTTTTTTATCATAATCTTTTATTACCTACATTAAAGATAAAGTTTCAAACTTTCTTGACCCGATCTAGTTTCGAAATCGCTTAAATTTGATTTTTGTTAAAAAAGAATCCTTTTCACCCCCACAAACTCATCGACTCGTCAACTTTGATAAATAACTACATTAATTCCGGTCCCCTTCCCATTTAAACTCACCCTAAAAGTAGTTTTGTAAACCGTATCGAATATCTCGTGACTTCCCCAAGGACACAAACTAATCGCTTCGAATAAAAATGTAATTAATTTATTTATATTTAAAAAATAAAAATGGAGGTATTTTTTTTATGCTAAATCAGTATGAAGTTGGCACAACTATATAAAGTGTGAAGTTAGGTTCATGATTGTGACATTTGAAGTGTCAAAAAAGAATTTATAACCATAAAATAACTTTCGTGTGTAAACCGATACAGAAAGTCTAAAATACGGAAATAAACCCGTTTCAAAATCTTCTTTTACAATCCTTTTTAGGAGGCCGTTTCGTAATCCTATTCTTTTCATGGTACATTTTTTTTATTTCGTTAAATCATGACAATATTTATTGAGGAAATAATTTTTAAAATTTTCTTTTTAATTATAATTGTAAGAAAATTAATAATGGATTTAGGACTGGAATTATTTCCCATAAACAGCAATCATTGGAGACAGTTTTGAAAGTGCACGGCGCCACATTAACATTTCCGCGTCACATTTAACGCGCCTTATTCTATTTTTAAACAAAAAAATTAATTCCATCACGAATAGAAAGATTTAAACAAGAACAATCGAGTTAAGTAACGATCCGATCAAAAATTATCAAAGACCCATAAATAAGATAAGCTTATACGGTAAAGTTACATCTAGATTCAATCACAGAATCTGCATAGATTTCCCCGAGGCATCAACAACAACGCTTTATAGGCGCGTTTCTTAAACTATTTTAAAAATTTCTTCGACTACCTTAAACATGTTGCAATTGAATGCATCCTACGCATATTTCTCTCTCTTTACGTTTTGTATTTATGTATTACGACTTGGCTATTACTGTACGACGTGTATTACTATATAACCGTATACACAGTTTGTTCTTGACGGTTTCATTATTTAACTCTTTACGATGAACAATTTACTTAAAATAAACAAAAAATTACCGCCATCTATCAATTTTAATTGCAACTCAAATTAATTAATGAAGCTACTCACGTCAAAAAAAAAATTAACATAACCTCAAAAAATTCGTTTAATGTAAACAAAGTTGGAATTAGATTTTCCGTAAAATAACTTGTTTAGAATTCTCGATTTAAACCTTAAAATAACACTCACGGAAATTTTAGAACAACTTAAACGAGTAGAATAGAACAAAATAACCGTAAAGAAAGAAAAGGCGATAAGAAATACTGAGTAGGTTTTTTAACATAACCTCTTTATTTAAAACGTCACTTATGTAATTTAAAAAAAATTTTAATTATTACGTTATTAAAAAGGATTTGTTGCGGATTTAAAAATTATCTTATCGCGTTTCACACTTGGATACTTAAACCGGGCATTTTGATAAACTCAGCATCTGTAGAATAACCCCCATTGTTAAAAATTTTCTAAAAACAGGCCGTTCCTTATCTCGTCCGCTTTAATTGTTAACACACAAGAGGATTTGAATAATGAGACGTGAAACGCTTTCAAAACAAATTATTACTCACAAATAATTACAGTTAAATTCTGATTTATGGTTTTTTTTTTATTCAATTTTATTTTCCAATTAGATAATCGAAATTTAATTAAATATAGCGAAAGAAAGACAGTTTATGGTAATTGGTCGGATACGTTGCAATAACTTTACATAGCTTTCCAACAACTTTAGCATAAATTAGTTGTCGTGCGTGAGTGTGTATTAAAGTAACTGTTTCTAAACGTTTATTCACGCACGGTACACTCAAATTAATACTTAATCGGCTGATTATAACACTTTTAGCGGATAAAATGAGAGGGAGCAGTGAATAAATATTCGCATTTTAATTATTTAGGTTAGAATATTTTGATTTTAGTGATTTTGTACATTAGGTGAATTGACATAAAAAAATTAATGACAGTCGAAATGTCAAAAGAATATTCATTAAAATTTAACTTTTTTTTTTAATTTTCTCAACAATTTAATAAAAAAATTAATATTTAAAATGTTATGAACCCAGGAGTAACTCAAATTCAATCTAGTGAGAGAAATTATTCGAAGTAGTGAAAAATAAGGATTTTATTAAAAAAGATGGAAGAGAAAAGTGAGGTTAGTTGTTAAATTTGAAACCTGAAAATAAATGCTTTTTTGGAAGCAGTTGGTGTTAGTGTTGGATTTTTTTACCGTTTAATTATTATTATCGCACAACATGGACCTCATCAATGTTATTATAACGTCCAAATTTATCTTCAAACCCGGATTCTTTAAGTCAAAATGTTTAAATTGGCAACCTTGACGCGTTAAATTATTTTGTCGTTTTAATTAAAAAATTTTCTTCCTAACTTATCATTTCCTCCTCCTCCCTTTTCGAACACCCAGTTCATTTGAACCGAAACGCATCATTTTTAAACAATTTAATTTAAAAATAATAAATATAACTCTAAAAATACGGAACTGGATCAAAACGCGTATCTTCGGCGTCGGTGATGCAGCGAAAAGAACGATTTAATAAAAAATAAACATTGGTTAAATTTCAATAAAAATTTACAATAAAAGTGTTAATAAATAAAATTAGTAATAAAATAATGAACAAATTTAACATCATACTTTATAATGTAATTCATAAATAAGAGATGGCGTTCGCGATTTGATTAATTTTGCTGTCACCCTTCAAGTTTAAAAAGACATAACCTAAAAATAATTAGAAATCTCGCACAATGCGAATCACCCCATAAATTTATTGTGTCGTGTATATTTATAACTTTGAAACCTCGAAGCACCAACGTGACTTAAACAATTTCGTGAAATATCGAACGTAAGTTACGGTTAATGTCTTTTCCTGTTGTTGTTCCAATTATAATTTCCCTTTTGAACCCACAAACTTTATTTATTATTCCAATGCACTAAGTATTCGATTAACTTTGAAAAGATTCATTTCAATTTCTTTAACCCTTTATCTTAAGTGAACGCTCTTTAATACGATTATTTCGGTGAATTGTTATTGAAATTAAAAGTTATGACCGAAAATAACCGTTAAGATAGTTTTAAGAAAAAGATTTATTTATTTGAAAATGAAGATAATCGTTAACCTTGAACTAAAATAAGGTTAGTGCTAATATATTTATAGTTTGAAGCAAGATACAGATGACCGAGTAATCTATTAATAGATATTCATAGATTCCAAGCAATTTTCAAGTGGTTTTAAGACCCCCATCGAGATATAAACGTTTCTTTAACGTTATCCACATAACGCAACGTTGAAATCACTCTTTAACACCAAGATATTAACTCCAAATTTATGCGGTTATAATTTGAGGTTAATAAAAGTTTGATTTATGATAATTTTTTTTTAAATCTTTATTTTCAAGTGTGTTTACGAAAAACGGTAAAATCGTTTAGGAATGCTCTCGTTTGAGTTTCAAATTCCTTTTTAAAATTAAAAGTAAATATGAATGTGTTAATTATTTCGTGACTAATTTTGAAATCTCAAGTTTGAAATGTTAATATTTTTTTTATTTGAAGTTGGCACTAAATTGTCAAATTAATTATGTCAATTAAACGTCACTTAAAAAAAAATATTTTGCAAATTTAAATTCGCAAAAATAGAAAAAAGCGTTGGAATTTAATGTTTTAATGTAAAAAAGGATGACACATTTTCGAAATAAGGTAATACATCACTCTTTAATCGCTTTTATCTGATAAGAATAAGTTGTGTTATTTTTTTTTTTTGGTTAATACTTACTTATTAGCGACCGAAATTTCTTTGGCGCTAATACCGCCGAATTTAATCAACGTTTCCAATTCTCCGTTTTCGTAATAAGTAAAACTAACGAAATCGTTCACCTCCTCACAATTGGAAACGTTCAAAATTAAAAAGTATCTCACTAAAAGCACCCACAATAATTTATTGTTTCTTTTAAATATTCCCAAATTAAACTTATAACTCATTTTTCTTTTTTAATTTTAATTTTGGAATACAAAAATTTTTTAATTTTAATTTTGGAATAAAAAAATTTTTTAATTTTAATTTTGAAATAAAAAAATTTTATTTTTGATGTTGGTAATAAAAAATTTTTTACAGGTTTTTTTTTGATTAATTTTTTTTCTTATTTCAGGTCAAAAATGGTCTATACTTGTTCCAACACGTGGTTTGCGGGTTCAAATCTTGACGAGAACGGATCGCCTACGGCGTGCGAGAGGGAACTGAACTCGTGTTGCCGTATTCGCCGGCTTTTTGAATGAATGAATCTCGGTCGTCTCTGTTCTCCCCCACGAAACCACCTTCCTCGTCTTTATTTTTTTTACCAAGTACAAGGAGATTAAGCCCTTCGCGTAAAACCCACCACAACGATGTAATCAACTACATACTTTACGTAAGAATCTCGATTTTGAGCTTTATTTTAATCCAAATTTTTTTTAAAATTATTTTTACACCTTTGTTTGTGCGTTTGTGTGATAACAACGTACGTTTTATCACGAAACCAATGAAAATAGGGTTTTTAGAACTCGTATGATTTTATTTATTCGGTGACAAATAATTTGACAGCTCATAAATTTGTTATGTAAGGTTATGTTCATTATCTGAAGTAATTCGACTTTTGCACCAAACGCACGATTTTATCCCATTTTTAGATAAATTCAATAATTAATTCCTTGAAAAAAATTCCTTAAAGAGGTTATCGCTAAAAAAAATAAATTAATTATCTCTTTAGCTGTAACGATAAAAAAGACATCAAATTGTCTATTTATAACCTCAAAAGTTCGACGATTTTGACGCAGCAACTAAATAATGGGCTGGGTTAAATAAAAACTTAAAAATTACCTTTCCCAAGAAAGATATAGATTAACTCTGAATGTGTTCCGATAAATCTTAGTCACAACAATTAGAAACCAACAATACTCCGGTTGTAAAGCAATAAATAATGTGTACTTGAGCGTAACATGCTATTAATAAATAAAACGGTGTTTAAGAATCGAATCCTTCCAAAACTTCTTAAAGAGACAACTTTGAGTGATTTACAACCGTTTGTTATAAATTCTGGAGGAGTTTACAGCGTTTTAGGTTTTTCACGAAGATGTATTTACGTGGTTTGTTAACATAATCAAAAAGCTACCGGAAAATAAAACAAGCTTAAAGATTAAATGCGCAGAAGTGGAAAATTAAAACCTTCAACCTATGAACGAAGGATCCCCGTTCACGATGTGGGCGTTCCCTAAAAAGGTACATCAGGCACATCCCTCTATTGCGTCATCGGCGAATTTCTACCAGGATAACAGAAAACGGGGGAGAAAGCTCCTAAAACCCTGCAGGAAGCTTCATTAAGGTATGCAACCCAATACGCAATAAGTTAAATTTATTTTTTTTTAAATAAAAAACGAATAAATTATGATTTAGGTTATAAAAAGTGAAATAATTTTTTTTTGTCATTATGTTAAATTAAACAATAAAACTTAAATAACATAATTATTATTTTTTGGTGAATATGCAACCCAATTCCCTTATTTAACATAAATGAATATAGCCACAGTTGTCATTAAGTAAGATGGTAAACGTCAAAAATTCCTAAAAAGCTTCACCTTTATCAATATATTATAGATTTTATTGTCACTCGTAAATTAAAACGCGTATTTAAACAAATTCAGCACAAATTAGAAACCGAAACATTCCAAAAGTGGGTTAAAACCGTTGCGAATTCCCCAAAACCACCCCTAATTCTAACCACATTTTTTAGGATCGTTTTGTTTTCGACTCTTAAAAACTATTTACATAATAACTAAAAGGTTATAAGATCAGTGCAATAATTGATGTTTCAAAAAGAAAATGCCCATGTTTTTACTAAATAATGTCCCCGTTGAAGACATAGTTACCTACGGAAGATACTACGAAGGCGAGGCGTTCGAAAATAGCCACTTTTTGTCCCCGCTGGCCAGCTTTAAGATTAACCATGAGGAAGCGCAAAGAAACTCGTATCCGAATCAACGCAATCAAAACGAAAATCAAGAAAAAATGAAACAATACAATTGTTCTAAGTGCGGAAAAGTATTTCTTTTTAAACATCATTTGGTGGCGCACGAGAAAACCCACAACAACATCAATATTTTTGAGCCCTCACAAACTAATGATAAACCAAAACCCCCGCCGGAAGCCAAACCCCGACCGTATGTTTGTCAAAAATGTGGAAAATCGTTTTCGTTGAAGCATCACTTGACATCGCACGAACGTACGCATCTCGGGATTCGACCCCACGCGTGTGAATTTTGTGGAAAAACTTTTACACATAAACATTGCCTTAATACCCACTTGTTATTACATTCTAGTGAGAGACCTTATCATTGTGGTGAATGTAAGAAGAGGTTTACGTTAAAACATCATTTATTATCACACGCAAAGGTGAATAAATCATTAAATTAAATAAATTACTTTATAGATAAATTGTTTGTAGGTACATAATCGAGAGAAACCATTTAAATGCGTCGATTGTGGATTAGCGTTCGCATTACGACGGCATTTAGTAACACACAGTAAATTTCACGCGGGGAAGCGACCCTACGTTTGCGAAGAATGCGGGGAGACCTTTTCTCAAAACGATCAATTGGTGATGCATTCGAGATTTCACGGCTCCCTCAATTCGTACGTTTGCAACGTTTGCGGTGATACATTCACGAGAAAATTCGAATTGGTTACCCATCAAAAGATCCACGGAAAGTTACCACACGTTTGCGAAATTTGTTTCAAAGAGTTTCTTCAAAAACGAACTTTAATCGCACACATGAGAGATCACTCGAAGAAGATTTCTTTGTCTTGTCAAGAGTGTGGATGTGTTTTTACCACACAAGAAGCCTTAGCGTTTCATGTAAAAGTCCATACGACAACGACAACGGAAAAACCAAACCATGAATACCCAAATATGTTATCGAATAACCAACAACAACCGTTCATTTTTAATAATTGCGATAGAAATAATTTTAATTTAAATAAACTTCATCAGAATGCGATCAAAATTGATCCGACAACGACAACCGGGAAAGGGACTTATTGTTGCCCGGAATGTAATTGCGGTTTTTATAGTGAAGAAGCTTTAACTTTACACAAAAAACTTCATTACGGAGACACAGCTTTAGTTAACGATATTTGTACGTTAGCAACTAATATTCAAAGGGGAAACTTAACCAACCCGAATTTAATGCCTGTTAATGTAAATTTAACCAATTCGCATAAAAACACTTTAAATCACCATCATCCGGAACAAAAAGAAAAGAAATTTATTTGCGAACATTGCTCGAAAGGGTTCGTTGGTAAACATGGCTTACAACAACATAGACGGAGACACCCAGATGGAACTTGTGTTTTAAAATCGCACGTTTGCGCCACTTGTAGTAAAGCATTCCATCAAAAGAATCATTTAATACTTCATGAAAGGCAACATATGGATTTAAAGGGAAGAAATAATAAGCAAACAGTGATTTATTCAAATATGGAACCAGTTAAGGTCGGGGAAAATCAATTTAGTTGTGAAGTTAAAAGGGAGCAATTGCATGAGAATAAGAGTGATATTACTATACAAAATTTGAATTAAATTTTAATTAAAATTATATAATTAAAAAGAATTGAGGTTAAGTTAACCGTATTTTAGGTTATGTGTCAGTTGTCAAAAATTAAATGGTAATCTCTTTATGGAAAAAGTTTCTTTTTAAGGAATTAAGTATTTACGTCTGTGAAAAGTTTAAATAAAACCGTGTAGCATTTAAGTATCCGTAAAATGTGTAAGTAAAAATCATAACAGTTTGTAAGGTTCTAATTTTTAAGTACCGATAAGTACATTGTAGGTTTGTATGTTTAGGTGAGATAAAAAAAAACCAGTAGATTTGTAGTTGAAGTAAACCAGGCAATCGTTACGTTAAATTATTATTATTTTCGCAATTTTTTTTGAGGAAAATGTTTAAACAAAAAAAAATGATGTGTTTAGATGCTTTTATTATTTTTCTCATAGTTTCTAGAGCAAAATAAAATTAATTAATAAAATTATTAAGTTTTATTTTAAAAATAATCGAATTAATTCATAAATTAATTCAAATTAATTAAATAAACAAAAAGTGGCGCCATCTTTCGGTCGGTTTGATAAAGTCGGAGAAAAATTGAAACGCGCAGTTCAGTATCGTTTCGTTTTTCTCATCGGTAGGTTGTCGATGAGATAGTTCCGTCAACGCTTTAGCTATTGTGTGAATGTGCGCGCGCGCGTGTGTGTTGTGGTCGAATCTCCGTCTTGAAAACAGCTGATTTTTCGCGTTGAAGAAAACCCCGACGTAAAAGGTAAATCTTTTCGGAATCTGTTTCGATCCTTCGCGACAAAGCGCATCAAATCGTCGTTTAAGTAATCGACAACAACAACATTAGTTCCTTTGTTTTCATTAAAGGTGGGTGCCATTTTCATTTAATTCCGTTTTACCCCGCTTTTGTTTATAAACAACAAAATCAAGACTACTTTAATTTTTTTTTTACCTTGAAATTAAATGTCTTATTAGGTTATGTTTTGACGTTTATTTTTTTTTATTTTAAAATAATTTTTTTTTAATTAAAGTTTTTGTTTTAAATAAATAAAAATTAATGACTAATTTATTAGTGATTAATTATTGTTGGAATGGATTGGAATGGAGAGTGGTTCTCTTTGTTATTGCAGTCAGCTGTTCAGGATGCGGGGACGGTTTTAGAAGCGGACGTACGTTTTAGTGGCTCTTGGTTCCTGTGGTTCAGCGATTGAACCCGAACGTATGCGATTACTTGACGAAGGTAGATGACCTTTTCTTATTAAGCCCCCTTCGTCCCCGGATTGTTGAACCTTTCTGCGGCCGCTGGCTGGTGTCGTTTCGTTTGGGTCGTTGTTCGTCGTCGTCTGAACTCGAGTTTTGTAACTTTTGTTGTTTGTTGTTTTTTAGGAGTCGTTCACCATCCCTCGAGTGAGCCTTCGTCTACATCCTTTGTTTGAATCTTTTATAAAAAACATATTGAGTTTTTATCTCAAACTTTTGTATTTATAAACAACTTAATAAGTTAGGGGATTTTTAAATTTGACAATTGGTACCCCTTAATGTCAAATAAGACATTTCAATTTTTTGACGTTTTAAGTTTTATAAAAATCGTGATAAAAGTGTTTATTTAGATTTGATTTCAAAATATTATTGCTCGTCACGTTATCTATGTGTTTATGTTTTTAATTTTTTTTTAATCCATTCCGACGTGGAGAGATCGTATTATTTATCAGACGACGCACTACGTTTTATGCTGACCGCTAAGTGTGTGTTTATCGAGTTCGTTTAACTTTTTTTATTTATAGAAGTGCTCCGTGAACGCTTTATTTTAAATCTTAAAACTATCAAAACAAACACAAAGAAATTTTCTTCTCCGTTTAAATGATGCGTCAAAAAGCAACAAAGCAAAAATTATTTGTTAATATCCGCGTTATTTTTTTAATAATAAATAATAAAAACATCAAATGATAACACTTACAGCTGTTTAACAAAGATAACAGAAGCTTATAATCGGGTGATAAGCTAAAAATTCTTTTTAGCGATAAATTTAGACGGAAATCGTGTTAGTTATTGTTAGTTATTGACAAAATAACAGGTAGTAATAATTGTTTTTGTTTAATTAAATAAAGAAATTCTCCTTTATTAAAGCCATTTTTATTGTTACAGAGCGAAGGATAAAGGAATTTTTTCATGGTGATTCGTTTCGATTCGTGGAAGTGTTATTCCTCCAAGCGGGTGTTTGATGAAAAGATGGAAAAGTGACCAACCCCCACTTTAAAAGGGGATTAAAGGATCTAAACGATTTTTTTTCGTACAAGTGAGTAATTTAATTTAATTTTTTTTATTTTGATTATGGGTTTTTTTTGATTCGGAAAATTTGAGTGTTAAATTGTTTTTAATGAGAATTTATTGATAATAATTTGTTTTAGACCGAACGAAGCTCGATATTATGTTGTGGTGCCCTTGAAATTTATACGCAGTTATTATTCTTTTTTTTTTTTTTTCCGAAAATAATCAAGCATTACAAAACCGTTATAAGGAAGAAAGAGGTTTTTTTAATAATATATAGTAGTCATTATATCCTTTTAAGATTTATGTGTACTTTATTCTCCATAAATAGGGAGTATAATATACTGTTTAATCTGAATCTAATTTAAGCGGCAAGCGAATTGGTGACTTAAATTCAATGCTTGGTGCTCATTTTTCAAAGTAGCATTCACATAACGTGTGGAGAAACATGTAACAATCAATATCATTACTGTTCTAAGTCAATATGACGAAGTTAAAAGACCAAAAAGGTTATAGTTTGTTTATTTAACATTTTGCAAAGTCAAAGTATATCACTTTGAACTTTAGGGGTAATAGATTTCAAGAGATGGCGCTGCTATATTTGTATATTTCCTATAACAAGAGATAAATATAGCTTCAAGTTATAACCTTCCCTGTTACAAACACAACATCTAGTTTGACAGAAAATGTGACTTGGAGGTTGATAACTATTAGTCTTAGTGAGGTTAAGTCTGGATAGTATGGGCATGCACAGAGCTCATTTTTTCTGCTGTATTTTGAAGACTACATCACTTAATTAATAGCTTAATCCTTTCGTTACTAAGAGCGTACGCATACGTTTTTGTATATATGGGCTTGCTAAATGATCTTCAAAATACTCCGTAACGAAAGGGTTAAGGATGTGTTACAAAAGAAGTTAAAAATAGCTGAGATTGTTGCTGCTGTACACATGACGGAAATTACGGTATAACAGAAAGATGTACTTATTTTAGACCCAAAATATGTTACTGCAAACACAAAAATTCAATTTTTTGCCAAACCTTACAGCCCAAATCAAGTCTTGGCCTCCTTGATGTTTCGCCTCCAACCGACTCGGTCTTTCGCCACTCCTTTTTCTTTGAATCTAACGGTTTGGAAGATTTCGGTTTGAACACCTACATTGATCTGCCAATGATGTTAACGTCATCTACGTATACTTGGTAATCGAGATTTTATTTATATCGACTTCGGTACTTCAAATGACATAGAGTTATGATGTTTTGGGTATAAACATAACTGACCTCTCAAATCCTATGTGGCATAACCTTACACAACATTGTTTACATAGAGGTCATTGACCTTGTTTCAAAACTGACCTAGCTCAACATTTTTACCTGATTGTGCGAAATTCAACTTTAAATCCTTAATGTTACGAATAAAAATTAAATTGACGTTTTTTAATATTAATTGGCGTCAAGAGATGGCGCTAATTTTGAAATTGAAATTTAATTTTTTTTAATTAATTTTTTATATTCACATATTGATAATCGATTTATCACCTTATAAAGCGAAGCTCGTTCCCATTATTTTATTTACGAGTCGGTCGCGTTTTCCAAGTTGCAGCTTTTAAGTTAGCCCTCGCGGTGCAAGCCCCCGTTCACGAAACGATATTGAAATATCGATTGTGTGTCGGGTTTTGTTTGTCACAACGACGACACTTTTGTATAGGCGACGGTGCTACAGGTCACGGTCCTAACATTTCCCTCCCCTTATCATCATCATCATCACCACCATTATAATCATCATAACATAACAATAATCGCAGATTGAATAAGATTTTCGATTCTAAACAATAACCCAATTTCAAAAACAGAACTGGAGCAGTGTGTCAGTTTCCTTTGGATCGAACGGAATTAAATGGATCGCGTTTTCGAAATGGTTTAAAATTAAAAATAATTAAGTCCTTGACATTACCATTTTTTTTATTTTCCTGCATTAAACGGAAAATGTAAATTAAAAGATTTATTAATAAAAAACTGTTAGAATTAGGTTTTAAAACGCGCTCATTCCGTTTAATTCTAAAAATAAATTTGCGAAATAAATAAACAGACTTTAAATTCTTGGATGTTTGAGGTAAAACTGCCAAGAAAAACTTGTTTGAAAAAAATTCTTTTTCATGAAATAATAATCGAATCGATCAATGACCTTTTTAAAAGTTTCCTCATCGACTCTTTTATTCTTAATCTTTTTTCTCTCGAATTAATTAAAAATTAATTTCGCGTGTTGTAGCAAAACAACTCCTCGTGTATGAGTATATAAAAAAAATAATCTCAGAGTTTCCTAACACAACGGTTAGCTAATCAATAACCTCGTAATTGCGCTAAAAATAAAGCCCCCACGACCCAAAGACCACCACAACATCGTTTGTTGGGATCTTGGGAGTTGAAATTATTTTTGAAATAAAATTAAATTCGAATTTTCTTTTTGTTTTAGGTGGTAAAGTCACGTATGGCCGACTCCTGCGTCCAAGACCAGGATGGTAAAGACATTTCAGGCCTACTTACCCCAATGCCACCGTACTTACTCGTGTATACACTGCCGAGCGCATTTGGCCAATCACGACGAGTTAATTTCAAAGGTAATTTATATTTATTATAGATATATAGTGAATTTCACTTAAGATTCAATATACAAAAATATATTTCCATAGAAACCAGGCTAATGCTCCCAAGACGGTTAAACCCGAATGATTCTAGTTCTCAGTCTAGTGTTAGTTCTAGTTTTACACTATCACTCGGGTTTGGCCGTGTTGAGAGACGTGCGGCTAAATCCGAATGTCCCTAGTTCTAGGTCTAGTGTTAGTTCTAGTTTTACACTAGCACTATCACTAGAACTAACCAAGTTTAAATTGACATTAATACATCAAAACACAATTTTTATTATAAAAACAAATAATTTATGAGGTTAAGAAAAAATAACCAAAAATTACCAACCTTTTTTTGTAACTAAATTAATTTTTAAACTAAATAATTCGACTAATTAATTTAATTTCTTACTTAAAACTTGATTAATTAATTCATTTATTTTAATTAATCGTTTTAAAAAATGTTTAATTACTAAAATTTAAGTTGGTTTTTTCGTTTAACATTTTGAGGTTACTTAAAAAAACGTTTATATAATTTATATTAAAAAGAGTGTTTAAACCTTTTAATCACTCGATGTGTTTCGCTTCCAACGTTTTGATTAATCAACGATTTCCTCCAATAAATAAAATTCGAGAATAATCATGGTGAGTTTATTTTTAAATCGAAAAATTGCGTTTGAATGATTTTTTTAGTTGTACTCAATTTATTATTTTAAAATTTAAATTAATATTTAACTTATTAACGTGACGGATCAAAAATATTTATTATAAAAACAAATAATTTTTGAGATTAGGAAAAAAAACTAAAAATTACCAACTTTTTTAATAAGTTTAGAGTTAAAAAAATTTAAATTGGTATTAATTTTTTCATTTCACATTTTGAGGTTAAAAAAGGCATCAATATCGATAAAAATGTAATTATTAATAAATAATTATTAAAATAAATTTTTTTTCTTTGTTTTAGTCATTCCAAGGAAGTCAAGGTCGCGCTTATTTGTTCAATTCTGTGTAAGTACCAGTCGGGGGGGAGGGAAGATAATTTCCGTATACATACTTTTCTATAGCTATTTGCTAAATCGATAACTCAACCTTAAACGGAATAGTTACCATACCGGCTCATACATTTCACATTTACGTATAGAAAGCAAATAACATTAATTTTTTTAGCTTAACTAACTTTTTCGCCTTTCCTCCTTTTTCCATCGACGCAATTTCAGAGGCGTAACCCCGTTTTACACTACACGTTGTTGCACTTTAACGCAACAACTTACGAAACGTTTCTAAACCGTAACGCGAAATGAACATTCACCGGGTGTTGTAACGAAGCTAAATTTAAAATAATTTGATTTAGCTTTTGATTTTTGTTTAGGGTGAATGTAGGTTGTGGTCCAGCAGAGGAAAGAGTTCTATTGACGGGTCTTCACGCTGTTGCAGATATTTACTGTGAATGTTGTAAAACGACGCTCGGATGGAAATATGTAAGTAAATTTTTGAAATAAAATTTATGTTAAACGAAATATTTGAAGGAACATGCTTTCGAATCGAGTCAAAAATACAAAGAAGGCAAGTTTATAATAGAATTGGCCCATATGATTAAGGAGAACGGTTGGGACTGACGATTTTGAAGCCGTTCGGGTCGTTTTCTCAACAATTACAACCGATGGCCGCCAATTGTCTTCATAAATCCGACAACAACAACTATTACTACGAGTTTATGTGTAAAAAGAACGTTTTTTAGCGTAACAATCGATGACCACGTCCCTATTGTTGTGTTGTGGTGGTGGTTAAACGAGTTTCATCAATCTTGACAACGTCAAATTTATCGATTAATTCGATTTTATTACTTTTGAGAAAACGTTTTAGTTTTTTCGAATCATGAATTATTTTATTCGATTTTTAAAAATTAAAAAAAGGACCAAAAAAAAGGTTTTGTTTGCTCAAAAAATAGAACAAATTAATTTTTTGAACAATTAACAATAAATCCCTTAGATTTTTTTTACTATGTAAACGTAGTGATGAAGTGATAGCACCTAGTTTAATTTTTTTTAATTAATTTTAATCATTATATTTATCTATAGTATATTATTATAGATTGATTTAAAAGAAAAAACCAACCCAACTCTTTATCTCCTTATATTTAACAAAAAACATCGTATTTTCGCTACAAAAATAAATCAAACCCAAGAAAGAAACAACTAGAATCTTCTAAGCGTTCTAATCACACATTTTTAAATTTTTCGCAACAACAATTAATCGATTAATTAAAAAAAGTGAGAAAGAGAAAGATGTGTGTACTTACCGTTAGTAGTTTTGGGTGTATGTTAAATCATGATGTTGTGATCTGTGTTAGAATGAGAACATGTGCTGTGGTATTACATCTGTGGTAAAAATAATTAGAGAAAACGAAAAAAAAAAATGTCAAGAATAATAAAGATTTTAAGAAAATAAAAATATTTAAAGAATGGTTGAGTTATGAATAAGAATAAAGAAACTGGGGGAATCAATAGATGTTAAGATAACGTTAAATAATTTAATTTATCCAAAGAACGCTCCAAAATAAACAAATCGGGTAATCATAAATCAATTTGTTTAGGTTATCTGTCAAAAAAGAGATGTCAATCCTTGACATCTCTGAAATTAGCCAACAATAATTAAGGTTGGTACTAAATAATTTATGATTATTCGATGACACAATTTAAAAAAAATCACATCCTAGAAAATAACGATAATAATAATAATAATACTATATTTATTTACTAATAAACATGTAACATATTATCATAAACGTATTTGGGGTTATTTCGACGATGTGTATCTTATAAAAACGGGATGACAGCGTTTTAAAAAAAAATCTCATCGATGTCTTTATTATTGTAATTATTCAAATGTCATACTGCCAGTAGCGCATAGAATTAAAAAAAAAGTATAAAACTGTCATTTTATCAAAATAAGGAATGATCGAGTTAAAATAAGTCCACGTTTTAAATTAAAAGGAAGAATAAATCGCAAAAAAATCGTTGCACTTCTCTTTGTTGTTAACAACTACTTTTAAAACGACTGTAAGTTTATTAAAAATAATAACAAGGTAATTTATTTAAAATGTTTTAAGTGAATCGTAGTGATATTTAGTGAGCCCTTTTTGATTTTATGAACGAACAAACAACACCATGTGACATATACGCAGTTTGCATTATTAAATATTAAGTAATGAGTAATTTTGTTGATTTATTTACCCGGTTTCTTTTAATTATTAAAATTAATTATAATATTTAAGGCGCCATCTATTATCGTGCAGTTGTACTATAATTTGTGCTGGTTGCCTATCTCATAAAAATAATTTGTTGCATTTTAAATTTTTTTAATTAAAAAATCTTTTGAATTAATAATTTTTTTTAAAATGGCAATGTTTTTGTAAAGAAACTTTTATTTGAAATATTTACTATGCAATTAATTTATGTCATTTTCCGTAAATTTCGTCGAAGAATTTTACCTTACAGTTTACCTTACATTCTTAGTTTCTCGGTTAGTTTTGTTTAAATAAATAAATTTCCATTACCTTTGAAAAGAATTTTTTTTAAATTTTTATTAGGATTAGTTACAACCACTTTGAAGTTAATAAAGTAATATAATAAATATTACTGTTGGAATAATAATAAAGAAAATAATTTGAATGTTGGGCGACATCTGTTGCCCAATGGCGGAATTAATTGGAAATTTGCAAGAGTTTTCGATTTGAACCGTTAGTTCTGGTATCGAATGACGGATGTCGCCAGATTATTATTATTTTTGTGTTAGGAGATATAATACAATAATAAAAATTGTTGTAAAAAAATTTTATTTCTTCCATCTAATAAACAGATAAGTTTACATTTAAATGAACTCAAATTATTATTAATTAAAAACATAATAGCTTGAAAAAATTATAAACACAAATTTCATATCCATGTCTCTTGCCAAATTTGTCCTATTTTAAATTACCTCCTTGATTTGATGTGCTCCTTGATGTCGTGATGATCGAGGAGGTATTTCTCAAAGTATGAGCAGGTAAAATTTTTGACTGGTTAATTAGCGACATCTACTATTCAGTGGCCCAACTAATAGTAAAGACAGGAAAGAAATCTTTTCTCTAATAAAAATTGACTTCTTCGATAATAGATGGCACTTAACATTTTTTAATTAAAACAATTGATTAAGATAAGATTTTTTTATATTTATTTAATATTTAAAAATATTAAGAGTATTAAAATAAAAAATGGGGTGTAGCACTGTAACTATGCAGAACTAACAGTATACCTAGAACTAGACTCATTTGGGTTTAGCAGCACGTCTCTAAAGATGGCTAAACGGCCAAACGGACATTCATGATATACATCATAGACATACACAGATATACGTTTTAACGACCGGCATAACCCAAAAGTTTCCAGTTTTATGTTAGGTACTTTTCAATACCTATTTTTTCCTAAATAAACAATGAATTAAGGGTGCCAACTTAATTTTTTTTTTAAGTTTTATAAATTTCGATCAAGGTTTATAGAACATAAGGTTACCTCATTCCCTATGCCTCTGTAGTATCGATTACCCCGCAAATTGACGTCACTGGTTCGATACAGTCAGAATAAAAGATAGCCTATACGTGCCTATACTGTGGTACAGTCTATATAAAATATTTAAACCTCGCATCGTGTTGTGTTGTTCATAGAACCAGCTACGTCACTGACCCACCTTGCCTCTCAGAGGAGGAGAATCGGTATTGGGTAACCTTATGTTCTATAGACCTTGATGTTAACCCAGAGGTTGAATGTGTTATACATGGATATGTAGGGGGAGATGTTTGTTTTCTAGGAACAACAGCGGAAGGGATGGAAAAAAGCATATTGTGCATGATTTGGATAAATTTGTTCGAAATGATTAGAAAACAGAAAAAAGATTTATTTTTATGCAACTTGAAAATAATTAAACACTCTTTATTATTAAACACAACCTCAAAAAAGGAAAAACCCCTTTTTCTTTCCGATTCATAACAAATCGAATCTAATAATTAATTAAGTGACTTGAATCTATTAAGTATTAAAATTTATTAATATAAAATTTTAAGGCATTCAAGGTTGTTTTAATTTTAAAGAAATTATGAGATTTTGTACTAGTTTCTTTTAAATAAAGTATTTATTTACAAGAGGCATCACAGATTTCTTCATTTCTTTCTTAATTTTACTTCAAATTTGATTTCGAGATCTTAAAACAGATATAATTAAAAAATCAAAAAAGTGAGGTTAAAAATTTAATCAGGTACTTAAAGCAACTTAAGAAGAAATTTATGGCAATTTTCTTTGGTAAAAAAGGTTAATAATTAAAAAAAATTAAACTTTAAAAAAATGTAACGAAAAAGAAATGAATAAACTAATACAAAATCTCACGACGCCCCATCGATTAATTCCCCGTGCACTCTAAACCGATACAAACAAGTATAATTGGGGTTTCCGTGGTTTGAGAACACTTTTAACTCGACCAAATCAAAACCAACGTCACCATCAGCGTCCACCGCGAAAAATTGTAACGATTTCCCGTTGTTTAAATACCGATATTTACCTAAAAGCTTCGCATCCAAATCGTTTTCATTTTTTAATCCGTAAACTTCAAAATCTTTAGGAGCTGAACTTATATTGTCGTTGGGGGCCAATTTCACGGAGACGTGTTCCATGCTGAATCCGGAAATTTTTACAAAACCGTACAATTTAATCACTAAAAAACCGGGGAAATTTTGAAACGACCAACATTGACCGGGGTTATTTCCGGGAGTAATCACAGTTCTCGGGGTGTTCGATGGATACCAAATGGGGATTCCAAACACCGAAATAACCGCGGTTTTTGGGTGATAAATTTGAGTACACCTCGTCGAAATAATATAACCCCCAGCTGATTCCATCGCGTAATCAACCAACCCGGTTTTATCAGCATCGTAAATTGATAAGGTATCGGAAACGATTTTTTTAATCCGATCTTCATCGATATAATTTGATGGTGGCGAAAAAGTTATTTCTTGATTTGATTTTAATAAAATAAGCTCGTCTTTAATCTTTTCCGAAACTTGATCCATCACAAGTTTGAGGTTATGCGATATTGAAGTGTCAAAATTTGATGTTAAATCACTAGTTAAACCATCGATTTTACTTTCTAAATCATTTTTAGCGACAAAAATACTTTTTAACCATGCCTCAACGTCATCTTTACTCAAAGTCTTTGTATTTACCCCGAAAAAATCTGTTAAAATTTTTTGAACATAACCTTCAATTTCTAATAAAGATCTCCGACAACACTTTTTAATATCAACCGAAATCTTTTGGTTCATCCTGATAATCTCTCCTTGTAAAAATGAGTTTCCTCGTTTCAAACTTTCAACTTCATCGAGAAATTTATTCATTTTGGATTTTAATTCTTCTTCATAAACGAGATTTTTTTTCCCCAATTCTTCGATTAACGATGGTTTTAACGAGTTGACTGGGAAATCTTCGGGGATTATTAACCGTTGGTGGTTGTTTTGGGATAACGTTGATACCCACGATGTTAATCCGGTTATTATTGCGTATAAAACCCACAACCCTGCAACCCAAATTTTCTTCATAATTTTGAATAGTACACAAAACTTTGCCTTCCCACCCAAATTACGCTAAATCGCTTATAAAAATTTTTTATTAAAAAATTAATTTATTAAAAAATGTGTAAAAATAGGAATGAATTATTATTTTGTTAGCCTTACCGATTAATCTGTTGTTAGTCACAAAAAATACACAAAAACTAATTAATTTTATTTAAACATATACATAACCCAAAAGTGTTACCAACATAAAATTATAAAGAAAAAAATAACTATTTTTTTTAATGTCAAAAAATGCAACAAATTTTAAAATATTTGTTCAAATTTGTATTTAGTTGTTAAAATAATTAAATAAAAGCACACTCAAATTGTATTAAAAAAAATTAATAATTAAATAAGTTTTAAATGTTTCTAAAGTGACCAAAAGCTCGACTAGCGTAATCTGAAAGTGAATAATAATAAGCAGAGGCAATACGACCGCAATTTGGGTGGCAGGGAACGCGAAAACTGCTTAAAAGCAGCAATAAATAAAGTCCTGAAAAGGACACAAAATTAAATATCTTTAACATAACCTATTTGTAAATAAATTAATTGCAAAAAGAGAAACTCACCCCCGAAAATGATTAAAGGAAGTAAACACAAACTTAAAATACCATATAGTCTCCGATCATTGCTAACGTTCTTCTGCAAAATCCACGTATCCCAAAGCATAATCCGACTGGCCATCCGATGGAAGATTTTCGAAACATAAAGACAACTCCGTTGAAAATTATTATACAAATACAACAATGGAAACAATAAGACTCTAGTTATCTTCATAAAATAATAAATGAATTTTTCCATAAACACAGATGAAGTTGCAACTCCCTCATATTTATTATTATTTCCAAAAAGCACTTGCGGCTTAACCTTTCTCTTAGCAAAATGTTCTTCGGTACTCGTTTCTTTATCAAAAACCGTTTTGTCTTCAGCGAAGGTGTTCCGAAGCGATCTTCGACTCATATTTGGCATAACCACAACGCCTGGAGCCAATTCCACGCGATCCTTTGAATGTCTCGAGTACGTATAATCCGTTTTTGGATACTTGCTATAATTTAAAAAAGAAAATTAATATTAATACAACCACGAACGAAGTTTATTTAAAACTGACCTTACCCTACTACTTATTGCGTAAGTTTTAAACTAAGAAATAAAGAATGAGGGCTGAGCGTGTTAATATAGAAACCTCGAGGTAACTAAAAATAAAATACGCAAACACTACGACGAAGAAAACGAACGGAACGAACTTTAAAAATAAAATAATGATGTAACGGAATAAGATGAAAAGAGATGAATGAGGTTTAAACTTGTTATTGGGGGGTAAAAACGATTTAAAAGGAATTTAAAAAAGTTGTTTTTAAAGATATTTGTGGGTTAAGAACGATTTTAAAGAGGATTTTTATTGAAAATATTGAAAATGTCAAATTTGACAGGTTAATTTAACATAACCTAAAATTTTTTTAAAATTATTTTAAATTAAATTAATAAAGAGTAATTTAATATTAAATTTTTGTACTCATTACCAGAACACAAGATCAGATTCCACTCACAGATAAAGTTTCCAAAATCAACAAACCGGAAATTTTTCCGACAAAAATACTTACTTCCAATACTCTCCGGCTTCTTTATATAATTTTAAAGCTGAAATTTCCCCGTTGCCGTTAATCGTGGAGGAATGAGCCAGCTCTTCCCTAATTAAATTTTTTGTGTTATCGGCAACAGGTTCACCTTCTTCCGATGAATAATCCGATGTGATGTATCGTTTCTTTTGAGATCGTATAACTTTTTTTGTTTCAATGGAACTATTTTCAATGATTCTAGAATAAAATAAAAAAATATTAATACAAAATTAATTGTAATAATTTATTTTACCTTTGAGATCTTCTCAAAGAAGGGGTATTTGATCGAGATCTGGCTCTAAGATCCATTATCTTAGGTTATTTTAAAAGTAAATCTGAAAAAAAAATTAAAGTTTATTTAATTCAGCTTCTTTGATTCAAGGAGTACGAAATTCTAATTTAGACCCCTCCCCAACAAAGCTTCTGTCCCACATGTATCACAAAAACCTTCTATATTTAGAAAACGTTTTATTTTCGGCCCATTTTGGAGGTTAAAAACATCTCCAACAATAAACGACGAATTCAAACACTTCTAATGAATAATACATCACAAAAACACTAAAAATAAATGCATTATAACTCACCTTGTTTTTAATAATATAAAAACTGTAAAATTAAGCGTGTTAAAGCCGAAAAATCGACGCGTTTACACGATTGACACGATTTAACTGTTACTCGTGGACGGGGTACCGTTTTAAAAGAAATATATAACGGTGACGTCAGATTATTTAAATTAATCGAAAATAAAAACGGATTTGTAACGGTATTAAAAGGGTTTAACGATTGTTTTCGTTTGAATGAGAGTTAAAAGTGAGAAATTGACGTTTTAATGTCAAAGTGGGAAACGTCATTCTCTAAGGAGGTTAAGAAATTTATTCATAGATGGCGCTAAATTCTTAATTTATTTTTTTTATTTATAATTTACTTTTCTTCTCTTTAATAGTTATGAGAGCTAATTCTATTATAAATTTGCCCTCTTTGTATTTTTAATTCTCCTCAAAGGCATGTTCCTATAAAAATTTATTTAATTGATAAGTTTTATTTAGTAATTTTAATATTACGTATTTCCACCCAAGAGTTGTTCTACAACGTTTGCAATAAATGAAAGAAATGATGAATAAACCTGTTAATAGATTTATTTCTTTTGGTGGGCCACAAGCAACATTTTCTCTAAAAATAAATAAATAAATATGACTAAGTTATCAAGGAGAAAACTTACACAGAGTTGAACAAATAAGCTTGACCTTGTCCCGCTAAAAATGACTAAAACTAAACGAATTAATTCTATGATTTTGTTTAAAATAAAATAATTACTTTTGAAGCTAATTCTTCTTGTTTGGTTAAATAAGTTTGGCAATTTTTACATAAGTAAATAGCCATTATTTTATTTGTTGTAATGATTCGTTTTTTACTGTGTTGTGTGTTTTCAACTTTTATACTGTGTTTAGGAATTCTATTTTTTTCTGAGAAAATATTGTAATTAATGTATGTATTAATAGCTTTAAAATGCAAGAATCTATTTTTTATAAGATATGCAACCAACATTGCACATATTTTACAAGTTGGCGATAATAGACAATATAAATATTATAATAATATTGTTTATAGATTCATTCATTATACATTCAAGATATACGTATTCTAGTTTTAGTGTTATTTCTATTACCACAAACAGTAAAAGGCCAACTTCCATTAACATAACCTCATTTATTGATTTACTTAATCAATTCTATCGTTTGCATAAAAATAAATCTTTTTTTTGTTTTCTAATCATTATAAACAATTTTATTTATCCAAATCATGCACAATATGTTTTTTCCAGCACTTCGGCTGTTGATCTTCGGAAACAAACATCTCCCCGTACATATCCGAGTACAACACATTCAACCTCTCAGTTAACATCGCCTCAAAACACGGATCCGCCTCATAACTATATGCAAAACTCGGCTCCTTCTTCCTTTCAACTTGATACTTTAAAATTCCTTTTAACGTTTTCATAGCTTCCTCAGGTTGATCGGTGAATACAACGGAAAGAAAGAAACCCGGATTTTCCTGGTGAAAATCCAAGTATTTTCGACGATTCTCCATCACATCCTCAATAAATTTTTCTAGGTTGCGTTCCGGATTACCAAGAGAAGTTGTTGGTGTTGTAATATCGTCGTCATCGTCTTGAAAAAAATGTCCACTTAAAGCGCTTAAATTCGGGCGATCAGGACCAATTTCTTCACTAACACTTCGAGCCGCATTATCGGTTTTATCGTATTCTTCTTCAACTTGATATAATTGCTTTGTTGGTGAATTAGAAGATTGAGTTGAATCACTAAAAAATTAAACAATTTAGGTTGTTATAAATTCAAAAAATAGCGCCATCTATTGGTGTTGTGATTAGAAATCTGTTTTATCGACCTTATAGTTGTTGTTCTTTCGTTAATGACGAGTGTTTTTTCTTGAATCGGTAAGTAATTAACAATATCTTCATAACATTCTTTAAGTGTAGCCGTATCTAATAATTCCTCCTCCTCCTCCTCCTCTTCTTCTTCACTTTCCTCGTCTTGCGGTACCCCAATGGGTGAAATCCGATAAAAATTGCGATTATCGCGAAAACTAACCTCAAAAGAAAAACATAACCCCAATTTTTTTTTAAATTTTGAATTAACTCACAAAGATTTCCATTTAATGCAACATATTCGATTAATTAATCTTTCGTAATGCTTTTCCTCTTCAAAACATATAGTTAGAACTAAAATCGGTTTTAAACTTCGCATTCGTAGAACAAGGGCAGAGACCAAATCGGTGTGGAACATTAGAACCAATTTTTTGTTGTAAACTTTAACGATTTCATCGCGATCTAAAATGATTTATTTATTTAAAAATAATTAAATTTAAGTAATTTTTGTTTTTACGTAAACCGTATGAGTACCCCATATATTCCGAGACGGTCATGAATTGCCCCTCTTTTAACATCTTTTTGAACTCATCATCTCCCACGAAATAATAATCGACACCTTCATTTTCCGAATCTCTTTTAGGCCTATTCGTGTGTGATACAGCAACTTTTAAATATTTTTGATATTTCTCAGAGAATTGTTTTAACAATGTTCTTTGCCCGGAGCCTTGAGGGCCCACTAAAACAATTATTGGGGGGGCCGGTTTTGAAATTGGTAAAGTATTCGTTACTAAATCGTGTTTCATCAATTTTTCTAATAAAAACAAATTCGATCGTTGTCTTGCAGCATCGATTTGAGGTGGAGGTTCGTGTTTAGAATAAACTAAAACTTTCTCTTCTGAACTAATATAAGCCCCATCCAATAAAATTAACGGCTTTACCAATTGGATACACATCTCATAATACCTCTTTTGTTTACAAATTGGGTTATCTCGGAAATCAATTTCGATTAAAAACCTCAAATTTTTGATATATTCCAATTCGATTAAATGCAGAACTTGATTTCCAGTCATAATAATTTTTTGTATCGCATCGACGTTTTTGAATAATTTAAAACTTCTTAATTTATTGTTTGATAAATCAATTGAGACTAAATTTTTTAAGTTATGTAATCCGTTTTCGTCATCGATGATCACTTTATCGATTCGGTTATTTGATAAATCTAAATTAACAAGCCTCATATTATTTAAATTTCGCAATTCCTTTATTTGATTGTACGATAAGTCCAAATAACGGAGATATTTTAATTTTTCCAATCCTTTTATGTAATAAATTTGATTATGGGACAAATCTAAATAAATCATCGACCAAAAATCGGTTAAATCATCGATTACATCCACCAAATTATATGAATAATTCACATAGGTTAAATTAAATGGTGGTTTAAAATTAAGTACTTGCGTTAATAAATTGTGGGAAACATCCAAGTACATTAAGTATGGTAATTCACCCAACGGCTTTAAATCGATTAATTTGTTATTGGATAAATTCACATATTGAAGATAATGGTGAAAAGTTAAAACTGAAATATCTTCTAAGCTTTTTTCGCTTAAATCTGTTTTACATAAAACATATTTTCCAACGATAGGGGACCGATCCATGTACGATGAGCAACAAGCAACCATTCGTTCGGACAAAATACCATTTTTTTCGTCTTCATTTAATTCTAATTCCTCGAAAGTTCTTATTTTTACGAAAGGTTTACTTTCATCGCACCATGGGTTTTCTTCTAAACCATAAAGGCCCCAAGAACCTTGTTAAAAAAGAATTAGGTTAAACATAACCTACAAAAATGTTTACTTGTCGTTTTTGCTGTTGACATATAGATGTCGCCAGTAAAAAAATGTATGATTTATTAATTTAATTAAAATAAAATATTAATTTGTTGCTTAAATTAATTATTTTACCTGGAATTTCTACATCGGGCCAAGAAGTTTCCGAAATATACGACACAGTTTCGTCGGGTTCGGAAATTTCCGATTCTTCAATACTCGGGGTGCTCAAGTTTGTTGTATAACTTGCAAAAGTTTGATCTTTCGGTTCTTGCGAGGTTGAGGAAGCATTTTTGCATGGACATTTTAAAGCCATTATTAAAAATGTTATTAAAATTATTTGTTTGACAATTAAAAAAAAGTTAAGTTGGCACCCTTGATTTTTATTAAAATTCCAGTTTATTTTTGAGGTTATAAATAAATCAATTATTAAAGTAAGTTTATTATTAAATAGATATTGAAAAGTAAGAAATAAAACGTTTTATTTCTATTACCACAAACAGTGAAAGCCCTGTTAACTCTTATTAACATAACCTGACTTATTAATTTATTTAATTCTTGTATTTTTCTAACTCCTTTCTTAATCGTTTATCTGTATATTTCTGTTTTTCTTTATATTTTCCTTTACAACATCCTTTTTAAAATATTCATGTTTTAAAAAATAATCGAAATTTGAGAACATAAAAAAAAAATAAGTTGGCACCCTTGCTTCATTGCTTATTTTTAGGTTATAAAAATTTTATTATAAAAATTGTGACATCATTCCCTCCTTTATTTCTAAAACTCCAATTATATATAAATTTTATAATAAAATATACCAAAGCCTCCATAAACTAAAAATTATAGGTTATAAAAATCTTAATTATTTAAAGTAAGTTTATTAATAATAATTAATACATTTTGCATCAACCCAAATTATTTACACACACATACTTCAATTTTTTTTATCTTTTATTTTTATTACAACCATTATAATAAAAAATTATACAAAAAAAAAAGTTAGATTAGAATAACAATTATTCTTTTTTTGGGGGTTAAAAAACAACTTGGATAAAACGACGTTAAAAAAGGCGAAAATAAAAATGTTTTTTTTAATACTTTCATTTTATCTTATTCCAGGGCGATTTAAAGAACTAATCTTTTAATCCCACATTCAACACAAAACTTAGCCGCAGCCAACGGATATTTACTCCCACATTCGTGACAAAACTTCGACATCTTTAATGGCACGTTTGAAGGGATTGGAGATGATTCTGAGCTACTTGAAGACGGGCTATCAGGTAGGATTTTATGTTTATCTAACGGGGCTAATTTTGTCGATCGAGCTCGAGTTTTTGGAGTCGATTTTCTGGTTAAACTAAAAAAATGCGGTTATAACACTTAAATACAAGATATTAATTAATTATTTACCTTCCATAAGCTGAATCAGCACTAATTTTTGAATTACGATTATCTTCTTCATCAATTTCTTCTTTACGTAACTCTTCTTCTCGTTCTTTTAAATATAGCTCTTCGTATTTTTTGTATTCTTCGTACATATCATCATCAACTGAGAATAATTCATCGTTCATTATTAACGGGGGAGGTTTTTGAGCCTAAAAATATATATATTTTTTTAAATTTTTAGGTTAGAATTAATTTTTTTATTGAACTAACCTCAATTGAGTGAATAATCACTTTCGCACTATTTTTTTCTTGCTCATTGAAATAATTTTGAACATCTTGTTTATTTTTTAAAGGTTTCGGCTTTTGATCTAGCAGTGAAATGGATCGCTTCAACGAAGACAAATTTTTTTTCTTCGCAGAACACCCAGCACTAGAATTTAACAATTTACTTTTATCGCTGCTTTTTTTCGGCAGTTTCGAAACCTTTTCGGAGACTTTGCGTTGCTTATCGTATGTATCGGGACTTTTTAAAGCGATTAAAACTTCATCTAAATCTTTATCCTCCAAAAAACTATTACTTACATCCTCCAACATCGACATTGACTCATTCAATTTAATCTCAGTCCCGTTTAGAAAGGTGTCAAAACAGTTTAATGTCGATGTTGAAGTGGGAGAACCCTCGTAGTTTTGATCAAAATGATCCGGAATAGACAAATTATCGGTTTCGTTGATTAATTTTGGATCGATGGTGTTTAATTCATCAGAAAATTTTTGACTAAACACGTTTAATTTTTTATTAACCTCATTGTTTTTGTGGAAAGTTGTTGTTTTCGTGAAATTTTCGTTGATTAAATTTTCAATTAAATCGAAATCATCGTTTAACATTGATAATCGATCGCGAAAATCTAAAGGGGGGTCGATCACCGAAGCCCTTTTATTATTCGGAATCGCATTTTTAGATTTTTCTAGTTTTTGTTTATCTTGGTGGTAATGAATTTTTTGGTGGAGTTTTTGAGTTGGTTTTGGTGATTGTAATTTCGGTGTAATCGGTGATGTTTTTGTTGGTTTAAATGGTTTGAAATCGTCGCATTCTAAAAGTTCCATAAATTGCCTTTCCGCGGATACAAATGGGTCGTATTTACTAAAAAAAAAGTTTTTTTGTTAGAAGAAAAAAAATTTTTTTGTTAGAAGAAAAAAAATTTTTTTTTTTGAGGTTAGGAAAAATAACCAACCTTTTTTTTGTAACTAAATTTACTAAACAATTCGATTAATTAATTTAATTTTTTACTTAAAACTTAATTAATTAATAATTGAGAATTTAATAATTAATTAAACAAAAATTTAAAAAAAAAAATTTATGTTGGTATTAAGTTTTTCATTTGACATTTTGAGGTTAAAAGAAGTGTCCCCACAAAATTCTTAACAATTTATTAAAAAAGAGGGTTTAAACCTTTTAGTTCCTTCCTTTCGGTAATAATGATCATGTTTTGATGAAGAATTCCTCGTTGTAATAATTTGTGGTAACACAATTCTTTTGGGGGAACACCGAGTAACCTTTTTTTCTTTTTTAGGTAATTCAGGAAAAAATAATTTCGTTTTTACATTGGCTAAACCCTTTTTATCGATTAAAAGCATTTTTCGGCAATGTTTCCTCGAAACGATCATTTCATCATTTTCAATCCCGTTCCGATCTGGCTCAATAACCGTTTTTAAGATCTCTAAGAACCGAGGGGTCACAATAGAGCACGAATCACAAATGGAAGTTTGGATTTCGTTTTTCGAAGAGGAATTAGATTCTTGGATGGTGCTTAAAACTTGTTTTAAATCCATACTTTCGCATTGTGAGGTATCGTTTAAAAGATTTTCGGTTTCTAAAATTTTTTTTTTAAGGTTATCCTCATGGTTACTTAATTTTGGGGTTACGAAATAATCTTCATGTTGGATGTTTTGGTAACTCGAGTAATTTCTTAGATCGATTTCGGAGTTTAATTTAAAGCTAGTTTCCGAGGTTTTCGTTAGGCATAAATCGCTGCAACAATTTCGAATTTGCCTTTCGATTCTTGCGCAACTCAACGCTTGCGAGTGGTGATTTTCACATCCATCGACAACGCTATCGCTTTCGGAGAATCCACTCCGATTCGGTTTCCTCCAATAAATAAAATTAGATGAGGGCGAGTTTGTAATCTCTAAATCGGAGGATTTTTCGATTAAATTGTTTCGTTTTAACGATTCTTCTTTGATGTTTTCTTGGATTATTTTAATGTTTTCTTTGATTGATTCTAAATTTTTTATGTATTCGATATTTTTTGGTTCCTTAAATGCGGATTTCCCCGTTTCGAAAACATGAACGGTTTCTGTTGTTAATATTTGTTGGTGATAATCGCCTTTTGAGTTGTTTTTGTATTTTTCGTCGTAAAAGATCTCTGATAAAAGAGGGTATTGCTCGATAATCTTATTGTTATTATTCGTAATTACTTGATTTTTGAATAAATCCGTGTTCGAGTCATCTAAATAATTAATTTTTTTGTACTCCGACATCAAAGTTTTTGGTTCCCCTGGTTTAATATAAGCTTCCTCGTACAAATTCTCTTTTTTTTTATCGTTAAATTTCTCAACGAACACCATTTCGATTTGGTCACCTCCCATCATATTTTTCCTCCGAGCTTGAAACTTATTGTTTAAGTTTAACTCAAAATCTGAATAATAATTAATCTCTTTATCGATTTCTGTTTGTGTTTTATACTCAACGTTGCTTTTCGGGCGCTTAATTCTCCTCCGATCACTTTTATTTAGCTTCCGAGATGATCCTGATGAAATTTTTTCGATTCTTTTAACTTTTTTTTCTTTATTTCTTGTTTTAATCGGTTGTTTTAAGTTCAAATCAATTTTATTTTGCTTAATTTTGTTGCCACTTTTAATTTTCTTTGTCGTTCTAAAGTCACATTGACATCCGAAATCATTTTTTTGATAATCACTTTGAGTTCCTTTATCAACCTTTTCGCAATTTAATAATTTCAGATCAATCTTTTTATTAAAATCGATCAAATCGTTGTCGATATCGATCAAATTTTCGCTTAAAACAATTTTTTCCTCATCAAAATCTTGGCACTCAACATCTTTAAAAGTTATTTTATTTTCATTCTCCTCGTTTTTATCCAAGTTAATATTAATTTCGAGCTTAACGTTGTAATCAGATTCAATTTTGTTATCTTCTTCGCTTGGAAATTGATCCAAAAGCGGATCTATTTTCAAATTAGCGCTTAAAAGGCGATTTTTTTCCAAAAATTTCTCGCAGGATTCATCGAAATTGATTAAATCGCTCGATGTCACCGAATCGGAAGAGTTTTTGTTTAAAACTTCATCATCGGAGAACAAAATTTCTTCTCTCGGAGAAACTTCCAAGTTAATCATTTGGATATCGTTTAAAGTTTCTTGTAAAGAACTAATTTTATTATCATAATAATCAGAATCGTACCTTTCTTCCTTATTTATTTTTATTTCCAACTCTTCGCTCGGTTTTGGTTTCACTTCAATAATGGTGGGAGATTTTAAATTCTTTTTCGGAGACAAATTTAACGGCGATCTTCTTGGTGATTTCGTTAGATACGGTCCTGAATACGACTTCTTTAAAATCGGTAATTTACTATTAAAGCGATTCAATCCTCTAATCGTATCACTACAAGATTCCTTTACGAGAAGCTTTCCTTTTTCGTTCTTCAAGTTCAAACTTGTACTCTCCCTCAAATTAGTTCCTTCCAATTTCTTTTCATTTCCGATTTTTTTATTAATATTTGGACTCGATTTAATTATTGAGTTAACCGTTAAACCTTGCAAGGTGTTTACATCGAGGTTATTAAGCTTTGTGGATTTATTATTACTAAAAAGGGATTAAGGAAAGAGGATGAATTAAAAGGGATCATTAAAAAACCTTCTCCAAGTAAGAAAATAATAATCAAATAAATCCTCTTTCCTCATTTCCCTTACTTGGAGAAGATGTAACCTAAATTAAAAACTAACCTGTTTTGATTTTTCACTTCATCCTTTAAAATTCGCTCACTCACAACTTGTTTAACTCCGATATCGCCGACTTTTTTCTCTAAATACTCGTCTTGCGAGCTATCGCCTCCTCGTTGGATGGAATTTTTTGATTTTCGCACACTCGGGCTTCTATCTAATGTGCAAGCGCTGGCGCTTTTCATGTTTCTGGGGCTATTTTGAGTTGGAGAATATTTTTCTTTAACCGTAATCTTCTTTGCTTTGCACAACGGGGGCACCTTATATTTAATTCGAGCTTCTAAGCGTTCCTTTGCAAGCATACTCGCCGGGGATTTGTGAATTTCTGAGGTTCGTTTCTCTTTACACCATTCCACATGTCTATCGTAAGCTTTTGGCCCAAAATTCCGGTCGCAAGATGGACACCGAGTGTTCGTTGGGGTTCCGATATTAGCCGATTTCCTTTTTTGGTATTTCATCTCGTTGTTTTCGGTTTGCTCGTTGTTCGTTCCTTTCGCAGCTCGAATCGCTTCCACTAATTGCATGTGTTTTTGCTTCCAATTATTTTTAATCAATTTCGGCTCGGGCTCTTCGTGTTGTTTACTTTTTAAGTACGATTTTTGATGGAATTCGGCCAAATCGGTTCCTTCAATGCGTTGTTTTAACGAATCAAAAATCTTCCTTTTCTTCCTGGCATTCTTTTCGCAAACTTTGCTATGTTTTAATAGTGAAGCTGGGAGAAACGTTCGGGAACATATCGCGCAAGGAACTAATTCCAAGCTTACGTCGGAAGGAGCTAAAATAAAAATTAAATTAGCATCTTATTTTGTTGAGAATTAACAAAGAGAGTTGCGTCATCGCTTTTTTCTTATAAAAACCCACGTTTTAACCTTATTTATTTAATACTTGTTCGCCCACTTTTTAATTATAATTTATCATTTTCTTTTGAGGTTATGTCAAAAAAGTGGAGTTATGTTACAATTAAATAAAAGTGAGGTTACAAATCAATTTTTTTTCGATATAAAAATTAAAAACGGTTTAATTAATCGAAACATTTAATTTTAATTGCGTTTTTTTAAATTTAATTAATTGATTAAATTAATTAGTTTAAATCGCCTCAAAACTATAACAAAATCGTAAAAGCCAAAACACTACCAACTTAAGAAAAAAAAATTTCTTTTTATTTTAAAGAAATAAAAAACTGGAGGTAAATTTAAAAAGGAATTAATAAAGCCTTCAAGGACGTTATTAACAATGTAGGTTATAAATTAACTCAAACAATTTTATCAAAAAAGAAATAACTCAAAGCAGGTTGGTAACATAAAAACACAAATTAATCGATTCGATTTGTTTGATCAATTTCGCTAATAACAACTTCAAATATTACCATAACGATTAAAATGCATACGTAAGATGTTACGTAATGTTTTTTCTGCGTGAAAATGAGTTAATAATGTAAAAACCGTTGTTTGAGGTGTTCAAGGTCGCCCAAATAAGTTTGTTTTTGTTTTAACCTCACTTTTAATTGGCGATTATTTTTTTAAATTCACCGTGTAATAAAAAGTCGTCTTACACTGTAACGTTTCGATTTCCTCCATTTAGCGCAGTATTTTCATACCAAAAGAAGCCGTTTCGACCACATGGCACAACACACAACAACCCGACACTTTAAAAATTGACACAATCCTTTTTTGACACTGACAGCTTTTATTTAAAGCTTGCCAAATTTAAAAAGTTAATTAAAATTATTATTATTAAAGTTGCGTTTTCGCTTCGACGAAAGTAAAACTCGTCTGAGAAAAGTGTTTAGTGTGAAATAACCTTTATACCTTGTTGTTGGTGGGTTTCGAGTGGAATCTGAGGAGGAAGTGGTTCTTCTTTTTCTTTGTCCTTTTCCATCCTTCCTTGGTGTTTGGTTTTGTTGTGTTTCCATGGGAACGATAGTAGTTTGTTCATTGTTGTGTGCTTGTGTGGCGGGTTATTTAATTAGGAATGTTGAGTTTCTTCCGGTTTTCAGGACTATTAATAAAGTAACTTGGGCGCCGACGTAATATTTGAAGAGGGAGGAGGAGAACGCATCTTTGTAAATATAGAGTAAGTTTTTTTTAACTCAAATAAAATTTTAAAAAAATGTTTGAGGTTATGTTTAAAAAAATTTAAATAAATCTTAATTTAACGATTATTAAATTATTTAAACCTCGTTTTAATCAAAATCTTACTTCTAACAATTCATTGAAGCTTCCTACCTTAACTAATCCTTTAAAATTTAAAATCACTCTAATTAAAAGCGTAAACACAACAAATTAAAGGTGGGTAGAGGGCGCTGATTGAAACGAATTGAGGTTAGGTAAAAAAATTAATTAATAGGTAAAAAATTATTTATTAATTAACCAAGTGATGTTTGGGCGTTAATTTATTTCGTTTTAATACATTAAAAGGGTTAAAAACTTTCGAATCGATAAAAATACACTTATTGATATAAAAGAATATTAAAAGCGTAAAGAAAAATCTATGGAATCACAAACATACTCTTTCAGGGTGTCTTATTCTTTTTCTCTTTTAACCGCCACCAAAACAAATATATAATATAAATATATTAATACTTTTTTAATGATTTTTTTGTTAATAACTATTAATTAATCAATTTTTTTCTTACATACTAATAACAATGTTCAATGTATAAAATTGCAAAAAAGCTCTGTTTATGATTATAAGTTTGACAATTAATTTATTAATTAATAGTTGCCGTATTTTATATTTTGTGTTTATTTAAAGGCAGGCGTTAAAAATACTAACAAATTAAAACCTACATCGTCTCACATTCCTTATTTTAATTATTTTTTTTTTTACTTTGAATACGAAAATATATCCTATTATTCTTCCTAATAATAATAATATTAATAATAATAAATCGTTATAATAAACTTTTTTTTTTGTTTAATACATTTTCATCTCTCCCATTTTAAAATGGTCCCAAAACACAACTTATACGGAAACCATTTTAATTTATTCCAATTTTAAAGAGATGATTTACTTAATTAAAAGCTTTCTTTTTTCGAGATTTTATTGATATGGCTTTTTCATGGATTTTAGGCCCCTCCATTAATTTGCCCATTATCCGAATCAATTTCTTCAGCGAGAGCCAATGGAGCTTTCAATAAAATATCGCTTACTTGAACTTGTTTAATCTGAAACATAAAAATAATATTAATTTGTTTATTAAAACAAATTATTAATTATCAAGAATTTCATATAACTCGCAATATATTAATGCAGTAACCATAGTTTCAAAACTACTGTGCATTTGCACTGTCCCACATAAAATGCAACTTAGCTTAATAGTACAGGCTTGAGTTTTCGGCCGTCTTGAGAGACGCACGGCTAAATCCGAATGGTTCTAGTTCTATGTTTAGTGTTACTTCTTAACACTAGACGAAAAGAACAATTAAAACTGGAGCTAACCCTAGTTCTAGCTCTTCTGTTAGTTCTAGTGATAATGTAAAACTAGAGTTAATACTAGAACTAACAAGTATATAATGACATCAAAAAATCGATGTTAGGTTATAACCTCAAAACTCCAGGTGACATAACCAACACAGAATTAGTTCTAGTGTTTACACTAGTTTTAGTTGTTACTCAGCGTGTTCTCATTGTTGTATATTCTCATTGAAGTAAAACTCTAGTTACCGTTTTCAGACACACAGCTAGACCTGAAACTTTCTAGGTCTAGTGTTAGTTCTAGTTTAGTTCAATAAAAACATACAACATAGTAATATCTTATGCTACCTACCACTGTCACTAGAACTAAAAACATTTAGGTCTAGTATTAGTTTTAGTCTAGTTTTGTTATTCAGCACCGTAGACTGCCTAAGTCTGACGTCACAGATATGGGCGGAGCTTATACTGACACCAAACAATTTCGTTGTTAATCACAGTTGCTAACGATAAATCGCCAAAAAATTTCATTTAAAATGTCACTTAGATTATTTTATTTTAACACTGATTGTAAAATTGCATATGGCGATTTACCGTTATATTGACGTTTTACTGTAATGTCAAGTTATATTGACATGTTTGATATTTTATGTGGGACAAAGTAGGTACGCCCTGGTTTCTATGGAAATATATTTTAGTATATTGCATCTTAAGTGAAATTCACTGTAGTTATTAATTTTAATTAAAAAAATTAGTTGGCAACAATGAAATTTGACAATTACATTTAATAACTGTCATTTGCGTTAATTTAATCACAAAGGTTAAGTTTACATAAAAAAGAAGCTTTTTGTGATAAATAAAAACTTTCAAACCTCTGATTGGTGAGTTGACCCGGAAGACACGCTCTCTACGACTACAAAAGCAAAAAATAAAACAACATAAAGCACATCTAGGACAACAAAATAAGCCCTAAATATCCAACAAAAAGATGATTCTAACCTATAAATCTTTCCAATACTTACTTTCGTGCGCTTCAGTAACATTATTTGTAGTTGTAGTAGTCGAATTTGAGGTAACTTCCCCCGATTGATTCGTAGTAACGGTCGTTATAACCGTTTTAGTGATTGCAACCCCAGATAAACGACTCGCCAATTCCTCTCCAGAACCGATGTGATCTTTTACGCTATCGATAGTTATGTCTCCGATGCTGCTTGACACTGTTACATTATGTAGTGTATCATCACCGTTTTCTCGCACTTCTTCAGCCTAAAACACAAATAATGATTTTAATTTTTATTAAATTAAAAAAAGCTTTTGGGTTAAATAAAAATCGATCATATTAGGTTATGTTGATTTATTAATTACAGAAACCTGTAATTATTTTTTGACATAACCTCAATTATATTTTTTTCACATTAATAAAATTTTTTTTAACAAACCTTATCGACAACACTACTTTCTTTACTCTCAGCGTTTCCATTCATAATCGGCGTGGAAGATTCTTCTTCCCCATCATTTCCGGTCGCATCTCCATTAATTGAATCATTTTCAACAATAGGAGTAACCTTTTTATCTTTTATTGATAAATAACAACGTGCCGATGTTATTTTAGTCGCGGAAAGTGATATTCTTTGTAATTCAGATGATGAATGGAAATACAAAGCTTCGCCATCGCGGGTAAAAACCAACGAGGAAATTCCACTAAAAATTAAATTAATTAATTTAAATTAAATTAAAGAAAAAAAATTCTTACTTGATATCTTCTCTACGAACAGCGGCCGCATTTAGTTGCCGTTTTAAATCGGGAATACTCAAAACGAGGCAATCTCCCAAATTCGTTAAACATAATAAATCGGTTTCTGTGTGGGTCACATTCGTGTCCGATGAGGTACAAGAAAAATTGGCGAACGACATCCTCCTAACGCGGGCACCCTCGTGGGCGGTTAATTTATATTTACAATAAGGTTTTAATGATGGTAAAGTAAATATTTTGAATTGTTCTTCGGAGGCGATGACGACACGGTGAGGTTGGGTGGGATCGGGAAGACTTGCTAAACCTTTTTCAACCTCCAACGGCTCAGGTAGGGGTTTACTAGCTCCGTCTAAAACGGCGATTGCGATCACGGGGGCGCGATGTTTTAATTGAATCTCTTTTCCAAGTTGGCAAATAACGTCGTCCGTGTCTCGTTTTGATGGCAAACCAATTGTGAATACGTAAACTGTTCCGTTATTAGTTCCGGCCCATAAAGTTGGAATGGTGTTTTGTACTAAAATTAAATTAATTAATCATGATTAATATTATTAAATTAAATTTACCATTAATAAGAAAAGTTCTCGCGAAATATAAACATCTAACGATTGATCCCATTCCATCATCAACAGGTCTCGCTTCAATTTGTCTCTCAACAGGTTTAGCATCCAAAGGGCTAAAATTACCTTCTTCTGTGGTTGGGGGTTTTCTTTGAGGGGGTGAAGATGGGGTTGTGGGAGTTGTAGTAGTTTGATTAGTTCTCCTTGTTGATCTTCCTTTACGTAATCGTCTAAAACTTTCTCGTAACGATTTCTTAAAAGATTTTCTTCGCGAAATTGGGGCATCTCCAGCTCCAGTAAGATCTAAATAAATTACAAATTAAATCTAATAATTAATTAAATGTTTAATAAATACCGTTTGGGTTTAAAGTACATTTAACAATAACAGGTTTTTGGCGTTGATAATCAAACAAGGCTAATCCATGCGCGGTCCCCGCAGCTAATAACCCCCAATCGGGGCGCAATACAACGCAAGTAACCGCAGCTGGGGGGTAAAGTTGTACGATGTTGTTGGCTTGAAATCCGCGATTTTGGCGAATATTTCCTTGTTTCGGAGTTAATTGATCGTGGCCTTTCCAAACGAAACCATCTCGATCACTCACTATGTTCATCACGTTCACTTTTACTTCTCCATCTAAGATTTCGGTGTCGAATTTTGCCAAAACGATATGCCCCGCTGTTCCAGCAACAGCTAAGGTCCCCGAGAGGGGGCACAAACTTATTTTCTTAATCGCTAAACGTGCATCGTCCGAGTACGGATCGAAAATACCAGTTTTTCGAAATGGGGGCCACTCCTCCTCGGAATCATCCGGCGATGTTACAGCATCATCTAAAAAATAATAATTAAAAAAAATTTTTTTTTTAATTTTTATTGGTATTTACCAACGATATCGTCCCCTGTAAAGTACTGGGAAGTACTAAATTTATAAATCGGGGTTAAATTAACACATCCAGCATCCCAAAATCGAACTGTTCCATCCTCGTGCCCGGTTAATAATAATTCGCGCCGAGGAGTTTCCCCTTTTGAACACAACAGACTCCCCCCTTGAATAGGCCATGATCTCGATGAATACATATGGCTCGTTTGGGCACGACCCGCTTCTTTTAAATGTACCCACAACTCCTCTGATACATCTAAAGAAATATATAATTAAAATTAATATAATTAAGTAATAATTTGTGATTTACTTGAAACGTGTTGGCTACAAATCACTGCAGAAGCATGTAATGACACTAAATAAGGCAAATTCATCATTTTCCAATCTTCCGATTTAAGATCAATCGCAACAAGTTCTTCATCGGCCAAAATTAATAAAATATCGGGACCCCCAGATTGTTCTTCTGATTCTTCCTCATTGTCTTCGTCATTTTCTTGAAGTGGTGATTCAACAACCAAAAAATCAATTATCTACAAAAAAATTAGGTTATATCAAAAAAGTTAGGTTACATATAAAAAATGTTGGTTGTCAAACAAAAAATTAGGTTATGTATGAAAATAAATTAAAATAATTTTTTTACCTTGCTTGTTAATTCAAAAGTAACATGTTTTGTATCATGTACAACGGACACCGTATGTTTATCACTATAACTAGCCCTGGGTAATCCACCGCTAAAAACAATTAATGGTTGATCATTGAGTTCTTTCCGAATAATTTTTGGGATTGCTTTGCATGGAAAAGGACCATATGTTGTTGTTGGTTCCGGTAAAGGGTTATCTTCATCGTTGTAATCGCTTAATTCCCACGTGAGGTAACTGCCGTCGTTGTGTGATGTCGTAAAACCTTCACCGTCATCGTGCCAACACAAACTTTCTAGTTGTTGTTGGGAAGGAAATGTTTTTAAGGCAACATTATCCGCGCGATTATACAAGACTAATAGCCCACGGTTATAACCAATTAAAATGTTGTTGGGGTGCCCGGGTTGTTCGAAAATCGCCTCAACCGCCCCTGGGTTTAATTTGTAATCTTGTGGGACGTGTTGCATCACGTCTTCTTGGTAGATGTTATCTCGAACCATCTCGAAGGTGTTTAGTTCTAATAAGTAGATGTTTCCACCTTCCGTTCCTAAAAGGAGGGCTTCTCCGGTTGATTCGACACACATTGCGGAGATTTTTTTTAATTTCCCTTCGAGTGCTTGAGTTTTAACTTCAACAAGGGAGCTTTTATCTACCTCCCATAAATGAAGCGAGTTATCCTCGCATAATGAAACCACTTTCCCAACGTTTGGTAAAAAGACTAGTTGGGTAACCGCGATTGAATTTGAATGTTGGCCGTAAAATTCCACTCCGGGTTTTCCAAAAACTTTTATTGCACCGGTTGATGTACCAATGCAGATTAAACGAAGGGTTGGATCCCATGCTATTGCAGTCGGTTTATGTGGAAAACCGTGTTGTAACGTCTAAAAAATATAAAAATTAAATTATTTGAGATTAAATTTTTTTAGGTTATGTTTGAGTTTAAAGTTTATTTAACCTAAATTGTAAAATAAAATCTTTGTAAATACAATTAAAACAGGAAAATAAAATGTTTTTTAAAGCGAAATGAGTTTTATAGTTTGTGGAAATTAGATTAAAATAAATTAAATAAGATAAAATTTATTATTACTTAAAAAGTCTGAAAGAAAGTCTGTCTATTTAAAATTAGATGGCGCTACTATGAAATAATAATTTTGTTTTAAGAAAATGGCCGAAAATGTCAAATTAATAATTTAAACAATTTAATTAATTTTGATTGTTTAAATTTAAATTTAGGCCAAAGTAATTGTTCACGACACAAATCAAACGTCTCTATATAAATTCAAGGTTAATAGATAGAAAAGATCTAACAAATGTCAATTGATCTCGATTTAGGTTAAATTTCAAATCGAAACATTTTAACCGCTCAATAACTTTTATTTAGCGTTAGATTCGTCACAAGGAATGCTGTTGGAGTTATTAAAAAACGTATTGCTCCTCCGCGGTTCACGGTTCATTTCTCGGACAGATTTTACCGTTAGATTTTGCGTCCCCGCACTCCCTTGCCGTTGCTATTGGTCTTGTCGTCATCGTATGCATTTTTTGATTCAACAAAACCAGTTTATAAGAACCGCGAAGAGAAGAAAACGGAGTAAATACTCGGATGAAGGAAGTACATAATTGAATTCGAAAATGTTTACGCCATATGTGACGAAGAAAAGGGATAAAACAGGAAGCATATGGTTTTGAGATTTCCTTAATAAATTCAAGGAAAAATGTAAATAAGCGAAAGTTAAAGAAGGAATGTGACACAAATTAATTAGATCTATTGTTTATAAGATAATAAAAGTACTTTTCCTTTTTAATTAATAAAAATAAAATTTTTTTTTCTGTCAATTTTTACGTTGGTATTTATGGAGGACAACCATTTTTTTGGAGTACATAACTAATTTCTTTTTAATTAATATTATTTAGATGAATTTAATTTATAATTTAAAGTTGAAAAAGAAATCGATTAAATTCGCTCATAAATACAGTTGTTAACTATTTTCCATTGTGTGGCTTATCGAGATTACAATTCAGCCGTAAAGTAGAAAACAATTCATCTTTGAAGAGATTAAAACTTTTTAAAGGTTATTTCGATGTTGTAATGTAATAATACAATAAATAATAAATCAATTAATAAAAACATAATAATCTAAATCCTTTTTTTGGTTAAATTTATTTCTATCGAATAAAATTTTATCAAGCATCAAAGCATCATGATTATCTACTTCTTGGATACACGGTAAACATTAGACTAAAAGAGATAAGAGGTATTTGTATTTATCGGAAAATCAACAAAGATATCGCAAAAATATGATTCCGAGGAATTTTATTTTAAATTGTGTCAACTGAGTTAATTAGCATTCTCTACCTGAGAGTATGAGTCACATCTAATACCTGAGAAGTTCCAAGAAAAAGCAAAAACATAACCTCAAAAAAAAAAAAAAAATTAAAATCATTGAAAACAAAAGTTTCATAAACATAATCTGGATGATGTGGTTATTTACGTAAGATAATAAGAGAGATAAGTGAGGAGATAAAACAAAAACCTTAATACCTTAATAATAAACCCCACCTTTTTGTTTATCCCTTGGGAATGAATGCAATTAAACTTACCCTTCGATAAGAAAACAACTCCTTTTGTAATTTTTGCCTTTCAGCGGTCTGATGAGGCCCTTTCGCTTTTATAAACTTAAACATCTTCTATAAATTCACCTAAAACGAAATAAAAAATAATTTTATTAAATAAAAACCACATATGTCAATTTCTAACTAAAAATCACTTTGCAAGGCAACGCCTGTTTCTCTCTCTTTTAAAGCGCTCATTAAACGCTTTTTATTACAGTGAAAAAGAGCGTGCAAAAAGAACCAAGTAAAAATGTAAATAAACCAAAGAGAATCAAAAATAAAAACATCAAAACAAAAATTTTTTTTTCTATCTCGAGTTTTTGTTTTATTTATCTTGTGATAGCTTCACTTACTTTGTTGGCGATTTCAGGTAAAAACAAACTGGCGGTGTTCATATGTTGAGTCTTTTCTATTTCGTCGGGGACTCGACTACAACATCGACTCGTATCGAAATAAAGCACTTTTTTAATTCGGGCTGAACCCAAACTCAACTTAAAACCATTCCACGTATTGAGTCACTGACCGGCACGAAATGAGAAGTAGGCGTAGAGAATACCTTTTGTTGTTATCGGCAGAGAGAGCGTCGAGATGCGATGTGTTTTGGTTCGGGAGGATATCCAGTAGAGGGCGCTTAATCGGGTTTGAGCTGATTTGGTGGCCTAAAAACATTAAAATTAAAATCATTTCTTATCTTAACTAATATTAATTAATGTTAATAAATAGAATATGAAAGAATTTAATTACTAAAATAAAGATTAAAATAAAAAAAATCTTGTGAGGAGAGTTCTACTGTTATCTAATAGATGGCGCTACTTAATTTTGAGATGTATATGTGGTTGCCTAAAAATATTAATTAATTTAAACAAAATCCTTTGTTGATTAAATCTGTAAATAATAATTCGGGGGAGATGAAAGACTTAAAATAATTATTACTAGCAGTTAAAAAAATTAATAAATCACTTTTTTTATAACAATTAATTTAAAAATTATTAAAAAAATTCTTTTTTAATAAAAGTTGAATTAATGTTATGTTATCCCGAATTATTTTTGTGATGTATAAGTGGTTGCTTACACATATTATTGTATTATTTACACAAAATTGTTTTTTAACTTAATAAATTAAATTAATTAATACAATTTCTCATTTCCTTACCTATTAAATTATTTCGTAACATTATAAGAAGGATATACTCAAAATTGTGTAACAATCCTCTCGTTATTGTTATGCAATAACCATAAAATGCCATAAAGTGCGATGACGTCAGATTTTTCAAATAAAAACACCTTTTTCCGTTTTAATTAAATCGTATTTGGATTTAAAGGATTTCAGGTTGATTTAAAATCTGTAACAAAAAAATAATTGGTTAGTTATTAATTTTGGCACATTTTCTGTTTTCTTTTTTAATTAAATCCGCAAATAATAATCAGGATGGGATGAAAAACTTAAAATGATTATTATTAACGATTAGAAAATAAATAAATCACTTTTTTATAACAATTTAAAAATTATTTTAAAAAAATTATTAATTTTTAAGTAAAAGATGAAATAATACTCAATACATGACAGCACTATTTTAATCCGAATTATTTTTGAGACACATAAGTGGTTGCATTTAAAGTTGATTAATCTGTAACAAAGAATAATTGTAATAAATTCTCGTATAAAACTTTAATTATTACCTAAGAGATGGCAGCACTATATAGAAACCGGAATTATATTGGAAGTGTGTAAGCGGTTGCCTACAAGTCTTATTAATTTGTTTTAAAGAAATCGTTTTTCGATTTATAAACTAAATGATTCAAATAAATTTCTCTTTCTCCTTACTTATTAAATTATTTCGCAATGTTATAAAAAAAATTCCTCTTCAAATTGGGTAACAATCGTCATGTTATGCTTATATAATAACCACAAAGGAAAGGAGACGTCAGGTTCTTCGAAAATAAACGCGACTTATCCGTTTTAATTAACTTCCACGTGATTTTAAAACAAATAAAATCGTTTTAAAACCTTCAACAACGAAAAAATTCGTACATAATTATTTTTTTGGTTCATTTTGCGTCCTTTCCGTTGTTAAATCCGTAGATAATGACCCGGAAGTGATGTTACACACGTAGTGTGTCAAAGCGTACCGGAGATAATTACTAACAAATTACGTATTGAGAAAAAAATAAATCACAGTTGAATGTAGCAAAAAAAAAGAGACGCAATTGAAGCACAAAAATTTCAATTATCAATTCTGTTCATGATTAGATGTTGAGATGTTTCGTCTAAATATACACCTGTTAATTTATTATTCTTATCGCCTCGCGATACTTATTCCAAAACGATGCACAACTCGCTTTATGCTGAAATCGCGTGTCCGGGGTGTTTAAAAGAGTCTCTTCCATAATATTTGAAACACCTGCACGCTATCATCCAATTTGGAACGTTGAATTAAAACCAAGGACGTAATTTTGGAGTTTATTAATTAAGTGGTTAATTCATTTCTTGAGAAACTAAAATAAACAAAATTAATTAATAAAAAATTAAATAAATATCGTTATTTCATAACCAAACGGAATAACCTGAATTTAAAAGGGTGCAAAATCAATATTGAACTTTTTCCATTTTATCATTTTATCCGACCAACAAAAGGGGCATGTTCCCGAAGCGAAACTCACACAAAACCAGATTTTCCAATAACAGTTCGTGATACGATTCGAATATTCTTTATATTACAAACTTTTTATTATAACCAAACCCAATCTTTTATATAAATTCAACAAAAATTAAAATAAACTTAACCAACGCGCGATTTTAAAATATTTGAGGTTATCTATAATTATTTGTATTAATTTAAATTCAACCCGTTTTCATGGTAACAAAGAAAAGTCGGTAATAAAGATTTTGATGCATTTGAGTGATGATATAACCTAACTATATTTGTAGGTTAATTAAGTGTCAAAATTAATAATTTAATAATTTTGGGTTTATTTATAATATTTTTTGCAACTAATTTTGAAGGTTTCAATTTTTTACATAATTTAAAGCAAGGTTATGAAATTTGATTAAAGATTAAAATATAAATAAAAAAAGTAATGAAGGGGCCCATAAAGAATTCTTAACGGATCGAGACTGCGCAAAAGAAACCGAAAAGTGACTCTAACCGACACTGGAACGAATAAATATAAACTACTTGACGAGCTCTTAATCCAATACAGTCGATTTCAACGTTTCAGCGTGTTCACCACACATTTTTAAAGTGATTATTGCCTTAACTTGAACCATTTCTTTTAAAGTTATAATTTAATTAAATTTTCTTGCTGGGTTTTGAACCGTTTAAGTTATTTTTTTGATACAAATAAGTGATAATTGACACAAATTTGATGAGTATTGAGTTTATTTTTGGTTGTATACGGTTTTATTTTTAAATAAACGGTAAGATTTTGTAGTTGGTGGATATTTTTAGTGCTTATTTCAATTTAAAACGTTTAATAATCTTCTTTATTGTTCCAAATAAGTTCTTGACATCATCTGTAGATCTGTGTTTAAGCAAACTAAGTTTGTAATAAACAGTTTTTAATCTTATCTCCAATTAATACTTTACATGTTTTTTTAATCATTTATCGTGTCCTATATTTATAACAATCTTTTACACAAACCAAACAACATCGTTTGAATTTTTATACGTTTTTTTGAGTTTACATGAATAAGTTTTTATAAATATACCTCCTTAAATATTCACAAAAACAATTTATATTTAGAAATAAAAATTTAGATTTGGTGAAATGAACTTGAACTAGCTAAAAATAACAAATTATTTATAATAAATTTATTTAAAATAAATTTAATCCCGCCAAAAATGAACCAATCACAATCGAGTATTTTGACCAGTTAAAAATTTAATAATTTTATTAATTTTTTAATTATTATAATAATTAATATATTATTGTGCAATTACATACTTCTAATTAAATTTTTTTTTAATTTATTTTAGATCATTCTTAAACGATGGGTATTATATTATCATACGTAAGAGGTGGAAATAACGAACCCGACCCAATAACCGGGTTAACACCGCGAGAAAAATCTTTAGTTGCGTCTTCTTGGGGCTTAGTCAAAAAAGATATCTCAGAAAACGGAGCTGAATTATTTATAAGGTAATTTAAAAAGAAAAAAAAATTATGCAACCGATCTAACACCAAAATTAACTTAGTTGCCTATTAATACATTATTTATTAGATTTTTCACTCGCAAACCAGAGTATCAAAATTATTTCCCCTTTCGTGATGTCCCATTAGCTGATTTAAAGGATAATCCAAAATTAAGGGCACATTCTTTAAGTGTAATGTACGCGATTTCTTCAGTAATTGATTCGTTGGATGAGGGGCCAATTTTGGTTAATTTGTTACAAAAAACAGGAGATAATCACGGAAAAAGAAAAATTCCTTTGGAATCATTCGATGTAAGCCTTAAATAATAATTATTACTTTATTATTAATTTATTTAATTTCATTCTTTTATAATAGGAATTAAAAATAGTGATGTTGGAGCTTTTACAAGCAAAGCTCGGGAATAAATTATCGAAAGAAGGGCTCGATGCTTGGGATAAAACCTTAACGGTAGCTTTTAAAGTTGTTGTTGATGCTTTGAAAGAAGCTGCGAAGTGAGAAAAGTACCTAAAGAGCCTAAAGAGTAAAGAGATATAATCAAAAGACTAATTTTAACATAACCTCAAAAAATCATTTAATTAATTTTTAATTACTTATAACATTAAAAATAAAAAGATTTTTTTGTTTTTCATATATTTAATTTATTCGGTGTACTCTCAGTGTCACTTTCCGTGCTACAACTGCATCCTTCATCGTCAGAATTTAAACGATTATATCTTGAATTTGAGCCCGTCTCTTTACCCGATTTTTCCCCAAATCTTTTCCTTCCCTTTCTTGATTTCTTTTTCTTGTCATTTTTACAAAGTCTTCTAAAAATCGCTAAACAAACTAAGCCGATTATAACAATCAATAAAACGATGATAATCGTAAAAGAAATGGTGTCTATTGGAAGCCAATCGAAGTTTGGAAGGGTTGGTTTTTCATCGATAACATATTGAGGTCCATATCCACTTTTTCTTAAATCAAAAAAGTTATAAGTAAAGATTAATTTAATTAAATAATGTCTTTTACGGTGGTGATGTAGTTAAAAAGGCTTTAAACGGTGCATCCAAACTCCTTTCGATATCTTTCCCCAATTCGTGAAAAACCGTTCTTCCCAACCAATCGGATAAATCTTGTCGCCCCAATTGGCGAAGTCTTCGGCTTAAAACTTCGTGAGTTTCGCCTTTACCTTCACCCGGAGTTCCGTTCCAGTGTAACAAGAGTCTTATACAACTCATATCTTTTGCTAATCTTAATTCTTTAATAAAAAAGGGATGTTTTAACCAAAATTAAAATTATATTTCGAAATAACCTGCTTCTTCTATGTTATTGGGAAGATCATAGGAGTGGAAATGAAGGGCTGCTACTAATTTCCGACATTCTTTAGGGTCTAAATGATCGGCTAAATACTGTAGTTCAGGTAAGTTTACATCCACAGTCGCTCTCACAGTTCTTGGTGTCCAAGAAGATATCTTTTAAGTTGATCAAAAGCAGATTAAGAATTTGCAAAATTAATTCAGGAGGATTGTCAGAGTTCTTACCATAATGAGACAGATAGTTTTCAAATAATTGACAGCATTCATAATAAATACTGTTTCATTCATGGTTTTATGACCATTTATGACATTAATTTTAAATGTCATAATAATTTAAACGTCATAAAATGACAATTTAGAATTTTGTTGTGATATTTCTATGGAAACAAAATTAATTTATTGTATTTTGCGATACATTTTATTAATGTATTAACTAAAGATGTTGTTAAATAAAATATACGATTAAAAATAAACAATTTTATTTGTTAAATTTAATTTTATATAAATTTAATAGTTTTATATTTCGGTATCTTAATACTAGATGGCGCTTTATTTATTTAAAAACCGTTATAAATTATTAATAATAAATAATGTTATGATTTATTTATTCAGCTTCTTTATTACTAGAAGATAATAAATTCAGAAAATCTTCGCATAAAAAAAGGCTTGTTGATTAAATTTTAATGGAGCATTATTGTTTAAACATAACCTCTTTCTGTAATCTAAATGACATCCCAAATAATACAAAAGAAAAGCATTATATTTTTATAATTGAAAAAGAAATTCATTATTATGTACAATTCACATTACAAATTAGTAATCAACATCAATTAAACAAAAAATAAACAATACTGCCCCTTCACCATCTTCCACCACGATAATTCCCTCGGACATTCGGATTTGGGCCACGATTTGGGGCCACTTTTGAATTATTATTAGGATTATTCGGATTATTATGATTATTATTAGGGTTAAATGGAAACCTCCCTCCAAATTGATTTTGAAACTGCCCCAACCCAGAATTTATTGCTGAATTCGATGCTAATCCAGGATTAGGATTCATTCCAGGATTATAATTAACCTGGCCTTGATAAGACGGATATTGTTGATAATTTGTGTACGGATTTTTTAAAGGATACTGAACGTTTTGTTGAGACGCATTCGGAGTTGGATTTCTTGGTTGATTATAAATTTGATTTCTTGGTTGATTTGGAGTTTCCGGCCGAAAATTTAAGATCGGTTTTTGAAACGACGATTGTTGAAATTCACTTTGTGATGAAACTGGTTGATCTTGAGGGATTAAATTTTGAAGAATAATTTGACTTTGTAAATTAATTTTATTCGATTGCGATATATTCGTGCTTTCAGTCTCTTTCTTATTAATACTCCCCATAATATTAGCAATTAACGCTTTAGCATCGGACAAATCTAATTTGGGGGTTTCCTTTTTCGTTTTTTCCTCAGCCAATTTTCTTTCTTTTTCCTTTTCGAGCTCTTTTTCTTTAACATTCATCTTCGCCACTTGAAAAACATCATCGAAGCTGTATTCCTCTTCCGAGTCGATATCGATTTTCTCTAAATTTTTATTACTTTTCTCGTCCTTATCGTCTTTTTTATCGATTTTCTCTTCATTTCCATCCTTTTCTTCTTCAACGTCCTCATCGTCTTCTTCCACCATTGGATTTATACTTCCTAATCGGCTTGAAAATGGGCTCATCGGTCGTTTTGATTCACTTTTGTCGCTGTTTTGACCTAAATTAACGAACTGTCTTAATCGTTCGACTCTTTCGGGTTCTTTTGATTCCAATTTTTTTAAATAGGTTATTAATCCGTGTTGTTCCTCGGTTGATAAATCTTTAAAGTTTTGTAATAAAGTTTGTAAATCGGAATCTGATAAGCCATCCATTGATGAGGTTGTTTCGGGTTGTTGTTGCAACCCAGAAACTTGCGATTTTAATTCCGATGAGAATGGTTCCAATTTTTGGGGTTCTTTTTGTATCAAATCTTTCGGTTGTTTTAATGATTCGATGAAGGATGCTGTTGTCATTGGTTTCCCAGAAGCTTTCGAAGCTTCGGCCATCCCAACAACAGCGTTTATTAATTGCTCTAATTCTTCTTGGGTTACATCGGTTTTTCCTTGTGAAACTAACGCGGTTGCGATTTGTTTAGCAATCGCCGATTTATCAACAGTTCCAATTCCGGGGACTTTCACCGGATCAACTTTCGGAGGTTGATTTTTATTTTTTTCCCTTTTTCTTTCATTTGCAAAGTGGATTAAGGAGGCGATTTTTTTAATTGCATTTTTAAAGGGCTTTTCTTGTGCGTAATCTACTAGTCCAGCTAATAATTGTCCTTTTAATTTCTCTTTAACCGTCTCAAAAAGTACACAATTCACATCGTTATCAAGGAGGGTTTCAGAGGAATTCGCCTCGTTTTTTTCCATTCCTAAAGCTTGGGCTAACATGTCAATTACTTTTGGGCCTAAAGAACCAAGTTTTTCTTCTAGAGCTGTTAATAATCTTAATACGGCAACGATGTTGACTTCGCCGTTATCTAAATCTTCCTCGGGTTCGAGTTCATGCTGTTTTGGTGGGGTGTAAACCGGTTGTCGGGTTACATCTCGCATAATAGCCGGAGGTTTGTAACAATTTGGAATTGAATCGGGGTAATTTCGATAATTTCCCGTCTCTCTGTCCCAAGATAATTCTTTTTTGTATCGATAAACATCTCGATCTCGCGATTTTTCTCTACGATCCCTCCTATCATATCTGCGATCACTTTTGTAATCACCTTTTTTATAATCGTATTTCTCCCGGCTTCGACTTCGCTCATAAAAATCGCGGTCCCGACTTTTTTCTTTCTCCCAAGGGCTATGAGAGCGTTTTGAACTTTTTGTGTCATCATCTTTATCATCGATTATAATAACTTCGTGATCCTGATCTGGTTCGGAAGCCATCGGGGCGGGTTTTGGACTAGGTTTTGACGGCGGATCATCTTTAACCCCAATTTTTTTCTTCCCCGTTATTCGGAAACAAATCGGGGCGGGTTCATCGGGTAAACCAAGTCTACAAATTATTAAAATTAATTTAAATAAATTATTTTTAAGTTATTTACCGTCTCCGTAAAGCATCTTTTTTCGATTTTAAATCGCTTAAATGGAGTTCCGTCATTCTTTTATTCCAAAAAACTATCCATTCAGGTTTAAAATCGTAATTCGCCGCATCTTTCCCTTCGTTTTGTAACTCTTTATATCTAAAATTTAATAATTAAAAAAAAAAAATAACCTCAAAATTATTCGCGTCCCTACCCGTCTTTATTACCACCTTATAATAAAAAATAATTTTTTTTATTATAATTAAAATATATTAATTATATAAATTATATAATAATAATATAAATTATATAAATAAATCAGCTGATTTAATATAAACGTAACCTAACTTTTTTTTACCTTTTATTCCAAAATATTTTCCACTCCTCATTATATTGTGGATGTTTCTCGGGGTTTCTCTCATGATGTTTTAAAGTCTTCTCTAAATCATTTTCAATTGCAACGGCAAGTCTTTTAAACTCGTCTAATTTATCGGCTTTAGCCTTATTCCTTTCAATGGCAACTTCCGACTTCGATTTGATATAATCGGGTCTTTGCCACGGCAACATCCGTTCTTTTTCGCGATATTTCCTCGGAGAAGGTGATCTTTGATACCTCCCGCGCCTATAAGGGCTTCGATTCCTTGATCGAGGTGCTGGAGATGGTGATCTCGACCGATAATTACGGCTTTTCTTCTCATATGGTTCATAATCGCTTAAATCGCTGCTGGAGATGCTTGATACGGAGCTTAAAGAGCGGCGTTTTTCGCGATTTGCGGGTGATATGGTGTTTTTATTCTTTTTTAGGGAAGGTTTTTGAACGATTGGAGGCGATGGGCTACGCTTTTTAGGATCATTGGATTGTTTCCGATATGAAGATTGCTTTTTTGGTTCTTCTTGTGGTTTTTGAATCAACACTTGGGAGTCATCAACAACTTTGGTGATTTCATCTCGGACGATTAAATTTTCGAATGTAACTCCTTGTTTTTCGCTAAAATGGGGACCTTGAAATATTTGTTCCCAATAGATAGCTTTTCGCTCTTCAAATCCTTCCTTTTCAACTGGATGTGGTTTCAATCTTCCGTATCGTTGCTCAACGGCTTCGGCTATTTTATTTACAGTGTTTTGCCAATTTCGTTTGTATTGTTTTGTCATGTACGGCGAAAGTGCTTGGTAACACTTAATAAAATGTCTTTGTAAATATTGGCATATGTGGTTATAACTCACCAAGTGGGCTATAACCGTTCTCGGATCACCCCTTTTATCGCACAACATACACAAATATGTTGGTTCTTTATCTCGATCGTATTCTTGAATTTCCAACAAATATTCAAGCCCAATTAAAGGACTCACGTTGTAGTTATCTAAACGATCTTGAATTTGGGCGACTTTTTGGATGTCTCCTTCGAATCCAGGGGGTACAGGCTCTCCGGGGGCGATAAGTACTGGTGGTTGTTCGGCAACAACACCATGCCGGAGCCTTTTAGCACTATTTTGAGTGTTGCTGGTGTGCCTTTTACCAATTTCGTGGTGATAAACTCGCCCCATAACGGGGCATTCGCACATATTACAATACCAGTGCTCCGCCCCACAAACATACGATAATTCGAAAACATTTCCGTAGACTCCATTTGGTAAGATTGCTTTTAATGAGAGAACCCGTTCGTTTTCACTTGCCTAAAGAAAACAATAATTAATAAAAAGTTTCGATTAATTTTTTGAGGTTATGATTATGTTTTTTTTAAAGAAATAAAATCAGATTAAGATTTAAAGCTTCTCGGGTGAATTTATTATTGTTTTTATAACTTTTTCATCAAAAAAGAAACGTTAATGTTAGAAATTACATTTTTGGAATAAATTCCAGAGAAAAGAATATCTGGAAATACACAAGACATTCTTCCAAACATAAATCACTGATAAACTAAATCATCCTCGTTTATTTTTTTGTTCACTTCCATCACAAATGATTCACTTTTTTACAACAACCCAACAAATTCAAAAGGAATTAAAAGAAAAACTTAACAAAAAATAAAAACTACTTACCTATCATCGTATTATAATTTTTAAACTTCTCTAAGCATAATTTTTATTAATTACATTTACCGAAAAAAAAGTGAGTAAAACTCGATTAAAAATTCTTACCTTCTTGCTATAAGTTGGTACCGAAGTGGGCACTTCGTCTTCAGTGCCAGGAGCAGCTGGTTCCATCATTAACACTCCGTACTATGGTACACACACTGCACACTTAAAAACACTTAACTTTTTTAAGTTTCTGTAAGGAGAAAAACATAAATTTTAATCAGAACTTACCTAAATTATTTATTTATTAAAAAAATTGCAAAAAACCAGACAATTCTTGTGATACTCACTCTAATTATAACTTACCGTGCTTTGTGGCAATTCTTTCTCACATTTCACATTTATGGGGCACACCAATTCACCCCAAAGTGGGGTAAAAAACGACGCGTCAATGTGTATGTTAAATACTACACAACAATCTATTTTACAACTTCCTAAATCAATTGGGAACTCGAGTTTGATGCAAATTAACGAACTTACCTGAATTTGAGACCGCTTGAATAGTTTTTATTTAAGATTAATTGTATAAATTAAGCCCAAACATCACTATCGGCCATCTTATTTTCTGACATTGACATTTACTACCAACTTAATTTTATATTAATTTTATTATTTATTTAAATTATAAATTATATTCCATCGAAATTATATCGTTACATCGCAAAATCGCAGATTTTAAAGTATTGGGTAAAGGTGTTTTTAAATTTTCAACTAAAACTCTTTCCAAGTTAGGTTCAAAAGCTCTTGTTATACATGAAACTTTTGTATTTTCGAACATATTAACAAGACATTCTTTTCCTTAAACAAAAGCACAATTATTTTTACAATTATTAATTATAAACAAGATATTACCATTCAATTGAGTTAATAACCTCAAAAATTTTTCCCGCAAATTCCCTCGTATCACATCCAAATCTTCATTATTTTTTTTATCCTCAAATACTTCCATTTTATTTAAATTATAAACGTTTTTATTAAATTTCTATATTTTAATCACTTTGCTCAATCAAGCAAATTCTTAATAACATGTCAAAATTTGAGGTTATGTCATTAAATGTCAATAAAAAATTGTTATTTATTTATCTATTTAATAATGCCATTTAAAATAAATTAATTTATACAGAAATACTACATTTTGGCTGTAAACACTAAACTAAAGGAATATTTATATGTTAAATCCCATTTTTCGCATACAATCTTTATGAGCTTTGATTAAATCGGTGCAATTTTCTTGCCCATTCTCTATAATGCTACAAAAGAAAATGGTTTCAAACATTTTAAGCACACAAATTAAAATTTACCATTTATCCCTAGCTTGTTTAGTTTCCGGGCAAGCACAGCACGGTTTTAACTTTTTGGGTTCTTCTTGACCTTGCGGTATGGTACTCGCAGCCTCCACCTTCTCAGCTACATTACCCATCTTAATTATTTGCGATAAAATCCTTTTTAACTTAAATCCTCGTGATTCCCTACACAAAATTATTTTTAAATGTATTTACTGGGATATCTTTAGTTATGTCATTCACAGACTTAATCAATATGGAGATGGATCCATCAAAAACAATTTTTTTAATTTTAAAGCACAAATAATCAAATTTAATGCAGCTTATCCTTTTTAACTCAATAAAAATTTAATTTCTTGCGTTATAAACAATAAAATAAATATTTTTTAAAATAAAACCAAATGTTAAACATTTTCCATCTCTATTTAATTACAAAACGGCAAAAAGAACATAACCTATAAATTTGACAGCTTAAAAAATGTTTTCTCAAGATTTAGATACCAAGTCTAACTCAAAAGTTATAATAAAACTCTTTCAAAATGTTAAAAATGTGCCTGAAATTCGTCAAAAAATCATTTCATCATCATTAAAATGTTGCGTGATTAAACCAAGTTTAATAACGGATCCTTTACAAGTAATCGTAGCAGCGAATAAAGCTGTTTGTGCTCAAAAATTAAAAACTAAGTCAATATACAGTGAAATCCTTTTTAATTTATCAATATCAAAGAATATTACTCAAAGTTTACAAACTTTCGGAATCCATGATAAAGAAACCGACCTTTTAGTTGTAGTTATCACAAACGACATTGATAATTCAGAGGAAGTTTTTAAAGAAATCGATGGAGATGAAACTGATGTTATTAAATTACAAGATTTGTGTGATACAAAAGCACTTTGTAAAGCCTATAAAATAGGTGACGAGGAGTTTAAATGTGTCGATTTAATTGATTCAGTTGTAACACGAATAGCTGTTAAAGATTGTTTGTTATAATTTTATTGAATAAATTTTTCAAATTTTTTTTTATCTAAAACAACACCATATCGGGTATTTATTTTCCAATATTTTTTAGGAATTGAATAACGCATTAACCTAAAGTACATCCCATCTGTTACCGAAAATTTTAAATCAGATAAAGGAACAATATCTTGAGCATCAACAATTTCATCTTTCCGTTTACCCCAATAATCAATTGACGATACTTTTATTTGGTTAAAATCTTTGCTTACATAAAGAAATCCAATAAAATCTTTTGATAAATAACTTAAACTGTATAAAACTAAACATCCAGATATACCTAAAAATATAAATTTTTGAGATAAATGTAAAATTGGTTTTAATTAACTCACCTATGGCTGATGTTATATAAATAGCATCGCTTTGAATTAAATTGGCTTGATTTAAAATAATACTTCCCGGAATTCCTAAGACTGTTACAAATGTATGGTAAATTTTTAATTTGTTTAATGTGCTTAAAGCCGTTATGTGAGGAAATTTATATATCGTTGTGAAATCTTCATTTTCATTATTTCGCTTATTAGAAATTTCTGGTTGATTTGAATTTGATTCTTTAATTTTTAAAGATGATATATTGTTGAAATTGCTTACAATTCGGATATTTTTATCCAATTTTGTTAGTAATCGTAGCATTCTCCGCAATTTCTTCAAAATTTTTTATATATTGTAATTTTTTGTGAGGTTAAGTCAAGGTTTGAGGTTATGTCATATCATACTTATTTTTATTTGTGTTGAATTTAGGTTGGTAGTGCGTTAGTAAGTAGAAATGTCAATTTGAAGTGGAATAAAGTGGTTGTGTTTATGGTTTATTTTGAAAATTAATTGTTATTAATAAACGGATTTAATGGTATTTCTCTACAAAAAAACTTGGTCAGTTTATTAATTGTTATTAAAATTAAGAGCCTAATTGATGAGTTGAAAATTGAAAGGGTTTTGCGATTTAAATTGTAAAGATTGTACTAAAGTAGTAGGACAAATTTAGTTTACTGGTTATAGAGAAATTTGAATCATTTATGAATCAAATGCGGCGATATATAGGGATAATAATAAATAACTTATTTATTTTAATTCTTATTTAACCTAAATGAGGTTATGTTAGGTTCGGCTATTAAATCATAGATGTGCCTTTAACCGTCACTTTTGACATGAATTTTAAAATTTATTTTTGAAATTAAATTGATTGATTTTTTAATAATTAACCACAAATTTGATATAGAAAATCTTTTATTAGAAAATAAGTCCATTTTTTAGACTCTGTAGATATAAAAAAATATATATATTTATTCTTGTATAACTCGTAACGATCTCTCTTCCTTAATTAATTATAATACAAAAAGTACTAATTTAAGTTACAAAAATTCCTTTCTTACAAAATAATATGGCTTATTAAAGCATAATAAATTGATATTACTTAATGAAAAAGTGCTAACTCTTAAATCCGTAATCTTTAATTCTTACATAGTTTTTGTACAAAAAAAAACAATACTGTACAGAAATAGTTTGAATGCAAACTAATAAATAAGGCAATCAAATCAAATTTTGATAACTTAAGTAGATCAAAAAACCAGTTTTATATTTACAAAAATGGCACTTTTTTTAAATTCTAACCTTAAACATAACTTTCACTTTCGGCATCCGTAACTAATAAAAGTCTTGCGGTTGCGTATGTCGGGGGTGGTGGTGGTGGGGGTCTATAAATGGGTGGTAAATGAACTGGGGGCAATTGTCTTAAAGGTGGGGGTCTCCGTGGTGGAATCGGAGGCCCACACAAACTCTCGTTTGAAGCCCCGAAAGCTTCGTCCTCTTCCAACCATGTATTATCTAAGCTACGAACTCTCGCTGCTTGCCGCGTCCAATCAAATCGATGAAAAGTCACGTGATTATAATTTAAACTTGGGCTGTCTCGATCATCCTCGGATAAAGTCAACCCAGAATCACGACTCAAAGATTTTTGATCTTTACTCAGCTCGATACTATCCAAAGACATGCAATGAAGGCTATCGTTTTCTTCGGCCCCACTATCGTTGTTATTCGTGGTTGTTTCCCCACCCAGAAGGGTTGTAACTAATGGTCCAAACAAAATTTGGCACTGATTAATTAATAACTCGATTAAAGTTGGTAATGTACGCATTGGTGCGTTTTGATTCGGCTCCCACAACAAACTTGGTCCAACACAAACCCCCAAATTAGTCGCCGACATTAAATTATAACGCGCTTTCTTTGAGATGTGATGTAATAAGCAAATAATATGGGCTAAAAGGATGTGATTTTCCCTCGGTAAATGATTTAAAAGCCTCCTTAATCCTTCCATTCTTCCTGTGTTTGCTACATTAAGCCATTCTTGAGCATTTCCACTTAATAAAGGTTCTGGGAGGCTGCGTAAAAAATCTTTCAATAAAGCAGCTAATAATAAAGCTGGTGTGTTCGATAATTCCTCGTATATTGATGTGTTTCCATTTTGAGTATCAATTTTATCTCGTAATTCCCTTAAAGCCCTTGCGGAGGCGCATCTTCTAAATATTCCTTGAGTATGTAAACCCCTTTGGTATAAACACTTTAAAACGACGTTCAAAAACGGAGGTAAACCTCCATTCGTCGAACAAATCCTGTTTAAAGGAACCCCGAATATTCTTAAATTATTTTTTTTGAATAATTTTAACGGCGTTTTTCGAGTTGGTGGCTTACAATTCGGTTTTAATTCAAAAACGATATCGCATAAAATACGATTATTATTGCAATGCATCAAATCAAAACCTTCCTCCGCACAAATACTTTGCCGTAGCCTTGCTAATTGTATCGAATGGGGTCGCTCGATTCCGATTAACGGACAAGGGGCGTTATCTCGATCTCTCGCCCACAAAGTGTACCCCCAATTCGTTCGCGAATCATCCAAAGTCATTCGGGCGATTTCATTGGAATTCGTTTCAGGGCCTATTCCCAAAGTTTTCGACTAAAATCAAAAAATTATTAATTATTTTATTATGAAATTAACGAAGTTGAAACTAACGCATTCAGTTCCACTTAATGGATCTCGATACACCACTTTAATGTTGGTCATTTGCGGTTCTAATCGTAATTGAGCCGATAATGATTGTTGGAGTTGTCTCCACCATGAATCTCGGGCCGCTTGAGTACAAAATGTGATTAAAAATGTTCTCGCCGGAGTTGGCCAACCCAAAAGAAATCCAGTTTCTGATTCTTGATAAGGTGCTAACCACAATTCGGATACACGAACTCTATCCTAAAAAATTATAAAATAAAATAATTCATGATAGGGGTGAAGTTAGCTTTGATTAGTACCAAATTAATTTTTTTTAATTAAAATCTTACTTTTAATTTAAATGTTCCTCCATTTCGTGGTTTAGCAACTAAAAGTAAGTCGGAAAATAAAAATAAATGTCTTGGTTTAGCGGCCATTGGCATATGAGGTGAAGATAAAGCGCAAGGTGCTTCGACTAAAAATATTCGATTGCTTGGGGATGTTGAAAGTAGATTTTCGGATGATTGGAGGTCGACGAAAGATTTTTTTCGGAACGATTTCGTTTTCTAAAACCACAAATTATTATTATTATTTCAAAAAATTATTGTTAGAATAACTCACCATCGAACACGAATTAATTTCCGTCGTGTGTAAGGACAAATAATCTTGCGGAAATAATTCCTGTATCCTATCGAGGTCTTTTCTTCTCCCGTCCAAAGACGGTTGGGATCCACCGAGTAATTTCCCATAATCAGCAAGTTTTTCGGCCTAAAACAAAAATGTTTTATTTCATTAAAAAAAGTTTTTACTTTGCATATCTAGAACTGAGAGGTTTTATTGACCAATAACTTAAGAATTAACTGGATCCGGTTATCGTCGGGACATTTTATCAACGGAACAATAAAAAAGAAATATGCTGCGTGAATTTTTTCTTTTTGAAGGCGTCGATTATTCTAAGAGATAATTGCCCACACGGTATAATAATAATTGTAGTAATCAGTGGACGAAACTCGTTTTTAAACGAAGAATCGAATAAAAGGATTACAAAACGAGTCCCATTTTCTTAATCTTTATTTTTCTGTTATTGTTTTGATTTTAACTGGCTTTAAATAATTTGAGGTTAGGATTCTTTGTGTGTTATTGTGACTTATAGTTGTTGAGGGTACGTTCGAAAAAAACGATTATAAATGAATACACGTTCGAAAATTAAATTAATTTATTTATTTTTTATTTATTTATTTTTCTTTTTATAGAGGAGAAATTGAACGTAATTCTTTGAAACGATTATTTGCCAGCCTTAGGCTAAAATAAAGCAACTTTCACTGGCAACAAGGCACACCTTGTTTCTTCTACTTACTCTTGTCTTTCTCTTTCGTCTCAATAAATTAAAAATGTAATAATAATAATAATAAAAACAGAAATTTATTCAAATTTCTTTTAAACAGTTTTTTTTGGGTCTATCTTTGATAAAAACAGGTGCAGAACATGTGTTATATTAAAGGGGGAAAACCCCAGATGTCTCTAGGGGATCAAATTTCAAAAATAAAAAGCATTTAAAATTAAATAATTTCGATTAATATAAACAATCTTGATTAATTTAAATAAATTAATTTAGTAATTTTTTTATTGACACATTTTATTACACGTTGGTAATTTTTATTTTTTAAAGTTGTCATAAATTAAGATTTAAAATGAATTACCTTCAAAATCCATTTCGATAAAATATCTTTAATACTTTTGTTATTATCTTCGTCGGAAAGGCAAGCATCTAAACTTCTGGTACTTCCATAATTTCGTTTATTTAATCGTACACGACAATTTTTTCCAATACACTCCACGATACACATTTTACTTTATTGACATAACCAAAAAAAACTTTTTTTTTAGTTCTTGCTCATCAGGTAATAAACTGAGTGCTACTGACCGGGCGCTAGTTTTTCGGGAGCAGTTATAGGGATTTAGGAGTAATCTTGGAGTCCCCCACCATCAGGTAAAGTTTTTCGGGAGCGTTCCCGGAAGCGAAGTATCGAAACACGATGTTTTTATCAAAGCGAAAACCGATAATAAACAGGTCCATAAAATCGGGACCGAAATAAGAAAATTAACTTATTCCCCGTAATTTAAAATTTGTTTTGACGAGACGCGCGCACAATTTTGAGAACATGGGGAAGTCCTCGATGAAAAATATTTAGAAAAAGATTAACTATTTCCGGATGTTGGACTCCAGACAACGTTTTCAATTGAAAGATACCTTTTACATTGTTTTTTTGGGGTTTGGGTTAAGTAAAACGGCGACGAGAACGCTTTGAAAAGAGTCTCGAACACTTCCTGATGCGATTTTTTTCTCTTTACCTGAAGAAATCTTTCCTCGAGATATGAAAAGGAGGAAATGTACGAGATTACTTTTTATCTTAATCGTTTTAAAATCTTTTTTTGATATATATGTGATAATTTAAAAATTATTTTTGAGGTTGTCAAAGAATGACGGTTATTTATTTTTTTTTAAGTTGTCAATCACATCATAACCTAACTTTTTTCTTTTCAATTTAAATTGGTTTTTAATGAATAAAATAACAAGCATTTGAGTTAATTATAATTATTTTAAATTAAAAATTTGTAAGAAAAATATGCTTATTTATTAGACTATTTTTATGCTAATTTAAATTTACAAAACAGATTCTTTTGAGTCTCCTAATCTCGTCGTTGAAATGTTTTTCGATGGGGACCCTCGGGTTTTGTGGCCTACGTGACCGAACCCAGGTTTTATTGGCTTTTGGCCGATGCACTCCAGGACATTATGATGCGCGAGAGATGCAGGAGAAAAGGGAGACGAAGAGATATCTCTCAAGACGAGACACGAGTAAGATTCGTTTTAGATGAAAACTTTCTCTTCCAAGTTTCAACGATGACACAATAAAATTGTGTTAGAAAAGGCTTGTTTTTACAATTAAATCCGCCTTCCTGCTTTGAAATTGAACGTTTTCGTTTTGGTTTTATTGGATTTAAAACGTTTTGAGTCCTGCGCCTCTCCGTTGCAGGAATGTAGCGATCCGTTAGGCTGCTGCCTTGCTACAGGTTACACTTCACGCCGAAAAATATTGCGTTTCACAACCCAGCCCAGGCTCTCCGCGCAATCCGTCTGATTTATTGGGTTCTCGCTCCGAGGTTAACACCTCGACTTCTCTTATTCCCCCATTTAACATTTCTTTCTTTCGAAGAAAGAAGCGATTCCTCAACAAAAAGAATTAAATTCGAATCTTTTTAACTAACATTTCTAAACTTCTTGGAAAGTTAAAACAGAAAAGTGAACAATAAGAAACGTGATCTTGTAAATTTACTTTACGATATTTCCGGGCACGTTTCGTCCTAAAATAATACGCCCAATTCTTAGAAAATAACTTAAATGGTGAAGAATTTTTTGAGGTTAAATTGACGTTTATCAGAATAAAACCTGAAATTTTTATGAAATTTAAATTTTAGAACGTATCCTAACAAAATAAACGCCACAAATGAAATGTAAAAAGTTTTAACCTATAAATACGTTTTAATTAATTTATTAATTTTTTAACGTAAAAATCAAAAATTCATTGAATAAATCCGGGAGAAAGAGAAAGAACCGGTGTGTTCACAACTCGACAATAGACCGCAATAAAGATGTTACCTTGTAATGGATAAATCGTGAGTCACGAAGCCATCCGCAGGTGTCCCAGAGAAGGTCGTTCTATCCCCATAGACACACACACACACACACACGGTAAATATACGTCTAAGTAACAATTTCAATGAAAAAATGAACGTTGTAAATCAATCCCAAAAATTTTCAGGTTTAAAATCATTATAAAAGGAGCAATAAAATCGTTAAAAGATGTCCAGGTCATTTCCGAGACAAGTTATGATGCATCACCTGACAAATTTTTGGCGTGTAATTTTATTTTAAGAAAAAACATTGTTTTAACAGCGGGTGGTGACCTTTTCTTGGATTTATTTTTACTTATTCGAGTTCCCATAAGATTTATTTTAAGCCTCGTTACAAAGGGAAAAGAATAATTACGGAAACCCCCATTTCAAATTGCGTGCTCTAGAATAATAACGATAATTGGTGGAAAATTATTTCATTTACAAACGAAGCTAAGCGTTTCCAGGATTTAAACGCGAGCTAAAACGGATGCGAATTAAAATAAAAACAGGAAATGGAGAAATTACAAAAAAAGGGAACTAAAAGGAAGATTTTTAATTTTTTTCGATTAAAAAAATATAAAAAGAATTTTTACCTGAACCGTTCGAAGGCTTTAATAACAGCTCCGTGGTTCTTGGAAAAGAGATACGCGTGCCATTTGTATGACACACGCTCAGGAGCTTTGTTAAGAAAAAAAAATTTTAATTCAATACTGAAAAAAGTTAGGTTATAAAAAATTATTTTTTTTACGTGTTGTAATAATGAAGCGTCAAAATTGCTTGACAGCAACAAACTATTATACCCTTCTTTTTCTATCTACTTTACAAGCGGAATATTAAATACACCACGAGAAACCCTGATTTTTCCTTCATCTAAAACCGGGTTTTGTCCTGTCGATATCTTGATATTCACAGCGAAAAAAATAGAGAATGTCGCCGTGTTTCGAATACACCTCAAAATTATCAAACTTCAAGTCCGTGTACAGCCGTTATGGAATTGAATTAAAAAAAAAACTTTATCAATTTGGAAAGAACACACCTTGGGCTATCTAAACCCGGGTTTTGTCCGGTCAATATCTATCGACGTCAACCATAAAACACGCCGAATAAACAACTACATAAAATCTGTAACTAATAATATTCCACTATCTCTAAAGACGAGGAAGATATCAGCTTGTAAAGTAGATAGAAAAACAAGAGTAATAGTTTGTTGATGTAGTCGCACGGGTAAAATTGCTAAACAATTTTAGTTAAGAAAGTTATTAGAATCGTTTATGTTTAGTGAAAATGTAAATAAGAAGATTTTATTACAACCCGGACCCCATTTCAATTGTAGATTAATAGGCGACGTCCGCGAAGAAATTGCACCGTTCCGTTAAGCCATTGTACGCAAAACGTAGTCGTTTATTCGCTTTATTCCGCGTAATTCTTTTTCTTTCATAAAAAATTTTTGAATTTATCGCGAGAAAAAGAAGAAAGTAAATGGAAAATGTGTCAACAACAACGACTACTACTACCAGGTATGTCCCTCTTTTCTTTTATGCGAGGAGAAAATTTTACCATAAACTAGAAAATTCTAAGAGACGCGAAATATAAAGCATACAGATTCGTTTTATTCACTTTAACTTTTTCTTTTTTGCGTGTTTCGTTTTTGAAACGAAGCAGAGGCGCCGGACGGTCGTCGTAGTCTTCTTCAATTTGAATTTGAAATTTCCCCGTCTCTGTATGGTACCTATTAGGTAAGTAAGTTATATACGAGTTTGCGATGCGGGTTTCTCGTTTTCTTCTCAATCGCAATGACGGTTTTAAAAAAACATTAAAGTCAATAAATCAACTTAACCTCACTTTTAAAAATGTAACCTCACTTTTTTTTAAACGTCAATTTTGATTTTATTAAAATATTATTTTTTTATCGTTTCGTTTCGCAATGAAACAATGGGTTAAAAAGGTCGACTCGGTTGGTTGTTTATACTTATATTGTTAGGTTATCCAACGAACCTTACTTCCTCTCATTCTATTAAAAATTACTAACTCAAACCGAGTTCATTCACTTACCTCTTTGAGTCCGTCCAATCTCCCTAAACTCCTCGCTTGGCGTAAACCCTCGCTTCCTCTTCGACCTCGTTTCTTTCTTTCCAACAATCTCGGTTTTCGGGGCGTTATCGGTTCGCTATCTTCTGGATCAGAGTGCACTTCCGGGCAATGATATGTATATCGTCTTCGACCACTCGAAGGACTCGTTATTTTATTTATTATATTATCAAACATATTTCTTTTCAATCAAAACATTTCGATAACTCCGTTTGGTTTCGCAAATCTGGAAAAGACAATAAAATCAAATTAAATCTAGTACAAGTTATCTCTAAATTGGTTTTCTTCTGTGTAAAATTCAATTAAATGAAAATAAATAAGCGCCGGCACATCGCGTGCGTTAAAAATTGCCACTCGAATAATAACTACAAGGATTTTCTGGAGGATTGATTTCGTGAAATTCTGAATGAATTGTGTTATTTTATAAATGAGAATGAACATCAACTGCGATTTGATCGTCCTTGATTAGTTATTTAGAGTTTCTGTTTAATTTAGCGTGTTTACGTTTAAAACTTTCGCGTGGTAAAAACATCTCTCAATCTAATAAGAAAAATAAAAATAGTGTAAGTGAACGTTGTTGTTGAGATGAGATGGGAAGGAAAATAAAATGTTGTAGGATGGTCGAAAGCAATTTATATTCATATTTGAAACGGCGTCGATACTATGGCAGGTTTTACACACAATGCGACGTGTGCCCCGGGATTTTTCGAGTTATCAATTATGGCCCCATTGAAGGCAAATCGCGCGAGAGCGTCGTAACAAACAACATTTTGTATATCTCACGTACAAATTGTGCTATGTATATGCGATTGTTTACCATAAACTTTCTTATTTTTACATAATTTTAATTTTAATAAAAAAATTTGTTGACTAAACGTCATATTGACGTTTTAATTTTTTCAAGGTCACTGTTAATCGTGACGTTGCAGTTCCCTTTAGGTTACCATAGCAACGAATCAACAAGTAAAATTTTTTCAGTCGCCATTTTTTTGCGATTAAATTCAGTTCGATTTTGCGCGATTCAGAATGTTTCGTGGTAAATAATTAAGAAAATGTTAATTGTTACATTTAAAATTCATTCTATTACGGAGATTTATAACATAAATAATGGAGATATATTTTAACGGTGAAAGTAAGTAATTTGAATCAATTTTGTGTTGCGAATTTATTTTTAGCGTGTAATTTTCGAAGAAATCTTTCATTATGCGTTGTAAAAGATGTATGATATAAAGCTCGAGGGATTTTAAAATCTATTTGATTTACGCTTTCAACATGATACGGTGTCTCCTAAAAAATCGAAACCAAGCATTATTCTAAGTATGGAAATCACTTCGACAGCATAATTAACTTCTTTGTAGAGGAAAATAAATAAAAATGTACAGCCAAAAATACGAATCCTTGGATATTGTGTAACAACCTAAGTGCTTTAGGAACGCCACTTCAGATACAGGGATCTTAATCCAATCAGACGTTGTGATATTCTCAATCTTTAAGAAAAATCCTTTAAAATGAATACAAGCACGACCTACTTAGTTACTTTATCTTAGATATTTCGATTTTTAGTTTTAAATAAATCCAAGATGGCCGAAAATTAAAAATTGTTAATATTCGGGTTCAAAATTAAAAAAGGGTTGAAATGAGTATAAACTCGACGTATCTAAGGGTTATAGTACCCGAGATATCTTTTTTTTTATAAATTCAAGATAGCGGAAAACAAAACGCTAATTAAGAGTGACATTTATATCTTTAAAAGTAAATTTATTGATGGATATGGGGTGTAATACATCAAATTTGGTTAAAATTTCCCGATTTTTACAAAAACCTTATTATTTTGATGATTTTTTTGAAAATTTCATTGAAGTGGAATTAAATTTTCTGATTCATTCATTTCCAAACAAGAAAACCCCTAAAATATTTTTCGTAACCAACTCCATTGTGTATTGAGTTAATTTTTTTCCTTAGCCTCATTCTTTTCCTTTTTTTTCAATAGACTGTGCTGAGTAACGCAACAACAACGACGTTTGTATTGTTGTGAAACTTTCACGTAATACAATTGTTGTTGTTAGCTAATTTTCAAACATTTTAACTAATGATTACGAACATAAATTTTTATTTATCATTTTTTTAAATCAATTTTTTTTTATTTTCTTTCTCTCTCTACATCTGTGTGTGTGTGTGTGTGAGTGAGTGAGTGAGTGAGTGTGTGTGTGTGGATGGCGTTGAGCAGCGGACGAAGGCCTCTCCGTAAAGATATGACACGCAACGTATGCAGCATTCCTTTTGAGGTAGCGAAGCGAAACAGGGCCGTATTTTGAATTTGTGACACGCCCTTTTCAAATTCCAAACGAACTAATCATTTAAGGGGTTTTGAACAAAGAGAAATCTCAAAAATTGGTTTTAAAAACTGAATTCCCCGATTTATTTCGCTGTTTTAGGAGTTATTTGAAAAGAATTTTTTTTTAAGTACGTCCCTGTTTTTGGCTCTCAAATTGCTTGAGTACGGTCTGAGCATACTTCGTTGCAAGAACAAGTCCACGTTTTCAAGCCTTCGGCGTCTTTATATCTATCTCTCCTTTTCTCGCCATTCTTCTTTTCATGAATCAAAAAAATTTTTTTTTAACAAAAAAAATTGATTTTGTAAAAGGAAGTGCGTTTTAAATCGTTGAATCAATTAGATCTGTAAATTGAAGGCAAATGAATGGGGTTCTGTTCGAACACGGGGCTCCTTCGGGGCCGAGCTTATCTGATTAATTGGTAGCAGCAGAAGAACGAGCCGACAATCAAGAAAAGAAGAAATAGATGAGGTTGGAAAGAACCGGCGGAAAGGATATCGTGGATGGGAATGAGAAAAGAGATACGGGGGAGGAGGAGGAGGAGAAGAAGACGATAAAGTAGAAGACGAAGAAGAAGAAGAGCTGATTTTCTCTTCTCGCGCGAGAGAAAAATCGCAACTAGTTTCGCGCGAACCAGTCGACATCCGTTCAAGAAGACTTCTTTATAGAGAAACATAATTCAAAAAAAAAAAATTTAAAAATTCGAATTGTCAAAGTGACAGTTACGATTTAGTAACTTTTTTATTTTCATAGTTACAAACTTGACGTTTAAATTTTTGACTTTTACATGTTTGTTTTGTCTTTCTACATTTCACATAACCTAATCAAAATAAACTTTTCGAAAGAAAAAGATAATAAAGAATATAAAAAGAAAACAATTTCCTGGTTTAAGAACCCACGAACAAAAAGCTCTTACATTAACTACTTTGGTGGTGGAGCCGCCGCAACCGAAGCCGTTAAGTAATAAATAACTTTTCAGCGGACATAGTTCCAGTTGGTAACAAAAATAAATTTAATTTGTTAATTTTTAAACGTTAATTGTGGAGAAAACGATTTGCACGTTCGATTGAACGTGAAAGGAGCGCTAAAAACGACTTCTTCTTCGTCGTCGTCGTCTCAGATTGGTTCTGTATGTTTGAAAGAAAACGAAAATTGTCCACGCTTTCTAATCATCGAGAAGCGAACGCAAGATTAATAAACGGAGATAAATTTAAGAAGAAAAATTTATTAAATAAGTTGTTTCATGGTCACACATCAATTTGCCAGAGAAAAATTTGGGTCAAAACGAAATAAAATTATTAATTGAATAAATAACCTCAAAACAAATTAATTTGGGTTTTACGTCAAATTTAAAAGTGACAACCCTAGTAAGTAACCATGGTAACCCCTCAATAACATTAGATTTAACTTTTAATTTATTAATGTTTTTAGCGGCGTTTTCCTCGCGCGCAAAGAGAACGTTTCAAGATCAAAACTACCGTTAACTCCGGTTGACTTCGCTCTCCATCCGAAGGAATGCGATCTAGTATTTACCAAATTATTTTTGTGTACTCAAATCTGATTGATTCATTTTTAGGTTATATTAAAAGAATATAAATAAATATAACTGGATGTAAATGAAGATAAATGAAGGTAAACGAACGAAAACGATTCATAACTCAAAAATTTGCAATATAACCCCGTCAAAAGAGACGTTTCGAATACTAAATAGGATTTATCGTGCTATTGTTACCAATTTTCCAAACCCACACGCGTTAATCGTATAAAGGGATGATAAAAATGTGCTCACCTCAAATAAAGGAGAAAGAAAAATCCGTCGGGTACAAAAAAATATTTTCCTTTTTAGTTCTTTTTAATCAATCGGTTCCGATATCTAATTAAACGAGAACATGTAGGCAACCATCAGATTAAATTCTTAAAAATTGGCACTAAAAATCTAAATCGAAACGATTTCGCACTAATTGCACTTGCATTTATATTTTTTAAGCGAATTTGGGATGTTTTATCGCCGGAAACGGTTAAAATCGAATAATTTCGACGAGTTGAAGCGATTTAACGCGATCCGGTATGCTTTCTACGACAAACTGCTTTAAAAGACTTCAACAGGTTGTGTAGTGGTTTTACGAAGCGCGCTCGGCTCTTTTCGGTTCGCTTCGATTTCTTCATTACTTATTAATCTTATTTAAATTAATAAATTAAGATTTAAACGAAATTTCCAAAGAATTAAATATTGAAGTAACAGCAATTGAGACACCAATTTTTATTGAACTAAAACTAGAACTAACACTAGACCTAGAAATATTCTTTAGACGCACGGCTAAACCCGATACTTTCTAGGTCTAGTGTAAGTTTTAGTTTTACACTGACGACGCACGGCTAAACTAGCACGTTAGTTAAACTAACGCACATTAGTTCTAGTTTTACACTATCATTAGAACTAACACAAGTTTCTAGTTCTCGGTCTAGTGTTAGTTCTAGTTTGACACTAGCACTGTTACTAAACCTAACATACGACCTACAACTAGAATCATTCGGGTTTAGCCGTCTTGAAAAACGAACGGCTAAATCCAAATGTTTCTAGATCTAGGCTTAGTGTTAGTTTTAATTGTTATTCAGCTTTAGATTGTGTATTTTTATTGAACGAAAAGTAGAACTAATAACACTAAATAGAATTAGAACTAAATCATTCCATATCACAGAATCAAGACAACCCAAAATTATGTGTACTACTGGGGCCCAAAATTATATAATATCCAAAAAAAAGTAAGGTTAAAAAAATGACGTTTATTATTTTTTAGAGGTTAAATTGACGTTTGACGTTTATTTTTTTTTTTTTAACTAAATAGAAATAATATTAAATAACTTAAACCCAAAATTCTAAATTTATTTAATTTTTAATGAGTAAGAAATTGTTGGAGTTTCTTCCCGGTTTCCCTCTCGCGAATCTGTTGTCTAATTTTCGCCAAATCTAATTCGTCCAAATCGATAATTTCGATTACATTAGCTCTATAAAATCGTTTCGGTGCGATTTTCATCGAAGCACTAATTATACTACGACTTGATTTGGTATTGTATTGGTTCCAAAATTGCAATTCCCTCTCTAAAACCATCGATAAATGATGCGAACTATCACTCGGAGCCACATCTTGTTTTTGCAAAACGTTCTTTTTGATCACCGAAGATTTCGGCGGCGGAAGAGGCACTTTCCACTTTTCACAACACGCGGGGCACGTAGTTTGTTTCAACGAATATTGTTTCCCTTTTTTTCCATATTTTATCTCTTCCTTCGGTGGAATAAATTGGAAATTCGACAATTCTTCTTGGATATTTTCCTGATCTTGCTGAATGGGAAAAATAATTTGTTGTAGATTCTTTAGGTCTTTTTGTATCGCGTTATTCGCCTTCTTCCTGGATAAAAATAAAGAAATTAAACAATAATATATTCAACGACGCAAAGTTTTTTGAACGTGAGACGCGAGTTTAAAACACTTTTTAATATTCAAAAAGCGAACGCGACGTTGTACACATTTTCGTACGAGTGTTGAAGTTGTAATCAATGTTTTATTCTGGAATGTAAAAAATAATTTTTTTTATTTTGAGGTTATAAATCCAAAAGTCAAATTGACGTTTCAAAGTCACATTAGATACTTATTAAATTGTTTTATGGAACTTAATTTGACTTCATTAACCTCAAAATTAAACGTTAAAATTAATTACGTGATATAAGCGGCAACCTCATCCAAATTCATTTTATTAATATTCCCGGGATTTTTATATTTGCGACGTTTCTCATTAATCTTATTATTTTCATCATCGATTGATTCCATCGACTCGGTTCTTCCCGTAATCGAGGATCTTCCAGCACTCGACTGGGGCCTGCTTAAAAGATTGCTCGTTGTCCCAAATGATGAAGATTGCTTCTGGGTTTCATCTAATCTCTCCGAAAAAATCTCTTTTTCATTTCCATCGATCGTTTCGGTGCGTTTAGGGCACTCCAACGGGTTATAATAGAGTTGAAAAAAATTATTTCCCCCTTTTTCCCAGCAACAATTAATGGGGAGCTTAAAAATGTTCCTTCTAATTTGATTAACGAGGCTTTCTACGTAACCAGTTGCGGTTTTTATTTTAATTTCGATTGGGATGCACTTGAAAGGGGGGGTCATTTGGAAGGATTCGCAACAAGATACAACATTGAACCCATTTAAGCTGTTAATAAAGTCTTGCATATCAGGGTGACAAATCAGGTGTTTTAAATAATCGTTGTTATGGGCTTTAGCGATTAATTCTTTTAATTTATCACTATTTGAGTTATCCAGAGCCATCATCACACTTTTAATTAATTGATTTAATTTGTCATTAATTATTAATCGAGCCGCCAAGCGTCCATCTCTTATTACATCGTTAGATTTCCCTCGATTAACAGCTAAAACAAAATTAATTAATTAATATTAATTAATGCTATTTTTATTACTTAAAACATGAATAGGAAGCATCTTAATCATCTTATCCTCGACATATTTCTTTTTTGATCGCTCCACGAGGCGTTCTAAAGGGCTTTGATCCCTTTGGAGTATTTTCCCGGGTTTTTCATTCTTTGACGGGGCCGATAAAGTCTCCGTTGAATGTGCTCTCAACAAAAGTAGGCACAAAATCTTGTCAATATCCACTTCGTCGTCGGAAAAAACCATTCCGTGAATATCCTTAAAAAAATTAATTAAAATGTTTGATTAAGCCCCGCAAACATCGTACGTTGTATCCCAAAGCGGTGTTTTTGATTGAACTTTGAGTGCTTCGGCACTCTCCGTTTCTGCGATAACAGAACCCGGGGGTGTGAGTTTCGTACATTACAACGTCCGAGGGGTCATCATTGCTGCTTTTTTCGGTCCCCCCGAACGAATCTAATTTGTTGTAGCGATTTTTGAAGCGTTGTTTCGCGTTGTTTAGGAGCCTGATGTCGGTTCTTTCTTCTTTGTTGATTCGGTGAAGTTCCGAAACCAATTTAGATTTGTCTACTAAATTTTTTTTGTTGGCTAAAGCCATGCTATCCACCGGACACATTTTTTTTTACCTTTTATTCTTCTTAAATCATAAAAAAACCTTATTTAAAAATCAAATAATTTAGATTTAGATTTACTTGTCATTTTATTTTTTGACGTTTAAACGTCAAATAAAGTACTTAATAGGAGTAATTTCTTATTAATCTAATTTTTCTAATTTTATTCTATTTTTCCATTTCAAATTTATTTTTGAATTTAATTAAAATTAAATTAATTAAAATAAATCTCATCATAATTAATATTTTTTATTATCAAGTAATTATTTTTTTAAGAAGCTAATTTGACTTCCTTTTTATTTTTGAGATTATAAACGTCAAAATATTGTACATTTTTTTTGACATTTAACATAACCTAAAACTGCAAGAAAAAAATTAAAAGAAACAGGTGCACAGTTTAAACAATGCAATTTTAAACGAGTCATTGGGTCAAATTCCAATCTCCGAGTTGATTTTTCTTCGTTTTATTCCATCGTGCATGTGCAAAAACGAAGGTCATAACGGCACGTTACTTAATAATACACGGGGACATAACACAAAACGTTGTTGCAAAACAATCAAGAATGTGGCTGAATTGTGCTTGCTCAATCAATTCATTTAACTTTTTACTTTAAAAAGTAACGACAAAGATTGCATTCATTGCCCCCCCATTTCGGGTTTCTTTATTTGGTGAGAAACAAGAGGCTCATTCATAACATAAATATTTCGGCTTTAGTAATGTAGACGTAAATATTTACGAATACCCAAGAAAAAATTTAGAGGCGATAAACGATTGTAATTAAAAACCTTTTTTAAGATAAATCACAAAAACAATTGTTATCAAATAACGGTTTTCGAATATCACCACGATAAGTAATAACGAGTTTTAAATCATTTTCTTTGTTTAAGACGACTCCAAAGGAATTTTCCTCCTTAATTTATTACTATCTACAAATTTAAATTAACAAAAAAAAATAAGTTGGCAACACAATTTATTGACAACCAAATCATAACATAACCTCAATTATTACAATTATTTTTTAAATTAATCACTCATCAAAACTTAAAATATATTTCTTCCCAACCATCCCTTTCGGATTAAGTGTATTTTTAAGCGCCTCCATATAATTAGCGAACGAAACCATCTCATAACTAGGCCCCTTTAATTTCCCCTCTTGCATCAAAGTCAAAATCTCCTCGAACATTTCATAGCGTTGCTCTGAATCAAAATTTTGATTCGACCATCTCGTCATCCAGAAACCACGGACGTTTACATCTTTAAAAATGAGTGCCGAAATAGCCACAGTGACCGGCTCTCTAGCCATCCCTCCGTAAGTAACAATCGTGCCCCCATTACACAATTGACGCATTAATTCAGTCGCTGATTTACCCCCAACACAATTTAACGCTAATTTCGGTTTTTGAATCGTTTTGTTTTTGAATATTTCAGTTTTACGGAGTTCTTCCTCGGTTAAAACGTAATTAGCACCGAGGGCTTTAAGATAACTTTGGAGTTCTGTTAAATTAGGGCGATCACGGATTATATTAACGCTTTGTAAGCCCCACGCTTTGCATAGTTGGATTACATATTGCCCGCAAGCGGAGTTAGCCCCATTTTGAATTACAACGTCTCCTTCTTGTAATTCAACAAAATCTTTCAGCATTCGATAAGCTGTCGCTGGATTGACTGTAAAGGTGGCAGCCTCGACTAATCCCACATCTTTCGGGATTTTAAATAATTCATTTTGGGATAAAATAGCGTAAGTTCTCCATGTTCCTAACGAATTTTTTAATGGGACGACTCTATCACCCTTTTCGAAATCTTTCACTTCTTCCCCAACACTAACAACTTCACCTACACCTTCGTTACCTCCAACGGCTGGTAAATTCGGTTTCGTTGGGTACGTTCCTTGGATTGTATTGATATCGGCGGGGTTTACGGGAGCTGCGAGCATTTTTACTATTACTTCATGTGGTTTTAATTGTTCTAAATTTTCTTTTTCTTGTTTTACCACCTTTTCTGGCTCTCCATACTCAGAAAATACTAATTTTGTCGCTTGAATGCTTTGATAGCGAATTTTGAGGTTATGCATCACTTTCGGTGCGTCTTTTACCTGGTTTATTAGGTGTCGCGCTATTATTGATCTCATAATATGATTTGCCATTGATTCTATGCGAATTATTTTCTATTACAGGTAGAAATTTGCGAATAAATTATTTTTTATTCTTCATGACAGTGACAAGGTTAAAGTTCTCATTTGTTTGGGTTTACTTGATGTAGTTGTCATTTAATTGCGTTGATTTGAAAATTATTAAATTAATTCTATAGGCTTTTTTTAAGTTTTTATTAATATTTTTCTTTTTAAATAATATTTGTGGGGTTAAGATAGAGGTTATTCTTCTGTTTCCAGGTTGGGTGTTGGAGTTCGAAAAGATAGAGGTTATGGTGTTTTCGAATTTATTATGAAAAAAGTTTGATACGTTTGATCATAGATGGCGCTACATAATCTTGAATCAACAATCTAATTATTCAAAAAGTTAATAATTATATCTATTTTAATCGCATTTTCTACTTTTATCTTACTTAATTCACGTTATTTTTAAACAAGCAAATAATATAAATATTAATTTAATTTAAGGGAAATTAATTAAATAATTCGCCGTTAGATGGCGCTTTTTATTTAAACTTTTCTATTTTTATTAATTTCATAATTCCTCAATACATTTATTTAAATTAATGACGCAAATAGCCAAGGCAAACACCTAAATTGTTTATCTTTTTTATTGCGGGACTTTTTCGGGCACTTTACATAAATTACCATAAACAAATAATTCCTAACCCCAAAAAATAATGCTTAAATCAAGGCTAAGTATCAACAAAAAACCCGTTTTTTATTGCAAAATCTCGGTCGTTTTGGGTATAAATAAAACCCGGCATGGATCCAAACAAATTTCATTTAAGTTTCGTTATTTTAAAGTGAAGAGATGAAGAGGTTAAGTTTGATAGTATTTGTGGTTCTTGTTGGTGTGGTTACTTGTGAAGAAACTGGTGAGTTTTAACTTTAATTTATTAATTCCTCTTTAAAGCATCTTCTTTTTTAGTGAGAGTAAACAGGGAGGCTCAATTTGGATATGGGGGTTATGGGCACGGATATGATCATGGACACGGAGGGCATCATCATGGAGGACATGGTTATCCCCACGGAGGTGGATTCCACCACGGACACGATTATCATCATCACCACCACCATGGGGGGCACCACTTTTAAATAAATCACTTATTATCAATCAAAAAATATTTATTTCAAATCAATTTTAAATCCGATCCGATTTATTTCCGAACAAAGCATAACATCTCTTAATAGTTTCTTGAATTGAAGCCAAAACTCGACACGGTCTTAAATCCTCCGAGCTTTGAGCTTTCGATTGAAAAAGAGGAAGGCACTTTTTCGCTGTGACCAAATCGCCGTGTAACAACGCAGCTAAAGTATCCTCGTTTATGTCAAAACCTTTTGTACGTACTTGCAAATTATTAAATTGGGGCCAATTTTGCTCGCAAGCCTCGCATTTACAATCAAAAAAATATTGTCGTTTTAATTCTCTTTGTCGCTCATTTTTATTATTAACCGCAAAATGATATCTAAGAAATAAAAATAAAACATAAACTCAAAATTATTTTTTTTAAATAACTCACCCGTAATTATCTAAAAGTTCTTCACCTTTCTTGATAGGTCTTAAAGCACGAAGCACAATTTTCGATCCGTGACAAACTCGGAGAACATTTGGGTTACAAGAGTGATTAATTAAACTCATAAATGAAAAAGCCCCGGCTCCGGTTTCTACACTCGATTCGAAATCGCCGAAATAATCCTCTCTGCACTCGGATATTTCGTGGAAATTAGTCGGGCCGGTTTGTAGATGCCTCAAAATTAATTCTTTAACCGTTTTTTCATCATTCTCCGGTTGTTTCAAGTCTTTAATGAAATCCGTATGATTTTCGAGTAAATTGAATATAACAGCTGCTGTTACAGATCTTGGGAATAAATCGGCGCTATTTCTTAAATGGGTATTTCCTTCTAAAAAGTGGATTTCTTCGTATGAATCGGATTTATAAACTTTGTTGTTTTTGTTGAATTTGTCAATGATTCCAAAGATATCTCGCGCTTGTAAAGTAATCCGTAAAGCTAACAGGTTTAATTTGGTTAATTCTAGGTGGTATAACATTGTGATTATGGGGCATTCGTATTGGTGGTATAATTTCCAAGCGGATTCTTTACATTTTTCGGAGCAAAATAATGCGTAGATGCAACCATCGCAAGGGATTAAGTCGTAGCAAAGTTCGAGGCAATTTGAGCAATAACTATAAATAAAATCCTTTAGTAGGAGTTTCGAATAAGGTTCTTCAACGGCTATAACATCCCCAATTGGGATATTTTTAACTGCGAGTACATGCCGGCCCAATTCTTCGGATTTGTTTATTTTAATGGAAGATGAAGCGCAGTTTATGAGCTGATTTGGGTGTTCTATGATAGGTGGAGGGTTGTAATAACTTAATTCGGTTTGTTGCCGTGGGGGTTTTTTGCACTTTGATCGGCGCAATTCAAGTTTGTAAGCAAGATCTTCGGGGTATTGGTTATTTAAAGCCCGATCGATGTCCTAAAAATGAAATTTAAATTAATTGTAATAAATAAATCAATTTATCGACTTACTTTTAAGCATTGCGCATAAAAGTCTTTCCTTAATAATACAACCGATCGATTAGCATAAGCCAGACCTAAAGCTTTGCTGTTATTTGTAGCGAAAGCAATGCTTTTTGTGTAAAACATTAAAGCTAATTGATAATTAGTTTCGTTGAACTCCGTGTTTCCTTGCACTCGATATTGAATGCTGACCAAATCGTTTTTCTTATTCGTTTCGAATTTCGGGCTTAATTTGTATTTTTTAATTAATTTTAAAGAGTAATCGACTCTCTCCCAATTTGAATTTAGCGCGCTAAATTCTTGGGAGGTTTCGTTAACTTTCGCGTCTCTCGATAGGGCGCGACACAAGCACTCAAATATATCGTTAACCTTCACATTGTTAGACATCTTATTATTATCGATTGTTTCGTTGTAGCAACACCAAAAAATGTCGCGGAGGAGGTCAACTCTATTCCTCGTTTATAACTTAGGAGCTGAGATGGTTTATGTCTTAGCGCAACGGTTAAACTCACAAAATGTACCCCTAAAGCAGGCGGCCTCAGGTAAATAAAAAAAAACTAGTTCGAAATTCGCGTCTAGAGGGCTAACTCCTTTATGGAGCGGCAAATTCAAAAAACATAACATAACTTTTTTTAGCGATTGATAAAATTATTTCGATGTTAACCGATTGGGATCTTCTAACGATTTTAATTCGCCCCCAAGAGATGTTTTCGCACGAAAAAGTAAAAAATATCATCGAAGATATTGCACAGTGCTCAACGATGAGGTTAGATCCCGTAAGCATGGATAAATTATGGGATTTAATCACAATGGTCTTAAAATGGCAAGTAACTTTATCTCCAACATCTAACGAAGTATTAAATTTAAGCGAAACACACTTATTTGAAATCGAAAAGTACGTTTCAAACGTTGAAACTTTAGAGAAATTAAACCGTATCCAAAGTTGTTTATCGATGCTTAAAGAGGGGTTAGGCGCCGATGAATTAAAACATTTACACTCAGATTTAATGAGTTGGCTCAAAGAGTTTAACGTTAAAGTCTCGTTATTGATTAAATTGGAATTACAAACCCCCGATGGGAAATTCCTTAAAACACCCAACGAAAATAATAAGACTGTGTTAAGTAATTTGGGTAAAAACATATATTTGAGCCAAGAAAATGATAAATTAGCGATTAGTATTAAAGAGAAGAGGCAGCGAGAAATGAATTGTTTACAAAATGATTTATTAGGATCCGTTGACAATCAAGGGAACGATTTCAAGTTCACCGCGTTAAAAACTCGCGAAAATAACAATGTTTTCGATAAAATTGATGTTAAACGCGAAGAGAGTAATTTACAAGAAATTTTTAACGAATTTCACATCAACGATAACGACAATAACGAATATGATTACGATTAAACTTAATTTATTACATTCCGTAACATTCTAGTCGATTAATCAACTTATCTAGTCATTAACAAAGCTGCACTTAAGCTTGGAATTTGCTCACAAAGCTCTATTTTAATACACTTTGTATACTTACCATTTACCCGTTAATGCAAAACATATTTTTTGTATTTATCGTTAAAGAACGTGCCTTTTTTAATTTTTGTAACTTTTACAAGGAATATTTATGGCAATAATACAATAAAGTACACCGTAATAAGCAATACATCAATAATTAGTTTTAATAAATCCTTTTTTGGCTTAAATTAAAACTAAAAAAAGTGAGGTTATGAATATTGTGTCAAATAGAAATGTTTCTCACAATTATATTAATCATATAATAAGCAATATAAATAGTACTTGATAGATTATAAGTCCATAAATAATTAGGTGTACTTCGTAAAATCCTCCATTTGAACTCGCTTCATTTTAACCTCATCCGGCTCCTTTTTCACTTCTTGTATTTTGTTTTTAAGATTTTTAATTTTTCTTAATCGTTCCAACCAATTTGAAGCATAGGGATTCGTTCCAGAGTTCTTTAACGAATTAAACACCAAGGATGCCATCTAAAAAAATTCATAACCGCACTTATTTATTCATCTTAGACTACAAAAAAACAACTTACATTAGCGTGCAAAGCCAACTGACGAGCTAATATAGCTACGTTTTGATCTGAAACTAACTTTGGCTCGGTTACCCCGATTAAACGTAAAAGATCTTCCTTAACTTTAACAGTAACCCTATTTGTGTTGTGATCTAAAGGTTGAATTATTATCGATGCGAAATTAAATTGACCCTGAAAAAGGAAATTTTATTTATTAATACAAATTAAAATAGAAAACATAACCTAACTTTTTTACGTCATTAATTTAAATTTCTTGAATCAATTTACTTAAATCATCAATTAATTTGAAATGTTTAATAATATATTATTATATTGTTAATAAAGCGATTAATTTAATATAATAATTAAAATTACGCATTAAAAAAAAATTCAGGTTATGTTTTTTTTTAATTATTTTAAGTTGGTGCTAAATTAAATGTCAAATTAAAACTATTTACTTTATATTTTTACCTTAATCGTATTAATATGATACTCCTCCCCCGATTCATTATAAACAATCGTAACATTATCATTTCCAATGTGTCTCTTCTTCTCGTGGCAATTCGGATCTGATTCTTTATTTGGCATCATGGTTGCCACATGAAACATAACCCTAATAACGTCATCCTGCCAAATGTAAGAGAACTTTCCATCACACCCTCCTTGTTCTAACCCACCCAAAAAGACGACTTGGGGATCAACATCGCTTAACTTAATTAATGTTCCTAAATTTTGTAAGAACTCTTGATATCGCACTGATCCAACTTTATTCCTTAAAATATCCGCTTCACTTTTACACTGACCAGGCCCCACATACAACACACCGATTTTGTGGGTTTCATATGGCGGGATACAATCTAAAACGGTCAAAGCTCTTTGAACGATATCGCTTGAGTCAATCAATAAAGGTTTTTCGGTCGAATTTTTTAAATGAGCCGCATGATAGAGTTGCAAAAAAATAAAACTTGGTGATATCCCACTTTTTGGGGCTTCTTTAGGTCGAGAACCATGATGTCTTAGCATTTCTGAGTTCGGTTTCCTTACCGGTGACATAACGGAAATTGTATAACCACGATCTCTTATTTGACTGCTTAAACTTTGATCGCTGATACTCAATTTTTCAATTTCATTTCTTTTATCTTTCTTCAAATATTGCAACCCAGTTTTTTCTGATGCACTCTTTTGAATTTCATTTCCCTCACGTTGAGAACGTTGTGGTCTTGGGGATGTTTGAGTGGGACTTTGAGGTGGTTTTGCTACTAAAGCTGTTGATGAAAGCGTTGGAAGCGTATTTGGCCGCTCAATATTTTTTTCTGAAGCGATACTATCGATTGAATCACTTTTAGCCGATCGGAGGACTCCATAATTACGTGGATATTGAGGCCGCGAGGTTTGAATTGAAGGATTGGGTGACGGAGGAACAGTTTGACTTGGTTTTGTTATTATATTTGGGTCATTTTGGGTTTGGGGACCCGGATAACTTAGCGAATTTAATAATGATGGATGCTGGGGGTAATATGTACCATCCGTTGGTGGGGTTGTACCTGCAATCTCTTCCGGAATAGCTTCACAACTCACTCGTAAATCTTTTTTTAATTTTTTTGTTATCTCATCTTCAACTTGATTCCGTTCCTCGCGTTCCTTTTGTTGCATTGGGTTACGCCAATTCGCTGACATCTCCGGACTTGAATTCGATCGTTGAACGGGATTTCTTGATCGGGTTCCATCCTCGTAGATTGATTCATCTTCATCGATACTATCTCGAGAACTTTGTCGTGAAGGTGACTGTTTATTAGGTGAACCTACGAAAAATATCACTAAAAAATGTTTTATTTATAAATAAGCGTTTATTTATTATTTTTTACGCCACAAACACAAATATATATTTTTTTGAGGTTATATTGTGACGTTTGAGCGGTGACAGCCTGAACTAAAAATCACAATATAACCTCAAATTGTATTTTAATATTAATTTTTATTAAATAAATTACCTGGAATACTTATCGGTGCTGTTACACTAACATCTTCGTCTTGACTTGTGCTTGTTCCTTGATGTTGGAAATCTTTATCAAAACTGCCTACATCACTCGAAGTTTGGTTCAACGATGATGTAAAAAGCGTCGAAATCTCATTTATGGGGAATTCGTAAATTGATTGTTGATCGGCGATTTGATTTTGGATCCTCATCACCCATGACATATCTCCGGTTGGTCTTCGGACGTAAATTTCCGCCCATCCTTGGCACCAACACGCACATCGCAGCTTTTCGCTCGAATTTGAATCACGATGAACACTTAGTTGCTGCAATTTCGATGGTAATTGATCGAGTTTATCGCCTAATTTTTTTGATTCATCCACTGGGCTACTCGTTGAGGTGTTTGTATTCGATTTATCGGCCGAATTTTGTCGTGTAACTCTGGTACTTGAGTCTTCCTTATCTTTTTCTGTGCTATTATTACGACTTGTCTTTTTAGTATCTTCCGGCGTCCTATCAATTTTGCAAGCAGTAAAACATTTATCGCATAAGCCGTGTTTTAAAGCTTTTTGGGCACAACCGCTTGTTGTTATCGTAATAACTTTATTTCCTAGTAACCAACTTGTCGATTGACCACCGCTTAATAAAAAGTCAGCTGTTGGTAATCTACGAAATAAAATAGAATGTAAGATAAGGTTTTAATTAAGAAACTTTTTACCTCCTCGGTAAAGCGCTACATGGTGAAAAAGCGTATCGTGCCATCAAATCAATGCAAGTTTCCGTTAATTCCTCATAAAACGTCATTTTTAATTTATCCGATGGTACTTTAAAATCGGAGGTTAAACATTTCACGTCAACTGTGGGTCTTGAAAGGGTTATCGGGGATCTATTTGGTCTTCTCGAACCTTGTTCTGTTAAGCTTGAACTCCGTTTACGATCTGAACTATCTTGATTTAGCTTATTTACATCGGATTGTTTTAAAAAGTTGGTTTCTTCAAACGGTGTTAACGCATTCGTTTGTAAACCCTTAAAAAGAAATTTGTAATATAATAACATAACATAACCTCAAAAAAATAATTTTTTACGAATTCTAATTGTTTTAGAGATTATTTTTCGATCTTATTTATAATTATAAACATAAAATGAATTAATTTAGTTATATTTGTTATAAATTGAACGATTCTTTTTGAAAAATTATTAATTTAATGTATCTTAAAGACAGAGGCAAACACAACATAACCTCAAAAAAAAATTAATATTTATTTAAAGATTTTTTTGTGTACTTTTAAATTTTGATTAAAAATAAAATAAATTAATGTACTTACGCTTGTTATAAATCGAACGAATTCTTTTCGAAAAGGTAATCGGCACTTTAAAAACCAAACGGCAATAACATGATGTGCCAAAGAAACGATGTAATGATTATATTTAAATGGATTTGTGTACGGTAAAGATATAGCAAAAACAGCCATGTATTCATCAGCAACGAAATTAGCAAAAACCATCGGTAAAACAGTTAAAGCTACAAAAAAAAATTTAATAGAAACCTAACCTAAAAAAATTTTTTTTTACTCGAAAGAAATTCTAAAACTGGTATTGCGATTCTATCCGTAGCTGATATTTTAGATAAACTCAATAAAACTTGAGGAAGCATCTTCACCATAATATCCCTCATTTCCAAGGTGCACGTCATTAAAGCTGTTATACATTGCCGAGCACATTTAAAACTTAAATATTTATATAAACACCCGATCATTTCCTGTTGAGCCGCTTGATTTAAATAGTTGTGGTATGAAGCTAGATTCGCCAAAACGGATAAAACGGCGGCTATAAAATCGGATCGGTTTGATCGGAAAGTCTCGGCTAAAGTTTTATCAACAATCTAAAAATAAAAATATATATACGACTAAATTAAGTAATAAATAATAAAATTTACCATTTGCGATAAAGTCTCTACTAATAAATGCATATCTGGGTTACCTTGTTTAGATAAAATCAAAGATTTGTTTTGTAAAACGTAGGGAAGTTGTGCTAAGAGAAGATTCAAAATATCCCAATCTTTTTCGCTCCGCAAGCAGGTTATGAATAATTTAAAAGCGTGTTTAACCGAAACGTAGGTTACAACACATTGGGGTTGTTGGCTTATAGCCGGAGATGGTGGTGGAGGAGACATCATAGCTGTTTTTTCTTGGATGTAAGTCGCACAAAGGTATTGACTAAACTTAATTTCTTCGTTTGCGTTTACACAACCCAAATGATACGTGTTATCAGCTCGCATTTTCAAAAAACAATCAAAGATCTACAAAAAAAAATTATTAAAAATTTTAAAAAATTTGACGTTTGAGGTTATGTCACCTTATACCGAATTTTATTACAATTATCGAATAATTTCGGTTTACTATAATGAAAATCCAAGAATTTAATCAACATTTGATAGATTTTAATCGCATGAGATGAAGGTAATTTGTAAACTTTAATTACGAAGACTTTTATTAAGCCGTCCACCAAAGTTTTTATATCAAATAAATCGGCATCGGTTAAACTTGTATTCTCACTGTAATCTTCGTAAGGTCGATATAATAACTTTTCGAGAATATCCAACATTTCCAAACAACGTTTAGTTTCGCAATTAGCACATAATTCCAACAGGAGTTTCGAAGATGAAGCTCGCACCATCACATCGGGGTCATTCACTACTAAATGGGGAATTACAATCCGATCAATTAATTCATCTTCGTATTTATCCCTAAAATTAATAAAAACAAATTTTCATAATAAATAATTTAAAAAATTGAGGTTATGTATTACTTTGAGGTTATGATAGTTAGGTTTATTACAAGGTCTATAGAACATAAGGTTACCCAATACCGATTCTCCTCCTCTGAGAGGCAAGGTGGGTCAGTGACGTAGCTGGTTCTATGAACAACACAAGACGATGCGAGGTTTAAATATTCTGTATAGACTGTACCACAGTATAGGCACGTATAGGTTCTCTTTTATTTTGACTGTATCGAACCAGTGACGTCAATCTGCGGGGTAATAATCGATACTACAGAGGCATAGGGAATGAGGTAACCTTATGTTCTATAAACCTTGGGTTTATTATAATTAATGCTTACCAATGAAGATGAATTACGTTTGATAAAACATCCAAAGTTTTTAATCGAATATTCGCCCTTTTTTCTTGTTTAAAATACCGTTGGAGTAGATTATATAAATTCGTAAGCCACAAAACTTCAGTCGGAATAATACTTCGTGACAAGTACGAAACTAATCGTAAAACAGACGCTTCTGGTCTTCTCGCAGCGCACTCATCAATAATCTCAAAAAACTTTTTAATCGATCCATTAAAAATCCCATTATCAATGAAGTTCTCTATCACGGTTAAAGTATCATGAAGATTTTTTAATGTTTGCGAATTAGAAACATGTTTTGGGTTACTATCGATTTGTTTAATTACTGTGAGTAAAATATTTAAAATAACATCCCAAGGGGCTCCGTGCAACTCAGTTCCATGTTTGTTTATTAACAAACTCACACAAATCATGACTTCATAGCTTATTATCGGGTTCATTCCTTGAACGGCCTTAAAAACAAATTTAAATTTTTTTTATGAATAGTTATTAAAATTACTTGGTAAATATGCGGCAGAACAGATCCCGGCGAACATTGAAGAGTCACAACTTGTTGTCGCCCCCAAAGAGCCATTCCGATATAAAAAACGGCTCCTCGAATCAAAAAAATATCTTGACTTAAGCAAGGTTCTCGTAAAATTCCACATAAAGTAGTTAATGATGAATGCCCCATGTGTGTACCAAGAAGTTTACGCATTATCTACAAAAATATCTATAAATAAAAAGAAACATAACCACAAAAAAATCTTACATTCCAACTTAATTGGCAATAACATTCAACATTAACTGTTCTACACAACGTTCCAATAAACTGCGATAACGAATCCGGGGGTAAGTTGCTATAAGCAACGATGTTTTCTAATAATTGTAAGCAAGCTTTAACATCTTGTTCTTGTGCATTACAACATAAAAACCAAATATGCTGCACCAACCCATTAACAACATCCTCTTCGACATAGGCAGCGTTAAATTTAATCATATTATCCAAAAGAAGCATATACATCTCAATAATTCCCGCTTTAGAAATCTCTGGAAACCACAACAATAAAAATTGCGCGACAACATCCTCCATGTGTAAAATTTCTCGTCCATTTTCCGTTAAAGCTTGTAATAATTCAAATCGTTGGAGTACATCATCGTTGTAATCTTTCACGATTTGAAAAATTTTTCTACGAATCAAACCTAACCGTTCGTTTTGGTATTTAACGAGCGTTTGGAGAAAAGTAAACGCTGAATGGCGTACTTCTATATTTGAATTGGACAGTAAATCTAAGGTGTAATTGCATAATCTTCCAATATCGTTCTAAAAAAGAATGTAAATAAGATTGAGGTTATGATAGTGAAATATAAAATCGAACCGTTTCGATTTGGCATTCCATAACGTCTCCTTTTAGATCTCTTAGGGCTTTTAGGCGAACGTGTACTGGCGAACTTTCCTTTAAATCGCGTTGTATTTCTTCACTTAAATGAAACTCTTTGCTTCGGTAAAGACCTAAGAAAATGGGGGGTTAATATTATTATTGAATTGTATTTGAAATATTACTTCCAGATCCTTTGTTTTTCTTAAACATGTTTTTTAACTTATCTACCGTCGATTTATCTTGTTTTCCACTCATTTTCACCTGGAAAATATTAATTATTCTCGAAGATATAACCTCAAATAAGTTGTTTGTGATGGAGGCGTCAATTTACTAGTACCAACTTGAAAAATATAAAAGTACTAATTCCAAATTCTGATTTAACAGATTAGATTAAGTTTTACGGTTTCAATTTTTAGATATAAATAAAACAAAATAATTATATTTATTTATTTATTTTTCGTCATCATTTACAAAAGATCAACTTTTTTTTTACATTTTATTCACCATTCGTTATTAGCCCAATTGGTAGCTGGAGCGGCAGGCGTTTGTGCTTGCTGGGCGTTATTATCCCAATCTTCTTGAACTTCCTTAGCCCAATCGGTTGTAGCGGGGTAAGGCGTGGGTTGAGCAGGGGGAGGAACCACAGCCGCAGGTTCTTCAGGATTCCAATCTAAATCAGCCGTTTCATGTACAACCACTTCCGGTTTAGGAATAACAACTTCTTTAGCAGCTTGATCATCTTTCTCAGCCTCTTCTGGTTCGCGATAAAAGAATAGATCAACTACAATATCCCATTTAGTTTCCCTTGGAATTTGACCACGAAGACGGAGAACCTTTATTAAATAAATATTCCACAAAAAATTAGAACCAACAAAAATTAATTTTATTTTTTTTAAGGTTACGATTTTAATTCAGGTGGAAAAATTATTAAAAATCATTTTTATATCATGATTTGGTAGGGAACAACTATTTCATCATTTTCGTCACTTAATTCATAATTACTTTCAAGAAAAATTGTTTACCTCACGTGCTAACAACCACCACATTAACCCAATACTATGCGGAGACTTATTATTGCATGGAATTGCAATATCAACAAATCGAAGTGGTGAGTCGGTATTGCAAAGGGCAATTACAGGGATGTTTACATAAGAAGCTTCCGTGATGGGTTGATGATCGGAAAATGGATCCGTTACAACCAAAAGTCTTGGTTCCCTGAATGCAGCTTGAATCTGATTTGTAAAGGCACCTAAAAAAAATTAAATTTAGAACTTCATTTACAACAAAAATTTTTTTCTTTTTAAAGTTATGTTCAGATAATTAAAATATAATCACTTATTTAAAAAAAACTCATAGGTTCCTTAAATCAAAACGATCATCATTTTGAATCAATTATTTCTCCTAAAACTTTTTATTTAAATACCTGGGGTGAAACGTCCGGCTATTGGGGTAGCCCCGGTATGAGCTGCAAACTTTAAAACGGCTCTTTGACCGTGTAAACGTGAAGAAATCACGAATACTTCATGGGGGTGCTCAATTGCGGCGATTGCTCTCGCCGCTAAAAGAAGTTTTTCCCAAGTGTGTCTCAAATTAATGATGTGTACCCCATCAGAACGGATCTTATACTTATACTGTTCCATTTGGAAGTTAACATTGGTGAGCCCCAAATGGGTGCCCGCCGCCAACATCTTCGTAACATCATCCTCTTTGAGGGACAACACATCTAATCCTCCGGACATTTTTGCGCGTTTGGTTTAGTTACGGTTAACCTAAAAAAGACAAAACATAACCTATAAAAAAACAATTTGACGGAAAAAATCAAAATAATTAAAAAATATTTTTGAAATGTTAATTTATGTTCAATAATTAAGTTATATTAATCATTTTTATTTTATTTTTAAGAAAGATGAGCTAGAAATTAACGAAATAAACTTACGCACGTCAACGCCAATGGAGAAACGCGATAGAAAAGGAAACGTCAAAGCTTTGAGGTTATGTTGTTAAATGATGAAGGGAACTGTACTATTTAAATATTATTGCCAAAAGATGGCACTATTAAACGTCGTATTGACAAATTAATATAACCTAAAAAAACGATTCTAAAACGATTATTTATAATAAAAAAAGAAATTAATCGTTTAGGGATGGCTGCTCCTCCCCAAGCATTGGTTAATCGTAACAAGAAGCATTTTTTGGGAGTTCCCGCCCCTTTAGGTTACGTCGCTGGAGTTGGTAGAGGGTAAGAACATAACCTTACTATTTCGTGTAAATCTTTTTTAATTATTATTTTTTGATAGAGCTACAGGATTTACCACACGATCTGATATTGGCCCCGCGCGGGACGCCAACGACGTTTCGTAAGTAATCGTTATTTATTTCATATTTTTAAGGTTATAGTTTGATTATATATTTTTTAGGGATGATAGACATGCTCCCCCTGCTGCTAAACGGCCAAAAAAGAAGGAAGAGGAGGAAGAGCAACAAGATGAGGAAGACTTAAATGATTCCAATTATGATGAGTTTACGGGATATGGGGGATCGTTATTCTCAAAAGATCCGTATGATAAAGACGATGCGGAAGCTGATGCTATTTATGAAGCTATTGATAAGCGGATGGATGAGAAGCGGAAAGAGTATAGAGAAAAGCGGTTAAGGGAGGAATTGGAAAAATACAGACAAGAAAGGTTGAAATTAAAAAATTTGAAATAAGTGAGGTTATGCTTGTTTAATTTCTAATTTTATTTTAGGCCGAAAATACAACAACAATTTTCGGATTTAAAACGAGAATTGGGACAAGTTTCTGAAGACGAGTGGAAAAATGTGCCGGAAGTTGGAGATGCAAGAAATCGAAAGCAACGGAATCCTAGGGCGGAAAAATTTACTCCGCTTCCCGATAGCGTTTTAACAAGAAATTTAGGGGGGGAATCATCGAATTCGTTAGATCCTACCTCCGGATTAGCAAGTATGATGCCGGGGGTTGCTACACCAGGTAAAATAAATTAATAATAAAAGAAATCAAAACATAACTCCACATTTAAAAAAACTTGTTTTAGGGATGTTAACACCAACTGGTGATATGGATTTACGTAAAATCGGACAAGCTAGGAATACATTAATGGATGTGAAATTATCGCAAGTTTCTGATTCAGTAACCGGTCAAACAGTTGTTGATCCGAAAGGGTATTTAACCGATTTACAATCGATGATACCAACCTATGGTGGTGATATCAACGATATTAAAAAAGCCCGTTTATTATTAAAATCAGTTCGTGAAACAAACCCAAATCATCCACCGGCATGGATTGCAAGCGCTCGTCTCGAAGAAATCACTGGAAAAGTGCAAGCAGCTCGTAATTTAATTATGAAAGGTTGCGAAGAGAACCAACAAAGCGAAGATTTATGGTTGGAAGCTGCTCGACTTCAACCTCCGGATACCGCAAAAGCTGTAATCGCTCAAGCAGCCCGACACATCCCAACCTCCGTTCGAATCTGGATTAAAGCCGCCGATTTAGAAACGGAAACGAAAGCGAAAAGACGCGTTTTTCGAAAAGCATTGGAACATATCCCGAATTCCGTTCGCCTTTGGAAAGCCGCTGTTGAATTAGAAAACCCGGAGGACGCTAGAATTTTACTTTCACGCGCCGTAGAGTGTTGTAGCACCTCCGTGGAGTTGTGGTTAGCTTTAGCCAGATTAGAAACGTACGAAAACGCGCGAAAAGTGCTAAACAAAGCCCGCGAAAACATCCCAACTGATAAACAAATTTGGACCACCGCGGCTAAGCTCGAAGAGGCCAACGGAAACACTGCGATGGTTGAGAAAATCATCGAAAGGGCTTTAACCTCGTTAAGTTCAAACGGCGTCGAGATTAATCGCGAACATTGGTTTAAAGAAGCGATTGAAAGCGAAAAAGGAGGCCATATTTATTGTTGTCGAGCGATTGTTAAGGCGATTATTACACAAGGAGTTGAAAACGAGGATCAAAAACACACTTGGATGGAAGATGCCGAGAATGTAAGTAAATTAAAAAAGTATTTCTATTTTTTACTGGAAAATATTAATTATTCTTGAAAATGAAAACGATATAACCTAAAATAAATTGTTATGATTGAGGTTGTCAATTTATTAGTACTAATTTAAAGAAAATAAAGGTACTAAATCTGGGAAACATCGAAAATATGTTAAATATAATTAATTTAAACTAAAAAAGTGTAATTAGTTAAACATAACTCATTTCGATTTTCAAGGTTGGTGATAACGACAGAAATGTCATAATAAATTAGTTGACAAAAAAGGTTTTGTTTTAACCAAGGTCTATAGAACATAAGGTTACCCAATGTCGATTCTTCTCCTCTGAAGGGCAAGGTGGGTCAGTGACGTAGCTGGTTCTATGAACAACACAACAGGATGCGAGGTTTAAATATTTTATATAGACTGTACCACAGTATGACTGACTGTATCGATCCAGTGACGTCAATCTGCGGGGTAATAATTGATACTACAGAGGCATAGGGAATTAGGTAACCTTATGTTCTATAGACCTTGTGTTTTAACCATAACTTTTAACCTTATTTATTTAAATATTATTATATATTTATTTTTCTGTTAGTGTATATCGCAAGGTGCTTACGAATGTGCCCGCTCCGTTTATAACTACGCATTAGCAACATTCCCCGGGAAAAAATCGATATGGTTAAGAGCCGCTTATTTAGAAAAAAATCATGGTACTCGAGAAAGCTTAGAAAGTTTATTACAAAGAGCGGTGGCTCACTGCCCTAAAAGCGAAGTTTTGTGGCTAATGGGGGCTAAAAGTAAATGGTTAGCCGGTGACGTCCCCGCAGCCCGCGGAATCTTATCTTTAGCTTTCCAAGCTAACCCAAACAGCGAAGAAATTTGGCTGGCAGCCGTAAAATTAGAATCGGAAAACCACGAATACGAACGCGCCCGGAGACTTTTAGCGAAAGCTCGGGGTTCGGCCCCGACCCCAAGAGTTATGATGAAAAGTGCAAAATTAGAGTGGTCTTTAAACGATCTCGTGGCTGCTTTAAATCTTTTAGATGAAGCATTAAAAGTATTCCCCGATTTCCCCAAATTATGGATGATGTACGGACAGATTTACGAACAAAAAGATGATTTTCAAAAAGCTTTCGATGCTTATAATGCGGGTATTAAAAAGTGCCCCAACGCCATCCCGCTTTGGTTACTTTTATCGAAATTAGAAGAAAAAAGGAATTTGTTAATCAAAGCTAGATCGGTTCTAGAAAGAGCTCGGCTTAAAAACCCCAAAAACGATCAAATTTGGCTCGAAGCGATCAGAATCGAATTACGAGCCGGCTTAAAAGATATTGCTTTAGCTATGTTGGCAAAAGCACTTCAAGAATGCCCCAATTCTGGGATTTTATGGGCGGAATCAATTTTTTTGGAGGCAAGACCCCAAAGAAAAACTAAATCGGTAAAAATAATTTCATATTAATTAAATTAATTTAATTTAATTGTATTTTTTTTAGGTTGATGCATTAAAAAAATGCGAACATGACCCTCACGTTCTCTTAGCGGTGAGTAAACTGTTTTGGGCCGAAAGGAAAATAGGGAAATGTCGAGAATGGTTTGGGAGGACGTTAAAAATTGAGCCCGATTTCGGTGATGCTTGGGCTTATTGGTTCCGTTTCGAACAACTTCATGGTACTCCCGAGCAACAAGAAGACGTTAAACAGAAATGTTTAACCGCGGAACCCCACCACGGAGAATTATGGTGTTCGATATCAAAAAATATTAAAAATTGGGCTTTTAGCATGGAACAGATTTTAATCGCTTGCGCTAAAGAAGTTGTCGTTCCCGTTTAATTAATTTTTGTATAGATTTAGGAAATAAATGTTTAAAAATTAATTTTCTCATTTAAATTTTACTAAAGTCCCTAGATTTACAAAGTACCGCGGTTCATGACTGATGTTTTCGAGCCAAAATGGCGGTTTGACAGCTTGTCACTGCATCTCATCACTTATTTACAAAAATATTGCCGTCTTGTTGCCTTTGGAGTTGCAAAAATGGCAGTAAGAAGGACTTTCGACTCTTCAGAGTACCACGAGAAAAAAAGAAAGGAAATTTGGCGTAATGTTTTGGTTTGTAGTTTTACATTTCCCGCTTGACTTTCGAGTCAAAATGGCGTCAAACCGCGGTACTTTGTAAATCTAGGGACTTTAAATTTTACGTTTAAAACCCGCCATCTATGGAGAAAAATAACAAAAATATATTTGTCCAATTTTTAACCTAAAAATTAACTCCTTTTTAATAAATGATTCTTTTAAAAGAAAATTTATCTGTTTCTATTTATGGAAAGATAAAAAATGATTTCAAGCGGAACTGTATATTAAGCAACAATGTCCTTGCAATCACCAATTCGTTTAAATTGGTGAAAGTTGGATCAATTCCAACATAAAGGTTAGTTTTATTTACTTTTTTCAGTATCACATTTATTTTTTAATTTAAGGTATGTCCGAATTCAATAGAAACCCGCCACGGAAATTATTCACCCTAGTTTTTGTAAAAAGTAGGAATCGTTTATTGTTGGGACTAAAAAAACGGGGTTTTGGAGTTGGGAAGTGGAATGGTTTTGGGGGAAAAGTAGATCAAGGTGAAACCGTAATCGAAGGAGCCGTTCGAGAGCTACAAGAAGAATGTGGGTTGGTTATCCCGATCACCAATTTAAATCATCTAGGTTGCATCGTTTACAAAGATGTAGATTACGATCGTGAAGTGCACATCTTTACAACTGAAATAAAGGAAGTGAAAAAATTAAATATCATTGAATCGGATGAGATGTGCCCTAAATGGTTTAACTTTAATGAAATTCCTTATGATCGAATGTGGGATGACGCTAAACATTGGACAAACTATGTTTTAACGGACACAAAAATAGGATGTTATGTTTTTTTTTAAACAAATTTTAATTCATTTTACCTTTTTTTGTTATTGCTAATTATTTATTTCTAGTTATTTTTGTAAATAAAGTTTTACTTTAAGATTTAATAAATGTTAATTTGGTTGCATATCGTAAAATATTAAACGTCATCATATATAGTGCCATCTTTTGACACAAATCAAATTATTTAAAAATAAATTAATTTTTGAATTTAAATTAATTAAACAAATTTAATTATAATTCTCATTTTAAATTAATGAATTCACACATTTTCAAATAAACTTACATAATTCCGCTTTATTTACTTTAGGAATTAAAATCTTATCTGTTATCAGAAATGTGAGGTTAGATTACAAATCATTCGATTTTTGAGTAAAACCAACGATGTTAATTAAATTTCTCTCTTTTTTTGTCCATATTTTATTACTAACCGAGTGTACGTTAACCCCAAAGTCGCGAAAAAGCGGGGAAAAAGGTTCAAAACCGGATAAATCTGAAGTAGTGAGATCAGGTCCTGATGAAATTGATGTTTTTGAGAAAAACTTAGTTGTTAATCCACCAACAGCTAAAGAAATCATTAATAATCATAAAGCTTATTGCAAAAAGACCCATATTAAGCGTACACAAGGAAAATCTTTGGCTTATATTACTCCTGTAAGTTATAATAATTAAAAATACACACAATCTTAAAAAAAAAATTTTTAGTGGAATAATAATGGTTATAACGCCGCATTTATATTCGCAAATAAATTTACTCACATCAGCCCAGTTTGGTTGCAAGCAAAACGTGTGGATAAAGGAGTTTATGAAATTTTGGGTCAACATGATGTTGATAAAGACTGGATGGCCGATGTTAAAAGAGCTGGAAAAGCTAATAACTTAAAAAGTAACCTTTATAATCTTAACTTAATAAGTATTAATCATAAAGATTTTTAGTTGTTCCTCGAATAATCCTTGAAAATTGGTTGGCTGAAGATTACGTAAAATTATCGATGATGCAAGATGAATGGGACGGCTTCTCAAATACCTTAATTAGAACCGCACAAAAACACAAATTTGATGGTTACGTAATCGAGATTTGGTCCCAAGTAATCGGTAGACTCCGTAGTGATCTCATTATAAATTTGGTGCAGGAAGTTTCGATGCGAGTACGTAAAGAAAAATTAGAAATTATTTTAGTGATCCCTCCGATGCGCTCAAAAACGCCGTTATTCGATCAAAACAACTTTAACGATCTTTACGATTACGTTGATGGATTTTCGTTGATGACGTACGATTTTTCTAATGTGCATAGACCAGGTCCGAACGCCCCAATTCGTTGGATTGAGGATTGCGTTAAATTAATAGCTCCCGATATTGAGAAGAGAGAAAAAATATTTACTGGATTTAATTTGTATGGTTATGATTTTACCCCGAGTGGTGGTGGCGCAGTTATTAACCACGATTATTTGAAATTATTAAAAAAATTTAAAGGAAAATTGCAAATTGATGAGAAAAGTCAAGAACATTACTTTGAGGTTAAAGAGGAGGATGGGAAACACATCATATTTTACCCAACTTTATTTACGATTAATGAGCGGGTTAAATTGGTGAATAAATTGGGAACTGGGGTTTCTATTTGGGAGTTGGGACAAGGACTCGATTATTTTTTTGATTTGTTTTAAAAAAAAGTATTAATATGCAACCCATATTACACTTAAGCAAATTTGGTTGAATTTTTTTTAATTAAATCTGAAAAATAGGTTATTAAATAAAAGTATTTTTAATAATCTACATTTATACTTTATTTTTAATTATTTGAACCTCAATCAAAAAATTTTTAATCCTTAAAGTAGATGAAAACAATGAAACGAAACGAGAACAACATGGAATATGCACAATGAAGTTTTTTAAGCACAAAAAATGACTTATTTTAATTTTTTTGAGATGGTTTGGATGTTTTTTCTTTTTTAATTAGTATCACACGATATTTTATACTTTCTCGCAATTTTTACAAAAATACTCCATTCGCTGCAACAACTTAACTTAATTTTTTTATAACTTTTAATGGGAATACAAAAACCAAAACATTTTTTACTACAAAAACAGCTATGTTATGGTTTTTTTTTAAATTGTTAATCGGCGTCGGTACAAATTTACAAAAAAACACTTTATATGATTATAATAAATAATTGTTAAGAAAGTGAGGTTAGATTTTCTTTGACGTTTAATTTTAACCTCAAAAATATTTAAAATTCTCATACAAAGTGATTTTGAGTGATTTTTAAACGATTCCGCCCCAAAAATTGCACATATCCCGACCGCTTTGTAAGTTTTATTTACTTATTTAATTCTTTTTCTTAAACCCTAAACAGTATCGTATCATTAATATCGGTCTAATAGAAAATATTGATTATCTACATTTTAATTCTTTCTAAATGTTCAATCTCTTAAAAGATTGAAACTAACCGGGTAACGTCTTTTAATTAACCAAAAAGAAAGAATTTCATCTCTACGAACATTTTTCGTTTTAAATTTATCATTAATCATTTGCGGACTTGAACACATTTTCTTCTCCAAACAAAAAAATCAACAAAAATCTTATTTATTCAACAGAAATAATATAATAGATGCCTTAAATTCATCCTTTAATTCTTAAATCTAGATTTTTCTCATCTTTAAATGTAAATTATTTATCCGGAAGTACTCTCAACCCAAAAAAATCCTCTTTCTCATTGTTTTATATGATTCTCAAACCTCACACGGTACCGTGGGCATGTCGGCAATGCTCAATTTTACAACCGTGTGTTCTTTGCGTCAAGCAGCCGTTGTTGTTCCATTTCCACAAGGAACGAGAGGGATCCCGCTCGTTTGACAACCCATCGTCGTTAACCCATTTATCGAGGATGAAGTCGAACTCGATGAACAACCCCCGTTTAATGTGTTATTGATACCACAATTTTTTAATTCGGTGAAAATCTCGGTGAAATAACCCGGTTCCGCATTAATTCGTAACATATTCGACGACAACCGGTTAACAATATCCAAACAACGATCCCAAAATTTTTCTTTTGAGTCTTCCACGAGGAACGGTTTTAATGGATACGAGATTTCGTTACCCATGTACGAGTACGAGAGATATAAACAGGTTAATACGACGGCTTGAAGATCTTGCTCGGTTTCTATATCTTCTTCGACTAGTTCCCTCACTAGCATATAAACGAAAACGACATTTGCTGGGTTTATAAACGCTACATCCTAAAAAAAAGTTAGTTTTATGATACTTTTATATTTCAAATTTAGGTTATGTTTACAACTCATAAGATTAAAGCAAAAAAGCGATAAGATAATGATTATCGTACATATTAAAGTCTAAAAATTAAGAGCAGTTGTATTCAAAATGTCTCTTTTATTCCAAATATGTTGCATTTACAAAAAAATATACCACATCATGGTGATGTTTCTTTTCTCATTGTATTACAAGAATAAGAAAGAAACCGTCCCAAGAACAAGCAACAAAATCCTCGAAGAAAGTGCTTTGTCATTAGCCCGACAAATAAAATCAAAAAAATTAAATTCAACAGCCGTCGTAGAAGCTTTTATTGAGCGAATCAAATTAGTTAATCCGATAATAAACGCCATGGTGGATCAACGATTCAACGAAGCTTTAGATGAAGCTAAAGAAATCGATGAAAAATTAAAACTTAACATTTACACCCCAAAAGAGCTGGAAGACTTAATATATTTAGGGGTTCCTTTTACAACAAAAGAATCGGTGCTTTGTAAAGATTTAAGTGCAACTTTTGGGTTAATCGCACGGAAAGGAATTAAGGCGGATAAAGACGCTGACGTAATTGCTTTAATGAAATCATCGGGAGCTATTCTTTTGGGGGTTTGCAACGTTCCTGAAATTAATATGTGGATGGAAACTTACAACAAAGTTTATGGGCGCACAAAAAATCCTTATGATACAACAAGAAATGTTGGGGGCTCAACCGGAGGTGATGCAGCTTTATTAGCGGCTTTGGGCACCCCAATCTCCATCGGAACCGATTTGGCCGGCTCAATAAGGGCCCCCGCTTTCCGATGTGGAATTTTTGGTCATAAACCATCAAACGATGTAATCAGTACTAAAGGATTAACATTTCGAAGTGGAAATGAAGGCCCTACTTTAGTCACATCGGGTCCGATGGCGAAAAAATCCGAGGATTTACTCCCAATGTTAAAAATAATCACTAAAAACGATTTTAGGTTAAAATTAAATCAAGAAATAGACGTCACAAAAATAAAAATTTTTTATTCGACCTCGATTGAGTGTTTTAAAAATGGTCCAATTGGAAACGATTGTTTAAAAGCGGTGGAGAAGGCTGCGAAGTATTTTGATGGGTACTCGGTTAAAAAGCCTGAGAAGATTCGATTTAATGGGCTTAATAATGGCCCGGATTTGTGGTTTTACTCAAAAGTGAAAGAAAATTGGAGATACGAAGAAGAAATTAAAAATAACCTAGAAAAAACTAATTTTAAAAGGGAATTTAAAAAATATTTAGTGGGTAAATGCGATCATTCTTTATATACTTTGTACGTTTTGTTAAGATTAGCTACTTATAAACCGTATAATGAGGAGATAATGGAAAAATTAATTCAAGATGCGAGGGAAGAAATAATCGAACTCCTCGGAGATGATGGCGTGTTAATCCTTCCATCAGAACCGTATCCCGCGAAATATCATAACACCATGATTTTAGAGCCTTTATTAGTAGGGTTTTATTCGATTTTTAACGTTTTAAAACTTCCTGTTACTCAGGTTCCGATTGGGCTTAATAACGAAGGGATTCCTGTTGGGGTTCAAATCGTTGGTGGACGCTTTAATGATCGGCTGTGTATTGCTGTGGCTTGTGAGTTAGAGAAGGGTTTAGGTGGGTATGTTCAACCTCTGAATTTTTAAGTCATTTTATATTTAATAAAGGAAAAAATTTAAGATTTTTGTAATAAACTATTTTAAATTTGTTGGAATTAAATTGACGTCTGATAATTTGCGTTATTCCCGAAAGATGGTGAGAAATTTGAATTAAAATTTTTATATTTAATAATATTTGTTATTTGTTGATAACGATGAATAATTAAGATAATACATTTTTAGGGTTACTTTGAATGTTTGAAAAAATTAAATGATTGTGAATATTTTTTTGGGGCTAGTTTAGGTTGTGTTGTATTTAAGAGATGGCGCGATAAATTTAATTTTAATAAATAAATTTAATAATATTTATTATTTTTTGGTAATAATAATAACCAATAAAGACAATCCGTTTTTTTATAAGCTATTTTAAATTATTTTCGTGATATAACATTAAAAAGATAAAATAATAACTTACAAATAATTATTTTGGGAAAGTTAAGATTATATCTAAGAGATGGCGCGCTTAATTTAACTTTATAATCAAATTTAATAACATTTATTATTGTTGGATAGTAAAGATAATTAATTAAGTTAACAAATTCTTTATGGTCAATTAAATTAAGTTTCGTGAGATGATGTGAAAAAATACTTTTTAATAAATCTTTTTTGATTAGTTTAGAATATATTTAAGAGATGGCGCGATAATAATTTTTTTGAGATGGCGCCCATAATTTGATTTTTATAATTACATTTTTTAATAACATTTATTAATCGTCGGATATAAAAATGATAATATTATTATAAGTTAATAAATTCTTTAGGGTTATGTTAATTAATTTTCGTGGGATGATTTAAAAAAATTAAGTTAAAACTTTTAAATAAATTTTTTTTTGGTTAGTATATATTATATTTAAGAGATGGCGCGGTCATTAATTTTTTAATTAAATTAAATATTTATTATTTGTTAATAATAAAGAAAAAATATGATAAAAAATATAAAAATACCAAAAATATTTGCTTTTAAGTAATCGAAATTAATTATTTAATTACCTGCCATCCTTGTAATAATAAGCTCCTGTCAACAGTTCGAAGCCACATTACAGCATCCCCAGCTTGAAAATCTCTTAGTCTATAACATTTTCCTTGCAAATAAATACCGAGACATTTCAATAATTCCGATGTGGATGCTTGAATGACGGTTTTTTTGGGTAAATTAGCAACAACGGGCAAAGAACTTTGTTGTTGCTGATGCTGATGTTGCTGATTGTTTTGGTGCCCCAACAAAGTTGGTTTATTGGTAACTTTTTCACAATTAACATGATGGTTCGTATTATTATTAGCGTTATTAGCCCTGACAATATCCAAAGCCAAAGCTGAGGTTCCTATACTTTTTGTGTTTGTGTAATAAAGACCTTGTTGTTTTCCCTGTTGAATATTTTTATTTTTATCCACAACCGGATTAATTGAGTCCAACGGTTGGCGATAAACGGTGACGTTTTTATTTTTGTTATTATCCAATTTCTTTTTGTTGTTATTCGTCGTGGAAAATCTCTTCCATGATAACGCGTTAATAAACAACGAGTGCTTTTTAAGGTTTTTCTCCAAAGCGTTTTTCTCCGAAATAATTCTCGCGTTATCGTTTATATTGTTACAATTCGTTTGCAAATTATGATTCGAATTCGAATTCGAAATCGAGTTGTTCGATTTGTTTTCGCGATTTTTCACATTGTTTAATTGCTCATAAGAGAAATTGTTTAATGTAAAATCCCCCGTTGAACTTGTCGTGTAAACTGGGCGTCTTTCTCTTGGGGAAAAACTCAAAACGGTGCCCATTTTTAATTTTTTTTTGTTCCCCTTTTTTTGGTTATTAAATTTTTAGCATTAAAATTAACAAATTTTTTTTTAAATTAATGATATCACTAACACAGCAACACAATTATCAACATTTCGTGTTAAAAATCGTTCGCGCACCGCCACCACCGTAGAAAAGGGACGGCACGACCCCCTTGATAGGGTGCGCAGGGGCGGTCGATTACTGCTACCAGGCAGAGGACGTTGAAGCGCCGGCGCTTAGCCCCCCGATTTACATGGCAACCCCTTGTGTGATGTCACGAAGAAATCAATAACCTGTTCTATCCACACTGAGGGTATTTCTTTCTTTAAAGGGGGTGCTTTTTATGTAATCTATGGGGAGAAGGAAAAAAATTTTCTTCTTTCGAATATCCCCAAAGGGGATAAAAACTTTGTATTTATAAATAAAATATTATGCAATATGTTTTTAACACATCCAATTTCAAATTTCCCGCCACAATTTCCAAAGACGATTTATTTAATCGATTCAACTTATTAAATTTAACTCTATTTTTGGGTATTTACACCTCAAATAATGATTTTAAATTAGATTATATAAATAAATCAAAAATAAATAAATAATAATTGTTTAAAATCAAATTTAACCGGAAGTCGTCACCCATCTTGTTGATCCCATCAATCGGCGATTAGTAAACGATTCTCTGAATTATCAGAAAATGAATTTTAAGTTAAAGTTATAAAGAATTTATTAATAATCGCGAGAAAACAGCTTTATTTAAAAATAAAATTAATTTAAAATTAAATTACTTCAAACAGCTCCATCTATTGAGTGATTTTTTGTATTTGATGACAAATAAAAATATAAACAATAAAAAAATTGTTAATTTATTTTAATGGATTGAAATAAGTTCTTGGGGAGATATTTTTTATATAAAACGTGTTACGTTAAAGCATCAAAAATGTTTGATATTAATAATCAGGGGAAATCCAATTTTTTGTGATCTGAATGTGTATACTTTTCAGTTTTAGGTATAATTCGTGAATTCAAGGAGAATCTTCGCCTTTAAGTAGAAGAAATTGATTAAATTTAACTAATTTTTTTTCAAAAGAATACATAAATATCGATAACTTAACCTAATTGAAATAATTTGCTTCAAGAATTAAAGACAACGCTTCTTTTAATGATAAATTAAACATTAACTATGTCATTGTAAACAAAGGGTTTATTTAAGAAAAATTAATGTAAACAATAACCATAAGTTATAAGTTGCGATATAAACACTAATATAAGAAAACAATCAACACAAATTTACTTCATCAAGCTTGTAATAAAACGGAAGAGAATTAAGAACAATTAAGAATGACTTAAAACAGTAGAAATTGATTAAAAATAATGATTTTGTTTCGGGAGACTTGATAATTTAATCATTTTATCGGGATTACGACCGTAATCCGAAGTAATTGGAGATATCGGAGATAAAAGAGGCACCCAAAATGATACTCATCATCACAAGCTACACATATTTGGTGCACAAAACAATTTTGTTCGATTTTTTTCAACAATTACAAAGCAAAGAAATTAAATAACTTTGGTATCGGTAATATTTCCGAGACATCCCAATTGAATAAAGAACACTTGAAATAATTATGGAAAGAGTGGAGGTACTTTTTTAAATTAATTTTTTATTTTAATTTAACATTAATGTTAATTAAATAATCATAAATTAAAAAAAATCCTCAGAGTACATAACCCATTTTAAATGTCAAAGCGAAATTGTTACCAACATGTTACCAACATAAACCACCAACATGTCATTTTAAATGTCGTTTTAACATTAACTTCTTTTAAAACAAATTTATTCAAAATTGAACAATTTTAGAACAAAAAGGTTATTTATAATCACAAAAAACATATTATTAATTTATTTGTGGCTAAAATGAAGTTTTAGCAATTAATTTTGTAATCGAGTCAAAGCTTGGGAAATGAAATCCTTTTTAAACATTATTAATTGAAGGGAATTTTATTTAGTAAAAAAAATTAGCAACGATTATTTGTACATTACTTTAATCGGGTTTTAATCTACAAGAAATCCGTTCCATTTCTATTTTTTTTTTCGATTACACCAACTTTCTTATCGTTACATACTTTCTTACTCAGTTTACTTAGCAAATCCATTTATTGCCTAGTGAGCATTTTTTTGGAAACCATATAAAACGTCTACAATTAGAATTTTTATCGATACTTAACGTTTTAGGTGATAAATGAATGAATCGAGTGAAATTTTCTCTTCACCTTGGCAATGGATTCGCAAACGAGATTGAGACGACCCACTTTTCATCGTTTAACCGTGAAACTTACGTACGACAAGTGTCGTTTTCACCGAGATGTAAAAATAACTTCCATATTGACCTTTTCCGACCTCTTTTTTTAACCTTAAAAAGATACTTTACAAGTCAAATTAACAAACAATACTTACTATTTATACTTATATTATTAAAAATTATTCTTGAATATTTAAATAATTTATATAATAATAATTATTTTAGAATTAAAATTTTAATTGTCAAACTTTAAGTGACAACCAATTCGTTGTCATGACAACCTTACTTAACCTAACATTATCATCATAAAATAAATGTTACTTTATTAAATCATTTTTATTAACAAATTTTTCTTAGTTTCAGATTGTTTTGATGTTTTCCACCTCTTTCTATGGAATACATTTTTAAAATGATACTTTCGTCTACAAATAGGTTATAACTAGAGGAGAACTGCAACGTTGCGACTCATTCCCTCATCTAATACCGTTGTGAGTAGTACGAAGAGAAGGAATAGAAAATTTCCTATTTAAAGCTTTTAAGTTTAAGAAGCGATAAAGAACAAGTTGATGTTATCGTTTATTTCGTTAAAAAGTGCAAATTTTAAATCGATGAATCTCGAATTTTTGGATAACGCTTTCGATATGGGTAAATATGTTTTAGAACTAATAAGTTGAATGCGTGTATAATAATTAAACGAGATTTTTTCATTTATTTGTTAATTTCGCAATTTTGTCAATAAACTAATTAGTAACAACAATTTGTGACGGTTACTGTTTAAAGTAGAAGAAGTAGAGCGAGGTAGAAAGACCTTGGAATAATGCAAAGTAATTAAAAGGTGTATTAGAATGGAAAACATTCTTTTCTTGTATTATTAAATCTAATTTAACATATTTTTTGGGAAATTTTAAGTAAAAATTAATTAATTTTTTATAACGCCATCTTTTAACGGGATTTCGAATTTTTTTTTCTTTAATGTTATTTAATTATTTTTAATTAAATTGAACAATTCCCCAAATTAAATCTCAAACTTATTTTAATCATTACAAATTTATTAATCTTTTCTAAATTTTTTATTTAAATTTTTAATAAAAACATAAAAATAAGTTGGTATCACTTAAAATCAATAAAAAAATAACGTTTTAAACCTGTCATTTTCAAAATACCAAAATTATTTACAAAATTACTTAATTTCTTGTAGTATCATCCGGGATACAATGGATAAGAACATTAATTTTATCGTTCGTTGCCGCAGCGATAGATTTAGCAATAATGGGTTGGCTAATAACTTATTACACGGCGGAAACGATTATTTTAACGTTTACCCCAACCTTTTTACGCAAACAACGCAGTTTAAGAGGGAAAGTTATCGTTTTAACTGGTGGTGCAGGAGGAGTAGGTCAAGAATTAGCCTTGAGATTAGCGAGGAACCAAGCTAAAGTCGTTATTTGGGATGTTAATGAAAAAGGTAAGAAGTGTTCTTGACCTCGTCGAAGAAAATTGTTTAGAAAGTACCTTCTCGTTGGTATAAAAATCATCGGGTATCTTTAAAAGGAGAGCTTTCTCCTTTGGCTTTCTCTCAATTTAGCTTAATCACCAATAATTTCTATGTATTTAAGTATTTCACTGTTTTTAGGTATGAACGAAATAAAGGAAAAAATTGAAAATGAAGGCCACCAAGTTCATGTATACACGGTGGATGTAACCGATCGTAAAAGTGTTTATAAAAACGCCGATTTAGTTAAAAGCGAAGTTGGGGTGGTTGATATTTTAATTAATAATGCAGGGATTGTTTGTGGGAACACATGTTTAGACATCCCTGATTATATGGTAGAAAAAACGTTCCAAGTTAACATCTTATCGCAATATTGGGTCTGTTTTAATAAAGTTATTTCTCAATTTTAATTTTTTATTTTTAGACCGTCAAAGCATTTTTAGGGGATATGATTAAAAATGGAAAAGGTCACATCGTCACCGTTAGTAGCTTAACGGGGATGTTGGGCACTTATAAATGCACGGATTATAGCGCTAGTAAACACGCAACGATTGGTTTTCATGAAAGTTTATTAACCGAGTTGAAGGTAACTTTTTTTTTTTTTAATGTTGGCAATAATTTTGAAAGTTACCTTCATTATAACATTTTGACAAAACTGTCAATTGATGTCAAAATAAATTTTTTTAGACTCATGGTCAAAAAGGGATTAATATGACGATTGTTTGCCCCTATTTTATTAATACAGGAATGTTTAATGGGTGTAAACCCAAAAATATGGCTATGTTGGAGCCTAGGGATGTTGCAAAGCGGATTATAACCGCCATAAAATTGAAGGAGGTTTTTGTTACGATGCCGTGGTGGGCTCGATTTATTCTACCCCTCAAAAAGTAATTAATTAATTCCAAAAAAATTGTGTTTTAACAATTTAATTTTTAGTTTTATCCCTGCGAAATTGAGTTGGGCCATTATTTACCGATTAATTAAAGGGCCGCAATCGATGATGGGAATGAGAGCCTTCCAAGAAACCGAAGCTGCTTAATAAAAATCTTTACAAATAGTTTTAAAATATTTTTTTGTTATTGTATTATTGTAATATTAAAGTTTTTTTAATCTTTGAGTGTCTTTATATCCAAATCTCCATCTAATCTTATTCGATAACCTCAAAATTGAGATAAAAAATTTATTTCGTTAAAAAAATTAATTTAAACATGAACGTTTTGGGAATTTTAGTGTTTTTGGGTGCGTTTCGAAGGATTTTTTGCGACGTTGAAAGTGTTTTTGAAAGGAATTTGTTGATTAATACTCCGAGTGCGGAAGAAATTTTGTTAAATCATGATAAATTTTATCTCGGAGGGGGGAATCGGACTCAAGTTGGAGTTTTGGGGTTTATAGAAGATGTTGGATTTCTTTTTATTGATTAATCTGTAATTAATTAAGTTTCATTTTAGGATGAGGCGTTAAAAGGGATAGATTTCGCGAAAAAATTTAATTATTTGAGTCCGATGTGGTTGAATATTCAACGAACAGGTTACGGGGAGTACAAAATTTCGGGAATTGAGAAAATTAATAAGGAATGGATTAAAAAGTTGATTCAAGTTAACCCCCAAATAAGAATTATCCCAAGAATTTCCTTCAAAAGTTGGGATATGAGAGATTTTTTGATTTTGGCATCATCAGAACAAGAATGGATTAGTTTATCGGAGGAGTTATTGCATTTATGTGAACATTACCACTTTCATGGATTAGTTGTGGATGTTTTTAATGATTGGTATAAAAGAGTACCTAATAATTTATTAATTGGAGTCATTCAAGAAATTTCGGCGCGATTAAGAATGAATTTATTCGTCTCAATCATCTCAATTCCAAGGAAATACACGAATATTCACCATTTAAATAAAGATTTATTTGAGCAAATCGCAAATTACGCGAGTATCATCACCTTAGCAACTTTTAATCGAAAAGCAACGTTTAGAATTGCGAGATTCATCAAGAAACTTGACCCCGAGGGGATATTTAGGACCAAACTCTTCTTTGGGGTCGAATTTAACGGTTATGAAACCACCTTAAAGAAGGATAAACCAACGCAATTCAAGGAAATCAACAAAAATGATTTTATTGATTATTTGAAGGATTATAATAATTATTTGGTTTATGATCAATACGCAGCCGAGAGCTATTTTGATATTACAAGGTGGATTTTAATTAATTCCTTTATTTTTAATTAAAAAAATTAATTTTAGCTCGATGAAGAAAAAGAGGATTTTTTACCCCACTTTGTATAGTTTAAATAAAAGGGTTGAATTGGCGAATGAATTAAACGTTGGGATCTTTATTTGGAGAGTTGGGGATGGTTTGGATTATTTCTATGAATTACTATGATTAATTTAAAAAAAATTCGCTGTGGACAGGATTCGAACCTGTGCGGGTAGAACCCAATGGATTTCAAGTCCATCTCCTTAACCACTCGGACACCACAGCTGATAGTAAAACCAAGGGAAATATTAATTTTTTTTTGTCAATAAAAATTAAATCAAATTAAATTTTTTTTATTATAAAATAGATTTAAATTATTTAAAATTATTAGCAATAAAATCATTTAATAAATATAACGTGATTAATTGAGTGTAAAATAAGTTTCTAATTTAAATTCTCTTTTAATAAGAATTAACCGCTAGATGTCGCTTAAGGTACTGTTAATAAATAAGTTATAACGAGAAATTAGTAAATATTAAGTACAATATAAAAATAACGTTTTATTTATTAATTATTGAGATAAAATAGATTTAATTTATCTTATTAAGTTTAACAAATTAAATTTAAATTCCCCTATTTAATATTAGATGTCGCTAAAATCGCAGTCATTCTTTTTGACATCGAATGTTGTTAGTTTAACAACTGTCAAAACTTCCAACATCAATACTCCCCGATAAAAAAGTGTTAAAAACCACGCCAAATCGAATTTGAACCCTTCACATTCAATTCAGAAACGTATCAAAACTATAGTGTTAAAAAATAAATTCACAAATAAAAAATAATTCGGTGGTGGTGAAGTGATTGAGGTTATATACTACGTTTTAATTTTTTCCAAGATGTCTTTAAAAATGTCCAAGGTGTTACGGCACAAAGCCTTAGAATTCCTCATGTCTCGCAAAAACAGCGAGAACTTAATGGAAATTTTAAAACATTTCGAATCTGGCTCGGATATGCATGCTTGCGTTTTATCGCTCGAATTGATCTTTGTAAATTTGTTAAGACAAAACGCCCTTTATATCGAAATTGTCCCTTTAAAAACGGTCGAATCGAACGATGAAAATAATTATAAGCAGTGGTTAAGGGCTAATTACGAGAATACGTGGATTAAACTTTTAGGGTGTTTAGAAAATCCGTCAGATAAATTACAATTGCAGGGTAAATTTTGTTTAATCAAATAAAATCGAACTTAATTTATTAAAATTATTTTTATTTATAGCTTTAAGTTCGTGTTTTAACTTATTAGCAGCCGAAGGTAAACACCCGTTGGAAATAAAAACAAATTTAGAATCGTATTTGCCGATAAACCGATTAAAATTGATGTTAATGAAGGTTTTATCGAGTAAACAACATGGAGGCACCATAATTTCGAAATTTGAGGAATATTTCGTTTATGACGATGTCTTATTTAGTATTTGGAAAGCTTTGCCAAGTTTAACCGCGAAAAGTAACCCCAACGATGTTTATATTTTAAATTATTTAATGTTATTGGAGAAATTACCATTTAAACCTATACCAACACCAGAAGGAATTAAATTATTATGTTTTTCGGAAAAAAGTAATTAATTTAAATTATTAAAACAATGTAACCTCATATTTAATTTTTTTAGTCCCCTTTAATTATGATGAACAAATAGTAAAACGCTGCCTGAACAAAATTTGGAATTGCATGGTTTTATGGGAACATAATCAATCGACGCATAAGCAATTATTAATCGTTCTCTTGGAAAAATTATTGCCTCATCTTGATAAACCGCTACTTTTAACCGATTTTTTAATGGACTCGTTGGACGTTGGTGGGCCGGTTAGTCTTTTAGCGCTGCAAGGTGTTTTCACTTTAATTCAGGAATATAATTTAGAGTACCCGAATATTTTTGCGAAACTTTATTCGATGTTCGAGCCGGAAATCTTCCACACGAAATTTAAAGCGAGACTTTTTTATCTTTCCGATATCTTTTTAAGCTCGACTCATTTACCCGAAAATTTAGTCGCCGCATTCGCTAAAAGATTAGCCCGTTTAGCTTTAATAGCCCCATCGGAAGATATTATGGTGATATGTATGTTTATTGGAAATTTAATTTTAAGGTGAAAAAAATTTAACCTCACTTTTTAAAAATTAAATGTCACAATTTAACCTCACTTTTTCATTAATTCTTTTTTGCAGACATCCAGGTTTAAAGTGTTTATTAAATCACCCCGCTGGGAGTTCAACAGGAAATGATCCTTACATAATGGAGGAACGTGATCCATTAAAATCAAATGCGATAAATAGTTCTTTATGGGAAATTTTGAGTTTGCAACAACATGCTTTGCCGTGTGTTGCAACAGCTGCGAGATTTATAAGTAATCCATTGCCTTCCGTGGAGTGGGACTTAGGGAATGTGTTGGATACTACGGTAGATACAATTTTTGATCGGGAGATTAAGAAGAATGGGAAGCTTTTAGCGTTGGCTTTTGAGAAGGATTTCGCTGGGAAATGCGATAAGATCGAACAGTATTGGAAATTTTAGAGACTGAATGTGAAAATAATAACTTTTTGTTTATTGATGGTGATTAATATTAATTAATTAATTAATAACGACTAATTAATAACGTTTCAAATTTGTATGAAATAATTTTTTTTTGGTTCTTCGATTCCTTATTGATCCTAGTCAAGAACGTTTTCTTTTCATCTTAAACAAGAGGAAATGAAATGATTTTATGTGGATGTAAAAGAGAAGTTTCAAAAAATTTCTTTCCGATTAAGAATCTTTTGTTCGTTTCCAATTTCTTTTATAACTCGTCTCGATCTTTTTGTAAGTTGTTATAAAACTATGTATCAAATAAAAATGTTGTCCTTTTATTTATTATCTTTTCATTTAAATTAAATTTATGATGACGTTTGAGGTTATGTTGTATAAATCAATACCAACCTTAAAAACTAAAATTTAACTTAGATTAAAGAATAAAATAAAGCATTTTTAAATAATTTTTATTAAGAATATACGAATTAAATCACCAATCATCTAATTTTATATCTTCAACGATATCATCTTGATCACCATAATCTCCAAAATCGTCACTTACATCAATAACCTTTTTCTTTTTATTCACATTTTTACCTCCTCGTTTACCCCGTTTCTTCTTCAATTGAGTTTCCTCTTCACTTTCAGAGTCCGATGGGAATAACTCAACCTTCTCATCACTTACTTTCTTGTTAATAACGCCCTTTTTGAGTATCGGCAAATTGTATTCACCCAATTTATCATTTCCCGTTGCTTCCTTATTCCTTTTAATCGTCCTCAATTTATTCCAATTCTCGTAATACTCCTTTAAAGGCGTCCCTTTGTTAATAACCAAGCTTTCCCAGGCATCAATTCCTTTCGAATCCTTTAAATTAAACTGAATCGATTTTCTCTCCTTTTCGATAAACTTTGAGTTCTGTTCGATTTTCTCTAAAATTTGTTTAATTTTTCGACAATAACTCGCAATGTTACAGGTTTTCAAGAATTGTTTAAGTTGAACAACTACGAAAAGCGTCAAATCTGGGTAAGCTAAAGAACTTGAATTATTAGCTAAATACTCTAAAAGTTGTGAATAAATTGCATCGATTAAAGCATCTTTGAACCCGTTTTCTAATAATTGCGACTTAGATAGCCTTAAAATACACGTGAAATGAAGTGGTTTCATCGAAACTTTTTGATGCTTCTTATTAAAATCGTACAGGCTTAAAATCTCGATGATAAACGGCAAAATTGGGATGAAAACTCGAGTTTTTGATGATAAATCGATTAAAACTTGGGTAACATGAAATCTTAAAGGGTAATATTGAGTGGTTGGAACAAGTTTTAACGTTCCTAAACACACCTGAACAAACGGGTAAATCAAAGGTTTCATTTGGGGTTTCTCGTAAATCATTGATAGCAAACTTCCCCATAACCTCAAAGAATTTATAAATTGCCAATTATAAACCGTTTGAATATTTTCTTTCTTCTTAACGGTAATCGCATTCCTTAAATGTATCGCTAATTGACGAATATTTAAAAAAACGTGTTGATAAGCCACGTTAACATCCAAAGCGTACATTTCAACCAACGATCTTCGCATAAAGTTAATCCCCGGCAAAGTACTCGTACTCACGAATTTCGAATTCCTCACATAAGCTAAATGCATCATTTTTAGCACTAAATCAAGTAATGATTGTTGCTGATTCGTCACCATTCGTAAAATACAAAGAAAAGCCACAACTCGAACATTCTCTTCGGAGGTACTCCACAAATCCGTCAATTTCTTTAAAACCGATTTTGTCACATTCCCATAAGACACCAACATAGGCGCCATATAATGTAGATGTTTTAATAAAACCGTTAATATATTCGGAGATGTAACGCCTTTTAAAATTTTTAATAAATCAGTGAAATAACCCCGCAAAACTGCTTTGATTTTTATGAATCGTTTACATTTATGAGGTGGCTGTTTCGAACCGGGTGATATTTTTAAATACCTTCTTATAGCTGGGCCCAATTCTAAAACACAAACCTAAAAAAAATTTTAATTCAAAACTTTTTTTAAAAAACAATATAGGCAACTCAACACCACAGAAATTTTGGTTGCATAAATACAAACCTGAATAATTCCATTAAAAACGGCAGATCCCTCAACTTTAAACTCGGAAATATCCTGTGAATTATCCGCAGAAACACTTAAAACAGCCGCATGGAATGCTTTAATTAACGTGGTTAACGTTTTATTTGAAGCGTCGGTTTCGATGTCTTTCCGCCAAGTTTTTAATAATTTTAAAGTTACTACTCGTCCATCTCTTTTTACCGATTCATCTTCGAAATCACTTTCGTCGCTGGCCACTTCTAATTTTCCTTCGGGTTTGTGTAATTCGTCTATTTCCTCTTCAGAATCAACTTCGTCTTCATCATCAGAAAAGTTTAAACTTAACAGCTTCTTATCATTTTCTTTGAGAAAATTATAAAATTCCGCATCGGTTTCTTGTAACTTTGCGAGAGATTCTTTAAATTTATTTTCTTGTATATTGACATCTTCATCATCACTATTTGAATCCTCATCGATATTGTTTTCTTTAATTTCCTCATTATTAAGCGATTCGTTTAAATCCTCTTCATCGGAATTTTCTAAAACATCTTCGTTTTCCTCGCTTGGGATTTTTATTAAATTTTTTGGTGTTTTTAAATTTTTTGATGTTTTAAAGCTTTTCGATTTTTCAAAATTTTTGATACATTTTGGTTTTAATTTAAACGTCGCACCTTTCGGTTTTACTTTAAACAATTTCGTCTTAACACCAGCTTTGTTCTGTATTTTTCCCATTTTTACTCAAACTTTTATAATAAAGTTATAAACACGTGAAGAGGTTAAGGATTTGAGGTTATAATTACGTTTAAGAAATGTTCCGATAGATGTCGCTAACATCACTGCGTCAAATCTGTCAATGACTATAAAAATTGTAAAAACCACCAACAACAGGAAAATTGATATTATTTTTGGGTTATAACGATTAAAAATGTGCATTATCGACTTTAAAGCACCGTGGGGGGCCATTTTCGTTTAAACTATTATGTATATGTCTTCGAGGTACCTTCTCCTCAATTATTTCATGCTTGGGGTGATTGTAATTTTCACCGGGGGCTTACTTCTACAACTTTGTCGCTTGTATAGTGTCCGGGAGAGTATGCGAACGCTTGATTCATACGATAACGAGGTAAGTTGAGTTAATTATGAATCTATTAACGTTCGTGGTGGTAATTTGTTGGTGTTGTTTTAGGTGGAAATTTTAATCAATCGGATGAAACACATCAATAAAATTTCACGGTATAACTTTAATTTGCTACAAAAAATCGAGGATGCTGTTCATAACAGCACTAAATACTCTGGGAAGCTACGGTGACGATTTGTTAGAAATAGAAGAAAAATAACCTAAGATATTTTTGGTTTTTCGATTTAGTTTTTTTGGTTATGTTATTTAAAATGAGAAAGAGGCCAGTAGATGCACAAAGATATATTTTTAATTTTTAGAAAGTAGGTAAAAAGAGTTCTATTTAATTATTAAAAAAAATAACTTAATAGGCAACCAATATGGCGCATGGGCTAATTAAGTTGCCTATTTATTAATTATTTTATTTAAATAGAAGTTTCTTACACAAAGAAAATAATTTTTTATACCGTGTAGGCAATAAAAGAAACTGTTAATTTTAAAAGTTTTTATACAAACGTTGGTTAATTTTTATAGATGTTTATTACTGTGTTGAATAAAAACTAACCTAAAAATGTCATTTTAATTATCTAAACCTAAACACTGAGGATTATCCTTAAATAATCCCTTATTTTCAAAAACACCATGTGGTGAACAAATCCACGGATCGTTCGTCTTTAATTGCCAGTCAAAAAGCCGATTTTTTAAAGCATCAAGAAGATCTTTGTACGTTGGAGCATCGGCTAAATTATTTAACTCGGCCACATCACTACGCAAATCATATAATTCCCATTCTGGTCTGTTATAATATTGTTCTAAGGTTTTAATCCACGGTAAATGTTCTTTAGAACGGGTTCGATTTAAAATATCCTTAAAAAATAATTGATTACTAATTAACTTTAGGTTAAAATCGACTTACTTGAAACGTTGGTGATAAATAAAAATCTTGATCAATAGGAAACGGGGCTTTATAATTTAAATTATGTATTAATTTATATCGAGTGGTCCTTATAGCCCTCATCGGATAATACATAGTCACTTCATGCAAATTATGACTTGCAAAAATTGCTTCAGAACTATAATTTTTTGGTTCTAAAATGTTAACGTTATTAAATAAAATAATTAATGTAATTTTAGAGTACCTTCATGTAGTAACGGCAACAAACTTTTCCCCGTATATGGATTACTCTCATTGATAATCTCGTTAGTTTTGATGTCGTGCTCCGAAGTTTCATCATTTTTAATTTCAAACCAATCTAAAATCGTTGGAACGATATCCAATAAGCTCGTTAATGAGTACGTAACCTGATTTCTTCTTTCTTTATTATAAGGGGATGAGATAAACATTGGCTCCCTTAAGCCGGCATCATATAAGTTAGTTCTTCCGTTAGGAAATGGAATTCCATTATCGGATGAATAAATGATTAAGGTGTCATCTAAATGACCCGAATTTTTTAATTCTTCCAAAATTAATCCAACACCTAAAACAATCAAAAATATATGTATTAAAATATTTAAAAAAAAAAAAGATTGAGGTTATGTTTGAGATAAAGTATAACCTTGATCTAATCGTGAAATTGTTGTGTACTGAGCTGAAACATCTCTTCGTGCTGGTTCAGTGTCCGGAACGAAATAAGGTAAGTCAACTTGTTCCCATTGATAATAAATTGGGGTCCAATCAGGAATTTTCCCCATTCCTTCATCACCATTTCCAAAATGTTGGCAAAATTCACCGTATTCGGGGTTAGTGTGCCCACAACGGTGTGGATCATGAAATGAAACGTACAAAAAGAAGTTTTCGTTGGAATTATTCAAAAATTCCCTCGCTAATAATTTAATTTTTGTAATATTCCTCCCAACTTGTAAAATCGAGTGATTCTCTTCGGTTTGTTCATAATCAAACTTAAAAGCCGAGCTTGGCCCAACATGTTTTTTACCAATAATCCCAGTTTTGATTCCATTTTCTTTTAGGATATTTGGTAAACTTTTAACGGTATCAAAAGAATTGAAGTGGTTTTCAGCTTGGTGTAAGCCATACATCCCATTTTGATGCGATGGTAAACCGGTTAATAAAGCTGCTCGACTAAATTAATCAAAATCTTATTATTTCGGTCTAAAATAATAAGGATTAACATACCTCGGTGAGCAACTACTCACCGATGTGAAAGCATTGTGAAAAATTAAGCTTTGCTTAGCCAATTTATCCAAATTGGGAGTTTGGCATATTTTGTTTAAGTAGGTTCTCATTTCGAATCCCCCATCATCCGCTAAAACAAAAAAATTATTTATTTAAATAATTACATTAATTTAAACTAAAAAATAAAATGGCGCCATTTTTTAAAAAGCGTCAAATGTAAAATTAAACGTCAAAGCACAAACATAACCTAACTTTTTTATCGCAACAAATAATTTTTAAGTTAGTAACAAAAATCCCGGCTGATGCAAGCTATTTAAAGATTACCCATCATAAGCAGAACATTCTTCGAGTTTCCACCGGCCGTGAAAAGTGTTAAAACGTGAAAAGTGATGAAAAAAAGTACGTAAAACCCATCCATATTCGCGGTTAAAATTGTACTGAACTAGTTCAACGAAGAACTTTACTTTCCCTTTTTTTGCTCGCTTTCGCAATGTCAGGCAAGAAAATACTATGTTTGTTTGACGTGGACGGAACTCTTACTAAGCCACGTCAAGTAATCGATTCAACCATCGAAGATTTTTTATTAAAAAATGTGAAAACGAAATGTCCTTTAGGGATCGTTGGAGGATCGGATTTTAAAAAGATCGCTGAACAAATGAACGGAGATGACGTAGTAAAAAAGTTTCAATATGTTTTCCCCGAAAATGGGCTCGTTCAGTTTAAAAACGGAGAAGAAATTGGCCGAAAAAGCATTCAGGACCACATCGGTGAAGAGAAATTGCAAGAATTTATTAATTTTTGTTTGAATTATTTATCAAAGATTAATTTGCCTGTTAAAAGAGGAACGTTTATTGAATTCCGAGCGGGAATGTTAAACATTTCACCAATCGGAAGGTCGTGCTCGCAAAAAGAGAGGGACGAATTCGAAAAATATGATAAAATTCATAATATAAGGAAAACAATGATTGATGCGTTAAAAAATAAATTCACAAACATCGATTTAACATATAGTATAGGTGGCCAAATCAGTTTTGATGTATTTCCACACGGTTGGGACAAAACTTATTGTTTGCGGCATTTAGAGAATGAAGGTTTTGATGAGATTCACTTCTTCGGAGATAAAACTGATAAAGGGGGGAACGATCATGAGATTTATAATGATAGTAGGGTTGTGGGGCATCGCGTTTGTGGCCCAGATGATACCAAAAAGCAACTAGAGGACTTATTAAAGGATAAATTTTAATTTTTTAATTTATTTCGAGTTTATTGATTCGCTAAGAGATGGCGCTAGTTTCGCGAAATATTTTTATCGATTTATTTTAATTTTTAAGCGTATATTATTGAATTAATTGTATTAATAAAGCATTTATAACTCATCTTTTAATGATTTATTAGTTGGGAATATAAATATATGTAATTAAATGTTTATTTAAAAAAATACATTTTCGGTGATTCTAACCCCTAACCTGTGTATAAGTTTTTATTGGATGAAGAAGAAAAGGTTCTTAAATAAAACATTAATTTAATTAATTTATTATAATTAATCATTACCTCATGAAATTATCTCCATAAGCAAAACTTTTATTGTTTATTTTTTAAAACATAACCTCGCACCCCACTACAATTTTAAGGTTAAGAAAAATCCTGCCCTTAATTTGGTAATTTTTCAAAAAATGCCCACCGTTTGCCGATTATGTTTAAAGATAACCGAAGAAAGCGAGATAGCGCACTTTACAAGCGAGCATTTATTACAAATTCGTTCGATTATCCCAGAAATCGTAAGTTTTCCAGCATAACCTCAAAATTATAAAAAAAATTTTTTAAAACCTTAGGATTTAAAATCAGTAAAATCACCTTTAATATGCACAGAATGCACGAAATCGTTAAAAGCAGCTCACGATTTCAAATTGGTGTGTTTAGAGACGGAAAAGCGATTAGAATTGTACATCGAAACGAACGGGATGATTAATTTGGAGGAGTTGTTGAGTTTAGAGTTTGATGCTGATGATAAAAAGGATGATGATTATTTACTTGAGGAGACGATCGATCTTAAAGTGGAGGATGATGAGAATGACGAGGAATTAAGTAAATATCCTTGCGATATATGCGGGAAGGTTTATTTAAGCTTAAAATCGAGAAATAGACACAGAAAAAATCACTTGGATAAACCCGTGTGTAAAGTTTGTAACAAATCGTTTTATGATCGTGCTAATTTATTGAAACATCATCGTAGATTTCATTATTCCGAGGGGAATGAAGATAAATCGGAAGGATCTCACAAAAAGTTGAATCGGAAACAACTAAATAAACATTTTAAATGCGAATATTGCACAAACTCCTATAAGAATCGCTCAGTTCTTGAATTACATGTCAAATCAGTTCATGAGCCCCAAAATTATATTTGTAATTTTTGCGAGAAACGATTCCCAACTAAATATTTATTACAACGTCACATCGATCAAATTCATTATGATAAACGCGAAGAGATTAAATATGTTTGCAAAATTTGCGACGAAGATTTTCCCTCACAACATGATCTGTGGGAACACCGCAAAGAGAATCATCCTGAATACGAGACTCGACGTTGGACTTGCGAAATTTGCGGGGGAACTTTCTCCAAAGAAACGCTTGAGGTGCATCAACGAACACATACAGGGGAGCGCCCCTTTAAATGCGACATTTGCGACAAAGCCTTCACTCAGTCGAGTTCGTTATGGACGCATAAACAACAAATACATTCCAATAAACGCCCGTATGTTTGTGGATTTTGCCCTCGAAGTTTCCCTCTTAAAGGGAGTTTAACGAAACACATGCAAGATACCCATTTAGGTGATAAAGTCGAAAAGAAATTTAAGTGTATCTATTGCCCGAAAGCTTATCGAGTTGAGAGTAAGTTGGTTTATCATGTGAGGTGGCACACAAACGAACGAAAACATAATTGTGATGTGTGCGGAAAAGCTTTTGTTGATAGAAGTTCGGTGGTGAAACATCGCGTGATTCATTCGGATGAAAAAAGACATGTTTGTGAGGTTTGTGGGAAAGGGTTTCATCAAAAATATAATATGAAAATTCATATGAAAGTACATTCTAAATGAAACTAAAATAAATTTTTTTAATTTCAAACTTGGTTATGCAACCAATACGACGTTTTTTTAGTTCCCATTTTCCCCCCTAACCTAAAAAATAACATAACCTCACAATAAAAATCAGTTATTTGATAAAGTTTTAAAGTATGAGTATTTCAACAACAAAAATCTTAAATCTTTATAAACAACTTTTAAGGTACGGTTCAGATCTAGAATATACAAACAAAGGATATTATTTTCGCAAAATTCGCCACGAATTTAAAACCAACAAAAATTTAACCGATCCAAAAGAAATTTCTTTTAATTATAAGAAGGGTTTATCACTTCTCGAGCGACAATCGGTGAAATGATTCTTCGCTACATTATTAAACCTCCTCCTCTTATAATTGCAAATTTTAAGCGGCTAAAACATTGTGTTGATTACACCAAAGTGCCGAAGTTATTCGAAAAGGATTTGGAAGAACAACATGTGCGTGGAAGTGGCCCCGGGGGGCAAGCGACTAATAAAACATCGAATTGTGTCGTATTAAAACACCTCCCAACAGGGATTGTGGTAAAATGTCATGAAGATAGGTCGTTGATGATAAATCGGAAGAAAGCAAGGGCTATTCTAATTCAAAAATTGGATAATTTAATTAATAAAGAGGAGAGTGTTCAAGCACAAATTGATAAAATTGAGAAGAAAAAGTCAGAAGCTGCTTTAAAAAAAAGGGAAAAATTAAAAACCATGAAAGAGGAGTGGAAAAGACGAGAGAATATTAAATAAAACTACGATTAATTATTGTTAATTACTTTTATTGGTTTTTAGTTGAATATGAAAAAACGATTATGCGAAATACAAAAATAGATAAGAAAGAAAGCTGATAAGTATATGTAGAGGTATTTTTATTTGCACCTTTTCACCAATCGCTTAACATAACCTTAAAAAAATTCTTAAAACCTAATTTTTGGTTTTTTTAAAGGACAAAAATTTATAAATGCTTTAAAATTTGATTCTTTAATATTATAAAAGGTTTTATAAAGGTTTTTTTTGTAAAGTACCTCAAAATGCACCTAAATTATTTATTGTTTGGGTATAAAACGTTCTCTTATTACATTAATATTTAATTCTTTAATTTTTTAAAGGCGGGTTTTGGTTTATTTTTTATGGCTTTTAATACTTTTGGTCTATTTATTTATTTCCTTTTTTTTGTTTTGATTTTTTAATACCCCAATTATTATCTTCCGTAAACCTTTTTCGCAATTTTCAATCTTTCCAATCCTTTTTAATTTCAAACGTCCACTCCCATTTCAAATGCTCGTGTTTATCGTCATCGGTGAAAAGAGATTGAACCGTATATGCACCTCTGGCCATCATTCCGGAAGGTGCATCCTCCGACGGTGTTGTGTACGATTGAATTTCACCTTTTGGGGCGTAAGAACCAACCATATGAGTCATTTTATCCACTAAATAAAAAGAAAAACTAACATAATTAAAAAAAAAATTAGTTACATTTGACGTTTGAAATGTCAAATTATTTTTATATTAATTTTATAATTTTAAATTAAAAATGAATAATGGATAGAAGTTATCGATTAATAACTCATGGAATATTAGCGGGGACAAGCATATTTTTATCAACCCAATATTATCGTTTAAATGGGAAAGATCTTTTAACATTAACCGCATTTGGCTTATTGGGTATTCACTCGATAACCGGAGTATTAAAATATAGTAATAATAACGATAATTTTAACTCAATTTATGGAACATCAATGTATTTAAGGGACACCTTGGGAATCGCTTGTATAATTGGAAAAGTTGCCCTTTTAAACGGCCACAACAAGTTCGCCTACATTTATCCAATAGTTGCAACGATACCATTAATTTGCTGCTACGTTGTGGTGAGGAATTTCACCCCCGACGTCGAAGGTATCCCAATGATGGGATTAAACATGTGTCTATTAGGATTTTTTTCGGTGAAAAGCGGAAATTGGTGGGGCCTAATCGCCATGATAACCTACATTTTTGCATATTACGGTTTCGCCCAAGACGAGCATCACATCAACGAGGGAGCAACAACTTTTATTTTAACTTTTTTTACGTGGTTTTCATACAAAGCTTGTGGTGGTATCGACTTTTTAATCGATTTATTTAAAAGTAACGAAATAAAGTAATAAATGTCAAAATATTTTGGGGTTATGTCAATTAAGTGTCAAAATTTGTTGAGCTTATGTCGTAATAAAAAATTATTTCTTACCTGGTTCAGTAAGCTCTTATGAAAATAAATTTATTTTACAAGTTACGAAATAATTTAGGTTAATTTTCTTACCTGGAACTCCGAGCCTATAAGTTTTTTGCACGTATTTTAAGCCGTGCACGATTTCTCTTTGCACGATAAACTCGATACGAATCTTATAAGAGACGCCCTCTTTAATGGAAAACGTTTCTTTTTTTAATTTTGAGATGTCGCCGGTCAAATCTAAAGCGAGTTCGGGGCGATCCGCGACAACCAAGACCAATCGCTTCACCAAGACTTTTCTTAAATCGTTGGGTTCTAAAAACCAAAAACAGTAATAACCTCAAAATTAAAATTGTTTAATTCATTTTTACCAACTACAATCGTTCCTGATTGAGCTTGCCCCAACAAAGCCTCTTTATATTTCCTTAAGCTCTCATCTTCTTGGTCGGCAGCCAGAATTTCATCGATGCTTTTCTCGGGAGGTGGTTTATACAAAGGATCATCATTGTCGATCTCACCGGTGGGTGTATTGGTGTCTCCTTCGGACATGATTTCAACTAAATAGATATAAAAAAGAACCAATTATCGCAAGGTCGAAATAAAATTGGATTTTAGTAAAATCGAAGTTTTTTTTTCTATTTTTATCTCATAAAGAGACCGGCGCGTTATATTTAGAACCAAATCGATGAAAAAGGATCCTAAACGGCTTTTAAGCAAATATACTGTATTGGTGTAACTTACTGCTCTTTATTGCTTCGGTAAATAATAAAAATAAGGAAAATTTGATGATTTTTTTATGTTGGCGTTCAATAAATAAATGGGTGGTCTAAAGTGCTAAGTACGCATGCGCAACTTTAACTTTAATAATGGCCACCTCAATTTCTTGCGCCATCTATTAATCGATGGTGCAATAAATCTAAAATAAGATAACACTTTATTTTTGAATGATTTATAATAATAAAATAGTTTAATTTAGATTTAATTACAAATAAAAATTGATAAAATTTTGTTTCTCAACATTTAATATATGATATTATAATTAGTACCAACATAAACAGTTGGTACGCCGACGTAAAGTGCGCGAATGAAAACCGAATTAACCTCAAATCACCGTTAAGAATATAAGAAATAAATTTTAGAAATTTAAGACGTTAAATCAGTAAGAAAAACGATTGTAATTAGTTGAATAACAAAAAAAATGCCACCGAAATCAAGTAATAACGTTTCGACCGCATCATCAAGTAATAAAAGGAAGCAATTAAAACCGAAGAAGAAGCCACCCGCCACAATATTCTATGTGAAATCTAAGGAGCACAGAGTGCCTACAACGACTATGAATTCGATTAAGTATCTGCAAAAATCCACAAAATTATTAATACCAAAGTTACCTTTTGCTCGGGTAGTTCGAGAAATCTTATATGCGCGTTCGGCTGATGTGAATCAAATGCAACAACTAGCCCTCGCAGCCCTACAAGAATCCTGCGAGCTTTATCTTACCCATTTATTTGAAGATGCTAACATGTTAGCAATGCACGCAAATCGAATCACACTCTCGGCAGATGATATGGACTTGGCTCTCCAACTCCGTGATAGAAAATCATGAAGAATTTTATTAGACGTTGAGATCTTAGTACGTATAAGATAAATTGTTTTTATTTTTTTAAGAAAATGTTATAAAAGAAGTCATATAAGACAAAAAAACCTTATTTTTTGTAAAAATCTAATTCTTTTATTTGTGGTAACATCATTAAAATAATATAATGTATTAACGAAGGTATTTGTTAAAATTTAGCGAAAAATAAAAATACTGATACTTGAAATTTGATTCTTTTGACAATTATCGGTGTCCCCTTATAAAGCATTTCGAGAAGAAAACATTTATAACTTGATTGTCAAGTTGTGTAAAATCTATTATTAATAAAATACAACTTATAGACTTAGAAATTGATTTAATTATAAGGAACCCTTGGATTTCTTAACCCCCAAGACATGCTCGTAATAAGCTGCATTCATTTGCTCCAAAACGATGAACGTTAAAACGGTGTGGGGACCTAATCGCAAGAAATACGGCGTAAATCCTTTCCAAAGAGCAAAGAATCCTTCTTGTTGTATCACCCTCGATAAAACATTTAAAGCTCCGGTATACTCGGGTTTTCCATCAATCATTTTCATGTTTTGTATCCTTAAAAAAAATATTTTAATTTAATTTCGATTAAAAAAATTTAAATTAGTTGGTATTTAATAATTAAATTTAAAATTAATTAATTTTTTATGAACATAACCTTAAATTGATTTTTTTTTGACATTTAATATTACATAACCTCAAATTAATTTTTATTTTAAATTAATTAATTTTAAATTAATTAAAATACCTTGTTTTAGCAATATCAACAGGCATTGAAGCAGCTGTTGTAACTAAACCCGAAATCATTGATGCCGCAAAATGACATCCAACGTTATCGGAGAAAAAGCCAGTTCCTAATAGTAATTGTTTCGCTTGAGAATAACTAGCTAATTGGGCAGCGTTAACAACCATGGCTCTCCCCATAGTGGGGATAGCTCCTCTCCATAATGTTAAAATTCCTTCTTCCCGTGTTATTCGCATTAAAGCATCGAAAACATTTTTATAATTCCTTCTTTCTGCTAATGGTAAACGGCCATCAGATGTCATTCGAATTAAAGCAACTTCAGCGGGAGTTCCTGGTTAAAAAATAATTAACATTAAAAGTACTAATGATTGAGCAAGTTTTGAGGCGAAAATATTGCCTTTTCTGATAAAATCGCATTTTTATTTTTAACACAATTTCATAAAAGCAAGATAAACAAAAGTGTGACAAAGCGTATTGAAAAAATACATTGTAAAGGATAAGTGGAGGTCATATTATAATCTGTTTTGATAAGAAATCAAGAAATGGCTTAAATTTAAATTGTTATAATCTGGGTGGAAAAAAATTAATATCTTAATAAATTTAATCCTTACCTACAAAAGCCCCCGCAATTCCTGCGGCCATTCCCAAACCGGCTTTTGTAAAAAAACCTGGGGGTTTATCCCCAGTTGAGCACATCTCGAATAACCAAGTGTAAATTCCCAAACGGGTTGTAGTGTACGTAGCCTGTCTAAGTAAACCGGCTGAGATACCGTTGTAAAGGGCAAAAACTCCTTCTTTGCCTATGATATCTTGTATGCAATGAAACGAGGTTTTGTAGGCTTTCGATCCACCAGATCCACTGAGTTGCATACGGTTTTTAACTAAATCTAGCGGTTGCACCACTAATGTCGCAGCCATTCTAAAAATATTTTAATAATTAATAAAAATTATTTTTTTGAATTTCGCGCTTAAACCAAAAAAACATATGCCATCTACCTACCCAGCTGATCCCCCCATTACAAATTTGACCGCGTTAGGAATGGTTTTTTCCTCTTTTACTTGCACTTGAGCCATCATTTCGAGTTACTCGTTCAACGTTTCGCTCGATACTACTTAAATAAATCGGAAAATACCCAGGCGCTAGCGAGGAAAAAATGTTTGTTGAGTGCGAAGTTGAAGCGTTCCAGTAATATTAATATGCTTGACCTTTGCTTCTAACTAGTTGTGGGACTATCGAAACGTTTCATTTTGACCCACCACCACCACAACTTTTGAAATCAGCGGCGGGGCAAAAAATTCCATAATTTCCTCTTTATTTGACAATTATAAAGTAATTAGACAACCAAATTGACGTTCAAGTATTGAGAAAAAGATTACTAGATGGGGTTGGTTTCAAAAACATATTTATAATACAGTTTTTTTAATTAATTAATTTTGTATTAAAATTTATAAATAAATTTGTTTTTACAACAAATTAATTTTATAATATTATTTATGTAGAGATTTAGCGGTATTAAGGTAATGACAGAAATTAGAGTTTGAGTTTCGAAAAAAGATTAATAGATGGGGTTGATTTCAAAAAAATTTATTAAAATTAATTCATTATTAAATAATTTCTTTTGTATGAATTAATTTTGCATTAAAATTTGTAAATAAATTCGATTTTACAATAAAATTAATAACAATAAATTAATAAACTTTAAGTAGTTGACACATTTGACGGTGATGCGCGTTTGGTTGCCATAAAAGTGGGTCAATCGGCTGTCGAAGAAAAAAAAATTAACACAAAATGTTAAAAGAATCGCAAATATCGCCGTGTTAATAACACCTTATTTAAATAATTCGGTGGTGTGCCGTCTTAAAATTGCGGGGTGCCGCAAATTCCGGTTAAAAATCCGCCCAAAAAAGAAAATGAGAATTTAACCTCACAAAGTGACGTAAAAACGTTTTAATTATTGTAACAATATTATTTAAATATATAAAAATTATTTGTGTTTATTATTTTTATTTAATCAACTTATTTTAGGTTAGATTTTTTTTTGTATTTTTATTTTTTCTAAAAAATGGCAAGTAGTAATCACAACTCGGATATGTATTCTTGTGAAGTGTGCGGTTTGAGGGATTTAACGAGCCAACAATTCTTCGAGCACACACAAACTAATCACATCGATGGGAAATTAGAATGCCCCTTTTGCGATTATTTAGTGGACGAGGCCAATAACATCCAGGATCATGTTGCAACCGTTCACTCGGAATTCTTAACACCAACACAAGAAATGAATACAATGACTTTTATCGATGCTAGTCCTAGGTTATAATACTTAAAACAATTTTTGTTTTAATTAATAAATAAATGTTTTTTTTTAGTGGGAGTGAATGGAAAAATTTAGCTTCGAATTCAAACGGAGTCTATCAAAGCAGCGTTTCCCCGAAAGTTGTTAGTGGCGGTGCCGATTTAAGTATAAAAGCGGAATCTCACGGACAAGGGTCCCCACAACGTTCAAATTTAAATTTAAAATTAAAAAACCCCCAAGTATTGCAGTGCCCGATTTGCCGTTACACAAGTACGAGTCCCGGGGAGTTAGAGGAACATGTAAATCGGTATGGTTTAATTACAACATTAAAAAAATATTAACAAACCTTATTTTTAGACAACATTTCGATTTAACATCACCATCAATCGGAAATACAACCGGGGAGGTTTTCGCTTGCCCTCTTTGTTCGAAATCATTCAATTCAGCTCCCGATTTAGAGCTGCATGTTAACATTGAGCATAAAGATGTGTTATCACCAGCTTCCCCAACAAATTCGACTTGTCCTATTTGCGGATTAACTCTAGATAATGATAATAACGTAAATTAATCTCATTTAATCATCAATTTTATTAGTTAATTTTATTTTTTTAGAGTGATGCGGCAGCTCGGCATGTAGAATCACATTTCCCAGCGGGTTCCCCACAACCAATTGACCGTGAGGCGTTAAAAAAACGTGAAGAGCGTGAATTTGAGTTGTTACGAGCCCAATACGGCATGGATAACCAAGGGAATTTTCGCGAACAATCTGTTACTAACATGCAAAGGGCTGTTTATGCCGGCGAAATGAGCGTTGCTGATTATTACGAAAGAACCCTCGATTTAAGACAAGCGGAAAGTTGTGGAATCGATGATGGAAGTTCAGTAACGAGGGGATTAGTATGTCAAAAGGAATTGTAACATCACTTTTTTAATGTATTAATTTGATTTGTTTTAATTAGATTCCTCGAATTAGAGCGTTAAGTATAAGTTCGCAAAATGTTTCTCGAACTTATATTTGCACATGTGTTGATCATTATGCCTCGTCTTATGGTGATCGAGGTTGGGGGTGCGGTTATCGCAACACTCAAATGCTCATATCTAGTTTATTAAAACACACGGGGTATAATGAGAGGTTATACACGATTTGGCAGAATCAGAAGCCCCCAAGGAGTTCTGTGCCGAGTATATCACGTTTGCAAGGGTTAATTGAAGAGGCTTGGGCTCAAGGATTTGATTTACAGGTTGGTTAATTTTTAATTTGTTAAAAATTAGGTTATGTTTTAAATTTTCTTACGCTCACCAAAAGATGGCGCTACTTATAAAAATAAATTGTCGAAAAACTGTTTCATACTAAACGCCATATACAAGGAAAAAAATTAATTAAATTGTAGAAATATTACCATTTATTACCGTAATTATTGTTATCAAAATAGAATGTTTATATTTAATTAAATATTATCGTTTACTATACTCTGTTTTTAAACCAGGAGGAGTATTTTAAATTTGTCACCAGATTGACCTTGCACGTGATTGGTTGAATGCGAGGAAGGTTCACACACAGGCAATTTTGAATTTTGATTTTGAATTTGAAGGTTAGGTAATTGATAATTCGACAGTTTCGTGTCATTATTGTATATTTTGTGTTCTTAAACCCTTTTTTATTATATTTTGAAATAAATACACTCATAACTTCAATGTTAATTTGTATGTATAGTGTTGACGATAACAAACGAAAATAAATACAATAATAAGTAAATAAATAAATAATAATTATTAATTTAAATTTACCGCCAAAATATCTAGTGATATTTTCTGGTGATTTTTTCCAGTGTAAATCTGACTTTCGCGTTTACTCCTCCTGGTTTAAAAACAGAGTATAGTTCTAGTGCAAGTGTTAGTTCTAGTTTTAATTGTTATTCAGCGCTAAGTTGTATATTTTTAAGTTTCGGGTTTAGCCCTGTGTCTTCAGACGCTGAATGTTAGGTAAGGTTAGTTTTGTTTACAAACATTAATTATACCATGAAGTATTCTTTGGCAATTAGTAATGGCAATTATAGCGTGAAGTTTTCTTTTGTAATGTCAATTATAGCGTGAAGGAATGTTAGGTAAGGTTAGTTTTGTTTACAAACATTAATTATACCTTGAATTTTTCTTTAGCAATTATACTCTGTTTTTAAACCAGGAGGAGTATTTTAAATTTGTCACCAGATTGACCTTGCACGTGATTGGTTTAATGCGAGGAAGGTTCACACACAGGCAATTTTGAATTTGAAGGTTAGGTTATTGACAGTTCGACAGTTTCGTGTCATCACGTGTCATTATTGTAAATTTTGTGTTCTTAAACCCTTCTTTATTATATTTTGAAATAAATACACTCATAACTTCAATATTAATTTGTATGTTTAGTGTTGACGATAACAAACGAAAATAAATACAATAATAAGTAAATAAATAAATAATAATAATTATTAATTTAAATTTACTGCCAAAATATCTAGTGATATTTTCTGGTGATTTTTCCTAGTGTAAATCTGACTTTCGCGTTTACTCCTCCTGGTTTAAAAACAGAGTATAGTGCCATCAAAAGATGGCGCTGGTGCGAAATTACAATTTTTGACCGTCAGTTCGCATCTTTTTAGGGTTCTGAGCAACTTGGGAGTCGATTAGTAAACACTAGGAAATGGATTGGAGCTACTGAAGTGATGACTTTATTATCGTACTTAAGAATTCGTTGCCAGTTAATAGATTTTCATCGTCCGACGGGTCCTGGAGGTACCCACCCCGAATTATTCGCCTGGGTACTTAATTATTTCGAGAATTGCCTCCAGCAAGACTTTACTCCGCCTTTGTACCTTCAACATCAAGGTAAGAAACAAAATTTTTCCCATTTTTTTAATTAATCGGATTTATTTAAGGACATAGTCGTACAATAATGGGTATCGAAGTGCACAAAGACGGAAGTTTGGTGTTATTGCTTTTAGATCCGAGTCACTCACCTCAGCAGATGGCGCAATTTGCCGATACGAACACAGGTTCGCAAGCCCTAAGATTATTAAGGAAGGGCGAGGCTTACATGAAAGCTCGTCAATATCAAATCGTCGCCGCTGTTGGTATGATTGAAAGCGAGCAACAATATCAGGTAAAATAAATTATTTGGGATAAATATGCTTTATTTTTTAAAATTTTAGCAAAGTAAAGTGTTGCGGGGTTTAAGGATACCACAAGATCGGTGAGAAGTATCGAAATTGTTCGCCATTTGGTGGCGAACGGGTCATCAAAAACGACCACCTGATGCTGTTCAAATGTATCGCCGTTTTGAGACTTTTAATTAGCTTAAAGATTAAAAAACAATCCTAAGAAAATTTACCCTATATCAAAATTTAAAAAAAAAGTATTCAAAAATGTGGTTCGGAAAGTACCTATATATAGATTTAAAAGAAAAAATACATAGTACAAAGCTTCTTAGAGTGCTGCTTGTTTCCCAGGGTTCCCCTTTTAACAATAGGGAACTCTGCACACTTAGTGATATTAAATTTGTAAGAATCGTTCCGGTTTTTTGTTGTATTTCTTTGTCGTAGTATTTATTTGTGAGAACACTGTGCCATAAGTCTTAGAAATATTCCTATTATCAACCACTTTACACAATTCCACAAGCAATTGTCTTTGTTGTTTTAAAATTATTTGTTGTTTTAATTACAACGTGTTAATTACCCCACATTTAAAAAATAAAAATTATTCTCTTCAAAAATTCTTTAATTTGACAAATAAATTTGACAGTCCTAATCAAACAACTATGAAGATAGTTAAATCCTTGTATATAGATTCTATTTTAATTAAGATTTATAAATTTTATTGTTAATTATTTGAAGTAAATTAATTAGATTTATAATCTAAAAAGTCAGTAAATAGTCACAAATATATAAAAAATTATTTAATTGTATAAATAAATTAATCAAATCCCTTTTTAATTATTAATTTTAATGAAATACAACGAATTTTCATCGAAATTTTATTCATTTTCTTCCTTTTTTTTCTTTTCCGTGACTAATCTGATAAATATGCAAAAATCAATAAAAAGGGGTAATTTTCTCCAAGGAACTTTACAACCGGGGCTTTTGCCCCCAACAGTTAACATTTGTATGCCATCCCATGCTTATCGCATACGATTCGGGGTATGACTCAACATTTAAGACGTAAGATACGTTTTCTTTTAATGATGTAATGACGAACGTTCAGGAAGGTTAAAAGTTGTGGTTTTTTCAGTGCAACAGTGGTTAAACTCCATAAAAATGGCCGATATATCTCAAATACCCAACTTTCAATTAAAGGTATTAATTTATAAAAGGATTACGTGAGGATTAAAAGAAAAAAATTTTTTTTTTAGGTTATATTTCTTATACATACACTTTTTTTTTCGCTTGCTACCACCGGTTATTGGGCCCCAACCGGATATAGTTTTTATAATATACTCATAATTATACTCATTCTCCATATTATTTTAAGCGACAACACCGAAACTTTAAAAATTGTAAGTCAAAATTCTTTTGTGAGGTTATGTTTGAACCCGAATTTTTAGGCGCTTGTATTAAATGGTGTCTCCTTTGTTTTGGATTTGTTTATGGTTGGGTTTCATTTTCACAGTTCATGTACGTGTTTTGAGTAATTTAAACGAAACAAATTAATTTTGATTCATTTTTTAGCAATGTTTTCTTGCATCATCGCAATAATTTTCACGTTGGTGAAGCCGGCCACTACATTTGTACTATTTAAAATCAGCCAAGAACGTGGTGACGCCCCAGGGGGTTCGTATGGACGTTATTGAACCAGAATTTATTCTTCAAAACGCTTCATTACAGGTTCTGAAAGAAACATCGGAAACATTTTTACTACTAACCGTGATAGTTACGAGGATATCGACCGCAATGTGCCTTCAGTTGCCGCACATCCAAGTCAAGGGGGCTACAACATATCTACTGCGCAACAAATTTAATTTACTAAAATTATAATTAATGTCGGAGTATATCTCGAATTCGCTTTTAATGTAACGATATTAAGATATTGTTTTTAAAATATATTAATTGTTTGTTAAAGTTTTATAATTGCACTCAAATGTATTTATTTGTAATTAATAAATAATAAGTCATGTTTTAATGATTTACCTTTTTTAAGATGCAAAAAGGTTTTTAACGAAGCAAAACATTTTACAATAATGAGGTTTTTATTTCATTTTTGAAGTATTTAAACATCAAGGGCGATTATTCGCCTCATAGAAGACAGAAATTGTTCAAAATGAAGTTACATTTTATCGTATTCGTTGCATTTCTTTTAATTTTTAACTTGGGGAAAGTTCTCGGTGATGAAGAATCTCCTGCAGTGACCGGTGTTGATGGGGGGAATTCTGCATGCTCTAACGCTGAGCCTGCACCAGAAACTGGCGGGGAAGCAGCCAAAAAGAAGAAGAAAATGCATAGTGAGTACAAAAATTAATTAATTTAACTTTGTATTAAAAAAATTTTTTTAGAAAAACATCATTAATTGATACATGACGACGATTCTTCTAATTCATTATGTATTTTATTATATATTAAATTAAACGCAGCATTTTAAAAAGAAAAAATTTAACCGTTTTAATTCAATCCTAAGAAATTACAGATTTCTGTAAAAAAGAAAAAGGTGGTGTAAAATTGGTTGCCTCCGCCAAATTTATTTCGTTTCTTGCAAAATAAACTTCCTTGAACGGGAGAGAACGGTCTTTGGGAATTCCCACGTGAAAGTTTTTGAACGAACTTGACCCCGATGAACGAATAGAAAAAAATATACAGCGCAAAGAACTTTAAAAAAATCATAATACATAAAAAAAAAGATTATTTCTCGTTGTTGATTCCTAAAAACTTATTAATGAAAAAAACTTTTAAAAAAGTCGTTTATTTTCCTGATTTTTAATGCGTTGTGACGCAACACAAGCGGTAACGTCACGTCGAAAACAAACAACTCGAAGTTCAAGGAAAATTATCGAGAACCTCGGCAGCGACGACAAACAAAAACATTAACGTTTTAAAAGTTTCAAAATTCTATTACTGTTTAACTACATCTTTATTTTCAATTCATTTATTTATTTTTATAACAAATTGGTTTGGAGTAATTTTTTTTAATGTTAAAAGGTCAAAATCGATTTTGTTACGGCCCTGAACACGGCTCCTGCTTAGATGATGACGTGAAGAGATCCCCGACGACGTGGGGCTCTTTAAACGTGATGAAAATACTATACTACGTCTATCTCGTATTCTCACAAAGTAGCGAAATTAAACGTTAACCCTTAATAAATTTGCAAAAAAATAAATAAAAAAAAATGATAAAAATGTGCAAAATGTATTAATTGAGTTTTGGTGATTTTTGATTTTAATTTATTTAGGTTGGTACTTATTTATTTTTTAAACATCAAATGTCAAATTTTGTGTCAAGATTTTTTTTGAGTTCATTTCGGTTTTTTAGTGCTTTTTTAGTGTAATCTATTTTACATCAAATAACCGATATTATCTAAAATCACCGAAGCGATATATTAACATGAAATCGTCATTTTTTGAAGATTCAAGCGATTTCGCTTCAAATCGCCGAAGTCGCTTGCGGGCGAGGCGCTAGTTTTGATTAATCAGCACGAAATCATCAATCTTCAAGGATTCTAGCGCCTCGCTCGCAAGCGACCTCGGCAGAGTGAGGTTAAATGTTTTCTTATAGAAAACTTTGTATCTTTACAAAGATGGAAAAGGAACGATTTCGCTTCAAATCGCCCGCAAGCGGCCTCGACGAAATGGAGATAAACAATTATTTATTAATGTGTTGTGCTTTATATTAATATAATTTAACGTCCAGCGAATCGCCCGCAAACAATTTCAGCAATATTTATTAATATTTCATCAGACCCACTTTAGAGTTATAAACTTGACGTTTGTTAAATTTCTTTAGGTTATAAAAAAATGTTTGTGTCAAATTTTAAGTCGCCAAGGTGACGAATATTGAAAGTGAGGTTAAAAATTTAAATGATTGAAATAATATTAGAAAAAAAATTGTTTTGGTGATTTAAAAGAGAAGCGATGCTTATTTAGTCGAGCAACGAAGAGTTGAATGCCATCCGGTCGGAAGACCAGACAGAGCAAAAGGACCAGCAGGACGACCTGCTCAGGAATTCCAAGCATCCGGAGACGGGCAAAAAGTCCCACCCGGCTCCGATCCGCAATCTCTCATCTCTCTCTTAACCGTTTCTGGGCACCATCCCATTTCAAAAAAATTTCAATTCTAAATCAACTATCTTAATGTATCTTAACCACAAAGAATCAAATACGTGGTTTTAATAGAATCGATGTTTGACTTAAATTTTGATCTTGAAAATTGAACATAAACATAGACAGACAGAGAAGGACAACAACAAGAAAACGTAGATAGATCCAGCTCAAGGGTCAGTGTCTACCTTTCGCGAGGGCAGCAGCCGACGCCGCCGCCGCCATACTACGGCCGTGGTCGGGTCGCAAACCCCCCTTCTCCGCCACCTACCTCGCTACGGTTTGTCGCGTAGAGAGAGAGTCGTAGTAGTACGCTCTGCGTAGTAAAGCTGGAGCCCCCCCGAGTCCCGAACCGCGCCGTCGGGTTTGGGGTGAATCCCCCTTCGTCGCCACCGCTGCGGCGCGACGCAGAATGAATGACCCAACCCAGGGAACCCAATGCGCAGGGGCGATGCCCTCGCAAACGACGACGACGAACTTTACGGACCGCGCCCCTTTTTCAGTTTTTTTTACACCTTCAAAAACATTCAAAACATTTGAATTGATTTTAGGTTATAATTCTGTCAAATTTGATTAAATTAGGTTATGTCAATTTTAGTTCTGTCAGTTTTTAGTAACGTCAAATTTAGTTGTGTCAAATTAGGTTATGTTTAAATTTATTACTTTTTTTTGCGTTTAATGTAAATTTAGTAAACGTCCGGGTTTGGTTAAAAAAGTTTTTTTGGTGGCATTGAATCCACGTGGGTTTAATAACCTGGGTACTTTTTGTTATTTTTAGAGAACGATTCAGGTTCAATACTCTCCCCCTCCTTCACCGCTTCTCCGCCGATTTTTTTTAATTCGATTTATCTATGTATTTCCCGGGTTAAATTAAATTAAATTAAAATTAATTAATCACTTACTTTTTGGCGGATTCGAAAATTTAAATTTCCCTTAATTATTATTGCGACATTCCTAGTTTGCGCGGAGGGTTTTTGGCGCTGTGAGGTCCTCTTCTTGGAATTGGGGACACGGAATTCAAGAACCCCAATCAGGTAGAAGGTTCAAAACCTATAACAAAAAGAAATTTTAAGTTAAAATTTTTTAAGTTAAGATTAATCGTCAAATTTTACGTAAAAAATGTGACAGTTTTGAGGTTAAAATTAATTTTATTTATTTTTTTATTATTTATGGTAAAATAAATAAATAAAAATAAATAAATAAATTTGTCAAATTTGTTGCTGCCACGAAAGAAAAAAAACGGTCCCCACCCAATCTCTAGGTCAGCAATTCTTCCATCCTTTTTCACTTTGAAACGTCGCGAACCGCTACGCGCGCGGCGACACATTATTGACCCGCGCCTGCGCCCCACTTGTTTACTCGTTCACGGCGGCCCGGTCGCATTCCGGGGGCACTTCACCGTCCGCAACCAACTCAACCGTTCCTTCAAGTAAGACAAAGATGCTAATATAAACGATACGTCGCATTCGTTAGCGTCTCGGAGGGCGCTCGAACCAAAATAGTAATGTAGTACGCAGTCTGCAACGTAGCGTTACAGCGTTCGTAGGGTGTTTCTCGTTTCGTGAGGAGGCCCCCTTAAATTTTTTCTAATCCCCTCTCGCTCTCTCTCACTCTATCCCGCAACTAAACGAGAGAGAGAAAAAAAGTGCGTCTTGTGATTTGATTTTGATTTGAAGTGCGCGAGTTTTTTTTTAATAAATTAATAAACGATGGGATTATGTCTGTGAAAAGTACTAGTTCGGTTGGAGACGCTTCCGGCGTCGTCCGAACGGGGTACTTGAAGAAGCTGCGCACGTCGAAACGTAAAAAGTTCTTCGTGTTAAGATCGGAAACTGTTGAAAACGCGGCGCGTTTGGAGTATTACGATTCGGAGAAAAAGTACGCGGCGGGGGCGCGCCCCAAAAGGGCGATAGCTCTTAAATCGTGCTTTAACATTAACCGGCAGCCGGATTCAAAGCACAGGCACGTCATTGCGCTCTATACGAAGGACGACCGCTTCTGCATCCTGTTCGATAGCGACGAGGAGCTCGACTCCTGGTTAAAAATCTTACTGTTATTACAACACGGCGATGAAGCCACCGACGGCGTCGCCCCCAGACCCACTTTTGGTAAGTCCACATATGTTGATCAATTTTTTACTTACTTTTTATCTTTTTACCTTCCAAAATAGACAATTATTGACCCCATAAATAAACGATAAAATAACCTCGAATTTTGACAGATAATGCCAACTATGTAAACAACACAATTTAATTTCATAACTTTCATGTATTTTTTTAAAGATTAAAGGTTGTTTGTTAATTTATTTACGATTAATAATCTTATTATTAATTTGTTTACTTCGATTATTAATTTAATCAAAATTTTTTTTTTTTTTTAATTATAATTTGGGTTGGCTACAAATTTTTTATCTCGACTAATATTATAATTTTATTAGATTAATTTTTACATTCTGTTTAAATAACGTATTATAACAATTAATTTATCGAAAAATTAAATAAATTCGTTATTACAAAATCATATTTTATAATTTGTATAAAATTAATGTAATTTTTTTGGGGTTGGTATTAATTTTTAACTTTTCAAGCATCAACGTAACCACAAACGACAATTTTAGTTTATAATCATTAAAAATGTTTAATTAATAAGATAACGAAGACAAAAACAACTTTTTATTATTCACGTAAGTTCAAAAACGATTTTATTTAATGAAGCACTCAAAAAAATCCCCTCTTAATTAGATTTTTCCTTTAATGACGCGTTGTTTTGATGGACTTCGATCGTGAAACAGTGAGCTAGAGAGAGAGGAAAATTGTAATAACATGAAATACATGGAATACACAAAAAAATAACCGGCGTCATTGTTTGTCGTACTTTATCGATTATTTATCTCCGTACTCTTTGTGATAAGAAGCTGCTTGTCTCTTTTTTCAATTCTAACCAATAATTAATTAATTAATGCAAAATTAAGGTAATCGTATTAAATTTATTAAATTTTTGTAACTTCAAAATTCAAACTGTAACCTCAAATTAAAACGGCAAAATGAAACGTCAAAAATTGAAATAATTTTTTTTTAGTTTAAATTAATGATTTTATATGATACACACGAAATTTTATTCAGAAGTGGGCGTAAACAACGAGGAGAGACGAGTTTATGAATGAACCGTGCATATACGGCGTATTTGTATTGTGACCGCGGACGTATCACATCCGGTGCGGTTTTACAAGGCTGTTTGTATGAGAGAGGCTGGAATAAAAGCAACAACAACAACAGCCAGCGGTAGCGTGGAAAACGAACGAGACTTTTTTTTAAAGAATGAAATCGGCGGAGAGTGGGGTTATCATTAATACCCTTTTATTCGGTCAGGATCGTATCCGGGAAAGTTTTTTCCACGATGATTACACATTGGGAAAGCCTCAAAGCTTTAATAAAATGAATAAGGATTTTATAACATATCGGAAACGTTCATTATTTTTTAACGGACGCGTTTTGAAATGTCAAGAACACGGCATGCAACCGCAGCGTGGCTGTTTTGCTGCTGGTTCGATTGGAAACAAAAAATTTCCATTCGCGACGGCCAATTTATTTATTTATGCGAGTCAACTATAAATTTACAATTTACCATAAATATTTAAACGATATCAAAGTCACATCGCGGTCGTAGATGTCCTATTAACACACTACTATCACCCTTTTACACGGATTCATTTCTTTTTCGAGCATTTCATTGTATTTAAGAGCATTTTGCTTGTTTTAAAAGGATTTTTTTGAGGATTAAAATAAACTTGATGAACTCCTCCTTGTTCGGTCGATCAACTTTGGGACCACCGAAATCGTGGCACTTTCTTTTCGATCCGAAAAGGGTCCCTTTTTAATCTAAAATAACCTTTCACTTAAAAAAAAATAGCTATATGATCTATTGTAACTTAAGCCCTCCAAAAGTTTAGGGCAAATGTAGGTCTTTTATGAACCTTAGTATTGCTCTAAGTAAGTTTCCTGCATTAGTGATACTGTCATATTTACCTCGGTCTGTGATCACCAGGTCATCAGCATAACCCTGAATTATGAATGTTAAGGTGTTTGAGAGGTGAAAACACTCCCCCCTTGGGGACATCTTTAAGTGCCTTACTAGTCAACGACTCGCCTCCCAGACTGGCTGTGATCTGCCGATTTTTCAGCATGGTTATACACCATTTGGTCGTCGACTGATGTTTAACGACCTTTTACGTTTAAAGCTTTCTCTATGGATTCGTAGGAGGTGTTATCAAAAGTCTCCTGGGTTAACATTTACACCTTGTCATTCCATTTTATAGCCAAATTAATTATTTTTATAATTTAAGAATAACAATTTAAATTTTAATATTTATTATTTAAGAATCTAATAATTAAAATTAAATTAATTAAGCACATTTCTTTTAAATTTTATTAATTCCAAAATAATAAATTTTTAGCGCCATCTCTTAGAGAATTGATTAATTTTTTTTTTTTTAATAATTAAACGAAATTAACGTTGATTTTACTAATAACTCTTCAATAAATAAATTAATTATGTAATCAATAAAAGAATCGTGTGTATAAGAAGTTTTTAAAAAGGTGTTTTTTTTTATTAAATATTCTAAATTGATTTGACGTAAACGTCATAAATATGTAACATAACCTAAAAAAAAAGGAATTTTTCACAAAATCTTAATTTCACCATTTACAATGTTATTGCATTGAAAACACACCAACAACTTGTTTGTTGCACATTCGCTTCCAGCGAAATTGCAATATAAAGTCGATTCCACAACGAAATGGAATGCGACGACGGCGGGGGGCTTTTGCAACTTTATTCCCTCGCTTTGCAACGAACAAAAACATTTTTAAAATAATTACTTTCTTTTCGCGTCCGTTTGTACGATTTTAATTTTCTTCTGGTTTTTTTTTTGTATTATGGTGACGAAATGAAAAAGGAAATTATACTGTCACAAACATGTTTACCACGTCGTCGTTGTCCTCGGAATTATGGCGAGGGGAAAATGGATATTCCTCGAAATCGGCGCCTTAAAAAAAAACGACGCACCTTCTATTTTTAGCGTCGAAAACAACTCCCACGTGCGCAAGAAGAACGGCGTCGTCGTTATAGACGACGTCGAAGTTCTCTTTAAACGGGCGGAAACGCATGCGGACTTGGAGAGAAGGTCGTTCGGGCGGCATTCGTCGTTGTGGGGCCCCCCCAATGAATGAAAACTAACCACTTACTTTCACTATTCGTTTTCTCCACAAAAATTTATGTATACCCAAATCCAAATAAAATCACATTTGACGTTTATTAACTGTCAAATTTTTTATTATGCATATTTTCGTTGCTAGGTAGCGTTTGTTATGTCACTAGACTAAATTTTTGGCTCGAACACAACTTTACGTGTGACATTTACAAGCGGGAGGTAATAATTTTTTAACCAACGGAAAAGTTTAATCTTTTTATTTCGATTTAAAAATCTGGGCGAAATAAACGAAATTTGAAAAAATAAGTTTTAATAAAAACAAAAATCGAAAAAAACAACTTTAATACTTTCGCGTTTTGCAACATAGAAACCGACCAGTTATAAATAAATTAGATAACGCGGAGATATTTTCGTCACGAAGGTTAAGTGCTTCAAAAACAAATTTCCTTAATTAAGAGAAGAACGATTTGAAAATAATATGATTTCTTTTTATTTATTTATTTTTGTTGAATTAATTATAAACTTATTGGGGATTTATTTGTTGTAAAACCGGAAATTTTTTTAAATAACTTAAATTGCAAAAAAAATAATAATGAAATAAGTTGGCACTCCACGCATTTTTTACGTAGACGTTTACGTCTATGTTCACGTCATTACGGTATTTTTTTTTAATCTGACATTCTGCATAACCTCAAAAATTTTTTTTTAAATATTCATTATTTTCCTATTTAAAATGTAATTAAAGCACCGTAACGTATTATTTTTAATTTATATTCAACATCTTATTAATAATCTTATTGCATATTTTTTGAATGTCTCATTACGGAGGGTCTCCATCCGGAACAATTAATTCCTAATTGGGAGGTAGAAATACTTTATAATTACCCTTATTTTTTCTTAATCACCGTCTGGATTATTTATAGTAAAAATTTTTATTCTTCCGGTGTTAACTTTGAATTACACTGAAATTCCCCTAACTCGAAGCACTAAGGTAGTGAAAGAAAACTTCCAGTTAGAGATAAGTTAGAAATGTACTTTTCTAATACTAAATATACATATTAGAAAAGTACCTTTCAACTACTTCAATAAAAACATTTAACAATCTAGAGCTGAATAACAATTAAAACTAGAACTAACACTAGACCTAGAACTAGAAGCTTTCTTTAGCGATATTTTCTAGTTCTACGTCTAGTGTTAATTCTAGTTTTACACTAGCACTGTTGCTATATTGAACTAACACTATACCGAGAATTGAAATCATTTGGGTTTTATTTCATAGTGTTAGTTCTAGTTTTACATTTGCACTGTATAGCACTGTATAGACAACAAATTAGCGCTTAATAACAATTACATAAAACTAGAACTAATTTGCTCGTTGTAGGTCTAGTGTTAGTTGTAGTTTTAGTTCAATGAAAATATACAACAACTTAGCGCTGTAATGTTAGTTCTAATATTAGTGTTATTTCGTGTTATTACATCAAAACCAGTGCCTTGCCCGCAAGCGACCGTTTCTTATAGGAGTTTTGTGTCTTTACTTTTTTTACGAAATACGAACAACGTTTAGGGATTTTGTAAATAAACCGTCTAAACCCGAACGTTGCTAAGATCTAATGTTAGTTCTAGTTTTACACTTGCACTATCACTAAAGAGTTCGAATTACGGAATTAATTTCACCGTACTTTAATTAATTACTAAAAAAAAAATTTTTTAGTGATTTTTCATTTCTTAAGTTTAAATTTTTTTGACAACACAAACATTCACAATTTACTTCAATTCATTTTTACCTTATTTTATGTAAATTTACTTAAATTTAAATCATTTTTGTATATAATTCGTTATTGTCGCGATATTTGGAATGAATCCTTAAAACTATCATCTAAAAATAACCCCAAAATTGTATATTTTTGATGACAAAAAAATGTAAGTTGACCCCTTTTCTTTATAACAATTTGTTTCGCTTCATAATAATCGTTCACTTTAGAATTCATTGACCGTGTAAAGTAACTGTAGATGTTGTCCACGTGTTATGATGATTTTTCTTTCTGTCGCGAACCCAAATGCTGACTCTAAACGTCTGGAAAAAACACATACTCATTTAATATCATTATTTTTTTGCTTACTCAAGATTCAATCGGGTTAATACTCCCAAACTAAAAGAAATAATAATTTATTAATTATCGCCATCGACACCATCTATTCTTTACCTTAAAAATAAGTTTAAGAAATAAATTTTTTTCATAGCGCCATCTAGTATTATTTTCGTAAACTGAATCACTTCGTAACATTAACATAACCTCAATATCCTCCAATTTAATTTTAATTAATTAATAATTATTATCCACGAGTTGTTTTTGTAAATGAGAAAGGCGAAAACACCGTGAGTCGTAAACAACTCAACTAGCCGTCACATATAACGAAAATCTGTTATTATTTGTTCAATCCTCTCATTTTTGAACGCCTCGGTGCTGGCAAAACATTCTCAGCGGTTTTCATTAGGATATCGGCAACAACAACGATGCGGCCCCGTTACGTCCCAGGTAAACAACTTGTTTGCCTCTCTTAAATTCAAAATAAACTCGCAGGAAACGTCTAATCCGAACTATTAATAGAAAAAATAATAGTTTAAGGTTATGTTATCTTTGAAAACGTCAACTATATAAATTAATTTTTTGTGTAATTTAGTTTCAATTTGATTTTGAAGTGAAAGTGGAGACACGTGCTCGAAAATTCACGCGTCAATGTTATGAATGGGATGCTTCGTGTTTACAGGTGAACCTCCTCGTGTTATCCTCGAATAAAAAAAAGAGAGAGTGTGTGTGTACAAAACGCAATATTTATTTAATAGGGAGAGATAAGAAGGTGCTTCCAAAACGCGCGTTCACCAAATTGATTCGTAATAATCTTTTAAATGTACGTCCGAATTTATTTTGTATTCTTAAATAAATTTTTTAGTGAATATAATTCCTTTGGTGATTTTTATGTTTTTAAGTTTTTTTATTACAAAATTTTTTTTGACTACTTTCATAATATTTAAACGTCAATTTTTTTAACCTTGTTTTGAGTGAAAACATGTTTCGTTTTGATATTGCGACGTAGTTTGTGGAAATTGGGGCACAATCGACCCGTTGCCGCCGCCACCGCCGCCATTTGGTCGTCTAAATATCGGCGACGCTGCTCCCCGCAGTCGGATGGCACACGACATGGTGACCTAAATCCCCGCGACCAGGTTACGCTGAGAGTATCGATTTTCGCGACCCTTTTACTCGTTTTGTGTCTGGGGCCTCTCCACCGCCACCAACACTGACCGTGTGTTTTTCATTTTTAACTCTAACTTTTAATTTTTTTTGAATTCACTAATTTTGTTCAATTTTGTTGTGATTTCAGAGCATGTTTGGCAGGTGAACGTTTTAAAGAGGGGCTTGGGTACTAATTATTCCGGAAAAGAAGCCAAAACGGCGTATAGGCTATGTCTAACGGATAAAATTCTTAGTCTTGTTAAGAAAGATACGTTGGATATGAAGATTGAACTGGATTTGTCGAGTATAAGAAGTTGTGGTAACCTCAAGACTTATTTTTTTATGGAGGTAAATTCAAAATATTATTATCAACAATTTTAAAATAATTTTGTTTTCAAATTTTTACAAATTTTGAAAATCATCTCAAATAATATAATTTTCGTAAAGATCAGCAAATTTTAACCTTATTTGATGTATCACACTCCATATCCACCATAAAATTTAAATTTATTATTAATTAAACAGTGTTTTGTTTTCGGCCATCTTGAATTTATAACAACAATGATAACTCGGTTGTTTTAATACTTCGATATGCCGTGTTTGTACTCATTTCCATCATTTTTAAATAGCAACTTAAAAATATTAGTGTTTTGTTTTCGGCCATCTTGAATTTATAACAACAATGATAGCTCGGTTGTTATAATATTCAGATATGTCGTGTTTGGACTCATTTCGTATCATTTTTAAGTATTTACCATAAAATTAATAATTCATTCATTATTTTTTATAAAAAATAATTTTTATTATTATAACGGCATTCAAATTAAAAAAAATCATAATAAGAACTTAAAATCCTTCAATTTGATACCCATATTTTAGTAAAAATTATTATCATAACCTCAAATACGTCAAAATCCGCCATCTTTATTTTAATTTTTTCTTAATTTCTTTGATAACTTGTTGAATTTTTAACCAAAACTAGCGTCCTAGTGTTTGGACTCAAATGAATCGATTTTTTGATGCCTAATCGTTTAAAACCAACAAAAATACAATTTTTGGTAAAAAAAAAAAAATATTTTTATTTCTTTTTTATTAAAAAATTGAATTAAACCGAATAATTTAAAACAATTTGGTGATAAATCTCGAGTTAGAACGATAACTTAAACAAATCGCTAGATTAAAGTTGTTTTTGAGCGAAAACTGTGACGTTATCGTTCAATTATTTATATTTATTAATTTAATTTTATGTGTAAAAATAAAGTTCAAGGATTATTTTTTCCTAGAATGATTGTTATTCTGTTTAAACGTTAATTTTGTTGTGTTTTTAATTATTTTAGGTTGGTAGAAATAGCGAAATAGGAGCTGGGGAGTTATGGATGGAAACTGAAGATCAAAATATCGCCCAAAATATTCACCACACCGTTTACCAGTGAGTATAAAAACAATTACGTCAATACTTTTTAATACTTATTGGTTTTTTTTATTATGCATTGTGACGTCAATAAAAAAACAATAAAAATCGAAAGAATACCTGAAATGTTTAAAAAATAAATGTGTTGTTAAGTTATTATCTTTTGACTGCATAATCTATTTTATCATCTTGCCAGAGTGGCGCCTGAATTATTATAAAAAAAAAAATAAATAAAACGTCAAAAAAAAAATACTTGGAATATATTTTTTTTAAAACTGATAAGAGGCGTCGTTTCGTGCTTCGTTTTGTTGTAAACAAGTCGATTCTGAGAATTAAAAAAAAAATAAAAAGTAAAAAATAAAAAATAAAACGCGGCGATGTCGTTTTGTTCGTGCATTGAGGTAAAGTTCACCAGGCTCAAGGTTATTGACTGTTATGGCGAAAAAACATTTTTTTTAATTAAAAAAAATTAATTTTAATTTTCGGCACATCTCCTTTTTTATTTCTCCCTGTATATTAATGCGTAATCACCCCACTAAATTAACCAATGAGATGAAAGAATTAATTCGTTACCATGGAGATTTCCTTACAATCAAGAGTTAAAAAAAATGAGGAAGAGAAGCGTTTAGACGCCGATTAAATTGGGTTAATAATTAAAAATTAGATGAATTTGTTGTTAACTAATGGGAATGAACTGTGTAAAGAAAAAAAATTGTAATTTTATTTAATTTTCTTTTAAGTGGCAAATTAAAATTTAAAAAAAATTGGGTGCGAAATATCTTAAAATAAAGGTAAATTAATAACAATTAACTATTTTATTATTTAAAATAATTTAAACAATTTTCATTAATTGTTGTAATTCATAATAATTGTAATTCATTAATTGTTATTAATTTACCTTTATTTTAAGATATTTCGCACCCAATTTATTATAATTACATTTTTGACGTGAAGACGGCGTTAGTTTGAGTTGATGTATCAAATGTCAAAAGTTAAACGTCCGTTTTAAGTTGTCATTTTCTTTTATTTTTAGTGCGATGATATCAAAAAAAGATGATGAAGATGAATTGGATCCGAAACGAAGGATAAGATCGTCTTCAGCGACAGAATCGACGAAATCAAATAATTCAAAGAGGACCTTTTTACCTGGAAAGGTTCCGTCTCAAACAGGTAATTTCCGTTACCTTAACATTACTTTGGTATGTTTTATTAATAAACTTCATTAACCACTTTTTCAACTAGAAACATAAATAAAACTCGCTTCTTAACTCCCTTTAAATAAATAAAAAAGCAAGTTTTTTTGGTTAGAATAGAATAGAATCGTAGTTATCCTTGCAGATGCTCATCAAAACACAAGCCCAGAGGTGCCAACTCCCACCACTTCCGGGTACACTTCCGGTAAATATTGTTTTAACACGATTTCACATTTAATTTTTGCTTTTGGTGCTTTTTGTTTACGTTTGTGTTGTTTATTTATGTTATTAACGATTTGTTTTTTGGTCGGTCCGTTTTTATAAAAAATTAATTTTTCAAAAAAATAAGCCGCTTTCGCGGTGAAGGTGAACCATCAGCGTACTCGATCTCTCCCCCTCGCGCAGCCCGCCTCCGAGATACCACCCCATCATCAACGGACCGCTAAGAGACATGCGCAGTCCAAATGTATGTATCATAATCATCAAAAAAAAAGTTTTACTAAAATTACTAAAGATTATCCTCCTTTACTAAACATGTTTTCGTTAATTTTTGTTAATTTAAATGTTTCGTTGCTTATTTATTTAAATAATTTTTGTTTATTTAATTATAAAATAAATGTTTTTATTTTTAGGTTATACAACGACTTCAGGGAGAGAGCGTTGCGATAGCATGCCAAGTAGATCTCGAACGAAAAGCGAAGGAACTCATAATAATATGTGTGGGAACATCCCTCGGGGATGCATGCAACGCCCTCACTCGTATTACCCACATTTATCACCTTCCGGAAGCCCCATAACACCTCCTTCAGCCGCCGGATCAACGGATTCAACGGGTTCCTCGAATAGTGTTGATGATTGCGATGGTTGGGTTCACGAGGAATCATCACATCGTTGTGGTGGGGCCCTCCCAATTGTAATTGGGGGCTACACACACTCTTTAACTCCGGATGAGCCGATCGCAGAGGAAGATAATTGCGGGGATGATTTCTTTTTATGCGATAAATTGTGTAAACCACGCTTAAATTCGAATTCCGAGCCGGGTTATGTTGATATGAGCCCTGGAAATAAACACATAACCTCCCCGACGACTAGTTTATCGAGTATCACCTCCGGGACTCCATCGACCGATTACAAATTTAATGAGTACAACGTTGATAAATCGTTTCCGCATGTTTTAAGGTCCGAAGAGGACGATTTAAGGCCGGAAAGAACGAAATCTGTGGGATCGACCGATTCTAAAATGAAATTAGCCCGGGAGAGGGCGTTTAGTTGCGGCGCTAAAACCAAAAAGTTTCCGGAGAGGTTTTTTCACCCTCACCCCTCGTCTTATAGTAACCCAAAATCGAATTCGGCACCTTTATTGCAATCGCATGGTGATCCTAAAAGCGATTTGATGTTGTTGGATTTTTCTTCGAATATGGCTCCGAAAAATAACAAAAATAGTGGTTATGTTCCGATGAAACCGGGAGTTTTACCCGATTTAAATCACAACCACGATAAAAGGAGATCGCAACAATCCTCGACCGATTCACTTTATGCGAATCGAAATCGTACCATTATAAAGGGGCACGAAATTAGGAGCTCGACTCAAGATTACGTTGATATGCGAGCGGGAACTTCGCCTAAAATAACTAATAACCCCCAAAATTCGAGTGGTTACATGGTTATGGATTTAAGTAAAAATAAGAAAGAAAATAACTCAAAAAAATATTCCTCCCCGTTGAGTAGGTCTCCAATTTCTCCGATTACCACAACAACAACAACTCCGAGTGATTACATGGATATGAATTATAATAAAAATAAGAATGAATCGATTTCGCCGAATATTTTTGAATGTTCCCCTAATTCCATTGAATTTATTGATAGTGAACCGAAATCGGTTAATGAAGGGTACGTTGAGATGACCCCCGGAAAAGGGATTTCAAATAATCAACACCAACGGCAATCGTCGATCGATTCGGAAACCGATTACGCAAATATGTCTTTTATTAACAAACCGGAAAAGAAATCACAACCTATTCAAATTCAAAATCAAACGAAATCGTCACCAAATCCGTATCACTTTTGGCAGAAAAAACAAGAAACCCCACCAAATAAGAGCCATTTAAATTTATCGATTAACTCGAATTATTCCAGTTTACCCCGGAAGAAAGAACCCAAAGATTCTAGTTCGTCGATTTTGTTTCCGTTTAACTTGAGCAGCCCGATTTCGCCCACCAACGAAGGCGATTACACTATCATGGATTATAACCCGAAATCTTCAAAAAATAGTTTAAAAGATGAAGGGGATTACACGTTAATGTCAACTTGTTTTCGTCCGATTGTTAATGATTCGTCTCCGAAGGAGGATAAATCGAGGCCGTCTTCTTCCACTTCGACTTTGGTTGCTTCACGACCGGCGTCTGTGAATAGTGAGCAGTTGTTGTACGCGAGTTTGGAGTTGAAGGGGTCTTCGGCTTCCGATGACGAGGAGAGGAATAGTTTGAAATCGCTTGCAGGGGTTGGAGGCGTTGGGAAAGAGAATAATCAGGATTTGGCGGTGCAAAATAGTACGGGTGGGTTTCAGTATGCGAAGATTGATTTTAATGTGGTTAATCATCCTACGATGGTTAGTAATCGGGTTAAACATTAAGGGGGAGAAAGTTTTTAAAGAAACTTATTTTTTTTTTGTAAATAGTAATTATTTATTTAAAATAGCAACTTTTAATTTTAAAGTATATTTTTTTGTAAATTATTTGCATTTATTTTGACGTTTTTAATTTGATGCGCCATCTTTTAACGAGTAGTTCAATTAATATGATTTGTCACTAAATTTTAAATTAAAAATTTGTTATTAAAATTTTAGTGTATTTAAAAGATTATTTACAAAAAAATATACTGGATTAATTTGTTTTTAAGTAAAAGAATTCATTAATTAATCATAATAATGTTGTAAATAGTTTTTCTTGTTGTTATTTTCTTTTTCGGTTCCACTAAGTACCTAAGTAAATTAATATTAATTAATTTAAAATAAAATAAGGAAAATTAAAGATATTTTTGTTTTGATTGGTATTAAAAGTGAAATTCGCTAAATTTATTTAAAATTGAATTGGTTGAAAAAAATTTTTTTTTGGGGTTAAGTGAAATGTCAAATAAACATACCCTGCAAATTTTCATTGAAAAGATTTTTAATTTTTTTTATAAAATAAACAAATTTAAATTGTTTATAAATATATATCAAAATTATAAATTAGTTAATAAGAATAAAAATAAAAAAAAACTTAGGAAATAATGAAATGGAGAAAAACATATCAATGCAAAAATCCACTAAACCTAAAAAATCGACGATATGTAGAAATGAAAGTTCCTGATTGAGTTTCGATTTTTTAACTAATTTTATTTGTTATTTTTACTATTATTGCCGCGTTCAATAATTATTTTATTTGTTAAATTAATTAATTTCATTGTAAAACCATTTCAATTTTTTGAAACTAATTTATTATTTATGTTTACAACTAAATGAAATAAATACACTGATAATCAAATGAATTCAATAAAGTTTTGATTCTCACTGTATTTTTTTTTTCTTTTTAAATTAATTAGATGAATTCGTTAATTTTTTTCTGATTCCTATTAAATATAATAAGCACGTCATAAAAACAATTTTTTTTTGTTTTTTTCTTATTTATTATTATTATTAACAAAGAAAAACGCAGTATACGTCACGAATTTCGAAATACAGGTTGACTCAGTGAAAAAAACTAAGTAAGACGTAAAGTTTAAACAAAATAAAATTAAAAGAAATTGTATAAAAGAAATTTAATATATGTATACAACTACATATTAGAGTGAATAATTAATACAGTTTTTTATATTTATTGTAAACCATCTAAAAGTGCCTTTTTTACATATTATTGATTAATTAATTAAAATTTTTCCGTTACTTTAATTAATAAAGAAAGAAGTAATGAAAGAAAGGCAAAAAAAGGCGAATTATACAGGGTAAAGTAAAAGAAATTAATTTTGGAAAGTTATTTAATTAAATATAAATACATAAAGAGATTATAAATTGCCTTCGAATGTTTAAAATTATATCATAACCTAAACTTAAAATTAAAAAAAAACTATATTTACAGCTATATCCAAATTAATTTATGTTAAAATTGCATTAATTAATTGAAATTTGCATTTATTCATAAAATGAATTAAGCTATGAATAAAAATTATATTTACTGGATGTAGGAAATTTTTATCTCTAAAAAGTATCTGTTAAAAAAGAATTAATTAAAATTAAAAGTCTATATATCGTCAAAATAATGCATGTGCGTTTATTATTATAAAAAAGAATTAATTGATGGCGAGACGAGGTATATTAGTCTTCTTTTACGTACTATTTAAACAATTAAAAAGAAAACTATATTCGTGTATATAATTAATTAATAAATTAATTGATAAACAATTAAAATTAGTTCAAGTGTAATTTAAGTAAACGAATATGTTATATATCTCTTTGCAAAAATGACATAATAAATATGGTATTTAATTCCATCAAAGTGTTTATTTATTTATTTGTTTATATATTCTTACTTTGGCGAAGTTGCAACAAAGATTGAATTTAAATATTTTGATTAAAAATATTAAACTCACTGTCAATATAATTTTCAAAATCTCTAAATGACATTAGAACTAATTTAAATAAGTATTTTTAAAAATCACTAAACGTCATTGTAAAAAAAAATAATTTTATGCACCTTTTAATAAAAAATTGTTATTTTGATTATACTTTGAGAAATACCTCCTCGGTATTATGCGATCCTGATACAAATCGTAGTTTTACCTCCTCGCAAACGAAAAGATGGATTTTGTAGTACATCAAATCGAGGAGGTAAACCAAGAATATTAGGAGCTTTTGGCGGGAAATTTGAAATCTAGGAGGTAAACGAAAGTTTCTCGCCAAAAATGTATACCTCCTAATACTTTGAGAAATACCTCCTCGTTATTGTGCGATCCTGATATAAATAGTAATTTTACCGTTACGAAAAGTTAGATTTCGTATTAGGAGCACATCAAAGCGAGGAGGTAAATTAAAATACCAGGAGTAATTTGGCAGGAAATATGAATACGAAAAGTGTATACATAATTTTTTTCAATCCTTTCTTTTCCGCAATATATTTTTAATAATAATTTGAGTTAATTTAAATGTAAAAATAATTGTTTATTAGGTAGGAAAAAATAAAAAACGCTTTTTTGTGTAACAATTTTATTATTTATTAACATAAATTAGCATTCGTACAGATATCTATTTCCATATCAGTTTCCTGTAATTGGTAATTGCCAAAATAGTAAATACAAAACTAAAAAAATAAATTTAACAATGTTACTGGTTCTAGATTTAGTTATAGTTTAATTAAAATATACTACAACCTAGCGCTGAATAACAATTAAAACTATTGAGAGTGTTTCCTACACCTGCTCTTCTTTTCCAGGGGTTGTGGATGTCCGTGGTCGTCCAGAACGTTTCTTATTGACGTTCCGGACGGCCATATGTTTCAAATTTGTCTCTGATGCGAGCAATAGTCCGTCGCGTTGGTAGCGGTTTTGCGAATTCCCTTCAGAATCGTCTTTGCACGTCAATTGCGTTTTCGGTGTTCCAATAAAATGTCAGGACAAACTTCCTCTCTTCCAAACTAAGTTGATTTCCTGCCATGCTGTGATTAATTAATTATACCTACAATATAAAAAAGGCAGCATGCTAACCACAGTTAAAGTGTGGGTACAATTTTTTGAACCCGAATGTTTTTGATATAATTGATATAATTCCATATGAAAAATGTATATTTATACAATCGTTATCATATTAATACAAAATTAATCAATTTTGAAGAGTTATTAGCAATTTTCAAAAATTTTTAGATTAATTATAAAATTAATTTTGACATATTAGTGATTAGCGCCATCTTTTAATACAAGCGTCAACTATATAATTTGTCATAATGGTAATTAAAGTATTTGATAAGAGTAAAAATAAAATATAAATAAAATAAGGAAATTAATTAATAAGATATTTTGAAAATGCAATAAAAATTTTTTTAAGAAAATTGTATTAACTTAGACGTTTCAATAATAGATGTCACCACTGATTTGAAACTAACCTAAAAAAATCAAATCCATTTCGATTTAGAGTTTGTGACGCCAAAAAGAAAAGGTTAGTTTCGAATAAAATTTATCAATTTTTTTTATCAATCCCAATTTTTATAATTAATCTAAAGTGTGAAAGAGGACAAACAGTCCATTATCTCTCTTATACTCGCTCGCGGAGTCTCTGACCGCTATGGAACGTTGTCGTCGTCAGTATTCGCTCGAAAGCGTCGACGACGGCCGTTCAACCGCTTCGAACACGTTGTGATGAAACAAAAAATAAATTACATCTCGTGTCAAGTAATAGTTACACTTACGAACAAAGTGATTAATAATTAATAGTTTGCAAAGTTTCGCTTTAAAGGGGAGACTTTAAAAATCATTTAGAAAGAGGTACGTTTTATTTTATTATTAATCGGGTCAAAAGCCCCCCTTCTTCTTTCGATACGGAGAGAAAACCTCAATTTTTTTTTCTAGGTTAGGGACGTTGTACGTCGTAGTGTTTATTTAAAAAAATAAGTTGATTTTAATTTTTAATTTTTCGTGTTGGCATGAAAACATCTGTTTCGATTTGATTCATAAAAGATCAAATCGCGCCATCTATTGATTATTTATTAAAGTTTAATTTAAAAATAAAATTTATTTTTTTTTATTAAATAGATGTTGCGAGTACAAAGCAATACCGACATCGTAGGATTCACTGAATTCGAAGAGGACATTCTTTTCGATGCGGACGATCCCGATTTTGACCATAATATCCCATCAATTAGCGTTCCCTTCGTGTTTAAAGGTAAGATTCGACAAATGTGAATAACCTAAAATTAAACGTCAATTTGACGTTTCTAATTATGAACGTACCCCAAATTATTTTTTGATTTAATTTATCGCTTTAAATACCTAAAAAATGATTAAGTCGAAATATTTTCGTTATCTCCGTTAAAAAAGGCGATTTCTAATCGACCGGTTTTGAAATTTAAGTTTTAACGCAAATAGATTCTTAGCAACAACGGTTTTGAAGGTTAATGCTTGAAAAAAAAAGTTGCGGTTATTATCCGGCTCTGTTAAATAATGCATTAGGGATATCGAAAAACGAATACAATTTCCTCGTTTTATAATCGCATTGTTCGACATAACCTTTAACGTAAAAATAAAAATTAAATTAAAATGCGGTTATTTAACGTTTACTGGTTGCCTTAGCAACAAAAGGGAACATTCTCTTTTTAATCGCGCCATCTCTTTCCAATTATTTCCCTCTTTGTTTACATCTTAACGTCAAATTATAATCGTTGCAACATCTTGAACTTTCATTGTTTGTCAAAAGTCTATTTTTAAATCTACTTAAAATACAACTTGGCTTAAATTCGCTTCAATTAAACAAACTAAATTTGCACAGTGTTAATTTATTTGCAATGAGGACCATTACGAGGAGAATTAATCGCCGTGAATTGAAAATTAAAAAATTAAAAGTGAGCTTATAATAAATAATTTAATGAAGTAGAATGGCGAGATAAGATTTAGACTTTGATTTGTTTTTAAAAAACTATCTTTTAGCAAGTCAAGTCATTGGGTGAGTTTCTATTTAGTAAAATCCATCTAATTTAATTAGCATTATTTCGAATTTGAAAAAAAATGTTATATGTATCAAAAAAAACACTTCGCTGAGGTCGCTTGCGGCCGAGGCGCTAGAATTAAAATTAAATTATTTTCTAATTATTAAATTTGTTTAAAAATGTTGAGGCTTTATACATTATTTAGACAGTGCTTAGAATCCAAAGCTGTGTCAATATTACATTTCTGACGTTTGACATTGACAGTTGCGTTGACACATTGCGATTTTGTAAATTAGGTGAATTGACTTAAAAAAATTATTAACCTTAATTAATAAAATTCTAAACCTGAATGTTTCTAATTATTCTAGGTGTAGTGTTAGAGTTCAATAAAAATATACAACAATCTGGTGCCGAATAGCAATTAAAACTAGAACTAACACTAGACCTAGAACTAGAAAATTGCGTTTTAAGGCGCACGGCTAAACCCGAAACTTTAAATTTCTAGGTCTAGTGTTAGTTCTAGTTTTAGTTTACTGAAAATATACAACAACTTAGCGTTGAATAACAACTAAAAATACAACTAACACTATCACTGGAATCAACACGAAACATTCAACTTTGGAAGTACTAGCGTCTCGCTCGCAAATGACCTCGGTATCTTTACAAAGACGAATAAGGAACGATTTTGTAAAACTGAACACTTTGTGTTGACGTATCAAAACCAGCGCCTCGCCTACAAGCGAGCACGGCGATTTGAGGTGAAATCGTTTCTTATTGGAGTTTTGTGTCTTTACAGAAATGTAAAAGTTAGTGTAAATTCTGGGAAATTCTACTGCCTCGTCCGCAAGCGACCTAGGCAGAGTGAGAATAAAAATTTCTTATTAAAGGGTGTAAAAAGTTTTTTTTTGACAATGACATTCAGTGATAGTTTAGTGACAGTTAGAATTAGTTCTGTCACTTCGCTTTAATGATATTTGGAAATTTTGTAAATAACCTATTTTTGATTAGATTGACAGTGACGTTTATATATATAATATTTTTAATTAAAAGCAATTTAAAAAATGATCACTTCGCCGAGGTCGTTTGCGGGTGCGGCGAAAGTTTAAGAAAATCTCGACGAATGCCAAGTAGATTTTGACATTATATTTTTTGACAACGACGTGACATTAGAATTACTTCTAACGACATTTAGAAATTTTATAAAAAAATTGTAACCTGTTTTTCGATTAGATTGACGGTGACATTTAATATTTTTAAACGTCACCCTTTGAAAGAAATCTTTGTTCTCACTTCGCCGAGGTCGCTTGCGGGCGAGGCGCTGAAATTTAAAAAACTTATTAGTTATGGCATTTAATTGCTTGTTAAGAGGTAGACCAAATACATCTTGGATTCAATTAATGACCCGTACCGGAACAAAGATGGAAGAATAGAAAAAAATGGCGATCATGCTTATACAAAAAAAAATTTGAGGTTATCCCCACGTCAAAATTGTCAAAAAAAAATTTTAATCAAAATGTTATATTATGTCGCGTTATAAATCATCTTGGCGTTTTTTAATCAATTTATACAAGTTAACGTTAAAGAAAAAGTTCTCATCGCCACCGAAAGTGGTTTTATTCGCGTTTTCATTGTTATGGTTGGACCCGTTCGGGATTTACGAGAAATTAACAAGTTCCCTAGACAATGAGAAGTCGCCGAAAGGAAATATGTACTGGCAAAAAATGACTCCGGATCAATTGGTCGACGAAGCGGATAAATTGTACTCCCGCGGCGAATATCTCCAAGTTTACGAGATTTTAAATCGGATGAGATACAACGGAAACCCCGAAGTGCAATGGAGAATTTGTCGCGTTTTGTTCAAAATGTCCGGAGATGAGAAATTCAGTTCGAATATGCGGGAAGAAATGATTTCCGAGGCTTACATCTTAATTAACATGGCGTTATCTTTAGGTAACGAAATTTACTTTAATTTCATTTTAATTTTAATTTGATGATTCAGATGACTCGAACGCGAACATTCATAAATGGATGGCGATTATAATCGATGCGAAAACGGGTTATGACGGTGTAATTGAAAAGATCAAGTCTTACGAAACGATTCGATTCCACATGGAACGAGCCATTGAATTAAATCCCAACGATATGGTCGTTTTGTATATGCTAGGTAAATGGAATTACGAAATGAGCCGTTTGACGCGGTTCCAACGTTGGATAGCGAAAGTTTTTTATCATCACGATCCGCCGATGTCGCATTATCGGGATGCTTACGAATTTTTAATGAGATCCGCAGAGTTGCAAACCAACGAATATTATATACCTACGTTTTATATTTTGGGGAAAACGTGCATTAAATTGGGACACTTTTATCGCGCGAGATATTATTTGCAATACGCCGCTTTTTTACCGCCGAGGACCGATTACGAGGAGAAATGTGCCCGAAAATCAAAATCGCTAGTTATACAATTGGATAAATACGATTTAGCCAGCGAAAGTATTTTTTACGATTTTCCTAATTTTACAGATCAAATGTAACCGATTAATTTACACATACATGTATTTATTGTACTTTTTAATAAAAAAATTATCTCAAATATTTTATCGTTTTAAAAAGATTATGTTTATTTATTAATAAAATAATTTATCAAGATTATTTTTAATTTAAATATTTTGATTAAAAATGTTAAACGTCAATGTCAATTTAATCAAAATTAGGGTTATAATTATATTTTTCAAAATTCCTAAACGTCATTTGAACTAATTTTAATCTCGCCAAAAAATATCAAAAAATCTATTTAATTGTGTTTACTTGTTAAAATACATATATTTGTAATGCTAATTAATGGGAAAATAATAACGTTTAATTTTTTATCAAACCCCTCGTTATTTCTTTTTGTTTATCGTCGAAAGAAAAAAAATAAGTGGGTAAACAACGCTAATTAATATATAATTTCGCAAAATAATTGAGCAAGGAATTTTAAAAAAAGTGTTCTAATTGATTTAATGCACCTGGAAATACTTTTGATATCTCAATAAAAACGTGATTGGACGACACCTCAATTTTAATGACACTAAATTATCTAAACGATCTAATGCGTTAATTTGGTTTAATGTTAACACCAATTTTAAATTTTAATAATAATAAAAGTCCACTTTAATCAGAAATCTTTATTCTCACTCCGCCGAGGTCGTTTGCGGGTAAGGCGGTGCCTCTAATATTAATAAGTTAAAATTTGAAAAAGTTTCTCGATTCGATTTCGATATTAAACGTCACTGTCAATGAATATTATGTAAGTTAAGAATTTCAAAATGTCTAAATGTCATAGATTCTAATGTCACGTCAATATTTTCTAAAACATATCTTATACTTTGTGTTCATATATATACCTGCATGTATCGTTTTACGTAAAAATTTTCTCTAAATTTAATAAGTGTGTATGACCCCATTGTCAAAATGTAATTCGCATTGTGCAACGAGCATCCTAATAAACATAACTAACCTAACCTAACATTCCTTCAAGGTATAATTGGCATTTCAAAAAAAACTAACCATACCCAACGTTACCTGGATGATTATCATTTGTAAACAAAACTAACCTAACTCAACATGTGTTTTAGTTGATTTTGTATTTATTTGTGTTGATAAAATTCGCCGAGATTTTCTTTAACTTCCGCCTCGCCCGCAAGCGACTTCGGCGAAGTGATTTTAGATCATTTTTTAAATTGCATCTAACCAAAAATTGGTTATTTACAAAATCAACGTCATTAGAATGAAGTGACATTAGAACTAATTGCCTAAGTGCCTCGCCCGTAAAGCGACCTCGACGATGTTGTTTGATATCGCTCAGTTAATGTCTTGGAAACTGGACCAAACATATTCTTAAATAAGAAATCGTTTATCTTCACATCGCCGAGGTCGCTTGCGGGCGAGGCGCTAGAATTTTCTAAAATGGACGAATCTCCCTCTCTAGGTATAAAAACCTCATTGAGTTCATGTTTGTTTTTATAACATATCAGATCTATGGCCTCGCCCTCAAGCAACCGGGCAAGGCGCTAGAATGCCCCAAAACTGACAATTTTGAATTAATATATCAAAATCCAGCGTTTCACCCTAATAATAAAAATCTCATTGAGTTCAATTTTGTATATATAGCTCGACCGCTTCGCCCGCAAGTAACCTCGACGGAGTGAGAATAAACGATTTCTTTCGGGTAAAGTGTTACGAACTAACCTTTTCAATTTGGAACCTCCTTGAAAATCGTTCAGCATCATATCCACATCATATCGAAAAACCTCAAAATTGATTTGATTCGTGTTGATTAACTGCAAATAATCAGTTATTAATAAAAAAAAAATCTTAAAAATAACTTCTTCTTCTATAATGGGCTTGGATATGGGATTTGAAAACTAGTCTAAAAATAACTCAATATTACTTTCAAAGTTGACAGTTATTTAAGGTTAAGTTGTCAATAATAGTAATTTTTAATTCACCCTTAATTTAAGTTGGTATTGATTTTTAAAAAATAAGTTTATTTAAAAACATTATTTTATTTAAGATTAAATTAATTACTTTTTATTTATTTTATCGTTAATTATTAAAAAAATAAATCATTTTGATATGAAACAAGAAAATTTCTACTTTATCGACAACTATCAACGTCATCTGTCAATAGTAATTGACAGTTAATAAAATTTTTAATATTTTTCCTTTAAGTTATAGAAACAGATTCTTAAAGTATTAATTTAAAAGAAAATAAAAATCTGACTCAGAAAATGATCCTACGGATGATAGTATTTTCTAGATTAAGCGAGCACAGTGACTTATCTGTACAAAAATAAGCATCACGACTCGGTGGTAATAAATATTTACCGCGTGTTTACGAAATAACCGTCTATATTTATACGTATTCTTTTCTTTCTTTCTAACAATACACAATGGGGAACTTTATAACGCCTTATGGAAAAGAACAGACGTTACAATTATCGATTTACTCTTATTTCTATTTCGATATTAGGTTATGTTTAGATTTGGGATTTTTTTTTAAAACAATAGTATTATTGAACCAGTTAGAACCTGCCGTAACTACGCCTGTCTGTAAAGGCCCCTTACCCCCTCAACCCCCTTTTACGTCTGGTTGTGTCTGTATATCGATTAAATCGCCCCCCGCTCCTGTTACGTTTAGAAATGTGTGACGTCACGGAGTCCGTTTCTATTTATACAGCACCCGAGTCAATATTTTTTTTAGTAGGCGTTTAACTTTTGTGCAGCGACCAGTTTAAAGGTTTTATTTAAATTTTATTATAAAATAATTGAGATTTGAATAAATAACGCGGTGAAAAATTCTCGCGAAATTGAGCGGTTTATATCGATCAACAAGTAAGTTTTCTTTATTTTCCCCTTTTTTCCTTTATTAAGTAGAAGTTTCTACGTCATTAAAAACGTCAAACTGCGTCAAAATCTTTTCCGGAAACGGTCACATGCATATACAAAAATAATTTTATTGTGGTGTTATTTTTAAATTCATCAAAAGTCAATTTACTCAACTGATGTAACTCCTACCTTGAAATGTTAAAAACTACAAGTGCTAAATTGAACCGATGTAATCGCTTTTCGAATATTTTTCACGTGTTTTCACTTCAAGGTAGTTGATTTTATCAAGCCGTGTTTTGGCTCGTGTCTAAATATTTTTCTTATCACATTTTCCAATATCAATAAATTCCAAGAAGTATTTTTTTCTTCATTTTACATAATTCATTTATAAAGAAGTTTCGCTATAAACTTGATGATATAACCGTTTTAACCAGAAATCCCACTTCAAATCTTGTTTTTCTTATAAAATCATGGTTAAAAAATTGAGGTTATGTTGTATTTTAGGTTATGTTTTAATTACCTACATTTAATTTTTTTTATTTCCAGTTTCCTCCAAGATGTCTTTGGCCAGCGTACACCCAGCCGAGTTACATTCGAGTCACAGGTACCACAACATAACCTATAAAAAAATAAATTAATTAAAATAATTTTAATTTTAGTTCTCTAACGACATTAAGTCATAGTTTGGACGACATCACAGCCGGGTTAAGTTGGAGCCCCCAAGTAAATTCAGAGCACGTCCTCACAATCGAAGAACTTCGTAACCAATTAACAAGCTGCTTCACTTGCGGAGTATCCTGGGCTGATCATCATGTATCGTTAGATTGTTCCGAATGTGGTGGTTACGCCTTGGAGAGACCGTGCCCTATTTGCGAGGGAATATGTGGTGCCCAATGGAAAAGAGATTTATCCGAGGTAACAAAAAATTCCTCAACATAACCTTAAAATTAATAAATTAATTTATTCTAAGTCACACGCATGTAGTAAAGCACGTTGGCAAGGTGAATGCGAGCAGGCTCGTTCTCAAACGACGAAAGATCAAGCTAACACTTTGGTGGCTCAAGAGTTGTGCTCGAGGTTAGAAAAGTTGTCGGCCAATTCGTGATGATGAAGGAAAATCAACGGAATTGGACGCTTAAAATTTTTGGTTTTTCTTTTTCTCTTAAAAAACATTATTGTCAACCCCCACATTCGATCTGAAAGACTGTTGCGATTTAAAAAAAGAAATTGGATCCCGCGAAAGTGGACTTAAAAAAATAAATAAATAATTATATGTACGATTTTCTTTTGTACAATGAGAGTATTTAAAGTAAAATTAATTAATTAAACATTATTATAAAAGAGTAATGAAAATTGTGTAATAGGAATTATTTTTAAGATGTAATCTAAAAATATACTTAATTAAATAATAAATTTAGTTTTTATTAATTAACTTTTAGTAATAAAATGTCAAAATTTCATGACTAGGTTAACTGATATTAGCGCCATCTACTGTTCAATAACCGTAATAAAAATCAATCATAACCTACATATTTTGGACAAAGTTTTTTACTTAATTTAAAGTTGTACTTTAATTTTAAAAAGTTAACTTTATATTAATAACCTAAGAATTTTAGCCAAAAACATCTTCATGGTTAAACCGGTGATACCTTTGATATCACCAAAATTGACCAAAATTGTCTTGTACATCAAGTTGGAACACTTTCTATAAAAGAATATCCATCCACACGTTTGAATTAAACGTTTAAAGTTAATAGTCTGGCGCAGTCTGGCGTCACAGAGGTGGGCGGAGCTTATACTGACTCCAAACAATTTCGTTGCTAACCACAGTTGCTAAGATAAATCCAAAAAATGTCATTTGAAATCTCGTCACTTATTTTATTTTAACACTAATGGAAAATTGCATATGGTGATTTACCATATGCAATTTTATTATATTTTATATAAGCTTCGCCCATCACTGTGATGTCAAGGCTTAGGTTGTCTATTAAATGTAAAAGTTTACAGTTTCGTCGAAAATTTGTTTTCTAACCTAAAAAGAATTGAAAAAAACATAATTCAAGGATATCTTCATCCTATAATATTTTTAAATAGACTTACTTTACGACAAATTATTTATAATTTATTAATTGGGAAACAACATTTCTATATAATATAATTATTGTTAATTAAAGATAATTAGAAATATTTTTTTATAAAATAAATATATCTGTTTGTTTGGAAACAATTGGAATTTCACAAATTGCTTAGCAACCGACGCGGTATCACTCACCTTCCATAGATGGCGCTTAATTTTTTAATATTAATAAATTTACATTTGCAATAATATTCTTACCTTAACATAATGTATCTTCTTTGACACAGAATAATTATTGAACACTTTTTATAACTTAAAATATAAATAACAAAAAAAGTGTTGGCATAACCTAAAAAAATTGTTTGATTTAACAAGAAAAGGTTAATAATAAACACATTTCCAATAAACTCACCAAGTTGAGTTTTAACTTAATTATTTGTTATTAATTTGTCATCTATTTTTAATTAAGTTAAGTAAAAAATAAATTATTTAAAACCAAATAAGAAGCATCTTATTTGCTTCGATTTTAGGTTATTTGGTTGCCTAGCAAACCGTTGCGTTTCTTCACATCTTTCACAGATGTCGCTTCATTTTTAAATATTTTGTTTAATAACAATTTATTCAACACTTAACTTAAATAATTACTTTACTTAAAAATAAGGATTTTTTAATAAAAAGTATTTACCTCAAAAACATCAAATTCTTCTCATAAAGATATCATTGTACAAATATTAATTCTTCGTAAACCAAAATAAAATAATTAGGGTTGCTTAAGATTTAACCTTTATAATTAACAAAAATAACCATCATAACCTAAAAAAAAATTGTTGTGTCTATTCTTGTATCTACTCACCACGTAGCGTGTTAACTCAATTATTTATTAATTATTCGTTTATATGAATATATTAATTTAAATAAAATTTGCTCTTTAATTTTTATAAAACAAACATGACGCCGCTTTAATGAAGGTAACTTAGTTGTTTAGCAACCGATTTTATGTAAGTTCTGCACACCTGTCATAGATGGCGCACTATTACTTTTTATCATCAAATAGACCTAAATAAAATAATCTTAATAACTAAATAGGAGTTTAAAAAACATTAACATTTTACAGTAGACAATTTACAATTTATTTATTAACACAACTGCCTACGGTACAAAATGAACAGAAAGTTTAGAAGGGTTCACGTTCGCATTTTGAAATTCAACAATAAAAAACACATACTATAGTAGTACCTTAATTTAATCCTTACGTTTATCGTTTAGATTTAATCATTAAATTTTTTTTGCAAATTGTTCGTAACTTGCAAATTAAATCTTTGCACCTCGAGGAAAAAGTTTGCAAAAAAAAAAATAATATAAACTTTTTCGAAATTTGCAAGTTATAACCAATCTCGGCTGTTTTTTTATTTAAGTTTTTTTTTATATTATTTTATATCTTACCACCTATTATCCTAAAAAGAGAGTTTCTCTACGCTAAATTTTTCTTTCACTCATTTCCTTTCCTTTTATATCGTTACAAATCTTTTTTAAATCATCACACCATTTTTCTTCTTAAACTTTACTCTTACATCCTAACTAACAAAGCTATAAAACGGCTATCAACTAAAAAAGAAAAAAAAGTGATAAAGAAAAACGAAATAAATCATCTACAAGCTACGGTTTTTCTTCCTCTTCGATTTTTTTTTTTTTTGCTAACTCTAGACTTAGTTTCTAAAAAGATTTTTTTAATTTTTTTTATTTTATTTTTGTGACCTCTCTCTTGGGACACCTATATTTTACAAACTGCCTTGTCGTCGATTCGGAGGGCGCGAGTTTTTAATATTATTATATAAGTAACTCATCGAACATCTTCGTCTTCGTATTTTTAACGCATTGAAATACACGCACGTCTAAAAAATAGGTTTTTGTTCAAAACACACCCCGTCCTCGCCGAGTGTATCGTGTATTACAAAATAAACTGTTTTTTTTTAACTACATCATCTTATTATAAACCATTATAATCCAAGTCTTATCTCGCTTAATTTCTTTTCCCAAAAAAAAATCGACGCCCTAATTTAAATTATAATAATTATAACGCGAGACCCCAAATATCTAATTCAACACAAAAAAAATATATACGACTAGAATCTTACAAAATATTATTATTCCTTACGCGTTTTTTTTTGTTTAATTATTATTTATACACTCTATACAAATTTCCTCTCGATTTCGAAGGAAGCAGCAAACGTCTCTTGTTCGTTTGTAGAAAAGAAGATACATTCATATTAAATGGCGTTTAATTTGGACGTATCTTAATAATATTTTTTTTTTCTAATTCAAGTGAGCAAAGAACGATGATTTAAAATATAAATTGATGATTAAATTTGAAATTAATCATCATAAATCCTTTTTTGTTTATAATTAATTTGATGTGATGTAGCGACTTGGCAAATTATAAATCATTTTTTCTTCTTCCACACAAAAAATAAACTTAAAAAAAAATTATTAAAAAAAACTTTTGCCCGCACCTGTATATAAGATTTTAAAATTTTTAAGATGGAGATTCTTACATAGCGGGGGCGTCAAAAGTAATCGTACACGATCCGTGCGATTCGTCGTGATTATTTAATTTTTTTTCGATTATTTTAATTTTTTTATTACTTGGTTTTACAAGTTGTAAGAAAAACATCAATTTTAAAAAAATATATGAAAATATTTTTTTCAGTAGATCCCTGTCGGTGGGTTTTGCTGAAAAAGGCACGATATAACTATATAACGTGTTTTATGCTTTATTTTTTAATCATCTCTCTCGTTTTTTTGGCTAAGTTTTTTTATTTTTTTGAGTTTATTTTTATTTTTCGACTTTGCCACGCTCTCTCTAATAAATTCATTTTCGAAGAGTTTTCGAAAAAAACAATTTTAAAAGAAATTTTTTTGATTTTCGCTTGATTTTAAATAAAACATTAAATTGCACGTCGAAATTATTGCTGCAAAAAATCGTGGAATGTTTCCCTTAATTTTAATTTAATTAAATTAAAACAAAAAAAATGTCGCTCTTTTTACATAAAATTTAAAATCAAAACGAAAAAGAAAAAAGAAGAGTATTTTTCTCTAATTTGATAAATACTATAAATATTTCAATAGAATTTCTTTTTAAATAATAATAAATAATAAAAAATATATCTACTTAAAACTGTTTTTCATTTTTCATCATTTCGCTTTAACCATTTTTTCTTCCGCACTCATTTTGAAGCCGCAGTGTTTTTGCATTACATAATTTTGTGACGCGGTTTTTAAAACATCAGTCTTATCATCGCTTATTATTTCATTATGCTGTTTATTTATTTCTGTTAAATCGGAAACTAATCGGAGAAAAATCATCATTTCCGGGGGGTCTACTCCTTTTTTTTTTTTCCTTCTTTTTGTTACAAATCCTACAAAAATCACCTAACGAAAATATATATCCATAAATATTTACAATAGAAAACCTCTACTACAATTCAACTCCAACCCAAAAAAAATTAACCTCAAAAAGTCCTCCGTAACAAACAAATCAAATCGTTTTAATCATTTTCTTGGAAGTCAGTCCATTTTACTTTGTATTACCTCTCTTAATCGGTTATTTAAATCTTTAGAGTCTAATTAGTAGTAAAAGGGAAGATTTGATTCCATAAAAAATCCTTCGCTAACCGTTTCAATCATAACACAATAAAAGCTGGATCTAAATCGAAAATAAAAGCCCAACTTAATTTTGTGTTATCAAAAAAACCCTATTAATTATTTTATTCCCCACTCGATCTTTAAAGAGTGTATGTATAATTATCGGCATCAAAAATAACCTCTATTTCTCTTTGTTTTAATTAAATAATCGGGTTTCCTCCTCCCTAATTTAATTCATTTCGATTCAGGAAGATCGTCATAATTACAATAATTACGATTTTTGATACTCCTCAAAATATTTACATTAACAATCTTTCATATATTAAAGTATATATATTCTTAATTAAAAAAAAAAAAAAAAAAAAACAATCAGCGACTAGTTCTTTAAAGACACAAAAATATATAAACAAGATTGAAATAAAAAAATCTCTATAAAATCAAATAAATCGAGAAGTAACAAAAATTGTATATATTTCACGTTTTAATTTAATTTAATCGTTATCAAGTTAATTTTTTTTTACCATCGATTCCGCGCAATTAAAGTTACCATTAAATTCTTTTACGATAATCTAAATACAACTAACAACTAACTAACAAACTACCTTTTAAATTAAAAGTATAAGGGGAAAAAAGTTTCCGAAACCTTTTTTTTTAAACTAACCTCAAAAAAGGTTTAAAATAATGAGCCCCTCAAATCAAATCATTTAAAAGGATTAATCTTTTTCTTGCATTTTTTTTTCTTTTAGGATGGAATGTTTTGGGACGCCGAAAACTAAATCAGGGGCTCATCCTTATCCTCGTTATTGTTCCATATAAATCAGTGATGTTCCTAATTTTTTTTTTATAAGCTGTCGTCGACGGGAAGTGGGTTTTTATACTGTCATCAATTTATTTTTGGGGTTGCTGTTGATACGCCGCCGCTGGGTACGGATCTTCGGGACTTGCCGCATTCGAAGTATGTTCCGAGTCAGCGACCGGCATCGAAATAAATTGCGGTTGATAATAAGCGGGGTGGTAAGGTTGAGAAATGTACGAACCTGAACCTAATTGAACCGCACCCATTTGCGCAGTAAGCTAAAAACACAAAATCAATTAAAATCAATACAAATATTCTTTTGAGGTTAGATTACCACTGATTAATAATGACAAACATAGTTACCAACCAAATTTTATTTTATTTAAATCACGTTACCAACCAATTTCTTTTACTACATAACCTCAATATTACGATTTTAAATTAAAAAAAAAACTAACCTGTGGCATATACTCTGAGGAAGGCATCATAACAGAAATACCCCTTGGAGCTTGACCATCATTTTTATAAGGTCCCATATGACTCGGAATATTATAACTATCATCCATTGAGGCAATCGGAGCTGCGGACATAATATAAGGAGGCACCCATTGGGTCCCAGCGGGAATTGGATAATTTTGAACCTGAAAATACTAGAAGATAAGCCCTATTTTTTTCGGTCAACTACAAACACGCAATCCTCAAAACCAAAATGATTTTAAAACGTTCATTTAAAATAAAAAAATAAATACTAACTTGACTATAAGGTCTAAATCCGGTAATAGTGGGCACCATATGAGCTGCGGGTACACCGTTTTGTGCCAAAGCGCTCGGATCGTAAGAAACAGCTGGTATGCAAGAATCGGTGCCGTCCCGCCACTTGTTATTCTCGTTATTCTTGTAAACGTTCTTTTTCTTATTACCGCCGTCCGCGAATTTGACTAGCAAGCCCTCTTTCGATCCGGATATCTTCATCCCGTTATACATTTGGATGATTTGTTCGCATTTTTCGCGGGTTTCCATGCGAGCAAACCCGACTCCCTTCGACGTTCCCGTTGAATCGCGCAAAATTCTCGTCGAAATCACCTGACCATGCTGGCAAAGTAACTTATCCACGTCGCTCTCTTTATAATTTAACGGAAGATTTGCGATGTAGAGGTTCGTAGGATCTTGTTCCTGTTGCTGCTTATCGGTAGTACCAAGAATAAAAATAAAAAGAAAAATGGAGAAAAAAAATTAAAATTTTAAACACTTTTTAAATTAATTTCGAAAGGTTACAGTTTCTTGCTCGATACGATTCTTGCTTTTTTCCTTTTAAATTCATTGTTAGTATTGTTGTGATTTTCTTTATGTTATTATTACTTTAATTAATGCCTGTACAGCATGCAATTTGCTTTGTTATTTCTTCTGTGATGTTATTACAGTATAAACATTTAGTGTCTGAACGAAAAATTTTTATTTTCTTCCCAATTTATCACAATTAAAATAAACAAGTTGACATTTGTTATCGACAGTTTTTAGCAGGGACACCAATCCATTTTTACTTTATCTCATTAGATTAATTGTAAAAAATAATAACATGTAACTTTAAATTAATTAATTATTAATAATTTAAAATTTTCAAAAATTAATTTCAAGCCGTTTAAAAAAAACTTCCTTTTAAAATATTAATTTATAATTACGATCGATGTAGTACGAATTCATTTTTATTTTAAAGGACAACCTAAACTCAAATTATTAATGAATCTAAATTTATTAAAGTATTTTTAAATTTATTGCTTCAAATCATAATTAAGATTTAATATCAAAGTTTTTAAAGTGCAAATATCAATTTCACTTCAAATAATGATACTCATAATTAAAAATGAAGTGAAAAAATTATTTTAGGTTATGTATATAAATTTTCGTTGGGACACTAAAAGAGAGTTCTAAATTAACCCCTTCTAAATCTTCTGATAAAGGAAATTAAGCGTATCCCTCTCTGATTTATTGAGATTATAAGGAATTTAAAACCAATTAAGTTAAGATGTGAGTGAGGAGTTGATCTAGAACTCTTCGAGTTATACTATATTCTTTGTATTTTTATGTCAAAAAAGGAGAGGTTAGGTTGAACGATTTTTTTGAAGAAATTATTTTAAATTTTAAAAGTATTCATGTTATCGCAAAGCAAAAGCAAAGTATAGAAAGTTCCTTGGGGGGGCTGTACTAATTAATAATGATTAATTTAATTATTGAGTACTAGGGTAAAACTAACCAGCTAGATAATTAAAAAAGAACATCCTAAAAATCCAAATTTGACCCATTTCTCTTTTATAATGAAATAAAGAATGAAATAAAAGTTAAAAAAAAAAAACAAATATACACATCGAAGGCCTAAGCACCACGTTCGGTCATCTCGACACAATTAATTAACTCTAATTGTAATAAATCGTTTCAAAATTTGTTTTTTGTTAATTTTTATCTTTTTTCTTAGTTTAATCATATCGAGTCATGCACAGCTAGTGGACGGGCTCCGAGAAAATAAAAATTTAACCAAAAAAAAAAATTAAAACATATCGATTTCTAACCTACAAATTATCCGACCAAATTCAAATCTATCCGCACGACTTCGAATTTTAGTTAGTACTTAGTAATAAAAATAAAGTAGTATTACGGTAGTAAAATAGTTAAGTAGGCAAGCTGTTATATCAAATTATCAGTAGAGTGCGCTACTCGGGAATTGAAATAAAAATTTGCTAGACTTGAATTTAGAGAGACGAGGCGACAATTTACTCGAAAGCCAAAAATATTTATTAACGCCCCATCAAAAATTAAATTAAGTAATATATTAATATATATTATTATATATATATTATTAAGTAATATTATTAAAAATTAACGTAATAAGTTTTTTGAGTTTCGAATAAAATCGCTCCAAGAAAGGTAATAAGCAATTACTTTCATGCAAACGTACAGTGGGCAGTCTATAATGGGGGCTGTTACCCACTTTGGCCATTTGAGCCTGAACATTTGCCGCTGTGAGTGCCTTAACGGCACCCTCCGCTGACGTCGGGTGTTCAAAATCTACGAAACCATAACCTTAAATAAAAAAAAAAATTAATTTAGATTTTGACAGTAATACAAACTGTTGCTATTAGCAACGAAATAAAACTAGCCTATAAAATTATTCTAATATAATTTTTAATTACCTTTACACTTGTTAGTATTTTTATCCAAAATGGCTTTAGTCGAAATAATCGTTCCAAACCTAAAATTAAATTAATAATTAAAAATTTGAATAAATTAAAACAATTTTTCTTACTTTTTACACATATTTTCCAAATCTTTATCAGTTGTATTAGCCGATAATCCTCTTATGTACAAATTGGTCTTTGATAGGGTCTCCGAGCCCGAATTTGAATTCGAAGACGTCGAGGGCATATTCGACGTGCTCACATTGGAGACTGTGCCACTTTGGCTGCCTGTATGACTACTCGAGCTACTGGTGTTGCTCGGGGAAGTTGCAACCCTCTGATTATTCGCATACTAAAACCCATAAATCGAAAAAAGTTTTTATTATCAATTAAAAAAAGGTTATGTTAAAAGAAAATAACCTGATCACTTCCATTATCACCACCAATAACATAACTAAGTATATCATCAACAAGTTTAAAATAATAATCATCATACATGACTGTTAACTATCCAAAATACAACTGAATCGTAAACGTTTCTTTTTTGTTATCGGTCGTGGTTTAGAATGACATTCTAAGTGTGATAAGAACTTAAGAATGTGAATTTAGTGAGTAATAATTGACGAATGATATGGAGTGTGAATCAAAATAGCTTTTTTTTATAGTATTTTTTTGTTACCGTTGTATTATTGGCCGATGAGTAGGAATTGTTGGCGCTGTTCGAGTTCTGCAAATAAGGTGGGTTTCCTTGGGGTGGGTAACGGGCCTGGTAAAACGGAGGCGCGGCCCAACCCTGCGCCCTATAACCTGTATGATGTTGAGTGGCCATCGGAGAAGATACTCCTGCTGGACACGGCGTTCTTAAATCGCCGTTACCACTCTGTAAAACAAAAAAAAATTAAAATTTAAAAAGAAATATGAAACTAATAAAAAGTTAGGTTATGTTACATTGTAATTGAACTGTCAAATCAAAAAGGATGTTTCTAACCTGTATTCGCTAAAATCGAATTCTTAAAGCATCCTATTACTTGTGACATATGAGTATAAGAAGCAGAAATACCAACCTTGTAACATTTAATTCAAAAACGATTAACAATTTTTAACATTAATCACCGATATGAATATTATTTAAATATTGCGAACCAGCGAACGTAAAATGAGGGAAAAGAAAACAATAAATAAATGTAATTCAAAAAATGACCGTAGCGCTTCTGTTCGGCGAGTAGTGGAACTAATAATATATTAATATTTAAGGTAGTTGTCAATAGAGATCGCAATTAGGGAATAAAAAATAAAAATTACTTCTTAACACGTTCATTACCAAGCTAAAAATTGAAGTTTCGTGTGATGGCCAAGTCATTTTTTTCCATAGTTTCTTCCATACGATATCGCGTGATCGGCCGTTTCGTGAGAACTTGCATCGCGCGATATCGAGTGTCTCGCAATTAACGTGTTAAAACATGATTTCTTTAAACCAAAAATTTTAAAATAATTGTGATGAAATCCACAAAGTTAAATTAATGATTCCATTTAAGCCGAGGCAGTAGAGTTTATACCAAATTGATACAGTAATCCACAAGACACGATTATGCTTTTTTAGACGCCGAAGTCGATTGCGGGCGAGGCGCTATATTTGATATAATAGTAATGCCAAATTAGGCTTAACCCAAGATACAATGCATAGTTACGTTTAAGTCGAGGTCGCTTGCGGCCGAGGCAGTACAATTTATGCTAAATTGACACAATATTCAATAACACACGATTGCGCTTTATAAAACGCAGAGGTCGCTTGCGGCCGAGACAGTAGAGTTTACACCAAATTGACACACTAATCAACAATACACGATTACGCTTAATTAAACGATGAGGGCGATTGCGGGCGAGGCGCTTTATTTGATATCATACATAGAATTTCATATAACTCGCAATATATGTTGTGAATGAAATGTCATAAATGTTTCTAGTGCTAGTGTTAATATTAGTGCAAGTGTTAATCTAGTTTTCTTTATTATTCAGCACTAGATTATTGTATATTGCATCTTTAAGTGAAATTCACTGTATAACTCAAAATTAGGCTTAAACTAAGATAAAATGTATAGTCGCTTGCGGGCAAGGCGCTATATTTGATATTATGTTAATGCAAAATTACGTTAGAGGATCAAATAAAATATTTAGGTAATAAAAATAAAATAATTTTGAAATTTAAAATGAAATATAAAATTAATAAAAAGTAATGTAACATAACCTTAATGTTACATTCAAATTGAGCTGTCAAATGATTAGATTAAATAGAAATGTAATTATTTTGTTAGTGAAATTATTACTTTTGCGATTGGAATTTTCTTCCGGTTCCCGGATGTGTGACGGTTTTGCGGAAAGAGATTCTCAAGGTGAGGATCGCGGCCTTCTGCGGCGCGGTAAAAGCAGCACCACCAACAGCAGACGGCGACGACCAACACACATACATACAGAGTAGTCGCCTACTTTCAGGACGATGACCTCGCAAGGACACCGAATGTCTAATTTTTTTATTCCATTAAAAAAAAGTTTAATTTTCAAAAAAATTAAAAGAAAATAATTTAATTAACAAAAATTAATGTAATAAAAGAAAACATGTAAAAAAATAATTAATGTTAATAAGAGCGAGAATTTCTTTTGCGTATCAATAAATTTCTTTTAGAGGTTATGTGTAAGAATTTGGTCGGTGATCCCGGATCTCCCGGATTTACCGCTATAACCCCGTACAACTACGTGAAAAGAAGAACGTGCACGCCAATGAGAAAAAGAGACGGCCGCAGCTTTCTACTCGCGCGGACAGATGGCCTCCGGTGGCGACCTCTTTCGATGACGACATTTCGGCTATTGACACATTGACATGGTGCACTTCACATTGCAAATTTCAATCTTATTAAATTTTAAAAAGCCATTTTAAAAATTACAAAAATTCAAAAAATTTTAAAAACAAACCTTTAAAAGTAAACATATTTAAAACCCCATTACGAAGGATCTTATCTATTAAAGCCTTATCGTAAACTATGTCCAAACATGAATTTAATCTTTAAAAGGATTTCCGGAACGAAAACGATTTTAATTTTAATAAAAACAATTTCTTACCTAACCAAAAAGTCAATTCATTTCATTTTTTTTTTTTTTTTTAATTTCACCAATCACTAAATTATAATTAACACAAAAATAATTAATTAATAAGGCATTGATATGAGTGGGGAAAGGGGATAAAGAAATTGTGAGATGCACTCGCGGACAACTCGGTCAACACTCCGGTGATAACTGATTCACAAGAACGTTGCTTCCTGTTGCAGAAGGAAGTCGGGAGTGGGAGGAAGAGGTCGTCATAAATTAAAAATCAAATAATAAAATAATTCATTTTAAAATTAAATAAATTAGAAAATCATTTAAATCAAATTAATTAAAAACAATTTTTTTTAAATTAACCGTTGCATTCTTGACTTGGAATGTCAAATACGTTCTCGTGACGTCACCAAAACCCCCGCCCCGAAAGCATGGCGGAAGTGCATCGGACTACGGTTTCCGGAAGGTCACCCTTTAGAATCAACGTCGACGGATTTACGATTCCGCCCTCGCAGACTAAACACGGCGGATTCCGAAGGACATGCGCGCCGCTTTTCGCGAAAGCACCGCCAGATGTCGACGTCGCGATCCTCCGGCTCAAGGCCAACGGGATTCTTGGGGTTTCTAGCGCGTCTTTCTACGCCCACTTTTTATTTTTACACCAAATATTTCATTAAAACAAAAAAAAATTTAATTTTAAATGTCAAAATAAACGTCAAAAGAAATTAAAATTAATACGTCAAATTTTAAATGCCAAATCTGAAACGTCAACTTAAACGTCATATTTGAAACGTTGAATTGAAGAATTTTTTTGTATTGATTTTAAGATTTATTTTGAGTTTAAAACGAGGGGAGAAAAACGTCCGGTGAAAATTTTAGGGGTTCTAAAAATAAAGTTTATTTTAATACTCCAAGTTCAATGATACCCGTTTTATGTTCAAGGTCACTAAATTCGAGATTTTTTGCACGAAATCAATTCAAATTTAAAATAACATTAATTTTTTAAATATTTTCATTAAAAACAATAAAAAAAAAATAAAATAAAATAAAAAAACGGAAGTCACACGTTTACAGTTGAGATCAGATGGGCGTGCTTACGGCATCTATTGCGCAAGACAGGAATTAGATTTGACAGATTTCGATTTTTTATCTTATTATAGAAAAAAAATCCCCAATAATTATTATTAATATTTTTTAAAATAACCCCTTTTTGAACGAATAAAAAGTAATTTGTCAAAACATATGAAAAAAAAAAAATAAAAAAATAACTACATTATCGACCGATCTGTGTAGAAATCGAGGGGGGTCAACGCACCCTGGACTGTCAAAAATAGCAAAATAAAATTAAAAACAAATCGAGAATTATAATTAAAATCGAATTAAGGGGGCGACACCTACCGCGAGTTTATAGTTGATTTTCCGGGCGGTTGCGGGGGCCACCTCCATCCTGACGGCCATAATCGGGGTTAAAGCGCAAAGTAAAAGTGACCACTAAACAATTTTTTTCTGAATTTTCACTAAATTTATAAAATTCTAACCTAGTTGTTATCACAGATCTTGATTAATATAATTTTTAAGTTGCAAGGGCCGGCGCCCCTTCGCGGGGTGTGACACGAACCGCGCACGTATTAATTGGGGGGTCACATGGCGGATTTCGCCCTACTTATTCACCGTACACCACTAAATAACCCGACGGGGGCCCCTTTTTTCCGGTTGGGGGAAGGGGGCGCGGCTACGGCGGTAGTCTTAACGGCGGCGAGGACGGTGCCGTTCTACGCCGGCGGACACCATCTTGAAAACGCGAAGGAGTGGGAGAGACATTTCTTATTGCACGATTCCTCGATAGATGGCGCTAAATCACTATTAATTTACAGATATCTAAAGATTATTAGTTATTTTTTTAATTGTTTAATTTTAAATCAAAATTTTTTAATTATTTTTATAAAATAATTTTATTTAATTAATCTTTATTAAATGTGGTTCACATCCCTTAATAATCGATGCCAAAAAAAATTTCCCAGGTGTTTACGCGACTTAAAAAAATTTCTTGGGAGGGGTTCAAACTTTGGGGGGCAAATTTTTGGACGGGTTCGTTCGGGTCGTAGACGGGGCTTTTTCGGTGGGGGTGGGTTTATAGAGAAACGGGGGAGGGGGTTTCGTCTGGTGGTGGCGCCGTGGTCATCGACCCCTTTTGGTTCTAACACAAAATTTTAACACAAAAAATTATTACGTTTCGTACCGAGATAAATATTTATCTAAAGCGAATTAACTAAACAAATTTATAAATATCTCATTTAATTATAACCATAAAAAAAAAAAATAATATTTCAAGGTCATTACATTGTTTTTAAATTGACATTTATTAAAGTGAGGTTAGATTTTCAAAAAATTTCCTTCAAAACCGAAATTTAATGCCAACTGTAATTATTTGATAATAATTTCTTAATCGCTTCAAAACTTAATAATTAACGAATTAATTAATAAATAAAACGTATTTACCCGGAATTGATTTCGATATAAATGAATCACCATCACTTTTTACTAAATAATCAAAGAAATCGCGAAACGTTTCACGTCACGTCTTTTTAAATTTCACATCCAAAAATAGAACTCGCAAATATAAAAAATAAACCGAACAAAATCAATAAACTTTTTTTCGAAATTGAGCTGTCACTTTTGACAGGAATCATTTTTTGACAGGACTCGTAGCCGGCTAAGAACTAAAAAAATAAATTTTTTCCTCACCTGCTCAAAACACTTGTCTTGGGGGGTGAATTTACGAGGTCCGGCTCATTTGAGTCTCTTGAAGGCACTTAAAACCGGCCGGTCGGGTTATTTTGTTGGAAAAGTCGTCGTTGAAACGATGATTCCGGTGTGTGTGGAAATTCCTACCGTCTACGCCCTCCGGTGACAGATGTCAAAAATTGCTCTAAAATGCCTCAAAAGCGGCCAATCACGTTGCGTCAGTCTTCGCGTCGCGTTTGTACTTATTTGCACTGTGTAAATTTTTATAAAAAATCTCCGGTAGCCGTTCAAAACTCTTTCAATTATCGAAAAAAAAATACCCTCGGGGACGTCGGCCCTACTTCTCAACTTTGCATTGAATTGTATTGAAGTACGTACTGAATGTCACTTTGCGTGACGTCACGTTAAGACAGTCTTACCATCTCAACGCAATACGCTGAACCCAACCCAAATTTTATTAATTAAACTTTAAATATTAATTAAAACAACTCTAAATCAATACGATTTTATTATTTTAACTTCATTAGTTATATCTCAACTTATTTATTCTTAAATAAGAATTTTATTTCTTTCAGCAAAACTCTCTCTAAGCAGCGCCATCTAGTATACATTTATCGTGAATCTAAATAAATCTAATATAAAACATAAGATAAAGCTAAAATAATACAATATTATCAATAATTAATCAAATTAATTTAAGATTTATCATTTAATCACAAAAGAATAAATTTAGTTCATTAAAAGTTAATAAAATCAAATAATCTAAAAGCGACATCTTTTGTAATTTTTGCCAATCTCAAATATAACCTAAAAATTGAGTCTCCAAAATATTAATTAATTATAATGGGTGAAAACCTCGAAGATATTCGCCCCCAATTCGGAAATAGATTTCTAATTAACGAAGAAGATGTTTTCCAACATAACGCATGGTACGAAAATGATATTTACAAAATTTCGAAATTGCCACACTCAATTCAGAAAAAAACCTAGGTTAGGTTCCAGGTTTTTAACGGATTTAAATAAGATTTATCAATTTAACGCTTGGTAATTCAATTAAAATCACTTATTAATTTATAATAAATTTTTCTCTTAAAATAGGGATAACGTTGAATGGGACGAAAATCAAGAATTAGAAGCCAAACGAAAAGTCGAATTAAACGGAGTAATAAAGTTATCAAAAGACGATATTGCAAAGCATGAAAATGAGGCGGACAAATTTTGGGATTCTTTTTATTCGGTGCATTCGAATCGGTTCTTTAAGGATCGACATTGGTTGATGACGGAGTTTCCCGAGCTTGGTGATACTGACGAAGGGTTAGATAAGGTGTTTTTCGAGTTGGGGTGTGGCGTTGGAAACACGGTTTTTCCGATACTTCGATATTCAAAGGGAAAAAAGCTTCTTATGCATTGTTGCGATTTTTCCGAGACTGCAATTAATATTTTGAAAGAAAATCCGGAGTATGACCCATCTCGGTGTAATCCTTTTGTGTTCGATGCAACAGAAGAAAAGTGGGAAATGCCGTTTGAAGAGAATAGTGTTGATGTTGTTATAATGATTTTTGTTCTATCAGCAATTAAACCCGAGAAGTTTGGGAATATCATTAAAGAGATTTATCGTTACTTAAAACCTGGGGGATTAGTTTTATTTAGGGATTATGGAAGATATGATTTGGCTCAATTACGATTTAAGCAAGGGAGGTGTATCGGGGATAATTTTTATGTGCGAGGGGATGGAACGATGGTTTATTTCTTCGATGCGGGTTAATATTTAGTTATTTTTTTGTGGTTATTAATTAACTATTCAATTTTTAAGGTGAGATTAAAAGTATGTTTGAAAATGAAGGATTCGAGGAGGTACAAAACCACGTTGATAGGCGGTTACAAGTTAATCGGGGTAAATTTATGAAAATGTATCGAATTTGGATTCAGGGGAAGTATCGGAAGAAAATTAATTAATTAATTTGTATTAATAAAATGTTTTTATCAACACATATAATACAAAATATACATGGATTCAATTTAAGTGCTGAAAACGTCACTAATTTTTTGTACTTTTTTTTAGTTTTAGCACTACATTAATTATTACACGACCTATTAAATAGAAAAAATTAAGAAAGCTAGTTACGATGACGTTAAAAATATGATCGGAGATAGTTGGCACAAAATTTTTTCTTTTTAACAAGTTGTGATTAACTTTACACACTTTTTCGTTTTTTTTTATCAGAATTATACAATTATTTTCATATTTTTTCTTATAATCTAAAATAATTTTATTTAATGTATATGGCAGGATAAGTGCTACGTTTTGGACCAAAAATCGTTAATAATCGTAAACAAAATAATAATAATAATTAAGATAATTATATTTAAGTAAATTTAAAAAGTAAAATAAGTTATAATAGTTCACGGGTAAAATAAACTTTGATTAGAGATTAACAAAAAATAAATTAACGTTAAAACTAATAATAATAATGATATTACAATAGTAATAAGATTTTTTTTCATTTATATCTTAGTAATATACACTATTTATAAATTGAAAAATTAAAATGAAGTTAAAAAATAATTGAATCATCGTACAGGGTGGTTTATGTAAAATAAACATTCCTTAAGCAGTAAAAATAGGACAAAAAATAAAATGTAGCTATCTAATATTAATTTTGCAAAAAAAAAAAAATAATTAATCTGAGTATTATCATTTTAATCAGGATTACTGGATTTATACTTCTTAAGCCACCGTTTAGCTGCTTCTTTAACTTCTTTTAAGGCGTATTTAAGGCCAATAAAAAATTATTTCGTCTCCTCCGAGCCCCTTTGATTAAAAGCCATCCGTACACTTTCGCACACAAATTTATATTGACTCTAAAAAATCAATTAACGAGTTAATTTAGGGATTAATAAACTAACATTACAATTTACAGCATTTTGTATCATCATGGCACGTTGCTGTCGCATTGTCCGAACAATTTCGAAAGGAAAAACCGGCTGGCTCGCTTCCATCAAACACAAAGCGGTCTCCATCAAAACCAAAACCCCCGTTCGTCCAATTCCCGCGCTACAATGCACGACAATCACCGATTCGGGGCTAATTTTTCGCACGTCTCGCACGCGGTTTGTAAAATCGAGGAATTGAATCGGAGAATCTGGGACTCCATGATCTGGCCAAGCTACATATTGCATGTGACGAATTTGCCTCTCCGATTTACTCTAAAAATTGATTATTAATTAATCAATTCATTAAAAAATTAATTTTAGTACTAACTATATTTTCTGTTAAAATAAAATCTCTAAAAATAAAACTTCCGCTTGAATCTTCTTGTTCATGAAGACATTTAATCGAGATATTCTCAAACCCGATACTTTCCCCAGTACAAGGCCAATATTTGTGGCACTTAGGACGCCCCCTTTCTGTTAATGTCGTTAACATTACGATTAAATTGCAATCTTGCTCGTAAATCATGTTCCAGAAATCTTCCGTTGTTGATTGAAGCGGACCTTGAGTCGCAATGTATTTATTAATAATTTCAGTCCCATTTATCTTCATATTAACGTAATTCGCATTAATATAATCATTTTCAGTCGTATTTTTTAATATAACTCTCGTTGCATCGTCTAAATCATTAATAAAAAAAAATTAATTTAGTTTATAGGTTATGTTTATGTATTTCTGTGTCAAATTTTTTAAAAAAATGAGGTTTTTTTTATACTTACAAGGTGATATGTCTCGATATCGATTTTTTGTGATATTATTAGCCTTTTCTGCTTCATCACACGTCATATCCGGGTGCTTCCTGTATAAAATCTCGTATTCCATTAATAAACTTCCGGTGATTAACCCCTCGGATAACTCAACCATGCTTTGTTCTAACGGTGTTAAAATAACGTTTTCGCCAGATAAAATGTCCCCAATTGGCATGTAATATTGCAAACTCTCATCGTAATCATCGCGATTATAAAGAACGTTCGGTTTTAACGTCAAAACTAACTTCCCGGAATCAGTATTTCTAGCTTCATGAATTAATTGAACGACCACACTGTGTAAAGCATTCGAAACATCTTGCCCATTTATTTGTAGGAGTTGATCCCCTTCGTTTAATCGGGGATTACATCTATCGGCTGGGGTATTTAGACCAACTCTTGATATTAAAATTGGGACGTCTTTCGTAGCGCCGCCTACAATGATGATTTTTATTAAAGTTAATTTAAATTATTTGAAGGTTACCTTTAACGTTAAACCCATATTTTCCATCTGAATCGGGGTACAACACCACGTTAACTAAGCCATCATCATCTTCAGGTCGTAAAGTGGGTGAGTGACTTGCACTGTACGGAGGGGTGTCGTAAAGGCCGTTTTGGGTGGGAGAAGGGGGCTCCTCATCAACGTAACTCAAAACTTTCGCTGCTAACCCGGGTGTAAAAGGTGTTGTACCATTCCTAATTAAATTTTTCGACATTAGCTACTGGATCTGTTATCGTTTCCGAACAATACTCTCAACAACAATCTAATAACTAATTACATTACTTTATCTTACGTTTTAATCGCTCGATTCAATTCAATTTAACTCAAATTAATTCAAGTTAATTAAAAATAACTTACTTTTTAGATTTACGTTTGGGAACGTAATAAGTGGTACATTTTAAACTCATTTTAGAATCATTGGTGACACCATTTGTGTCCTTCGGAAATTAAGGAAGTTGATTCGAATAGCTTTTTAGTCATAAAGTGATAAAACACGGTTATAATCGATGTTTTATCAGGTGTTTTAGCAAGATTAATTCTGATAACGGTTATCATTATAATATTAAAATTAGTTTCCTTATTTCTTGAGATAAGATTAAAATTTTCATCAAAAATAAATTTTTTTTAATTAAATATTAAATGTCAATAAAGCCGATAAAATAGATTCCTTTTTTTAAGGTTATAAATTCTTTTTATTTAAATTATTCATCAGTGACCACAAAGCGTTTTTGTGTTGTTTCGGCCCCATTAAGGTGAGGTTTTCATTACAATATTAAAGTTAGCTCTTTATTTTTTGCGATAAGATTAAAATTTTAAAACTTTTTGAGGTTACAAATTTTCTTGACATTATACTTTAATTTGTTTAAAACTTACTCATCAGTGATTAAAGATTCATCCTCCCAAGCTTTTCTAGGTTCTTTCGGCCCCGTTGAGGTGATTTTATCGTTATAAAGTCGTGGTGGTCGCGCCGGAGCTGGAACTATTTTCCCCTTTTCTTCTAATATCGGAGGTGGGGGTGATTTAATCTAAATCAATTTTTTATTAAAAGTAACCAAACAAATTATTTTTAATCCTTACTAAAATTTTGCTGGGGGATCGAACAAATTTCCTTTCCAGTTTTCCCCGCTGCTTAACATCTTCGACGGTTTGAAACTCAGTTCTTCCAGAGTAAGTGAATTTAGAGCCAAGAGAGAACGGAAATCTTCTCCGAACTTTAGGAGAATGTAACCTAAAAAAGGTGTGGTGCTCTACGCATGATTTCCATAAAGTTTTCGAAGCCCGATAAGTCTCCATGTTAAACCCGAGGAGGGTGTCGTAATTTTCGGAGAGTTCTCGTAAAAGTTGTATGAAAAATTGTTTCCTTTTAAAGGATATTTTCATGATTTTGGACCAAGAGAAGGTGTTGATTCGTACATTATTTTGAAAAACAACTAATCCAAGCGATGTTACCCCCAATTGAATATCTTTACTGCTATTATCCTATTTAAAAAATATAATGAATGAAAATTTGCAAGGGAATTAATTAAATTAATTACTTTCGCTTTGTATAATTCAACTCCATACATCTCTAATCGTTTCGCATGATCCAAGAAATTAAACTCCGCATCAGCCGGTAATTGACCCCTAAAAAGTAAAACGATACATTAAAAATTAAAAAAAGAATTATTTGCAACTCACTTTAACAGTTTATGTAGCTCCGATATTCTCCGTTCCATCTCTTCCGTTTGATTGGGCGCCAATTGCATATTAGACAAGTAATTGGGGCCATGCTCGTCAGGTTGATAATCACCTAATTCAGCTATAAAAATTTTTTTCGATGAATTAACAAAAAAAAATAAATTTGCTTAATAAGCGAATGACTCAACTTACATTGTACAATATAACTAGCTAATAAAATGGCAGTACTCGGCGGTAATTGAAGACGCCCCTCCAAAATATCCCTTCGTATTTGAAGATAAAATTGATACCTCGTATATTCTTCTTGTAATTTACTCGGATCGGATACATAAAATTTCACTCGAAAAAATAGATGAGTTTGGTTATTTCCAAGCTGTTTTTTAACTGATTTGGACGGATCTAACCATTTCTTTTTAATAATTAATAAAAAATTTACATTAATTGAAATGTTAAAAATGACATTTATGAAATTTTTAATGTTATGTTACTTAATCTAATAAATAAGTAAATTACTTACAGCATATTCGGGTTTATTATTGCTAGAACCCCCATTTTCGTAATAATTTAATCCGAAATAATCTTTTTCGATTAATTCGAGATGTTGATAAACTTGGTCTAGTAAAGCGGAACCCTTCGAACGTTTGCTGACGTTAAAACAATGCTCCGTGTCGTCTAAAAAATGGACTACGACGCCGAAACCGTCCTGTTTTCGATCCCTAGCGGCTGCCAGTTCTAAAGCTTGCACGTGGTAAGTTCCACTAGACCCTGAAAGCGCCCTACGAGACACACTTTCGATCATGGCATAACCTAAAATTTCAAATAAAAGTATTTGCCTCATAAATCAATCTAAATTAAAATGTTTTAGTGTTAAATCATAATCATTACCGAGTTTCTTTTCACATTCTGCGATTCCTGGTCCTATGTTTACTATTTTCTATCCATATATTCCTCATGGGGTCACAAAAACCACGCAAATATGCACATCCTCTTCCCCGTTATCTAATTAATGAGCTATTTAAGACGGATTTTATCACATTTGGTGGTATTTGATACTTTTAGTTGGTTAAGAATTAAAATCTTTCGATTTGATTATAGCATCAAGTGGGTTTGGGCACCATCTTTAATCTTTTTCTTTAGGTTGTCAGCGCCGTATCGAGCGGGAAATTTAAAAATAATCCCGTTATAATGAAACCCGTTCATTCAATCGATAAAAAGAGAACTAAAAACGATTCAAGTTCGTTTCGATTAATCGGAATCGAATAAATGAGTCATTCACTTGCGAAAACAATAAATCGATTCATAAATTTAATAAAAAATAATTATTGGTTTCTTTGACCTAAAAAGAAAACGAAGCAATTTATTTATCATTTTGTTATCAAATGATTTTATTGTTATTTATCAGAATGAATTAGAAATTAATTTGAAATCATAAAAAAATATTATTGAATTAAATTAAAATTAGAAAGGTGTAAATTGGGTTGCATAACCAACAACAAAAAATTAGTATTAAAAAATTTATTTTTAATTTTCAATTTCATTGATGATCCTTTGATTATCTTGGATTAATTTTTCCAAGCGTTCTTTGGTTGCGGAAGTTTGGTTGCTTTTTAATTTCTCTTTTGCTGTCAAAATTCCTTGTTTGTAACCTGTAACGTTATGAAAAACCCTAACTTGTTTATCGCCAGAAGTAAATAAGAATTTCCCGGCCGGCTCAAAGAACATATTCGTCACATCACCAGCGTAAACATTCTCAATCAATCGATCCAAAACACCCGATTTACTCGAATAAAAATATAAGGAACTCATCGAGCTGACCACAACGACCTCGGCATCGGGAGATAAAGTTATTTTTGACGGTCCATTATGGTTGTGTTGCCCCGTTGATTTCAAATGGGGATCTTCTCCTTTTTTATAATCAACTTGAAAATAAATAAATTTATTAAATTGGTGTTTAATTGCTTCAACATTTACTTTTCGTATCGAATAATTTCCAAGTTCCATCTTTCGAGATAGAGGTTATGTGGGAAGTATCCGTATCGAAAGAAACGTCGTAAACTTCCGATTTATGCCCGCAAAGCTCAAAAACTCTTTGCACATCTTGCACTTCACCCGATTTATTACAAATTACCTCCCAAACTTTTACATCGGGGGCAAAACCTAAAAAAAAAAAATAAATTGTCTTGGCGTATATTGGGTTGCATACATAAAATTTAAATTTACCGCAAGAAACAATAAATTTCGAGCAAGGTGTGATTTTGGCTTGATTCGTGTACATTAAATAAGTATCGACTTGCCCCATGATTTGCCCCTTTAAATTCCAAACTATTAATTGATTCTTTTTGGAGCACGTCATGATGAATTTTCCGTTTTGGGCTATATCCATCGCAATGATGTCCTCATTGTGATTTTTATCGAAAGTCGCCGCTTTACTCGGTTGGGACAACCAGCCATCCTTTTTCTTCTCTAATTTATAAACCTCAACTGTGTTTTCGTTGTATTTCGTTATTAAGAACGCCTTGTTATCGGGGCTCCATTTAACGAAGGTGGGGTAATCAAACTCGATGTTGACTCGGAGAGATTTTCGGTCTTTTTGGTTAATATCTTTGATGTCCCATAAAATAACCGTTCGATCTGAAACAAATAAATAAATTAATCAAATTAATTGTGTCATGATTTATATAACCTCTAACAAATATTTTTTTGATATTTAGATTTTTAAAAAATTTAAATAATGATTTATTTAAAATTAAATTAATTGATTAGATCAAATTTGTTTTAAAATATCGTTTTAATTAATCATAAGGGATTATTTAGTCGATTTGAAAGATTGAGGTTATAATTAATTTAAACGTCAATTTTGACGTTTCTTAATTTTTAAATCAGCTTTCACAAAAAAGTTTAATCTAACAATTTCTACTTTCTACTTTCTCTTCGTTTTTGGTTTTTTATGTATTTGCTTCATCAAACTTCACCTCTTTAGTATCAAAAAGTCCTTCGATTCCCTCTATATTTAAGTAATTAGCGCCAATTTTATTCAAAAAAACTTTCTTTTTGAGGTGTTAATTTTTTCTGATTAACACAATTTTATTTTGAAACCAAGGTTATTAATTTAAGAGAAACCAATTTATTTAAGTTTACAACGAGTTTTATTTAAGGCACTTCGTTTCGAGAGTATCACGAATAAAAAAACGATACAAATTAAATTAAGTTTCTTTAATACTAGTAACAAAAGTGTATTTTTATTTTGTACTACATCAGTCTATTTTAAAGCGGACGCAAACAGGAATAAACCCGGAGAGATTCGATTCTTAGCTGTTTACCCCACCGTTTAAATAACGCACTCTTAAGATTAAATATAAAAAAAATAATCCTATTGATAATGAGGAACTCTTTTTTTTAATAAGATCATTTTTTTCCTTTTTTTATTTTATTAGAGTTGATAAGAATGTTGGAGAATTGATTGGAAATCCCTTCCGATCCTCATCAACATCAAATCGATGCAAGCCCTCGCATCCTCGAAGCTATCGTGGCCTTCCGAATTAGTTTGGATGTCTCGTTTTAAAAAGCACGAGGCTAACTGTTTCAATGATCTACGATAAGGCAACCCGTTTCGATGTGGGAATGCAACGGCTGTATCAACAACCGTCGGGTGCAAAATCTTCAACACCCTCAAATCATTTTCTAATCCATGCCCGATAAGAATCGTATCTGAAAATATAAACCCCATCAAATCATTTTGGACTTCCCGTAAACTTTTCGGATTTTTTTTCTTATTTAAATCCTTCGCTGTAATTCCGGAAAATCGACTGTTATAATCAACAACATTCATTTCAGGTTTAACAAATGTATCGTACACTAAACGTCCATCACAACCGATTACCGTCACTTTAACCAGCTCCATCCCTTTTACGGTGAAGCACATTTCGCAATCAATCGCGTATGCGCCGGTGTTCCCACCGGGTGGGGTCGTTTTTCGAGGTTTCGTTTTAACATAGTTATCGAAAGGTCCGTTTACACCCGCATTAATTCCGGTCCAAACGTGTAATTTACCCTGCATGCACCCTTGACTCCCTTCGAAACCGCCGCAACACTGATACTTTAAAACACCCAACGACGTTGGGTGAAACATCGTTAATTTTCCCCAATGATACGTGCAAGGCTCTTGGGTGATGTACCCGGAGTCTTCCGGGTTCAAATAAAAATCGTCCCCGCATCGGCAACAATTTTTTTTGTTATTTCTCACTTCCTTTTTGTTATAAATAGAAATTAATTCGCTCCGCTCTAAAATCGAGTTATAAATGTAATTTTCTTCGATTTTGGGGTTGCTCTTGACATCTTCTTCGCACTCGGACGAATTTCCCGAGTCTCTTCCGCTATCTTCGTTGATCTCTTTTTTTGTGTAACTCCTCGGGTAAAATTCCTTGGCGTTAACATCAAAAAATGTTTTTTTCTTTTTATTGTTATCGTTTTTCCCCCAAAATCCCCCCATATTCCCCTTAAAAATAATTACTTTCCCGGGATCTTGGCTACTATCCATCGGATAACCCAACGCTAACATTTGCTCGGTACTTAAAAGGTATGAATGAAGAAATGAGGTCAAATCAACGTCGGGAACACCAAGTTTTTCATAAAAAAGGGATGGTTCGTGCTTAAAATTCTTTTCTATCGACTTTTTTCCCCTCGCTTTATTGCTCTTCAAGACCGGGGATGCGTTTTCGTCGCGTTTCCGATTCTTCCTTTGTCTTCTACTTAATTGCGGCTTCACGTCTTGCTTTTTTTCTTGATCCTCCTCTTCCTCGAGGTATTCTGACGAGAGGTTGCTGTCTCCGTCAGTGGAAATTGAAGTTTTCGATGCGGAGTCATCTTCTGAATTAAAAAATAGAAACTTTTAGTCTCTCCTTTAATCTTTTTACTTAGTTTTTTTGCGTGTAAGTGTTTATAACCTAGTTTTATTAGAAAAATAAGATAAGAAACCCGCTACTTAACCACATTTTATTTTTATTTCGTGTCATTATTAATTATTCCTAAGATATTTCGTTATCTTAAACGACATTTTCTGATGTAATTATGAATAATTGAAGATATTTCGCCACCTAGCGATTAATTTCTAATTTATTTACAGAAATCTGTAATTTTAACCTGGACGAAATTAACCCTCCCTGTTTTTATTAATTTAATTAATACTAACCGTCTGAACACGATGCCAACAATCTCCCATTGCTGGAATAATCCATATCTAAAACTTGTCCAGTGTGTCCTTTCATGGAAGTTTTTAACCATTTATCAGTAAAAGTTTTATCGTTCCTCCCCAAACGATTATCGATGGTTTTCTTTTTTTTATTAGACACAATATGCGTTTGCGACTGTCTCTTTTGGTCAGAAACTTCCTTAGCATCTGTAAATCAAAAATTAAAAAGATTATAATTAAACGTCAAAAACGTCAAAATTGGAGGTTAATTTTTTGAAGGTTATGTTATTAACATAACCTTCAATTCGCACGTGTGCTGTTGTAATTGACATTAAAATAAAAAGGTGTTCGCCACGTGACCGATTAATTAAATTTCGCGTCAAATTCTAATTGACAACTTACTTTTCTCGATTTTTCTCGGTACCTCGTCCGGATTCGCGTTTTGCACGACACTTAAAACGTACCGTAATAGAAGAAACGCGGCCCCGACGACGACAGCGACCACCAACGACGGCAATAACAGCTCGACCGAACCGTTCTCACTCATCTTTTTTATTAAATATATTTTTTCTCTTTAATAAGTGAAAAAATTGATGAATTCTAAAAAAAAACGAATCACCCCATCAACCGTAAACACTGTAACCGAATCGCGCTCTGAACAACACCGCTAATTCTTGAAAAGCACGCGATTCGTCGAAAAGTGCTGTCGGCGGCTCGATTTGGCGCGAAATACAAATGACAATTTGTTTTTTTGAATTTTTATCGATTAAATTCATCCTATTAAGACGCGTTTCTCCTTTCTTATTTAAAGCGAAGAACGCGAATGAATTTACGAAAATAAATCAAAAAAGAATTCCTACTTGTTTAACGTTTAGAAGTTATTTTCGAACTGTTTCTCCAAGGCAAAATCCGGCCAAGTTATAAAGGTTAGAATAACGTTTTAAACGCCACCTATACGTGACAGTTAAAAATGTGAAAATGACGTTTAATGTGGAATCCTCGAAAAGGAGATAATTTCCCCACTTTTCTTACGAAATCAAGACGAAAAGAACCAAGAGGATGCTTCTAATTAGATTTTCGAAAATCCCATCATCGAGGTTAAAACAATTAAGTTTAAATTTAAATGTATTTATGTTTTTTCCTTTTTAATTGAGGTTATGTTTTTATTAATTTTTTTTAGATTTAACTTAAATAATAAAAATTTACCTTGTATATCACTTGTCGCGGACGAAAACGGTTTGAACACGATTGATGAAATCATATTGGTTATATTATCGTGTGTTAAAACTCCCGGAATCATTAACGGGGTTTATCAGCCGTTGAATCATCGGGTTTTCTTGGAATTATATTAAAAAGGAAACGACAATAATTCTTTGTGGAATTCCGTTTATAATAATCACAATTTAATCACTACGTAAAACACAAAATTATTTCTTAAAGGTGTATCGAGGAATGATTGATTAATTGTTTTGTTCCCTGGTCTTTATATGTACTGGATTGAATTATTTATGTAAATAACGTTATTTACCAATATTTGATATCTAATCTTTTACAAAGTGGATTTAAAAAAGTACATTTTGCAATTTTAAATGACTAAATTAATTAAATGCGAAAAAATTAATTTAATTTTTTTAACTTTCAGAATTAAAAGTGCATTGAAACGAATTTTCGTTTAACGTCAACGTCGTTCTAATTTTGAAACGGGACACATTTAGTTTTTCTTGGACTGAAGACAACTTGAACTAACGCCAAAAAGTAAGTAAAAGATAAAGAAGCAACATAGTTTTATTTAGTTAAAGAAAAAAAATTTATAACCTCAAAATTTTGACGTTTACAATTTAACATGAAATTATTTTTAGGTTATAATTTTTTAATTAAAAAAACCACTTATTATTAACGCGTTATTTATTTATTTGAAACGAGAAATAACGGAAATGCAATTTTTATAGTTTAAATAAATCCCGTGAACAACCAGGAAGGTGATTTTAAGCTTGACTTTCTTGTCTCGATTTGAAAGAAGGTCGAACGGTTTCCGCGTAAATGCGGAATTGTGCATGTCGTTGACCAGTTTGTAGACCGTTAGTTCAAGTCTTTAAAGTGTTACAATGTCAGTTTTTTAACCCTCCTTGAATCACGCAGCAATTCGAAAAAAAAGTTATTTTAAAAGTGTTTACTGAAAAAGTGTTATCTCAAAAATGTTTTAACTTATTATTCAGTAACCGTATTTAACAAGAAAACAGTCTACGAAAACAACTATCTGAATTGATTATTACTTAAAATAGTTTCGAATATCACCGGTTCTAATTATAGTTAATTTAAAACGTATTTTTTTTTATTTTAAAACACTTTGAATTGATGATGGGTGATTTTTTTTCACCTTGAGGTTTGTTGTTTTTAATTAAACGCGTAAATATTTTTTTTGTATGAAAATTTTCTTTATAAATTAATTTTTATTTCGTTAAAATGTTTAAAATAGTATAATTATATAAATGTTTAAAAAAAAAAGAATTAAAAAAGAGTATCATATCATTTAATTAAACAGAGGTTGCTTGCGGCCGAGGCGTTAGAATTGGTACCTTAATTATTCTTGATATCTCTATTAATAGATTTTTGACGATACTATTTCAATGTTTCTAATTAGATCTTGATGGCTTTTTAACCTCAATTTCATTTTTTAACTGATTATTTCGCGACTTTCAATTGATTATTTTAGTAATTATCTCAATAGTTTTGGATTTTTTCCATCCAAAAAATCATTCACATTTAATTTTTTCATCCAATCTTATCAACTTCATAATTAATTTAATTTTTTCCGAAATAATCCCATCAATTCTAATAATTTTCGTATTAACCACACCCATTTTTAAATTCACATTTTATTTAAAACTATTTATAATTTTTTTTGAAGTTATGTCACTACTTCACATTGGCGTCGATTTCGATGTAAATAGCATGAAATTAGCAACAGACACATTTCATTTTTGACGTTTCATTTGACGTTAATGTTTTTAACATTTATTTTTATCAAATTTTAAATTATTTAAAAATAACTTCAGAAAAATAAGAATGATGCAATCCGAGAAACAATACCCCTATAAAATAACCAAATATTAAGGTATTTTAAAATTGTTTTTGTCGTCTGCCCACAAAACGAGATTTCAATATTTTTTTAAAAGCGTTAAATAGGAATCGATTTTATTGATTACATTTTCGATAAGTTTTTTTTTTTGATATCCTTCAAATTATCACATTGTGTCGTTTTTAAACAATTGTTGAAAAAAACCTATTGGTATCAAGTAATTCCTATTGTTCTTTATGTCGTTATCTAATATTTCAAATAATTTTTAAAAAAATAACGAAATAAAACATTTCTTTGTCTGAAAATGTTGCAAAAATTTTTTATTTATTGGTTTGTTTTTCAACATAAGCCACGAGCAACATGTTTTTCTCAATTTCCTACTAATTCTTATTTACTATTATTTATAAAGGAATAAATGAATAAAACATACCGCCAGTTCACTGTATCTTATACAAAACAAACAATAAAACGGGTTTATTTAAAAGATAAGAAAAAGGTTTCAAATTTAATTCTCTTTTTTGTGTTAATTCCGTTCCAATTTTTATTTAATTAATTAACCGAGTTATAGTAGTCAAAACAACAACTTGTGACGCATCTTGTGATTGCGCTATCAGAAAAACTCTATAGAAACGCCGCGTGTCGTTAATTTATCGATTGAGTTGCGAAAAAGGCGAATCAAACTTCAAAACGTGGTAATACACAATAAATATTGCGTAACGCTTCCAACTTACCAAAAAAAACTAAACTCAACAAGATTCGTTTAATATTAACTAAAACGAATCTCCTCGACCAGTTTTGTTCACACAACTGATTCTTTTTTACTCTTTCTTTTTATTTAAGTTCGTCCATGAAAAAACGCACAAAAGAAGAGGCGTTCTTTGTTATTGTTTTGCTTTGACTCTTTTTTTCGCAATGATAACACCGAGTAGATAGCCGAGTTTGCATTTCTTCAAGGTTAACCCAACAAAAACGCCCCAAAAACGGCCTAATCGAACTCATCTTCTAACGATTCTTTAATCACCTAATTAAAGCAGAAAAATTAGGTTAAATTAGATTAAAATTATAAATAACTCTCCATGAATCACTTTAAAAATGACGTCATTTCTTGGTTATTTCTAAAGAAAGTTCGAAATAAGGCTGAGGTCAAGAAATTCCCCTCAAAGAAAAAAAAACGTTGCGTAAACGAGTCGATTTCAAGTCTTTCTTGGGCTCCGGAGAAAGTTCGCGATATAATTTCGCCAAACTACTTTTATTCAAAAAAAAATATGCTTATGTGAAAGGAGATTTTATCTCTCTTTCTCTTGAGAGGTGAAAACGGGACCTAAAATTTACTTTCTTCGACCTTCAAACCGTTTTTTGCGTGATTTAGAAACTAAATTAAACAAAAAAGGATACCTTTTCTTGGTTCAATTTCGGTTTAGAACGGTTTTAAGCCTTAAAAAGAATGGAACATCCTGCGTTACGCAAAATTATCCAAGAGCGGTTTCGATTTCGTTTTCGAAACGTCTTCGATGGCGACGACAACAACTATAACGTTGTTTGTTTAAGTCACGTAATCATCCACGTTGTAAAAGAAAATAGGTTCGTCGCGAACCCGTTTATTTTCTTAAAACGGTATTTTCTATTACGTAAACATCTCCTTTTTTGCAGTAATAATCCCAAGCATCCGGGGACGAAGTTTATTTTTAATAAATGTTTTAAATTCTCCTGGAAAAATTATGACGGAAAAAAAATAATATTTAATTTAATACTAACACAATTTTTAGATTAGATTTATCGTTAAAACCCCGAGTAATGTGAAAAATATAACCAAATAACTTCATATATCGGCTAAAAATTAAAGAAATTAAATTATTTGCGAGGACGCTTAAAAAGTTTGACGTTTTATAAACGTCAAATTTGTTTGTATCAAGACTCTCCGTGATTGGTCGAATTAAAAAGATGGACATCAACTTCCGGTTATTAATTTAATTTAATGCTTACCCGATTTTGATTTGTTAGATTTTTCAAAATAATGTATAAATTTCAACGTTTTTAGTTTAAAACCATTTAACGCATTAATTGGGTAAAAATTGTAAATGATTTTTATGAAAGCTAAAAATTGACATAAACGTCAGATTTGTTTGTATCGAAACTCCTTGTGATTCGACTTCCGCTTTTTAAATTTAATAAACATTTAAATAATTGTTATTAATACACGATTAATTAAGTGCAGTTATTAAATATATCGATTAAATACAATCATTAGACGCAATCGTAGAAATAATATTACGCGCGGGTAATTAAAAATGAAAATGAAATTCAATTTACGTAATCGAATCGAACGTAATATTTTTTATTGCGCGTCACACCTTAATTTTAATCCCCAACGACTTTCATTAACACTTTATTTAAATTAAATAATATTAAAATAATTTTTAAATTAAATTGACGCTTTGTTTAATTCGACCAATCACAGGGTTTCGGTACAAACAAATTTGACGTTTGTGAAACGTTAACGTTTGATGATTTAATTATTAAGTTTCACCTTGAATTCGGTTTAAAATGCTTTTCCGGTGTAACCCTCTTGAATATCAATAAAAATTGAACCCATTGTATTAAAATAATCGTTTTCTGGGTTCACCTTGAAATTAAAATGAAATAAAAATGTACAACTACTTTGTGTGTGTAGTATTTTGCACACAATTATCTCTGCGTCGCTTGGTAAGCGCCTTGAATCGGAAAGGAGAGGTCAGAGACTTTTCTAAAATAGCAAAAGCAGCTTGGTGAGTCATCGCCTTAAATTTAAATTATTCAACCCTCTTTGAATCGCCGATTTTATTTTTGAAGCGTGTTTTCGATTAATTTTTTTAATCTCCAGACGAAAAATAAGCATTAATGGAATAACGTCACTCTCACACACCTCTTGAATATCTATACACTCAAAAACGAATTGATACAAAAAATTAATTGAGATTAATCTCTTCATGCTTACTTTGACGAATTTTATCTTTAGCCTAACCTACAACAACGTCCCCGAGTATCGTTTGATCTTTTTTTTAGATATAAAGTGCTAAAAATAAATTACCATAATCGAAAAACAACTCATTGTGATAATAATACTTTGTGTTTAAATAAACAACGTTTTTTAGGAGATGAGTTTGAATCGATTTCCTGTTTTGAAACGACGTTATCTATCAAAACAGCATTAATTATTACTATTTTATTATTTAAGTCTATATTTAACTATTTTATTGTTGATGTAAGATGTAGGCAACTTCTTTAACACCAACTATAAAAATAAAAATTTTCTCACTTATTTCGTCTAAATTTGAATTAAGTTACGATTTTGATTGTTATTTTAAACCCAAAATATAAATAATTAAAATTAAGTTTTTAAAAAAACGTTTATTGTTATATTGAAATTAATAAATAAAAATTGAGGTTATGTTTAAATTTGTTTGTCTCAAATCCGTAACCAACTTCAGTTTTAAATAACAATTTAAATCTTTGTTTGTAGTTATTACTAAATCCACATTTTAATGATAAAATTACTATTTATTTGAATAAATTAATTAATTTAAATTAGAATTAACGAAAATCGAATTATTAATAAACAACCAAAAAAAAAGAATCTTAATTTTCCCCTAGATTGACAGTTTTGTAACTAAGAGTGAATCGTCAAATTCGTTTGCTTTGTCGGTTTATTTCGCATCAAAACACAAATAAGAATGCCGCTAGAAAATTTAGAAGACCAAGGGTTAGAAAAGACCCCAAATTTGGAGCTGGCCCAATACAAATTTCTTTTAACTCTCCCGGAATATCGCTCCGATAGAAATGTTCACACAAAAATCTCCGAAGCCATCAAAAAGGACGGTGAGTCCCTTCATTTTAATTAGTTAATCACTTATTAATTTAATTCTTATAGATATGGCACCTTGGTACGAACTAGTTTGCAAAGACGCGGGTTGGAAATTAGATCAAGCATTTCTAAAGCAAATGCAAACCCGTAATGAAGAACAAATTGTAAAGCTAAACGAAACGATTGAGGACGCCGAAAAAAATCTCTCTGAAATGGAAGTGAGAGACGCGTATCTACGCAAAGCTGAGTATTACTGCAAAATCGGCGACAAAGAGAATGCGATATCAACGTTTCGTCAAGCTTATGATAAAACGGTTTCTTTGGGACACCGGCTTGATATTATTTTTTATATGATACGAATTGGGTTGTTCTTTATGGACCATGACATCATTACTAGGAATATCGATAAAGCGAAGGCTTTAATCGAGGAGGGGGGCGATTGGGATCGTAGAAATCGATTAAAAGTTTATCAAGGAGTTTATTGCATGTCGGTGAGGGACTTTAAAAACGCTGCGAATTTATTTTTGGAGACTGTCAGTACATTTACTTCGTACGAGTTGATGGATTATAAAGCATTTGTGAGGTACACCGTTTACGTCTGCATTATTAGCTTACCAAGGAATCAATTGAGAGATAAGGTTGTAAAAGGATCGGAAATTTTGGAAGTGTTGCATTCAGAGCCATTTGTTAAAGATTACCTTTTTTCTTTGTATAATTGCCAATATGCTGAATTCTTTATTAATTTAGGTAACTAATTTTAATTTATTTAAGTAATTTATTAATTGAATTAATTTTTTTCAGCTAAAGTTGAAGAAATTCTCCGTAAAGATTATCTACTTCACCCCCATTACCGTTATTACGTCCGAGAGATGCGCATTTTAGCCTACACCCAACTTTTAGAATCATATCGATCATTAACTCTCCAATACATGGCAGAAGCTTTCGATGTATCACAAGATTTCGTCGATCAGTAACTATATCATAAATATCTCAAAACTTTTCGTTATTCTAATTTATTTTCAGGGAATTATCAACATTTATCGCCTCAGGAAGATTACACTGCAAAATTGATCGCGTCGGAGGCATCGTTGAAACTAATCGGCCCGATTTAAAGAACGCCCAATTCAATTCTGTAATAAAACAAGGCGATTTATTATTACAGCGCGTCCAAAAATTATCGCGAGTTATTAATATTTAATCAAATAACATTTTTTTTTGTGAATTTTTTAATAAATTATTTTGAGTTTATTAAAAATTATTTTTTTTTTAGGTTAAATTAATTAAATGTCATATTTGAGGTTAACTCGATTAAACGTCATTTTTGACGTTTACAATCTCAAATTACTTTTTAAATTTTTATTAAAAGCGGAAAATTCTTTGATCATTTTAATGTTGTAGAGCAAATACAAACAAATTTGTAAGGGAAATAAAGATATATAAGCCTCTGATCATCTTAAGTTAAATAAAAATGTTTTTCAATTTAAATTTATTGCTTAACATTATTTTAAAAACTTATTTTACCAACACAAATTGTTTAATAATCTTAAATAACACCGAATTCGTTTATAACGGAACTTTACCGGTTGTAACCGTAACAATTGGTGAAGAGGAAATAATTTTTAATCATTTCGGATGCCAGGGAATCTTAATTTTTAGCGAATCCCCCCGCACAGCGTTTGAAAACTTAGAATTCTTGATCCGTTTAAATTTGGATCGATTCAATTCGAGGCGATATTTAATCGTATCGGAGGAATTTGGCGATTTTTTCGAGTCGGAGTGTTTGGATTTTGTGACCGATGTCGTTTTTATTAAAAAATTGGAATTGGAGGATGTTTTCGGGGTTTACACCCATCAATTTGTGGGATTTGGGAACAGTAGCAAAGAAATAATCGAAATCGATCGATGGTTTGGAGGAAACAATTCGTTTTTGCACCAAAATCTTTTGTTTTGGGATAAATTAGCGAATCAAATGGGGAAACACCTTAAATTGGCTACTTTTACTTACGCCCCATACTCAATACCAGGTTTAGTCTTATTTTTAAATTAGAAATTAATACATAATTAGTTTTTAGCTAATTATGATGGAACAGAAGTTTTATTTTGCTTAGAATTCGCTAAAAGATATAATTTAACCCCAATTTTTATTGTGGATGAGAAAGGGGAATGGGGGGAAGTTTACGATAATTGGACGGGGTTTGGGGTGCTGGGAAACCTTGCGATTGATCGAGGAGACATCGGATTAGGGGCTTTATACATTTGGGAGCGTTCATATTACTTCTTTGACATCACCAAACCAGCTTTACGGTCAGGAATTACATGTTTAGCCCCAGCCCCGAGTGAAATTGGGGGGTGGATAACCCCCTTCATCTCTTTCTCCTTCGAAATGTGGATCATCACTTTCTTTTCATTTTTAGTCTCAATTTTAGCAATTTTCATCGCAATCATCTTCGACAAACTGTAAAAATAAACTTTTTCTTAAACACCATAACAAATTTGTATTCTAGAAAAGAAGATTTAACTAAATTAGATAAAAGAGAATACTTAATCCAATCATTCATGTTAACTCAAGCAGTTTTCTTGTTGCAAGGTCTTTCGAAGGTTCCGATTAAAGCAAGAAGTATCTTCGTTTTAGTGTTATTATTAAGTTTTTATGTGGCGCTTTTATATAGCACTGAATTAGCTAGTAATATGACTGTTCCTAGGTAAATTAATCAGTTAATTATTTCAATAAATAAATTAATTAAAAAAAAATTAAGTTCGCAACAAAAACTAAACGTAAAATTGACATTTGTGTTGTAGATACAAAGGGTTAATCCAAAACGCTGAAGATTTAGCAAATCGTGATTTAAAATGGGGCGCAACCTCAATCGCGTGGGTTTCTGCATTATTCGATGACCCAAACGTAACTTAACCAAGTTTTATTCATCCTCTTAATTAATTAATTACTTTTTAGCCAACCTACAAAAAATTAGTGAACAACTTTCTAGCTCTAAATCATGAAGAGTTAGTTAAAAGCAACGATGAAAATTACGGATTTGCCGTTGAACGATTATACGGGGGTATAATTCAATAATTTAGTCTAAAAATAAAAATTTCTCCGTTAACTTTTAAGGTTGTTTAGCAATTGGGAAATACATCACGAAGGAAGGTATCCAAAAACGTCGCTTAATGGAAGAAGATGTTGATTGGGAGCATTGCGCGATGATTCTGAGGAAAAATTCCATCTTATTGCCGAAAATCGATCGATTAATATTGGAGATAGCCCAAGCGGGGTTGTTTTATATCTGGGAATACAAAGTTAACCTAAAAATTTCAATCACTTAATTAATTAAACCCAAACTTCTTTCAGGTCACCGTAAGAACTTCTGATATGAACCTCCAAAACATGGTACGCTTAACCCTACACACCCCAAAACATGTTAAAACTAAATTGGGGTTAACCCACTTAGAAGGAGCTTTCGCACTTTGGCTCGTCGGAATAATTTTAGCAACAATTATTTTTATTTATGAATTAAAAACTTATAATAAATAAAATAGTAATAAAAACAATTTAATTTATTTGAAATGGCGCCACATAACCTCCAAAAACTTTTTCTAATTCGACAGCAACCGCAATCGTTAAATGATCTTGATATGGTGCCCCAACAACTTGAACCCCAATTGGCATCCCTTCCGCGTTTAATCCTAATGGTACTTGAGTCACAGGGAATTTCAACGCGCTCCAAAGAGCATAATGGGTTATGTTGTACGGCCTCAATGTTGAAGTGTAATGATAATTCGCAGCAAAGGCTTCCGAAGGAAATAAAAGGACGCTATTAGTCCCTAATAGAGCGATAAGATTTTGTTTTAAATCGTTTAAAACTTTTTCGCCCCATTCTGGTTTAGGTTTTGGTAATTTCCCGTTGATTAAATTCATAATCGTGTAAAAATTAAATTTCGATTTGCCCAAAAAGTATTTGAAAAGTTCGCCTAACCAAAACGCTTCGTCTTTACGGTTCATTATATCCGATTTAAAGTCAGATTTTTCTTTCGTCATCATATACGACCACAATTTAAAGCCACATTCTAAATTTTTTAACTCGATCTCTTCCGGTTTCTTTTCACAAATTTCCTCAAAATGTTGCACACACCTATAACAAAAATTACATAATTATTTAATTAAATTAATCGAAAACGTACCTTTTAATAGCATATTTAATTTCGAGGCCGATTGGGCTCGAAAGAAAACTTTCGATTTCACTAATATAAAAAATTTTAATTTTTTTCATCTCAACCTTAACGTCTAACGAGAGTTTATCGCTTTTTCCAACTAAAACTTTTAATAAAGGAAGTAAATCTTGCGCGTGTTTCGTCATTGGGCCAGATACAACCATTGTGGGACCTTCCGTTCCTTCCCGAAACGTTAATCCTTTCGTTGTGATGATATCTGAGGAAGTTTTATGCCCAAAAATGCCACATCTAAAACACGGGATTCTAATTGACCCCGCGATATCCGTTCCTAACCCGAAAGGTGATCCACAAGCTGCGATTAAGCTCGCTTCACCTCCAGAGGAACCACCGACGTTTTTGGTTGTGTTATACGGGTTATTTGTAACTCCGTAAATGGGATTGTAAGTTTCGGTCCATAAATTTAATTGGGGCACATTTGTAACTGCCAATAGAATCCCACCGGAATTTTTAATCAATTCTATAATTGTTGCATCAAAAGTTGATTTAATATGTCTCCGGCAAATAATTCCAAAGCTCCAACTCAATCCTTCACAAGCAGTCGTTTCTTTTGTCGTAAAAGGGACCCCCAAAAAAGGTTTTTTATTAAATTCTTCTTGGGAAATGGCCCCATTAGCTATATTCTCATCGATTCTTTTCGCTTCCTTCAAAGCTTCATTAAATCGCTCATCTACAACCGCGTTTAAGATTGGATTAACCTCTTTAATTCGATTTATAAACGATTCTACGACGTAAAACGATTTAATTTCTTTATTTCTTATTTTCAAAGCTAATGATGTGGCACTTTCCAATAAAATTTTATTGCTTACACTCGGTATATACTTTCTTTTTGAATTAAAGTATAATCCAAATCCGCAATAGATTAAATGATCGATTATTGTGCAAATCAAGGCGTAAACACGATAAATTAAACCCATTTTAATCACTTTTAGATGGAAAACTTGAAGAAGTGGTCAATATAGTTGGTGTGACTCAAATGTAAGTTTTTACTTAATACTATGATTGTGGGGGAGCGTAAAATGGTTTGGAGACACGAATAGGCTTAGGAGATGGTGTTAATCGTTAGATAAATATGGTTTTGAAGGAGTTATTGAGAAAACAGGCGAGTCATTGGAAAAAATCAATTTTGAGGGGGGAGGCAAATCAATAATTACTTAACCTAAAAATAATAAAATAAATTAAAACGAATTTTTGGAGTTAATTAAATATAAATAATGTAATTATTCGTATTAATATTTAAATAAAATTTTATTTGGAATAAATATAACCTAAAAATATTCCGTAAAAATTATTTTAATTCAGCTATTAAATGATAGATGGCGCTTTATTATTTAGATTTTATTATTTAATATTGGGGTTAATTAAAAAAAAAAATTAAAAATAATCTTTAATTATTCATTATTAACTCTTTTTAATTGCTTTTTTCTTCTCCTATATCTTAATCGAGATCTTTTCTTAGAAGGTGAGATTACCAGACATTGAGTCAGCGTTTCTACCTCCATCTAACAACCGGTTAAGTTTTAAAAAAACAACCCAACCCTTACAATAATCGCTTTTAATCAAATTTCCACGTATTATTAATTAACTAGATTCCAAATTCGCCTTATTTTTATATTTACTTCAATAATTAGTTAAGGATCATTAATTCTTATTTAATTCTATGTAAATTTCCGAGAGATTCAATTCTCCGGTTTTGAAACTTAGTTTTGAAAGGGGCGTTAACGTTAACTCAAATCGACGGGGAGTAAACCTTCCGGGAATTCATTTCCACCATATTTAAAGGGAAACGTTTCAACACCTGGGCTACAATCAAGATGCGTCCAAGATATTTAACACATTATTAATTATATTAATTCCATTTTTCCGACTTAATTCGATTCGAAGAATTCTTTTTGCGTTCGATTTCCTCAATGAATGAACGAATCGCGTTGGCATTTTCATTTAAAATTCTCAACGGCGTTCTCGGTAAATTTAACGCCAACCAATTCACGAATATAGCGCACTTCCTGGAGATCTAGTTGTAAAACAACCCAGCTGCCGTTGTAGTTGTGTCGGTAATAGGAAGAGAATTTCACGAAGTCCAGTTTTATAATCGGACGATCTAAATTGGTTTTAAACGTGGTGTACGGTTACGTGTGGGCGTTTCGTGCTTTTCCTCATTCATTAACTTCAATTTCACTCATTGTTGTGGTTCTATGAAACATTAATTAATTGCAATTCATTCACAAAAAAAACTTATTTTTATTAAATATTATTTGATTGGAGGAATTATGAGGTTACTTGTCATTCTTTTTTTATAATTACTAACATTAAAACGATAAAATTAATAAAACTAAAAGAAATATTTTAATTTATTAATTTATTTTATTTTGTTATTTTAATTATAATACACATTTAAATCACACTCATTAATTTATTTATAATAATCATACATTAAATCATAACTTTACACTTAATTTTAATGTTATTATTTTTTATGTCGCATATTTGCATAAGGTTGACACATTTTAGTCAACCTAATTTTATAAACATTTATTTTTCTTAATTATTTATAACTTATTTCAGCGATTACAATCGTAATTTCCCGTTAAATTAATACACGTAAGTATCAAAACTTCATTTAATTAGGTACCAAATAAAATAATTAATTTTTTTTAAGTTATGTTTATTTATTAAAATAATATCGATTTAAATTAACAAAAGATCTCATAGCCGACAAAGGATCTACTTTATTATCAATTTATTGTTGATATAGTTAATACCCCTCGAAATTAATTCTAAGAAAATGTTAATCTGAAAGGATTCAAGTACTACTCGGAAACGGTTTATTTTCGAGAAGAGAATCGGTAAATAACGCAACAACGAAGCGACGACACACGCAACGGCAACAAAAAAAGGTTACCACCTCGCAAAGCAATCCTTTTTGGGGCCGCCGTCCCGTCGAGAACGAATTGTAATTGCTTTTGATTTATAAACGTGAAACCGTTTTTCTCGGAACCTCTCAAAACTCTTTTATTGATTCTTTTTTTTTAGAAAATCCAAAAATTATTTCTACTTATATAAGTTTGAAATCACTCGTTTTCAATTTATCAAGTAACGTGTAATGGATGTCTCGGAGGGAGATTTCTTTAGGAACTCGTTCAAGTAATCATTTTCGCAACATAATAGCGAAATTGTTTACGTTTTTTTAAGCTCCTTTAAAATCCTTTTTAGACTTTCCGTTGCGGAGTCCTTTGTGTAACGTAATAAGACAGCTTTTGTTGGAGAAAAAAGGAAAGGTTCGATATCTTTGTGCTGTGAAGCTTTTGATATCATGTTGAGATCGTTTCAATAAAATTAGTTAATAAATAAAGTTAATTATTATTTTTAAAATTTAAAATAAAAAATAAAATCACAGAAAAAAAACTAAAATTTCCCCAAAAAATGGCGCTTTTTTATTTAAATTTTTTTTAAATCAAGTTCTTTTCATTTCTCGGTATTTTAAACAGTAAGAAAGAGCCGAATTCGAAAAATGTCACCGTTCGCATTAATTAGCACCGTTTTGTTGTACCGGATCCTTCCGAGAAATCCTTTTTCACCTCCTCGAGTTCGATCTCATTTTTCGTTTGGTTTAAAAAAGGATGGCTTTTACACCACGGTGTTGGTGTCGGAGAAGGAAGAACGCGCATCGTACGTTATGTATACGTATTCACCTGCCATTATTTTATCTGTAACTCGTCGTCTTTGCTCAAGATGATTGATGATCTTGGTAGAAAGATTTTCTTAGAATTTAACGGCCCCCGAGACAACACCGTCTGACATCTCGACGTATTTCTCGGAAAATATATTTAAGATATTCGTTTATAAAAAATGATTTTGAAATTTTAAATTTTAAAAATTTAAATTTAGAACATGTATGGTAACCGTAAAAAAATAAAAACGAAAAAAAATTGTGGTTAAACGAAGACCACCGGGGATTTTCTTGTGTACCTCGAAACGATCTTATTCTTCTCCATGTGCAATTGTGAGTTGACTTCGGGGAACTTTAACAATAGTTTTTAACGTCTGAAAGGGGATATTGTTAGAGAAATGTTCACAATACAATGCGGGGCTTGCTACCGGAATAAAATTGAATAGATCGGGTGCTTTTATTTTTGAGGTTGGTAAATTGGAACGTTGTTCATGTTTGTTTGCAGTATTTTTGATGTAAAATAACGATTTTTTATTCAAGTGTTGTGTGGTTAGTTTACTTTCCAAGAGTCAAATGAACGATATTATCTAATAACGCCGAGGTCGCTTGCGGGCGAGGCAGTGGAGTAGCTTCCAAAAGCAAACCTGATTGAGGTACAAACCTAATTCATAATGTATCAGTACCAACGCCTCGCCCGTAAGCGACCTCGGCGAAGTGTAAATAAACGATTTCTTATTCAAATGCTGTAAATAACCATGAAAATGAGGTTAAGATGAATCTGTCAAATTTGACGTTTATAATTGGAAGTTATAATGTTATAAAACGTTCGGGTGTAAAGAAGTTATTGAAGATTCTAATTAAATATCATTTTAAACTTTTCTTTTTAATTAGGTAATAAAACGTTAAATCAATTTAAAAAAATGGGAAAATTAATAAATTTTAGTAGTTATAAACTATTTACCCCATCTAGTGGTAACCACTCAATTAAATAAATTTGTCAGTTACTTACTTTCTCAGTTAATCAAATTTTACAAAAAAATAAGTGTTATTGAATCCCATCAAAATACGTTTTAAAAATTACTTATTTCAATTGATTTTAGGTCGAAAGAAGTGATTTTTTCCATCGAAATTAGTCAAAGAAGCATCGAGAACATAACCTCACTATTTATAGTGTCATTTTGAAATTGAACTTTTTTTTAGGTTGGTAATTATGTCAAAATTACATTAAATATTATTTTGGGATAAATAAAAGTATTTAATTAAAAAAATTTAAATAACTTATTACTATATCTTATTAATAAGTCTCAAAAGGTTCTTTTAAATCTTGATTCGAAGTAAAAGCGCCTAGTTTTGTGACGGCCAAAACGTTCATTTCGATGTAAACATCATCAAAATGATCCAAACAATTCGCCCTCACTAAAAAAATGAAATTTTAATTAGAATAAACGTTTAAGAAGAAATCTTTTACCTGAATTAACTTCATAAGGATTCGAATCCAACGTAACAACCTTTTTAACATTTTCGTAACACTTTATTTCCAAACAATCAAAAATCTCTAAATACTCCAACAAAACGTAGATATCAACGGGTTTTAAGAAATTAAATCGCTTACATAACGATGGAAAAGTAACGACGGGGTTTGAGATGCAAAACGAACAAATCGCTAATAACCAGTCGATTAAAACTTGGGTGTTTAGAGCCCCATTCAGTTTTAACCAAGGAAATAATTTCAATTTATTTTTTTGTGGGTTATCCCCTTGCAGATCAATCGTCCAATCATTTTTATATTTATCATGAACGAATCGAAACGATTTAACACCAAATCTATGAATAACTCCTAAATTCATTAATCGATCAATAATTTTTGATACATTTTCGCCGAAATTCGCTTTTAATTCCTCCCCAGTTACTCCTAAACATTCTTTCGACTCAATAAAATTTATAATCTTATAATTTTCAAATTCATTTTGATCAAATTGAGTTAAAACGCATTCTTTTTGGGCGATTTTTTCGATTTTGACAAGTTGATTGAGGTTATGTTGGATAGAATCGATTTTTTCGCGATTTTTGAAACAAAAATCGAATGAAATTTGGGGATTCATCGTTAAAAAGTGTTTACTAAGCCGTTCTAAGCGATCGTCCTCATCTTCGAGTTCGGGAAATAACCCCTTTGTCAATAAGAAGGTTAAATCTGACATTTTCTCATTTACCTTGTCAAAATCGTCGTTTTTAATCGACTTGGAGAGTTGGTCTAAATTAATTAGCGTGTTATCGTCTTCTTTTAATAAAGATAAATTGGTTTCGTCGGTTTTATTAAGATCGTTTTCGACGTGTTTTTTTGAAATTAATCTTTTGTAGCGTGAATATAACTCTTTGATTAAGTAATCGTGGTTTGTTATCCCCGGGTCTAAAATGAACTGTTTGTCGTCGATTTTTATGTTGACTTTGGTGGTTGTTAGCGTTTGGAGTTCGCTAAATCCGATACCGAATCCTTCTTGGTACGAATTTAAGTCGAATTTTCGATTGTTTGCCGATTTAATCAACGAATCCAACACTGAGTACGCTTCTAAATAGATTTTTTCGTTAAATTTCGTGACTTGTTTGTATGAGTATAAATAAGAACTTTGCAGGATAGTTTCTGTGTTAAATAATTTGGTTTTTCTCGAAAATGAAATTGATGTTTTGATTAAGTTGTGTTCGCGCAAGCTTGAAACAGCCTTCCTTAGAATTTCTTCCGAATAATTTTGATAAACCTTATCTAAATCGTCGCGAATTATTTTTATTGTATTATCCACTTTAATTCCTATTGAAGCGTGTATCACCGATTTAACCGTATCAATAAGAACATCATCTTTATTATTAACTTCATCGTACAAAGCGGATTGCCCCAATTTGGGCTCAAAAAAAACAGTCCTATTCAAATCGAAATCCTCCAAGTAATCAACATAACCTATATCATCCAAAATCTTTTTACTCTCAATGTTTTTTTTCTCAAACGAATCGACGCAATAAGCCACCAAATAGATTAAAGCGATGTGTAAATGTTCTTGAGGAATCATTTCTGATTTCGATTTCATTATTTTCTCTTTTAATTTAGAAAAGTATTTTCGAACGAAATGGTCCGCTTCTAAGTTCACGATGTTGGAATCATTTTCGGAGGCGTTAAATTTATAAAATTTTCTTAACCGACAGTTATAAGCGGTTGATGTTTTTTTGTAGTTTTTGGGGCACAATCGATGCATTAAATCCCTAATCACGGTAAAAGCGATAAATCTCTTCTTAAACCCGGGGAATAAGTAATTAATCGCGTAACTAATAATAACCAGCGTGTTATCTTCGTGCTCCGTAAACCTCGATCGCGTAAACAACCCAGAACTCTTAATCGAAGAATCTAAATCGTCGATTCTTTTGATTTTTTTAACTGGCGGGCGCGGTTTAATCTTTCTTATGATCATGTTCTTCTTGGAAATTTTATTTTTAATTTTTCCCCCGCAATTCTTGTTGTTACTCGTTTTTAAATTTATTTTCGATTTATTTACTTGTAGCTGCTTTAATTTATTGATCGTTTTCAGCTTAATTGAGGCCTTATCGAGCTGTTTTTTCCGGACACCTATAGGTTTGGTTGGTGGTAAATCGAAACGGGTTTCTTTTAAAACCGTCGATCCCACCCAGTTTTTTTTAACAAACATCCAAGAGTTTGAATCAAATCCGCAAGCACCTCTTCCGTCACCTTAGAAATAAATTTGTTATAATAAAATAAACTTCATTAGAACTTAAATTTATCTTGTCATTTTAAACGTCATTCAAGATTCAAGGTCATTAAAAAAATTATTTTAGTTTTATTTTTATGATAAAATTTGGAATTAATAAAGTTCTTTTAAATTAATTCTTATTTAGATAAAAATTTCGATTGAAACGGGTTTTATTTATTAAATATTAAAAAAAAAATTTATTTATTTAATTTATTTTAAAGTCCCTAGATTTACAAAGTACCGCGGTTTGGCGCCATTTTGGCTCGAAAGTCAAGCGGGAAATTTAAAACTACAAACCAAAACATTACGCCAAATTATCTTTCTTTTTTTCTCGTGGTACTCTGAAGAGTCGAAAGTCCACAAGTCAACAAGACTGCAATATTTTTGTAAATAAGTGGTGAGATGCAGTGACAAGCTGTCAAACCACCATTTTGGCTCGAAAACGGGCTTCATGAACCGCGGTACTTTGTAAATCTAGGGACTTTAATTTATTTGTAATTTAAACACCATCTAGCGGTAATCACCCTAATTAAATAAGTTTGACAGTTAATCAATTACTTTCCAAGTTAACCAAATTGTACAAGAAAATAAGTGTTATTGAAGCGAAAATCCCATCAAAATACGTTTCTGACTACCCAAATCGCTTATTTAAATTGATTTTAGGTCGCTTAAAGTGATTTTTTCCATCGAAAACAATCAAAGAAGAATCGAGAACATAACCTCACTTTTTACAGTGTCACTTTGAAATGATTTTAAGGAAATTATGAGCTTTGAGAAGTGAGGATCTCTAATTAATCATAAATTTGCAATGTACATCCACCGATTACGTTTTTATGAAAAAAGTAAAAATAAGTGTTATTGACCCGAAAAATGGATCTAATCTCTTTTGAGTACCCAAATTATTAATTTAAAACAATTTTTGGTTCCACGAAGCGAGCGTTTTCCCCGAAATTAATCAAACGTAAATTGAGAACATAACCTAAGTTTTTTATAGCATCGCTTTGAAATGATTTTAATCACGTTTGAATTTATCCCATCTAGCGGTAATCGTGACAATTAAAAAAAATTGACAGTTTAACCCACCGATTAATTTCTTCGTAAATTAATCAACTTTTATTAAAAACAAGGTGTTATTGACCCGAAAAATTTATCAAACTCCGTTTTTGAGTTCTCAAACAACTTATTTAAACGATTTTAGGTTGTTTGAATTAATTTTTTAGTCAGAGAAAAATTGAGAACATAACCTAACTTTTTTCTGTCAATAATTTTTTAACTCACCCGGGATATATCCAACATCATCTCGCTCCACCTCCTCGATAGTTTTAAGCCTACATGCTTGAATCATCTCGGGAATGCTGTGAATTCGGTGCAAGGTGATCGTTTGATGCAACAAACTATATCTATTTCCTAATCGTGTTCTTAAACAAATATTCCAAACTTTGTTCCAATAATTTTCGACGTCCTCCTCAGTCTCTAAATAAAACGTTATTTTCGGGTACTCTTTTTGCGTGACTTGGTGATACCCAGGGTTTGAAGACGTCGTATCAAAAATGATGGCATTTTTATTTAAATAGATGTATTGGTGCTCTTTATTTCGGGTGCGTTGTTCCCCGAATTGCAATAATCCTTGGTAGCAAAGTAACTGAAGGGATTCGTAAAGGCTAAAGATGTGTTTGCGGCGGTGAAAACACGCGTTTCTTAATTTAACGGGAATTTGGGAGATGAGGAGGTAACGTTTGATGGGATGATTTAGGAGTTGGAGTAATTCGGGGATTACATAAACGATGTTGAAGAGTTTCGTGAAAATGTTTAATGGGAGTCGAAATAGAACATCCATAAATAACATCCAACCGTTTTTGCGGTCGTGGTATTTAGGTGGGGGTGGGATAAACATTTTCCAAGAAATCTCGCTTTGATATAAATCGCAATTTTCTAGGTTGTTTTCAACGATGAATTTTGGTAAATCTTTTTCGGGGATTTTTTCACCTCTATATAAATAAGTTAAATAAAAAATGAATTCATGAAATAGTTTTAATCGGCAATTTTTGGGTAAAAACCCGTAATATTTCCCCACATTATTATTCTTTTTGTATTTTGGGTTACCAACGATTTCATTTTCGTTGCATACATTCGATTTAATCCCTTTTTGGGTGATTTCCCCTTTTTTGTGAGTATTGTAATTCAAAAATGGCATTTTCATTTGGTCGCAAACCGAGTCTAAAATCATTTCGTACTGAACTCGGGGTAACCAAATTATTTTTTTCGATTTAATCGAGTCGTTCTTTCTCAAAATTAATTTTGAAGCGCGAATAAAGCCCTCTTCAATTAGTTTCTCTAATAGTCTATTAAATGTTTTGACGTCAATTGTTCCGACTAAGCCCTTTTCTAATTCAATCTTTTTGATGTCGTTTTTTAGTATGGAATCGTCTGTGATTATTTTTTTTTTATTGACGGCCTCTAAAATGTAATTAATCCTTTGTAAAGCTCGCTGCGAAAACGTTTTATTGAAATATTTATCGCCAGTGGGGATTTTTTGACTCATTTTAGAAAATATTTTGATTATTTCGATTTGGTTCTTCTTATCAATCGAGTAATTCACCAAAATCGTCTCCCCATAAAACTTTTCTACCTGAAAGTTCTTATTGAGCTCATTAAAATCGCCCCGGTTAAACTCCTTTAAGCTTTTCGTATCATTTTCAACAAAAACATCTTTTAATTCAACCTCATTTAAACAATTTTTATCAATTATTTCAACATTTTCTTCCCCCCTCTTATTTTCCTCAACATTTTTGGCAAAATCCTCATTTTTTAAAAATTTCAAATTCTCATTTTCAAACTCATTTATTAACTGATCTTTAAAATCTTTCACCTCCTCATACCTTTTCCCACAAAATTCCTCATTTTCAAAGTTTTCAATCAAAGATACATCATCAACATCGATTTCGTTGATTTTTTCATCCCCAAATTTTTCATAAACGTCTTTATCAAGAACGAATTCATCAACTTTTTTAATAAAATCCCTAAAATCGACATCGAAAATCGACAAATAATTAATTAAAATTTTAATTGAAGCTTTATTTTTGTGACCCTCCAAAAATATTTGCCTCTTTTTGATACGGTTATCTTTAATTTTCTTTTCCACCAAATTATAATCGATTAAAACCTCATTTTTATCGACTCTATAAACATCTTGGAAACTGTTAAAGCTCTCCTCATTAAAACTCTTTTCCCTCGTCTCTAAATTTAAATTCGCCTCAATTTTCTTGATGATTCCGTTTTGAATCGACGTTTTCATATCGAAATGACCGTGCTCATTCTTTAAAATCCTCTCCATCTTTACCTTTTCATCTTCCAAGGAATTGATTTGATAAAAATCTTCCCGGAATCGAACGTTGTATTTATTCTCGCGTAATTGTTTGCGATGTTTTTTTATAAATTCGTACTCCCCGCTTAATTTTGTTAAATTTTCTTGCGTATTATCTCCAACAAATTCATTTTCTTGGTTATTTCTTAAAAAAATTTTGTCAACTTCGAGAATTTCGGATAAAAAGTTTAAGGTTTCTTCGCTTTGTGTGGTTTTGGTAACGGATTTTTCGGGGTTTGTTGGTTTTTTGCGGTAACTATAATATCTGTTAAAAAAATATCGATTTAACGCCATCTATTAAAATCTATTACCACTAAAAATATATTTTTTTAGTTTTTATTCGTTGTTAAGTTATGCTGAAGGAAATTTTGATCCGAATTCATCAAGAAATATGTATTGTACAAAATAAAATTGTTTAAAAAAGAACTAATTTGTAGTAACATCAAGCAACTGCCTCGGCCGCAAGCGGCCTCAGTACAACACTAGCATAAAATCGTTTATCTTCATTTCGCCGAGATTGCTTCCAGGCGAGGCGTTAGAACTGTTTATACTAGCTTTACGTTGATATAATTACATAATCCGTGCCTCGCCCGCAAAGCGACCTGGGCAAAGTGCGGATTAAACGATAAAAACTGAAATGAACTTACCTTAAAACCCGATGAAATCCCAACTCCGCATTCTTACCATATACCATATTTTCCTTTTCCATCGCCTTCAAAATCAGCCTAGAAACGTAAGTATCCAACCCAAGTTTAATAGAAATTTGATTTTGCGTTAATCCCTCCTCACCACTTTCATAAATCACGTCATAAATTTGGTGGTAACACGATTTGTTATAAAAACCTTCACATAAAGGCTCCTCATCTAACCGCAAAAAAACATTTGTTTAACAATTTTAAATTAAATTTTTTTAAATTTTTATTGTTACCAGAAGATTCATCTTTTTGCGCATCATCTTTCCCAATTTCTTTTAAAACATTTGAAACGTTAACGTGGGGATCACTTAATTGAATCACCTTTAATTTTTTTTCTTGGTGTTTCCCCATCCACTCTTTTTTCGTTGCGTTCGGATAAATCTCGCGATAATTAATATTTAAATTCGTGTTAATAAACGTTCTAACATCGCTGGCTTTAAGCATTTTGCTGATGGCGTTTTGCCAGATATCGCCGTAAATCGCCCTTAACTCAACGTATTCCATCATCAAATTAGGCTTCTTTTTTAACATTTCAACAATTTGCTCTATGAATAATAACTTTTTCGTTTTAAAATGGAAATAAAACCGGGTTAAATGGAATAATAACCCGATTGTGTGCGAAGTTAATTTGTTCGTTTTTTGGTAACACAATTGTTGTTTCGTAATTAAGTTGTTTTTTAATAAAACTTTTCTTAAATAATACATTATTTTGCTATCCCCGAATTGGTGGAGAGAGGTGTTTCCGGTTGAGGATTCACCCAATTTTCGAGATCTCCCAATTCTTTCTAACAAAGAGTATTGTTGGTTAAATAATTTCGTTATTGATTTAGTTTCGTTTAATCCCAAAGCTTCGTTCCTTAAATTTTGGTCCGCCACAATAACCAATTTATTCCCCAAACTCTCAGCTTCTTTTAAAATTAATTTCTTAATTTTTTCTGAGACTAAAATTCTTGAATTGAAAGTGGCGCAACTCCCATAAATGTCTAATTGGGCTGAGACATCATCCGAGAGTGGGCTAAAAGGGTAAATATCTTCTGGGACGTTTTCAACATCGCATAAATGCCCAGAGACTACATCAACGTATTGGAATCGATTGAAAATGATTAATTTCCCTCTCTCTTCAGGGAGTTCGTAGAATTCTAATTGATTACTTCGCTTTATTTGGTCCCAAATTAATTTGCGGGAATTTTCCGGGACGATTATACCCATAACAATCGATAACCTCAACCATAAAGCTACATCAAAAAATAATTAGACCCAAAATTTAAGAATTAAGAATTAATTAACCTTCCAAAGTAATCCCATCCAATCCCTCCAAAGCGATTTCATCAAAAACGATGCTAATTAAGTCATTTTTGGTAAAAACATCACTTCTCCAACGAGTTTTAATCAAACAATCATCAATTTTCTCCTCCTCAACAACCTGAACATCATCATTCTCCTCGTTTATCTTTTTAGCATCACCTTCATCAACGAGTAACATCTCCTCCAACTTTCTTTTGGTAACCTTCGAGGTTTTACTCGATTTAATCGCTTCAAAATCATCTTTTTCTTTTATTTTAGGACCCTTTCGTTTCTTAACTTTTTTTAAATCTTCCAAATCGGAGTCGGAATTTTCATTTTGTACTTTTGACTTCTTTCTTAAGCGCTTTTTGGATGTTGATGTTGAAGGTTGATCCATTTCGGGCTAAAATAAAAATAAATTTAAATTTGGTTGGAAATGATTTCTTGGAAGTGATTTATTCGATGTAACTCATAAGCATGGAAAATCAAGTATTTAGGAGGAAGGGGAGGTGAAGAAAACGAAACGATTGTTCTTTTGATATTCTGAGAAATGGGGCATCATTAAAAATACACGACGGTATAACCGCGCCGTGTAATGATCTCTAAGAATCAAAGAAAGGAAACCTTTATTTTCTCAGAATGATAATTTACATACGATTAAAAAAAAATTTTTTTACCGTATTTATCAATAACATCCAAAACGATCCTTTTAAAGATAAATTAATCAACCGGTTTATTTATAGACAACATCTCTTTTTATGGCTGTTTTATTAGTCACCACACAACCTTAACATCATGGGGAATGTGTAGGTTTTTCTTTAACGCAGAGAGACAGATTGTCTCTGTTTACAAGGTGATTTCATTATGTTTCATCATGTTTCATTATAACTAATAACCCTAATAACATCTAAATAAAATCTGATTATTTACCCCAATTAAATAACACGTTTGACAGTTTAAAAACAGCCCAAATTACTTAAGTTTTATTGAAAAAAAAGTGTTATTCAAACAAAATACGTTTTTGAGTATCATTTATCTATTTAAAACAAGTTTAGGTCGAAAGAAGCGATTCTTACATAACCTCACTTTTATAACGTCACTTGAAGTGATTTTAAGAAAATTATTAGGTCTATACTGGTCTATACGTATTATGACTCCGCGCTTTTACGCACTTACAACCGCTTGAAACTGGATAAATTTGTAAGAAACATTGATTAAAAATAATTTTCATCATTAATAACAACATTTTCCCATAGAATTGGAGCTAAAAATTAAAAGTGTTCTAAAAAAACGATGAAAATGAGGTTAAAAATGAATCTGTCAAAATTTGACGTTTATAATTGGATGTTATAAAGTGTTCGTTGTAAAGAAGTTGTTGCATTTTTAATTATTATTTTGAAGTTTTTTAATTAATAAAACGTAAAATCACCTATTATTAAAAATGGTAAAATTAATACCTAAATCTTTAAAATTATAATCAATTAACCCCATCTAGCGGTAACGACCCACATTAATAATAAATTTGACTGTTTAAATCCACCGATAACGTCTTCCTAAGTTAATTAAGTTTTATGAAAAAAGTAAGTGTTATTGACCCGAAAAATTGATCTAAATAAATTTTTGAGTACCCATATTATTAATTTAAAACAATTTTAGGTTCCACGAAGCGATTTTTTTCCCCGAAATTAATCAAAGAATAATCAAGAACATAACCTCACTTATTATAGCGTCAGTTCGAAGTCATTTTAAGAAAATCATGATTTATTATAACGAAATTAAGATAAGTCGATAATTTTAATTCATTAATTCAAAAATTTATAAATTCAAGGTCAAAGTAAATTTGGTAAATTGACAATTTATATTTTATTAACATTCACCCCATCTAGCGGAATACCCGTTAATTAAGTAAATTTGACAGTTTAAATCCGGTTAATTTTTCCTAAATTAATCAAATTTTACACATAAATATGTAGGTGTTATAGACCTAAAAAAATATCAAAATACGCTTTTGAGTATCCAAATTATCTAGTTTAAACGATTTTAGATCGCATGAGGTGATTTTTTACACCCAAAGAAGAATAGGGAACATAACCTCACTTTTTATCCTGTTTAAATGAAGATTTAAATTGGTGAAGTGGTGATGTATTGAAATAAAAAGAAGGTAAGTCGATTAATTATATTCTAGTTTCGTTGCCTTCAATTAGTTTTGTTAAATTTGCAATCATTACATTTAAAAAAATTAATTTATTATGTCATTAAAAAAGTTTGCTTACTCAAAATATATTAAATTAAACTTTAAAAAAAATTTGCATATTTTAAAGTTTAAATTTGTAATAGAATCATGTATTCCTAGAAAATCCATTACACCAGAATTCTAAAAATTGATTCTCCCGAGAAAATCTAATTTAGTTGAAAACTATTTTTAAAAGGTCAAATGAGACAACTTCTTTTTAATATCTATATCTTTCCGTTCAATTGGAAATGAACGTTTTCGCACACTACCAAATCAAATAAGTGAATTCCAAGAAAAATTAATTGGCTTTTAATACTCTTAACTGAGCAAAACCCAGAGCTTGGTAATTTCGCGAACTAATCGAGAACCGCGTTTTCTTAGAAAAACTTCTTGGTACAGCTGGTTTTGCAATCGTAAAATCGCACGCTACACCTGTTGGCTCGAGAGATTCGCGCACAATTTAAAAATCTCCATCTTCTCCGTGAATGCTCATTAACCTTCCTTTCTATCTACCAATCTCCGTCCTTTGCATGCTAAATCGCGCCTTTTCATCTATTCCGGGAGATTTTCTAAAAGATTTCCGGTAAACGGTGAAATAAGGTAACCTAACGGTTTTCGCAAAGAAGAAACGAACGATGTAAATTGCGCGTTTGAGAGAGAAAATTTACTTTTTTTTTTAAGCGCTCGCTTAGAGTGTGTGTATTAACCTCAATGTCATCCAGGGGAATGAATACATAAAACATGTGTGCTCGCGAATTCTCCGAACACGTCGTTATGTGGTCGTAATTAGCATACACGACGATGGTAAAAATAACGAAAAGGCCGGATTGTGGAAGCGAGCAATTCCAGTAGCCAAGGACTTTTTGCCATTCCATTGATAATGAAAGGAAAAATTATTTTTACCTGGAAAACGATTGCGACACAATGTGCTTATTATTTTTTGTGTTGTATACATAACAGGTGTATTTATGTATTTAAACTTGGTATTTTAATGAAGATATAAATAATTGCAAATTTCTGCAAGGTATTTTTTTAAAAATGGGGTCATTGAAAATTCATTAATTGAACGAGTAATTATATAAAAGGACTAAATTTAATAAGTCGAATTGAATGTTACGAATGTTTGTAGTGGACGGAGATGAGCTTCCAGGAAATTGATTAATTAGTACAGCCAATTTGTAGGGTATCTCGTTATATGGCAACAAATCAAATTTTCCAACTAAATGCCTCGTTAATTAGGAAAACCCACTCAATTTAACTCTATTTACAATCTCGTATAAACTAAACTTACATCAAAAAGAGGCGGTCGCTTGGTGTACCATGGATTAAGAGATTGAAGCCAAAGTCGCTTGCGGCCGAGGCAGTAGCTTACTGTTACCACAAATTAAGGAATAGAAGTCGAGGTCATTTGCGGCCGAGGTAGTAGCTTAGTGTTACCACGAATTAAAGAATTGAAGCCGAGGTCGCTTGCGGCCGAGGCAGTAGCTTGGCCACTTTTATCTTTAATATTGATATATCAAATCAAACGTATTGTCCGCAACATAATTATATGCTTGGTTTACTTTCCAAGACATCAAATGATATCATCAAAATTCTCCAGGGTCGCTTGCGGGCAGCTTTAGAACACTTCAGCGCCTCGCCTACAAGCGACCTCGGCGAAGTGCAGATAATCGATTTCTTGTTCAAGTATTGTACATCTAAAAGTGCATCATGATTTTACGAATATACTTTATATATATGGTTCTAAGGTCTTAATGTTAAAAGTATAAAAGCTGAAATAAAACAAAAACTAGAAACTTCTGGGTCGAATCATCATTTTTACTCTAGTACTTGTGATTAAAATTATACCACGACTTACAGAAACACCTATATATCATCACGTTCGATATAAAAAGTCATTTATTTTCACTATGCCGAGGTCGCCTGCGGGCGAGCCGCTACAATCTTCCAAAGCAGACGATTTCGTGACGTTTCCTCGCCCGCAAGCGACCTCGGCGAAATGAAAATACATTTTTATTCAAAATGATATCAACCAATATCGCCACAATTTAATTACATTGAAGTAATTAAAAAAGCAATTTTTTCGTAAAATTCTGAGTAAATCATTTCACGGTATCACCACATTAATTTTTCATTACGATCGTTTTCGTCCTCCTAAGAATTAGGAGGAGCATGTTTGTTGCATCGAATTCTATGAAGACATTCAGTCATATTGAGGATTCCAAGAAACACAACCCGTTCCAATTACTCGAATCGTTACGATTATTTTATAATTTACACTCATCAAGTGTTAAGGCAATTTCTTATGTAATGCTCCCATTTTTATTATTTTTTTATGAATTGCTTTTATTTCTTTTTTATAACTGCCATAAACATTTTACAGCTTTTGAGACAATGTAAAATTTGCAATTTTTTAATTTAATTTTTTTTTGAGTTAAACGGAAATCCAGGTGGTGTTTCTTTGAAAATAAAGTTTAAAAGTGAACAGCTGGGTTATTCTATGGAGTATTACGTAAACAGTAACGTAAAAAAGAAAATGTTTGCCGCGGTGTTCCTTTGTGGGTTTGTTAACGTATTTTTGGTTAACCCCCTTCTTTCCCGAACCGAATACAACCGACAAAACCGCTTTATTGTTTGCTTTTCCTAGAACACAAATTTCACCGTTAAAGCCCCACTTTTTTATTTCAATGCTTCTTTTATTTTTTTATGTAATTCAAATTCATTAATGACCCATTATTGATGGTGTTTCTAAAACAACAACACGGACAACAACAAAAAAAAAAAGAAACAAAGCGATAAGTTGTCGATTCGTCGAAACGGGTTAACGAACCAGAAAACGAACGAGAGAATGCAAGGCACGTTATTTAAATTGTTTCTTAGTAGAGCGCGGTTTAGATCTAACTGTCACGCTAACAGAATCAGAACAATGAATGTTCTATGTAAAGAGTTAACAACAAAAAATTGATTCAAACGGAAATAGAATATTATAATAATAGGAAGTTAAAGTCGACGATAACGAAATAAGGATAACAACGAAAAAGGTTTATTTATGGAAATGAAAATGTTATCTTGTAATTCTAGGAAGCGAATTCGAAATGTAACTTGCGATGTTATTGTTTATTAAACAATGAATAATACGAAATGTTTAATTCTAATAAAAATGTTCTTGG